ACAAATGTGCACTATCTTACTCTGCTTTAAAGCAAGCCCAATTGCAGTGAGACTATTCTTAAATAGTGAAGCTCAGATTGCAGCTTTCTTAGGGTCATCATCTGGATGTAAGAGTTTGCTGCTAATAATATGCCAGCAGCTGACATGATGAAGAATTATCTGTATGGTGAACTTTCAATTATAGTAGTTCAACCCATTGAGTTTAATAATCAAGACAAGGAGCAAATTAATATTGGTAGATATGAGAAGCAATGTGTGAGAATGAGTAACTAAATAAAGGAAAGAAATTCACTGGGCAGCTTGTATAGCCTACAAGTAGTGTCATATATCAAATATATTTAGCTCATAGATAAAGCATACTAGTATTCAATATTGAATATTTAGATCCAAGAAGTATAACTATATGATAACATAAAAGTAAGAATATTTTGATAATAACAGTATGATAAGTCTTCAAAGACCTGACCTAAGTCCAACTCAAACTGATGATGTATATTCTAAGATCATAGAAGAAGAAGAAGAAGAGAAATGCTGAGAATGAATGCATAAAATATACTGAGGCTGATAATAATTAGATCATAAAGATAGGAGAATTGGAAGAAACAAAAGTAATAAAAAATGAGTAGAAGAAGAAGTGACCTAGTTAAAATAGACTGAAGATGGTAAAGCTAAAGTCAGATGAGCTGGGATATTTTGGTTTGTATCTCTGAAATAATATTGAAGAGAAAAGAATATGAACTGCAGCTAGATAATGATCATAACTAAAACTATAAATCTGATAAAGCAGCTAATACCAATCACTATAGACTTGAGAGCTTTACAGTTTATATTTATTTTAATTCACTTTTAATTAAATAAATTTTAAACATATTACACAATATAATATATTGAATACATACCATAAGAAGGGAAAATTAACCATTGATTATTTTAAACCGGGTACTCTAAAGATATAGAGATAGCTAAAAAAGACTCCATGGTATTCTGAAAAGCAAAAGATCAGTAGAACAATAAATTCTTATTTTCAAATATGCATACAGAATAATATATATAGTAACAGACATGAGGCTATTTCAGAACCTTGAAATTGAGTATAAAATTAATTAGATCAGATCAGATAAAAGAAGACTTATCTAGTATCAAGGTGATTCTGAAACTAATATGTCTCAGTCCGAAGTATGTAGTTTTCAAAGTTAAAGTATCATTACCTGACAGTGTCATATCAGAGGTTGATATTCAACCAGACTGATACCAGCAATCTCTATGAGTACTTAGATAAGGTAAAGTGTCTATATATTAAGCACTAAATATGCTGGATATATAGATAATTTACAATAATATACACTGAGTACCTACTGGGTTGTTTCAAAATAACAAAGTGAGAAAACAAAGTGAATAATGGCCTATCTTTTTTATCTTTTTCTGAAGTAAAATAAAAATTGAAAAAATCTAATTGTTTTTATTCTGAGCTAAACAAAAAAAAGTGTGAAAACAGTTGAGTCTATTTGCAGAATTGTTTGATACTTTTACTATGCTAAAAAGGCAGACTTTATCTATAATTTGTTGCTCAAAGAAAATAAATTATATTTTTATAAAATAGAAGAGAAAAACTTGCTTTTACATTTTTCATTCTATTTTATCACTAGTATAATTTATTTTTTCTAAGCAAAAAATTATACATAAAGTCTGCCTTTTTGGCATAGTAAAAGTATCAAACAATTCTGCAAATAAACTCAACTGTTTTCACACTTTTTTTGTTTAGCTCAGAATAAAAACAATCAGATTTTTTCAATCTTTATTTTACCTCAGAAAAAGATAAAAAAGATAGACCATTATTCACTTTGTTTTCTCACTTTTTCATTTTGAAACAATCTGGTAGATACTCAGTGATGGTAAATGAGAGTAGAGACAAGTCACAAAAGATCAAATATATAAGTCCAATTATATCAAGAAATAAAGACTCATTTTAAACAGCAAATCTTTCTACGAAACTACTGAAATGATCTTCATAGTTGACAATGTACTTCACTACAAAGCACAAGACAATAAGGAAGTCTATACTTTCAAGAATATCACTGACTATTTTTTAAAAGATTTTTATATCAGTTGGCTCCAAGAACTCCATAGCAGTACTCTGAAGAAAAAGAAGTAATAATAAATATAAGAATAAAGAATAATAGCCTAATATATATGAAACTTATATCTTAATAGAGTTGAAGACTTCTTTCTATATATTGAGTGAACAAATATCACACAAGTGCTAGATTATAGTTCAAATATCATCTTAGAGATCTACAGACTTAGATATGAAAATGGACAGTCTAGACATAATATTAAAAACTCACCTGATTTGTATTAGCATATGCAGGCTTATACTTTATGCAGAAGTATATAGTCTTTAGAGAAGAAGCATTCTACTTAGACTTCTATATCAAAAGACTAATATCTAATCAAATCTTACTACTGGCAATCTCCTTGTATGCCTAGATAAGGTAGGTGGTCCAAAAGATTAGAAAGTACAAGGGATCATAGATTCACAGATCACTCAAGTGCCAACTGATTAGAGATATCAATACTCAATGTATAATTAAGAATTTTGATTGATCTGATTATTTCAAAGATTCTTCATTCTTAGCCAAGTCACTACAAGTTACTGTGAGTTATAACAAGTTATGGTAAGTTATGACAAGTTATACTGAGTCACTGAAGTTATTCTGAGTCACTGCAAGTTACTGTGAGTTATGATAAGTCATAGTGAGTCATGTGAGTCACAATAAGTTACTAAAGTCATTTAGAGTTACTTCAAATTACTCTAAGTCACTATGAGTCAGTGCAAGCCCCTATTGGATATGCACAACCTCTCTTCTCTTCTGTATATATAGAGCCTCTATTTTGCTAGTCTAGTATGTGCTCCTTCACGTATATCCCTTTATCTCTTTTGTATTATTTATATTTTAAATAACCTAAAAGTTGCTGTAAAAGTCTAAAAGACTCTTAACTTGAAGTTCTTTTTCTGTAAAGTCCAAGTTGAAGTTAAAAGTGTTCCATCATCACTAACATCTCTATTGTTTCTATTATTTATTTTGCCTCTAAAATTAGCCATTGTATCTTTATATATCTCTGAGTTATCTTTAAAATTAAATTGTTAGTTTCAATCTCACATCTCTCTAGTGACTGATAAAGTACCTTTACTTAAGATCTCACTAATCTTGTAATCACACTATTCCTATAGTATAACTGGTCAAGTCTATTTTCTTATCAGACTACAAGATAAACCTCCCTCACTCTAAATAAATGACAGAAAAGACTCAGTGTAATATCTCACTCAGATACTTTTCTGCAGAAGGGAAACCTTTGATCTCTCATCCTATTTGAGAGTGTTTCTCTTTTCTGACTGATAGCAAGCAATGCATTTGTGATAAAAATTAATCAGCAGAGAGCCTGAAAAATAAATAATAAAGTATGTTTGGCTTAAGACAAGTAATAGTAGTCTTATTGCAAATACATGAAGAAGAACAAGTACACTACAGATCTGTGCATATGATAATCTATATAAGGTTCACTCTCTAACTGCTAATCTCTGTGAGTTGCCAAAGTGCTCAATTTACAACAGTTACTCTATCATTGGAAAGTATAGCAATACACCTGCCTTTCTTTTGATATTGGAATGCATCAAGGCTTAACTTCCTGCCTTGATATGATTTAGATGATAATTATTTATAGTATCTTTTGATATAAATTGTGCTAATTAATTGAGGAGGCTTTATCTCTTTCTTCTCTATTTGCTAAGAAATAGTTTGTTACTTTAATAGTCATCATATAATATGCTGGCTCTTCATCTGATAGTTCTGTTATAGTCGAGGAGGTTCAGAGTTTTGCAGTGCTATCAAGGCAGCTTGAGAAAGGATCTTAAGATGTTTACCTCAATACATTGTATCTGAAAGAAAAGTGGTAGGCCTTGCGCATATACAGTACTAAGGTAGACCTCATTCAGATTCAACAAGAGATTATATAAGAAGCATGACTCTGGCTACAAAAAGAAACTTGAATTCAGAGAAAATCAAAACAAATAATCCACAATCAACAAGTTGTTTGCATCATCATTCGACATATTTTGTTGATTGTCAATTTGTGAGTTTGAGAGGTTGATGAGTCAAGTTCTTTTCTGAAGCATTTAAAGGACCATTTATGTTGTCATGGCTGACCACTATGTTTGCGGGGTCACAGTAGTCACAGCTTACAAATCCCTTGTCAAATCTGAATGAGGCCTACCTTAGTACTTGATAATTACCAGAAAAGGCAAGGACTTGCGAAGCAAACATGCGTAAGCAATGCTGACGGTGGTTGCTCTTATCTGAGTTTCAAGCTCAAGCTTCAACTTCATTCAATGTCGACGTCAAGCTTAAGCTTCGACGCCAATGGTCAGCTAGTCTCCTACAACTGGGAAATATTCTAGCACTACGGTACGGCAGGTTACGCAAGGCCCTTACTTCATTTCACCCAACGATGAATATTCTACCAGCAATGATCCATTTTCGTCATCTGCACGCACCGTCCTGCTGAACAGATGATGGTCCACAGTTCGTTTTACTATCTGAATCGACCGCTGACTGTCACCAGCCGCAACATTCATGAATATGCCCATACCGCGTATTATGTCAAAGAGGCACTGCTGTCACGGGTTCATCTAATCCCGTCTACAAGACTTGATGTATGCGTGTCTCACATCGATAGTATTGCTGCTAAATCCCTGATAACGATTGTTGTATAGACTACTACGCGGGAAGGGCCTGTACATTACAACGTCGTGTCAAGCCGTTCTACTAAACGTTACTCTAAAGGACCTCTCAGTGGCTGCAACTCCAAATACTCTCCATGAATGTTGATGTGCTTGCAAGCTTTAAACCTCAAGCACAGTTACCTCTAGGTCTCCTCAGTGAATTTGCCATGATCAGAGAATACATGGGCGATATGAACTAGATCTTTGTCTGGTTTACTGCATAGGTTCTTGGCCCCACAATACGACGTTTACTCACTCTCATTTCGAGGTCTCATTGGCTCCTATTTACCAATGTTCGGCTATGGAGTGGTTCTCTATGTGACAGATATGGAACATTAAATGATAGACCGACTAGGTCGGAAGATCAGCACGCCGGGACCCGCTCACCGACGGTAGGGTCAGTGAGGATGGTCAAAGAGAAGCAGCTACGTACTACGTCCGCACGTAAGCCTCTTTCATGTGTTATTGCTAACATCACGAGTGTCAAACCAGACTCGTTCCATTGATTCTCACTGTGCTTCCCACACCTTCTGGTGGAACGTTGAGCTTTCTTATTTCTCATCGATATAGCGTGAGACCGATGGACACATCTTCTGGACAATGTGAACGGGACAGATCCTCTCACGACATCTTCGCCATTACATCCGACGTTTCTTGTAAACATCATCATAGACGCTGGATGCAAACCTGATCTCAACATGCAGAAATGTACACAAGTACGTTTCCTTCCGAGCTTGCTCGTCCTCTTTCCGCGTAGGTTTCGTTGAATCGGCAATCATTGCAGAAGGGGAATCAGAATAATAGATCAATAAAAACGCAAAATGCGCGAGGCTCAGCGTGGAATTTATCATCGTAATGTGCAGGTATTCAGCATTTACTCGATGCTTCTCTCGGGCCTGCTGAGGTAAGTAGGTATCGTGCAATATCTCAACAGGTATATAAGTGCTGAGCTGTCCGGTATATATCAAGCAGTCTCCCCCACTCAATCTCCCCTGTAGTCCACTGCCATGAATGCCCTTCCAATCATCGTTGCCACCGGGATTGCGTGGTTGATATGGCGTGTTGTCCACAATCTCTTCATTCGTTCTCCTCTGGACAACATTCCCGGACCAGCTCCTCCCTCTCTGATCAGAGGTGCATCGCCTCTATGCGAGTCTGCATGACTGACTGACTTCTATCACAGGTAATCTTGGCCAGTTATTCGATAGACATGGCTGGGACTTCCTCGATGGGCTAGGAGAGAAATACGGAAAGGTCGTCCGACTGACGGGTATATTAGGTGTAAGTATCAAGTGTCCCGGTCTTCCTAGCCTGTGAACGCTTACAGCACTCTACAGCACCGAATATTATACGTATTCGATCCAGCGGCCTTACACCAAGTGATCATCAAAGAAGCGGATATATACGATCTTCCAGAATGGTCGACGGAGTAAGCTTAATGTCATCCACAGCTTCGAGCTTGTCTAATCGTCCAACAGCAATGTAAGGTTGACCATGGGACCTGGTCTACTTGGTGTCCATGGTCAGTGACATGTTCATATAACCATAGAATCTAATTGTGACAGTTTAACACTGGCAGGAAATCAACATCGTCGGCAGCGCAGGATGCTGAACCCTGTATTTTCCATCAAGCATATGCGCTCAATCACACCTGTGTTTTACGACGTAGCGCACAAAGTAACTACATGGTACCACCATTTTCTTAGAAACCCTCTTACCCGTACTCTTGCAGTTGCGTTCAGGCCTCGAGGTCCAAGTAGGAGACAAACCAACTACTGTCGATATCCTCGGTTGGTTTGGCCGAACCGCTCTGGAGCTGATAGGTCAAGGTGGTCTTGGCTATTCTCTTGATACTCTGGACACTCCGGCTCCCAATCCTTACGGCGATGCGCTGAAGGAGTTCTTGTGAGTTGAGCTCTTCATTCTAACCATTGCCTTGAGTAACTTGACTACTCTCCTCAGACCCGCCCTATTCGCCAATTCCGAACTACAATTTCTGACGAATTATGTAAAGAAGATTGGCTCTCCTGCATTCCGGGCTGCCATGATCGATTGGTTACCTCTGCCTGCTCTTCATCGAGTGAAGAGGATTGTCAACAAGATGGATACCGAAGCAAAGAATGTCTATTTCCATAAGAGAAACGCATTTCAAGCTGGAGAACAGAGTGTCCTCAAACAAGTGGAGGAAGGGAAGGATATCATGAGTGTCCTCTGTGAGTTCGGAGATTCATTTTGGGCAAGTACTCATCTTAATCGTGTCTTAGTGCAAGCGAACATGGCAGCTTCAGAGGAAAATCGTTTGACAGATGAGGAGATAATTGGACAAATGTCGTATGTGTCACTTTTGTCGCATCAGGCATTGCTCGCAGTTAATTCATCGATGCATGAAGCCTTCTCGTTATAGCAGGGACGGATACAACTTCGAACTCGCTCACTGTGGTCATGGAACTCTTGGCACAGTATCCGGACATTCAAGACAAGTTGCGAGCTGAGATCAAACAGGCTAGAGAAGAATGCGGTGAAGATATCCCGTATGATACTCTAGTATCTCTTCCTTATATGGACGCTTTATGCCGGGAGACGTTACGACTGTAAGCTTTCCTGCCGTTATCAATGGTCTATTTCTTCTAATCAGACATTTTTCCCCTTCAGCTTCCCACCCGTCAGTTTCATTTTCCGAGAGTATGTTTGAATTCTCAAAGTGACGTGTATAAGACTAATACCATTTGAAGGGCGCAGAAGGACATCGTCATGCCACTTTCGGAGCCGATGATTAGTGTCGATAGGACCACAATCAACGAGATTCCGGTACCCGCAGGTACAACGGTGATCGTCGCGATTCGTCCGGTGAATCAGAGTAAGGACATTTGGGGTGACGACGCCAAGGAATTCAAACCTGAGCGCTGGTTGTCTCCCTTGCCCTCCACTGTGATGGATGCTCACGTTCCGGGCGTGTACTCGAATCTGTGAGTAAAGTGGTCTTGACGATGAGAGAATTTATTGATCCCATCTAGGATGACGTTCAACGGTGGCGGACGCGCATGCATGTACGTCTTATCTGCGGTGGATTGACCTGATTCGTCCAGTATACTAACATATGCTTGCAGAGGTTTTAAGTTCTCTCAGCTCGAAATGAGTACGTTCATATCCACCTTATTTGTACATCGTTTCTGATACATTTGTTTGAACCAGAGGTGGTTTTGGCTACGATCATCTCGACTTTCAAAGTTTCTTTGGCTCCGAACGCGAAGGACGTCATGTGGAACCTTTCTGCTGTACGTTACCCGACGGTCGGGAATGACAGTGACCGTCCGGCTTGCCCTATAACACTGGAATGCCTAAAGGTTTGACTTCGCCCTTCCCGAATGGCTTAGATTCAATCCGCTGCCATCCGATCCAACGTGATAGATCGACCATGCTTCAATCTTCCCTCCTTCAAGTTCTTTTCGTAGACTCAGATCTCCTTTCATTCATTCTTTGGACCTTGGAAGCTTTGTAAAATGCATGCTGTAGTAGTTAGACGTGCGTGTTATGTGTTGGAGAGGAAATATGTGGTAGCGTGTTACTGACTCGAAGTTCTGGATGAAGAAATATTTTCCGATAATCTCGAGTGTGACAAAAAAGGCAATCGCTTCTGCTTCATTGACTTACACTGTCACAGCTCACACCAGAAATCTTGCTTTTATAAAACTACTGTTTCCTTGAAATTATCTGCGAACATCTATACGCGTGTTTCTTCCAGATTTCACATATAGTGAATACTATGCGCTGGCAGAATAGAGGACATATCACAGATACTACTTTGAATTCATGTTAGACATCCTCACACCATCCCATCCGGCTCGCTCAGAACGTGTGTACTTGCGTACCTTTTTATTTCAATAGGCTGCGTCTGATACGCTATGACGCAGCCTCGTTACCGCTAGCCAGTTCTGCTTGGTCGTTGTCGACAGCGCGTCTGTCCTATTACTATCGACACTAGATGATGGCTGCAGATGACCAACGGACGCCTGCTCTGATGGAAGTCGACGTTCAATGCCATACATCATGTTTACAATTGCCCAGGAACAGGGCAATTTTCGCGAATTAATGAGTCAGCTTAGCCGTGGAGGTACGTCTCACAACCCGTATTTTCAGCATCTCAGAAACGAGAAGTGTCTTTACTCTAATCTACTTCTTTTCATTTCAAGCTAGTGTTATTTCTCCAAAACTATTCATCTGCTCTAAGGTATCAGATGGTTAGTATGATGTGCTGTTCAGTCTGTTCATCCATTCGCCGTTGAACAAGTATGTAGGCTCATGCTCCTATCTTTCTTTCGGGATACGACCTCTCCTCCACGTTGCCAGTATCATCAATGACTGTGTCCGGGTACCTTATAGGTTCATGAATAGGCACGCTTGGAATATTTGTAGCCCGGCTTGGAGAGAACCACAACAAGGCCGTCAAACTTACGGGCCTTTTTGGTATGAGCTCTGGCTTTTCTTACTCCTTTTGCGAACTGATCGTTGGGATAAGAGAGCACAGACTTCTATACATCTTCGATCCCCAGACGTTGAATCACCTTGTCATAATTTATGCGGATATTCATGACGGCCCAGAGCAGGCTACCGAGTACGCAGTTCGAGTCCTAACCGTAACTCTTGCTGACTCTTGAATAGTGTCGTAAAACGGTTCTTGAGCACGGTCCTTTTGGGTGTAACGGGTTGGAACACTCCGCAGTACGATGCCCGGGCTTCGTGCCGCCTGACTCTCTTCAGGAGACCTTCATCGCCCACAGATGTCCAATCCCGTCCTCTCTGTCGAACGCATGTGACCTGTCATTTTTCTTTCTACGAACTTTTTCACAATGTTAGCGACTCTGAGACATGAACCGCTGATTTGACAATCGACCTGCTATTCTATCTAATCGCAGGCTTCAACTACAGTCAATATTCTCAATTACTTCAGCCGTACCGAGAACTGGTCAGAAAAAGCGGGTCCTTTCGCCAGCGCGCATAGGTGCCATATGGCTGCGCTATATATGATGGCTATTTTGTCATTTCACGCAAGCCCTCATCACTTTTGGCAGTGAACATGTTATATTTCGACGAAAGATGTTGCATATACATATGTTTGAAAGAATGACATGATGGTTTCCAATCCTCGACAAAACAAAAGTGTAGAACGGAGGATTGTATAAGTTCGTAGAAAAGTAAAATGATTCTCCTTCATATAATCTTGCAGGCTGGGGATTCAGGGCGACTTGGGATGCGTCGAGTTAGCCCCATACAAATGAGTATTCGAGTTCAGATGCTCAATCAAGACTTGTTCTTCGGCGGAATAACCAACCGATGGATGCAACATGATGTCACCAAAAGTAACTCGAGCCCTCATGGTGAAGAAACGACTTTCATAATGGAAAAGTCGAAGAGGGATCGGAACGTAGACCAAGGCCGCGTAAGTAGTATCCTCAGAAAGCTCGACGCTGAACTTCTTTCTGGAATCGGGGAAAGGTCCACAATGCCAGGTGTTTTCGATGCAGATTCCGGTGGATTCACTGAGTTCCTTCTTGGCCTTGCTGCGACGAGCAGTGTGTCCGATATAGTTGACGGTAAAGTGAGAATAAACTTGATCATCAGATGACTCTTGAGGAAACTGGACGCTGACACCGTTGATGAACTGTTCAGAGATCCTCCCGTCAACGCTGCGGAACTCGATATTGACGGCCTGAATCGGAACGCGACCTCTAAATTCATTCCCTTTTGCCTTAGTATCGGCGATAGCCAGGACTGCGAGCCAAATGATTGTGTCCCTGGTCATATACGATCAGCACCATTCGAGATAGCTGAAGATAGTTCATTAGAACTTACCCCGCACTGCAATCCCAGATTGCCCAGTGGCGATGGATCGGAATCAGCGAAACCTTGAATCGTTGTGGAAGGACCATAGTCTTCGCAATCTGAGAGAAGGAGAAGGCCATAGTGTTGCCAGAAGGACCAGGGACAAGACTCTTCACAGGTGAAACCGGGCTCGGCGTCGCTGATACGGGAGAAGAGACGGACTGCTCCAGGAGGGCACGGAACTGTGCAGCATCGACATCATCGTCATCCGTCTCATTTACCAGGTATTCCAAAGCCTTGGTCAGCATCGCGTCCTCGTCAGCAGATGCTTTGGTGGTGCGTTTGAAAGAGCCGGAAGACGTAGTGGGTGTAGGAGCGGAAGCCATGGCGAGCGCGAAAGAGCTCGGCTGTTCGTCCCGACTTTCTGAGGCCGACATTTCATCTGCTAGAGTCACTATTGGGAAATCATGGTCAGACGTAGTACGAGCAAGACCCCTCCTTCTTCCTCGAGTCACTTCCCGCGAAGACGTGGTCGTGTTTTCTGTGGCTCTCTCCTTGGACAACCGTTTCGTAGAGCGCTTTTCGGCGGCGATCTTCACGGGAAGGGGAATGATGTCTTGGGTAGAGGGCGAACATTGTACTGCGTTGTGAGAAGTCGTACGTGTCAGAACAGCTTTTGCAGGTGCTGCACGACCAGGTTGGAGCTTGAGAGACACGGAAGAACTGGTGCGTCGCAACTTGGAAGAGGATTCAGTGATAGTCCGGACGCTGTCCCTGCTCGACTGTTTTGAGATCGTCTTGGGCTTGATGGTAGCGACGGAAGAAACTGAAGACGTGGAATCCCTACGCTGGCGACTCCTAGCACGGGGACTTGTTACATGACTTCTTTCATCGTCCTTCGAGACATTGCCGAAGCTACGCTTCTTGCGAACGGGAATACGACTAGGACACTGAGCCGTGAGTGGCGTCGAGGTCGAATTCGTGGCCGACGATGGAAGAGCAGAAGCCTTAGCCTTGGGGCTGAGAAAGTCTCGAATCCTGCCGGATAACGAAGTAGGAGAAACGGCTTCAACTGTAGAGCCAGACATAATGTACGCCAGAAGGTAGAAGCCGAAAGAAATGGCACAGAGAAAATCACGATAAGTGGCAATAGCAAGACGATACGCGTTATCCGGTAACGAGCAACGTCAAGTTGCAGGAGTTAGTACCAGGCCATAGAGTTATATACTCACTGAAAGTTCTTTGGCCCGGCAGCTATTTTTGTTTGATGTCAAAGCAACTGATGGCAGGTCAATACGGTAACAAGAAGGGCGGTGTCCCACATGGTCACACTCGACGCTGAGCTTCGAATGAGTGGCACACTACGGGAAGACAGAAGAACAATGGAGACTTGCTATTGTGATTGCTATATTGAATAACATTTGGGGATCAATCGAGAACGGTCCGCTGGCAACCATTCGTCAGGCTCACTCTCATTCGAGTGGCGACAACCACACTGAGTCGTGTCCGGAAAAGAAAGCAAAGTGAGAGTAAGTACCCGGGTTAGCAGAAAGTGTTCCTTGCAGTGGCAAACACACCTATGAGCGACGCTAGAGCAGTGACCTATATCACGAAGGTACAGTAATTCCGGTTGGTCACGAAGTCGTCCACATTGGATGCACATTGTTTTCAGTGCGACAAGATTTAGGCAAGATAATGCAGACCAAGGTCACCAAGTGAAAGTGCTACAAATCCGCGGCAACACCCGATTCCACAATACCTATCAATAATCCCCACGCGAGGGAGTTCAAACATCCGATGTATCACTACCTATCACTACTAATGTAGATCTATGTGTAACGCTATATACATCAATTCGATGCTACCCTACGGAGCAGAGACAGTGGCTGTAGCCTTTTCACCCTTCCCAGACTTTCCAACCTCCCAAGCAGTCACCTTTAGCAAACCATCCGAGCCAACCAGGAACTGCACTTCCAGTGTCGTCCTCCACCTTCCGCCTTCCTGCCTAGCCTGCTTAGCGATCAACTCTAGCGAGGTGAGAAGAGCCTCCTTTTCCAACGTCTTCTCCTTGACCTCAATCTCCTCCTCTTCTTCTGGTTCCTCTTCCTCTTCACTCTCCTCGAGTTCAAGCGCAGGTGGTTTGACCTTTTCAGTCTTCACCCCCTCCTTCACTTCCCACACCTCGAACGCAGTCTTTTTCTCACCTTCACCCTCACCAAGGTCAACATCGAAACGGAAGTTTCTCCTTGCGGGCAGAGCGGTCTCGCGGAGGATAGCAGGGATCCACTGACCACCGAGCGGGTTCTCGGCATTCTCTTCAGGGAAGATCATACCAATGGTCTTAGCAGCGACCTTGGCCTCGGTCCACTTGCTACCACTTGCGAAAGCCTCCTTGACATCTTTCTCCTCTTCAGTGTTTTCAGGAAGCGAGGCCAAAAGCTTGGCTTGGAGTGCGCAACCACGGGCGAGGATGGCAGTAGGGTCACCAACACCTCCTCCAACGACTGTACCAGCGGTGAAGGGAGTAACGACGGATTCGGACAGGCCTTGTGCCAGAGTCTCATCCAACCCTGGGAGACTGGCAGAACCGCCGATGTAGACGACCTCGTCGATGTCGTACAAGTCAAGACCAGCAGCTTCAACAAGCTCCTGAACCTTCTTGAACACATGGTTGTAGATAGTACGCATTTCCATGTCGAACCGCAACCTGTTGATGGTACCGGTGAAGTCGAGACCATCCTTGAGAGACTCAACAGAGCATGTAGCAGCACCAGGAGACGCGGACAGCGTACGCTTGGTGTGTTCGACAGCAAGTCGGAGTTTCGCTTCAGCGCGCTTGTCTTGGGTTTCTGTGGCAGGAGCAACAGTCAGAGGCATCTTCGTCTTCTTAGTGAACTCCTTAGCGAAGAACTTGATCAACTTGTCGTCAATGTAGTCGCCACCGACAGTGTGATCTGAGATAGTGGCGAGGGAATGTGCAATTCCATGGCGGAGGGAGAGAAGGGCAAGCTCGAGACCGGACGCGCCCAAGTCAACGACAAGCTGAGTACGATCATCAGGCAGTGCCTCGGCCTGGGGACCGCTGTTACTGGCAACGACAGCAGCACCAGCTTCTTCGAGAAGTTGCAAAACAACGAGACCCGCATCGGCAGCTGCTTTCTCCAACGCAGCTTTCTGTGCGTCAGAGAACCACGCAGGAATGCTGATCACTGCACCCTGAACTTTCTTACCCAAGAAGTCTTCAGCAGATTGGATCAGGGATTTGAGGAAAATCGTGGTAACTTCCTGGGGAGTCAGGATACGTTCGGCAGGGGTAGGTTCAGAACGAGGAGTTGGTGCGTGCGAGGCTGCCGGGGTGGTGGTGACACTGGTAGGAAGGGGAGAGGGAGCAGCTTGGAGAACTTTGACCTTGTATGCAGGCTCATCTGGGATTTCGGGGTGTTGAATCACGGGTGCAGACACAGTAAGCTTGTCAGATGGGATCTCTGAGAACCTGTGTACGATTATAAATCAATGTCTAACAAAGAGGTAAAGGTCGAGCCTGAACCCACTTCTTGCCAAGAAGGTTACGGAATCCAGTGATAGTGTTTTGCGAGTTCTTCACAAGTTGGTGCTTGGCTTGGCTGCCGATGTACTACACGAACTATCGCGTCAGAAAGCAATGACACATGCAAAGGCTAAGCACGTACTATTTCCTCCCCATGGAACGAAATGGCACAAGCAATCTGACGCTCTCCATCCTCGTTTGCAATGCAGTCCGCAGATCCTTCCTGAAAACAAACAAGTGAGCTGTAAAGTTGAATTGAAGTTCGCTAAGTCTGCATACCTTTGTTATAACTGCGATGGAAGCATAAGAGTTTCCGAAGTTGATTCCGACGACAGTGGGTATGCTCGACACTTCAATGGGTGCGTCTATGGTGCCGTTTTGTTGAGCCATTGGAAAGAGTTTCTGCAGTTTCTGATCAAGAAAGACTTTTTTTGCGATCATGGTGTTCCAGGCTCGGCCTTTGCCGAGGTGCCCAAAATGGGAGGACGGCCTTTGGTTAAACTTTGCATCATCTTCGACTTGAAATTTAGTGGACGAAACTTGACTCTGACGCATACGTATATGTCGTGAAATAGAATCTGGATGAATGCTGCCTAATTGTTACTGACTTGTCTCATTTTCCAGAGAAACGACCCATTGCTCGATTGGGTCCTTGCTTTGGATGCCCGACTACTGATTCACTATTGTTGCATTATTCTGTCCATGCGCCACTCGGCTATTGAGTGTGGTCCCTCGGAATGTTCCTTCTTCTAACGAATCTTTTTGGCCTGCCACACCCGAGGGAAACGGATACAAAACTCGCTTTGTTCTTCACCTCGTTGTGACTCCAACCCACACCCTCCCGTGTTGTCCCTGTCTGTCCTCCCACATCCCTCTCTCACATGGCCCGTGCATTCGAGCACAAGAAGTCTACCTCCCTCAAGGGAAAGCTTCGTGATATCTTTGTCACAAAGTCTAAGCCTCCCGAGACTCCTGTTGTCACTCCTCCTGTTATTTCTCGACCTACTCGTATTATACCTAAGAAGAAACGTGGTTTCACCGACGTGTCTCAGGACGAAAACGGCGCAAAATTCTCAAATGGCTCTCGTTCTTACACTCGTCAACCAAATGATTCGACATCATCCATAGCTACAATCCGACCTAAGACCCTCAAACGTCAAGGTAGTAATGATACTATCAAAGCTTCTCCTCCGTCAAAGGCGTCCAAGTCGAAATCAAGGAAGGGTATCCTCTCTCGCTCGACTTCACACAATCAATCGCCCTTCAATACGACTGACCACGCAAAGTACGTGATCTCATCCCCGACTCCCGCCAAGAAGGTGTCTTTCCAGAGCAACGCGCTCGACAAACGGCCAGGATCCCCCATCCCCAGGCCGCCTGCTTCGAAGAAGCGCGCTCTGACAAGAACGAATGATTCGGTTTTTTCTTCTGCGAGTTCCAATAGCGACAACTGGGTCGATGACGACGACGACGACTTTTTCTTCGATACTAAGGTTACGGTCTTGGGTATGCACACTCCTCTCTGGCTGTGATCGCTCTTTTGGCCTAATGTTCATTTGCAAGAAATTGGCCATTCTCCGCCCGGATCACCACCTGACAAGGCTGTGTCGAGTCTTCCTCCTGCTGAAGATAAGGGGAGGGACCACAAACGTTCTCAGGTTGCCTCCCTGCCCTCCTCAGACCCTGACCCTTTCGATGACCAAGACGAGGATCTGTCTTCTGTCGCCAAGGTTATGAAGCTCGGTCAGTTTGCCGAACGCAAAATCCACCTATTGTGCGACATCTAATCTCTGTATTATAGGTGATGACTGCAGACGCAAGTCTATGTCTTCATCCAAACGCTCGCCTGTTTTCACTGCCGAACCGACTGAGTCCACTCTCGGGAAACGACTTTTCAGAAGGACAAGTTCGTTTGTCACGGCATCCCCCACCAAGGACGCACTTGACGATGAGTTTGAGGACCAGTTTCCAGACCCTAAGATCACGGTTATCGGTTTGTACCATTTCACCTGTGGTAGTGAGAGGTCGAACTAATTGCATGGATTAGACGGATCGAACGCTAAGGAATTTGAAGGCGCCGATATGCCAATGGTAGGCGACATTGTTCGCGTTTACGACATGCCAGCTCCGTCGAACCAGGCAAACTCGAAGACATCTCTGAGGGTCCTCTCCAGGATGCCTTCGGCTCATAATATCAGGAAACTGACAGAACGATTCAATGTTACTATTGTCCCCTGCCAGAAGGAAAAGGCTGTCTGGGATCTCGGAGACGAGTATGTATCTGTCACGGTTTCAAACACGTCCATTGTTGATCTCTCGCTGTGTAGTGATCTCGCCGTCTGGCCTGCTCTTCTTTGCATCACGGATAAGGAGTTCAAGGCTACCGGGTTCGAACTGCGTGTCCCTGTCAAGAACATCGATATCGAGTTCAGAAGCGTCGACAAGAAAGTCAAAGTCCAGCGTGTCAATGGCGTCGTGACTACAGCGGAGGATCCCACTGGCCGTCCCCCTGCGGGGTTCACGGTTAATTACGCAGGTCACAGTGCACCCAAAAATCGCCTCCCCACCGAAATAAGCGAAAGACGTGGGATTTGCATTGAAAGCGTCTGGCGCACTGGACCATTCCCTGCCTATTCCTCTGAGCTCGAAGCTGCTGTTCCGGCTGGAACGTCTTACGTCTTGAAGTTCCACGTTCCCGTTCCTGTTCGACTTTTCAAGAATGGTTCTGAGAGTCGGTTCTTCAAGGTCAAGTCAAAGGTCACGATGGGTGATTGGGATATGCCTTCTGTTCCTGCTTACTCTGGTGTACAGGAGGTCTTGATTGAGCATCTGACGAAGGAGAAACATATGGATGGGAAGAAGCCTTTCTCTGTTGCTCGACCTAATGCGAGGCCTACGTTCATCCGATGAACTTTGCTATTTCTTGCTCGGGCTTGTTGTGGTCTTTTTCTGCCCTCTGCCCTCTATGTTCTTTATCTCGTTCTCTTGGCTAATAAACACACTGTATACCACCACTCGCGGCCGCACTATGTTCACCTTGATTTCATCGATGCAAACTTCAATCGCAATCCTTACGTTGAAGCTAAGGTCTGGCAGTACGTACTGCCTCTGATACTTCTAGAATCTAGACCCTGTATCACTGGAAGCCTTCGGAGATGACTCCTCACGCGAGTCCTTGTTACTGCTCACTTTGAACCACCGGTTCAATACATTAGAAAGTGCCTTGAAGTACACTCTCAGCGTTCAGACATGCATTTTAACTCTTCATAGGGTCCATCAGACTGCTGGTGCCACGTAATATCATCCCCAAGGAAGATACTAAAGGTGGAGTGTTTGCATAATACTCCCTTACTGGTTCGAACTGATCCTGTCTCTTAGACTCCGGGAAGTTCTTTATAGAAGGCCTCAAGCTCAAATCCGAGGGCCTTGAATTCGTCCGTCAGGTCAGAGAGGTCCAGCGCGTTGACATTGAAATCGCCGCTCTGGCTCAATACGGTGTCGAGGCGTTCAACGTCGAGCTTGAATCCTGAAGCGTCAATGATACGTTCGTCATTGGATGATCGTAAAGGCGCAACAAATATTAGAGTTTTTTCGGATGACTTATTATCTCTAGATTTAATTTCTGTACATTGCGGTTGCATGTATTCGCGTTCGGCGGGAAGGCGCATTACGAGAATAAATACCCGTGTAGAAGGAGTGCATAGATGTTGAGCGAAGGAGTCCATTATGATAACTGCGATTGAAAATGGGAAACTACAAGAACCACAAAAAAGCGACGAAAGCAACCTGAGAACGTCCCTATGCGAATTGGACAACCATCTCCATCGCAAACACGCATTATCACCTCAAGTAGAGGAACTACCAGCAGAAGGATCCTCATGATTTGACGCCTGCCAAACTGAATGGCCGCCCTTCTCCCTAATCACCCTATTATGCGCAACTCCAGGGTTCGCAGCCGCGAAACTCGCCTCAGATGCATCATACGCAGGAGGAGAGATTAATTCAGGAGCATACTGAGAGCTCTCCGACATGGCATTGGCAAATAGAGGATCCGTAACCGAAGTACCAGCCGAAACAGGCAAATATGACTGTCTCGCTGCATTGGCAGAAGCACCATTAGGTGTGTATATCGAGACTTCGCCTGTAGGAGCACCAAGGGTATAAGGTGTCGGAGCTTTGGTTTCGTCGAGTTGAGGATCGAATGTACCCAAAGTGGATTTGCGATGGTAATAGCGGGACAGGAAAAAGGCAGAAAGGGCGACGATGACGAGGAATGCGACTCCGCCGATGACACCGCCTACGATGGCACCAGTGTGAGATGACTTCTTAGGTGGGTCGGCGAATGGCGCAAAGCCGACGACTTGCGTTCCATCACGGTTAATCTGGAAGATGCTATGAAAAAAGTGCATGAGGTAAGGTATGAAAATACCAGTTGTGTTTTGCTGCGATGAACTTACAGGTAGATGGAACTAATGAATGAAGAACCCAAGAGATACTTGGTCTGGTTTGGATCCGCCCATGCCTCAATTGCACTTACACACGTTCCGTCGCTCTCCCTAATTACCAAGGAGTTGTGATCCAGTGTGAAAGTTTGGCTTCCGACAACGAATCCGAAGCTAAACTGAGCATCACAGGGGATGGTCCAGGCCCGAGAAATAGTGGGACCCAGAGAGCCCAAATTTGGCTGCAAAGAAGACCCTTTAATGGCAGCATCTATCGTAGAAGGTTAGATCTAACACCCGTACTTACGAAAGATAAAAAGCTACTCACGAAGCAAGGTCGCTTGGTCTTGAGGGAAATAAAGCTCCGTGTACAGCGCTTCAACATCTGCTACGACCGACCTCGTGTTCGAGATGCGATTATCGCCATCAGCGAACACCCAGCCATCCAGGGAAAGCGACCATTCCGAAGACGGAGCGTTGCTTGGAGGGCTCCCACTATTCCCTGCAGCTCCGCCATTAGCAGAGTTGTCAACAGGTTTGAAAGTAATCTGATCTCCTTTGTACATCGAGGAATCAGGTTGCATCCAGTTGAGAACACCAGCGTTCGTTCCCGCTGCATCTGAAGGAACAGTGGAACCATTGTTCCTTCTAACGGCTGGAGGAGAGAGCGCCATCCCGAAACTAAAGTTGGACGCTGTCGGGTTACGGTTCAACCATTGGCCGTAAATGGAATCGGCAAATGCAGCTTGGAATCCACCCCCAGAAGAGGAAGGCTGTGAATTGAGATTCGTGCCGAGACCAACTATACCGGAAACCCCGGTGAAGCCGCCCAGGAGTTGACCAAAGCCATTCGCTTGCTGGTTTTGGATCACGACCACTGCGGGCGCAGTGAGCATGTGCGTTCAGGATCAACGGGTAGGGAATCTACCTGTTTGATTGGGGTACACCCAGTTGGATCCATTCGAAGTTTGGATTGAACATGTCTCTTTGATGACGGGACCAGACGATGTATCTGTGAGGAAGTTCGTGGTAGCATTCGCGTTTAACGCTTGTGCGGTGGTGGAACGACTTTGATCATATCTGGAGAAAAAGGAGGATAAACAAATAGAGGACACACGAATAGTGAGAAGCGTACAACGCAATATTGCTGCATGTCGAACACCCTTGCCCTGCAACATAGGTCAAACCAGAATTCATGGCCAACGTGAAATTGAAGTTCTGAGTATTATCGCCTGTGGCCTGTTTGAAACGCGAGATATGAAGCAAAATCATGATAGAAGGGATGAACACTCACCATATTGACTGGCATGACGTACTGCCCCGCCGCACCAAATCCAAGCGGGATGTTAACCCTCTGAGGGCTGAACACAGGTGCATCGTCCCTGTTACTGATGGCTCCTCCCGCCACAATGGGTACAACCAAAGTCATGACCGCAACGGCGCGCGCCATGGATGACACCATCATGTCTACTTGTAAGGTGGTGAATGGGTCTGTACCGAGGAACAGTAAGACCTGTCAGATGTTCGGGTGGATCCGTCAGCATACCAGCATAGAAGCACATACCGTGATCGAGTTCGTAAAAGTCTTATTATGGCGTTGAACGCCTCGTAAGTTACGAATCGATGGGAAACGTAAGTCCGGAACAAATGGATGGTAGAAAAGAGAAAAAGAGAAAAAGGAAGGGTGAACACGAACGTTCGGGAGAAGAGACTTACATGGGTCAGCTCCGGCTCACGTCAGGTAGCCAGACGGCAGTGTAAGCACTAGGGCGTGGTGTGGGTGACCTGAAACATTCTGCAACAAACCGTATACAAGCCATCATGACCCCGGTCTTATCGGAGAACCAGCTTTGCGTCCCATACTGCCCCAAATGCTTGCTTTCTTTCGCGTGCGCAGCTTGAAAGACTGTATTTCATCGACTTCAATTCTCACATCTCATAGTTGGCTTCTATGATGAAGTTGCGGAAGAAAACGTATATCTGTCAAGGAAAGAGGTCAAACATAGAGCGACAATGATCAAGCAGTGCAAAGGCGGTACACCGAGGAGTTAAGATATTATCTGTCACGAGCGCCCGATAAAGCCTCGAGGTAACAGGTCTCTTCCCTATATATCCTTCTGAATACCCAGTGAAGTTATAAAAGCTTCTACAGAATGGCAAGGTTCAATTTCGAGAACACGAACCCGCGCCGCTCTAATATGAATAATAAAACATGCGTCGAAGGCTCAACCCTCTTAAGGTTCGGATTTGAAATGTCTTGTTCTTCATCGAGAAAGCAAATTCACCTTTACAGCAGATCAAGTCACAGCTATAAGAACATACCCGCGAGTTGTCACCGCTCGATCCGTCATCAAAATGGCGCATACGCAGGTACTGTAAGCCGTCATTCGTCAGGCACCTAGACAACGAGAGGAAGATTGAGACTGACTAAGATGCATTATAAAAAGCAACAAAACGTCAAGCAAAAATGATCTCAAGCATTTCGTTCCTGTGCACAATCTCCAGTTTTTCAACAAGGATCGCCTCGCATTTCTTGTCTGCACAAGCATCTTCTGGTGAGCGAGTAATATCGACGGTGACTTTGTGCAAATCTTTATAGTTCTTCAAGATGCTCTGAAAGCGTATCCAGTTCATGTCTTCCAGGATAGTGGCCGGCGAGACTCCATCACATTCGAGTTCAAGGACGAGATGCATGATGGTATGAGGAGTTTCGGAATATATGTCCAAAGCATACTCGAACCAGACAGAGTTGGTGAGTTCCAAAGGGGCCTCCGGAAAGAAATAGAGCGAGACCCCAATATGCTGAAGAGAATGACACTCAGAGAAGAACAACGATTTCCAGTTGGACTGTGGAGCTATTCACGAGTACTTCAATAATGACGGAAGTTGCATAGAAAAGGTACGAGTGGCATACTGATCTGGTGAGTTCCGACGCCATCCTTGTCTTGCAACCAGAGAGAGGTCAAGTCGAGATCCAGACAACTCAGATTCGAGCCGACATCCTTTATCACGGCAGAAACATAGTTCACTTCCGTCCAATTGCTGCATTCAACGTCCACCAACTGAACCGATTGAAGCGTAGGTTTCATGCGTCGTAGGATTTGACAGAGGAAAGGTAGATGGTCGTCAGAGCGAAGTGTAAGGGTCCTCACTTTCATGGGTTTTGGATTTGGGAGCCGGGGCAATTCAACCTTGGTGAATGCGGTGACTGTCTTCTGAGTGTTCTTCCAGTAAAGATCCGATGCGAATAGTTCTTTGAGTTCCTCAAAGAGATTTAAGACCATGAGAACGGGCGAAGGCGACCCGTTAGGGTCCCCGACTGCAAGCAGCACGAGTGAATCCAGTTTGAATCGCGAAGGGATGTCGGCACGAGTAAAACCATGCCAGTGCCAGGGGTTGCATGCTCCTCCTTGACCTCCCAATCGAACACCTAGCATCTCAAGAACCTGCAAATTGGGCAACATGCTCAAAATAGCGGCAAGCGTGTGCTCGCATATCCAAGGACGTTCTTCAGGAGGGCTCATTGGTGCACCAAAATCCTTGTGATGGCTCAACCCCAAGCCATGGATATACTGACGAATATCAGGATGTTCTTTCAAGAACTTGACGAGGTAGTCGAATCCGAGGGTACCATTGAATAACTCTCCAACGCAGCAGATGGTATCGAAGAGGTGGAACCGCGAAGACGATAGCCAAGCTTTGCACACGAGTGCGCAAGTGGAGAGGCCTGGCTTGTCATCGTGTAAGTGGTCGATGATTTCATCCACAATCTCGCCTGGACATCGCGTTCCAACGTTCCAGATGTTCATTGTTTTGAAGAATGAGTGAAAATACGCGTTTTCAAGCTCTAAGTTCGCGAATCTGTCAGGAACAGGCACCGTAAGTAATCGGCCGCCTGCCAACTTGGAACTGCAATGATGTGCTTACACTCTTTTGGTACGTACCCTTCCAGAAGGCCCGTAGTTACGGAACTACCCGCAACGGGTGTTGTTGAAAGACACCGACTAGAGTTGAAGGAGCAAGTCTTAGCAAGACTCGGACCATCTGGCGCCAACGAAACCGTGAATTTCTCCGGCGAGTCGGTTCTCCCTCACGATGTACTTCAAAGACCAAATACGGCTCACCAGACATTGTATCTGTCGTCCATGCGACAGATGAGTTGATTCCTTCTAGGGATGTTAAGGGAAAGACATACTCGTGTACATGCCAAACCGTACATACATGTCAACTTCAGTCTACTTATCTGAATGCTTGGCAAGCGACTCGGACTCGCAGTCGAGTAGGTAAATGTACAAAATAAGTATCAGAAACTGATAAAAGGCATAGAAAAGTTTTGAACCTGGGTGACCAGGTCTGCCCGTAGGGCTACGCAACATGATACATATATAGATAAAGATCGAGTACTACCCATCCTAGCTAAGTTACAACTGAATCCAAAACGACAGGGCCTATACTGACATTTCTCGTCCTGCTTGGAACCGCGGACGTCTCTTGAACTCATCGTCTCCTCCTTCCCTGTACTCGTCAGGAGCAAGACGATGTTTGCTAGGCAGAGCCGACGAAGTCTGGAATGCGTTCCGCCAACCGTCCTTTGCAAAGGCTCAACGCAGCCTTAATTCTGGCATAGGTGATCTTCCCGTCAAAAGTTTCTGCGTCGAATATGATTGCTTTGATTTCTTGTTCGGCCTCTTCCTTGGTTATGTCGTCTCCACGCAGGTCTGTGAGGATGTCTGAGATTCTCTTTTGATGAATGCCCAGTGCCATGTATCCCTCGAATAGCACCGACCAGAATCTGCCGAGCCACCTTTCGTACCGAGAGAAACCTGGGCTGAAAGGAATCTTTCCGGGTACAAATCTAGCAAAACTGTTGTGACTGGCGTAGAGTTGTGTTTTGGAGTTCAGAATGGTATCTAATCCGTGTTGTTCCCAGGAGAGAAGAATGTCTCTTCTTGAGGGGTCCGACTTTTGTCCAGATGGAAGCCTTATGGCACACCATAGAGCGACGAAAAAAGTACTTTCGAGGTCATGACGTAAAAAATGCGGCGTTTCTGGGCGTTCAAGTAGATCCACAGACATGAAGGGTAGAGTTCCCGTGCGATGAGACCCAGTTGCACCCAATGGACGTCCATGTTCATCGAGACGTGTGGCCAGGTCAAAGTCGTTGAGAATAAGCCACACGACAGTGCCACGCATCTCATACATGAGATTGCTTAGACTGATATCATGGTGAAGCATATTGACTTCATATCGCAACTTATGAAGACCTGAAAAAAAGAGAACGGTCTCAGGGGCAAAGTCACTGCGTACGAAAGTAGAACTCACAATCAAGTAACTGGTTGAAGACGTGGTCCATATTACATGGAGAGAGGACTAGTTCAATCGGCTTGTATTTCTTGAAGATGATGAAATGCTGGCAGCGTTCCTCGTAGGCCTCGTCTTCGTCGTTCTGCAAGAACATTAGTCCTCGAACACCGTGGGCTAGACGCCATTCAGTTGCTCTATTAGTCCACATGAAAGCTTTCGGAAGATGTTCCGATACGGGAAAGCCGTCAGCGAGAGCCAACAGTTCCTGCTCAGGTGTACGACAGACAGACTGCAGGGACATCTTTATGACAAGAGGGTCAGGACTGATGGGAGGTTCTGTCGTAACATCATACACGCATGTGTGACGGCCGACTAGGCTGTACTGCGTGAAGACTTCAGATCCCAGCGTGACCTTGACGTCAATATCAAGGGTAGGGTGTCTCATTGTGGTGGAATATCCAGTGAGGGACATCGGTGGAATGGAAGGACTGAGATCTGGAGCCGGAGGAGACAAGTTGGGAATGTCGAGGCCGAAGTGGGCGTAGTCACAGCAAGCTATTGCAACGAGGATGGCGGCAAACTTTTCGAATTCCCGTACCCAGGATATTTGGTAGGAGCGCACGAAGCCCGAAGCAACGCAATACCAGAACTCAACGACATCGCCAACAACCAGACATTGGAGAAAGAACAATCGGGTCCCGCGAGTGCAAGAAAGCATCTCTAGAGCGTAGCGAGCCATGTGATCTTCAAATTCTTTAGCGACCGAGCATTTCTCGGACAAGAAATGGTCACTCTCGTATATTTCAGGCAAATAGTTGCGTTTTGCGCGTGGACGTTTCCTGCTTTGGTTTGCGCCTTCGGTTACGAATGGTTCAGGCTTACGTTTCAAACGATTTGAGCTCGTTCCCGGCTCAGAGAGCAACGGCACACCTGGTGATTGGAGAGATGATGGAGTCTACAGACGGGTAGATTAGACTCAAATGGTAAGGACGAGTCTGAACGTTACTCACTGGTCTTTGAGGTCGTGAACCTGAAGCTACGGGTGAGGGCTCAGGTAACGGTTCTTCCCCACGGACCTTGCTACTCCATGCAGCAATAAGGCCGACCAGGTATGCCGCTCTGCGGCTAGTCGGGAAGGGCTTGAGTTCCAGGAGGGAAAATATATCGCTCCAATCAACGCCAGTTGTCCTGTGTCTTTTGCGGGGAGGAGTCTGTTGATACCTCGGACGATTCTCCAAGTCGTTACAAGTGGTGTGCGAAATGAGAATTATATCAGGTTTGCGATCAGCATCGCGGTTACCCTTTTCTTCGCGACCGTTGTCTACCACTACAGGATCGTTCCGAACAAAGAGTAGGTCCGGGTAGGCTGGAAGGCCGGGGACGTGATCCCGTGCCCACGCGAGAACCCGGTTGGCCATTACACAGAACGGTTGGTAAAGCGCCTCCTCACGCTCGTTGTTTGCTGCATGTAGATGTGCTTGCACGGATGTACCTATTGTGCCATCTTCGCATAGCCTTTCCTTGTTGAAAATATCGACCCATGACTGAATCCTATCGACAGGGCAACCGAGTACGGTGGACACCCATAATTCCAGTGGCAAACGTTCAGTAGATTCATCCATGTCCTTCCTAAGCGGTCCGCGTACTTCGTCCCTGGTGTGGTTGTTTTCTACCCAGCCTGAAATCCCGAGGGAGAGGGGAGTACTTTCTACTTTGGCGAGGGCAGCCGTTCGACCCTTGTCGTGTTCTAGAAGCGTGTGGTTGTGCCCAACCTGAGCAAGAGGCGTAGATGGTCGAGAAGAGACAGTGTTGGAAGGGTTATCGTCCTCAGCGGAGGGGGGATTGTGCGGGAGTTCTGAAGATTCCATGATTGAGCAGTTAGTGTCGAAAGAATGAAAAATGGGCTGTGTATAAACATACAATGGTCTCGCTTATTTTGGCGAATGTGACCGACAGCATTGTGGCCAGTGGCACAATCCACAGTCAACGCAATCGAGGTTAATGACGGGAAATATCGCCACGACGGTAACCTGGAAATTGTCAAACTATAGCCTAATAACATGTGGCAGAAGTTGGGTTTACAAAACTACTACTATCTCACTTTCGATCTCCTGGATTGTCCTGGATCATAATTTCTTGAACGCAAGCAATATTCAAAGTTAAATTTACAAAAACTTGCCAAACGACGCGTTATTGCGGCTTGTTTACGCGTACGATCCGAGCGCGCTCTACTCACTGCGTGAAATGTCAAATTATGGAAGTTCGGCATTTGCCCAGCATCTGCAGATGCTCACCAGATGACGTCCGTATGCCCAGCAAAGTCCTTCGAATTCAGCACACGTTAGGAATGGTCGTATTCCTAGCTATATGATGTGTAAATGACAGCTAGATGCCCTATAGGTTCTGGTTCTTCGTCATACAGGAATCTAGAATAGAATTTACCCTTATCGATTATGTAAGCGTAGAATCTATCATAGATGAATGCGATTTATCTATATTGGGCACAATTCCTCAAGTGATATGCTTTTTAACATTGCGCAAAACATTAAATTGAGTCTATAGACCCCCTTGAAACTACGGGAACGCAACGGCGACCACTGTAACTACCATCTTCACCCAAAAGCACATATCCAAACCAATCCATCGTCTTCCGACGTCTGCCCTCGCACTGTATCCCTCATGGCAACTCCGGGTCGCACACCTCAATCAAACCAGCTCCAAGCCGTCGTGATGGAACTCGAGAAGTTGAAAAGTGCCGGGCTGCAGAAAGACGTTGAGTTGGAGAAGCTGAAATCACAAGTAACAGTCTTGTTTACGAGCATGAACTTGACGCGCGGGCAGCTGCGACTTGCGAGCGATCGTGTCGAATATCTTGAGTCGTTACTTGGGGTAGAAACTTCTTCGAGTACAGGCACACGAATGCAGTTGGGTGAGACGAATGCCGCTATGATGGGAATAGCGCAGAGTAGTCTTGCGGAAGCGGCACCAGGTGGTCGATTGCCCAACAGATCAGAGGAAGGTGGTGCTGCTGTCGGAACACCCGTTACGCATTCTCCCCAAACGACGGACCTGCTAGAGCGAAGTACAAAGAGTAAGGAAGCTGCAAAGAGTAAACCAATGAAGGTCAGTCACACTTTATATGCGTACAAATCCTGTACTCACCTCCAATAGGATTGTGTAAACCATATCTTGGCCCACCTCATGGGCACAAAACTCGACAAAAAAAGCCTACCACCATACCCTTCCAATCCTGATGAGACTTCTGAAGCGTGGCCTAAGGACGCTGCAACTAATAAGCCTTATATGTGCTTTAACTGGGCAGAGGCTAGGGACGCACCTGTTAATCGCAAGAACATAGATGTTGACCTCGCAACGGTACAAACACAGGGTGTCACTTTCGATCCGCTTGTCGCGACGGATCTTGCAAATATTACAGACCACGACTTACGCACTCGCATCAATGGAAAATTTGACCGCATGAGAGGCAAGTTTAACAGGTGTCCAGATGCACAAACAAGACAGAGCCGCAAGCGCAGGGCACACGAGGTCGCAGGAGTAGCATCAACCGAAGAGGGAGCTCCGAGTACAAATCCAGAGGTAGGAGCAGGTGATGGAGATGAGCATGGGAACAGCGAGCCTGGGAACACTACGAACATTGAGCAAGCAGAGCCTGGGACGTGGAACGAGGCGATAAGGAGGGCTGCGCGCAACTCACGTGTTCAGTTTGTGAGAATTGCATCTTACCGGACAACGTGAGAAGTCGAGAACTCACCTATAAGACTTTACAGATTCTCGACCAACGCTTGCGCAAGAGACCATTTGCCGGCCAGTATACCGATCCCAAATACGACGCCGCATTTACTTTGACTGCAATGTCTGAAAATGAGGACGACCCGACGCCAGAGCCAGGATGTCCAAAGCAGTATGTCTTGCGTGCCCCAGATTGGCGCAGTGAGGAGGTAAACCATGCGAATCATTTTCACATTACAGCTTTGATGAATATCACCCTTGCAGCTGAGAACTTTGTATACCACCATAGATGGGATTGCCAATCCTAACCCGGATAAAGTCAAGTCGGCCACAAATCGTATTCGCGGTACTGAGATTACAGACGCTGTGCCGCCTAAGACCAAGAGTGTGAAGATTCGAGTTCGAGAGTGGATGGTCAAGCCGGAGCTTATTGAAAAGCATCCTGAGTGGTTGACAAGTCGGCGTGTGGCAAATAATGGCAAGTTATGGGGTGAAGAGACGGATCCAGAAGAAGAACAGCTAAAGAATGAAACGTTGGCACAAGCAGACAAAGAGCGAAGCATCAAGAAAGTCCGTTTGTTGGATAACAGCGACGTAGCGAGTAACGAGAGCAGGTTGAAGGAATTGTTAGGTGACAAGAGCCTCGAGGATTTCTTTCCAAGCTAGACATTGGCGTTGACATCGTGTTGCCTTCGCATTTCTTGTTCGGCTTCTGCGAGCCATCTGTCATCGGGCTCGGAACCTGTCTTTCTTCCCTGTACTTAGTAGCAACAATAGCATGCACCTCGTCTGGTGAGAGGTCCAAGAGAGCAAGTAAGTCGTTCGTAGTTGAGAGTTCCTTTCGAAGGGACTCGATGTAACTGGCGGCGTTGGGAATTGACTTGAGCATGTTTAGCAACGGCATGATAGTCGGAGGTAATGAACGTTCTGGAGAAGGTAATTAGTATGCATGAAATCGCGGCGCGAGACTTATATACATACTAATTGATACTGTATTCAGATAACCCAAAATCGCGCGAGAAACTATGTAGCATGTCGTCGGCATATGAGAGGCATGCGAGGATGCTGAAGAGATGCGGGAGGATGTAGCACCCAGGTAGCATATAGACAGCATATGGTCGGCATAGGCAAATGCCGAGCATATGCTGTACTTCCATAATTTGACATTTCACGCAGTGACTCTCCGTTGCTGCCTACACAATTTAGGGATTGGATGACAGTCGATCCAAATCCGGTATATAAAATTAAACGTAGCATGTCGTAGTTCCGGAGAGCGGTGGATGCTACTAGATATGTACATAGGTATCATCATGAGCAGCAGATATGTTTGTATCAAGTCCTTCAAATGAGGTCCGGAATCTTCTTCTTGAGCAAGACCCGCGCTGTAAGAAGCGCGTCCTTCAAATTCTTGTGTGTAACGATACCGTCAAGAGTTTCATCATCAAAACTGACTTCTTCGGGAAGGTCGTCCCTGTCTATATCAGCCATTATTGCTCGATTGAAGTCTTGTCTGTTGCGCTTCTTTGTTCGGTCCTGTACAGCCTTCTTCCCGTCCACGAATACTTCCCACATCAGGATCAGCCACCAGTCGTATGCCTTAAAGTCTTGGGAGAGACGATAGGTGGATTCGAGTGCCTCTCGTAATCCACCATCATCATGCAGCGTCTTCTTGTTCGCCAATGCGATTTCGATGTCGTGTCCTTCCCAGGCAGAGAATGGGTCTTTGCTGGTAACCGGCTTGGGCAACTTTGCGGCACACCATAGAGCCACATAAAACACGCTCTCGAAGTCGTGTCGCAAATAATGCGTCGCTTCTGCATTCTGCAGGAGATCCACTGCCATGAAAGGAAGCGTACCCGTGCGGTGTCTGCCCGTCCGTCCTGTAGGCTCACCATTGTCTCCGACCACCGAGCCAAGATCAATGTCATTGAGAATTAGCCAGAAGATGTCGCGAGCCGGACCTCGCATCTCACACATGAGATTGCTCAGGCTAACGTCGCGGTGTATCATTTTTGCCTTGTAACGTAAGTCATGGAGTGCTGGCCGAGTAATGAATATATGACGGGGACATGAGGGAGTGTTGGTACGTACCATCTAGCAGCTGATTGAAGAGATAATCCATATTTTTCGGAGTCAGCACGGACTCCAACGATAGATACTTGGTGAAGACAATGAAACATTGAGTCCGTTCCTCATAATATTGGTCCGATTCGTTGCTAGGGAATACGACACCGTGAACACCATCCTTGGAACGCCATTCCGAAGCCCTGTTGGTCCACATGTGGGCCTTAGGGAGGTGGTGATGAGCATCGCCGTTCTCCGCCAGTGTCAAAAGCTGGTGTTCGGGAATACGTAGTACTGACTGCATTGTCATCTTGATCACGAGTGGGCCGTAAAAGATCTCTGGAGCGGTGTTTATATTGTATACGCAAGTGTTTCGACCGACAAGACTATACTGAACATAGATCGGAGACCCGAGAGTGACCGTGACTTCGCCATATGTCTCGTGCTGCATGGTGGTAGAATACCCTTCAAGAGAAACCGGAGGCAAAGACGGGTTGTTCTGTGGCGCGGGTGGTATGAGGTTTGGAACGGTCAAACCCCAACGCCCGTGATCACAGCAGGCAATGGCAACAAGAATAGCGGCGAACTTCTCGAAGTCCAGAATCCAAGAGATCTTCGTGGAGAGTATAATTCCAGTAGCATCCCCGTACCAAAATTCGGCAATGTCGCCTGCGATCAAGCACTGGAAGAAATAATGCCGGGTGCCATTGGTACACGAAAGCATCTCCAGACCATAACTGGCTAGTTGCTCATAATATTCCGGTGGCGTCTCGTGTTTCTCAAGAGGTGACGGGTCATCGTCTTGCTGACCTCGTTTCACTTTCTGCTTCTTGGAGGATGGAATCGCGATGTCGCTGGCGAACGCATGTTTCCTCTTGTGGCCAGTCCCATCAGGAAATGAGGCATGGTGGTGCATAGTGGCCGACTGATCTAACGTATCCTATGAAGGCGATCCTAAGGAGAATCCAGGCAAATAAAAGTAGAAAGACGCACTGTTGAAGTCGATGATGCCTCTGAATTTGGGGCTTCGATGAGCGTCCGTACTGGGACTTTCTTTTTCCACGCTTCATTGACTTTGGCGAGGCGATCTCGCTCTTTCTCGAAAAGCTTAATCTCAATGAAGGAAAATGGGTCCGTCCAAGTGATACCAGTAGTGGCATGCTGGGGTTTGGTAGTTTTGTACTTTTCACGTTGCTGGATTTCGCGAAGAGTCAGCTCCGAAATCACGGCGATATCAGGAGATCTGTGGGCTGCACCAAGAGGGCCAGATCCAATCATGACTGGGTCATTGCGACAGAAGAGAAGGTCCTGGACAGGAAACGGTGGCAGATCGGGAATATACAGCCTAGCAACTTCCAAAACTTTATTTGCCATCGTGCAGAAAGGTCCATAAAGGAGCTTTTCTTGTCCGCTCCCTCCAAACCGAAGATAAGTTTCGACCGCTGTTTGGATGACAACTTCTTGAAGAATTATCTTGCTCTGAGTGAAGATGGTAGCCCAACTTTCAATTTCACCTGGAGTTCTCCCGAGGACGCTGTGCACCCAATGGTCCAATGAAATGGTCTGGGTGTGCTGTTCCATGTCGCGTCTGGCGAGAAGTGGATATATCTGCTTCCTTGTATGTGGGGTATTGATCTGAGATGCAGTGGCGTGCGATATAGGTGTATTTTGTACTCCACTCTGAGCGTAAGAGGCTGCACGGTCTTTATCACAACTGAGAGGCGCAGGTATATCCCCGGTCTGGTTCGGAGGTGTAACAGGGTCAGAGGCGGGCTCAAAAGCAGGGAAAGGGGTGCGAGGCGGAGACTCTTCGCAGCTGCTGCCTTGGCTGTGGAGCGCCGGTGATGAGCTGGGAGGTTCTGTGTGGTCTGGGGAATCCATGATTCAATGTGAGGAAGGGAAACCTGGGATGTGAACGATTTATAACTCACCGGAGAATTCTTAAGCGAGTGTGGTCCCTCGTGTTCGGCTAAACCAACAACAATGACTATGAGAACAATGGCAACAGCCCATGCAATGAAAATTGCCTTCGACCTCGTCAGGCGACACCTAGCCGTAATGTATAAAGCTATGCTAAAAACCTTGCGATCAATACGAGTGCTATACTGAGCAGAAGTAAACTCCATACAGACTTTCCCGAATCCTGTAAATGCCCTCTTGTCGTGACAAGAGACCGGCAGACCCACCAAGAAGCGTTGTTCAACCACACTCAAATTCAAACTCCGCGCAGGTGATACGCGACAGCGCACTTGTGACAGCATGTGACCGCGTTTTTGCTACCAGTCTCGATAATGATAACGTTATCCAACTCGACATTGGAAATCCTATACATGGACGATTCGTGACATCAAAGTGATCCAAATAAGCACTTCTTGGGACGCGATTCTGAGAACCGAATGTGTCGTCGACGCAGAAAAACAAATCTCCCACAATCCGCTAGTGTTCAAAGATATCATTCACGATTCAGCATTCAGGGCCAGTATCTGAACAAGACATTTATCCGTTCAATTTCGAAAGATTTCGAATCGGATGGGATAAGGGTGCAAAAATGATTAAGATGACGTTAGAACGGATCCTGCATTCCACCGCGGCTAGCCGAGTCTAAAAATCTCACCCAACACAAGTGAGGGTAGAGAAGATGAGACACAGCGAGACACCCACCATTGATATCACGTACCCTCTAGGGGGTTATTATTGGAGGCATCCACACTTGATCCAGACCAACCAAGTGAGCAGCTCTCCAGCGTTATTGGCTTCAGCCTTAGCGCTGTTCCAAAAGGAAGGCAAGTAGGAGCAGGATTTGTGGAGTCCTTCGACAGTTGAATTGAAATGAGAGTCTGTTTATGACGAGCACGAGCTACCGGAGAGGGATCCAGTTGAAGATGAGGACGAGGAACCTTTCCTTCAACCGCTTCTTGATATCGATTGGTGGTCAAATCCACTGTCACTGGAGAGACTACCGGATTCACCGGATTCGTAGTTATGGCTTTTGCCTTGACGTCGAATGGCGTCACTCTCATTGTCCATCTCCGGACTCGGAAGTTCGGCGCGAACATAATACAATGGTCTCGCTCATTTTGGAGAATGTGGCCAACAGCACTGCGGCCAGTGGCACAGTCCACAGTCAACACAATCGAGGCTAATGACGGGAAATATCGCCGCGATGATAACCTGGAAAATGTCAGCATTATAGCTTGATAGCATGTAGCAGAATTGGATCTACAAAACTACTACTATCACACTTTCAATATCCTGGATTGTATTATAATAAACTTACGGGAACTTGCAACCAAACGACGCGTTATTGTGGCTTGTTTACGCGTACGGTCCGAGCGCGCGTCTATAGCACCTCCGTCGCCGTGGAGTGAAGGTATACCTGAAGCTGTAGTCTCAACGACATGGATATTGATGGTCTATTGAAGGGTATAGTAATGTCCACCGCGCCGTAAAAATTGCGGCCAACTACCGAGAAACACATAAGGCTTTGCGAATAACAACACAAATGAACCACGCAACATGAGATCTAAAAAACGAAGCCTCGAAGGTGTTTCGCTAATCGTCCCTTGCAAACTTTCGAAGCAGCCTTGATCCTGGAATAAGTAATCTTCCCGTCAAACGTTTCTGCATCGAACACGATTGCCTTGATTTCTTGCTCTGCCTCTTCCTGACTAATGTCGCCCTCACGTTCATTTTGACGGATGTCAGAGATTTTCTTCTGATGAGCGGCCAGATCCTGGTATCCCTCGAACAGTACTGTCCAAAAAGCGCCGAGCCATCTTTCGTATCGAGAGAACTCTGGACTGAGCGGAATCTTGCCAGGCACAAGTTTGGCAAAACTATTCTGACTGACGAAAATCTGTGTTTTCGAATTCCGAATAGTGTCCAATCCATATTGTTCCCAGGAGAGAAGGGCCTTTCTTCGCAATGCGTCCGTCTTCTGATCACGAGAGGGGGATCTTATGGCACACCACAGTGCCACGAAAAAGACGCTTTCCAAATCGTGCCGAAAGTAATGGGGCATATTGGGATCTTCTATCAGGTCAACGGCCATGAACGGAAGCGTGCCAGTCCGATGACGCCCAGTCGAGCCTCTAGGTGGTCCATCCTTCTTGATCACGACGGCAAGATCAAAGTCATTCAAAATGAGCCAGACTAAACCTTCACGCATTTCGTACATGAGATTACTCAGGCTGACATCTCGATGGAGCATGTGCAACTGGTGGTATAGATCATGAAGGCCTGACAATGGTGATCAGAGATGGCGACCTATGGATATGGTTCAGGGCTTACAGTCGAGCAGCTGGTTGAAGACGTGGTCCATATTCTGCGGAGAAAGCACCGTCTCAAGCTGCTTGTACTTCTTGAAAAGGATGAATCGCTGACAGCGTTCCTCATATTCCTTGTCCTCATCGTTCCTCTTGAAGAACCTCCCGCGAACGCCGTCCGACAATCGCCATTCCGTTGCCCTGGCTGTCCACATGTAAACCTTCGGAAGATGCTCTGATACTGGAAAGCCCTCGGCCAGAGCTAGCAGATCTTGTTCCGGTGTCCGACAGACAGATTGGAGGGACATCTTCATCACCAGAGGCTCGTCACTGATAGGTGGCTCTGTCGTGACGTCGTATACACAGGTCTTGCGTCCGATGAGACTGTATTGCGTGAAGACTTCACGTCCTAGCGTTACCTTGACATCAATGCCTATTGTCGGATGTTTCATTGTGGTCGAGTATCCATTGAGGGACGCCGGCGGGAGAGATGGGTTGAAATCTTCGGCGGGAGGGGACAAGTTGGGAACGACCATACCGAAACGCGAGTGGTCGCAACAAGCCATCGCAACGAGGAATGCAGCGAACTTCTCAAACTCTCGAATCCAGGATATCTGGTGAGAACGCACGATGCCGGAAGCATCGGAGTACCAGAATTCGACGATATCACCCATCACCAGACATTGAAAGAAATACAGACGGGTGCCGCGAGTGCAAGATAACATCTCGAGTGCGTAGGTAGCCATTTGGTCTTCATACGCTTCCGGAACGGGAAGTTTCTTCGATGCAAGAAACTCTCCTTCCGTCTCCAGAGCGAGTGGTATAGATTCGGGAGGCTGCATCCTCAATCGTTTAGGCGGACGACTATTGTCGGCACTGTTGAAGTCTGGATAGTAGCGTTTCAGAGGGTTGTCTTCCGGGCCTGGCTCAGATAGAGGCCCAACGACTCGGTTCAACTGAGCCGGATCCTGTCATAATGATGCATGAAGGACAACAACGTATTGAGAATGTGAAAGCAGCGATGGGAACTTACGGGACCTCGATACAAGCCGCTTGACGTGGAGGCCTCCACTTCGGGTCTCCTTTTTGTGAGCTTCGTATCCCAGTCAAGCCGGAGCCGTGCCATGTAATCCTTCAGATTCCAAGCGTTGAAGGATTTCATCTCCCAGATGCTAAACAAATCAGACCAATCAATCCCGGTCGTAGGATACTTCTGTCCCTTCGTCTTCGTGTACTTATTCCTGTTCTTGAGGTCGCGCATAGTGGTCTCCGAAACGAGAACGATGTCGGGCGAGCGCGAAGCGTCTCCTTGGCTGCAAGCACCTATGTATACAGGAGCATTCCGGCACAAGACGAGGTCGGGAACAGGATACGCTGGAAGGTCGGGTATGATTTCGCGAGCCCTTTGCAGAACCCTATTAGCCACCTCGCAGAATGGCGCATAGAGCTCATCCTCGTGTTTGCCAAATTCTCCGGCATTCATAAACCTAGTGACGGCATTCGAAATGACATCGTCGAGAACAATCTTCTTCTCGATCATGACAGCTGTCCATGCCTGGATGGTCTCAGGATCATAGCCAAAGACAGCTCCTGCCCAAGTACCCAAGTCTAGAAATTTCGTACTGTCCATATCTTTGCGTAGCGGTGTCTTGACTTGAGCTCTGGTATGGGGGTTTTGTACCCAAGCGGCGGTTCCGACTCCGATGGGCGTACTCTGTACTTTGGATAGGGATGCCGCACGAGCCTTATCTCCGTCGTCAAGGGCGCTGAATGAGTTGAGACCAATCTGTGCAGGAGGTGTACAGGGTCGAGAAAGAGACGGAGATCCTAGATACTCTGGAGGTCCCTTGCCTTCGAGGATTAGGGTGTTTTTCGCGAGGGATTCTGCTGGGATGTCCATGATTGCGACGTGAGTGGGCCACGAATCATTCGAGCAACATAATTTATATACTCACAACAGTTAACCTGGTCCTAGCGACTGCTACCAATGTTTCGAAATGTGGACACTGCGCGCTCTGTAGACTGACTAGGATAGCAAATAATTGAACCCTTAAGTCAAGAATTGGCGATTAAGTAGACGTTTCTATCTCGAATCAGCAATATTGTGTACGCAAAATTATGGTTTACTTACTGTGAGCGACACATGCGGTGGTTCAACCGTCGTTTATGGCAAGGACGAATCTGGCAAAGTCCATATCTACCGGTCTGGCTGGTGTCTCAAAGAACAAAGCGGCTACCATTGCTGGCGCTGTGACCGGCGCCGCATGTAGCGCCACGTGAAGCCCGCTACAGATAATTAGATCTGGACATGCACTCTCTTGGTAAAATATGACGGTGACGCTAGAATTGTGTGTTTCTAGGTAACCAGGAGAGGAATGAATGATCGAAAAGCGACAAAGGAGTACAGTACTTACTATGTAGCTGCTGGTCAGGGCTGGTCGGGCGCCTCATTGTCTAGAATTCTTCAATCGTTCAACGTTCTCTGTTCCTACTTTTTACGTCTTTCGGGATTGCAAGCTTCGCATAGACCACAACTTGGCGATATAACAATATTCAAATGGTGACACTCTTTATTACTGTGTTCAGTGCTCAAGAGTCGTCAGTCGATGGGTTCAATCCCGCGGCCCGTCCACACAGGAAGCCAGTAGAGACGGATTATCTACGCAAAGGAATTAGGGCAGATGTAATTCGCAGTACAAATTGATTTGTACTGTTGTTGACGACATCTGCATCAGCATGTAAGCCGCTTCACCACATGACTATTCCTACGTAAAACTACGACACGTCACGGTCTTCAAACTTACCCTCTTATCTTGCTTTCACCGCATCCAATATGCAAGTGCAAAGTTCTTTTCCTAATGAGTTCCAGCTTCGTCGCTATCCTGAAGTCAGTCTATTCGATTTCGAACCGCCCCCCTACAATCTCACCCCATCCTACACGATGGAGAATATAGACGACAGTCCAGAGACTATTGCGAAGGTTAGGGAAGAAGTCCTAAAGAAAAGACTGAAAAATCCGTTCTGGACTTGGTTCGCACCGCCTCCTATACGCGGGATGTCGCCGTCATGCAAATCCGACGATTATCCACTTGAAGCTTACATGCCTCCGCCTCCTTTGCCTGAGGTACATTTCACCCAGGGTCTTGTTTATTTACAGCAAATGAATCCAGATGGCAACCATGAAATGTTTATCGTGAAGTGGGATGGCAAAGAATGTTTATTAAAGACGGTAAGCGCATGACATACTTGTTGCTTCGTTATTGATTTGACTGAACATTAGCTGAAATTCTGCTAGTTCTTCGATGACACCGGACTTGAAGAAGACGAGGATGATCTCCTGAACTCAACCATGACTAAATTCCACTCCGAGAAAGACGCCTTTGCCCATCTGCTTCATTATGGCGCATGCGACGCTGGCATTTGTTCCTCATTGCTATGGCTGGTTCCGCCTTTCTGCTGCAGATACTGCATTCTTGGGTAAGACATATGGTGTGTGGGGCGACTTGGAAGATCGTCTGCCTTACGGTATCCTCCTCGAATACTTTCAAGATGCAGTTCCCATTTCAATTGATAACATTTCGATCCCGATTGCCGAGAAAGCGTTAAGAGCTCTGTGCTGCATTCACACGGCATATGTATGCCAAGGCGATATTGCCCGTCGGCATTGCTTGCTGTTGCCTGATGGGCGGATTGTCTGGGTGGATTTTGACAATGCCTTTACTCCTAGCGTCCCCCTGCCACTACAGCCTGCACGTCGTATCGATTTTTGGTTGGAGTTTGGTCGGGCCTGGGGCCATTTGTATATGAGTTTGGTAAGTCATGGAGTCTTCTTGGTGAGAAGTAGTATGTACTGATATGACCGCCGTAGCTGCCCGACAAACGTATCCAGTACAGGAACCCACTTTATCATTGAATGGGGATTATCGCCATGCTCTCATTCTGAAATGGGAATATACCAGTTTCCGAGTATTATGTCGACTAAATAGATGATTTCCGGTATCCAGTACCCTTGCTCGCTTTCAATTTTATAAGGTTTCGAGACAACCAAAGTGAAATAATGCATTAGGAGAGATACCGGCGCAGAATAACAAGAGAACCTGAGAGTGTAAATAAGTACTACGGCCCAACATTGAAGGGAAAAGGTCATAGATTGCCTCCTCTCTCCTGAGTCTTCGGCGTCCTAGATGTACTGCTCGACAGACGATTGAGCACCCTTGGAGAATGGAATCAACATGTCCAGCATCAGTTTATCGTGTGATTGAGATGGTTATAAACACCCAGAGAGACCCGATGCATTTTCAAACATGCGAAGGATTGTGACTTTCTCGTAGGGACTCATACTGAAGGAGGAAGAAGCTGGAACATTAGAACTTCGGCCGGAGTCGTAGAATTAATTACCTGCAGGACTATCATCCGATCAAGTGGCATTCGCGAGCATCCGAGTCGTCAAGAGAATTTCCTAAGGTCCCTATATCGTAAACATGAACATTTACATTAGATGGGATATTTCGAATAAAATACATGTACATTGGAGTCAGTAAGATCGGCCGAGATAATCAGTGAAGTCAAAGGCATGATAACGATGAACGCATGCACTTCTCGTTCATGACTATACACCTAGACTAGCAAGGCTCAGTCGTGCTTCAAACTACTGTACGCAACAAACCGAACACGTACTATGTCGTTGGGATTGCGGCGGCTTCACCAATGTAAGCAGCTAATTTTACACGCTGGAGTTGTTGATGTTGTGGATGGCTGTTCACAACCTGGACACATTTGAAGACGGTTTCCTGCAATGTGAACATGTCACCTTCAAAAACTAAGGCGGCCCGTTCCAGATTTTGATGTCTATCGAGGACTTGTATCAATCTAGGCCAATCCATGGCGGACGTGAAGTCGTCCACCATACAAGACGAGAGCCGAATGTCGATTGTGATGAAAGTGAGACTCTCTGTTGACGTGGTTGAAAGTATGCCTAAGACCGCCTGGATAGCCGCTTGGTTGTTTCGTTGAGCTTCGTTTCCATGACCCAAGATTTTGATATCCAGATTAATGCTTGCCAATTTCCCGCAGTTATTCAAATTGAGAACGTCAGCTGAAGATACAAAATGTTAAATGCTTCAATTGCGGAAGAATGAATGTATTTCACCATTTGGGTTGCGGGACAAAAAGTCGGAAAGGTCCAGGTCAAGGTGGCGCACTCCAGGATGCGCCAAGAGAAAGTGCCCGAATCCCCTCCATGTTTCCCAGTTGTGAAAGTTGACCGCCAGGTGTGTGGTACTGGCAGCTGAAAGGATCGAGCCTAACATACGAAGCGCGTGCTCAGTAGAGTAGCAAACTGTGCTCGAGTATTCCAGAGTATGAACTTTTAAAGGCACTGATGCTCTGCTTGCTTCATATTCCGTCAGCGCCTGAACAAAATCGTCGAGTTTAAACCATGAGATAGTACTGTAAAGCCTTCCAATTTGGAGGTGTCGGATTTCTGAGAAGTAGCCAAGGAAATCAGCAATACCGAGCATAGGTGCGGTCGGAGCCCCAACATCGTGCATGGTGAGTTTGTCCAGCCTTAGGGTCAGTAACGGAGGCGATGCAGAGTGTGTCTCCACCTTAATATGAAAGTCGCAGAGATCTAGTCGTTGCAATGCTGGAAGTCTAGTAAGAATGCCGGCTAGAGTATGAAGACATGTTGTGGGGCGTTCGTCTCGAATCCATGAGCCACGTAGGGACGGTAGATCACCTAGGCGTAGGTGTTTGATATAATGGGCCATCAGGGGATCAGCATAGAGAAAATCGCGAAAGTTCCCGAAACAATCCTCAACGCCCTCGTCAGCAGGACACCTCAATGAAGTGAAGAGAAGGAAATGAGAGCGGGGTAGCCAAATCCGACAGACCAATGCGCACACAGAGAGCGCAGAGTTGTCATCGGATAGGCAATCGATAGTCATGTCGACGATTTCATTAGGGAACCGAGGTCCGGACGGGTGAGTATTCATGGTAGCCATGTCGCTGAGGAAGTGAGGTGAGGAAGAAAGAAGCGCCGGTAAGCCAACTTCATAGGCGGCAAGGGCACAGCAACAATCACACCGTTCAATGCAGATACACTGGTTGTCGGGTAACGGAACCCCAATACACTGCCTGGATCTTGTATCACACTGCCCACCGTGCCTGTAGCCTTGGGTCACCGCTCGAAAACTCTTCTAACCGGAGGAAACTTGGACACTCGAGATTGTAGCTGAGATGAATGCGGCTAAACCAAATATATAGACTGCGCTCAGTCATTGGATTAGTCTAGTACATTCCGTACAATAGAATGACTCACTCTTATTCGCGCCACAAAGGCTAGTACTAGCAACAGCCCGAAAAAAAAAACAGACGCAATACAGTACTGCATCATGCGACGTCTTGCTCCAGAATCTCAATAATCCCTTTCTGAACACTTTCAGCATCAAACTTAGGGACTGCGGTCTTCTCGTCTCGAGTACCAAGGACTTTGATGCATTTGACTCCTTTCGCCTGAAAGAAGGACAATATTAGTCATAGGTTCATGTATCACAATACTCAAAAAAGTGACACACCGTGATTTTGGGGACATCGACCTCAATCGTTGTACCTTCCAGGTACACCAGATGCGTCACAAACGCAGAAATGGGGTATATTGTGTTAGCGTTTTTGAGCCCGCCATAGGGAGTATGATAGGGTGCATTGAGAGTGCGAGCAATCGTCCTATAGAAACAAGGTTACCCGCGGCTCGATCTGCGCTAGGTGAAAAAAGCGACGTACTCGACGTAATCAAAGGCCGTATATCCGTCTGTTTCTCTATCGTTCTGAGAATTTACTTGCATAAAGATGAGAGAAATTCGAGACAAACGAAAGTCAGATAATGTTTCGACTCACGTAGAAGCACCTTGGCACGCAGAGAACGCGAAGTTGCTATGGCGCTCGCAACACCGCGTAGTGCAAGACATGGAACGATACTACAACATGGCACTTAGATCACATAGATAAATACACGAAACACCACTGACCTTGTCCAGAGCGAACCGCATGAATATACAAGTATATCCTTGACGTTGAGATTGTGAAGGTAGTCTGGGTTCGGAGAGGGGTGTATTTCACTGCCATATGCGTTGATGTAGTATAGTCCTATACGACGTTTTGTCAGAACACAATTGAAAAACAGGCAGGATACAAAGACTCACTCGTGATCCTTGCACCAATTGGTTCATATTCATCCTTCTTTGCGGATTCAAATAATACGTTCCGTGGAGCTTCAATGGTCCCTTCCAGATCGTCCTCAGATAGTTCCTCTTCTCCACTAAGAGTGATGCTGAGCCCGTGACTTGCATCGCCTAAGTGAACGGGATGAGAAATCTCACACTGGCCAACGAGTCGACTTCCGTTCTCCTTCAAAAGACGTGTCATGATCACGAATCGCCGAAGTATAGGAGAGAGAATCTAACCAACTCAGCTGCAATTGTCACAGTATGATTTGTGACTATAACAGGGACAATGTTTGCCTGGAAGGAGGACACCTGTTCAGACAATATCACATATATGTTGATCCTACGGACCTGACTGTTCGTTATTGAGGAAAACAAGAAGATAGCGGAGGGCAGCGAGCGGAAGAATTCTTGAGCTGCCGAGAGAAAATAGTTGCCAATACTGATAGAGTCCACTGTAAATGTTGCAAGTTCGACCATAAACATATCTCGCACCTGCCATTGAGGAAGGAGAAGTTCTTGTGCGCCCTCTTGAGTACCTCATTTTCAAAGTGAACCAGAAAGCCTGGTATAATGACCTAGGATTAACTAATTGTGAATAAGCGACCATCAACTCACCTCTGATCATTTCCTTTCTGTCGTTCGGAATTCCAGTCCATAGAGCGCTTCGACCTTCAACAATTTCTCGCCATTCATCGCGGGCCTCACTTTCTGAACAGTTTGCCGGAAGGCGGTACGCCAGTAGATTACGGATACGATCCAGAGGTGAATTCATTGGAGCTGGGGGTATCAAGCGTACTAGTCGCGACCTGATATCACCTATGAAAGCGTATAAGCATGAAAACCCCAAGCAACGCGAGACTTCTGAAACCTCACACCTATCGATGGTCCACCAATCACTCGTATGATCTCACTAGATGAACCTCCATCGTCCGACACAGGCAGCACATAGCAAGCGTTACCGAAAGCTGAGACGATGGAATTACAACCTGTTCCTCCAGAGACAACGATAAACGAGGGGCCTTGGTTACGAAATGGGTATTGAGGGTCTCTGACTTCATCGGGTAATGGCCCAGAGGTGGAAGGACCATCTTCACTGAATGCATGGGAGTGTGTTGGAAGATCGAATACTGACGATCCTCGGCTATTGACACTAGACATCGTCGGTGCTAAGTCAAAATACGGCATAGCGTTTCAAACGTGGAGAGCAGAACGTAAACAGTACTGGTATTGGAATGTCACTGTAAAAGTATTTATGCCGCCGAGAGGGGTTACGTTACCTACAGTTAGGAAGTAACGACTCGGAGTAGTAGATGCCTTCAACTTTCTAATCAAGGCGCTTGTACTCAATTGAAAGCAGATTGAAAGTCTATATTAGTGGTTAGCGCCCAGTAGACTTGAAGGGACATCCTGCGAAAGCTCGGACAGTCTTGAATGCCATCTTCCCTCAAATATCTACTCATGACCTCCAGCAACGACTGATGAAGCCACCACCAAGGATATGTCGGCTAAACAAAACTCGACGGAATCATTAAACGATTCTACAGTAGGTACGCACTATTTCCAGACGGCGACGATCCTCAAGGCTTATCAGGCTGTTTACCTTCTTCTGCCTCACTTTAGGAAGCAAGTCCTCGCATGCCTCAACTGCTGACGGGAGTCTGAATGAAAGTAATGGACATGCCCAAACAGGGGAACTTGTGGACCCCCACATCGTCGCCGACCACAACCAGCTCGAGCAGGTTCACGACATTAGCGATACCAACCGTACCATGGCACGAAAGTCCTTCTCTTCAAACGACATGCGAGCCAAGATGGCTTTGGCTCTCGAGGAGCAACTTCATGCACATCAAGATTTAACCTCTCGCTACCAGCATACACTCACTGTCGAGGGTTCGTCTCCGAAACCATGCATCGTTCCAGGGAACGCACTTCAGTTGATCGACGATGACCCAGAAGGGCAACATCATCACCCTCCATCCATAATCATCATCAACGATGGTTCAAAGCGACCCGCTCCCGAGTCATGTACACCCGATACGAGCTCTGCTGAGCACGAGCCTCAACGAAGACCTATTCCAAGGGTCCGTTTTCGTTCAAGAGTTCGTATAGCGTCGGGATTACATAGACATCGACAATCTGCTACGGGTAATGGGGATGGACATCCTGACCATACACCAACATCTTCATCCTCCACTTCTGGTTCCCCCTCCTCTTCGATCTCTGCTCCGTTACGTTGGCAAGCAGACGAGAACGCTACTTGGGGCCCATTAGGTCGTCGACTAAGTGCATACGCCCATTCTAATGGATGGCAGCGTCGTTCCCCCACAACTTCTCGTCCGCAGAAGTCAGATCAGATGCAATACACTCGTGCCAAAGTGACGAGGACAGGGTCGGACGAGCGTACACCTTTGCTCTCATCCAATCGCCCTCGTATAGCGTATGTGGATAGTGGGTTAGACGGAGGAGGTATGGCGGATGACGAAAGACCTAGGGTCCTCGGAGGTCGATTCGAAGATGAAGACGAGGAAGAGGCGGAAGAAAGAGCACTTCGCGCTGCGGCCTTGAGGAGGGAAGAAGAAGCGGTGTTTGGGAAGTGGCCATGGCGACTGTTCAACCGTCATGTGAGTCTTGCGTTTTTCTCATCCGTTACTGCCAGACTGTGCGTTTCCAAGCTGACTTTGATTTTTTATCTTTCCCTCTTTCCTCGCTTGCGCTGCGCGCTGATGTATAGTGGTGGTGGTTCCACGTCGAGCCTGTGCTCTGTTGTTGTTGCTCGGACGACTCGGACTATGAAGAATGAGGCCAATTGAGATGCGGAGGCCCTCGTTATGATCGCAACGTTTCTGGCTTCTTTTTTCATCACTCATATGGGAATACCATGGTCACCTAGGCATGCGCTTCTTGATTTGCATATTCTCTCCTCTTTCTTGGCTTGCTCACTCTAGGCCTTTTCTTGTCGTTTTCATATTTCGGTCTAACTTATGCATTCCTCATAACACGAGCCACACACGATGTACAGTAACTTCCACCGTAACTCACTCGCACACTACCCGCATTTGTCCTCCGTTCCATAATTGACTTCTCGAAATCCGTGGCTTCAAGCACTCGTGGGAGTTTTGAACATTGTAGGAGGGTCGGCCTAGGAAGGAGCGCCGACGCACCCTTGCAAGCGTTCTGTATGAGGACGGGGTCCATGATAACCAAAGTCGTCGTAACTTCTACAATATTAATGGGGACCGCGCGAATGACGACACAAGGATCATGACGTCCGCGGGCAGCTAAAGTACCATGTGTACCATCGTACTAAGCAGTCTCTTGAGCTTAAGAGATCGTAGCAGGGGACTCGAGTCCGACCCTACAATTGGATTGTTATTCATAGTTAGAGTGGAATCTATCGCTGTCAGAGAGTGGACAAACCCAGCTGAAGTAAATGTCCTCCCCATTAGAGATTGCATCTTAGACTCCTCCACTCCAATTCGTCTTCATGCCCATAGACCCATCTTCCCTCTTGAAGAAAGCATCATTGTCTTCACTTCCGGGAACTTACTGTTCCCAATTCTTCAAATAATTTCACACACGCTCTATAGGTATGCTATCATGATCCTACCATTCTGGATGGTATTTCCAAGCTGAATGGTAGTGAAATAGAATACCTTCTTTCATTTGCGATTGTTCCCGCAGGTATTCAATTAGCGTGCCCATCTTGAAGTCAAAATGCGTTACATTGGCTGATGCTGTTACAGTAAGCACTAAATGACTGTACTCCATCCAAAAAAAAAAAAAAGACTTAGTGAAGGTCAACCATATCGCGGCGGATGCAAACGTAAGCGATACTGGTAAGCAAACGAAGTCAGTGGTATACATTGTAGATAGAACACAAAGCGATGCAACAACGCGTTACGCGAGACGCGTCAGAAGCATAGAACAGTGAAAGCGCCCGAGTGTCTACCCCTCCACATCACCGACCTCTTTTAACAGTAGGATTACTGCTTGTAGTACTCGTATGATGAATAGTCGTAAAGAGCGCACTACCCGGATTGGGAATCGTCCTAAGAAGTGCACTACTCGGATTATGAATAGGATTAGGGAGGGCAACTTGCTTGGAGGAGGTTTTACTATGGGAGGTTGTACCGTGGGAGGTTTTGGTATGGGAATGGGACGTTCTACGATTATGGGAGGGAGGGTCGTAACTTTCTTGCGAGCATTCTGTATGAGGACGTGATCCATGATAACCAAAGCCGCCATAGCTTCTACGATGGGAACTGCACGAGGGACGACACAAGGATCATGACGTCCGCGGGCAGCTAAAATACCGGGTGTACCATCGTACTGAGCAGTCTCTTGAGGTAGAGAGATGGTAGCAGTAGGTTTGAATCCGATCCTACAATCGTCATTCATGATTAGAGTTGAATCTGTCATTGTCAAAGAGTCCACACCTGAAGTAAATGTCCTCCCCGTTGGAAATTCCACCCTGGACTCCTCCACTCCAATTCGTCTTCGTGCCCATAGATCCGTCTTCCCTCAAGACAAAAGCGTCGTTATGCTTGCTTCCGGGAACTTTGGTCCCTCTGAACCCAGAACCAATCTCGAAAGCTTTGGTAGCAGGGATAGAAAGCATGGCATGTGCAAGTTTGGCTTCCAGCTTGTCGAAGACGGGTTCACCCAATCCAGAGGGGACTTTTCGGATGACACAGGTGACGGTACCACCGACGGAATCTTGTGATTTCTTGGCTCGAAGTATACGCTATATTCAAAAATGATGGAATGAACTTCGAGATATCCAGGCTTTGAAGAGGAGAGGAGACGTTACTTCGGTCATCATCCCGGAGGTGTGATCATCAGGACACCTAGTCGGATACCTATCCACGTCTTCCCTAGTCACCATCTTCAAGAAATTGATGAATTCGGAGCTGAGGACCTCTTCCTCCGAATCATCGTCGGAAACGGAGGATGAAAGATGGGCATCGCCAACTGAAGAGACGAAGGCGACAATTTCGATACCGTAGGTCAGTCTGAGGTATTTCTCGGCTATGGCACCAGCAGCGACTCGAGCAGTAGTCTCTCGAGCGCTGCTACGTCCGCCTCCACTGCTGGCCTTGATACCGTACTTCTCGAGATAGGTCCAATCGGCGTGACTAGGACGAGGATACAGGTCCGTCTAACACAGAACAATTATGTTAACAGCGCTTTGACTGGAGACGAAGACAAGGGAAATACGCACCTCAGAGTAATCCTTGGCCCTGTGGTTTTCGTTGTGAACCAAGAGACCGATGGGCGTGCCCAAGGTTCGATCGCCCTCGATACCGGACTGGAGTTGGACGAGATCTTTCTCGTCGCGCTGATAGGCCAGACCAAAATAGTATATATACATATATAATGAGTATATATATCTGCTCGAGCTGACGAAATGACTTACGGGAGTGGTAAGTTTACTCTGACCGGGACGACGACGATTCAATTGAATCTGGATGTCTTGCGGTTCTAGGGGCATATTCTACATAGCAAACCACGAGCGGCAGGATTGAGAAAACGTCGAAGGCAAAATAATAATACTCACAGGAGGACAGCCGTCGATGATAGCCCCTACAGAAGCGCCATGCGATTCGCCATAGGTCGTGACACGAAAGAGGGTGCCAAAAGTCGACATGCCTGGCTAGACTTTAAATTGGTGAGGAGTTTCACTAACAGGTTAAGCAAAAATTAGACTGGTTAGATGTAGACGAGTGAAGAATACAGCTCACAAAAGAAGCTCGATTTTTTTCTGGACGTAAGTATCGCCCGTGAGTACAGGTCTGGACAACATCCCGATGATGATATCAGTCCCGGATCGCCCCATCAAGTACTTTTCATTACGCACGAAGGACAGCCGTTCCCCTGACTATTGAGCGAAAAGCAATTGACCGTCTGAAAGCTGCACTGGCAGTCTCAGAGGCTTGGTTCAGAATGAGAGGTTTGGAAGTGCAGCTTCAAGCTTTTGACTCGAAGCGCCCATTCAATAAATGTTGTAAGGGACGGACCGAGACTACCCGCATCCGCACGTGGCGGACGCGACTTCGGTTAGAGGGAGCGCGTCACACGCGAAATGTTCATTAGCGGCGAGCGCACTTGTTCCTGGCACTTTACCGACTTCGCCTCGTTCACAGCTTTTAGACTTTTATGAGTTTCCCGCAAGCCCACTGAACTCGACTCGATAGTATACAATTCCTACAACATGCCTCAAATAGCAAACACAACACCCTCCACATCCACACACGCCGCACCTACCAGCTCTCGCGCCAGAAACACAGGCGGACCACGTAAACGAGTTAACCCAGCAGCCGACGACGCCACATACCATGGTACCACTTCTTTGAATGTAGGTGCGGGGGCGAAACGAGGGGCTACAGACAAAGCGGATGGGGAACCGAGGACGAAGAGGAAGAGGGTCGATCATGGGGGTGCGCATGCAACTGTTTCGGGGAGTGGGGTGAGGAGAGGGGGAGTCGACAGGACTGTGGATGCAAATGAGAAGTTGTCTCTGGTGAGCAATTTCGTCTTTTGGATTGCTTTCTTTGCTTCTTTTGGAGTTTGGTCTGCGTCGTACCATTGTTACGAGTTGACGTTGGCAGCGCAGTCTCGAGATCTCAACGCCACAAGTTCTGGCTCTATGCAAGACCCCGTTGCTGCTATCATTTCGCTTGTGTCCCTCGCAGTTGCCAAACTGCTTGTTTCATTTTCCTTCCTTTGCAATTCAGGCTATCACGGACCGGTGGTTAATGTCCTCGAGAGACAGTAGTATGGTTGAATGCTGTTGCACGTCCCTACAATCTTCTCGGGCACCATCTACTTGGTTCTTGTCGTACATTCCACAGCCTGTTACTCCTTGTAATGGGCGGCACATGGTCCATCATGCAGCCCCATAATATCGTTTGCCTTCACTAGGATTGATTGATAGCAGTCGCATATTGGCATTTGCTTTCACTCGGAGGATCTCGCGTTCACTTTCTCGGACATGGTCGCGTGGTCCATTATTCGTCGATGGGCGTAAATCGCGCATACATGGTGGACTCGGCGGTCCGCATGTATCGACCAATGGATGACAGTTTCTTATTTCCCCATTGTCAAGCCTACTTGAAGGTGACTCGAACTGACCAATCATTTGACCACCAGATTGATTTTACAACACTGCCGACAGCAGCTCTGCATCGCTACCTGGCACAATTTGATTTGATCCCTGAATTGGACCCTCCACCCACATCGGCGGAAGACCCGCTCCCACCATCACATCTCCTTCGCCCAAAGGGACATAGACATTCTACGTCAAGTCCCCCACCTGCTGCCCTACCTATCACACCAGCGAACAGACCTCGACGAGAATTCAGCACGAGCGCGAGTCGACGTCGCAGTTCTAGGCTGTTAGAAGACGATAGACGATCGAACGTGACACCGACCATGGCAGATGTAGGCGAAGTGCACGGAGCGTTGGCGGCGTTGGCGGAGAGACACTTCCGAGAGCATGCAGTGAAAGAGGTGGACACGCTTACATTGTTCATGTGTGCAGTAAGGGCGAAAGGCAAGGTACCCCCGTCTCCTTCGTGATTGTTTGTTGTGCATTGGCATGTTGGTGGACATTTTGATGTGATGGACTGTCATGGCTGGTATTGTCTATCGACGTTGGGCGGAACCCCGCGGTTGTATCAGTACGATGGTTGCTGCCATTGCCTGTTTAGTTTTATTAGTTTCGTTTTGCGTTGATTGCTTTGAACAGTTGGATAGATGCTACGTACCTTTGCTTTTGGCAAGACGCAATCCTAACACGCTGGATGAACACTTCACCGGCATCCCGGCATGCGTGTGTACGTGCCTGCCAGAATGCCCGAGATTGGACAGCGGGCCAATCAGGGCGCAGATATGTTACCGTGAGGTTATTTATAGTGGGTGACAAATGGCTATTTGTGGCAGATACGGACTGGGAACAAGTGATTGGCAAATGAAAGTCGAGGACGTCAGGGAGGAAAAAAGATGCTTGCTTGCCCGAACCTGCCATCGTTGTCTGGGTAACAGCTTCCTCTCCCCGTGTCCTCCTTTATAAACCCTCCCCGTCAGGCCCAAATGCCTCCTCACTCTTCTTTCCCTCCCTACTTCTTCGCTCTCTCGTGGCTTTAGCTTTTAACAGCTGGTGCTGTCAGATCCCTCTTTCTTACTTGTAAGTCTCTCTTCAACCGTCGCAAGCAACAACCTAACACTCATGCAGTTTCGTCCAGGATCCCTAATTCAGCCCAGTCTTTTCATCTTTTATCGAAGCTAGCTTCACCCAAATCGTAGTCATGAAGTTCTCTACCTCGCTCTCTTCTCTCCTTCTCCTTCTCCCTCTGCTGGCGCACCAGGTCGCCGCTAACCCCCTCGTATGTACTACCTTTCCCCACACTCGCATGGTGTCGATCATATTCGATCAATTGTCTCACGGTCGATCATTCTGCTTTTAGGGCTTCAAGGGTGGAAATGGCAACAACAACAATGGCAGCAATAACGGCAACAACAACGCTGGTGCGAACAACGGTAACAACAACGCTGGTGGAACCAACGGTAACAACAACACCGGGAACAACAACGGAAACACCAACACCGGCAACAACAACGGCAATAACAACACCAACACTGGCGGTGATGCTCAGACGTCCCTCAGTAAGTTCATTCACATAATGTATTATTGACCATCACTCATCATCATCCGTTCATCATAGCTCTCGACCCTGCTGTGATCGCTCAGGGTTTCGAAAATGATGGTCAAGACCAGTATGTCATCCCCTGAACGTCTCTCTGATGTCGATCTGTCAAACTGACAAAAACTCTCTATAGACCCACTGCCGGACAAGTTGCCTCATTGACATCGAGCAACAACTTCATCAACTTTTGCTTGACCGTTCCCAACAAGGTTATCACCAACGGTCAACAAGTCAAAGACGGTTCATGTAACCCCGCCCCGATGGGTGTCATCGCTGCTCAAACCAACATGCCTTCTGCGAAGTTCCAGTTCCCCACCAACGGCGCTACTATCAAGGCCGACACCGAGTTCACCATCAAGATGGCTATCAGCCATCTCGAGACTGGCTTCTTCACCAACGCCAATGAGAACTACTTTGCTGCTCCCCAACAAGTCAACGGAGCTGGTGATATCCAGGGTCACTCTCACGTCGTCGTCGAGCTTTTGCAGAGTCTGGACCAGACTACCCCGACTGACCCTACCGTCTTTGCGTTCTTCAAGGGTTTGAACGACAAGGCCGCCAATGGTGTCCTCACTGCGGACGTCGCCAAAGGTCTTCCCGCTGGTGCTTACCGTCTTTCGTCCATCAACAGCGCCGCTAACCATCAACCTGTTCTCGTCGCTGTCGCACAACACGGTTCCCTCGACGACATGGTCTACGTACGTCTTCACCCTCATCCAACATTGCTCTCATTTCCCACTAATTGTCCCTTTTTATTTTCTCTAGTTCACCGTTACCGATGATGGCCAAGCTGCAGGAGGCTCAAACTCCACCGACACTGGTGCCGGCGCCGCCTCTTCATCAGTAGCCGCAACCGCAACCGCCGTCGCTTCCTCCGCCGCCGCATCATCTGCAGCCGCTTCAACCGCTGCTGCTGCCACTGCTACCGTCGGACTCAAGGGTTCGAATGCAGGTGGCAAGCCTGGTGTCCAGGGCGGTTTCGCTCAGGGCAACAACCAGAACCAGAACCAGAACAAGGGCCCTCAGGGTGGGTTCGGTGGCTTTGGTGGGAAGTTCAACAGGAGGAGCGCGTTGAACCGATTGGCTCTTAACTAAACGATTTCGGGTTTTCTTTGATCACCTCCTGAGATCGCTTTTCACTTCTTTCGTTCCCACTCACGTTGCACATCGCATACTCGCTCGTTCATCTTCCGTCGTTTTTAGCTTGCTTTGCTGCCTGTGACAGCTTTCTCGTTTCCGTTCCCCCTCCCCTAGCTATAGCTACGCTACGCTCTTGAGCCTACAATTAAGATAGGTAGATTGAAAGAAGTCTCGGCTAGTCTTTGAATAGATTGGCTGGGTTTAGGATCCAACTTCACCGGTGTGATAATGTGACTTGAAGATGCGATTCTAGTCTGAATACTAGGTTGGTAAGATCTGCAATCATCTATGAAGAGAAACTGTCATGTTACTAGCAAAGCGGGATGCTCCGGCAGGCTACTTATTTGCAGCATTGATTTAATAGAATCGTGGTATGTACAAACTTCCATTACGAACATGTCCTCACCTTACCGATCTTGCCAACCATGACTCCCATTCTGCAATCTACTTGATGTACCTTTTCGTCTCGATTTCCTTCATCACTTCCTCTCTCCCCAAGGTCTTTCGATCACTTCGGTCGATCAGTATGATCAAGTTCATCCTACAAGATCCAGTCTGGATCATCCTTCCACACCGGCGAAAAACAGACGATATATATTCATGGAATATCTTTTACAAGACTACATTTAGACAGTGGCAAATCTAACACTCAGTACGAACGCGATTGGTATCCAATTCGCATGTCAGGCAACTGCGAACCAAATGTATTGATCAATGTCAGGTTTCTCTGATTTATCGATAGATCACTTACCAAACATCCATAGAACAACCCCCAAGCTTGAGCGATCTCCAGCCAAAGCTCAAGCCGTTTCACAGGCTTCTTGCTACTGGGATTGCTAGAGTGGTCAAAGTCGACCCAGACAATCCGGCCACTTGGGAGAAGCAGACAATTACGACTAGCAAGATCGCCGTGGAGGACGTAAGCTTGATGAATGCGACACATTGCTTTCATTGCAGTCTGCGCAAGAGCAAACGTGATGTTGTTGAAAGAAACGCAGCTTGTATCGGGGAAATATTCAAGAAGAATTCCGAGAGGTTGTCGCCTAATGAACGGACCCCAGCAACGATAACTTGAATGACCAGCCACGAAATCAGTGACCTCTTTCGAAAGACGCAGCCAGCCATAACAACGGGGCACGACACCAGCATCGCATGCGCCGTAGTGGATCAGATGAGCGTAAGCATCCCGCTCCGCGAGAAATTGATCCATGGTGGACTCTGTCTCGTCGTCGTCGTCGTCGTAATCTGAATCATCGAGGAACTATACATCTAATCAGTAAGTACTCAGTGGGCTCAGGGAACTGTGCCATACCGTCTTCAACAACCGCTCTTCTGAGCCAACCCGGACACGAAACATGGCATGATTGCCATTCGGATTGATCTGCTCGAGAATGGTCAGATCGCACCCGAGCAGTTCGCCTAACGGAGGCGGAGCCACGTAACCCTTGAGCTCTATGTCTTTGTAGGCCTGCCCAGGAAGCATTAACCCAGTATTCACGTAAATCGGAGGTTCTCCCAACCACGTGCAAAGCGGATTGACTTTCGTGTCCTTTGCCTTGCGAACAGCACTGGCGATGAAATCTGGCGGGTCACGTACGTCCTCTTGTGAGGCCGAAGGAATGAGGTTGTATGGCAGGGGCGTGAATTCGTATATGCTTTGTTCCGGATAGCGGCAGTAGGCCTCTTCATTGTCAGGAACTCGAAGCTTCTCCATAGTGCTAGCTATCGGGGCTGAAGAGATGAGGGTGATTCGTAGGGAGCATCACGATGCCAGAGTGAGGCTTTGAATATACCACGATCATGATGATTCGGCAAGACTTCGTATTTGGACGAATTTGGCGTCTTGCCTCACACAGCCGGTTTCTGCAGCCGCATGTGTCTATTTACCCTACTTATGTACATGCTCTATTAGGATTATCTCACTGCTGCTGTGGTACATGCGGGGTTGTTCTGTTCATCTAAACGTGAATGGTGCAGACCAGGCTCCAAGATATGGATACATTGTCACGGAAACGGAAGTGATTGCGTGACCCTCAATTCGAGACTCATGCATATGTGAGCGAGGGATTCCCTTTGCGACCTGTTCAGGGGTGCGACGACGTCAATGGTATGATGGCCTTGTTATATCTCTATCTTCTGCAGGAGGTCCGGGCGGATTGGCTGCCCTATAAGGGTATGGCAAATTGCTGCTGGTTGCGCCGATGCATAAGGTATGTGTAGTGACTGCATCGTATTATCTCTTACCTCTGCTGACTGGTGGTCCTTCTTGGTGAGTAGAATATTTTCGTCCAGGCTTGTATTTCACAGTGCCAATCGCCAGGTCTTCTATACTGTCTTTTGTGTTTTTAAGCCTCTCAACGTCCATTTAGGCATGAGCGAGGAAGATCCAGCCATGGAGACTCGCAGTCACACTGTTGACTGGGCAACCGTACGTACAATCCATTATCTTTGCGTAAGGCATCCACCATTTTCGGCTTTGCAAATCGCTGTGTACGTTTCAACCTATCTTCTCAGGCTTCTCTGTTCAAAGTTACAGTGCTTCTTTATGTAGTCGCTTCTCGCAGTAAATCTCGTTCGTCATCATTCCTCTACTAATCGGAACCGCGGCCTGCAGTACTATACGCTGAAGTGAAGGTTTCAGCAGGGGCCTATGGATTATGTTCACTCGTTGTAGGTCTGTGGCTTTCGAAACTGCAGGAGCCTGACAAGCTACTGGCAGGTCATTACCTCATGGCGAACCAAGTATGAGTTCTTGCTACTTCTCTTGGTTTTACATGCATCAATGAGATATAATTTACCCTGGATTAACATTTGAGTGCATCACTTGACCCCCGATGGTTTTCAAGTTTTGCACAAGCGCAGTGCCAGTGGGTCCCGGAGAATCAAGATGCTGCTCCTTATCCGACCTTGTATTTCATTTGTCGCGATCGCGATTGGACCACCTATCAGAGCAGCATCTGGACATATGTCTAACCCGTGGTACGTAATGGTCGTTCCATCCCGCCTTCTGGCACTGACACAAGGGGCTGATGATCGCCCAGTGTTTAGTATAAAACATTGTGGGTTGCTGGAGTAAGTGCACAACAGAAATCCGTTTCATTCCCCCAACGCCATTGATATCATCATGAACGTAGCCAACCTCAGGCCTTTCCCTGCCCATTTCGTTCTGCAAGATTTGACTGCCATTACGGGTCCTGTCTTTGAATTGAAGAAAAATGCCCGTCAAGAAGAAGCCTACAGATACGTCAAGCAGTGGTTCAAAGAGTATGTATATCCTTCATGTTGCGTAATAATCTGCTGACTCACCTCTTTCCCTCAGTTTACAAGTCTATCCTGAGCCCGAAGAGCGACGCTTCTTGTCTCACGCATTCGATCTCTACGCCGGTCTCAGTTTCCCCGATGCAGATGTCCAACATCTCGAGACATGCATATCCTTTGTCCTGTGGGCATTTTCCGTACGTATGCTATGTGAGTGGTGAAAGAACCCGAGATCGATAACTATTTTTGCAGTTCGACGATCTATCCGATGAAGGAGAGTATCAATCGAAACCAGAGCGTGTCCAAGTCGGCGTTGATATTTCCATGGAGGTCTTGAATAATCCTGAGCTGCCTGCTCCCAAATTCAAATACGCTGCTATGCTTCATGAGTGAGTGCATCTCGCGTCCCTTTATTCAGAGCATCGGAGCATGTTATAACTATTGGTCCGTAGTATCTGGAGACGAGTCCGCTCCACAGCCAGCCCAGGTGCATGCAATAGGTGAGATATAATTTTCGCAAAAGCCTTATTAGTATCTCACCGGTGCCTTAACAAACCCTTAGGTTCAAGAAGGCCGTTGAGAGCTGGATGAACTCCCAAGTTGAACAAGCAGGCAACACCGTCCCATCTCTTGACGAGTTTATTAATCTTCGTCGGCGAACTACCGGTGGAGAGATGGTGGAAGGTATGCAAATGCTGTCAGGTCCAAACGAATAAACATAATAACCGGATCATCGTCACAGCCATGGTAGAATATTCCCTTGACATTACTGTCCCTGAACATGTGTGGGATCATCCTATATTGGTTGGATTGTCGAAGGCTGCTATAGACATTATGACATGGCCAAATGTAAGCGCAGCAATGATCAGTATTCCGTTCCTTAACGAGGCCATCCTGACGTAACCTTCCCACCTTCCTTGATAGGATCTCTGTTCATTCAATGTGAGATGATTGCTTGGGCTTCTATAACACTCGGTGCTGATTTCAATACAGAAAGAGCAATCGGACAATGACTCCCAGAACCTCGTCTTCTGTGTAATGCTTGAGCGAGACGTTGGTCTGCAACATGCGGTTGACATCGTCACAACGATGTTAGCCGATCGCGTCAAGGAATATGTCAAGCTCAAAGCTCAACTTCCCTCGTTCGGGGAGGAAGTGGACAGCGAGCTTCGGAGATACTTCATTGCATTTGAGCACTACGTTCAAGGGGTCATTGTGTGGCTTTATAACCCGTCTCGTGAGTACCGATAAAGTACTTTACTTGGACTGTCCTCACTGTCTTCAATCGTAGGATATTTCCGAGGCATGGATGTGACCAACAAGAAAGCTATGATCATGCCCATCTATCCTCGTGCAGAAGATGCTGTTGTGTGTTCGCTCAATGTTGTGTGTCTCTACTTTGATCAAGCTCGAAGACTGTCTTTGGAGATAGATTCGGAGAGCTGGTGCTGTACGATTTTAGTCGTTTAGATCCACACATTCAAGTTGTTGGAAAGCTCTTACCGAGGGTTTGAACGCAGATGGCAAGCCTGGTGTCAAGGGCGGTTTCGCTCAGGGCATTGAACAACAACGTTAACAACAGCAGCAGCGACGAGAACGAGGGCAGTCAACAAGCCAATCAGAACCAGGCCCAAAACCAGAAGGGTGCTCAAAGTTGGGTTGGGTGGCTTTGGTGGGAAGTTCAGCAAGAGCGCGTTGAACCGATTGGATGTCAACTAGTACTCGAACGATTTTGGGTCTTTCTTGAGACCGCTCTTCACTCCTATGTATTGTTTTTCGTTCCCCCTTATCCTTACATTGTACATCGCATACTCGCTCGTTCATCTTCCGTCGTTTTTAGCTTGCTTTGCTGCCTGTGACAGCTTTCTCTATTCCGCTCCCCTTCCCCCTAGTTAGAGCTACGCTACGCTCTTGAGCCTACAAATAAGATAGATAGATTGAAAGAAGTCTCAGCTAGGCTTTGAATAGATTGGCTGGATTTAAATCCAATGCTACTGGTGTGGCGCTATGAGATGCCATTCTAGTCGATATCTTCGAAAGACCTGCAAGAGAAACTGTCATGTTAGTTTCCAACTCGGCTGTTGCTGTAACAGGACCCTTTAATCAGTGGTATGCGCATTGATTTTCCATCGCGAACATATCTTCACCTTATTGATCTTGCCAACCATCTGGTCCATTCTATAATCCACTCGATGGACTTTACTTTCAAACCGATCCACCTTTTCGTCCAATTTCTTCAATGTCCTGTCCATCCTCGCGACGTCATCATCCACCTGCTTTGTCGTGGTCGACATCTGAGCCACCCTCTCTTCAACCTCACTCATCTTTGCGTTGAATTCATGCATCTCGCTTCTTATTTCGCCTACAACGCCGTCCACTGCCACTACAGCATTTCCCAAGGTCTCCAATCTTGGCATGGTCTGACGCGCACGATCTCGAATAAAGTCGTCCTCGTTTGCGGTTTCAATGCATATTTCGCCCGTAGTATCTTGGCGGATATACCACCACGATTTCTGAGCAGAGTAGGTGTACGTTGTAGTATTATCATATGCCCAATGTATCGAAGAACTCACAGAGGATAGCTTGTTGAGTTCGACAGACCAAGGTTCGCCATCTTGGTCTGTCACTGGTATCAAATCGCTTTCTTGCAGCTGTTGCGCTTCTAAGTGTGATTGCTTCACAATGACTGCATTGCTATAATCAAAAGAGACTTACGCTTGAAGTTGCTGCCATAGTAAGCTTGAAGAGAGAATGCTCCGTCGATATAAATACGCTCATTGAACCTTAAAATTGGGTGATAAGTCACGAATAGCCGCGAATACCTTGAGCACTCGTGCAACCTACTGCACTGCTTCGAAATGCATAATGGGAGATAAATCATCCCTCCCTTCCGTATCTCGAATGAGCGTACCTATGCGGTGTAAGTTAGTCTTTGCCTGGAGGCAACGAGAAAGACAGTCAAACAAACAAAGACAAAGAGCCTGCTCGTGTTTCGATTCATCGGAATTTTCTAACGTGACCGATATCAGGTCATTGTTTGAAGGGCCAGACATTGGATATCCTGGAGAGCTCTTCCGCACGAGGTTGAAACGATCATCGCAGACCCAGACTCGAGAATCTTCCAGCTTTGCCACACTACTTCCAGTATACCTATATACCAGCCGCTCCCCGAGCTAACATGATGGGTTGATGTCAACCGAATTTGTTCAGTATAGAAGATAACCTTACCGACACCGTCCCGTAGTGATCAGTCTCAGCTGCAACGCATGATGTGGAGTCTTTCTGACCGGTGGATACAGCGAATCTGACATATGTAGGTTAACGCACAGCATCGCTAGTCGATTTTGAACACCCACTCTGAGTGGCATTCAAGCTCTTGAACACTGTCTGAAATCGGGAATATAAGTGAAATAAAAGGATGACGGCACACGGGGTTGGTTATTTACCTGTATCAAACAATTCGCAGTCAAGGACCTCCGAGTTGAGAAAAACACATCATCACGCTTTGATTTCAGGGATATACGGTATCTTCAATCGACTCACCTTCCAAGCAACTGGGTACACTGTTTGGAACAGCCTTCCAGATGGCCTCGAAGGAATCAATGTGAACATTATCTATCGAACGAATGGTACATCAGCATTTCGTCAACGTCTATTTAATAGCGCCGAGCCTACTTGCAACCCGGTATCCCTTGGAGACAAGCTTTCACTGCTGAATGAGAAAGCAAATTTGCGATAAAGTGTCGTAGCTGGAAGAGGACTTGGAGAATCGGAGTCATGCGTGCCAGTAAGAAAATCGGAATGACTGAGATTGAAGATGGGATTTGGGGCCAAGACAGGACCACTCCAAAAGTGAGTATATGGCTGAGAATAATCGTGAGGAGAAGATAGTGAAGAACCATCAAGACCATGAGAACGTTGGCGAGAATCGTGATCGGTAGGAGTCATGACAGAAGATGCCGGTGCAATTGGAGCGGCCGGCGTAAGATGGGACGATTCAGAAGTCATGTGTACGGGAAACGGAATTGGCAAGGGCGGAGGAGAAGAAGCAACTCTTTTAGATGTCGCATCTGAATCGGGACTACTGGATGCCGGGAGAGGAACTAAGAATCATTGACAGCATAAAATCAGTAGTGTGGAGCTGTGGAGGGATAACAAGTACCTTCAGTTTCCGAGCTCTCCTGATGAGCAGATGAAGCGGACGAAGCAGCGTTGGCAAGTCTGTCTAAGCGCTTGAAGTGCTTGTAGGTTTCCTTCGGGTTTCCATTCAAGCTTAGAAAATTAGCTTGCAAATCCCGAGTCGCCTGTAGAGAAGCTCCAAGCTCTTTGAGAGTATTTTCAACGTTCATCATTTTCGCCTTCATAACCTGTAGATCATCCGAATCGTTCGGTTCCATGTTCTTTGCCTGTAAAGTGTCGACTTCGTTCATACACTGCTGCACCTCTGAATGTGCAGTGCTCTGCAGGTTGACCTGATGTTCAATGTCCTCAACGGAACGTTTAAGCATCTGTAACTGGTTCCTGATATCCCAGAGTTCCCCTTTAATATCATCGCATGAAGAGCAGCTTCCCTGACCATCCTTGATAGACTTGATACGTATAGTACCAGTTTGAGAACGATGTATATACCACGATGCACCCTAGAAGGACCTAATCATTCAGACCACATACGACAGAAACGCAATTCATACTCACAAATGGGACCTCATCCAACAACATACTCCAAGGCCTTCCCCAGTCGTCTAACACTGGGTGACGGAGGTCCTGTTCAGAGAGTTGTCTGCCAACTTGGGAAAGAGACATCGCAAGAATATCACGAAAATTAAGGAGAGTACCTACCTAGGAAGTCCTTTGCACAAAATGCCTCGAGACGTAAAGGAAATTTGATGGTACGGCTTGATTCTTTCCTTAAGATAGAGTGAATGTTCGAAACGGTCAAGAATAGCGTAGAGATGACACTCACCCGACATCGTTCAATACTAAGAAAGGCGAATAGTCAAGTGTGTCTTCTTCATGCTTCATCTTGACAGTGCCTGCGAAATACGATGCGGGATATGTTGCACAAATAGTAATGGATCAAGGTGTTGGCACTGACAGATAGCAAACTGCTGCTTGGTTCCGGATTCATTCCTGACGACGAAGCTAATTGGCTGATCTTCTGCACACCGTGAGATTACGTCCCAAAAGGTGTTCTTCCAGGCCGTCTGGTAGCCACACTGTCTCCCAGTCAGAAAATAACGGTAGATAAGATGACAAAACACTCACGGGAACAATGCGACCGGGCCCTGCTTGTATGCAGGACTCTCGGCTCGATTTTCTTGCTGTACATACTGCTGCGCTGCGCTGGACATCAACAACAGATCAATGCACACACAGGATCGTATTTTATACTCACTCTGATAGACAGTCAATTTCGCAAAGGGTTGCTACGGTACTGGCATTGAAGCTATGCAAAACATGTAGTGTATGATATAAGCGAACCTTTCGTCAGATCAAAGATCTGCAAAATGAATTCATATCACGGTCAAATGAGCAAAAAGGAGACAGACGACTCACCTCCCATGCTACCAGACTAACAGTGCTATCCATCTGATCATGCATCCCGAACGGTCTTAATATAAACACAATCTGGAATAGAGTTGAAATCAGTGCCTGCTCCTTGCACAAAGTAGTACTGACCTGCGGGAGAGACATGTGCAGGTCATCCAAGTGATATGGATGCGAAAAAGTGAAGTGCCGGCGTATCATTGTTCAAAACACCTATCAAGACAGAGATGTAAGATCTGCAGACGGCCAACTGTTCTCGTGATTTAATCGCAGTAGGATGGTCGCGTCTAGCGGTCTATGTCAGTGCTACTTGTGTTCGGGTCATACAGCAGGAATATTAAGGCGAAGGTCATCACAGTTCAGAAGGACGAGCATGAGAAGGGATGAGAAAAACCAGGACGCTGAATACACGTGTACAGGGTGCACCGGAGGGAACCGACTTGCGCTACGAATGTCGAAAAAAAGATCCTCTGTCGTATGTTAAGAGTTCTCTTTGAAGCTCAACAGATCAGGGTGCGAATCCACAGAAGTATATATAACTAGCCTGGTAACTGAGCGCAACGGGGTATGCTTTTCTACTCATGGTAGCGATGAATCCTGCCATGAGACCACACCCCATGTCGTTAGCCGCCAATCGTGATACAAAGATTGCGATTGTTTACTCACCTCAAACAAGGTCAAATGTTAGCTTGAGCGCTGAGCCGATAGCGACATGACTAGGGTCCAACCTACAGTACTGTCTGCATGCTTGCTAAGATAAATCGCCAGAGACCCAAGGGAATGTTGAGTCCGGTATCTATTCTTTCGTGTACTACTTACTAGAAGCCCCGTGAAGTTCGGCGTGTGAAGCTTGATCGAAATGTTCTTCTGCGAACATATTCATAATCTTGATGAATATCCTTTCAGATTGAGTCGTCGTAATTCCCGAAGGTTATAGATTATGGTCATGGAGGTCTCTGGATGACTTTTGGACGTGATGCATATGCGTGATGATGTGAACGTTCAGAGTTACCGTTTTGAGTGGCGAGGTGTAACAAGCGCCTATGCAGTCTAAATTATTGGTGTTCGGAAGCGCTCAGTGTGTTCGCTCAATGTTCTCCCTCCGCAGAGCAACTCGAGCCTACGCCGGCTTGGCTCGAGCTCGTGGAAATGCTACTCTTCAAAATAGCTCGCAGAACGTAGAGATTACTACTCCTCCACCTCCGCCAGCGAGCACCAGTGCAAAATCGGAAAGCGTGCAGACGGAACCGTCAGATACTGCGAAGCAATCTCCTGCCAACCCTTCAAGTACCAAAGAGAATGTGGAGGAGTCGACGAACACGAAGAAACGCGGTCGTGTCTGGCCCACGAAGCGTCCTTCCATCACTTTGGATAGACCACGTCAATACAGCCGACCAATCGGTGTCGGAGCCTTACCCGTGTACGATGAGGCTTTGACTTACATCAAGCGCGACTCCAAGCTTAGGAAAGAAGAACTTGAAGAGTACAAGAGTCTGCTGCAAAGAGCTGAAAGCGCTCCCGATTGGAACCCTGCCGATATAGAGAGATTGCGGGACAAGATTCGAATTTTGGAGATCCAGAGCGAGGTGAACTTGCCTAGTGTACGATGGAAGGCGAGGAACGGGTTGGGTACGTCTCCATCCGTCCATTGTTCATAGTTCAATCGACTTGAACTGTACGTTAGCGGACTTGAACCAGACTGTATACCGCCATCTCATCGAGCAACGATGGCGCGAAGAGGGCGCTTTGGACCTTTTGGTAAGCTCTTTTTTTGCGTCTTGGTATTTATTCTGTTTGACATGATGTCGGACATTACAGATGGAACGTATCTACCAAATGAATGTTGTTCCGGATATGCTTCCAGAGATGCACCCGTCATTCGATCTTCGTGTCAACTTCCCAGAGCCTCCACCGCAAAGCACCGTTTTGCGCAACCGTACGAAGCGAAAGTACCAGAAGATCGAACCTGGCGTGTTCTTGCTTCCGGAACAGGTGCGAACCGTCTTCTTAGACGTAGGATGAGATTGGGTTCTTGATTTTTGCTTTCGTTGTAGACTCGCAAGCCGCCTATGATGTACACCACGGTTTTCCACACTGAACCTCGCTTGTATACCATGCTCATGGTTGATCTCGGTACACTTCTGAACACATTTTTCTTAATGGACCGGATACTGACATTCTTCCCAGATGTACCCGACCTGGAGAACCAGACGTATCAAACATACCTACATTGGCTTCAGTGCGTTCTTACAAGTTCCATTTCTACTCCTCTGATTCACATACCTTTCTAGACCCAATGTTTCACTGTCCACTTTCTCCCAATCCCCCATTCCGCTCACCACAACCCACACGAAGTATATCCCTCCTCACCCGCAAAAGGGCACACACTACCACCGTTACGTCCTTCTCTTCGTCCCACAAGCCCACGCAACGGAACGTATGCAAATTCCTGTCCCCACCGACGAGGAGAGACTTGGGTTCAACTACCGTGAGTTCGCTGAGCAATATGGGTTAGATGCCGGTAGGGGTGGAGGTGCGTTTATGTGGAGAGAAGTTTGGGATGAGACGGTTTCGAAGATCTACCAGGACGTGCTTAGTGAGTATACTCCCTGCATCTTTTTTATGTTACTTTTCGTCTACAGACAAACTGATATGTGGATTGTAGAAACGGAAGAACCTGTATTTGGTCGTATGCCCAAACCAGACCCATATGCCGAAGTCAAGCAGGCGAAAAAGTACATCTAGACTAGATACATACTGTATCTGCTGTCACAGTCTACCTCTCTTTCCCCCTAGGGTTTACAGTATTGCACAAAATACTAATGCTTGATCTTCTATTTGGAGATGAAGGCTAAGCGTAAGTTACATATATTGAATACGAAAGGTGAGGGAGACCTGTTGAATAACGTAAAGGTGACAATGTCGTGCAATTGTTACAAATGTCATGAAATGTTTAGAGGGGTATAAAACATGAAACCGAAGATTCTACGTTCAATCGAAGTCCTCGAACTCAGACCCGTCCTTCCCACCTTCATCTTCGTCACTGGACAAAATCTCGATGTACTTCGCCTTCGCAGCAGCAGCCCTCCTCGGAGCATCTGAACGTTTTGGCGCAGGCGGTGGAGGTGGCGGGACGGCGTCATCATCCAAATCATCATCATCACTCTCAAGAGCCTTCTTCGCCGCCGCCTTCCTCGCCGTAGCCGCAGGCTTTGCCTTGCTGCCACTTGTGACTCGAGTTCCCGACGGTTTTCGAGCGGTTTGAACAGGCTTCTTGGGGGCTGGCTCTGCAGGTACTTTGTCAAAGAAGTCAGCAACGGACGATTGAGCGATGGCTTTCTGCTTTTTGGCCGGCTTCAGGTAGAGGTCATCGTCACTTCCATCCCCTTCGTCCACAGGGCTGTTACATATGTTGCCGTCAACTTCCGACCAAGCAAGACAAGACAAAAAAAGTCATACCTCTTGCGCTTAGAAGCAGGTTTCGATGGAGCCTTCTCCTTGCCCTTGCCCTTAGCTGCTGCAGCAACGACTTCAATATCCGAGTCATCGTCCAGAGGAGTTGCCTTCTTGGGAGGAGCCTTAGGCTTGTCATCCACCATTTCGATATCCGAGTCCGAGTCAATGGGCGACGCCTTCGCTTTCTTTGCGGCCGCTGCTCTTCTCGGTTTGGGCTTCTCCTCGATATCGTCATCGGAATCGTCAATCGATAAAGTTTTCTTCGTAACCTTCTTCCGGGCAGGAGCAGGCTTTATGTCAAAGTCATCGTCAGACTCGTCTTTCACCACAAGCTTCTTGGCCGCCCTCCTCGGTGCAGGAGCAGGTTTGTCGTCATCCATATCCTCGTCCTTGATCTCAATCTTCGAGCTAGATGCGGTAGGTACAACAGCAGTTGGCTTTTTTGCTGGCTTCTCGGCCGCAGTCTTCTTGGCCTTCGCAGCTGCCTTTGGTTTGAAGTCGTCGTCATTATCCGAGCCGTTCTCTTTCTTCGCTTTCTGACGCATCATAGCTGCTAGAGTTGGTTGCTTGCGTTTACCCTTCTTCGCCACTTGACCTGGGGCGATGACCTTGTCCTCCCAAGCTTTGTACGAATTCTAGATAGGATGCTATAAGTTCGATGGTGAGTGCAGTCAGCCAAACAGTGGCTTACCTCCCATTCCATAAGGAAGTGGTCCAAATCAGTGTTCCAGATCTGGATAGGTGTGAGCTCGAGGAGGGTAAGAAGTTCTTTCTCTTTTTCCTGAGCTTGCTTCCGGAGCTTCTCGATCTAAAGAGACAACCGTTAAGACAACCGTTAACGCAACCGTTAACGCCTCGAAGTATACAGCCATGATCAGATGACTAACCTTTTCCTTGGTCAAGCTAGAGATCTTCATGTTCAAAAGATAATCATAATCAGTCCCATCTTGTTCTTCCTCCTCTTCTTCATCCTCGACTACATCTTCGTTCTCTCCGGCGACTTTTGCTTTCTTGACAGTAGGGTATGGACGGAATTGAAGTTTGCGAAGTTCGGCGACGACCTCGACCTTCTTCCTGGCCGAGATAACAAGCTTCTTCTCAACAATCATTAAGATGAACCTCGCCTGATTGGTCAACTTCTCGAAGTCGCTCTGAAGCTCTTCGACCAAGAAGTCCTACGCAGTTCCATCAGTAACTGCGAACATCATAGAAATGTATTGGGACAGACCTTGCGCTTCTGGTAGTATGCAAGACGAACGGGGAAAAACTCTTCGATAATCTCTTCTGGCGAGCTGTACTTCTTGATCTTGCCTTCGAAGTCGAAGCAGATCATATTGCTCGTATTGATCTTGGTCGTGAGCTTGAAGTATTCAAGCAGCCCTTGCTCCTCAGCCTTCTTCATGCCTTCCTCAGTCATGACGACAGAGTAGTGGACATTCATGTTGTCATGGTACTCCTTGAATTCCTAGAATAGTGAGAACACACATGTTAGCAATTAAGTATTCTCTGAATGTGATGCAAAGCGTATACCCTGACTGGCCCGTCTCCCTTCTCGCCCATCATAGCTTCCAAATCGACCTTATAATTTGACGTCCATTTGTGAATCGGCAATTCAATAATATCGACGGTGGTGTCGTCAACCTTCCTCGCGATACCGGTGACATCGTACTTGAATTCGCCGGTCTTCTTGATGATACCCTTGAAACCACGCCACCAAGGTAACATAGGCACCTGTTCCTCACCCTTCATCAGTCGGCGAATGTTGTCCACGATGTCGGTAGGGTTGTAACAGGGCACGTTAGTGCTCCAGCCTACCATACAATTCAGATCTACAACTCACAAAGAGGGTCGTTCAACACTCACCAGTACCGATACCATCTGCTCCATTCACTAGGACGAGAGGTATGATAGGCATGTACCATTCGGGTTCGATTACAACGTTGTCTTCCTGCAGGGTGTTGAGTAGTGGGTCGTCCGCAGGGTGGAAGAGAGCTCGAGCCATCGGAGAAGGTTCGGTAAAGATATACCTGGCCGAAGCATGATCCTTACCGCCCTGATCACGAGTACCGAATTGTCCATTCGGCATGAGCAAGTTGACGTTGTTGCTACCAACGTAGTCCTGGGCGAGGTTGACAATGGTCATCATCAAACTTTGCTCTCCATGATGATATTGGGATTTCTCGGAGATGTAACCCACGAGCTGAGCGACCTATGAATTGTACGAGGATGAGTCTGAAGTAGGCAAGCGAAAGAAAATTCCTGATATTCACCTTGATTTCGCTCTTCAGCTTACGTTTGAAACAACCCCAGATAACTTTACGTTGACCAGGTTTGAGACCGTCAGCAACAGCGGGAATAGAACGAATGTTATCAGCTTGAGAGAACAGGATGAGTTCGTGGTTGATGAAGTCCTTAATTGTGATCTCTCTCGTATTATGATCGAGGAATGTACCAGGCTATCCAGCAACATGAGAATTGTCGCAAGACCCACAGAGAGACGGGACGGACCTTCAGTTGACGTAACCACTCCTTACGTTCATCAGCTTTCTTCTTACTGAACGCCAGCTCAATGAGATCTCGTTCCTCCTCCTTGACAGTGGAGAACGCGATCATATGCTTGTTCATTTGGCTGAAATAGTCGCGTGCATCGCTGTCTTGAGACGTACCCAAACCCTGTCAAGGCATGGTAAGTGACACCAAGACCTGTACGGATTTCCTGTTGACAGTACCTTGTAGTACTTCGTTTTCCATCTGTGTGCATCTGGCACACTCTCTAGCCATTGCTCGTACTCAGGAATGGTGAAGAAGTTAATCTTCTGGTTCCCTTTTGTCACCTATACACCGAGTCAATACCCGGGCACTGAATGATCACACCAAAGAATGATGCACGTACTCGAACGATAGGCGTGACGAACTCCACCACAAACTTCGGAATCTTGAGTAAAGAAGGATAGAAGTGATCGAGGTAATTGAGAATAAGACCTTTGATGTGAGAGCCATCGTGATCCTACGCAAAGTAGACTGGTCAGCATATACTTTCCGCTATGCGAGCTGGTCCACGAACTTGATCAGTCATAATCATGATCTGGCCATAGCGCAAATCGCTGACGTCCTTGTAGTCCCTGTTATGCTGCAGGCCCAAAATCTTCTTGATATTTTGGATCTCCTCATTCTTCATGATTTGGTCGTGTTTCGCGTCACGGACGTTCAACAGTTTACCACGCAAAGGGAAGACACCATAGTTGTCACGACCAACGACACTGAGACCAGCGACTGCGAGTGACTTAGCGGAATCTCCTTCCGTCAAGATAAGGGTACAGTCGGCTGACTTCCTTGAACCAGCGTTGTTGGCGTCGGATAACTTAGGCAAGCCTTTCAGACTACAATATAACGTAAGTGAGCAACCTCTTCACAAGCGCATATGAGCATGCATGCATACCGGTTGCGACGGTTGCCGTCAGTCTTCTTCAGTTCCTTCTCTGCCCTGTTCTTCGCCCAGTTCAGAACCTCATCGACAATAGAGGACTTTTGGACTGCGGGTATAGTCAGTAACGAAAGATGGGTCACTCCAGCGACTAATTTACCTTTCTTGTGGAAATCTTCAGAGAGCACTGGCTTCGTCCCGAACTTGGCGGCCTGCAAAGTAAGGGTTTCCTTCGTTTGCGAGTCGAACGTGGGGTTTTCGATTAGTGCATTTACGAAGATCCACATGTGGCTCTTGATCTGGGCAGGCTTCACTGCCGCACCCTTGTTCTTCTTCTGGATGTTCGTGATGAGGTTTTTTGCTATCTGGTCCGCAATGAGCGTGACATGCGAACCACCCTTGATCGTAGCAATGTGGTTCGCAAACGAGACGTGTTGGAACGTGCCGTCCGACACGGCGAAAGCGACTTCCCAACGAGTACCAATCTGTTCGTAGATCATGGTCTGCTTCGGCTGGGCAGCACCTCCAGATTCAATCGCCGCCTGTTCGGCAGCTGAGTTGAGGTAGAGCTCCACATATTGTTTGAAGGTCTTGATCTTCAGCCGTTCGTTGTTCAAGAACACCTTAACGTCTTTGACCGTTCCAGCCAGATCATACACGCGCTTCTTGAGCAGTGAAACGGTGTCTTCATCGATAGAGTCCATGCCGAACCGCTTCAAGTCAGGCTTGAATGTGACTTTCGTGTACTCCTCCTTCTTGCCGTTCTTCGTAATTTTCGCCTTGCCGCATTTGCTCATATTGTCCGACCACGTCTGGACGTACTTCTGGCCCCCTTCTTTGTCTGCAGTCTCGACGGTGAATTCGGTAGAATAGATGTTCGCAAGTTTGGCACCGTAGCCATTACGACCACCAGTCAGCTTCTTCTCGTCGTCATCGTAATTTGAGGAGGACAGAAGGTGGCCGAAGATAAGCTCAGGAACATAGATCTTCTCCTTCTGATGGATCTCGATGGGAATACCGCGTCCATTGTTGTACACTGAGATGGTGTTATTCTCAACGTCAATAGTAATCTTGAGGGAGTCCATGTTGGGGTCGTTAATCTGTCGAACAAATTAATTTAGCTTCACGTACGACATATCTCAGATTGTATGCCACAGTGCCAAGCCCCCATAATTGTTGACTGTAAAGCCAGGATATGGAAGACATTTCAGATCAGAAACGTAACCACAGAAATCAGCCCTAAATTTTAACGGCAGGTAACAAGTGGTTGTCTGCCTCGCGCTCCATGGCGGCTGGCTGGCGATATCCATTATACATATGATATACACATACCTTGTTATCGGCAGCATTGACGAGAATTTCGTCAATGATCTTGAAGAAACCAGGAACGTACTTGATTTCCCGGTTCACCATACGGTTGTTCTCTGAATCCCAAACCCACATGGCCTGCTGGTGTATTTCCACACTTCCAATGTAAGAATCAGGACGTTTGAGAATATGCTCAAGTTGCGTGAGCTGGGAAACAGGTAATTAGTTGTAGTTGTAGTATGAATTTCGGGAAGCATACCTTCGTGTACGTCTCGGTCGCAGTCTTCTTCTTCCTGGGTTCCTGCTCTCTGCTCGGTCCTGCCTCTGAAGCAATTTCATCGTCGTCTTCAGGGTCGCTTGCGTTGTCGTCCTTCTCCGCGAGAACTTTCTTAGTGGCCTTCGGTTTCGCAGGGGCTTTCTTTGGGGCAGCCTTTGCCTTTGGTACAGCTTTCTTCTTGGGCGCTGGTGCATATCCATCCGAGTCGGAATCGGATACGTCCAGGTTGAAGTTCTCGTCTTCCGAGGAACTCATGGTGGAATAATGTTTGATGGTGGTAGATGCGGTTGAAGGGCAAGTCGAGATTCGAACGTGAACGCGTCGCGTCGTAAAACAATATGGCACGTGATCGAAACGCCCGCAATTGGGACCAAAGAAGCTCTTTGCCACCCCAAGCCAAGTACGGGAGATGCCTAGCATTCCATGGAACCCTAAGCTTTCTGGACAGGCAACAATTCACTTTGAAGAGAAAGGGAGAGAAATGTAAACTTCACGTAAAAAAGGAAAATCATAATGTTTACATAAGCACCGGAAATGGTACAAATTTGAATTTGAATTACATTCAAACACTGCCATATAAGTACTTCATGGATTGCTTTGAACTACTAAGTAGTACTTACTATGAAACCTACTTCAAGTTACAGCCTTAGGTCTAGGTACAATTAGAGAACTTGAAGATCAGGAATAAACTCGGTGAGATACTGCCTAGTCATTTGCAATGCAGCTTTGAGATGTTCATATGTGACCTTCCCAGCCTGCATTTCATAGTCAAATTTGTCTTCAATTTTCTTCTGCGAATTGTCCAGTCGGACACCAGATGCTTTCAGGTTTAGCAGAGCCAACTGAAGGTGGCACTCAATCTTGTCGCATCTGTGTTTGGACTGCGCATTCCTTCCCTCATAGAATACTTTCCAGAAGTGAAATATCCAGGCCTTGTATGGCCCGCCATAGCCCGCAGTGAAGAGTTCCATGACTTTAGGCCAGTCTTCCATGAGGGAGTTCAGAGACAGTCTCCCACGGTCCTGCCAATCAGTCAGGAATTTAGCTCTTTTGTTGTCTTCCATCAGATTCCCAGTCTCGATTGGATACTTGATCATGCACCAAAGAGCCATGAAGAATGCACTTTCAAAATCATGATGAGAGTAGTGCCACTTGTCATTCTTGCCTATGAGCTCATCCGACATGAATGGCATGGTACCCAAATGATGGGTTTCGTGTACACCGGGAGGCTCGATGCAACTCGAGTCGCCATTCAAGCTGAGGTCAAAGTCATTGAGAACTAACCATACATCACCCTTATGCATCTCATACATGAGATTGCTAGTGCTGATATTGCCATGCAGTAATCAGATTTTGGTCTGTAATTCTTGTAAAGCTATGGGATGCCAACATGTCAGTCTCATCTTCTGAAAAGTACCTGAACAAATCTACGATCCAAAAGCTGTTGAAAAATGCTATTCATATTTCGTGGAGAGAGGATGTCTGTCATAGTTCTGTACTTCATAAAGACAATGAAGCGTTGACAGCAGTTGGTGTAAAATCTGCCATTTTCATCGTTAGAAAATTGAACACCATCAGAATGGCAGATTCTATGTTGTCTCTTCGTCCACGCATTTTCTTTCAGAAAGTGTGCATCAGCACCTGCCTCTTTGCAAATATGTAACAACTCAGAGACTGGGATTCAATTATCAGCCATACCTTGCATGCTCATCTTGATAACCAGCAGTCGAGCAGATATTGAAGGACCGGTGGTGACATTATATACACATGTCCTATGACCAAATAAAAATTAGTCAATAAAGATGGGAGCACCAAGAGTGACCTCCGGTTTGGCCAAAATGGCATGAATTATGATGGTACAGAAGCCACCCAGAGACGTGTGATAAGAGTGAAGAAGGCAAATTTTCTGCGGGATCAGGTTGGGTATAAGCAAATTGCGCTGTTCACAGTCACATAGAGCAAAACCCACTAGGATAGCGGCAAACTTGTAGAAATCTGTGATCCAGAAAATCTGCTCAGAGCATATGATTCCAGTTCCATCCCAATAGAATAACTTGAAGAGATCATCAATAACACAAAACTGAGGAAAGAAGCATCTTGGTCCCCCAGGCATGAGTAAATGGGATATGTGATTCTCCATCCACCTGGAAGAGATGGACTCTGTCTGAGCTGTAGTCCGACTTGCCATAAATGACGGCTTTCTGCCTTCTGTGTCTTCTTGTGTGTGTCATTGCTTCTTTAAAGAAGGTGCATCAGACTCCCCGTCGCCACGGTATGGCCTGTGCCACTCACGTTTCAGAATCCGATCGCGACGTCCTATTAATGGTGTCGAATCTTGCATGCTTGGGAAGGAATTCACAAGTCGGTGCCCCTCCTACCTGTCATTATTCCGGTTCGATCGCATTTGTTCCCAGACAGAGATGGTAGTATAGAACTACTAGATGTGGGCAAACACATAGCATACATGTACTACATAGCGGCTTTATATACTAAAATATAGAACAAAAATTTTACTTACAATTTTCTTACATCGAGTCAGTTTCTTACTAAGCGTGCAATTGCTCGCTCAGCGCTTCTACTACAACACTACCATAGTATGAAACTTGGGATATCTGTAAATGAAACATGCACTCTCACCTTAGGAACTGACTCCCACCCAACAAAGATGTCCCTGCGTTCCCTTCCAGCCACCTTCCACTGCCAGGCCTGACCAATCCTAGTCAAGGACTGCCATCTATCTTCCATTTGCGAATCTGCAAAGACCACCAATGAACCGAGCATCATAATGTCCGGCCAATCTGTCGCAATGAGAGAGGAATCTCGTCTGGCGTGCTGTTGGCTCTCATGAATCTGACGATTAGCAGATTCGGCCATAGCTCTTATACAACCCGTTAAGGCGTCACTGTAGAAATGAATGTCATGAAAAAGATAAGGCGGAAGGTCTAGAATCATTGTTCGTGCCAGCTCCAGAACCTTATTTGTCACTACGCAGAATGGTGAAATTTGAAGATGGTCGCTGAATTCGAGGTACTCTTTGACGGCGCGATATATTTTATCATTCGCAGCGAAGGTCTTTTGAACAAAGTGATTTGACCACGTGTGAATTTCTTGTAGAGGGTGATCAAAGGCGGTCGTCATCCAAGACATTGAGCGTAAGTCTGCGTTAGGAGCTTATGAATAAGAATAAAAGAATCAGTCAAAGTTGCTGTGGTATGCATTCAAGAGTCAGTGTTGGTGGAAGCACATGTATATCAACATCCAAGTGGCAAAACACATGCGGTTGTGTCTGCTAAATCCAAAGTCATTTCCACGTGTCAAGAGTCGGATATGCATGCACTGTGCTAATTGGAACTCGTTGATGTCACCCCCGCCAATTCTGTAAAGTGCACAGAACCACTTATACAATGACTATATGCAGCGTTATTCGAACGTCTGCGAAACCATGACGATCATAGTACGGGCAAAATGGGGAAGTCACTGTTCAGGACAACGTCAGTCTCGTAAGGCAATTTCTGAGCTAACATGTTACGCATCGTGGTAAGGATGTGATATCATCATTAGATAGGCAGGCTATGCGTAACTGTAGGGTGTAAGTTGAGCAGCGAGCTGAAAGTCCAGCAGTCTTTCTCTGCCAACTGACAGATCGGCTTCGATCGATGATCGGAGCGAACAATCTCAGTGACCGCCAGGCTTCCAACAATTGCACTGCGTACTCTCGCTTTCTCATGGAGTGCTAGAAAAGGTCCGAAGGCACATATACATGGAATTCACGAGATGAAGAACTTTTGCTGTAGTGCCGAAGTTTTCGACCACATCATAGACGGCCTTCACGTCGATAAGGCTAGTCTTGCAGTCTGTAGCCTTATGGCTCCCCCATGGCATCCTGCGAGTCATGGCATCTCGTATCGAGTCTATCAAGGGTGCCTCGAGGAACGGACATGCATCAATCCCCACTCGGTCACTATTCTACTGTTCATAATCCATGGATGGCAGTCATCAGAATCATGTCCTCCACGGAGAAGAAGAGGATGCCTTCGACCTTGCCAACAATGGTGTAATTATGGCCCCGTTGACGAAGCGAAATTGTTTATCTCTGGCAGGAATATGCATGTTCGAGGATCGGTCCGACCCTGCGACTGATAGATTGAACTGAAGAAGCCAAATCACTTCTCGTACTGTTTCTAATCCATGTTCCACCGTAGCGATGCTTCACTAAAGAAAATCACCTCTGCATTCCAGATCAAGAATGCTTGACATGTTGTTGACATCCCTCAATTTGACGATTCAGGGTTCGCCAAGTGTGACCCTGCAGAATGCTTCCGTCATTTCTGATGCGCATTTATCAGGCCGGTGGAATACGACATGAAGTAAGCAATTTTGAACTGCAGTGAACTCACATTTGGAATAGGCACGGAAAGTGACGCTACTTTCACTATTATAGTTTATCAGGGCTGATTGTTCTCTCAGGTTTCCATGAGCTATTCTTTCGGTCGAAATCTCACTCGCATCATTGTCAAAACTGTTCAATTCAATTGTACGGATGTTCTCCGTGTGTTCATCTGAACATGAGGAATCGTTACGAGAAGGCCATGTGCGCGCTACGAAGAAATTGGCATCGGTCAGATACTAGCGGCACGGCGAAGTCATGATATAGTGAGTCTCGCACCTTTACTGAATACCATTGTTTCTGATTGCAACTGAGTGAATGATCCGATGTCCTAGGGTGTTGGGAACCGTCTATCAAGTCTATTTCTCACCAACGCCATTGTGCTAGGAGATCAGCATGTGCTCCTTGGACCCTGAACGCCACCTCATGGTGCTTGTAGCTTGATATTGGGCTGGAGACAATGCCTCCGTCGCAGATAATCTACCTTTCCTTTTCGGGACTTGGCAATCGATTTCGACTACAACGTTGCTGGGCTCTTGATCTCACACGGACATCTACAAGTGATCCATAACTCATAGCCGGCATCGATGGTCCAGAAGATAAGTTAATATGGCAAAATGACGATCGGTCCACCTCAGCCGAGCATTGAATTCTCTCCGCACACGTCGTATCAATCATTTACGTGTCCTTCAAAGCACATTTTCCCGTTATTCTCAAAGTCAGTGTCTAAACGGTCACGTTGGGAATGTGGGCGTTCACTGCTATGCTTCCGCACAAGCTTCCGTTTTCCTTCAAAAAGGAGATGTCCATCTGCTCGTAATGGACTACGTATTCACGACATGACTTCAGAAACCCGAACACCAAGCCAAGAAGCAAAGCTTCTTGATGTATCCTGGAATGTTGAGGAGGTTCGTGTGTCACACTCACTAGTTCATCGTCCCCGCTTCCCCTGTGTACACGTCCATGTAGGTCACAACTTACCTGAAGCGCTTGAAGAGCGAAGCCGAAGCGTTCGAAATCTCCCAGACTGCGAAGTCTACCCCGTAGGCTCAACAGCTGCTTGGTCGAGTCGGCAAGAATTACTTTTGTGCTTGTAGGGATCTGCCTTCATTTTCTGAGCAAGCTGGGGGTAATCACGGTGCGTGTTCAAATGCCCTGTACGAACAATGTTGCTGTGAGGAATCGCGGTCTGCTAATTCAAGAGCACTGACAGCGTTTCGATCGTCCTTGTTATAGAAACATCTTCGTTGGAGACAGTTCCGCTTGATCACCAAGATAACTCGGATGTGCTAACTGCGTAGCGTACTCGTGTTTCTATTGTGTACAGACGTCGGAATGTCCGGAATTAAAGATCTCCCGACATCTACAAACTTACGTTAAGGCATAGCTGGCGATTCTCTATCTCATTTAGCATTTTTAAGCTTCAAGGTCGACTTCCAGGTTTAAGAATGAATGTCTTCTAACTTTATAGGTCCCTCTGAGTCGTGAGATTATCAGGCAAATACACTTTTGTCTACAAAGATGAGGTTACGCTGATGTTTTGAGCGAGGTTCCAAGATTTTTTAGGCATAGGTGTCGGGTGTCTTCAACAAATACACTAGCAGTCTGGAGCGAATAAGGGGGATAGACATTCGAACATGTGGCAGTTGGACAACACAGGGGCAACATGAGCAACAACAACTAAATTCAGATAGACAGAGCATAGTGAACAGGAACAAAACATAACTCGCTTGTACAAGTCTGCGAGTGGAAATATAGAAGCGAATCGTTAATGACCAGAGGAAGTCCATATTACCATTTACGAAACGGGTTGGATGGTTCAGGGAACGGCTCGAGTAAGGCAGGATGAACGTTACCTCCTCTGTCATGTAACTCCTGCCATCGATTTCGCTTGAGGATTACACGTTCCCATTCGTACATGTACATAGTGCGGAGGCGGTATTCTTGCAGCGCGAAGTCATCATAACTGGACTTTGTGACTGTGAACTCCCATGGATCGCTTCCAGCGTCGACAGCTGCAAGAAGGTCTCCTAGACTGACAGAAGGATCCAAGAGGCACGGACAGCCTGTCTCCTCGAGGAACATAAAGAGTAAACCCCCTGCCATGAATACCACTTCATCTCCCCAATCGGTATCGCGGCGAATAAGAAGAATTGGCTGGCCAAGGAAGAACGCCACATTCTCGTGCAGCCATGCATGATCCCTGTGAGATTGTGGGTTTCCAGTGAAGCAGTGCCATACACTAGAATTTTCCCAGTCCGTGTCCCACCCGATAGGAATACGAGGAAGGGTATATGACCTCCAGAACTCGAACAATGACATCCGTTCAGCCTCGTCGGTATCTTGGAATCGGCAGTATGGGAATGGCGGGGATGCAAAAGAAGTAATTGCGTGCTGTGAATGTTGCCATGAGTAAATTTCGGCACTCGCAAGAAATCCATGCTGACCATGGGTAGTACTGGTAGTTGTTCTTCAGGAACATAGGGCAGGAGAGCGACGGGAAGTGAGAGCTTTTCAATGATGTATGGATCTGAATGACTGAAATCATACAACACCAGTTCTCCAAATCCATTTCCAAAAACGGCTACACCTCGAGCTTCATCGAAGTCGCGTACGCCGAACAAGTACTGTGCAGGTAAATTGGGATCATCCAGCTCAAACAGAGGCGGGAGCCCTTCCGAGTCAGAATGAAACAATCTTGCGGCAACAAAGCTACAGTACTGGTAGCGATTATGGCGAGGAGTGCTTAGCCATGAGAGAGTTTGCCCGGTGACACCGAAGCTAGGGAATGTGATAAGGGGCCGAGGTGATGCAAATTCGGGGCAGTAACTCCACAGAAGCATCAAGCTGAGCTGATCATCCAGTGGGTCGCAATTTACCTGGTATAAGAATATGCCAGGGTACCCTGACAGACAAAAACGTAGAGGAGAATTTGAGTCCTCTGAGAAGAACGAGACGGAACCAACGCCGCGCGGCAAATCGACGGCTCGCCAAAAGGCATAATGGGATTGTTCATCATGGTTCAGTAAATAGATCTCGAGTGTTTTCGGAGTTATCGTCGCAATGCAGTTATGCCATCGTGCCATCGCAAGACATCCGCCCTACAAATGTCATTTAGATAGCCAGAAAACGCCGCGAACGTCACAGTACTCACTCTAGGATCAGGTAGTGGGCATAGCCGTTCCACGTCGCCAGTCTTCCAGTTAAGAATATGTGGAATACTGTATCCGTCATAAACTGCACATCCAATCCAATCACCATCAAAGAACCGCAAATGAGAGGCCCCCGTAAACCGCGCGCTATGACAGAAAAAAGGCCGAAGGTCGATATGGCGGATCGTCAGAACGTCGATGAACGAATTCCTGTCAAATGTGATAAGTCATGTGATTCAGAATAAAAATACAGTGAATACCTACGTTCCGCGAAGATACAGCGCAACGAAAAGCTCATCGTTATAACATTGAACCATACCATAAGCTACCGGAGCATCAAGATATGCCTCAACAATGGGCTTCGAAGACTCGGGAGACGAGAGAAGAGAACTCAATGACCAGAGAGAAATGACACTTGTATTCAGGTCCGATGAGGCGACCAAAAGCCACTGACCACGAACGAGACGAATCCATGTCACCGACCGTGGTTGATGAAGAGGTACGAGACGCGCTCCCTTCTGTGACATAGTCTTTTCATCCAAGCGGACCATATGCACTACAAGAGCCTCGACGAGTGATGGAGATAGAATGTCGAGTGGTCGCATATATGGGAAAACAGGAATGCCTTGCTCTGCAACGACTCGACGGTATAGCTGACACCATAGCTGTTTTGTCTTAGTCAGTTGTGCAATATGCCTGCAGGTCTGTATGTGGAAAAACGTGAGCAGAGTCCAGACAGATTGTTCAAACGCAGCAAAATTTGAGACATACGCAGCGCATCTTCAACACGTCCTTCACACAGAGCTCCCGCATTATGAGAAGAGTAACATCATCTACAAGGATATTGGCTAAAGACCTCATTGTGCGAGTGAATATCTAGAAGGGCATCAAGATTGAGGGGCCAGAGTCGACCTGCCGCAATTGCCTTGGAGAACCCCGAGCACCTAGGCGCTGCATTTGAATATTATGTCAGATGTTCCCAACTTTGTGGCACTGGAACCATGCAGGGTCTTGTTGTACTAACTCGGGTTATTAGGATCAACACAATGGTCTTGTGCTTATCCAATGGTTTAGAATGACTGTAGGTGGTCCTTGGCAATCCTCATGTTTTCCTTGCTTTGATTTCGTGTAAGATGCGCAACACGCCATCTGCGATTTACGCGATATGGCAATGATTCCTGCGACACTCTCATTCGAATCTGCATGCTCCCTGAGCCGAAGAAAACGCTTTTACGTTATGGCTGACATGGGCTGTAGTAGTCTTAGAGCGTCTGAGAACATGTTTTGACCAAGATTTAAAGCCCTTCTGTACTACGGTATGGACTATTCTCACCTTCCCTCGAACACCCGTTTGCTGCTGGTACAAAGTCTTCAACAATGTCAAGCATAGCGCCTACGGTTGCGAGCTTGAACGACCGTTTGTTGAATCCTCGAAACCGCGAGGGTGCTTGGCTGTGGACGAAAGAGCAAGTGAGTTCTTAGTGCTGTTGCTCCCTGCCTTCTTCTATACGATGAGCCGATGCTTAGGCATTCAACTATATTCTCAACATGCATCGAGTTGCCAAGTCGAAGAGTAGACAACTTGGCTACTCCGGCGCTGATGCCCCCCAATTCGAGGACGTTAACAACCTCATGGATAATGTCATATGGAGGGCGCTGCGGTTGGTGCTCTTCTCCGATAGGTGCCCACCCGCTAATTCCCTCACAGGGCAGAACTTGGTGAACAGGTGATCGCCAACGAATCTACAACGGAAAGTCCAGAAGGAGAACCGCAATCCATTAATGTTACTAGCTTCATCGGACGGACAATCCTCATTGGAGATCTTTGGAATGCGCTTGGTGAGGCTTCAACCCACGGTATTTATCTCTTGGTGCTCACACTTATCAGGTTTTTCTATCACTGTGGTTGATCTGAACGGCAGTTATCCGTCAAATACGGACTTTCGTTCCCAGATTTGGATTCTTCTCCAATTTGCACGTTTTTGCCTCCTAGTGAACGATAAGCTCTATGCATCGCCCCAGAATAGAACATATCTCCCTCGGAAAGCAGGAATAGAGTGGATGCATGTCTCCGAAGAAATACAAACCAGTGCGGGCATGCGGAGTAGGGATGTCAGTTTTCTCACTACCTCTACTCCACAAGCTGCTGTCGAGTCGGTGAAAAACAAATATAATGCGAAGCGAAAGGAGCTTATGTTTACAAGCCTCGGTATTGAGAAGCCGTGGCCTACTAAAAAGCACCACACCAGGTGGGATTGAGGAAACTGTAGTGAGCATTTGGCTCTTCCCGGGTACGAAACTCCACATTTGCGACCTGCATCTACTGAGGATCCTACTCTTGATAGCAACTATGAACCAAGCACCGTGATCAATAGTTTGGTCATAGACATATTTTGTGTTGCGGAAATGCGATCTGTCGATTCGGACTTTCCGGACAGGATCTTTACTAAGCTTTGCCGCTATTGCCAGGAGATGGTTCGAAAATCTCGTCAGCCACTTCATGACCGCGCAGATAATAAACGTGTGTATTGACTTGTTATTTGTCTATATCACTTTGAGACCGCGTCTGATGCCTTATCTCTTCGCCCCGCTTTACAGTTTATAATACGCGAGATCTTCCGCAAGAGAGTCGAGGTATGTAATTTCAAGGCCTGTCCTTGTGATCGTAGTATTCAGACACTTTCTAGCTGCTCACCAGCCCAACTTGTCTCAATCAAGTGCACAACAGCTTGCTTCTCTGAGAGATCTTCAACTGGCAGCTGCTTCTTCATCCCGAGAACCTCCTGAAGTGGCCGCTGCCAGAGGCAGTTCTTCGCCCTCATCGTTGGGCGCGACGGGAGCGCATACCACCGACGCGTCGACGTCTCAGACAAGGAGAAGGCGCGAGACTAGGGAGACATCGCGGACTTTGGCAGGTGCTCAGGGATCGTCTCGCTCTCGTCAGCCTCCCTCAACAGATGCAACTGATCCAGCAATCGCAGCTACACGATCTAATGCACCTACCGATTTCACCTCTAAGTCTATGTCATCGACCCCATCTGTCTCTCAAGCACATCATCAGCAATCATATCCTGTACAGGCAGGTCATCCAGTGGGGACCCAACAGCAAAGTGTTCAACGCACCAGGCCCCCGTCCACATCTCAACCCGCGTCGTCTCAGTATTCAGCTTATACTTCTTCTCACACTTCCACTGTTCCATTTACCTCCAGTCAACGTGCAGGTGATGCAAGTGGCATTTTGCAACCTGGTACAGTGCATGATGATCGCAGTCGTATGGGATCACAAGTGCTTCCTCAGTCTCAACAGGCGAGACACCATGCTCCCGCTCCATTATACCGCTTTGGCTCTATTGATCCTGGTGTTGAACCGTCTTCACACTCTGGTCAGGCGTCAGCCCAGAATGCCTCACTAGTCCCATCTGCACAGTACACACCCGGCGCTGTAAGGCAGCGTGCTTCGGAGCAAGGCATACCTCCTATACCTTCAGCTCAGGCTGCTCACCCGGAACGTCGTATGCATGTGAATCCTGGTGTCTCATCGGCCTCGGCTTCGGTATCTGCGAGTATTTTTGCCCATCACCCCTTACCCTCTGCTGTCTTGACTTCCGGTACCTCTACCTATAGTCCGCAGCAACAACAACCTGGTTTCTACCCTTCTTCTACGGTTGCTGCTGGACCATCTGGTCCTTTTAATGCTCATCCTGGTTCGTCTTCGCATGCTGGTGCTCTACACTTGGGGACCTCTCAGGGTCCAGCATCTACAAACCCGACCAATGTCGGATCCTTCCCGAATCTTCAGCAACAATTCTACAATCAGAACGCTGGAACATTGCATGACATGACTACCCTTGCTAATGCACTACCTGCTGTTCCCACATCTTCGTCTACTTCTCATACTGCGTCGTATCCACCCCAGCGCCAGATAGTTGTGCCTCCGCAGTCTCATGGAAGACCTCCTCTTCCACCCGGTCAACCGCAGCACAATGCGGCGAATCAGTACCATCCAAGCTCAACACGCCCTCCCCCATCTGGGAATAACTACTATAACTCTGCTCGCTAAGTTGCCTTCGCTATGACATGACGCATGCTGTCTCCGTTACTTCGACTTTCACATCCTGTTTTCTACCTTGTCCTGCTCTCATTGCTATTCACCTATGCCAGTCTCACTTTTCTTTATTATGCGACCCTCAAATTCAGGTTTCCGTCCATTGCAGCGCACTCGTCTGCCTATCCCGATACTAAGTTTACATCTCCATGTAGATCTATCAACGCCCAAATATGCCTTAGTATTGTTCGATCTGTTGCTTACCTGTACGAATTGTATGCCTTCCTTGAAACCATTATCCAGTCTCCCAGTCTTTAGTCGAATGTGAAATCCACAGACTTGAGGGACACAAATTCAGCTTTCATCATGATCGCTTTTGGTAATATCTCCTGTTTGTGCGGTCGGGTGCAAGTTATAACAGCTGGCTACGAGACGATCCATGGCACGTCAAGGCTCCATTGTCGATTAAGCTGCATGCACGTCAGACATTCCATATAGTCTTCGAGTTGAGGCTTGAGTTAAAGTCTTGGGTTGATAATGCCAGATTCCTTTTGTTGCTTTCTAAGAGTTTGCAAGTCGCGTTGAATCAGGGAGTTACTTTCATGAATCAAGTCCGTGTAAATACGCAATGCAAAAATGATACAAAATGGTACATGTTATAAGGGTCCGGGGGAAGCATAGGGGAAGCGCGGATTTCGACATCTAAGCCTCAGAAATTATACGCCGTCAGTATCGGGGCACATATGGTGAAGCAGCCGGTGGCGTTCCACCCGGTATAGGTTGACGGAACTCAGGCGAATTGAGAGGGTAATGCTCTTCCCAAGAGCCAGACGAATGGTACCGTGTATGCCCTTGTGGTGTCATAGGAGCCGGCCCCTGTCCCGGAACGCTGACGAGAATAAGCACACGGAAGAAAGGGAAAACAACGTTAAATATATTGCTCTTACGTGGGTCGCGTAGCGTATGGGGGTATACTCGGAGGCACTGACATCTGAGCCATCCTCGGACCGCCGGCATTGAAAACGACTGGGGGTGGTCCATCCCAACTACTCAGTTTTCGCATATCCCTTCTCCTCCTTGACGGACTGCCTCTAATGCAACCTCGAATGGCTAAGGATAAGTGTATCAATGAGCGACAGTACAACGTATACAAAGAATACAGCGTGGACGTACCAGCTATGACACCCCATATGACGAGAAGTAGGACCACGGCGGCCACAATCGTCACAGGAATCGAAATCTGCAAATTGCTTGTGTACCACGACTGTATAGGTCCCGTCAGCATCGGGGATTCAAGACGGACATCAAGTTCATACCTTGGCGGTATCCAAGAAACTTCCTGATTGACAGTTGCCGCTCACACAAGTTCCTCCGTAACCTAGAATGATGAACGTTGTATCAGGTTAACCGTCGCCGCTACGGACAGGTCGGAAACACGTACCGCAAGGCGAGCCATCTATCAGCGTAGACTGTAGGATGACACACTGATTGAACACCCTGGGGTCCTGACACGAAACTTGACATGACCGATCATTCTGGCTGTTGCAAGCCCTACTTAAGTTCATAGAAGCACCGACAGTCTGACATTGCTCTAGATGGTCGTGAGCCTCAGCAGTCTGATACAGGCTTGAATGATCACTCACTATCGAGGGAGGTGCAGACGCCGTTCGCACAAGCCAAGCCATTGTCTCCACAGCTTTGACCTAGGGGTGTCAGTTAGCCACAAAACCCAAGACATTTCTAAATAGGCCGCACCATTAGGGGAGAACACGTCGGAGGGGCAAGACGAGGAATTTCCAGTGCACATCTCTGGTTGATCGCATAGTGAATCCTTCGATGGCCTGCAGACCTGTGTCGTCGGGGCAAAAGTACATTCTCCAGTGCAGCACGGGCTACTATCCGGATCGCATACTGCACCAGACCTGAACTTGCACGTGTCGACATCACAACAGCTGGAAGTGGAGCCTGTACCGGGATCACAGTCTTCGCCTTCTTCGACGATACCGTTTCCACACATTTGCAAGGAGATCAACTGAGGCCCTGAACCAGGGTCAGCCAAGCAGGAGGTATTGGTCATGCCTCCAGAGTTTCCGAGCATGAGGGAACCTGCAAAAAGATTAGAAGTGGCAATGTGGAAGGCAAATGTCAACTTACAGATGTTGCCGAGACTACACTGCGAGAATTTGGTCTCTCCAGCTTCAGCGACAGGGCTCATGATGAATTGCGAGTTGGCATTGCAGCTATCCTTAGTTAGTGGACAACATTCACCGTCATTGCCATCGCATCCGTCGGTACACTAAATCCAGACGCTGTTAGTGTAAGCAATGAATGACGACCTGTTGCTTGCTCACATCGTGCTGTAGATCTTGTTAGCGGGATCTGAGTGCACGTTAGGGATGAACTTACTATAGCTCCAAAATTGTGACCAATTTCGTGTGCGATGACTTGCCATTCCACACGTCCTGACGTCGAAACAGCAGCTCCAGAGACAACGTTTGGCGAACTGCCAGAAGACGTAACTTGGCACCTATCACACCATTTCAGCAACAGGTCAGAATTCCGTTTGATTATTACTTACAGAGTTGCGAGCCAAGCGATACCGACTTCCGTCCCAGTAGGACATCCAGACATCAGATGCCAGAGTCCGGCACCGTCAGCGCCCTTCTTCCCCCTCCAATCAGAGAAGACTGACAGGCGACTATTGAGCGTTATATCGTTGCTACATGCGACGTTCCAAGGGTTCGCCGAATCAGCGGTACTTGGACACCTATCACATGCCGAAAACGTTAATAACTGGTTGATAGCAATCTCAGCGACGTACTGAGGGTCTTGAATCTGCAACTCTACAATACCCAGACTGACGTTGAATGTATTCTGAACCACGGTCAGGACAGCCACACAAGTGAAAGAAAACAAACCACGATACCTTATACAGAGCACTGGCAGTGTTGAAGTTCGATATGATCTGCTGACTCGCGTTTTGCTGTGACCCATACTGCCTAACATACTCGCAGTCTGCGGCAACTCCCATAAACACAATCTTCTGGGTGGCCGGACATCCAACTGTATCACCAATGTGATCTTGGAAGCTGCACAAGAAATTGTCAGATGGACATTTACTCTTCAACATATCAATGTCAAATTAACGCCAAATGTACTGACTTGATGCCCATGCCACCACCAGCGACATCATCTCGTCTCACAAGCGTTGCATTAGGGGCCCGAGTGTCCAAGAATCTGAACGGATCGTACCATGGCGAAGTAGGAGGAGGCGCCGGTCTTCTTAGGGCAGGGTTCTGTGACGGGTCAGTGTTGTATTTGAGCCTATCATGTCCGCAAGCCTTTGGAGGTTTAGGAATGGGTTGAGAGTCCAAGCCTTGTACCGCGTGGTATTCATGAGGCGACATGATATCCGAGTCTCGGAAGATGACCAGTGATGAGTCCTCGTCCATGCTTATGACATGTGGGTCCAGATGATGCTTGTTACGCAAGTAATTTTCCTTGGTCATGACATGGTGAACAACGCCATTCACTGAGAATGCGCCTTCGAACGAGGGTGCAATTCCTCGATGAATATCGCCTTGATGGTGAACTGTAATCCTTGCCCAACCCAGTTCCGACTTTCCAGAAGGCCTAAGCCAGACACCTGCGGCATCTTCTCTCATACGATCTGGAGATACGTCTGCTGGTATAACCTCTCCCCAGTAAGCTTTAATCGATTGAGGAAGTAGAGGTTCGGTGTGACTGAGTATCGAATCCCCATTCGGACCTGTTTTATAATATTTGATTCTCGCAGCAGGATGAATGAGGTGTTCATTAGGACGAAGATGAAGGTAATAGGTATCGTCAAAAGCGGTTAATTTGAGGCGGAAGGAGTCGGTATGTTGGAGAGTGGGCTCATCAATGGGGAAGGAGCGTTTTCCATAGTTTCCGGAAGATGATGGCCGTCGAGGAAGAATCTCAAGTGCAAGAGTGGACGGATGTGCGATTCGTTTCAATGGTCTTGGGGGAGAACTGGTTGCTGTGAATGAAATACCCTGTCAGTACTTGAAATATGCATGTTCGTACAGTATTTTAATCGTGACCATCCATCCTGCACCTGCATCGAAACTGCTCCTGCAGTCCAGTTCCCCTAGCTCTGCGATCCGCAGCACATAGCCATCCTCCATCACTACACAAATGGCTCGATCATTTACTCACCAGAGACATAGTGAAATCCAAGAAAGAATGCAAAGGCAAGGGCAAATATTCGATGGCAAGGAGACATGAGAAATCGTGAGGGGGCAAAGGAACGAAGGCCTTCCCTCCGTCAAACGATGGTGGTATAAGTAATAGTCAGCTATAGCCAAGAACACCTGGGCGACAAAATTGCGGTGCTCGATGAACCGAGTTGCCCAAGATGATACGAATGCCGACCAGCGGGAATATAAGTTACCAGCAAGGGGTTCGAATGAGATGGAAACAAAGAAAGATTATGAAAGTTGCCTGAAAGTACGCTCTGAAGGTGCTAACGGCCGTCAGAAAGAAAAGGTCAAAGTTGTCAATGAAACCACTATTGATGCTGGTAACAACTCCCAAGAACTCAGCCGATCGGCAGGACACAGCCAAATCGGGTCACTGATTTGTTTCCGCCTTTGCCGGTCATGCATATACAACGTTGAAGATGCTGTTTGTAAACGACTCTGACGCAGGGATGAATGTAGAAATTGTATACTATGTACATGTCGTAGCATCGTAGTAGTCAGACATTTTCTGTACACTGCCTGCGAGCAGTCGATCTCGGCAGCCTGGCCAAGGACATTCAGCCGTCACGGCGGATCCACAGTGCGCAGTCCATCGTGGACATCATTCTTTCTTCGAAATCTTGGACGGCTGACCATAATAGTATCTCTGACGTCCGACACCGGCGAACCAAGCAAGCCTGTAACGCAGTCAACCTCGAGTTTAATTTCGACTGAAGCAGGCTGACACTCGCCTTGTTGCGAGAAGGAACACCACAAACGTGATATTACCATGAGTGGTACCATTCCAGGCGGAAGGGTTATACTGCAGTGAAGCAGGAAGAGCAAGCCAGGAAGCAATGATGCTGTCGAAAAACAGTCGTACACTCGCATCTCCGATAAACCGCATCAAGAACTTACTGTGTTACCTAGGGTACGCCGAAGTAAGCAAAGAATTCCTTGTAAATAATTCATAGGGAGAGAAATCCAAGAGACAATTCAAAGCGAAAGGAGAGCAAGAGATCGGTATTGGCTTTGCCGCAGGACGTTATAGAGAAATCAAAACGAAGCAAAGATGGCGAGACTCACGTCAGCGATGGCCATAGCGGTAAAGGTAGCGCCAGCAATACGTTCCTGGGCGACAGGGTTATCTGGTAAAGCGTCACGCACTGCGCGCAAGCCCAGACCCTCGAGGAGACCTAACAGAAAGTAGCCTGCGGAGATCGTCAGCTGCCTATCCATCCTTATGTCATATTACATATAGGACTTGCAGTTTCCCAGCTGCCATACCGCCATAGTCGTTCGAGCATCCATAAACGCTTCAGATGGTGGCGTGCCATCCGGCACAAGTTCATGATGGAACCATGCCGCTCCGGGAACGCCCCAAATAATAACAGCAGGCAAGACGGTAGAGACTGTCAATACTGTCAGCGAAGTTACTGGATAAAAGAACTCTTAAACTTGACATACAAGGCTCGAGGTACAAGAACAGTAGTCGATAGAATCCAGTTACAGCAGGATAGTCTGTCATCGTTGAATAGACCACCAGGAATCACTAGTACTGACGCGTTAGTACGCTTAGAGAACCCTGCACATATCGCATACCTATCGTGCTGAGAAAGCGCGAATTCAGCGGTAATATAGGTCAGGTCTAGGTGCAGCCACTGCGGCAACCTGTGAACTTCCTGTGAGAAGTTCTCATCCAACTCAAAACACCCAAATCCGGGACACACCAAAACCGGCGCTCGTGTCATCGCGCTTACGACTTCCAAGAACTCGAAAGTTTGTGCTTTTCTCAGACTCCATGGGATCCTGGTGGTCTGGTTCTGTATGTGACTATCGTTTTCATGTGTAGAATCTAACTATAAATATTTTCTCAGAGTCTCAATGTCTTACCTTCATCGAAACCGCAAAGTTCAATGACGGGGCCCGGTGATCGAAATATCTCCAATTATCTCTTTCGCCAGGTCGAGAGGGAAGTCTCAATGAATTCTGCACCATCCTAGAGAGCACCCATGGAGTGATTAGATGCTTACAAGAGCTTTTGCGGCGCTGGACGATCTCATCCCAAGTCTCAAAATTCTCAGAATTACGGATTCGGAATGGATTGAATCATTCCACCCTCCGTTCTCTTATTTAAATTTGCTGGAACCTGATACAGGTGAGCTCCGTAACCATTTCAATTCATTTCCTAGTCGCAGTCGTCGCAGCGCGATGTATCATTTGTTGGCTGGAACGGTCGGTCATATCACGCAACACTCGTCATGTAAGTTGCGTACAGACCGATCTATCTGTTGCATTGGATTCCTACGTCGGGATGGAAAATGAAGGCGTATGTAAGTGCTTGAAGCCTAATCTTTCATGTTACATTGCTGATCCCATTGTTCATACATTTACCTTGTCATGTCACGAACTTGCATGCTGTACCAATGTTTAAGTGCTCAAATTAACGGTGGACTTGATCGCATAATTTTAAATTATCGCACCTTTCACAGGTACGAGGGTCTATGGCCTCGCGGCCGTTAACGTCCTTGTGTTTGTTCCCTCAAGCTTGCAAGTCACAACGACAACGTACGAGTTTGCAAACAAAGCGTATATGCAATACATGATCGACGCTACCGATGAGAACTTGATGAACGTGTCTCGTGGTGAACGCTCGCGGTTGCGGACCATAGAACACGAGGAGAGAACCTTTGATCCCAACCACTCGCCGGTTTCCCGAGATCATTTGGCCCCTCGGCTGAGCGGCGTGCGTGCAGTGATCAAGATGGAAAGCCCGACGTTCGTGATGACTCAGTTTTCTACGTCCTTTTCAAATATTCATACACCACTTCAGCTGTTCCAGTGGCAATGAATATTGTCTGCAACCCCGCCGGCGTTGTCCCTTCACATAAGATCGGTTGATGCTCCATAAGCCTCAGTTTCATGTTATGTTGTGAGCCGTGTTACGGTTGCTTGGACTTTCCGACGGTGGCGTTCTATTTATTTTGCAAAATACCAATCGCAGATTGTCAACTTGTAGGTCTCGATGGTCCAGAGTTTGTCGGCAAGCTTTGAGAAACATATTGCATTGCCTATGCGTAGTCAACGAAGAATATCACAATCTTCCTTCTACTCTGCCCTACATGGATAAAACACTGAGCTCCCCCAACGGAGTCACCACGTTTCCTCTCGCCTTATTAATTCTCCGTGCATGATCGTGCCTAAAAACACAGGTATGGGAGCTTATCACCGAGACCCCGTTGGAAATCTCCGTAAATGAATTGGAATTTTGTGACTGTATCTCAGAATTAACCTTGTCTCACAACAGCTCTCTATGGTGCCGTCTCTGTCTTTGAGACGTATCATATCCAAGAGCACGGTCAATGTGAACTCCGTCACAGCTTGACACACAGCTCCCCCTGCCAATGACACGTCGAGCTGTAGAATGAAACCTTCGCTAAGGGACGAATAAAACATATGCATTTCCGCATCCTAAACAGTAGTCTAAGTCTCTAAGTCGCGCGAATTTTACATCATAGTAACCAAAAAGCTATGAGAGATCTAATAATGGAACAAGTTTAGCGATCTAAGTCCCAAGACAACGTTACTATACAGCGAAACAGGAGCATGCTCTATGGGCGGGAATCAGACAGAACCTCGCGTCAAAAGGACTCGGGCCAACGGGCCTGCAATCGTGTATCCTAAACGGCACAGCACACCGAGACCCACAGCAAACGCCGCTGTCCGATATGCGTCAGGATACCAGACGCTCGATCCATATTTCTGTCCAGAGGACCTGTGCGACATGTGATCGGCCTCAGCAGGCTTAACGGACGGTAGTGGCGCATCTTCTGCACGAGGATAGACGGGTATGACCATAGCTTTCTTGTTGGTCACATCCATGCCTCGGAAGTATCCTACGATCGAAGACGGTGAGGGCAGTCCAAGTAAATTAAATTGTCGATACTCACGAGGCGAGTCATAATACCACACAACGGTCCCTTGAACGTAGTGCTCGAGTGCAATGAAGTACCTCCTAAGCTCGCTGTCCACTTCCTCCCCGAATGAGGGAAGTTGAGCTTTGAGCTTGACATATTCCTTGACGCGATCGGCTAACATCTCTGTGACGATGTCAACCGCATGTTGCAGACCAACGTCTCGCTCAAGCATTACACAGAAGACGAGATTCTGGAAGTCATTGTCCGATTGCTCTTTCTGTATTGAAATCAGCATGGAGTGTCATAGAAGCTCAGTGGATCATCTCACGTTAAATGAACAGAGATCCTATTAAGGAAGGTGACGTCAGCATGGCTTCGTTGAAGACGGAAAACTGAACATAGATCCGCTTACATTTGGCCATGTCATAATGTCTATGGCAGCCTTCGACAATCCAACCAATATAGGATGATCCCACACATGCTCAGGGACCACAATGTCAAGGGAATATTCTACCATGGCTGTGATGATGATCCGGTCATTATGTCTATTCGTTTGGACCTGACAGCATTTGCATACCTTCCACGATCTCTCCACCGATAGTTCGTCGACGGAGAATGATAAATTCTTCAGAAGATGGGACGGTGCTAAACGCCCTGTTGCCTGCCTGTTCAACTTGAGAGTTCATCCAGCTCTCAACGGCCTTCTTGAACCTAAGGGTTTGTTAAGACACCGGTGAGATATTAATAAGACTTTTGCGAAAATTATATCTTACCTATTGCATGCACCTGGACTGGCTGTGGAGCGGAATCGCCTCCAGATACTACGGGCCAATGCTTGTAAGACGTTCCGATGCTCCGAATAAAGGAACGCGAGATGCACTCACTCATGAAGCATAGCAGCGTATTTGAATTTGGGTGCAGGTAGTTCAGGATTGTTCAAGACCTCCATGGAAATATCAACGCCGACTTGGACACGCTCTGGTTTGGACTGATACTCTCCTTCATCAGATAGATCGTCGAACTGCAAACATAGTTATCGATCTCGGGTTCCTTCGCCAATTGCATAGCATACGTACGGAAAATGCCCACAGGAAAAAGGATATGCATGTCTCGAGATGTTGGACATCTGCATCGGGGAAACTGAGACCGGCGTAGAGGTCGAATGCATGAGACAAGAAGCGTCGCTCTTTAGGTTCGGGATAGACTTGTAAACTGAGTGAAAGAGGTGGAGTTAGCAGATTATTACACGAACATGAAGGATATACATACTTTTTGAACCACTGCTTGACGTATTTGTAGGCTTCTTGTTGACGAGGATTTTTCTTCAATTCGAAGACGGGGCCCGTAATGGCAGTCAAATCTTGCAGAACGAAATGGGTAGGGAAAGGTCTGAGGTTGGCTACGTTCATGGTGATCTCAATGGTATTGGGGGAATGAAATGGATTTCTGTTGTGCATTTACTCCAACAACCCACAATGTTTTATACCAACCACCGGGCGATTATCAACCCCTTGCGTCAGTGCTAGATGGCGGGACGAACATTACACACCAGACATATGTCCACATGCCGCTTTGATAGGTGGTCCAAACGCGATTGCGTCAAATGAAATAAACAAGAGAGTTAGGGAGTAGAATTCCAGGGGGGAGGAGGCGCTTGTCGATAATGGAAAATATTGCGAATCAAGCGATGCAACGTTAATCCATTCGTAGACGATATCTCCTTGATCCATGTAAAACCGAGAAAAGTAGCAAGAAGCCATAGTTCGCCATGAGGTAATGACGTGGTTTGTCAGGCTCCTGTAATTTTGAGGGCGACAGACCTATGACTAGTTACCAGCAAAGAAAATGCACAGGCCGCTCTGCTGAAACGGTCACTTCAGGCAATACTGCAGGTTACGGTTCCGATTAAGGAATGATGACGGACGAGATTTGACGCCAGAAGTATAGCTACGAAAGTCGTCTAAAGAAGAAACACTTTAATGAACAGATAAGCGGAGCCCGAGAAACCATATTGAAACATACGCAGCGCTTTGCAATGCCGAAAATGGTGGGTCACACTTGGGCCAGTTGTAGCGTCATCACGACACTCTGGGTCTCTCAACACCGCCTTCACGCAAACTCAATTGGTGGCCTTGTCAGATCTTCTATCTGTATGAGATAATCTTGCATACGAGCTGGTGACTCGGGGGCGTAGCGATCGGACAAGCCCATCAAATGGGTGGGACCTGTATGCCACGACACGCGTGAATATGAATAGTGAAGTCGAACGTGGTTGCACAAATTCGGTGTGATTATGGCGAACTCGAAGGCCCAAGGCTCAACATTTTCAAGTGCATTTAAAGCATGTGTTATTGACGACTTTCGTCGATACTCTGGTGCTAATGGTCACAGGTATAAGAAGCCGGGATAGAACGAAACTTTGCATGCAACTAACTTGAACATGTTAGCGGATTAGGTCCTGATTTTTGCAGCTTGTATATCGTGTGTTGGAGAGTCCGCTGTCCTCGGATTTGTACTGAACAACTTCAGAACCTGATCGATGATCGCAAGCTTGAGAGAGCTTTGCATTCAATACGAACGAACTTCTACAATTTCCCACGAGTTATTAACAAGGTTAGCGCTTCAGTTTAACCTGACTAGGACTAGTCCAAAAGCAACGCAAAGCACTCATATCCTCCTCTGCGGGCCTCTAACTCATCCCACACCGCACTCGAAGAAGAAAGCCGAAGATTGCAGCGTGGTCTGTTGAATCTATACAATAGGTACAGCGAGTACGGAGTATTAACATTACTATCTTTCGGCCTTTCAACAACTGAGCATCCATATGGAGGAAACCTCCCTGCACTTCAAAGGTATGATTGACTCTCTTGAGACTCTATGCCTAATGAGCTAAACATCGCACAGCCTTACTACTTGCAAATGAGGAGCGGAATGCCTACGGCCTGCGATACAATGATTATGAGCGGTATAGGTCAGTCGTCATAATCCCTCCAATTTGAAAGCTTTTGCTAATATGTGTTTAGGAAGCATTGTGCGAACAGAACGCATCGGTTGAGGTCGTCGTTGAAAATGACTCATGGAAAGGGTAGAGAGTTCAAGAAACTACCTCCGATAAAAGTGGAGAATATCAAGGAAGGCTAGTGCGTATCGAGTTTCATATTCTTACGATATGTTTTGATTTACGAGCCCCATATAGTCTACAATTGCTTCTGTTGGAAGCAGAACGCGCCTGGACGTACTCTCGTGAACTCAATGCACAATCTACGAGCCCTGCGAATAAGGAGCGTTCGGCGGGGTTGAGACGCAACGCCACCTCGCGATTCCGTCGCGCAACCAATTGGGCAACTCAGCTCTTATCGCATTGCCAATCACTTTTCTCTACAAATCGCCTATCTGCTGAAAGCCTCGTGCAAGCCACTGTGTACACGCTAATATTGAACGGTCGTTTCTTGAGTAACCGTTTTGACTATGACTCTGCTCTAGTGCAACTCTGCGTTGCTCGAACCCTCCTAGACGAATTGGCTGCTCGTGCTGCCACCAGTCGTGATCAAGCCCTTGCAACGGCTTTCGCGGACGAGATTGGGCCCGAGATCCGTTATTGTGCCCACGAACTAGGAAACACCAAGGCCTACGATGTCGATGCTATTGTTTCGGAGATCGCCTCGAAACACAAGAATGAGATCGTAGATGGCTACGACAACCTCGTCCGGAAATTGACTGAAGAAACCGCCGGCGGTGCAGAGGCAGAGAGGAAGAAGCTGAAACCTGTGCTTTGGGAGGGGGAACCAATTCCTATTCGAAACCCCGAGCTCGTGGATGTCTTACTCAAAGTACAGGAGGCCGAAGCCAAGCTGCAAGAGACCCCGGCAGAAAAGCAATCGGCGGAGTCGAGGTCTCCGAGCGGAAAGAAAGGCAAGGTAGGCAAGGGGACACGCTCCAAGAGAGGTGTGGCGGCCTACGATGCGATCCTTCTTGCCTTGAGCGATGCGGAGGAAGTCGCCCGTAAGCTTGTCGAAACCCAACAGGTAAGTTACTCCGGATCATATGCATTTTTTTCCATTGTTATTAACCCCAGCAATCTCGCAGTTGAGCGGAGGCACATTGACAAGCGCAGCCGGTACTCGGGATATTCATTTTGTGCATGCCTACATTGTCTACCAATTATTGGCCCGACGTATCCAGCGCGACCTCCTTTTGATCTTAACACTCCTCCATCAGTCTCAATCGACCAGCCATCACCCGCACAACAGATCCGCTAACGTTGCTGGCCCGTCGAAACCCAAGAAAGAACAAGTCGATGCTAGACTCTTCCCCGCTGTCGTAAAACTGTTGGACACGATCATCCAGAGTCTTACCCAAATGCGGACTCTGAGCGTCGTGGATGATAGCCCAGACTTGGCTACGGCTGTGGACGCCCGAGTCTCTTTCACCAAAGCAAGGCGGTAAGTACAGCCTTTCCCCCTTCGCCTATCCTGCCTGGAATCTCTCCATTAACTCCCTCCATAACCGACCATTGGTCGCTTTTAGATGCCGTTATCTTGCGCGCTGCTATATTCCGGTAAAGAAATACGCGGAGGCGTTAACGCTTATGCAACACGGATCCCTCCACCTTCGTGAAGCCCAGTCCACCCTCACATTACTCCTCTCCGAAGACGCCGATCCCATATCCACATTAGAACCACTCTTCTATCCGCTCACCATTGACGACATAACCCATCTGGAAGAGGAATTGTCATCAGACAGTCTACAATGCAAGAAGGACTGGTTTGCGTTTAATGGCGGAGCGACGACTGCTGAAGGAGTCAAGCCGCACAAGAAGCCACTCTTCTTTGATATCGCCCTGAACTATGTCCAGCTGGACATGGAGCGCCTGCAGGGACGCGCAGGGAAGCAGGTCGAGACGCCTACTGTCGCTGCTTCTGCAGCTCCGGCTGCTTTTGTTGCATCCAAGCAAGCGCAAGCGCAACCGGAGTCTGAGAGGAAGAATTTGGTAACAAAAGCAAAGGTAGAGGAGATCCAAAGGCCTGAGACTCCGGAACCATCGGGCCCTGCCAAAGCTGGCTTGAGTTCATTGCTTGGAGGATGGTGGGGTAGGAGATGACCAAGGCCTGTCGGTAGTCTATGTGACAATCTGTCTAAGCAGAGAACAGAACCTTAGCGGTGAGCACAGATGTGTAAGGAGATCGACACGGGTGAGAATGTATATCTCCGTTGGTACAATTAGTTTCCAAGAGTGTGTTCGATGAGTGCCATGCTTTGTGAGCCTTTGAATAGCGAGGAAGATCTTCTAGCCCTACGAAGTTTAAGAAGCACCGCACATAGAAGCCCTCAACGTCAGAAAGGCTTGGAGCCGATTTCGTATTATTCAGTGATTTGGCTATGTTACCTGGCAGCGTATAGACTGTGAGGAAAGACAATGTTTGAATGAGTCTCCGAGCTCGGACGTGTCGAGCAATAATTACAACAGCAGAGACAAAGAAAGTAAGAGAGACCGCGGCGAGAGAGAGAGCTTTGGAGTGGTGAAATGCAAGAAATTACATATAAGACGTCAATGAGACTGCAAGAGGGATATATGAGATACAATCAGTGCATGAGACCTGATGAGAAATGTAAAAGCACACGAAACGAGATGAGGACTGAGTACTGAGGAAAATTATGACCAATGAGTTGTACGGCATAATCAGGGTGGAATGGAATCCAGTGATGATTGGAAAGTCCCTTGCTGAAAATACAACGATCTTCATAGGCTCGCCAAGCCCAGTACGAGACAACCAATCAGCAAAGAAGAAAAAAGTATCCTCCTCCGTCTAATGCCTCGTGAACCGCTTCTCAAGAGAGGAAAACCCTAGTCAGAACGACACACAAAGCCCGAAAGGAGAGATATGCGATATCGATACAATTTGCCACCTATTACCACCACAATGGGGGGATTGATGGCATCATCCCCTCCCTCTTCTTCCAGCTCTTTCTCTGAGAGTTCAGAAGAGAGATAACGGGCCTCGAATAGCCTTCTGTGGCTGGTATCTTCTCGTACGCCTCCGCTTCTCACTTCTGTTGCTGTTGTTGTTGCCCAGTTTGCTGCTGTCGCTTTTGCGACAGAGTCTCAATAATGTGTGTCACACCGTCGGGCTCGAGTACCACTTTTGTACCATCACAGCGTGCCTTCGCTGTGAATTCCGTACATAGGTCATTAATGTCCACGTCCTAAACGAGAGGCCGTCAATTACTAAAATGTCGATAAGTTGGCATGTTATGTATATACCTTGAATTGCGGATTCGAGGTGATACTCCGCCAAGCGGTGAGCACCTCGATATTCCTGTCACTCTTTTCCGTCTTGGGAAAGCTAGAGCCTTTGCACATAATCATGGTACCGCCACTATCCACGTCACAGGTCTTCCTGACCAACGCGGGTGGCGGTGGAGGTGATTCTACGAACGCAGAATGTCCAGCATTTCGAATGGCTTCTGCCATATCCTCCTTCGTCTTTGGACAATCTCCGTGATGTATAGGTGACGACACGCCGTTTATTGATGCTGGAGTCGATGATGATGATTGTGACGCAGGTGAAGGTGATGTTGTCGTCGCGACTGATGAAGCCGTTGATGACGAATTGGAAGAGAGGGTCGAAACTGAGTTATTTGATGTTGAACGTGCCGTGTGCTGAACTGGATTGATCAAGCTGGGTGGAGTACGCAAGAGCGCGGAGAAGTCGACCGGCGTCTGGGCGTTCATGTAGTTACCTCCAAAGAGCTGGTCAAGTGATTCCATGCTACGTGAAGCCAGAGCGTGATCTGTGGGAAGTGAAGATGGCGACCAGTCCCCAAACGTGGCCATACCCATTGATTCCATACCATTTTGAGGTGGGCCGCCATTCGACGGCGGTGACTGGCCGGAAGACAAGTCGAGCGACATTGGCTCACTGAACGACATGTACATCGGGTTACTCGCCAGTGTCCTTGGCTGTACCCCAGGGTATGCACCGAAACCAAAGTCCATGTTCATGGCATCGTCAGTAGGAGTTGGTTGTGTAGGCACCTCGTCCAACACATTCAACACAGCTGGATCAAACGGAATCAAAGTGCCGAAATTGAAGTCGAACGGGGGCGGTACTGGCGACTGATGTTGCGACGCTGGTTTACTTGTGCCTGCACCTGCTGTTTGGAAGCGGAACTGATCGTTAGAGGTAGGTGTGGGAGAGTTGTATGACGGAGGACCCGACACGTCGTTCTTCGGCATTTGGAAAGTAAACTGGCCTTGTTTGAGCGCCATGTTCTCGCTCTGTAACCGTGACAACAAATCACGAAGGTTCTCGTTCTCAGATTCTGCTGCTTGGTTTTTAGCCTCCAAAGCAGCAACCTTATCCTCGAGCTAAAGAACATTCCGGTCAGAAATGGCTGAGACGGGAACCATCTAATGTTATACTTACGTCCTTGACATGCTTTTCTTTACGTTCACGGAATGCACGTTGAGCAGCACGGTTCTGCTCCTTGCGCTTCAATAACCGGAACTCATCCTACAAGCTAGTGTGAGATATACACGGTTAGCAATGATCTCCCGGGGAAACACACCTGTTGAGGGTTACCGGTGGACCTTCTGCGGGACGAACTACCGGGCTTCCTCGAAACATCTAGGCGCCGAGATATGTGAACTTACTCATTGGAAGGAGACCTCGACAAAAGGACATACTGATGTGAGGACTCTTGTGTGACGGTTCAGCATCCATACTATCGTCGCTTGCTTTACGCTTAAGGCGGGAATCCTCGGGACTTTGTTCCGAGGTGGGGGTATTGAATACCCCTGACTGTGGTCTCGACGACGGCGAGGTGTCGTTGGCACTCGGAGGGGAAGGACTACTGTCAGAGGAAGGGGGAGAAGGGTTAGGGATAGGGAAGGTGCTGATGCTTTGAGGATCTACGCCGTCGGGCGGGTGCTCAGACGGTTTGGGACTGTTGCCAATAGTTGTGGGAAACTGCTTTTGAAGGAGAGCAAGAAAGTCATCATCGCCAATGGTAGAGAAACCAGATGGTTGTTGGACGAGATCCCAGTAAGAGTTTGCACCTCCAAATGGATCCATTACTGCGGTGATTCCTGAAGAAATACAATGAAAGTGACGCAAGAGACTAAAACGGTAGTCTCCGGTAATGCGGGGAACGGTGATCAAGGAGACAGACTCGACGTTGGCGGCACGGTAGGTGCTCGCTGCGTCGAACGGCGACGAGATGGGGAACCAGGATCAATCGTAAAGGTTGAAGCAGTGGGCGGTGGTGGACGTTGGAAGGAAAGGGCGAAGGTCGCTGCTATGGTCGGCGTTTGGGTCGAGACGCCACAAGTGGGCGGCAGCACTCAGGGTTTTCGATCTCCGGCGGGCGATGATTGGACCCAGTTTCAACCTCCCCCTCTTTGCTGATTAAGCACAACGGAACCTTGCAGAAGACCCCCACATGCTATTCCGCATTCCTCGGGAGCGCACCTTTGTGACTAGGAAAATATGTCGTCGGTAGCCTGATCTTCCGTATTTCAACGAACCAATGTCGGCCGAAGTCACAATTCTTTTCTTGCGTCGACTCATGACTTTGAGTTCACCTACATATGAGCTTCACTTCGTTTCTCACCACCGTGTCCCCGTTTCGGAACCTCGCCCCTATCCCCATCAGACCAGTCACAACTGACCCAGCCTTTCTTTCTAGGTACCTGAAGATCTTCTTCGATTGTCTTTCGAATGGAATTAGGCACTTGCATTTCATGCGTGCTTGAGCGTGTCTATCGTAACGATTATTTGCCGTCGGGAAAGCCATCTTGATACCCCAGAAAGCTGTTCCGTCTCACGCTTTGCTTGAGACTGGAACCGTCTGGTTACCCGCAACAACAGGTGATCGACGTCTCGACCCCCGCATCAATGTTTAGCAATGTTTTTGTTCCTCCTCCAAGATACACGTACATCTTACCTAAAGCAGGACGTCTTTATACTTCTTCACTTCCAGAGGTACGATATTTCAGCCACACATTTGGTTGAATAGCTTCTCTACCTGATTGCCTATCTGTTCCGACGCAGTAAATTTTAAATCCGATCGGTCTTTCGTTCGCCGTCGCCGTCCTTGAAGTGAGAATGTTGGTGAACAGCTTGTAGCGATTGTCGCTGGAAGAACATACTTCTGGACATATACAGCCCAGATATCTAATCTCTCAACCCACCCACCATCGCCGGATCGCAAAGTATTCCAGTAAATCCTATTGCCACCATATCACCACCCATTCTTCCTTTCCTTCATAACTAGCTGCTCCTATTCTTCTGGCTTGCAACATTGACATGTCCAACATTTACATCCGTCATCCGCGGACTTCTTTTCCGAAACCTCCGTCCTCAAGCACGCTCGAGTTCGTAGCCAGTCTTGCCGTCCTTCCCTTTTTGGGACACGCACTTGATCGAAAAATATTATCCTCGGTCTCAGACGGAGGCACCGTGGCACGGTGCCTCGAAATGCAGATCTATGGGTACCCGTAAGATCCCTCTTGACCAAGCCTGGAGCAACTTTGCGCCCTCGAGATAACCGCAGTTTACCTTCCGGAACACTGAATTGAATTGACAAGAATCATCTGGTTATGACTGGAACGCGAGGTGGAACGGAAAAGGGAGGTGGAGTTCCGAATATACAACTCCTATTTCGGATTCGGCCGCCTTGAGTACTAATTCACTGGCGATACGATACGGATTTTGGGACACATTTACACAGCGCGCTGAAACAACGTATACAGAGGCTTGGGTTGATGAGGGAAACTGGCAAGCATACCAGGTCTCCAATCTAGTACTCTGGGGATGTGGTCGTGCCTCCAGCGGTGCTGCTGTCCAAGCACAATATTATAATAAGACAGAAGATCAGGACTTGTTGGAAAGCCAACGCCCGTTGTACATGGTGAGTTCTTCATGATGGGGTCCTACTTTGAGACCTTGGACTCGTCTCACTCGCGTGTTCGACCGATCACTCTGCTATGTAGGTCGTCAGGGGTTCTTAGGGATACCTGTTATCTCTTGTCTCCAAACCAACACCGACATCTCAAGTTATCATGGCCCCGACATCAACTACCGAGCCCTTCAGCTGTGTTAATGGCCATTCACTGAGATATATTCATCCTACCGGAATATGCTAGCTGGCTTAAAAGCCAACGCTTCAAGATCCCAAGATCCCTCCTTCTTCAAATCCCCTAAGCCACACCCGGCCTTTTATCGCAAACCGTACAATCGTAGGTTTACTTACGACCATTACCGTACCATCCACGCGTCACAGCTTCGTGTTTGAAGCGCAGCTTGAATGCGCACCTCAAACACTTTGGCCTGAAGCTATGCCTTCCTACATACCCATCGGTTGGGCGATGCCGTTTCGACGCGTGGACACCGTGCGCGCCACCCCGGAATGGGGCCGTATACGCGTCTTCCCACCCTTACATGCCGAGTAGGATACGACTCCGCCCGGGTTCGAGTTTTGTGATCTTCTTGTTGACGCTGGGGACGTGTGTGGCTTCCGGTCTCACGGCGACAATAGCAGTTAGCTATTGCGTCCAAGTTCTTAAGGTCAGCAGGCCTTCCTGACCTCCTTATTACAGAACGTTATGTTCAGCCTCTGCTCAGCGTCTTCCACAACTTCCAGCGTAAGGAAACTGTTGTTCCATTCGCGATGCCTTTGCTCATTCAGTTCCTTCCCCAGTTGAATCTTTGCCGATCAATGGCGTTTTAATGGCATAATTGACCATATGACTACTCTATCACACCTGCCTTGAATTGCTTGACAGGCAATTGCACTTCTACAAGGTTTGGGGCTGCATATACCTATAACGACGCTCTCAGGTCCAATGCGACTACTCGTATACTGATCCGGCGGCTCGCATGAACGTTAACAAACTTAGTAGGATCCGAACCGCAAAACAAATCTTCTGCGCTTCTAGTGTGTTTGGCGTAAATGTCGTGGACTGTCAAGGTACTCGTAGGATCAGGCCTATGGAAGAACGCACCGCGTTTTCCTTTCGTGACCCTCTGAAGTGATTAAAGTTGGGCCACCATTGCAATCGCTACACCTTCTGTAGCGTTCGAGGATCTTTCGATTGCCTGTTTTGAACCCAGTCCTACTCCTGCCTTCCCTTTGCCCCTCTTAATGTCATCTCTTCGTCTCGATAGCGGATACTTTAAAACGCCACTCCACGCAACGGCTGGATCCACGGTTCGCTCGCCTTATCTCGTCTCAATCGATCCTTAGTCTAATTTTAGCAACAATGCATACGACAACGTCACTCCCATATACTTTCCGACACGACGAATTTTATCGGGCTCAAAATTCTGGATACTCTAGACATTCACTCGGCTATTCGAGACGGGAAGAGACTGGCCCTTCCTCTTTACAACTCTATTCTCTGTGAATTGCCAATCTACTACGCACGTCATTTGTTGCTTCCCGTCTACTTAACTCCTTTGGCTGTTTCTGTCGGGCGCAGTTCCTCAATTGTGTGCTTCTCCATCAGACCATGTGGGGTCTCGGCTTGTTCTCGCCATAACACGCGTTTCCAGTCGTCGGGCAGACCGTCAGTACGGTGTTGTATGACGAACCGCGAAAGCTTGACTGCCGGATGCAAATAACCTCCGAATCGCTGTCAACCCTCTTTTGGAGCCTGGAGCGTACGTGGAGGAGGACTTGCTGGGGATCTGGTCCTTCAACTGCGGCATCAGTTTCGCGGCGGTAGTTTGGATGTTTTGTCTTTCATTGCATTTCATAGCATTTCAAAATATCTTGGATCGTTACTGCGAAGTAGCCAAGCATTCGATGCTGACCGGTGACAGTGAATAGCATTTGGTTCAGAGCTTGTGCAGTTTTCCGATCGCCGGTGGCATAGACATTCCATCTTTGACGACATCCAAGTCAGCCGATAGATATACAGCTTCATTTTTTCTTCTCCCTTGCTTCTACCTTCTTTTGCTGTATAATCTTTGCACTTCGTGAACATATCAACTACTGGACATTGTAATACTCTTGGCATCGGACCGACGTTAAGGTATCGATTGAATCTAGAACAATTGCCTTGGCACCGAGGTGGCCACTCGTTGCCGTTCCAGTCGAGTTTAGAGCGAGAGCTAGGTACTCTTATCTTCTTGACTCGCAATCCATTCACTTTGCTCAACCCGAATATCCATTTTCCTCAGTTGGACCTCGGATAGCCATTTTCCTGATAGAACGGATAGAGACCCATAGACGCGAAGTTTGACATCCGCTTTGACCAGTGAACGACCGTTTGCTTATATCACTTCCACCCCGAGATAGCGCGCGAGGTCTAGTTAAACGGTACCTGTGCCGACCTGGTATACCTCATCTTGACTATTCCCGACGAGCTGAACACACGGACATAGTATGGAGGTTCTATCACGCCAGGCACGGACGCCTAGTCCAGGACCGTCAGCTTACAATCAATCATCACCGCTCGACACGCTCGTCCGACGTGCATCATCCCGCAGAGTGCGAAATAAAGATGCTCTTGCACCCGTAGCTACTACACCTTCACGTCTTCCAGTCAGTAACCCTTCGACTCCCCCACGAAACGTTGGCGAAAACCAAGAATGGCCTCCTCCAGCCTCGCCTCTTTTGCATACTCAATTTCGAAACTCTACCGCTACAACAGCGACTGCTACCTCGTATCTGCCAGATACAGGGTCGACATATGACACGTCCATGTCAAGTGATGGATGGGGTGATAGTCCAAGACGACCGACATCGAATGTCGATTCGAAGCGGGGGCAGATATTGAGTGTGGCAAGTGAGTACGACCTGGATGATATCACTGCAAGTTACAGGGATTCCTACGCATCAAGTGGTACGAGTACACCTCACCCTGGTGGTCGATTCGATCCTTCACCATCACCGCTGGCTGTACCAACTGTTGTCGTATCTTCTGCCGACCCTGACCCATTTCAATCCCAACCAATTCCACCTGGTTCAGCCGGCCGAGCACCTTCGCGTCTTCCTGCATCCCACAAAGCTGCAAACTTCTCAAGACCAGTACCTCCAGTGATCGACGGAACGGAGGATCGAAAACGACAGGTGTTGGCAAGAAACGGAAGTCGGACAGCGCCACCGTTGATGTACGAGGGAAGAGCAGAAGAAGTCAGCTCACTATCTGGTTTCAGTCAATCATCAAGAAGCAGGCCTACGTCGCCCAATCTGTCTGCCCAATCATCCCCTCAACAGGCACAGGCACGCTCTCCTCCTACTTCTCCTTCAATATTCCAACAACAGCAACAGCAACATCCTCCAGGTAGTTTACCAAATCCTTACGGACCACCACCACGATCTGCGTCTCCTTCAACCAGTGTCTATTCGTCTTATTCTTACTACCCTTATGACGGCGCCCTTCCAACGCCTACGGGAAGCACAACGCACCTGGGTCCTCGATCTCCAACCACCCCGGGACCTTCTAATCCCTCTCACCCATCCTCCCGACCACATTCTCCGCGCTCACCTGCATCTCCAACTGCACCTCCCGAGCCCATCACCCCATTTGATTACCTTCAACTAGGCATTCAATCCCATCTAGCCAACGACCTAACCAAATCAGCGCAATACTTCGAAAAGTCAGCAACTTTAGAGGGTGGTTGTGGTGTTGGGATGCTCATGTGGGGTTTGACCTTGAGACATGGTTGGGGAGTTGAGAAGAGCGAGGCGAAGGGCTTCAAGTGGCTAAAGAAAGCCGCTGAGATCGCGGTGGTGGATTTGGAGAGCGCGAGAGGTGGTATGGATGCTGGTGTAGTTCAGAACGAGCTCGTGTTGGCGATTTATGAGGTTGGACAGAGTTTCTTTAGGGGATGGGGTGTGGAGAAGGATAAGAAAATGGGTGTGGTGAGCTGAGTTTTGCTATGTGACTGTATTCGATTGTTGCTGAATGCTTCTCTGTGTCGTAGAGTTATTTCCGAGTTGCGGCGAGGCTTGGTGACCCCGATGCGCAGCAGGAGCTGGCGTTCTGTCTCGCTAATGGCAAAGGGTGCAAGAAGGATCGCAAGGAAGCAGCGAAATGGTACCGAGCGGCGGTAAGTATTTTCTTTTGTTACTCTGAAGTGTTGTCATGGTGGTTATACGTGTGCAACCTAGGTCGCCCAAGGCGTAAGTGACATCGGTCTAGCTTGGATTTACAAGGAGAAGTTCCAAGACTGAGGCGCATGGTTCTTCCCGCCGACCCGTTCTCTGTTCTGATCGCCATTGCCGATACTGACACTCTCACTGCTGGACCTTCATAAACGCACATTATCTTTATTCTCTTTTGGCTCTTGAGGTATCTAAATCATGTATTATACTGGTATACCCTACGCATAATGCGGACGTGATAGACAAATAACTAGTAGCAGGACAAAGCAAAGCGACAAAAACACCGGGACAATAACGAAAACCCGAAGCAGAGCAAGCAAAGTACTACACTACGCAACACTAGCTCTCGACCTCTTCCTCCCAACAGCAGCTGTCTTCGTACTCGCACTCTCGGGAGGCGTTTCGGCAGCAGCAGACTCCTTTTCCTCCGACTGAGCTGGTGTAGCCGGCAAAGGCATATACGCAACATAACACTCCAAGTTTTCACTCCACACATAATGATGTGCGAGGATATTGGTGAGGGTGTCATATGCGTATTTATCTGCGTAAGGAACACCAGTACGTGGGTCGAGGTAACGAGCTGGACGGCCTGTGATTGGACATGTTGGAATTGGTCGAGCTATTGGTGAGAATAACATAAGTAAGTATATATACGGTTGTGAAGGAATAGTGTAGTGTGAAAAGGAGAAACGTACTGAGAGGTCTGCCTTTGGCGACATACACACGAACGTCTTCCCAATTGACGTGATCTCCAAAGACTGCACGCATAGTCGATGACCAGGGAGGTCTGGGTGCATTTTCTGACTGAGCAAGTTCGTGAATGAGGTAGTTCTTCGAGATTTTCTCTGTCCGATATTCTGGTTTTGGAGGAGGCGGCGGAGGGACATGAGCTGGGGTCGATGCTGGTGGAGGGTATGAATAGCTAGCAGGCACAGCGACCGAGGCACCCTGGTATTGTTGGATCACAAAGGTAGTTTTGGGCTGTGATGATGTTTGTGATGAACTTGAAGACGCAGGGTAAGACGTAACTTGTGTAGGAGGATATGGTTGATGTGAAGAACTTGATGCCGAAGGATGGAAATACGTGGGTGTACTCGAGAGGCCGGAGTTCTGAGAAGTCGATGCAGAGGGCACGTTCGGTCGAGGCGCACCAGGGTATGAGTATCCATATTGCATCGTTGGTGGTGGTTGTGGAACGGGAGGTGGTTGCGGAGGCCGCGGGATCTCCACCTTTATCTCTTCCACTCGGGAAACCCATCTCAGGAGAGGACCTTCAACTTTCTTCTTGACAACCTGAGCTTTCTTGCGTTTCTCTTCCTCGATGGATAGATAGTCACGGTGCTCAATGATGTTGCCTTCTTCCATATCCAGCGCGCGTGCGATCAATTCAGCTTGAGTCGGAGCTTTGACCTTGACTTTTGGCTTCTTATATACTGCTGACTGTCAAGGGGGGAAGGGATGTCAGAACTGTCATTGACATGATCAAAACCAGGGCGTACCTTCTTCTCCGCATCCCTCATCCGATGTTCCGTAGCTGTCCTATTCAGAATAGTGGACGTTCGTCTGCTCATCCTCTTCGCTGCCATATCCTGTGAGCTACCTTCTAGGACCTCGCCAGTAGCAGCATCGACAACCATGCCCATAGACACGCGTCGCTTTACTTTCGAGGGTTTCTTGGGAGCTTCTTCGACGTGAAGTTGTGGATGGAAGGTGGCCGCTTGCCGTTTGTGTGCTGCCGCCGTTATGCGCTCTAGTTGCGATTTACCTGCCTAAATTCACAATGAGGCAAAACCCCACGTCAAGAAGAGCAAAGTCAACACACCTTCTTGGTATGTTTCTCCTCTTCAAGCACAATCTTCTCTGCAATAGCGTCTATCTCCTCCTGAGCACCCTCTTCGTCCGTGCTTTCAAAGTCAATTTCGAATACGTCTTCCTCGTCTACAAAACAAGTTTGCCAATGTTCAGTATTGTGCAAGTAAGGTCATTACGTTAGAATACATACCTTTCTCGACAATGAAGTCAATATCCTCCTCCAAATCCACGCCTATATCTTCTGCTTTGAATTCGGCAAGTGCAGCCTCCATCCTATAACATTGCACGTCAGCATCCATAATCGCCTCTCGAGTGAACATAAAACATGCCTGTTTCCTGCCGTGCTTCGCTTCGACCGACGCATAACGAGAGATTCCTCTTGGTCAGCCATAGTGGAATCTCCTGCTATGTAGGCTGAGAAACGTCAAGGTTCCCTAAAATTTCAAGTGCTCCAAGGGGTTTCAGACAGTGAGAGTGCGCAAGAAGCACGGATAACAGATCGAATTGAGTAGTTAGTAACTTATGGTGGCGGTAGAGGAATAAGGTAATGACGTCCGTATTGGGCAATCGCATAGAGGATGTTGCCAAGCATGTTCAAACAACGTTGTGGCTGCAATTCTCTATTGGAATCTTGACCTTTTGAAGAGTGGTTTGGTGTTGGTCACTTGGGGATTTCTTGCCTTCTCTTTACTCCGTTATATCTTTCCGCTTCTCCGGATTCTCCATCATGCCTCGAATTCCAAAGTTCACACCCGGTCCTTCGCGACTTTCCCGAATCCTGCAAAACCTGACGCGAGGGCACAAACCTGTCATTGCACAAATGAAATCGTTGAAGTTAACATTGGCAGCGAGAAATGATCATTGGGGTGCCAGGTGAGTAAGATTCTGTCTAGCTTTAGTACACATCCTTCACAGACGCGCTCCACGTCCGTGTTCGTGTTATTGACCTGAACTCACTTCGTTTATAGACACTTCGTAGCAGAGGAGTTGCCTCGCATTAGATATGCCAACCCAGAAGCGGGGATTGAGATTAACAAGGTTCCGAAGTCGCCGCAGGACAACTGGAAGCCGGAGCTGGTCGTAGAGATGCGTACGTCTGTCCCGTCTCGCTCAGATCACAACTCAATTCATATCATTCCTCTCGGCATTACAGGTGATGGCAAGAAGCACACTTTTAACTTGGAGAACAAGCATTCTACCTCAATATTTACGGAACTCATGGACACGCTCGGCGGCACACCCTGGTCAAGATGGAAACAACAGCGAACGACGGAGGGCCTCCCATTAGTGGAACCTCCCGTCCCCGTCCCTGCAAAGTTCGACATCAAGGTCGAAGCTTTGGGCGGGCAGGTCAATAAAGTTCCGGAAATTGTTGCCAAGCTGAAGGCGAGGGCCAAAAAGGAGAAAAAGGAGACGAAAGAGAAGAAAGATACAACAAATTACGACGACATGTTCTTCAGGTCGGACAAGCCCAAGACCGGAGCCGCTGCTGTCCTCCCGTAATCACCCACCCTACCCTCGTCATTCGTACTTTGCTTTCGTGTACCTTACCATTCTTAATACCCGCTCTTGCGACAAAGTCATAAGTGAGTGAGGAAATGACTCGAGTGGAAATTACACTATGTAAACAGAAGGCAAGTACACATGCACAAATCAATGTGCTACCCAGCTTGCGATCCATATCAAGAATCCAAGCGCGACGATGACTGCACTGAGGTCATCTAAGAATACTCCAGCTATTTGAAGGTACTTTAGACCATTCGTGATGATTGAGGGGAATGGTGGTGGAAGTTGTGTCATTGCAAGTGAAAGAAGTGTTGGCGGTTGTACCGGGTCCTGAGAAGAGAACTGGTCAATACGCTGTTGATCTTAAAAGTGGAAGAAAAACATACAAGGCCGGAGAATATCCTCCAAGAGTGCAAAGCAATCGCAAGAGTTGTAAAAGCGTAGAAGAATGGCTGCAATGACGCGTTAGCAGACGGATTAAGCAAGCAACTGGAACTCTAGTAAACTCACCACTGCTTGAACTCCCCACCCATCTCCCGGAATCTTCCACCCAAGTTCAGCCCACCTCCTCCACCAATCTCCGCTACTCGAAACCACATGGTTCGTCTCCTCAAACTCCTGCGGTTCCCGCCAAATCACAAAGTATGTCAACACAATCCACGCAGCGACGACGTGTATTAGCGGCATGAGTTTTTGGACTAGAGTTTTGGGTTTCGGCGGAAGAGGTGGTGAAGCAAAGCCGGGGAAAGCGGCTGCAGGTGGTTGTCCACCGAAGCCAGCTTGACCAGGTTGGTCAGCTGCTGTCAGGGATTGCATTAAGGCAAGAAGAGGATCCTCGGCTGCTTGATCTGGGCTAGGACCTGAAGGTATTCGTGGTTGTGGTCCACTGAATGCGTTCCCTTGCGCTGAGCCTCCTCCCAGGAGCGCTTGCATCAGTTGTCTCTGCTGCTCCTCTGACCATACAGATGGATCGGGTGCATGATTTCCAAAACCGGCACTAGATAATCCTGAAGATGCCGATATACTGGTTGAGCTGGGTTTGCGAGAAGATGTAGATGTGCGAGAGAGTGATGGAGGAGTTGGCAACGTGGTCTCTTCTCCTACGAATTCCTCTAGATTAGGATGTTTCGGGAGCGGAGCAAGTGGTGGATCTAGATGTCATACTGTGTCAACCAAGTCTCCGGGGAGGTAAGGAAAACACTGACCCTCATGCATGTATGCGGGTGCATCTTCTCCTCTTGCTGAGGAGGTAAGCTTTGCGAGGCGGTCTGTGCCTCGACTCAGGATGGCTTTTCGCCTAGCCTCGGCTCTTGCAGCAGCAGAGGACATAACTCTTCACAAGTAAATGTATATGGAAGAGCTCGTGGATGTTGTTCACGTCCAGCTAAGGAGGAACTTGAATATGAAGTGGTGGAGAGGTGGCAAGCCTTGCTGCAGCCAGCAGACGTAACATTCACAAGCGCCGTCTTCGGTAAGCGCCGGGCCTGGTGGCTGAAGTGAGTCTCCGGGAGTGGCACGGCACTGCTGTATAACTTGTGTCTTAACTTCGACGTGGCCTATACCCCCCTCTCGGATTCACTTTTATACGACTGGACTTACTAGAGGATGTCCAGGCAAGATAAAGCAATTACAGAACGTAACGCAAAGACTCTTCGGGAGTTGTTGAAGAGGCCGGAGAATAAGTTCTGTGCCGATTGCAAACGGAATGGTGAATATTCGATATACGCTCGACGTTACCATCTAATTGACCTTATGGATATTACCCAGATCCTCGATGGGCATCTTGGAATCTGTATGTTCAAGTGTTGTTTCCTCGAAAGTGACTGAACTCAACTTGACATCGTGCAGAGGCGTGTTCTTGTGCATCCGATGCTCTGGCGTTCATCGATCTATGGGGACCCATATTAGCAAAGTAAAGTCTGTGGATCTTGACGTGTGGACTCCCGAGCAGATGGCCGTAAGTTACACATTTTATTCCTGCTTCTCACCGGTCTCACGTTTGTGTACAGTCGATCACGAAGTGGGGTAATCGATATGCGAATCTTTACTGGGAAGCGCATCTGAAACCCGGACACATTCCACCTGACCAGTGAGTGCTCCGTTAGCTTCTCGTTATGACATTTCGTGAATAGGGTTTCTGTAGTAAGATGGATTCTTTCATTCGTTCAAAATACGACTCGAAACGCTGGGCAAAAGACGGACCTCCACCGTCAGATCCCTCTACGTTAGATGAAGGAGCCTCCGCTGCTCCCGCTCAGCCTGCTCCTACCACTGCTCCACCGCCACCTACTACATCGCGTCCAGGCCATGCTGCAACTTCATCCGTAGGCTCAGTCAGGGCTTCACCTGTCACCAACCGCCAGCCACAACCTCATCAGCTGCTCTCCACATCCATCGCCAACCGTTCGGCTGCACCTTCCCAGCCTACTCTCGCGTCTCCAGCGCAACAACAACCCGCTCAACCCGCTCAGGCAGCACCGACACCGGCAACCAATGATTTATTCTCACTAGACTTCCATAACCCTACACCATCTGCATCGTCATCTACCGGGTCAACGGCACCCAAGAAGGATGTTAAACAAGATATCCTATCTCTCTTCTCTTCTCCTACGTCTCAAGTCGCCCCTACGTTCTCCCCTCAGAACCAGTTCGCCGCTCAAGCTGCTTATACCCAACAACAGAACGCATGGGGTGCACCAGCGGCTGCATCGCCACATGCTCAGCCGACAAGCCTGATGGGTCAGAATGGTGTTGGTATGTGGGGAGCCTCGTCGGGGTGGAGTGCTGCACCTGCACCTGCTCAACCTAGTTTATGGGGTGCGCCTGCGGCTCCTGCTCCAGGAGGTTTCGGACAAGCTCAACAGTCCCAGCTACAGCCCCAACAGCAGAGTATGTTCAACACGAATGATATATGGGCTTCTCCGGGTACAACAACTGCTGGTGCGTCGGCTGGCGGTGATTTGTTTGGAGGTTCGTTGCCTGGAATGCAGAAGAAGGATGATGTGTTTGGAGATATCTGGGGTGGATTCAAGTAATGTTTAGACGTGTCGGTTTTCTTTGTTTTTGTATGATACTGGTTTTCTCTTTGGTGATACCTTCGTTGATGTTGGACGTCGTGATGGGCTCATGCCGCGGAATCGTGAGTGAAAAGCTCAGGGTATGAAGACTCAGCAAGATATCTCTCGCTGTTTGTCATGGGAAGCTATGACATCGAAGATTTATGATGCAAATGCAAATGCAAATGCACAAGGGTGCCAAAGAATTCAAATCAACTTCCAAGATGGCACTACTTATCATGGTCAAATTACGGCTCGGAAATTTTGACCAATGATGGAAAAGAGTATCTATGCGGTATTATGTATGATTGTGGAATGATACCAACTGACGAAGTGACCGTCACAATTAACCGGACGAGCTCATGGAAGGTATCAAAATCCGAGTCGGGCCACGGGATGCGGCAGCAATTACAAGTCACCTTCTGACTTCGGTCTCTTCTCCAACACGCTATCCACAATTCCAAACTCCAGCGCGTCGTTAGCTACAAAGCGAAGGGTAACACGGGCAATAAATGATCAAAGGTGAATGTGAATCCATCAGTAAACACGAAGCGAAGTGCGATCAGATTGCTACCACATACCTGTCAAGAAGTAATCGCGTTCCAGTGCTTTTGCTGGAGACAGACGATGCAGATTCAGAACAAGTTCGGCAGGCAAAGCACGGCGAAGCAGGGAACGTACAGAAGCGTTGTAAACCATCATCAACATTCTCACCGTCCCTGGCACAGTGTCGTTGATATATCGCGGTAAGCTGTTCTCGGACCCGCAAGATCTCCCGTGCATGAATCGCGATATCAGATGCTTGGCCTGATGCACCTCCCGATGGTTCTGGAGTGCAGAGAATTTCGAATATACATAACGGTTGGTCAAATGGAGATATCATCGAAGAGATTAGGGATCAGCCATGGGGGGGATACACGAAGTCAGCGATTGCTTAGGGTATGAACGTGAGATGGGGACATACGGTGAATCATGATGGTTGAGTTTGGAAGAGCGTGGCGCTTTCCCTTTTCACCGGCCGCGAGGAGAAGCGATCCCATCGAACACGCTTGTCCGACGCAATAGGTGTGTATGGGTGATGAGACATACTGATATATGCATTTTAAGACGGTGTCTATGTCTCAGATTAAATGAAGTCATACCTGCATCTATATCTGCAATCATGAGCGTGGGTTGCTTTGAGACAGGAAATCGAGAGTGCTTACTGTATCATATATTGCGAGTCCGGCTGTAACACTACCACCCGGTGAATTTATATATAGGTGTATGGGCTTGGATGTTTCTTCCGCTTCAAGAAATAGTAGTTGCGCCACAAGCAGCGCGGAATCCGTATCTTGGATCTACATACGTTTGAGTCAATTCGGGCCTTCATTTAGCTTCATCCTAGCAAGTCTCACCGGTCCGTAAAGCATTACAACTCGCTCTCGTAGCAAGCGAGAGAAAATATCATAACTACGTTCGCCTCGTCCCTACACACGAAATAACAATAATTAGTAAACATAAGATGAAAACACAGATAAACACACCGTTTGCTCGATGACCATGGGCACCAGACCAGCATTTGAGATTTGGCTTCCTCGTGAAATCAATTGCGTTGCCAATGGATGAAAGTTACGAGCTCCGGCATTTCTCAGCGGTCTCTTCAGTAGTCCTGCTGCAGTTCGCAACATAATGTGGGCAGAAGGAGAGATTTCGGTATCTTAGGAAATCGTGGTCGACTCGAAGGCTGCTCAAAAGTTCGCGCTCTCAAATTGCTCTCAAAGCTGCTCAGCGTTATGGGCGCTTACACCCGCCACGGCCATGTGACACACGCGTTTGTGGGCGCCTGTTTGCGTAGGCCACCAACTTCGCCTTGACTTTCATGCCAGAAATTATCTGACTCCTCTGCTGCACACGACTGATCTTCACGCTCTCTGGATACATTTTAAACGACGTTACTGTCTCTTTGGAGAAGGTTAAGCTAATGTCTGCACGGTTACGCTCGACGGAAAGTCCAATGGACTTTGAATTCACTTCTCGGCCGACGAGTAATGTGAAGCCAGTTTGGGCTGAGTCCAGTGGTGATCCGAGTACACCGCGCAAAAGTGAGTTGCTTAAGGCTTTTACTATTGTAGAGGATAATCTTACGCTTTTCGTAGGAAGTGTCAATGACCTTAAATCCCCAACGTCTCCATTCCCCGGACCACAGACTCCAACATTTGGTCGTCTGCAAAATGTACCATTCATTTTCAATACACCACCGCCTCAGACGCCTCAAACGTATCCGTGGGTGCCGCCGTCAAATTTCTCCCCTACCAAAGCGTTTCCTCAGCCGGAGTTAAAGGATGTGGATATGCCTGACGCGAGTCCGCCACGACCGCCGTCTCCCGAGAAGGATGAGGAAGGAGAGTCGGATTCAGGACGAGCTATTGCGCTAGGTGGGCTGAAGAGGGTGTTCAAGTCGAGACAGAAGGCCCGGAGTAAAAGTCGACTTGCGGTCGTGACTACACATCTGAATGAAAGCGATGAAAGCGATGATGACAGTGAACGCGAAGTTACGCCTGTGACACAAAATACCTCAAATCATTATACCCTCAATCTACCAGGCCCAATACAGCCGCAATCGGAAACGCCATATGTACTGTTGGGGTACGTGTCTTGTTTGGACAAACTGAGCTATCACTGAAGTTGCTTCAAGGTACCTGCAATTTTTCTTCAATCTTTCTTTGATACTTGTGTTCCTGTATCTATTGGTACAGTTCATCTTGACTGTTCAACGTGATGTGGAACAAAGGATCTCAGAGTATTCCATGGGTACGTGATTTCCTTTACCCTCCTGATGATGTCTCATCTCGTCTATAGACATTGTCCAGGAAATTGCACAGTGTGCAATGCAATACAAGACGAACCTGTGCGCAACTAATCCTATACCGGCCATGGCTCATCAATGCGGCGCCTGGGAGACATGCATGAACCGCGATCCCACAAAGGTCGGCCGTGCTAAGGTGGGTGCGGAACTGATCGCGGAGGTAGTCAATGGTTTCGTGGAGCCCATCAGCTGGAAAACTCTCGTGCGTCCTTTCATATGGTCTCCATTCTAGTTCTCGCTAATGTTGCTTGATCTTGTTACAATGTTTGATCGGTAGATATTCACCTTGACATCTCTATCGTTCCTTACGGTGTTCATTAACACACTGCTCTCGTTATACCGCGCTAGGCACAACCCATCAAACCAAGCGCCCGTGCACCATCCGTCACCCATCACCCCTTTCCCCATTCAGCCTGGGATTCCGTATTCTCCACATCTCTTGAACTCTGCGCCACATTGGGGAAAAGCGTGGACAGCCCCAGCCGAAGTGGAGGGAACGCCCAGCCGTCGTAGGAAGTTGGAGGGAGGCGCTGTGAAAGAGATCAAGTAAGGTTGTTTCGGGTCCGGTGTTTTATGTTGTCCATTTTTGTACGCGACACTCCTGTGATGGACAGGGTGGATTGGTGTGAGTGTTTGATTCGAGCCACTATCAGTTGTTCGGGGTATATTGACCAGCAATGATCTGCGACATAAATCAGAATGCATTCTCTTGGTACGTGTCGATTTATTGCTTATGCAGTGTATCCTCCTGACACAGATCTCCGGTGAACAGACTATAACCACCACATACATCGAACTATCATCTGCATTTCATCTCCAGTTATTTATACAAGGCTATGACATTCGCTATTGGATATGCGACTCCGAGTCGCGATCATGCAATTCCGTTCTCGGGCAGGAGTGATTCATAACCTCGCTCGTCGACATTGGACCGATCAAACAGCACTATATAATTGCCAATACCACGTAAGATTAAGTAAGTCGTCCCCAAACTTCACGAAGATTCTGTGCGCGTTATATTGCTAGTTGAATATAACTTCCGTGTCAAAATTGAGTAGGTCGATCAGCAATGATCACCTCTGACTCAGAATGGAGACTAGAATAGTCCACACCATGCCCTCAAGGAAGCAATATGTCTCCAACAAAAGCGTCCGGAAGCTAACCTTGCGCCGCACTAGCACTGAGTAATATGACGTTCCTACGTTCTCGCTGGATGGAGGATCGGGTTCGCATGAACTAGGGCTTGCAGTCGCGTGCTCCCTTCATTTCCGTACCTTCTCAATAAGCATGAAGACGCCGAAATGGGTGATCTCATACATTATATACGCTTTGCGTTTGCATAGTGTTTCCAAATGGAAACGAAGGTGATCTTGCCGTCTTATGACCTCGAAGAACTGCATCATAATGTGAGTTGGATGTCATCGATGACTCTGCTACCAGACTGACGTTGTCAGCTGTAGGTCTGTACTGACCCTAGCCTTGTCACGTTCTCTCCGAACTATATTCAATTGCGTCAACGGGACAAAGGATTGACACGTCCTTCCATTTGCCCGGTTCACGGCGATGAGTGATCCATGTCACTGCAGAAGGGAGCAGATCCTCCTGTCGTAAGGACTCAACATTCTTCGTCCACGCAAATAACTTGGTAATTACACGCTTTTTAGTACCCGAACATACACTCATCCTGAATTTACCGATGTATAGATTGCGTCGATGTGATGTGCTTCTAGTTCATTCATAGGTACCTTTCACACTCATCTGATTGTGATTGACAGACATAGGTAGCCTCCTGCCAATTCTTGCATTCGCTGGATGCGGTTCTTGCACATGATAGGTGAGTTGATGGGGCGCACTATCCACGGACTTTCCCATGGCAGGGAGAGTGAGACTGACAAGCTTTCTGCTTTCTCGGACCCTAAATGCTCGTTTTGAACCCTCATACCACTATGCGGGTTCTGCGTGAGGCTTAGACGTAATGGGGCTAGATCTCAAGATGAGCATTGAGCAGCTCATACAGAGGATGAGTTCCTACACGTAACTGAACCACATACGTCTTTGCCTATATGACCAGCTTCGATGAGCTACAGTATGGCTAAACGTGACTCCCGAAGTCCCCTTTCGGCAGAAGGTCATATATGTACGTTAAGGGTTCTGTCCTTCCAGTTCTGATTGGTATGTGGCATGTTTCATTGCCGTCCATCGTTCCTTGTGAAAAGGTTTGATGACGACACCTGTCAAACAGCTATAAAAAGAATACAATTTGTCTGTCCCTTTGGTCTCGTGCTACATGTTCGGTAACTTCTGACATCGTCCGTCAAAGATTATATGGCGTAAGCCTGTCAATCAATATGCAATGATACCTGACCCCTTGTCAAAATGAAATAAGAAGTGTGGCTGCTGTCGATCTGGTGGTCACCCATGGAGATAGCTCTTCGGCAGCACGGGCCTTGCAGGAATGCTTGTCAAAAGTTCCGAGATTGCAGCTGAATGCCTGTCAATACCTATGTTCCATTGCAAGGCCCTTGAGGGTGGTGATGACGGCGAATGTGGCCGGTGAGAGTCTAGATGGTGTCAGCCACTAGCCAGCCTTATATCTTTGCACCGTGCAGATCGCGAGCCCATCTAGGTTCAATTTCGTGCTGGTGGCTACGAAGGAGGAAGCAAGGCTCCCATGCCATGGTTTCCCTACTGAAAGTACTTTCACGGTATTTGATACAATCCTTATGGTTGCCTGATCTCATGGGTCTACCGTTCTTTCATTCTGCTGGACCGTGTTCGAAATACTACATTCAGCTAGTCACAGATCGGGCCTCGATCTTCTGTCGTCTGCGTGGGTGATGACAGCATGCCACCGCTGTGTGTCTGCGATCTAACTTCTCAGATTCTTTTAGGGTCCGATATCGGAAGAATGCAGGCCAATGAGTCGGCGTTGTGGGTATGCAAATGCCATTCTCCTTGATTGATACGGCCGGTGAGCACCTACGTACGTCTGGTGCGGTGATCGTGGCTTATGGCGACTTTGTCTTTGATCCTGATCTTTTATGTGCCAGATTGAACGACGCCATGGACCCATCGTACGCGCTTCCACGGTCTTCTTGATAATCAGCTCGCCTGACTTGCCTTTTCACAACATCGCTCGGAGGCTATGAGATTCTTTCGTCCGACTTGTAGCCGGAATCGCTCTCGCAGCTCAAAGTCCCTCCACCCCAGCTTCCCATATCCCTGTGGACGGTGATACTATGAGGAGTCAATATTCACACAAGGCACAGCATCTCGATTCCTGTGGTGCTTGGCTTTGAGCGTGCGCCGCACTACTCTCCATATGGAATGTTGGAGCTTCGAGACCACAATAGGCAGAAAATAGGTTCTCCGGCTTTCACGCAGCTACCGGACGCCGTGCCTAGGCAGTAACACTCAGCGGCGCAGATAATCGCGTAATACTCCTTGTCGTGACGCTGAGACAGGCTGATTGAAAACAAAAGTGAGTCCATTCTAGGAATTGTCTTTGTACATCTTTGTTTGTTTTCTACTTCCGAGGTCATAGCGAAAGAGATGTTGCCTTGGAGATGTAGCGTCTTCCACGTTGTTGCGATACAATAACATGATGGTTCAACATGCACCTTCCATACCAGAAGGTGTACACGCAAAACAGCGCTCCGCCCACACCCACGAATGCGTTTTTGGCCCTGGAGGCGTTAGGATGCTTGCCCGAACACGCCGAAGGCTAAACATGTCGAGGAGACTCCCTATCCTTGTCAGGAGAAGCAACTGGCGATAGTTCAAGTTCTCACCGGCGGACCTGTGTACAGCGCCCCCTTTGGAGTTGAAGATCGGCTGGAAGCAGCTGAACAAATCCTAGATTGCCGCTGTCGCGCTTTGAATCATTGAAGTTGGGCCTTCCAGATGATCATGGGGAGGCGTCCGTTTTAGTGTGTCATTTTACCCATACCTGTCTCGATTGAATCACCGTACAGTCATTTCGGCTCACGAAATGTTCTCCTGACCGGATGCTTGCTCCACGCAGCAATCCAATCGTGTATATATAGCATGCAACCAATGCCGCCCTGATTCCATTCATTCTTCAGTGGCAATATCCATGCCACACGTGTGAGAAATGCTAGGGTCACACACATTTGAATCCGAAAGACCTGAGAAACATTGCAAGACTGGCTTGATGCCCGATGAGATAGACAAAGGAGATGCTGGTATACAAACCACAATAGAAATTTAGTTAGAGTAAGGTGACGATGTCAGAGAGAGGAAGATGGGAACCCTCCCGCTATAGATGTTATTTCTTCCCCCCTCCACCTCCGGCCGCAGAAGTAGCAGCAGCCTTTTCTTGCTCCTTTTTCTGTGACACGTATCAGTCGAGGCGTAAGACCGGTAGATGAATATAAATACCAGCTGCTTCTGCCTCAAGGCCTCCGCATCTCTGGACAGAGACAAAGATGAGTGCTAATTTTGAGTCAGGGTAGGGTTTAAAACGCACTTCTCTTTGCGCTGTTGAAGACTGGTCGCACTCTCCTTTGGCTTCTTCGCGTTGGCAGCAGCCCTCTTCTGAGCCTTGAGGCGGTCCGTTTCCCGCTGATTACCACCTAATCATCCAAATGCAAAAGAAGACCATGATGATCCTTTAGCGAATCGAGCCAGAACTCGACAGGAACGATTTGGAACGAGTGAAACGTACGAGTCATGGTGTCGCGATATGTCTGTAGACACAGGAGGAAGTGGTGATGTTGAACTTTGTCAAGAGCGGCCACAAACGGTTATGCGATCATGTCACAATGCGTGACACACTTTCCCACGCTTATTGACTAGGTTTGTTGATCGTTCAAAGCTCAAGCAAGATCATCCATCTGAACCTTCTGTTGCTTCAAAGTTAGCTCTCGCACTGCCCTTTCGAATCCCGTCCTAAAGGCAGAGATCATCGCTTATTCAGTCATCTGCTACATCGCGAGCCTGTGGCGGAGAGGATGTCTAACTAGCACAGAAGGGGCTTTATATCGTGCTTCATTCCGAGAGACGATCGCATGCAGATCGCATGGTGTATGCACGGTGGCATTTCCTCGTGGCCGTCCAATCTCGCCATACCATGTCCAAGAATGTGCTTAGTGTCGCCCACAACCAATGCAAGGGAGAGTTTCTAGCGTTCTTAATGCGGCAGGGAAACGGAGTGCTTCTTGGCGTTTCCGTGCACCGACTTGCCAGGTACGTGCTGCTATTTGCGTTACTCCATTGCGCGTGCCCGGTGCTTTTGGCATCCAGCCCTCTCCCCCGCAGCCCTCTATCGGCGGCCGGATCCGAAGAGAGCCTTTTCAACACCAAGTGAACACGTCCATTCATAATGTTGGACGCACTGAACCCATTCCATTCCAGCTGTCGATTAATCTCTCCGAAGCATCGTGGATTAAGTTGTCAAAGTGCTATGCTATATTCGACCTTATAGTCACCGATATACCGGCGGTCGGATGGGGAGCAAAGTACCTATCAATGTCTAGGAATCCTTGGGCCATGCTTCGCATAAGAACGCTAGCACTTTCGGCATGGAAGCTTCGCATCCATTTCGGGTCTACTTACGGCTTCTTCCCATGAGTCTGCCCGACTTCCAAGTCGCGCACCAGGAATCGCAAGCTGGGTCGCTTTCTATATTACACCAACTCAGCGAACCGGACTTCTCATCTTCTAGGGAGCTTCCTTTCTCAAGGCGACCACACGATGGCCAGCCGTGCTTCATTTATATCCGGTAGGAGTTCCGTGCCAAAGAATCACCTATTTCCGAATCAACTGGTTCCCTGGACCCTTCTTCTTGGCGTGAATGCCGTGTTGGAAGGAAGGGGCCCGGCTGTTGTTCAACAATCATATTGCCATTGGGGCGTGGTTATACGGTTGCCACCCTGTCCTATATACCAAGTACGAATGCCTTCTGTCCGATATTGATTAGACAAGGGGGGCTTCATCGGTGGGTACAATCTCGGGTGATTTTTCGCTCGCGCGGACCCTGTGCGACTTTCAAATGTGCCGCGGGTAGATGTTGTCCTTTTATAGTTGGGGTCTTGTCAATTTCGGTGGACACGAACTTGTGGACTCGGTCGTGCGGATGTACGTACAGACAGGTACGCGAGACGATACGAAACACCAACCAATTTGACGTTATCTACGTATCCACAGACGAGAGCTTAATGCAAGTCCCTACTACAGAGGCTTAGCATGGATGTCTTCTAGGTGGGACCTCGGCTTGCCCATGTACAATACGACGTACTTCTTCGTCGCTCAACAGGTTCTTCCGAGGGACACTGACAAACAAGCTGTCCATATATGGTGGCGATACGAGCTCTCTTCCAGGTCAAAGCGCTAGGACTCCCGTAACTCATGACCACAAGGATCCCCGCGTCCTTGTTTCTCCATATATTTATCAATCACCCGACCGACGGACTTTTCTTCATAAGCCAAAACTAGGGTCGCTTAGGGTCGGTTCAATTACCGCATCAAGGGAATCAAAGAGATTCCCTGAGCCAGATGATGCTTGTTCCTCTCTGCTTTGGGAGGGTGCCGCTTACCTGAGTTTTGGTTCTGTTTAATAGAAGGTTCGACCGAAGGCCGAGCTATATGTACATTACAGATGGGGATCCTACTGCTTCCCACCCCAGCAACTGCGGTAGTTGTTCTATTTAATCCGATACCGGCATATATTAGTGTTCATTGGGGAGAAATAAGCTTTGAGTTCAACAACACCATCTTATCGTTCGTTGTGATCGTATTGTTAGCTTGGGCGCAAGTGTTGTGGACTGTCAAGTTCTACAAACCACTGTGACAAACATGATTGTGGGTCCGATAATCGTGATGGCTCCGATCTTGTTAGATAGTCGGATGTGTAGAACGGTGACACCAACACATCTTGTAAAGCGACCATTTGCAAAATAGGATCATGATCTTCAAGCAGCCATAAACGAAGTGCCGCCGCACTCTTGGAATATAGCAGCCGCCACAGGGGGAACGAAACAACGCCTCCGGGCCCGCGGGAGCAGCGTGTGCCGCATATAAATGCAGGTGGCTGAGTTTGGAGAAAAAGAGAATCGAGTTGCTGAGTCATCCAGGCTATAATCTGGTGCCTGATAACCGGATGACGTGGTGGGTGCTTGGCTATTTCCTTCTTTCTTCCCCATGCACACGTGAAGAGGGAGACGATCGCGATGGCGAAAATTCTTCAGTAGCAGGGTGGCGACGGGACATGCATACAAGCGCATGCCCTTTTTTCAGACGCTCCAGATTCGAAACCCAAAGGCTCAGACAGACTCAGACAAGCTCAGACAATTGTGTCCGCCCCTGCCTCCGAACCCTGCCGACAGAGAAGTGAGCACAAACTTCAAGCCGAGCCGCTATGACCGGTGGAAATACGACGTGTTACGAGACATGCGTAAAAGCATGATGCGCCCACAGACGTTCATCTCATGCTATGGTGATGGGCTGAGGGTGGGTGGCAGCCTGAGATTAGCTCTTGGAGTGCTTATAACATACTTGTAACTCTATTAAATGAAAGCATCGTTTGCTTTGAACAAGTGATGGAGAGGCGCAATGGCACTCGGAACGTTGTTTCATAAAAGCGCCATCGGGGATCTGCGGAAGGAAATGGGAAGGCGTTGAAGAAGGAAGCCTAATCGGGACATGTGGACCAGACACCGCTGAATTGAAATTATGGACACGAGTTACCGGAGTCTCGGGACGCGAAGGTTGCTGAATAGGGGAAGCAGGAACAGCGTGGGAGATCCCGTGGACCTGCCTCCGAATTGACGTCGCTTCCCTCATGACCAATTGACAGAAAGCGATATCGTAGCGATGTCCGTCTACAGCGTCCGATCCTTCATTCTACCGGTCTCGTCAACGCACTGGGTATGCACAGGGACCCAACAAGTGTCGGGGTAGCATGCAGCACGACACGGATCTGGGCCTCACAGGGGTTGCATAGGAGAGGGCTGCGCAGACGCTTGAAACGTTGAGACCGGGCTGGCAGGAGAGATAGAGCGATGGTGGCTGTGCCCGACATTATCTGGAGCGAGATCCCGGAGAAGAAGGAGGAGGAGCGGTCAAGACGAAATTGGCAGGGTGATTTGATTTAACGGTGGATCTGAGATTGATGATGGGGATTTGGCAAAGTTACCGAGGCAGATCAAACTTCATTTACCGTTTGAGGACTGGCGCGGGATGGAACACGCGGCTGTGTTTTCTGCAGACGACCTTCCCTGCGTGCGACCAGATCCAATCGCTGATCCCCATTTCCGCTGGTCCAACCTTGCTTTTAGACGCCCACGCTTCGATCTCTGATCGTCTTTCTCTTACGCCCTGATCTCACACCCGCGGGCCATATATACCTCCCCTCCTCCCCACAGCGCAACTTCTCCTTTCGCCCGTGCACGTCCCCTGACTCCCTTTTTGCTCGCCGTCTCCGTCTTCTAGTCCTCCAAGGACTTGGCGGCATCATGTCTGTCCGACAAACCCCTCGCCAGCCAGACCGCGACATTCGCCTTCACGAACCTCATACGCCTCACGGTCATCCCCACCCAATTCCCCCTCCTCACGCTATGGGCCATCCACCGCACCTCAACGGCAATGGCCATGTAACCACGCCTCTCGTCGCTCCCTCTGCACCAGCACAAGTCGTGACGCCAGCAGCAGCGGCTAATGGCGTTGTCATTCCACCATCAATCCAGAAGTTGAACCAGGCCAACGAACAGACGTGGCTGTTAATTGGCATGTCGTTTTCCATCTAGACGTTCTTTTAGCGCAAGTTTCTAATGGCATCGGATCAATTGAACAGGTCGTGTCGCCGAGCAGATGGGCAATCTGGAACATGCCTTGTCGGCATATGAAAACGCACTGCGTCACAACCCTGAGTCTCTTTCGGGTCTCACCCAGGTCGCGGGGATTGCCCGGATCAAGGAGAACTATCCCAAGGTACGATTGATCTGCATGCGACTGCCGCTCTGCCGGAGTATATTCGGTCCAGCAATCTGCCATATCCGGCAGCTGCGTGCTTGTTTTTCGATCTCCGGTCTGACTCGTCCCCTTTAGGCAGTCGAGTACTTCTGCCGTGTGCTCAAGGTTCAGCAAGAGAATGGCGAAGTATGGAGTGCCCTTGGTGCGTGGGTCTGTCCCCTCGGTTCTTTCGCTTACTGACTTCCGGCTCCCCAGGTCACTGCTATCTGATGCAGGATGACCTTCAGCGGGCCTATCAGGCCTATCAACAGGCTCTTTACTATCTGCCAAACCCAAAGGTCGGTCCCTGCTTGCTTCTCTTCCAAACTCAATTACTAACTGCCCCTGTTCTCAGGACGACCCTAAGCTTTGGTACGGCATCGGCATTCTATACGACCGATATGGTTCTTTGGACCACGCCGAAGAAGCCTTCTCGTCCGTCCTTCGTATGGATAAAGGTTAGTAGCTCGAACCCTTGCTTTTCGAACGACACATATCAATACTAATATAGACAATCGTAATATAGACTTCGACAAGGCGAACGAAATCCTGTTTCGCCTCGGGATTATATACAAGCAGCAGGGGAAGTACAACGAAAGCCTGGAGTGCTTCGACCGTATCCTCAAGAACCCTCCGAATCCGCTCGCGCATGCTGACATCTGGTTCCAAATTGGTCATGTATATGAGCAGATGCGCGATGTAAGTGGATCTCCGCTATCAGGTGACTAATCTTGGACCATCTTCTAATTCATTTGACTGCGCAGCTCGTCCGTGCGAGAGACGCCTACGAACGAGTCGTAAGGGATAACCCGGGACACGCCAAGGTTCTCCAACAACTGGGTTGGCTGTACCATCAAGATGGTTCCTCGTTCCAGAATCAAGACCTTGCTATTCAATATCTCACCAAGAGTCTAGAAGCAGGTATATAACTTTCACATGCTCCTTCTTACTCTATACCAAATCCGAACGAATGCTGATCATCCGTTGTTTCGGGAATAGATCCCTCAGATGCGCAGAGTTGGTACCTCCTTGGACGTGCTTACATGGCAGGACAGAAATACAACAAAGCATACGAAGCTTACCAGCAAGCGGTGTACCGCGATGGCCGCAACCCTACCTTCTGGTGTTCTATTGGCGTCCTTTATTTCCAGATCAATCAGTATCGCGATGCACTCGACGCGTACTCCCGTGCGATCCGTATCAATCCTTACATCTCTGAGGTTTGGTTCGACCTTGGCTCGTTGTATGAGTCCTGCAACAACCAGATCTCAGATGCCATTGATGCTTACGCCAGAGCCGCCGAGCTAGACCCTAGTAACACGGCGATTGCCCAGCGCCTTCAACTTCTGAAGACAGCTCAAGCAACTGGCGGCGCCTTGCCTGCTGCACCGGGACCGCAAGATGTTCATCCTACCGCCTACGCCAACCCGCTTATCCCCACGCCTACGGGATTAACGGGCCCTCCGCTATTGCTTCACTCTCGTGAAGGTCCCCGTCCGATCTTCAGGACTGATTCTAGAGGACCCGGTGATCTGCCTTTGCCAGCTCCCGCCGCCGTACTTAACGGGCGTTCATCACCAGGACCGTTCAGAGGTGGACCACCTCCACCAGTCGTCCTCGACGACAACCATGCGCCGTCTCAACACGCGCTTGCTCCTATGCACCTCGACCATCCCCCGCTTCATAGGGAAACAGGTCCCTATCGCGAGAATGGCAGAACTGGTCCCCAAACGGTTCTTCTCCACCAGCCGACGCCGCAACCAATACTCGGCGATCGTCATCCTCAGCAGGAAGTGTCTTACCCACGACCTATCCGTATGACATCGCCTTCCCCGTCGCCTCCACCCACTGTACGTCCGAGCCACGTTCCTTACGAACCCAGACCTCCAATGGGTCCTGGACAAGCAGGCATTCCGCGATCTCCTCCTGGGTATCCTCGTGACGTACCTAGCGACCGTGAACCGGCTTGGGAGCGACGACCACCCATCCCAGAGCACCGTGATTGGGAACGTGAACGCCCGCAAGAGCGTCGTGCGCGACCTCCAGATTACCCCGCACCACACCAGCAGCAACAGCCGTACTACGCACCAAGACCGCATTCGCCACCTTATCCTCAACAACGACCGCATAGTCCTAGAGGACGCGATAGCTCGGTGGATAGATCTCCTCGAGTTCACCCTGGGTACGGCCGACAGTATCCCGGCCCTGGTGGTCCACCGGCAATGCCTCTTCGCTCACCTCCAACTCGCCGACCTTCTGTATCAGACGTTGAGTCTACTGGTAGACGCTACGATCCTAGGTACGACGCTCGGGAACCTGCTCACCCACGCGAGTACGCGAACGATTCAATGGTCGATGGACGCTATGTCTCATCGCCAGAGGCTCACCGCATGCGCGCGCAGATCCCTCCGCCCCAACCTCCCATGTTCGTCGGGAGCAGTCGTGCGTCGGAGAGCCCTCGAGTCCCGCCCCAGCCTGTCGTTCAAGAACCCCCGCCTACTCGTCGACGAAGAGGTGCAGCCGCTAAGGACAAGGACGCCGACTCAAATTCCGGGACCGAGCCTCAGAAGAAGGAAAGGAAGAAACGGGCACCACGGAGGGCTGCTGCGAAGGAGGGAACGCCTATGAGACAACAACCCGCGTACGCTGCCAGTGCCGTTCACCTTCAGCAGGCACCGCCGTTCAAGTCAAGCAACGATAGTCCAGAACCTGCAAGTTCGCAGAGGACTGGATCGTCGACTCGGTCAACGCAGCCTTCACCTACAAACTCGATACATGCGCCGCCTTCGAGGGAACTGGACGAGAACTACGACGAGGGGGTCGCGGAGACTCTCATGCACCTCCACTCGTATCAACCTTCGGATCCTCGCGGGTACCCTCCTCCGCCTCCTGGTGCTAACCTGAACGGTTCCGTGCATTCTCCGTCCACGAACCGACTGCCTCAAGGTTCCCCCCATATAGTGTCGAGGTACCCAGCCGCAGTTGTCAGGAATTCACCTCCCATCAACGCGAAGCGTCCTCTCAGTCCAGGTCCTGACGACCATACTGAGATGAAGCGCGCGAAGGTTGGTAGTGTGAACCGTCGTAACGCTTCACCACCGGGTGGTCGACCCACACCGACGCCTTCTCGACGACCTTCGCCTATTCCTTTCCGGCAACAACCTACCTCTCACTCTCCGGAGTCTCGTCAAGTCGATAATTCGAGTCCCGCTATCCCCACCATGCTTCCACCTCACCCTCGACCGATAGGTGCAGGCTTGGCTGGACATGCTCCGGTTGGTCCTGGTATGCCTCTCCCTCCGTTGAGTACCCGCTCGCCTCCGTCGATGGAGGACGATCATATGGGCTCGTCTCGCTCTGCGTCTCCACCGAGAGGACAGGGCAAACGCGAGATCGTCTTGCATCCGACTGGATCGCCGCAAGGACCAAAAGGGACGCCCTCGCCGAGTTCCAGTCACCATAGTCATGTGTCTCATTCGAGTAGAGGTGCTCGGTAGATTGTCGTCGTTGTTGGTCGTCGATTGAGGCCCCTCAGTTTTCTATCTTATTGCATTCAAAAGCATCCCCTCGAAATTGTTTTGTAGCATCCATCGATCCAGCCGTCATCGTCATTATACCCACACCTACGGACGACCCGCACATCCTTACTGACTTATACTCATCTTGATCTCCTTGCATAGCGTCTCGCATCGTTTTCGTTGTCCGCTAATTGTTAGAATAATAGCATGTACGTATGACTCTTCTACGACCTCTTCCTATGATTTTTATGAATAGAAATATGCAATATATGTTGTTCAAATATGTTTTCGTGCTGCCTTTCTAAGTCTGAGTTCAAGAATTGCTTCTTTCGTAAGTATTGAAGACGACGGCCTTAGCGTGTTCATACGAAGTTGAAGTACACATATTCCGTTGGCAAGCTCAGAGCAATCCGCTGAACCGATATTATAGCGTAGTATGTACATCGGCAATGACGTGCAGTCGATACAGGGGGCTGTATGCATATGGTGCGAATTACACCGTAAATAGTCTAGAATGAACTGCCGCGTTTGTCGTATACGACAAGAACGAAATTGAAGCGTAAGGCATGTGCGATGTTCCGGAACATTTGACAGCCACCTAGCCAACACTCCACTCCAAGCGTGTCAAGAACACAATCTTCAAAGCACTCCATCAGGTTTCAAACTAAGATGTTCGCCAAGAGGAGGCTAGCGAAGTACACTACTAGGAACAGGGGTACCGAGCTACGCTATGATTTGAAGCCTGAAGCTTGGCCTTGGGGAGCCTGCCTAGGGTATTTTGCGTCCCGCAAAAAAGCATCATATCGGGAGACCGCAGCCGGATTATTACACGAAACTGCATTATGAATAGAACCAAACAGGAGCGATTAGCCCAGCAGCACTGTAAGTGTACGAAGCGACGGACAGCGCGAGTGTGGAGTTCAAACTGCGCAGTCCGCCAACCCGCAAAACAAAAGCAGAAATCTAGACTCCATCTTTACCGCAAGATTTTATTTTTGAAGCTGGCACCCTGGCCCCTGGGGTATCCGGTAGCTGCTATGTCATGTAACAAAGTCCAAACCGCGTTTAGACTGGTGCCAAGCGCGACGATGTTCGTAGTAGCGGGCCGATGGACTCGGTGATTAATGTGTGCCGTAGGCAAAATGAAACTCGAAAGCGAAAGTGTCGGATGGACCGAAAATGGTAAGGTGAAAACGAAAGGGGTAGGAGGGCCTTTCCGATGAACAATTCGGAATATGTCATGGTTGTCAGGTTAGCAGTGTCTCGGAGTGAAGGACGAACGGATGTGACTAAAGACGACAAGGTTGTCAGTATGCAAAGCATACACAAATGTGAGCCTTCACCTACTGGAAAATCATATGCGGCGAAAGAGAACGTCGTGTTAGTGCATACTGGGAAAATGGAGCGTTGGAGTAGGAAATCAGACTTTGGTGGCGCTCTCTGGACGGACAACATACCATTATCCTTCGCAATATAAGTTTCGGAAGTCTTAAGCCCTGCAATTGAACAGAAGCTGAGCTGCTCTCACGAATGAACGATCAAAGGTACGAAAGTACCTGAAGAGAAAGATAATTGACAGTATCAATTCGTTCCTCTGAGGTACTCTCTACGAATATCTCGCGATCACAGGGGAGATAGACGAGAGCATACTCTCGAGGGTCATAAGCAATGAACCACAGGAAGGGAAGAAATGACGTATGTAGATAAGGCGTTGCTGCCCTTGACCCCATTACTCCTCCGGAGGTAGACGACGAACCAAAGCCTGCACAGCGGCAAGGTACATGTCTAACAATCGGAAGTAGAACAGAAGGAGCGACAATATTGCAGCTGAAATGGTTGTGAAAGCATCAAGCCACCATGGAAAATGTTTTGGAGTGGATTGGCCCCGGGAAACTGATGCCAGAGTCGTGTCAATTGACGGATACACGTATAAAAAGTTACTTACTCCAAGCCCAGGTTCTGATGATAGTTCTACGTATAAATCGGACCTTCTCCAGGTATGCATATATCCTCTGTAAACACGTTAGTATATAGATGTCTAACATGAGACAGAACTCGAAACTCACAAATCCAAGAACCGTGAATATACCGTTGAATACGAAGACCAGCATGCATGACCAGAAATTAACTCCAGTGTACTTTGCGTAGAGGTTCAAGATTCCAAGTGTGTAAATTACGACACCAAACGTAAGTCCGGAGGAGAAGGTACAGAAAGTGAATGCGCCTATGACTGTGGAGTGGTCAGGACGAAGAAGTGTGCTCTATGAAGGCAAAATACTGACATATCAGAATGGCACGCACAAAATAGTAGCCGAAGTCTTGAGAATAGTCTTTCTCAAACAACCAGGCCCACCTTGGATCTGCAACTTCTTCGTACAGCCCTAGATAATATAATCTAACTTCCGTTAAGTCACCCGGGACAAAGAGAGGGTCAAGTGATTTAGAGTTAGACCCACCCCACAGCCAACAGAACGCCGCCTACCCACTCGAGAGCGGTAGGCGTAACGGATTGTCCCAGAAAAGACAAAATAGCCTTCGTCGTCCCAATAATCATAACCACACCCATGTTAATTATTCGGTACATGGAAAGTTTGACATGTCTTCGCCTGGCTGTATGCTCCCGATTTGAGCCAACAGCACCAAGTAAAGGTTCCTCAACTCCTCCTAGATTATCAAGTTCCATGATTGAAAGGTTTTAGGTTATAGGGCGACCAAGAGAGTTCATTTCTACAGCTTTATCATCATCACAGCTTTGAGTACGGTGACAGTTCCGCAGAACCGGAGATGACAGCCGCTCTTGACGTGTACTGGCACATGACTTCATGCAGGGAGCCTGAGAAGGCTGCGAGATAACAAGTAAGACACTATTGTGTATGTTTTGAAAACATGAACATGATGGTCAAGCGAGATATATTCTTTGCCAGTCACAGCAACGAGATTTTATGAACACCAACTTTGATCGACTTTGATCGAGGAGGACTCGGAAGAAGCGCCTACTCGTGATCGTACTAAAGACAGTCAGCGGCCCTATGAACTGAGGTTCATTTCAAGCTTCAAACATTGTGCCTTACGATAATGTGAGTCTTGACTACTGTTTCCCAAGCCACCCTCACCCACAGATCATGGAATAAAGAGCAACACCGAATATGTCACTGCAGTTTCTTAACCCCGATGTACTGAAATCGAGCGGGCCACCAGACGCACTCCGGGATATCCCCATCAGTGAGTGCATAGACCACAATCAAGAAAAGAGCCCACCAACTTCGTACTTAGCACTACTTTAGGTGGTGCTTTATCACCGACTTTTAATCCGTGATAATCACCACTTTTGGGGCGCGGTAGGCGGTAGACCATCTCGTCACCAAGACGCCTAGAGACGCTCGTGGGGTGCACTGGGTGTTTTATTTGTATGTACTACTTTCAAAGCTCAACATCGTGCACCGAGTTAAAGGCAGTTCGTACCGGCATTATTCTTAAGGACTCGATGTGTACAGTACTTTGCTACGGTCCACCTGGTATTGGGCAATTAAATTCCTGGTACTTCACGCTCGAGATACTGTCAAGCGGGGTTGTCTGGATACAAACTCAAAGATGGCATCATCATCGTGAATAGCTTGTAGCTTCATACTTCAAGCACTTTTTCTATCATTTGGGTAACAGCTCGCAAGAGGGCTCCGGAATGCAAAGTAGCGTATGCATACAGAACGAGGGTCACCGATGGGTTTATTGTGAAGGCACCTAGCCATCATGGGAAGCATGTGGGGCCACTTTGTCCTCGCGAAGCTGAAAGAAGCATGAATGTTTATGTCTACATGCCGACGTCAAAATTGGTATACTAAAATTCCAGGATCGGGTTACAGCTCGACGAACGCGGTGTATGCGCTTAAGGATCCTGAAGACTTTCTGTTGTTAGGTGAAAATGGATAGAAGCAAGGCCTACCCTGCTTGCCATCATCAGCGCGAAAATTATGAGCAAGAAAACGATGGTTGTAAAGTTGCTGTAGCCAGTGATGGGTGCTATCCAAGCGAATACGGCGAGAGCATACTCGTACACACCTAGGTGGGTCAGTATTTATGACCGTCATTGTATATCCACAATCCGCAGGGCGAACACCAAAGCTGTTGCTAACGTGCAGGCGAAAGAACCCGCTGGTCTTCGAGTACACGGTCAAGAAGAAAACGATGACCCAAATGTCACTATTACATACCGTTGAACATCGTTCGAACGGTATATTAGCTAACAAGGCGCGAATAGTCTTCTTCAAAGAATCACGTCCGCTTGAATAAGTTCACGTTCTCATGCTGTCCAATATAATAGAGTACAACCTACATCCGTCTATTAGTATTTAAAGTTTGTTTTATGAAATGAAATGCTCACTCGAGTGCCAAAAGAACCCTTAGAACCCAACTGAGCGTGCTTGGGGCGACTGACTGACCCATATAAGTCAGAATTCCTTTCGACGTGCTAACTGTGAAGATGACACCCACGTTCAGGAGCCGATACCCAGTTAATTTGACATGAGCGATTCTGGACAGTGGCGGTTGTGGACTTCACGGAGTCAAGGTCCACCATAGGTGTCAGTATGCAGTTCCCTCATGTACTCTTCTGACATATCTGCCAGCGTGTATTAAAACCGAACCAACAGCAATGTACCTGGCTATGGGAAATAGTGCGTAAGTGACTTGTGAAGGTCTGTCGCCATATGTGATTGACACCCGGTACCGGCAATACTAGTATGCGCAACACTTCCAAGTATGAGGAGAACAGGTTCGTCAGCTATCAGGGTTCCTGGATGTGAAGATTGTACTTAGTCCGAAGAGTCTCATGACACACAATATAGCTGCAAATATCATAAAGCACTCTTCACACCAGCATCGTGCTAATTTAACTGAGGCTCTGTTAAGAGTAAGACAAATGGTCATACAAACATGGCAGAGTTCGCCATGGTAGCCAGGTACACCCCATGTAGACCGAGAACAGACAATAATGATCCAAATGAGTTGAATATCTCGCCTCGAATTCGCAACGTTGCATCCGCGCAGCAATGTTGTCACGTTAACCTGACACAGGACAGCAGAAAATAGTCGGCTCAGGCAATACATCGCAGCCGATTGACATGTTTTGAAAATAGGCAGCAAATTGAATTGAAACAGAGGAAAGGCGGCGAAAAACGAGGGAAAGAGGAGGAGATGGTGGTCAAGAAAAGAAAGTGATCACCACGTGTTTGGGCTGAGCCGTAGTGATCTGCGAGGCTTTCTCTCTCTTTCTGCTACAAACCGCCCGCTTTCGATACACACACGCATACGCCAGATCTTTTGCAGACAGGCAGTTCAAGTTTATCTTAGCGTGTTTCAAGTTAAATGTATCGGTCATGACAACGTCCCCTCCGCTCTTCGTTGTACCCCCTCCCTCCGGTTTGGAACTCAAAAGTTCACCCGCTGAACCACCGGCTCCTTACACCCCCAATTCTGCGTCCACATCCTCACTACACAAGCCAACTGAGATACCAGAGTTGCCATTGCCTCCGGAGAAGCCTGTCGCGGAAATGAAACCAGTCGATAGAGAAGGTAGTGAGCCAGAGGAGCCTGCAGGTGTTCCTGAAGTAACAGGAGAGTCTGAAGTCGCAAACAAGGGTAACGCCTCAACGGAGATGATTATCGCAGCCCCGACCGCCCTCCTGCCAAGTCCTCCGCTGACCGAGGTTGAGGAGCAAGAAGATGACAAGGAAAATGTCCCTTCAGAACATCGAGAGCGCACCTCACTTCGTCATTTAGCGGAAGAAGACATTACAAATTGGCAGTCGTCTGTGGATGGAAGTTACCACGAAGACGATCTGGGCTACTCGACCAACGAGGCCACCCCTATCGATGGCGGAGGAGGGCCGCTGGGTACGAGCATGCAGCAAGGTGGTGTATCGCAAGATAGACTATCCGTACCTTCTGCGCGGCACGAGCCAGAACACCCACTGAGTTTGAACACGCAACCTCCTTCTCCACCTCCATGGGAGATCATCGAACCACCCGCGACCAACAACAGGCATCTCTCTCCTGTTGGTGAATCCTTTCCAGAAACTGGAAGGAATATGCCGAAATCAATGTATGTGGCTCGTGCATTCTCCAAGTGCCCGCTTTCTGAAACCTCTTGCATGTAGATCGTCACGGCCTTTGATACCTCATTCTTCCTACTACTTTGGACCACCGCCGATTGACTCCGCTTTTGGTACGAATCCGATAGGCCATCTTGGTGTACATCACCCTCGAGAGATCATCCGAATAGAACGAGACTATTCGGGAGGAGAGCTTGTTCAATTCGCTCCCATATACCCACTGGAGTTGGAAGGTCGAGTACGTGCCATCGTAGTCCTCATGCTGTTCGTGCCTTTGATTCCGGACTCTGCAGATAACGCCAACACAGTTCCTGGAGACCATCAACGCGATGAACGAGGTTCTCATTTCGGCACACAGCTTGAAGCATTCACTCGTGGAGAATGTGTTATCTTTTTTCACCCTTCAACTCTCTCGGGTGATTGTCACTTCGCATTATCAGAAGGTATGGTCATTGCTTGTACTACGAGTATGCCTCTCTGACGATTTCCCCAGGAGATGCGACGGCTTCATAGTGTTATTGATGATTTCAACAGGCGGTTATACAATCCAGTTGGTCTCAATATTTTGTGGCCACAAAAGGTTGCTTTTATGTTTGTGCGTATCATCATATTTATTTGTGGCTTTTACTGATGTCTATCTCACGCAGCTCGAAATAGAGTATTATGTGAGTACTCTGGTGTCTCGACTATGACATCGTCCTCTAACATTTCCGCTCATGCAGTGATATCTTCATTGTCTATACCTATCATTATCTCATACCCATTATTTCTTCTATTCCCACCCACTCGTTGGCGTACACACTTAGCACTACCACCGACCGGTTACCACGTTCTTTTCCATTCCCCATCTTATGTCTTCACATTATGTCGGTTCCCGAACACGCGCATTTCCCATTGACACGACGCATTTGTATTTAGCGAATCTATCAAGGTACCTGGCTACTTATTGTCTCATATTCTTCGTCCGTTATACATATGTATTGTATTTTATCTAGTCATATAGTCAAATGGATGGTTCATTAGGTTTCTGGAAGTTCATGCCTCCTTCGAATTAATTGTCGGTGTGAGAAACGTTCTGCTCTCGGTAATGGTGCAGTACTGTAGTTGGCCGGGTGCGAGAGGAGTGGCTGCGTACGAGACCAGAACGTTCAAGCTAAAGCTTAATTTCCGTTTTGGTCAGAGCACCGTGATCGCGATCACTCAGTTCTCCTCCATCGCAGGATTGTATCCTCTTGGGTTCACTCTTTACGACCTCCTGGAGCATTCTCTCCGATATTCTTACTTTATAAAGCCCAAGGACTCAGGCAAACAGAATGTCGGCGACTGAGGAAGACATCGCGGAAGAAATTCGCTCAGCACTCCCAGGAACTGAAGAAATCGTTGTCCAATACGTCTCAGGCTACCTTCTAGACTTAGACGACGCAGCTGAAGATGAAGACGTCCTAGAGATCGCTCGATCAATATTAGAATCTGCTATTCCCTCCTCATCTCGCGATACCTCGAATACCAATGCGCAATTAGACAAGCTCGTGAAGAGGCTGGACGAGTTATTAGAAGAACCTTTGAGGAAGAGAGTGGAGAAGAACTGCGCGGGCCAGACTAATGGTTTGGTTAGATTGGACAAGGTCATGGACTTGAGTAAGGCTTCTACCATGAGTAATACCATCGGGATGGGCCAGGGTGTGGATCTCGAGAGTATCAACAAGGGAAAGTGAGTATTGCTCTTATCGTAGTTGAGGGTGATTATTGAATGACTACTTTAAATTTAGAGCTTCTCGAGTCGATGTAAAGAAACTCGAAAAGCAGGAGACCAAGCTCAGAGTAAGCATTTTTCAGTTAGTCCGAGAAGCAAGAAACTGACTACTTCTGAATAGGCCAAAATTGAAAAGCGAGCTAAACGAGATCTATACGAAGGCTCAAAGTTGTTGGATCAATACAAGAAACAGGTATGTACACTGTCAGTCGGACTTCAGGCGTTATTTGTTTACATCGGCTGCTCTAGCAATCATACGAGGAAATGTTCATGAAGATCAACCCTCTCGATGCAGCAGCAGCTTCCATGAATAAGTCCAAAGACGTTCACCTTCCATCAATCGACGTCAACTTCGGCTCCAATCGTATCCTGTGCGTACCTGATGACTATTGTAGACGTCTAAATGCTGATGCCATAATGCGTTCAGGTCTGGTGCATCGCTTACACTTGCCTATGGTCGTCGTTACGGTTTGATCGGTCGTAACGGTGTTGGAAAGTCTACGCTCCTACGACATATCGCTATGCGTGAAGTACCCATTCCGGCGTACATTACGATTCTATTCGTTGAACAGGAAGTACGTTTGAGCGCTTTTGTTCACTTCTCACAACCATTCACAATGAAAATTTGTTATGCAGATTGTCGGGGACGACACTACAGCCCTTGAATCCGTCCTCAAAGCTGATGTTTGGCGAGACATCCTCCTACGGGAAGAGACTACGCTCAATACCAAACTCGCCGAACTCGACAAAGAGGGTGATGACAAGCGGTTCGAAGATGCGAGAGAAGAGGCACAGGCAAGACTTGCCGAAGTCCACACAAGGTTGGCTGAGATGGAGGCCGAAAGCGGTCCTGCCAGAGCCGCCTCTTTACTAGCTGGTGCGTGACTTCTATTTGGATCGTTCGTACTGGGGGGTAACGCCGAGGTCGAATGAATGTATAGGTCTTGGATTCAGTGAAGCTGATCAGTCAAGACCGACGAAATCGTTCAGTGGTGGTTGGAGAATGCGACTCGCACTTGCCAGAGCTCTGTTCGTGAAGGTCAGCGGTCAATCAGGGTGCTTGTGAGTCAATGTACTCATGATTGATCATTTATCGTTTCAGCCGGCGTTACTTCTTCTCGATGAGCCTTCTAATCACAGTAAGACATCTTTTTATGTGTTCCCTGTGTGATACTGAAGGCTAACAATGTTTTAGTTGATTTGAATGCTTTGGCATGGCTCGAAGACTATCTTCAGACGTGGTCTGGAACTCTCCTTGTCGTGTAAGTACTCATAATTTTTCCGTGCTCCTTTCGCTCATAGTCTTGTTCTCAGATCACACGACCGAGCATTCTTGTAAGTGCAGCCAAGAAACCTTCTCGATTCACATTCTGAAATTCTGAATAGGGACGCAGTCGCGACGGATATCATTCACATGCATTCCGGCCGTCTTGACTACTACAAAGGGTATATCTCCTTCTCCTGTTGTTTGCTGATTTACATTCCTAACGAACGAATCGACAGAAACTTCACCCAGTTTTACTCCACGAAAAGTGAACGTGACCGGAACCTTCGTAAAGAGTATGAAACCCAGATGGAGTATCGTAAACATCTGCAGGCGTTCATTGACCGCTGGCGATACAACGCAAACCGTGCGGCTCAAGCGCAATCAAAGATCAAGATCCTCGAGAAGGTATATCTATTGTTTCTACCAGTTTCTCCAGACCGTATTTGACAAAAGACCACTCCTAGCTTCCTGAATTGCACCCTCCGGAAGCTGATGAGATTGAAACTTTCAAATTCCCTGAAACAGAAAAGATTTCACCGCCCATATTGCAGTTGAATGAAGTGACATTCGGTTATACGCCTGACAGGATCCTCCTTAAGGATGTCAACATCGACGTTGGTTTGGATTCGCGCATAGCTATCGTTGGTCCGAACGGTGCCGGAAAGTCTACCCTGTATGTTGCCTATAGTCTATTTTTCTTATTCTGACCTCTGATGGTGCGACATTTTCCAGTATCAAGCTGCTGATTGGTGATTTGAAACCATTCGCTGGACATGTCAGCCAAAATGGTCGCTTGAGGATGTATGTCTCAATAGTCGTTTAGAATCTGGCGACTCACTGACTGTCAATGCAGAGGTTACTTCGCACAACACCACGTCGACAACCTTGATCCAACTATGACGCCTGTGCAGTTCCTAGCGTCGAAGTTCCCGGGAAAGACTGAACAGGAGTATCGTTCCCATCTTGGTAATTTCCAGATTAGCGGAATGACTGGGTAATTTCAATCACAATGTTTGCCGTATGTATCAGTTGCTGACGTTTTCCACTCTTTCAGTTTGCAGATGATTGGCACGCTGAGTGGAGGTCAGAAGTCCCGTGTGGCATTCGCCGTTCTGTCCTTGCAACGTCCCCATGTTCTCCTACTTGATGAGGTGCGAACCCCAAATATGTGCCGCCTCGATCATGATTGCTCATAGTATTCTGCACTCCCTGTCAGCCGACTAACCACCTCGATATTGAGGTATGGTCTGCCCCACTTTCTTGGGCGTTCTTGACTAACACTAGAACCGTAGGGTTTGGACGCTCTGATGGCTGCACTTAATGCGTGGAACGGAGGTGTCATCGTCATCTCTCACGACGAACGATTCATTACTACTGTCGCGAAAGAAGTACGTTGTCGTTTTATTGAGTTCCAGTTCCCAACTTACGACGAGAATTAGCTCTGGGTATGCGCTGATGGGACTGTTAGCAAGTTCAAAGGTGATGTACAGGCGTATAAGGTACGTCGATCTTTTGGATAAGGGGATAGATCTGTTGGCTCATGATGATCTGCAGAGTCTTATTGTCAGCAACATCAAGGCGAAACCATAAGGGAGTTGTCCTTATAGTTGTCTTGCCGAATTCCAAATACTTTAACATTGCAACGCTTGCCTATATACTGCACAAGTTTTTGGAACCATGTTCAGATAATCACGTTGACATGTAGTCAGGAGAGCGGTGGATGCTACAAGATGTGTATCGTCATGAGGAGCAGGTATGTTTGTATCAAGTCGTTCAAATGAGGTCCGGAATCCTCTTCTTGAGCATGCGCCGCGTTTTAAGAAGCGCGTCCTTCAAATTCTTATATGTGACGGTACCCTCAAGAGTTTCATCGTCACAACTGACGTCTTCGGGAAGGTCGTCTCTGTCTATATCAGCCATCGCTCGATCAAAGTCTTCCATGTCGCGCATGTCTTCTCGGCCTTCTACAGTCTTCTTCCCGTTTTTGAATACTCGCCACATCAGGATCAGCCACCAGTCGTACGCCTTAAAGTCTGGGGAGAGACGACAAGTAGATTCGAGTGCCTCTCGTAATGCACCCTTATCATACAACTTCTTTTTGTTCGCCAATGCGATTTCGATGTCTTGTCCTCCCCAGGCAGAGAATGGGTCTTTGCTGGTGACTGGTTTGACCAGCTTTACAGCGCACCACAGAGCCACATAAAACACACTCTCGAAATCATGTCGCAAATAATGTGTTGCTTCTGTATTCTCCAGGAGATCCACTGCCATAAAAGGAAGCGTACCCGTGCGGTGTTTGCCCGTCCGTCCTGTAGGCTCACCATTGTCTCCGACCGCCGAGCCAAGATCAATGTCATTGAGTATTAGCCAGAAGATGTCGCGAGCCGGACCTCGCATCTCACACATGAGATTGCTCAGGCTAATGTCGCGGTGTATGATTTTCGCCTTGTAACGTAAATCATGGAGTGCTGACCAAGTGTTGATAATGAATACGCAGACAGGGACATGAGGAAGTGGCAGCACGTACCATCTAGCAGCTGATTGAAGAGATAATCCATATTTCTCGGAGTCAGCACGGACTCCAACGATAGATACGTGGTGAAGACAATGAAACATTGAGTTCTTTCCTCATAATATTGGTCCGATTCGTTGCTAGGGAATACGACACCGTGAACACCATCCTTGGAACGCCATTCCGAAGTCCTGTTGGTCCACATGTGGGCCTTAGGGAGGTGGTGATGAGCATCGCCGTTCTCTGCCAGTATCAAGAGTTGATGTTCGGGAATACGTAGTATTGACTGCATTGCCATCTTGATCACGAGTGGGCCGCCAAAGATCTCTGGGGTGGTGTTTACGTTGTATACACAAGTGTTTCGACCGACAAGACTATACTGAACATAGATCGGAGACCCGAGAGTGACCATGACTTCGCCATATGTCTCGTGTTGCATGGTGGTAGAATACCCTTCAAGAGAAATTGGAGGCAAAGACGGGTTGTTCTGTGGCGCGGGTGGTATGAGGTTTGGAATAGTCAAACCCCAACGCCCGTGATCACAGCAGGCAATGGCAACAAGAATAGCGGCGAACTTCTCGAAGTCCAGAATCCAAGAGATCTTCGTGGAGAGTATGATTCCAGTAGCATCTCCGTACCAGAATTCGGCAATGTCGCCTGCGATCAAGCACTGGAAGAAATGATGCCGGGTGCCATTGGTACACGAAAGCATCTCCAGACCATAACTGGCTAGTTGCTCATAGTATTCCGGTGGCGTCTCGTGTTTCTCAAGAGGTGACGGGTCATCGTCTTGCTGACCTCGTTTCACTTTCTGCTTCTTGGCAGGTGGAATCGCGATGTCGCTGGCGAACGCATGTTTCCTCTTGTGGCCAGTCCCATCAGGAAATGAGGTATGGTGGTGCATAGTGGCTGATTGATCTAACGTATCCTGTGAAGGTGATCCTAAGAAGAAGCCAGACAAATGAACATAGAAAGACGCACTGTTGAAGTCGATAATGCCTCTGAAGTTGGGGCTTCGATGAGCGTCCGTACTGGGACTTTCTTTTTCCACGCTTCATTGACTTTGGCGAGGCGATGGCGCTCTTTCTCGAAAAGCTTAATTTCAATGAAGGAAAATGGGTCCGTCCAAGTGATACCAGTAGTGGGATGCTGGGGTTTGGTAACTTTGTACTTTTCACGTTGCTGGATTGTGCGAAGAGTCTGCTCCGAAATCACGGCGATGTCAGGAGATCTGTGGGCTGCACCAAGAGGGCCAGATCCAATCATCACTGGGTCATTGCGACAGAAGAGAAGGTCCTGGACAGGAAATGGCGGCAGATCGGGAATATACAGCCTAGCAACTTCCAAAACTTTATTTGCCATCGTGCAGAAAGGTCCATAAAGGAGCTTTTCTTGTCCGCTCCCTCCAAACCGAAGATAAGCTTCGACCGCTCTTTGGATGACGACTTCTTGAAGAATTATCTTGCTCTGAGTGAAGATGGTAACCCAATTTTCAATTTCGTCTGGAGTTCTCCCGAGGACGCTATGCACCCAATGGTCCAACGAGGTGGTCTGGGTGTGCTGTTCCATGTCGCGTCTAGCGAGAAGTAGATATATCTGCTTCTTTGTATGTGGGATATTGATCTGAGATGCAGTGGCGTGCGATATAGGTGTACTTTGTACTCCACTCTGAGCGTAAGATGCTGCACGGTCTTTATCGCAACTGAGAGGCACCGGTATATCCCCGGTCTGGCTCGGAGGTGGAACAGGGTCAGAGGCGGACTCAAAATCAGGTAAAGGGGTGCGAGGCGGAGACTCTTCGCAGCTGCCGCCTTGGCTGTGGAGCGCCGGTGTTGAGCTGGGAGGTTCTGTGTGGCCTGGGGGATCTATGATTCAATGTGAGGAAGGGAAACCTGGGATGTGAACGATTTATATCTCACCGGAGAATCCTGAAGCGAGTGTGGTCCCTCGTGTTCGGCTAAACCACAACAATGGCTATCAGGACGATGGCAACAGCTCATGCAATGAAAATTGCCTTCGACCTCGGCGGGCGACACCTAGCCGCAATGTATAAAGCTATGCCAAAAACCTTGCGATTAATACGGGTGCTATACTGAGCAGAAATAAACTGCATACAAACCTTCCGATCCTGCAAATGCCCTCTTCAAGTTGTCGTGACAAGAGAGCAGCAGACCCACCACAAGGAACGTTGCTCAACTACACCCAAATTCAAACTCCGCGCAGATGATACGCGACAGTGCGCTGTGACAGCATGTGACCGCGTTTTTCTTCATTAATCTCGGTAATAACTATGATAATGCTCTTTATTAGAAATCCTACGCATATTGCGAGCGAGGTGAGCATGCCTTGAGTAACACGTAGCAGTGGACGATTCGTGATATCAAAGTAATCCAAACAAGCGCTTCTTGGGACTCGACTTTCGCTTCACTCCTTAAAACCGAATGTATCATCGACACACAGGAAGAAAAAAGTCTGACAATTCGGTAATGTCCAAATATATCATTCACGATTCAGCATTCAAGATCAGTGACTGACTAACAGATTTGTCCATTCAATTTCGAATCAGACGGGATAAACGTGAAAGAATGATTAAGACGACGTTAGAACAGACCCTTCCTTCTGATCGACGTGTACTACATTCCACCGCGGCCAGCCGAGCCTAGAAAATTTCACTCAGAACAAGTAAGGTTAAAGAAGATAGAAGAGGCACTCACCATTGGGGTGCCGTCCCTACCAAGTACCCTCCCAAGGGTTGTTACTGGAGGTATCCAGACCCATCTGATGACCAACACCTATAAACTCGTCAACGCGATCCCCTGCGTTGGAGAAGAGCTCCAGCCTGGCCGTGTTCGCTGTGAGCCATAGCTTAAAGGTCCCACCCCTAACATTGGGGGCGAGTCTATTGCCGTGAAAAGTCCCGGAACCCGTCCTATGGGTCCTCCCTCTCCCTACGATGCTGCCGATTCGGATCCCGAGGGTACCATCGATGGAACTACCCACGATCTTGAGGGTGTTATCGACGTTGAACGCTTCAGCATCATATTGAGCTAGAGCGGCTATTTCGGTATCGACGCGTTGCACCTCTTTGACTTGGCGGACGAATTCAGGGTCCTCGGGTTTGAGCTTGAGGCTCTCCTCGAAGAACTTCTCGAAATCTGAGAGACGGGATCAGTTCGAACCAGCAAGGGATACTAACTAACAGTCGAGCCCTTACTCTCTTCCTTAAGGATGATATCGATTTGGGACTCTGGACATTGTGCTTAGGATTGTTGTTGACAATTGAGTATGAAAGTAGATACGTACCAGACATGGTGAATGGATGAAGTAGATGATGCTGGAGATCTATGGGTCAGGGTCGATAAGTCAGAGAAGGTGTAGGGTAGCAATGGCTCACTTGAGGAATTGAAGTGGGGTTCAGGCGCAACCAGTTGATAGCTGGATACTGGAGAAGGGGCAACCTAGGATTAGGGTATTTATACTCGAGGCGGCTACCATTAAAGCCAGTGAATATAGTATTCGGACCCCCACGCAGGAACGAGATTTCCATGTGACAACCGTAGAATGGAGTACTAAATCCTGATGGACAGAACCTACGTTTGAACGTAAGTGGCGGCGGAGAGCATTTCGACGCCACCGATGAAGACAGCTGCGGCTGAAGCTACTAAAGCCTCGTTGCACTTTCAACGAAAGTGAAGCCTTGTTCTGTTTGGAAGTCCATGTTACATGCGACATCGGACCGCCACCAGAAGACGGCCATCGCGGTGCGTAGACCTGAGTTGGCAGAAAACATGATGATGGGAAAACCTCAACTTTCAGAGGAATACTCTAAGTCATTCGACCTTGGTTATGGATATTGAATTAAGTACGAGACGAAGTGTCACGCTTCGAATTCTCTTGTCCTGTGTTTTGACCCGTTGTAGCCTGGAAAACTTCAAAGAGCGAGATGTATAATGTTATGCCTCCTATTTAGCTATGCGCACGAAAGTATGATAATATGGGCCGCAAGTGCCATTTTTAACATTCAACTACTAAACTCACAAGTTGATAGCTCGACGCGAGACAACATGGGAAACCTTGGGCGGCATGCCTAAACGTCTCGGCTGGACTATGCCAATATTCGACTTTTGTCACAGGTGGCTCCACAAGCCGTCGAATAGACCGGTTGATTCCCAATCCCAACCTATGCCTTCCACGCTAGCGATTTCAACACTAGATATGAGAATCACGGAAGGATTAGCAATCCTTGCAAATTGTAGCCGAATAGGCCCCTTGTCTGTTTGGCAAGCACCTACGGAACATCCTGAGAATATGAATTGTCACTTTGAGAAAATGAATCGAGGATACGCAGACAGACCTAGACAAGCGTGGAAGCGGTGTGTCAATGCAGAAAGAACAATTGGAAAGTGAAAAGAGGCGATTTGATCGACTTATTCCGCACAATACCATTAATGACTGTAAGAGGCAACAGATGTACGGTTTGAGTCGCATTCTGACTGCACCCTATCCGGTCCGCTGACTTCTAAACTCTCCTTTCTGCGCATGTGAGCAAGACCAAACGGAGTCGAAATGTGAATTTGTTGAGCATTGAACGTTTAGAACAGCCCATCGTTTCTTGGCGTTCCATGACCCTCTGCAAGCCCTTTACAACCCCCGCGCTAACTTCGGATCGAGCTAATCAGTGGTACATGGACAGATTATGATGAAATAAATTACTTAAAAGTAACAGCCTAACTAGTTATGTGCCTGAATTTTTTGGTATCTGTTCTTTGAGACAGATCTGCCGCCGGAGTCACGTTGCTTCGACGATCGCACCGGCAGCAATGTTACTACTAGAAGTACCATTAATGAGCAGTACGACGTTTGAGAAGATGACAGAAATGATAGACATCACCTGTATGAATGGCGCTAACTCGGATCCTACTCGTCTCTTAGGACATAGAACATCTATTGTCAGTTTGAGAAATAATGCACCTACCACGTTATCAACGCATAGAGTCCTCCACATAAACCATGCATGGTACTGCACGGTAGGATAGAAATGCCATTCTAGTCAATAGCCTCCTACGAACGTAAAGATCCAGAATGCAAGAACACGTCACCTTTATATTGAACATCACCTCTCTATCATGGGCCATCTTGCTAGCGGTGACTTGCTTCAATGCAGGATGAATCATCAATGTAATGACGTCCATGTCTAGTAGAAGTCGCATCAACCCTGCTACAAGGCCGTCAAGCTCATTTGCTCTGTTCACAGAATACACGTACACAAACCATGACCAATCAAAATCCGGCTGCTCTAGAGACAACGCCTGGGAACTGACACTCATACGGCCTGTCGCTTCATCGCTGTTCATATCTGTGGTAGGCTCTTCATCCGGTGGTGTGATGACCTTGAAAAGATGATAACGACTAACGGGCGGGCAAGATCAAATTACAAGACTTTGCCGTGCTTGTTCGACGTCACAACTCCGTCCGCATCCACTTCTTCAGATTTGCTGCATTTCCGAGACGACTTGAGGGACTCTCGCACGGCTTCAGCGAGCTCGACATCGAGAGGCCCTTCGACATCTCGGATGAGCTCCTTGTTTCGGGCCCTCAGGATGAGGGATACCTCCGCAAGCTGCTGTTTCGGGCCCACTGACCACCGGGGTGGGCCGGGCAGTTCGGTGCCATTTTCGGGCTGGCGGCTGTGAGACATGCCGACCGACAGCTGTAGTTTTCGGGCTGACCGGGATGAGACACTTAGCGGGGGTCCTAGATGGATGATGATAACCGTGGTAGCCCTTTGTTCACTAGCCAGCGCGTGTTATTCTACTGCTCTCATATATAACTTCCTTCCTTCCTGACTCTCAACGACTACGTGTTCAAGTCACGCTTTTACCCCATCTCTAAGGATCCTGTCGCCATGGGCCAATACTTCGTTCTGTACGTATTCTGAATATCATATCTATTCATGTGATTAATCCACAATGCCCGGGATTCAGTTTTAACATAGACAGGTTAGAATACATCAGTTACGACCACAAATTTGGGGAGGTCATTTTCGACGGCTCGTTCACGAGTATCCTTCAATGGTTGGTGAAACCCATAGGTTACAAGCCGAGGCCTTTAAACCTGATGGGCGGCACTCGGAAGGTATCAGATGATGAGCGGAAAATAAGGTGTGCAAATCCAATCTACGTCTCAAGTCATCGCCAAACTGATCCCTTTCAAGTCCCGAAATGGACCCGTCCCCTTTGAGGAATGCATTGGGCCAACTGGCGAAGTTCCCAGACGAAATCCTCTGTATGGTCTTCGATAACGTCGACACACTCGAAGATGTAGTGCGACTAGGATTTGCCAATCGCTACCTCTACAACATAGCATATAATGTGGTGCAGCAACGATACTTGCAATGTCGGGCTGCTTGGGCTGGGTGTCGCTTACTCTGTCTCGGAGATTACGCTGAATCACGAGATCTTCCTCCCGGCGCATTCACAAAAGACGAGGAGCAAGAGATACAAGAGTACTGCGATACCGTGGACAATGCCTCGCCATATCAATATTTCACCAAATTCTGCGACCTCCGAGAGCCATCTATGCCCCGCGTCGAATTCAGCATCATATATGATCTCCTTGATTGCTCTGACCAAAATGGCGCGTATAGTACTCGAATGAAGAATTACTTCTGGGCGATTGAGCATCCAGCGTTAATGTATGGAACTGATCAACTCTGGGCCCTGTGCAATCTCTCCAAGAATGAATACGTTCGATTGGATGCCGTGGATGCCGTCCTTGGCTACAAAGCAGGGCACCCATTAAGCCTTCAAGACATGTGCTTTTCGGTCGCCCAGGTGTTGGCGTGTAGGATTTGCTGGTCTTCTGAACCGAGTTTCGCTTTATGCTACACAGAGCTCAATCATAAAGGTATATGGGCCGGTGATCGTTTCGAAATAACAACTCTGGATCGCATGGAACCTCCAAAAGATGGAAAGATATGGAAAGACGTTTCAGATGATGCAATCAATGAAGCTATCGAGTTGTGGAAAGCAGACTATGGCGATGAATGGGAGGAGAGAATGTGAGTTTCATGCATCCCCTCATCAAAACCATGAGTTGAGCTGATTGCATATTTGTTCTGTGTGGTAGTGGCGACAGACTCAATAGGCACTCTTTGAAAATGAGGGAGTATAATATGAATATGATTCGTCAGAGGTGGCCTTAATTTTGTCTGGGAATACGTCAGAGAAATGCATATTGGTTGTGCCTAGTTAATATAGCTCTGCATGAACTCCTGTATTTCACGAGTAGTTCCATCTACACACTAGTAAATAGGTAAATATAAATCAAGTAATCTGTCTCATGAGAATGAGTAACCAACAAAACTGCAATTGCCAAGTGAATGTACCAAATGAAGCACTGCGAACTGACGAAAGGCATAGAAAGCCTTTCACATCTCAGATACAAAACCTGGAACGTATGTCGCCAAATCTGGCTTGCATGACTCCAGAGCAGCCTTGATCTTAGTGTAGGTGACTGCGTCGTTTAAAGTCTCGAAGTTGAACTTGCTGTTGGCGGCTTTGATTAATCCTTCGGCCTGGTTTTCATTTATCCTTTTCACTCGAAGGTCTCGTTGGATAACGGCGAGTCTCCTGTGATGGTCGGCTAGTTTCTGATACCCATCAAAAAACACCTTCCAAAAACCGTCGAACCACATTTCGTATTGACAGAATTCCGGGCTGATGGGAATTTCTCCAGGTACGAGCTGGAAAAAGCTGTCCGAGTTGGCGAAGATTTGTGCTTTGGCTTTCAGAATAGCGTTCAATCCGTGTTGCTCCCAGGATAGAAGAACATCTCTTCTTGCAGCATCTATTTTCTGGCCGGATGGAAGCCTTATGCCGCACCATAGGGCAACAAAGAAGGCACTTTCGAGGTCATGACGAAGAAGATGCAACATTTCGGGGTGTTTGATGAGATCCACGGACATAAAAGGTAAAGTCCCCATGCGGTGAGACCCAGTTGCACCCAACGGACGTCCGTGTTCGTCGAGACGTGTGGCCAGGTCAAAGTCGTTGAGAATAAGCCAAACGACAGTGCCACGCATCTCATACATGAGATTGCTCAGACTGATGTCACGGTGAAGCATATTGACTTCGTATCGCAACTCATGAAGACCTGAAAAAAAGAGAACAGTCTCAGAGGTAAAGTTATTGTGTAGGAGAAATAAAACTTACAATCAAGTAACTGGTTGAAGACGTGGTCCATGTTAGATGAAGAGATGACTGATTCAATGGGCTTGTACTTCTTGAAGACGATGTGACGCTGGCAGCGTTCTTCGTAGGTCTCGTCTTCGTCGTTCTGCAAAAACATCAGTCCTCGAACACCGTGGGCTAGACGCCATTCAGTTGCTCTATCAGTCCACATGAAAGCCTTCGGAAGATGTTCCGATACGGGAAAGCCGTCAGCGAGAGCCAACAGTTCCTGCTCAGGTGTACGACAGACAGACTGCAGGGACATCTTGATGACAAGAGGGTCAGGACTGACGGGAGGTTCTGTCGTAACATCATACACGCATGTGTGGCGGCCGACTAGGCTGTACTGCGTGAAGACTTCAGATCCCAGCGTGACCTTGACGTCAATATCAAGGGTAGGGTGTCTCATTGTGGTGGAATATCCAGTGAGGGACATCGGTGGAATGGAAGGATTGAGATCTGGAGCCGGAGGAGACAAGTTGGGAATGTCGAGGCCGAAGTGGGCGTAGTCACAGCAAGCTATTGCGACGAGGATGGCGGCAAACTTGTCGAATTCCCGTACCCAGGATATTTGGTAGGAGCGCACGAAGCCCGAAGCATCGCAATACCAGAACTCAACGATATCGCCAACAACCAGACATTGGAAGAAGAATAAGCGGGTCCCGCGAGTGCAAGAAAGCATCTCCAGAGCGTAGCGAGCCATGTGGTCTTCAAATTCTTTAGCGACTGAACATTTCTCGGACAAGAAATAATCGCTCTCGTAGATTTCAGGCAAATAGTTGCGTTTTGCGCGCGGACGTTTCCTACTTTGGTTTGCACCTTCGGTTACGAAAGGTTCAGGTTTACGTTTCAAACGATTTGAGTTCGTTCCCGGCTCAGAGAGCAACGGCACACCTGGTGATTGGAGAGATGATGGAGTCTACAGATGGGTAGATTAGACTCAAATGGTAAGGACGAGTCTGAACGTTACTTACTGGTCTTTGAGGGCGTGAACCTGAAGCTACGAGTGACGGCGCAGGTAATGGTTCTTCCCCACGGACCTTGCTACTCCATGCAGCAATAAGGCCGACCAGGTATGCCGCTCTGCGGCTAGTCGGGAAGGGCTTGAGTTCCAGAAGGGAAAATATATCGCACCAGTCAACGCCAGTTGTCTTGTGTCTTTTTCGGGGAGGAGCCTGTTGATACTTCGGACGATTCTCCAAGTCGTTACAAGTGGTCTGCGAAATGAGAACTATGTCAGGTTTGCAATCAGCATCGCGGTTGTCCCCTTCCTCACGACCATTATCTACCACTACAGGGTCGTTCCGAACAAAGAGCAGGTCTGGGATCGGGTAGGTTGGAAGGCCCGGGACGTGATCGCGTGCCCACTCAAGAACCCGGTTGGCCATTGCACAGAACGGTTGATAGAGGGCCTCCTCACGCTCGCTATTTGCTGCTTGTAGATATGCTTGCACGGATGTACCTATTATGTCATCTTCGCATAGCCTTTCCTTGTTGAAAGTATCGACCCATGACTGAACCCTATCGACGGGACAACCGAGTACGGCGGACACCCATAATCTCAGCGGCATACGTTCAGTAGATTCATCCATGTCCTTCCTAAGCGGTCCGCGTACTTCGTCCCGGGTGTGGTTGTTTTCTACCCAGCCTGAAATCCCGAGGGAGAGGAGAGTACTTTGTACTTTGGCAAGGGCAGCTGCTCGATCCTGGTCGCGGTCTAGAAGTGTGTGGTTGTGTTCAATCTGAGCAACCGGCGTAGAGGGTCGATAGGGGACAGTGTTCGAAGGGCTATCACCCTTAGCAGAGGTATCGTGTGGGAGTTCTGAGGATTCCATGATTGAGTAGTTAGTGTCGGAAGAATGAGAAAGTAGACTGTTTATAAACATACAATGGTCTCGCTTATTTTGGCGAATGTGGCCGGCAGCACTGTGGCCAGTGGCACAATCCACAGTCAACACAATCAAGGTTAATGACGGGAAATATCGCCGCGACGATAACCTGGAAATTGTCAGCACTTAGCCTAATAGCACGTAGCGATATTGGGTTTAAAAAACTACTACTTTCTCACTTTGAATCTCCTAGATCGTGTTTCCTTGAAACGCAATGTTCAAAGTTAAACTTACAGGAACTTGCAACCGAACGACGCGTTATTGTGGATTGTTTACGCGTCCGATCCGACCGCGCGTCTACTCCATCGCCATAGAGTACTCTCGGTCGCCGCGCAGAAAAGGTGTGAACCTATAAACTCAACCACATGAATAATGATAGTCTATTGAAGGGTATAGTGTAACCCATTGCACCGTGAAAAATTGCATCTAATGATTGATATAACGATATAAGTCTCTTGAATAACAACATAAATGAACCACGCAACATGAAATCTAACAAATGAAGCCTCGAGGGTGTTTTGCTAAACGTCCTGCGCAAAACTTCAAAGCAGCCTTGATCCTGGCGTAGGTTATCTTCCCGTCAAATGTTTCTGTATCGAACATGATTGCCTTGATTTCCTCCTTGGCCTCTGCCTGGCATATATCGCCATCGCGCTCGGCTTGTGTGATATTAGCAATCTTCTTCCGGTACCGGCCTCTGGCTTGATAACCCTCGAAAAGAACTGTCCAAAAATCTAAGAGCCATCTCTTGTAGCGGGAGAACGCGGGCGTTATTGCGATTTGATTCGGGACGATGTTCATGAAGCCATCTTCCCCTCCGTAAAACTGCCATTTATTCTTCAGAATGACATCCAGGCCGCATTGTTCCCAAGCCGCCAGGCTCTCTTTGCATTTATTATCGGGTTTCTTTCCCGCAGGCAGTTTCACAGTACACCAGAGCGCCACGAAGAACACACTCTCCAAATCATGTCGAAGATAGTGTGATATGCCCGGATTCTCTATAAGGTCAACGGCCATGAACGGAAGCGTACCAGTCCGGTGACGTCCAGTCGAACCTCTAGGTGGCCCATCCTTCTTGATCACGACCGCAAGATCAAAGTCATTCAAGATGAGCCAGACTAGACCTTCACGCATCTCATACATGAGATTGCTCAAGCTCACGTCCCGATGGAGCATGTGTAACTGACGGTGTAAGTCGTGAAGACCTGACAACGGTCATCAGAGTCAGCGGTGACACACGAATACAGTGATTGAAGGTTTACAGTCGAGCAGCTGGTTGAAGACATGGTCCATATTCTGCGGAGAGAGTACCGTCTCGAGTTGCTTGTATTTCTTGAAAATGATGAATCGTTGACAGCGTTCCTCATATTCCTTGTCCTCATCGTTCCTCTTGAACATCCTCCCTCGAACACCGTCCGACAATCGCCATTCTGTTGCCCTGTCAGTCCACATGTAAACCTTCGGAAGATGCTCCGATACTGGAAAGCCTTCAGCGAGGGCTAGTAGGTCCTGTTCCGGTGTCCGACAGACAGGCTGGAGTGACATCTTGATAACCAGAGGCTCGTCACCGATAGGTGGCTCGGTCGTGACATCGTATACACAGGTCTTACGCCCAATCAGACTATACTGCGTGAAGATCTCACGTCCTAACGTTGCCTTGACATCAATGCCTAGCGTCGGATGTTTCATCGTAGTCGAGTATCCAGTGAGGGACGCCGGCGGGAGAGATGGGTTGAAACCTTCAGCGGGAGGGGACAAGTTGGGAATGACCATGCCGAAACGCGAGTGGTCACAACAAGCCATCGCAACGAGGAGGGCAGCGAACTTCTCAAACTCTCGAATCCAAGATATCTGGTGAGAACGCACGATGCCAGAAGCGTCGGAGTACCAGAATTCGACGATGTCGCCCATCACCAGACATTGAAAGAGATACAGACGAGTGCCGCGAGTGGAAGATAGCATCTCCAGAGCATAGGTAGCCATCTGGTCTTCATACGCTTCCGGAACGGGAAGTTTCTTCGACGCAAGAAACTCATCTTCCGTTTCGAAGACGAGTCGTACGGATTCGGGAGGCAGCATCCTCAGTCGTTTAGGGAGACGAGGATTGTCAGCACTGTGGAAATATGGATAGTGGCGTTTCAGAGGGTTGTCTTCTGGGCCTGGCTCAGATAGAGGCCCAACAACTCGGTATAGCTGAACTGGATCCTACCACAAATATAATGATGCATGAAGGACAACCGCGTGTTGAGAACGTGAAAGCGGTAAATGGAACTTACAGGACCTTCGTATAAGCCGCTTGACGTGGAGACATGTACCTCCGGTCTCCTCCTCGTGAGCTTGATGTCCCAGTCAAGCCGGAGCCGTGCCATGTAATCCTTCAAATTCCAGACGTTGAACGGCTTCATCTCCCAGATGCTAAACAGATCACACCAGTCAATCCCCGTGGTAGGATACTTCTGTCCTTTCGTCTTCGTGTACTTCTTCCTGCTCTTGAGATCGCGCAGAGTGGTCTCTGAAACGAGAACGATGTCCGGCGAGCGTGAAGCATCACCTTGGCTACAAGCACCTATGTATACAGGGGCATTTCGACAAAAGCGGAGGTCGGGAACAGGATACGCTGGAAGGTCAGGTATGATTTCGTGAGCCTTTTGTAGAACCCTATTAGCCATGTCGCAGAATGGTGCATAGAGCTCATCCTCATGTGTACCAAATTCTCCGGCATTCATAAACTTGGTGACGGCGTTCGAAATCACATCGTCGAGAGCCATCTTGTTCTCGATCATGACATCTCTCCATGCGTGAATGGTCTCAACAGGGTAGCCAAAGACGGCATCTGTCCAAGTATCCAAGTCTACGAATCTTGCACTATCCATGTCCTTGCGTAGCGGTAATTTAACTTGTTCTCATATGTGGGGGGTTCTACCCAAGCGGTGGTCCCCACTCTGACAGGCGTACTCTGTACTTTGGTAAGAGGTACCGCACGAGTCTTTTCTCCGTGGGCGAGTGCACTCGGTGAGTTGAGACCGATCTGCGCCGGTGGCGTATAGGGTCGAGAAGAAGACGAGAAGTCTGAGGGCTCTGGGGGACCCTTGCCTTCAGAGAATGGGGTGCTTTTCGCAAGCGGTTCCGCTGGAATGTCCATGATGGCAATGTGAGCAATCCAGTAAATGCAGAACAACGATTATATACGCACATCAAAGTAGAGATGGATCAAACGGCGACTACACAATGTTCACAATGGATACTGCGCGTGCAACCGCAATTGAGGTTGCAACTAGTAGTTGGGTAGTGCACGTTAGCTTACTGGTAGTTTGCTAAGTTAGCGGGTGTGAAGCCAGCAGTGACAGATGTCTTCCTATAATTCGCGACTTGCCTACAGTCTTGAAGGTTATACGACTTCGAAACTTCGAATTTTCGAACAATGTAACTCGACCATGAACGTTTGAACATCCATGCTGAATGGCGTGTCTCAGGAAACAATGTCACTGGCGCTTTGACCAACGAGACGCGCCAGGACGCGCCTGGCACGTGAAGTACACGTGACATTCCTGGACTTTGAAGATGCTGAAACTTTCAAGCATTCAAACAACCACCGTTGTTGTCCAATTGTTTGAGAGGTACTTACACTGTTTTTGCAGCGATTGATATCCCTGTGACTTCATCATATCCGGCCACAATGAGCCATCCTTTGACCAGTGGTTCTAGCAGACCCTGGACAGGGCATTCTACCAACCGACCATACACAGCACAATCCAGACCCACTACCGCGCGACCTCAGACAGCTGTTTCATCCAGGCACGAAACAAGTTATATTGTGGCCGTCTTAGAGGGGAGAGGCTTAGGTAGGGACGTCGGGATAACGGCTCTTGACAGAGATACCGGCAAAGTTAACCTCATTCAGGTGTGAAAGGTTCTCGCTCTTTAGTTTCATTGTCATCTCAATGGACACGCTCCGGGATAGCTGGCCGACTGCCCAACATACGTCAAGACCCTTCATCAATTGCACTTGCATATGCCCTCTCTTATACTTGTTCCAGACACTTTCCTCTCCATTGCCAATGATTCTCTAGCTTCTGGGGGGAAGAAGCCTGCGACAACCTCTCTGCTTGTACAATGCATACTTGAGGAATTCGAGTCTGTTTCCGTCGAGCCAGTGATGCGCAAATATTGGAATGAGACAGCAGGTAGGCAACCAAGTCGAATTCCGCCACGCCTCTGATATCGAACTTTTCAAGGGCTTGAATTTGTGAACCAACTGTGCATTGAGGATGACGAGCGTGCAGCTACTCTGATAGCCTCCGCGAATAAGTGAATATATGCTATCATATATATGCTGTTTTCATCTCAGCAGCTCGCTCTTTGCAGGTATTATGCATTATCTGCAACAAGTGCGCTCTTCAAACATGCAGAGTATAAGTTGAATACTCGATTTTCTCCTTCATCTCTTCGTATTCGTTATGTTCAGGTTGACGGAACGATGATGATCGATCCTGAGACTGCACGAAACTTGGAGCTTGTCGGTAGCATGGCAAGCAAGAAGTCTTCGCATTCATTGTTCGGGTCTGTCGCAATTTTATTCGTATGATTCGCCATGGTTTATCGTCTTCTTCGGTGACAGGGTCCTCAACCATACATATACTGCGATGGCAGGGCGTTTGCTTCGCGTGAATCTGCTGGCACCCATTACATGTAAGCCCTTTGATCAACCCCTGCATATATACATTTAAGTGGTGAATTTGTAGCCCAAAATGCCATTGATGCTCGCCTTGATGTTGTAGAAGGTGTGTTTCTCTCTAGTTAATACAAATCGGAAGTTTGAACATCGCTGCCAGAACTTGTCCAGAGCGAAGATCGGTTCATCGAAATCAAAGACGCTCTGAAAACCTTAATCAAGATGGATTTTGACAAAATCATTGCATGTGTATGCACATATACTCACGTTGGGAATTCGTTTCCCGGCTGACTTCACAATAGTTTACAGTCGCAGAAAATTCTGACTTTGCTTCCGCAAAGGTTGCGTCGGCACGCGTTACGCTCATGCTCAATTTGCGTAGCATCGTGAAGAACCTTCCACTAGTTGCAAATGCTTTAGAAGGCAGTCATTCGCAACTCCTGCAAATTGTCAAGGACGTGAGCGGCGGGATTACTTGTCGAATCTGACCTTTCTCATCAAATGTGTAGATGATATCCGATAGTCGCCTTGAAGAGATTGAGCAAGAGATCGAAAAGCACCTGAACGACGATGTGACACCTGTCAAGGTGCGCCTCATTCGAACAAGTTCTCGTTCTGGCGTGTCTCAAGCTCTCTTTAGGGAGGTCTGAGAGCTGTCAACTCACGTGTCTATGCTGTGAAGGTATCAACCTGTTGATATCGTCTTTGAACATACTAACATCTTGTATGATAGGCGAACTGCAACCGTTTGCTGGATGTAGCAAGAGAAACTTACAAGGAGAGTATCTCAGATATTTTCAACCTCAATTCGGAGTTAAGCAAGAAGCATGAACTCCTGCTTACTCTTGTTCACCAAGACACTGGATTTATCTTCCAATTGAAGAAGTCTGAGCTTGAAGGAAATGAACTTCCTCGAGGTTTCATCAATGTCGTCGCTAAGAAGGGAAAGTACACCTTTTCTAGCCTAGACTTGGTAAGTCGTTTCTATATCGCCTTGTAAATTTTGCCGCTGAGGGTAAGTTTTGCCCATAATGTAGCAAAAACGTAATGCACGTATGAAGGACGCGTTGGATGAGACTCTTGTTCTGAGTGCAAAGTTCGCAGATGCATATTTCACCATGGACCCCTGACTTACTCACTGCCTTGCATTAGAGTTATCAACGATCTCATTCAATTCGTCGTGGCTAACATAGGCGCGTTGTACAAGGCGTCTGAAGCCGTTGCTCTCTTGGACATGCTGTGGTCTTTCGCTCATACCTCCATTAGTGAGTACGCTAGTCTCACTCTAATGATACATTGCTGATGTCGACGCTAGTCCGCAGTTATGGTAGGCTGTCATGTACGTTTCCTTGGCCGAGACTGCTGCTCACGATTGTCCATAGTACGCCCCGAATTCACAGGGACGCTTGCAATAAAAGGTGGACGACACCCTGTGCTGGAAGGTGTTCAGACCGCGGGGATGACTGTCCCGAATGATGTCTACTGCTGTGATTCGTCGTCTTTTCAGATCGTTCAAGGTCCAAAGTGAGAATACATCGATGATACCATCGCTCCCGTTACTCACAGGCATCACTAGCATGTCAGGTTTGTTTGTGTTCCTTTTCCAGCGATTGGCGAGCCGATTGTTAGTTAGGCAAGAGCACGTACCTGCGACAAATTGGTTTGCTTACGGTTATGGCGATGAGTGGGTGCTTCGTACCGGCGGAATATGGGAGCTTTCGGTAAGACTAGACGGATAAGGTGTCTTGACCACTGACACGCGCTCGCAGGATTCATGACGCACTTCTCACACGTCTGTCTAACGACGACGACATGGAAAAGAGTCTAAGCACATTCGCAAGTGAGATGGCATCTTCTGCTATGATTCTCGGTACGTATTCTCCTTGTTAGCATTCACCACGAACTCATCAACTAATAGGAATCGCTACATCGGATTCTTTGATTTTAATCGATGAACTCGGTCGCGGCACTTCTCCTACAGAGGGTGTCGGTATATCACACGCTATCGCAGAAAGACTCATAAGAACAAAAGTATGATTATTTCCAGTTATTCAGTCACAACCTGATGAAGTCTTCAGGCCTACGTATTCTTCGCCACGTAATCGAAACAATCTCTACATCTTCTCAATTTAATCTTTTCAATGCTTATGGCTACCTTGCAGGCATTTCGGCGAACTTTCAACCACGCTGTCCCGTCAGCCATCCGTCGTGAAGTGAGTTTGTTTTTTACATGTCTTCGGTTGACCTAATCATGAAATTGCAATGTAGTCTGCATCTTTCTGTACAGGTAGGTCCTGTCAATAACTGTGCCGTTAATCAAACTTGATCTGGTTTAGAAATCCCGGAGGTCTGCTGCCAGCTTCGGCATGACATTCCAATACAAGTGAGCGGACAGGCAAACCCAAATACTTTTCCTAATACAGGGACTCTTCAGGATCGTCGATGGCGCGCCAGAAGATATGGAACACTACGGTTTCTTTTTCGATTCTTTCAATTGTATGAACTGACTGAAGAGCCTTTCCGTTATGATCACAGGCTTGGACCTTGCCCGGCTAGCGGATCTACCGGAAGATGCGTTAATAGAGAGTAGACGCGTCGCCGATAAGCTGTCCGAGTTGGAAGCAAGACAACATGAAGAGAGCAGAACAACAAAAGTCGCTATTCGAAGGAAGGCACTCCTACGGGTGACATTCTTATCTGTTCAAGTTTACCGGGGTGCCTTGAGACTGACTTTTTTCCTTCGCGGATCTCTCTAGCTCAAAACACAACTTACCCAAGCTCTAGACCATTCGACCCTCCCTCCCGAAGAACTTCGCAACTATGTCGCTCGTTTCCAGAAGGAGATCACTACTGTTTTGCACGATACACTCTGACTATTTTCTCGCATGGCTACTCTCTAGTTGACGGCGGCGAACTTGACGTCTTTACCTTCCTTTGCTGGACCCTGAACGAACGAGCAGCGTCGACTTGCATTTCTTGGACTGGCAATTTGTAACTAGACTGTGGGAAATGTCATCTGGACCTTCAGACGTTTCTACACTGGTGCTGCAGATAGACCAGTCACATCGACCTTCATTATGTGTCAAGCCAGTGCCACATACTGATTCAGCATAGACTGGAGACCGAAACCTCCTTAGTTAGAAAGTCAAAATCCCGCTCTTGGCTAACACCTTCAGCCTGTTTCTTTCGATGTGGAGGATTCGCCCTCGATACGTTACTCTAGTACTGGTTATCATCCACCACCATCTAGTGGGGTCCTTTAGGTCCGCAGTTATTGACGTTCTCACTGCTTCTGTATCCCTTGTCTGCAAAACTTTGATGATTCACCGAGAGCGTTGATCATCGGCTAAGCAGAATGCAATACAAACAAACCACAATAACGCGTCTTACATTGTCGCCACACAGTAGGTAGCTCTTCCTGAATCCTCAACACCGGTCACCTCTTACGCTCTGTTGACTTTGACTGACTTATACCTGAGATGAAGCAGTCCTGGATGCTGTATGTTCGTTCCCTCATCGCTTTGTACGCGCTCCGGACTGACACGTTCGATGTGGCTTATCTTGTGGCTTATCTTGCTATAGGGTGAACCTTGACAGGAATGAGATGGAAAACATCTCCTCGCTGGGTCGACGCATGCTGAATGGCTCGTGGGACAATCTCATTGGAATGCTCGCCCAGCCAACCGGAATTAAGTCTGTCCCCGATCTTCTTTCCAAAATTGAACAGGACACTACGGCCGACTTCAAATCGGACAAAGAACGGTATGTGTAGGTCTTACATCCTTGATCTATTCGCACGGGTCTTATTTTTCTCTTGATGGTGAAAGAAAGTCGAATCCACCTCCTCAGAGGAATACTCTCGGCCGATTGGAACTGTTTCCAGATGAGGTTCTTCTTTGCATATTCGATCACATTCACAAACAGGAAGACGTCGCAAGCCTGAGCCTCACAAGTCGATATGTATACAACATCGGCTACGAGGTTTTACAGCGTCGTTACATGACGGACACAGCATCGTGGGCTGGATGTCGTCTTGTATGTATTGGATATTACGCCGAATTCAATGACCTCCCTCCTGGAGTATTCACCTCACAGGAACTCGACGAAATGAAAGACCGCCGCCGCGAAACGTGGAACCCGAAGTCGAGAAAAGTCTTCACCCTTCAAGACAGTCTTCTCAATCGGCCTAAACGGCCTATGACTACACGAATGGGCCCTGGGATCAGCTTAGATGCCTATGATCATCTCTCCATGACCTTCTGTGGTGCACAAACAGATTTAGAGTACCAAAAAGAGCTCAAGTTAGCTCGTACTGGTCTTCCATATCTTGGTCGCCCACAGCCAACGTACGCAAGCGACTATCCCTGGCTTTTATGCAATCTCTCCAAACTTCAATTCATCCGTCTGGATGCCATAACGAGGTTACATGGTCGCAAGCTTGATCCGGATAAAGGCCCTTTCCAACCTGGCCGCTGTAGCTTCGGCCGTGGGTTCTCCATCGGGATGTTACTAGTTTCTAGGATATGCTGGTCCACCGATTCTACAGCATCCCTTGCCTACAAAGGAAATATTCATCGTGGCGTCTGGGTTGGTGACAGGTTTGAGATTACGACAACAGACCGCATGCAGACCGCGCGAAGTGGCCAGGAGTGGAGGGATGTCACAGATGAAGTCCTCAATGAGGGAATTGAGATATGGAAAGCGGAGTATGGGAAGAATTGGAGAGAAAAGCTGTGATTTCCTTGCGAGGCTTGTACGTTAGTTTTATGCTATGTTCATCCAACGGTTGACAATCAATAAAAGCCCTGATTATATATATCATCTCCAGGCAACAGAAACGGAAAAAAAAAAATTGACATGTTATTGGAGTAGCCTGTTCTGCCAGTCATCGCTGAATGCAGCCTTGATACCCTCATTCAACATGGCATCATCAGCGATATCCTTCCACTCATGTCCTTTCTGTGTAGGTGCTATGTATGAATTTTGGGACCATGACCTCGAAATGATTGCCTGCCTAACCGCCCTACCATGGAAATGGATGTGGCAGAAAAAGGATCCGGAGAATTGGAGGACTAAGAAATCTTGCATGTCAAGAAGGTGGCGATCGGAACGCTGTCGCTATTGTGGGATAGCAGACCGCCCTCTCTGTGTTTGCGCAACTACAGTGTCTATGTAGATGCATTCGTTCTTGAAAGATTGCAGAGTACCCACAACTGGCCCTTGGTTTGCGTCAGTTCGGGACTACTAAGGTGTAAGGGATACAGTCAAAGTGTTCAAACATTTATGCATATCGAATGTTGCCCCAAGGCCCGAAGATCACAGAACAGTAGGTTCGGATGACATTCGTATAGCGGCAGCCGAACAAACTAGTTTATGTCAACAGCCAACACGATATAGCACTCTATAGTGGACACAATTCTTGAAAATCATAGATACTTTCTCCATTTTTTCCCGAAATGCTCTTTCCAAATCCCAATCGCCTCATCGACGACTTCGTCAGTAACGTCCTTCCACTCTTTACCTCCCTCTGTAGGCCGCAAACGGTCCATGGTTGTGACCTCGAACCTGTTTCCCGCCCACACACCATGATGGATAGCACCTTTGTAACAAAGGGAGGTGCTGCTATCCCATGACCAGCATATCCTGGATACCAATAGCGTCCCAACCGAGAACCCAGGATGGATGAACTGAAGCGGGTCTTCCGGTTTATATCCATGCAGCTCGCTCACAGCAGCGAATCGGATAAACTGCATCTTGGAGAGATTACAAAGGATCCAAGGGTGCTCACTCTTATACAGGAGCCTGGGACTGCCTAGTTCGGAGAGCGCGTTGTAGATTCTTGACCTATATTCGGAAGAAGTACGCTCGCTCTTGCGGATTTCCATCATCAGACGATGAATTGTACCGTAATCGAAGCCAAGTTCAACACGTCGACGAAATGGGTAAGTAGCTGGGAGATAATGGTGCAAAGAACCGATAGATTCGGCAGGATCTAACAGATTGTCTTGGTACTGTTTCATGTCTTCCACCTCTTCTTTTGTAAAAACGCCAGGAGGTAGGTCTTCTATCCGAGCATAATCGCCTACGCAAATAAGACGACCACCTGCCCAAGATGGCCTCTCTGCCATGTAGCGTCGCTGTAGGACCTCATAACCGATGTAGAAGACATAGATATTGGCAAGGCTGAATCTGGCAATATCTTCTTTCGTCTCAATGGACTTAAGGATGAGAGAGATAATTTCGTCCGGAAAGACTCGTAGATGTCCCAGCTTTTCCTTTTGCGGAGGCAAACATTTACTGATTTAAAAACGCTCAGCAAAAAGACGCGAAATATCGTTTCAGATGCGGGAAACTGCTTACGGTGGTGCTTTACCTTCTTCGCCATCTCGGTTGGCAGCCATCTCATTGAAGAGGGATGGAAGATTACTGGGGGGCATAATCCCAGTAGGAATAGCCAATGATTCGATGACTTCGTTCCATGAACCGTCAATGAGAGCTTCACCCAGTTTTCCGCCACTCAGGTTTCCACCGTTGTCAAGATTTCGCCTAATCGTTCAAGTAATCATGTTGGAAGTGAGTAAACCTTCTGTCCAATCGGGTGCTATACGGGACCTACAGAGTCTAGTACTGTCCCATGTTGAGAGAAAAACGGTGGTCAAAATTTGCTAGCGATTAGAAGTGAAAGGATGACTGGAACAGTCCAAGTTCAAGTTAAATCAGTGTTTTCTTTGAGCCACCCACCGACTCTGAGCGCTACGATACAATGTAGCACCTGCATGCCGCACTGAGTCAGACTGAGTCTGCAGCATGCGTCTGGACTCTGTGTGCTTACGTTTGGCATAAGTTCGTTTTCAGAGCTTTGCATAAGACTGCACATATGCATTATATATAGCCAAATGGTATGTAGTCGAGCGTGTTTCATTGGAGACATGAGATTGAAACGGAAGAGGTATCAGCAACTTACTGTGTCGGTCTATCCCAGAGTAGAAGCGGCGACGACGCTGCGGGACAGTAAAGGCAATTCATCAATGCTTCTTTTCCTGGAGCCGTAAGATAGAGTTTCTGGAGTGATGCGATGACGATGCAGCTCAAGATCAAGGAAACTTGTCTCCAAATAAGGGTGAAACTTTACGCTGTTTAGACACAGCGTTTGAGAACAGTAGTTGGCCAAACCGGAACATGGAGCTTCAGATGTGGCATTAGAATAACCAGAAAAAAATTTCAGGACAATATAAATTCGGAACATTCTCATACGAGGCAAAAGTTGCACAGAGAGACGACACGCCCTCAAGGAACAAAGTCCGGAACGTCTTCAACCAACGCTTCCTTGCACAACTCCAATGCGGCCTTTATCTTGGTATATGTGATGTTTCCATCATACGTTTCCGCATCAAACTTGAGATCAAGTTCCGCCTCGTCCGTGGTACGGCAACGACGACGCATTCGCTGAATTCTGCCAACTTCTTTCCGATACGCCTTCCTGGCTTGGTATCCACTATGAAGCACTTCCCAAAATTCAGCAAGCCAAGATTCATACGGAGAGAATTCCGGTGTGGTGGGAATCAATGTAGGAACGATATTGGTGAACCCGTCTCCCCCGGAGTAGAATTCCCTTTTCGTCTTCAGGATGATGTCCAGGCCATCTTGTTCCCAAGCCATTAGACTCTTGCTTCGTATCTTTCCATATTTCCCACCAGATGGAAGTTTCACAGTGCACCAGAGCGCCACGAAGAACACGCTCTCCAAATCATGTCGAAGGTAATGCGGCATAGTTGGATCCTCTATCAGATCAACGGCCATGAACGGAAGCGTGCCAGTCCGGTGACGTCCAGTCGAACCTCTAGGTGGCCCATCCTTCTTGATCACAACCGCAAGATCAAAGTCATTCAAGATGAGCCAGACTAGACCATCACGCATCTCGTACATGAGATTGCTCAAGCTCACGTCCCGATGGAGCATGTGTAGCTGACGGTGTAAGTCGTGAAGACCTGACAAACAGTCATCAGAGCCAGCGGTGACACATGAATACAGTGATTCAGGGCTTACAGTCGAGCAGCTGGTTGAACACATGGTCCATATTCTGCGGAGAAAGTACCGTCTCGAGCTGCTTGTACTTCTTGAAAATGATGAATCGTTGACAGCGTTCCTCATATTCCTTGTCCTCATCGTTCCTCTTGAACATCCTCCCTCGAACACCATCGGACAGTCGCCATTCCGTTGCTCTATCAGTCCACATATAGACCTTGGGGAGATGCTCCGATACTGGAAAGCCTTCGGCGAGAGCTAGCAGATCTTGTTCCGGTGTCCGACAGACAGATTGAAGTGACATCTTGATAACCAGAGGCTCGTCACTGATAGGTGGCTCAGTTGCGGCGTCGTATACACAAGTCTTGCGTCCGATCAGACTATACTGGGTGAAGATTTCACGTCCTAGAGTTACCTTGACATCAATGCCTAGCGTCGGATGTTTCATTGTTGTCGAGTATCCAGTGAGAGACGCCGGCGGGAGAGATGGGTTGAAATCTTCAGCGGGAGGGGACAAGTTGGGAATGACCATGCCGAAACGCGAGTGATCGCAACAAGCCATAGCGACGAGGAGTGCAGCGAACTTCTCAAACTCTCGAATCCAAGATATCTGGTGAGAGCGCACGATGCCCGAAGCGTCGGAATACCAGAATTCGACGATATCACCCATCACAAGACACTGAAAGAAGTGCAGACGGGTGCCGTGAGTAGAAGATAGCATCTCCAGAGCATAGGTAGCCATCTGATCTTCATACGCTTCCGGAACGGGAAGTTTTTTCGATGCAAGAAACTCGCCCTCGGTCTCGAGAACGAGTGGTACGGATTCGGGAGGCAGCATCCTCAGTCGTTTAGGCGGACGAGTATTATCTGCACTGTTGAAGTCCGGATAGTCACGTTTCAGAGGGTTGTCTTCTGGGCCTGGCTCAGATAGAGGCCCAACAACTCGGTACATCTGAGCTGGATCCTATCATAATGATAAATGACGGAGGACGGTATGTTGACAATGTGAAAAGATGATGAACGGAACTTACGGGACCTCTGTATAAGTCGTCCGATGTGGAGGCATGCGCCTCGGATCTCCTTCTCGTAAGCTTCGTGTCCCAGTCAAGCCGGAGCCGCGCCATGTAGTCCTTTAAATTCCAAGCGTTGAAGGACTTCATCTCCCAGATGCTAAACAGATCAGACCAGTCAATTCCCGTGGTAGGATACTTCTGTCCCTTCGTCTTCGTGTACTTCTTCCTGCTCTTGAGATCGCGCAGAGTGGTCTCTGAAACGAGAACGATGTCCGGCGAGCGTGAAGCGTCGCCTTGGCTACAAGCACCTATGTATACAGGCGCATTTCGACAAAAGCGGAGGTCGGGAACAGGATACGCTGGAAGGTCGGGTATGATTTCGTGAGCCTTTTGTAGAACCCTATTAGCCATTTCGCAGAATGGTGCATAGAGCTCGTCCTCATGCTTGCCAAATTCTCCGGCATTCATGAACTTGGTGACGGCGTTCGAAACAACATTGTCGAGAACAATATTTTTCTCGACCATGACATTTCTCCACGCATGAATGGTCTCAACAGGACAACCGAAGACGGCATCTGCCCAAGTATCCAAGTCTACGAATCTTGCACTTTCCATGTCCTTGCGTAACGGTGTTTTGACTTGAGCTCTTGTGTGAGAGTTCTGTACCCAAGCAGCGGTCCCGATTCCAACAGGCGTACTCTGTACTTTGGACAGAGCAGTGGCTCGAGTCTTATCCCCGTCGGCGAGGGTGCTGAATGAGTTGAGACCAATCTGTGCGGGAGGCGTACAGGGTCGAGAAAGAGACGGAGGGCCCGGATGTTCTGGAGGTCCCTTGCCCTCGAGGATTAGGGTGCTTCTCGGAAACGATTCTGCTGGGGGATCCATGATTGCGACGTGAGTGGGCCACGAATCATTCAAGCAGAATAAATTATATACTCACAACAGTTGACCTGGTCCTAGCGATTGCTACAAATTTTCGAAGGGTGGACACTGCGCGTTCAACAGGTTGTCCGAGATAGCAAATAATTGAACCCTGAGTCAAACGTGAACTTCAACTCTGAATTCGATGTCTTTATCTCGAGTTAGCGACATCGTGGAAAACAATTATTTGGCTTACTGATTGCGGGCGATACATACGGTGGTTCAGCTGTCGCTTCCTGCTTTGTGGTGGGCAACCACGACCTCACAAGGTACATACTGGTCTGGCCCGTGTCTCAAAGAACAAAGCAGATCAAAAGCAGACACCCCGGATAGTTAGCGCTGGAGTCACTGCGCCACGTGGAGCTTTGCTTTGAACTCTTGAAGTAGAGTCCAAGTCATCGCACATCGCATCTTGCTCAAACTCATAGAAAGGGTTCACAGCGAGGACGACAATACTAGCGACAAAACATGATATTAATGCTGCTATTCTACATGATTGCAAGGGAAAAGCGCTAGATAAGATACGGACGCGGAATGGCACAGTGCATTTACACCAAAGCAGTGCGTCAAACCAAGAACTACAGCCTGGCTGCTGCGACCATTGCAAATTTAACATTACCAGAGTCCGAGATACATGACAGGACGAGAGCAGGGACACAAAGGGAAAACAATCAAAACACAGTAACCTCAATCCCATGAAGGCGAAGTGCTGTACGAGTGACTGCGATTCTGGGTATTCGACGATGACGCCCCGTTCTGTTGTTGTGCCGGACTTGATGGTGACCAGGGTGGCGACGTCGGGCTGTATGCTGGCGAGGCCGGGGCTGGAGTAAATTGTAAGTATGGTTAGTGGCATACCAAACATTTTGACACTTACAGTATGCTGGGGCTAAAGAGCGGTTCCGGAACGGTTAGCAATATCAGGTAATAGCACAAAAGCGACTTACAGGCTGGTGAATACGCTGGCGAAGTCGGCGCTACAAAACACTTAGATAGATATAAACAAGAAGTTGTCTGAAGCGACTTACAGTATTTTGGCGATGAAGGAGAGGCGGGGGAGGTCGGTGAGTACTTCGGTGACGCGGGAGACATCTGTGCGGGTGCTAATGAATGTATCGTCAGCAACAGATTCAAAATAGTAGTGAAGGGAGATACAACGCACAAGCTGTATAAAGAGAAGCGGAGAGTGAAGGGTGATATATTAGCAACATTCAAAACCAGAAAAGAAAAGTACTTGCTTGGCGAATCTATAACAAGGCCATTGTATCAATATACTGTGAGCACCATAAAGAAAAACAATCGACTTACAGCGAGGGGATGCGGGACTGAATGATGGACTAGTAGGTGAGTATCGCGGAGATGTCGGGCTGAATGAGGGTGATTGTGGGCTGTACCCAGGAGACGTCGGGGAGAACGACGGCGAAGTAGGAGAGTATTGTGGACTGGTTGGTGAATAAGACGGAGATGTGAGATGCAGAGCAGGAGACGTCGGCGAATAGGTCGGCGAGGTTGGTCTAGCACCGCCTCGGTCGTAGAATGGGGAAGTAGCATAAGGCGAAGTAGCACCGAACGGTGAGGTAGCACCACCGTAAGGGGAGGGTGGTACATATGGCGACGTCGGCGAATATGCATTCGGTGAGCTGGGACTATAACCCGGCGCCGCTGGTGACATTGCACCAGCACCCAGAGGACTAGTACCAAACGGCAAGTAGGAGAAACTCGCTGCGTCCTCACCACCATTGACAGCCAACGGAGAGAATGCCGCTGATTCACCCTTGAACGCTCCCTCTTGTGTCCACATAGGTGAGGTGCTGTCATATGGTGTCATCGCAACCTGACCAGGAGTCATTCCACCATCGACCGGTGCTGCCAACATATTAGCGTGGACAGGGATACGATGGTCGACGATTACGTCCTTGAGCATGTCGATGTCAAGAGCTATGTCGAACGCGCCGGTACCCATGGGTGCCATCTGTCCGAACATGACATTCTCCGCGATGCCATGACAATCGTCCTTCTCGCCGACCGCAGCGGCTTCCATTAAAATCTCGACGGTCTCCTCGAACGAACATCTCATTAATGCTCCCGTGTCTGCGCGATTAATACCGTGCCGAGTGATAGCCATGAGCGTACCCCTATGGGTCATCAAGTCGCACAGCAAGGCGAGGTGGCGATAATTGACATATGAACCGTCGAATTCGATGACACCACGCAATTCCTTCATGATGGCAGCGCGAGCTGCTTCAATACCGAGCACGTGGAAGACCTCCGTGCAGCTGTTCGAATATGTCCGCTTGAAGTCAACGCCCTCGACGCACATGACAGTCTTCAGGTTAACACCGTCCGTTTCCAACACCCATTCTTTCTCGCCACGAGCGGAGATGCTACCCTCAGGAGTCACTGTGATCTTGTCGTACTCCATAAGGAAAACACGTCCAATACCAGGGACACCCCGTAAGCTCACTGTGTTGAGCATCGTGTTTTCCAGTTGGCGAAGGAATATGTCTTCCTCGACTGTGCCCATTTCATCTTCCTCTTTGTCAGCACCACCCAGTACACGGCAACGAATGATGAGCTTCTCAGAGTTGTCTTCGCTCCAAATTACGAAGAGATCCGTCTTGAAGCTCTCGGCAATGCGGCCAGCAACGTACGACATTTCCAACTTGCGATCAATCATCTTTGCTCGGTCTAGCTCCAGACGGAGAAGCCAAGGCGATTGTAGGTGCATCTTGTTCTCGACTTCCTCGTCGGGAATTGCGAAGAACGATTCGACGAAGACGGCATCCTCCTCGATAATGGTCGTCTGGGGATCAGGATCATACCAAATCTCCACTGCTGCAGTAACGGTACGGAGGGAAGTGTACGCAAGTTCCTGCTGGACATTCTTCGCAAGGACAGCGTCCTTCGAAATTTCTGGCTCCAAGTAGACGGAAAGCGAAGGCGTTTTGATGTTGGTCGCCACGTTGATGATCTCCTTGAGACGAGGGACACCAAGGGTAACGTTCTTACTGGACACACCAGCGTAATGGAACGTGTTCAGCGTCATCTGAGTAGCCGGCTCTCCGATCGATTGGGCAGCGAGGGTACCACACATTTCACCCGGATGGGCGAGCGCTTGGTTGAACTTGGCTTCGACCTCACCCAAGATCCACTCGAAAGCCTCTCGGTTAAGGTGGTATCTCTCCAGCACGCGACGGGCAGCAAAGGTTGCACGGAGATGCATACGGAACATGAGTGTTGCATTGTCCTGCGCCTCCGCGCTAAGAGCATCATCGCCACGGACGACGACAAGCCGACTGCAAAGTTCGCGAAGAGTGTCAATAATGTAGGCGGGTTCCAGATCACTCGGTTTTCGACGGTCGATGTGGAAGATCTGTATGGCGTTCTGGACAATACGCTGCAGGTTGACTGGAAGGTACCGCGGCATGGTGGGATCCTGACGAGGGAAGATGAATTGTCGCATGAGACGACGATCTTCCGACAGCTGCGTGAACTCTTCATCCAGTTTCGCTTGAAGTTCAAGAGAGCTGTCGTCCAACCCGACTTGGAGTACACCGGGAAGGAAACCGCCGGAAGGATCGGTGACGTCAACACGGTAGTCATGCTCGAATTCCTTGTCGGTGAGCGCGAAGGTCTCAATGTTCTGACGTTCGATGAATGCTCCGTCCATGCCATCCTCGCCGTAAACGAACTGGATAAGGTCTCCAAGCGAGTTCCGGACAGTGCCATCGTAGCAAACCATGACATCTTCCAGGGCCTTGACCAGACGACGTTGGATATAACCTGTCTCGGCAGTCTTGACAGCAGTATCGATCAAACCCTCTCGACCGGCCATGGCGTGGAAGAAGAATTCCTGGGGAGTCAATCCGCGCAGGTACGAGTTCTCGACGAATCCACGAGCTTCGGGGCTGAAGTCATCCTTGGTGAAATGGGGGAGGGTACGATGACGGAAACCGAAGGGTATACGACGACCTTCGACAATCTGTTGGCCGACGCAAACGGACATTTGCGAGATGTTGATGAATGAACCCTTGGATCCAGCCACCACCATCTGCTTGACGTTGTTGTCCTCCTTCAAGTTCTTCTGCGCATATTGACCATTCTGGTCACGAGCCAAGTTCAACTCGCGCTCAACCTTGCTCTCGAACGACTCTCGAATGGTCATACCGGGTTGCGCCTTGAGACGGTCGTGAGCGGCATCGTCAATGATCTGCACTACGTTCCGTTTACGTTGGGCGATCTGGTCTGTGATGTGCGCCATCGTCTTCTTGTCAGCGATGGTATCACCAATGCCGATACTGAACCCATTGTGAAACAGCCAGAAATTGACTACTTGCTGCAGGCCGGTGAAGAGAGTGCGAGTCGCCTCCGGACCCTTCTCACGGAAGACGACGTGAACGAGACCTCCCTGTGCGGCACCAACGGTCTTCTTCTCGACGATACCGAAGAGGATTTCTCCGTTCTCAATCAACATACCATCGTCAAAGACGGGGTTCGCAGACTTCGGATCAGGAGATCGGTGGATGTTGATGCCGCGGGGTATGCACATACTAAGGATCTGCTTGCCCGTCCATAACGGCTTCGGCTTAATGACCGCCGGTGTAGGTATTGAACCGTCCCAGTCGGGAACCCAAAGCAGAATGTTTTGGACCTGCGTCCAATCCAAGAAGCAATCTCGTAGAGTGAACTTGCGAATACCGCAAAGGGTATCTTGGACGATTCCCATAACTGGCTTATTCGCCTGCGGTGAGATGATCTATAAAATACAGGTCAGCGAAGAGTCCGGTGTTTCATGTACACTCAACACACCTGCCGGGGTACCCAAGCAATCTGACTGAGCTCGGCACGAGTCTCCTCATTCTGCGGAACACTGATTGATTGTTAGACATGTCAGATCTCCTTGGTTTCGAAAGTACATACTGCATGTTCATCTCATCGCCGTCGAAGTCGGCATTGTAAGGCGGTGTAACGGAGAGGTTTAGTCGGAATGCTATATAGATGTCAATGGAAGTTAAGTCATGGAAGAGTTCATATACTGACTGGAGTAGGGCATGAGCTTGACACGATGGCTCATCATACTCATTTTGTGAAGACTAGGTTGTCGATTGAACAGCACAAAGCTAAGGCAATAAGGTAAGTCTGTCAGCATTCCTCAGTTGATGAATGAATCGGTGAAGTGGACTTACTCTCCATCCTTAAGATGACGCTCCACGATCCAACCATACTGAAGGAACGCATCTGCTCGCTTGTTATATCGCAAGTCGATACGTTCGCCTGTATCCTTGACCACGTAACGAGCACCGGGATACGTCGTAGGACCATTTCGGACGAGTTCTTGCAGGTAGGCGATGTTGTACGGCGTCACTGAGGGAACATGTCAGCGTCAAACAATTTATAATCAAAATTGCACTGACCTCGTTCAGGGTAAGTTAAATTCATCGCTATGCTCCTCGGCACACCAACTTCGTCCAGTTCGAGATTCGGATCGCCGGTGATGACAGTACGTGCCGAGAAATCAACACGTTTACCCATCAGGTTTCCCCGCAGTCGACCTTCCTTGCCCTTTAGACGTGCACGGATAGCCTTCACAGGTCTGCCTGACTTTTGCAATGCTTGAGGGATCCCAGCGATATCATTGTCCATGTAAGTAGCGACATGGAACTATTATGTTCGACATCAGAAATTGACACTTTTCGGATGATACTACACGAAGGATACTCACCTGAAGGAGTTGCTCAAACTCCGTGATAACATGGGCAGGTGCACCTTCTTGCTCGCAACGACGGACATTTGCAGACGCCTTTATGATATCGCCCAGCTTGTACGTCAAGTCGTCCTCACTCCTCATGGCTCCACCGTCAACCGCTATACTAGGACGCACGGGAGGAGGAGGGACAGGCAAGACCGTTAAGATCATCCATTCTGGACGAGCATACTCATCCGAAAGTCCGAGGATATGAAGGTCAGAGTCGGAGATCTTCTTCAACGCAGTGTAAACCTCATGTGGTGGGAATAGTCGCTTGTCAGGTTGAAGAGATTTCACCTCCTGAACCCAACGTCAGCTGCTGTAGTTGTCAACAACGCATCAGTACAAACCTCGTCCTCGTCCTTCGAACGTTTGTATTGCACGAATAACTTCAAACCCTCTTTTCGGATGAGCGGTTGCGCAGCGCCACATCCTCCGTGGCCCTTTTTCGGCTCATCTGCGTCCATGTTCTCGTTCTCTTCTCTGGGCTCGTCAGGCTCACAAACCATTTTGCTCTTGCAGAAGGCCCACACGACTTGCATGCGAGCTTTGGGATCGCGGACATGCCTGATTCTATCTGCGAAGTTTGGGTCCGACTTACAGCGCAAAACGTTGGGAGGAGCACATAGGAATCAGAACGTCAGCATCTAAATATACGAAATGGCGCCGCAACGTGATAGCGCGAACAGGGAAACCAAGAACAGGGGGCAAAGGTATCTCAACGAGTAACATAGTGCTGGCCTTGAGACACGCCACTCAAGCTGCGTCACAGCGAGGGCGGTGGGCCATCCATCCCAGCACGGCATGAAGCCTGCTGTGAGAGAATTTTCGCACTCCTCGCTCAGCCCCCCATTTCACCACACAACTGCGTGTCCAACCAGCACCGGGTGTATGCAATGGCTTACGCGGCGATCAAGCGACCGAAAACGCGCGCAAACCGCACCACGGGTAGAAGAACGCCTCGATTGTCGAGATCTGACGCAGTGTGGGCTTGGGGTTCTCCATGGGATCGGAGAGAGCCCCCAGAAAATTGGTGGTGGGGTGCGAAACGAGTAGAGGAAATGGAACTCACGATGTCGCCTTTCAGTCTTCCGCAATTTACACATATACACTCCAATATCTTCTTCACTTTTACGATGAACCCTGAGGAGACGTTTGTTGTCAGCACGATCGCAGCGTTGTAAGCACGTCTGATGCACTCACCAGGATGGAAAACGGGACGGGCCAATTCGATGTGACCGAAATGTCCTGGACATTCCGACATACCCTCTCCACACGTCTGACACTTGAAATTCCGGTCGATAGTACCCAACCGAGGATCCATCAAGCCACCCATCTTGGGTTTGTGAGAACTTTCATCCATAACTTCCGGATGTTCAATCTTGGCGACCGAATAGGCTTTCTGTAATCAGGAGGTTCATTAGACACGTGTGAGATACACCAGCACGGTCGAACTCACGATCTCCTCAGGCGACAGGATACCGAATTGCACCTCCTTCACCTTGCGGATCGGGGCCGCAGAATACGCAAATTGATGACCCAGCATCTTGGAGATGGGGATTTCACAGGAGTCGACAGGTGCACGAGAGACGCGACAATACGAGTAGGCGAACTAGAAAGAAAAGACAAGAGTAGAGTAGGCAAGCTGTAAATATCTATTTCAGTGCACAAAGCACCCGATACGCGATTCCCAAGGCAGCTGTCGGCGACACAGGAGACTTTTCGCGAGATTTTCGTTGGAACCCAGGCGAGCTGAATAAGCGAGGCCAGAGAGGTATCAAAAACAGTCAAATACTGCCTAGCAATGAACCAGAAGGAGTTTCCAGAGGTCCTCTTGCGTCTACGGAGATGTAGGAGAGGAAGGGGACGACGTGAGGTACGACGTCGAGGTGGTTGTTGAACAACAGTCAGTGCAACCCGGCCCCGCCATTGTCACGTCCTTGTGCAAGTTCAAGCGGAGCTCCAATTGCCTGGCTGTGTCACAGTCCGTCACGGGCGCTACACCGCAGTTATCAGCGCGCCAATGACGCGCAGGCTGTAACGCGTTAGTCACGCTTGCTATCGTCTACTACGACGACCAGCTTCACTCTACCACCGACCATGACCTCGTTAATCAGTTCTTTGCTCTGGGGGACCTCTCAGCTCGACGATGCAGTTGGTGAGCAAAGTTTGTGCTGGTCGCTATGGCTCTTGTTGACGACAACGACTCAGACAGGGCCACTTCGGAGTTGCTTCCGTCTGGGGCAGAGGACATTGCACTTAACCTAGAAATATGTGATCAGATTCGTTCAAAATCGGTTTCGCCAAAGGATGCAATGCGGGCATTGAGACGTCGTTTGAACCACAAGAATCCCAACGTGCAATTGCTGGCACTTGGTGTACGTCGCTTATGAGGACGCCGAGTTTTATACTAAAGTGTCTCTCCAGCTCACAGATGTTTGCATCAAGAATGGCGGGGACGCTTTCCTCTCCGAGGTTGCTTCACGCGAGTTCATGGACAATCTTGTTTCTATTCTGAAAATGCCAGGTCTCAACCATGATGTCAAGAACAAGATTCTGAGACTGGTCCAAAATTGGTCTATTGCCTTCGAAGGTAAAGCCAATTTAAGCTACGTTGGGGAGGTATACAGGACTTTGCAGCGTGAAGGTACGTTCCTCCTTAACTGTCTGTATCCTAATATCAAACAACTCCGGCAGGATTCAACTTCCCTCCGAAGGATCCGGCGGTGGTTAGTTCAGCTATGGTAGACACTCAGACAGCCCCAGAATGGATAGACTCTGACGTCTGTCTGCGATGTCGAACCGCCTTCACTTTCACTAATCGCAAGCACCACTGTCGAAATTGCGGGCAAGTCTTCGACCAGCAGTGTTCGTCCAAGTCGATGGCACTGCCCCATTTCGGAATTACACAAGAGGTTCGGGTTTGTGATACTTGCTACACGAAGTTGAATAAGAAGCACAAGTGCGTTCAATATGTTATATTACCGTGGACTTTACTGATATTTGTATAGATCACATCGCGGTTCCCAAAGTCTATCATCATCTCGCCACCGGTCTGCCCAAGAGTTTGCTGATGCAGAGTTGCAACGTGCGATCCAGTTATCACTTCAGGAAGTAGGCGCAGCTGGTGGTCATCGTCCAGGATATGTGCCGTCTCCCTCTCCATGGCAAACTTCCGAACCTCCGTTGGTGGATCGTCGTACGTACCCCTCCCGAACATCTTCAATAGTACAGGAGGAGGATGAAGATGACCCGGATCTCAAAGCTGCGATCGAGGCTAGCTTGCGCGAAGCTGGGGCGCCCAAACCCAGCGCACCGTTGAGTATAGAGACTCCTCGAGCAGAGGAACCGGGCTACTCGTATGCTCAATCATACCCGCCTTCCGCTGCAACGCCCAAGCCCACTGTCCCGACGTTACCAAATTATGATCTGGAACCATTGGAAGAGGATGCTATCTTAACATTCAGTCAGACGGTCGAGCAGGTGCAAGCGCAAGGCGGACGGGACTTGTCACGATATCCTGCTGTTACGGAACTGTATGATAAGGCCAATGGATTGAGGCCTAAAGTCGCTATGAGCTTAGGTGATGCTTCGCGGAAAGAAGGTGTGTTGACTTTTTGGTTCTGAGGCGGAAAAACATACTTATCCTGTGATGCCAGAACTGCTCACCGAGATGCATGAGAAGCTATCACAGGCAGTCCGGTTATACGACAAGCTCTTGACGGAGCAGCTGTCGCATCCTCGTTGGCGAACTGGTCCTGTTGCGTCAACAAGTACCCAACCTGTTAGCTCTCCGTATACACCTCAATATCAGCAACCACAATACTCTCAATGGGCTGCATCTCCTCAAGCTCCGGTGGCTTCTCCTCCTATACAGACACCGGCGCCACCTTCATATCTTGCACCTCAGTCACCAGTCCACACCCAGCAACCACCGACTACGAATGGTGTCTACGTCGCCTCCTCTCCTCCTCCCGCCGACACTTATCAACCCATGTATCAATCGCCTGCTAATGTACCACAGCAACCATCCCCCGAGCTGGCTCACCATCCTCAACAACCACAATACTCTTCTGCACCGCCTCTGCAGTATCAGAATGTGGCCCCACCACCCCCATCAGCTGCATCCGTACAAACACCTCCACCACCAGTTTCTCAGCCGCAGCAGTACTACCAGTCCGTTCAGTCCCCACCTCCTTCGTCAAATCTTCAACGGCATCATACTGTTGCATCACATACTCCTTCTGCTCCCCAACCTGGTCCCTACGGTCCGCAGAAGACGCTGGCTCGATCTAACACCATGGGGCATTCACCGCAACAGCTTTTGCACTTGCAGCAAACAGCGGTTCCTCAGCAACTACCCAACTTCCCTGCCGTGCCTGCATCACCACCACAAGGTTATCAAACATATGCGCAGCAGCCGGAACCGGAGAGGGAGGCGTTGTTGATTGACCTGTAGTTTAGGATCGTTGTATTGTTCGTTATGTCATGACAGGATTCTGGATGTTTTTGTACGATTCTTTATATTTGAAAATATGAAGACGATGAGATTACAATATATGTGAAGAGTGAGAATGAGTCGATTGCTGCCATGGCTGCGGGGAATATGGTCACGGTGATGGGCGCTTTGTGTATACTGGCGCGTCACTCGCAGAAGCGCAGAGCAATCATCGAAGCTCTCTCTCCCTGCCATCTTCTACTTTCACCACCCCTGCCCCTTCGCCGTTCATGTCAGACAACATGGCGGCACCACAGGCCGAGGAGGGCAAGCTGCTCAGCGAGTCGCTGAGTACCGTTAAAATCCAAGTTTCCCAGATGAAGCGACACCTGGTACTTCCATCTGGAACGCAACTCTGAGTTGCACTTCTAAATTAACATGTTTTCGTCGTTTCTAGGAGTTGGACCAGCTCATGGACGCGCTGAAGAGCGCGAGCTTGATGCTGGCGGAACTTCGGACGTCCTCGCTTTCGCCCAAACAATATTATGAACTTTGTGAGTATCCAATTGATTTAAGAAGCTTTGCACGCTAATGCACAGAGTGTTGCAGATATGGCTGTATTTGATGCTCTTCGTCACTTATCCAACTATCTATACGACGCCCATACTCAAGGCCGTCACCACCTCGCCGACCTCTACGAACTTGTACAATATGCTGGCAATATCGTTCCTCGTCTCTATCTTATGATCACTGTCGGCTCCGTGTATATGTCTATCCCCGACGCTCCGGTGAAGGAAATCATGAAGGACATGATGGAGATGTCTCGTGGAGTTTTGCATCCTATCAGAGGATTATTCCTGCGTCACTATTTGAGTGGGCAGACCAGAGATCATCTACCGGTTGGGAACGACGATGGGTGAGTATACACTCTGAGCATAAGTATGCAGTGGGATCTGATTTTTTTGTTTGCTATAGACCGGGAGGCAACCTCATGGACTCGATATCTTTCGTGTTGACCAACTTCGTTGAAATGAACAAGCTTTGGGTCAGGCTGCAACACCAAGGTCATTCTCGTGATAGGGAGAAGAGAGAACTGGAAAGAAAGGAACTTCGCATCCTTGTCGGTACAAACCTTGTTCGACTCAGCCAACTAGACGGAGTGGACTTGGAAATGTACCAAACCACTATCCTACCTAGCATCCTTCAGCAGGTTGTTAGCTGTAAGGATGTGATCGCTCAGGAGTACCTTATGGAGGTTGTTATCCAGGTGCGCATCTAACCTTGTTACGTCTGCTTCAATCACACCTTATCACTCAACAGGTGTTTACGGACGAGTTCCACCTGCATACCCTTGGTCCTTTCCTCTCCGCAACGGCTCAACTCCATCCAAAGGTCAACATCAAACAAATAGTGATTGCGCTTATTGACCGACTCGCTGCCTACGCTGCACGCGAAGCGGAGACTGAAGACCCCGAAGAGACGAAACGTCAAGAGGAAGCCGCCGCTCGTCGTCTCGCTGAGAGGGTCAAGTCTCAACGTGCACGGATACGCCAGAACGGTAGTATCAACGGTTCAATGACCCCAAGTACGGTTACCGATGGGGAGTGGGGTTCAGCTCCTCAGAGTCCTATCATTGAGAAGACTATCTCAGAGCAACCGAGTCTCGATGGTGTTGCTTCTGAAGTCGTAGAATCAGAGAAGGCGGATAAGGGTAAGGAGAAGGAGAAGGAATCTCCTCAGGTACGGAAGTTCAGAGGCGTCCCCGAGGATGTGAAGCTTTTTGAAGTGTTCTGGCAACAAGTGGTCGAGCTGATTAAGGTTAGAGACCGGAACGTTTGTGCGGCATAATACTGACGATATTACAGGCACGACCGGACCTCTCTATTCAAGATATCACCGCTCTTCTCGTCTCATTAACGAACCTTTCCCTGAGTTGTTACCCCGATCGACTGGAGTACGTTGATCAAATCCTAGGATTCGCGCACGATAAGGTCAAGGAGTTTTCAACAAGGTAAAACTGTGTCAGCTATGCTTTTGATATCCAGTGACTCAATGTTTCATTTAGTCCGGACTTGCATGCTCCTCAAACGACCACCAATCTTGCCGCACTCCTTCTCGCGCCTATTAATTCCTACCAATCCGTTCTTACTCTCCTCGCTCTCCAGCAATATTCCTCCTTACTCAACCAACAGCCGTTCTCCACCCGACGTTCGCTCGCCCACGCTCTTATATCCTCTGTACTCAAGAACGAAACCATCATTGAGGCCCCAGAAGATGTGGACGGAATCCTTGAGCTGTGTCACGTACTCATCAAGGACCAAACTGATGGTGCTCCTGTACATGCTGGAATTATATCAAGGACGGGTACGACTGAGAGGAGACCTGGTCTGCCGATTCCTCATGAGAGGGAGGAATTGGCCGAAGAACAGGGATGGATTGCGAGAATGGTGCACCTGTTCCGTGCGGAGTCACTTGACGTCCAGTTTGAGGTGTGTTTAGCCGTTTGTTTGGGTATGAAATTCTTGGCTAAATGACGAATAGCTTCTGCAAACCGCAAGAAGACATTTCGAGACGGGTGGTGAACGCATGCGTTACACGTACCCTGCGCTCATCACTGCAGCGATCAAGCTCTGTCGACGGTACAAGAACAGGGAACACGTGGTAAGCTAAACAAGCCTTCTCTGCGGGGTTGCATATTTACCATCCTTTGGTAGGAGGACGAATGGGAAACGAAAGTTTCAAGTATCTTCAAGTTCATCCGTCAACTCATCTCCATTCTCTCCACCCAAGTCGAAGCACCATCAATAGCTCTTAGACTTTTTCTCCTTGCTGCTCAGATCGCCGACGAATGCGGGTTCGAAGATCTCACTTACGACTTCTATGTACAAGCTTTCTCCGTCTACGAGGAGAGTATTTCAGAGAGTCGAGCGCAACTCCAAGCCATCACCCTCATCATCGGTACTTTGCAAGGTGCCAAGGTCTTCGGCGTTGATAACTACGATACCCTGATTACCAAGGCTGCATTGCATGGCGCGAAGTTGCTGAAGAAACCTCATCAGGCTCTGGCCGTCAACCTGGCTAGTCATCTTTGGTGGCAGGAGGCACAAGGTGCTCCTGCGGAAGAGGCTGCTCAGGTCGAGAAGGACGTTGAGAAACCGCCTCTCACTCCAGAAGAAGGCCCTGAGACGGAGAAGGCGGTGAGAATAGTTGGTGTCTTCAGGCAGGTAGCGGTTGGCTGACATAACGTTTTGCGTAGTATCCTCATCAAGACAGCAAACGTGTCCTCGAGTGTTTACAAAAGGCTCTTCGTATTGCTAACTCGGCTACCGATGAGATTGTTACCGTGCAACTGTACTGTGACACTCTTGACCAATATCTGTTCTATTTAGACCGCGGTGCGCCAGCTGTAAGCGATTCTCGACTTCGACGCTCGATCGCAACTCATGTTAATGTTATACCATGTCAGGTTACACCGAAGTTTGTTAATAGCCTGGTCGAACTCATCACCTCAAGTATCGACAATATTTCCTCACCAGACGTTCACCCGTCACAACGCGCCCCTCCAGGCTTGCTCGAAGGTGTACAGACTCCTGAAATGATCAACCGGCACTTCCGAAATACCCTGCACTATATCCAAAGCATGAAGGTTGCTGCTAGTGAAGCTGCAGATGGTGCCTCAAGTTCGCGATGGGCGGATGTTGATGTTGTTGGAGCGTTGCTGAAGATGGGTATTCCTTCACGATAGGTGTAAACGTGGTCGGACATTATTTGGTGTTGAGAGCAGTACTTTTAGGTTTTTGTATATAATTGCTTTCTGTTTTACTGTGTTACTGTTGTTACCCTGGATTACATGTCTACGACGGAGGTGCAAATGTTTCATTCAGAGTTGCAACAAGGTTTGAAAGCCGATCTGCTGGAACTAGCATCATCCTGCCGCCAACGTCTAACCCGAATGAATCTTGCTCTCTGGGCTGCGCGTTCGTAAAGGAATAGTCAAGCGTGTGTGTCGCAAACTACGAACAAAGGTAAGTTGCAGTTAAACAAGTCTGTTCTGATCCAGAACACACCTTCTGAATAACTTCGTCCTCGGGGTGGAATGAAAACACGCCACCTGCCGTTGGCGGAGGTACACCTTTATGCCGTTTTGTGCGTGGGGCTCTGGCATGAAGCTCCGCGGCCTCTTCAGGCGAGAGACGATATATTCTTGAGATAAAGAGAAAGTGGGTGAACTTATATGGTTCGTTCTAGGTTTGCACCTTCAATATCCCCTTCAACTTAGACTTGGAAAGTTACTCACGTCGTCGATGGCCCATTTGATTTCATCAGCCAGCATCCGGTACATTGGTGGTACCACTTGAACAGGCATGTTGATAAGTCGCTCAGAAAACACAAAACCGACGTGATTTTGGGATTTTAGGCCGGCAGGGCCCAAAAGATTTTGAAGCGTTCCCTGTAGGTTCGAGTCTGCTGAGGATTTGCCCAGAACATATTCAGTGATGGCTTTGATGAATGGTCGGTTCTACGGGGGTGTAAGAATGTTGAAGTTAGCCCCAGACAACGTATGACGTACCTGGTGGACGTGCATATTGAGCACAGTCAGGAAAGCGTACGGATCGCTCTCCTTGCCATCGCACTTCACAGTTGTTCCTACAAGGGGCTGACCGAGAACCAGGTCTGCAAGATCAGCGATAGGCAGCTTCTCTGCATCGCCCTGAAATAATTGTGTTGCAAGACGTTTCAACGCAAGGTAGTCCACGTCTGGGTGTGGGTCGAAAAACTCGAAGTCCACATCCACGAGACTCTACTAATCGGAAGTCAGATATCGTTGATCGTTCAACGACTTGTCCATACCACGTCGCTATCATCGCCTTCTTGATCATTTGTATTCGTTTGCTTGCGTTTAGGCATGATAGGAAGTTTGGAGATGGGAAGACGGTGAGGGTACGTTCACGGTTTTTGGAAACTCAAAAACGGGCACACCAGTCTCGCTTGCCCAGAAAAGGCAGGCCAAAGTCGCGTCGGCCTTGAGGACGACTCCGTTCGTCGACTTGACACAGGCCAGTATTGCTCAAATACAAACTTAATCTCTGCACCAATACTATCTAGATACCCTACGCATTTTCGACCGTCTCTTAAATTTCCTTCGCGATTGTTGTGAACGATTGAACCATGTTCCCGCCGGAGGAAGTCTATCCATTGAGCCGGAATGACTCAACGGTTTCAGTTGTGAGTCATTTAACTCATTGTAGCTAGACGGTTGGCCCGCTCATTAAGGAATGTCCTTATTTATGTTGGCAGGCATCGACCCAATATTCGATTGATGAGGTGCTTGTGGATGCCATGCAGAAATATGAGGAAGGCCAGTATTCAGGCCATCCATAATGCATTAAACTTCACGCCAATGCAGCATGAACATTCTTCTTACAGACGAAGTTACCACACATCACGTGGAGCGTTCTCCTGCCGGAGATGAAGATCTTGGGGCAAAGATCAAGTCCGGTGATGGAGATGATTCTGAGATGTATAGCGGTATATCCGACACTGAACTTTTCAACATTACCCAGCCAGCTGGACCACCCATCACACCTACACTGACTACATTAGGGAAACGGCCTTCCGATGACTTTGAGGGCCCATGCGAGTCTACGAGGCCGTACAAAGCATGGAAAGCCTCTACCCCTTCGCCAACTGGGAATTCCCCCAGTAAGGTTAGAGTTGTTGATGTCACGCCTGCCATACTTGTGAGTTATGCAAACCTCAATGTGTTTCAGTGATAATTATTCCCATTGCAGACAACAGAACATACATTAACTTCCTTTGTAACAAAACTTCCATGGGGGGTTCAATGGGAGCTGGCGCGACTTGGAACAAAAATCTTTGCCCAAAGCACAGACAAAGCCATGCTGCTCAAGGTTCTGAAGGGGCTTCAAAACCAGCCAAACAATGTTGCTGCTCCAAAAGTTGAGAGGATATCCAAACTCCTTGAGAACCATATTCCTTGTTCCAGGTGGGATCTTGACAGGGAGGAAAGGTTTGCTTCTGAATATCAGAAGGAAAGCCAGGCTAAGGTCCATTCATATCATTCTCTAGAGTCATATTTAGCTAACCAAACATTCTTTGCAGAGTCCATGGCATGAGCTGGACATTGAAGAAGCCATCCTCAAAAAAAATCCCCTGGGTTGTATAGGATGCAATGAAGAGGATCAACATATCTTGGCTGCAGGTGCAGATAGCCCATACTGGTATGGTGGCAAAGTGAACTTTGCAGCCACGCTGGAGAAGAACTTCCATCTCAAGTTGGAGAAGGCCTGTCTCTCCTCATCATGCCGGCTCTATCGCCGCTTTGGATCATCAAAATTTATACGTGTCTCAATTCCAGATGGGGTTGTCTATTCAGGTGGTGATCAGGTGGCACAATTCTTCCAGCAGCCATTTGTCATCTTTGGACATGTTTTTTGTGCATTCTTCTCAAAGGACAAGGCTGTCTTTCTATTCCAAACAAATGAACATTATGAAAATGGAGAAATATCTGCTTCTAGCAAAGGTGCTATTGTGGATCAGTCTGGATGCTCACTCTTGGACTTCATATCATGGCACAATGATATTGAGGTCAATCACAATCAGGTAAGATTTCTTTAAGCCTCAACAATTGCTTGGCTAACTTTGACTTTGCAGACAGCAGCAAAATGGGCAGCAAGATTTGCTCTTGGACTCTCAAACTCAGTGCCAGTATTCCAAATCAAGTCCAAAAACTACTATAAAATTCCAGAAGTCTGTAAGCAATCTAATGCCAGCTTTTGTCAGCTTGCAAATGCTGATTTTATATTCAGACTCTCCTTTTCATAATTCTAATCAGAATGCCAAAGCTCCCAGCAACTTTGAGATGACTGATGGATGTGGTCTTGCAAATGCTGCATTCTTCAAAGTGATTCAGCAAAGAATGGGCAAAGATCATCTTCCCACTGCTGTTCAATGCAGACTCAATGGAGTCAAGGTGAAGTAGTGTTATTTTTGTTTCTTTGAATTGTCATTCTGAATGTCTCTTCTTAGGGCCTCTTTCTATTGCATCCTGAGCATACCAATAGTGCTGTGGATGAGCCTACTGTATGGGTTAGACCATCACAGACCAAGATCAGATATCATTCTGAGGTCCTGAAGACTCCAGATCCTACTCTCTTCACACTTGACCTTCTGAGGATTGCTCACATGTCCAGTCCTGCTCGCCTCTCTGGAGAGACCATCATCAACATGGCAGAGAATGGAGTTCCATTCTTCTTATTCTTGGACTTGATGAAGATACAACTTGAAGAGGCTGTTCACAAACTCACTTTCTGGACAGATTCATCATTTTCAGATGTCAGAAATCTGGAGAATGCCTGCAGGCTTCTTCGATACAATGTTGAGAAGGATGGTAGTGTTCCACAGGTTCTTCTCACTCGGCATAATCCAGGAACAGCTAGAGTGCAGGGTTTTGTTGCTGATGATGCCAAAAACAAGGACAAGTTAGACACTGGATTGGATGATGAGTATGATATAGATGAGTTGGAGGGAGCATGGCAGGAGCAGTCTACTGCATGGTGGGAGGATCCTGTCAGTGGCTGTCCATCCTCACTACATGAGACTGTCTTGGTCTTGCTGGATGCTGGCTTCTCACCCACTACTTGTGGATACCTTCGCCATAAGCTTCGTGAAGTGATTCAGATGACAATCACTAGGCATACCAACAAGTATCATTTTGATGTTACACAATCATGTACAGCTTTTGTTGTTCCTGGTGAGTAATAACCTGTATTTTGAAGTGCTAATCTTAGCTTGGTTTTTTTAGATCCTTGTGGAGTTTTGGAACCAGGAGAAGTGCATATCAAAAGTTCAGTGAGAAATCTGGTGAACCAGAATGGAGACCAAACTGACATTATTCTGGGAGATGTTTTGGTATGTCTTAATTTATACAGTCTTATGCCTCAATCTAATGTTTGGCTACTTAAAGCTTACAAGACATCCTTGCAAGGTTCCTACAGATGTTCAGAAGGTACAGCCTTATTTTATTCTATTTTCAGATTTATATATCTGATGCATATATCTGTCAGGCAGTTGCAGTCCACAAGGAGAAACTGTCCCAGTACACTGATGTCATAGTTGTGTCTGTCAAAGGCCACAAGGTCAATGGAGAGATCCTGGGTAGACATCTGGCCAGCATGACTGGAGGTGGTAAGCACATTAAACTATAATCTGAGCACATTTGATTTGGAGACTGATATAATCCTATACAGGTGACTATGATGGTGACAAGATGCAGGCATTCTGGGAACCCACCATGGTTTTCACATTCAAACCTGCAGATCCCAAATTTGCTACTGAGCCAGCATCTGTGAAGGACTGCCTCTCCACCAACAATGACACTGTGTCAGAAGTGCTTGATCAAATTCCTCCAAGTTCAGGCTACCTTCATCAGATATTCCATCTCCAGAAGTACCTACTGAGAGGGTTAATTGATGCCTCCCTGGTGGGCAACTACTCCAAGATGTGGGAGCATTCCATCTATGAAAAGGGGTATGACCATGAAGATACTGTGCACCTTGCTTACCTGTATGTTTCTATTATCCCCATTAGAGGCTTTTGCTAACTCTATCTCTCACCTAGATTTTGTGCCATTCTTGATGGTGCAAAGACTGGTGTCACAGTCAAACCTGAGCAGTTTGCAAAGGACAAGGCCAGATTTCACTTCACCAAAGCCCTGAGATGGAAAAACCTTGGGATACCTGATCCTCAGCATGTGCCTGTTCCAAGGTCAAAGACACTTCCCCCCTTCATCATGGACATTCTGAGAGAGAAGGTCCTGGAGGAGAAGGCAGCACAGAATCAGTACCTTGACAAGATACTCCCACCATTCAGGGATGACATTGCCCACAATCCCAATGATGTACACCTTGCAAAGCCATGGATGGATGCCTGGAATGGTATGCTGGAGGATGAAAATGATGTCGACATCACCGTTAGTCTCCAGGCAAGAGGACAACGAGAGGACCTGGAGAAGATCAAGTCTCATGTCGAACAGATGAGCCAAGAGTATCGGCGCACTGTGGCTGGGCCCAACTTCACGAAGATGCCCATCCAACTTCGCCAGAACAAGCTCCGTGAATTGACACGAAAGTTTGTTTTCGACCTCACCCCCGAGCACATGAAGTATTACAAGCGCGCCCCCATCGAATTCGGCCGTGTCAAGGCATCCTATGCATATGTACATGACAGGAAGGTGAAGCATGGCCAGATGTCGCAATTCCCATTTTCCGTTGCAATGAGACAGCTGTGTGCTATCAAGGCAGAGGCTATGGGAGGAGAGAAAGCGGTTTGTGCAAACCTGGCACCTGCTCTGCACTGTCACAAGGCTTGGGTTCCAAATGTATGATTTGAATGATATGTAGATCCTGGCAGAATGAATGATTGCATTGGAGTCAGTTGAAATGGAGAATAAGAAATCTAATATTGTATTATAGGATATTGCAAGTAGCTACAAGACTTGGCTTAGGTATAAGTCCATCCAGTGAGCTCAGAGTGTAATGAGTGTTGGTGAGTATGTAGTCAAGAGATGACGACAGTGCAGTGAGAGGAATGCATTTGATCGGCCAGAAACCAGAGAGATAAGAGAGCGCGCGAGGGAGAGAGAAAATAAGTGAGGGACAAACAACGTGCATTGTACTTTTACACATTGAGGAAACTGGGTGGGTTGGGGGGTATAGCGTTAAATTGAGATAAACAGTCAGGGATATCAGATCCAAGAGTGCATGCACCGACGACCATATGCGACGAACTTGAAAGTCAGAAGCGACGACGACAACGCGGGAGGGTAGGGGGTGAGGGCGGGGGAGAAGAATAACAAACGATCAGTTGAGTACGAATAGATGAGGTGATTGATCAGATGAATAACGGAGTAGTCGAAGGTTTCGAATTTTCGTATAAGGGCGTAAGAAAGGATAAGGAAGAACAATAGAGGATGGCGACGACGTGCTCATACGAAGAATTGTGTACTATAGGGATGGGTTAACTGACATGAATCAATCGACGACGTTGGAGAACTTACTGAACCCGACTCGACGAATGTACCTCCATTTCTTCCATCTTGTACGAGTTAAGCTCCTCCTTGATACGCTGAGCAAGGGCAGGGGTCAAACGGCTCCACGTCGCAGGCTCGCTACGACGATCGTAGACGGTAGCAGGGAATGTGTCGTATACAGAGAGGTTGGTGGCGAACGCGAGACGCTTCGCAGGAGCTGTAGCAGAACGAGTGGTCAGTGTAGGAGGGTTAGCGGAGAACATCCTCGATAATGCCGGTGCAGAAGAGTTAGGGTGGTTGAATAAGGACCTCTCGGTGGTGACAGTGTGCTGGCTACTTGTGTCTGAGATATCCTTCGGTGACTCTGTATCCGGACCTCCCGTTTCGAAGCTGAGCGGCGGGATGAAGGACGTGGACGATTGACCGTTTGACGAATTGTGATGCTTAGCCAGACCGTCGATCTGATCAGGATTAGGTGACGGAATATGAGCCAGGGAACTGCTTGCTTGTCCCTGGGTAGATGGCGAATCGTAGGAGTTGGACCTGTTTCGAGTGAAAGACGGGTTGGGGTGAGGGAGGTACGCGTCTTGTTCGTAACCTGTCCCGTCTGGTCGAGCTGTGTTAGGCAACGTGAGATAAACACTTAAGATATAGACCTGACTTACTCTTGAGAATACCCTTGGTCGGTCTTCTCACCCTCTCAATGCTCCGCCTCACGTTGATAGCCCAAGGCTCCATCTCCTCGTCATCCAACGCCGCGTTGTCCAAGGCCGCTCTGATAGTTATATCCTCGTCATCGTGAGGTCCTTCCCAATCCTCGTCGTCGTCCCAACCGTCCATACTATAATTCTGAGAAGCATGGTGATGGTCATCACTGTGTCCATCGTCACTGTCAGAGTCATCGTCCTCCACGACCACCCTCATTCCATCTTCATTCACTCTCGTCATCCTCGCAGGTAGGTTCTCGCCTTGGCGATTAGTCGTGTTCTTCTCCCAAGTAGCAGGTACAGGGTCGCCAGATGCGTTATGTTGTGCAGCAGCAGCCGCGGCAGCTTTAGCTTCTTGCTCAGCCTTCGCCCTCGCGGCCGCTTCAGCGTTGCTCTTCAAAGTGTGTTGTCGAGCGAGCATAGCGGCTGGACTCAACCCGGAAGGCATGTCTACGGTCCAATCACCACGATCGAACTCGGCCGTCGCATGGGAGACACTGGCCTCCGAAGCAGAACTCTTCTCTCCTTTCTTCTTCTTCCCCTTCTTCCCGCTCGCGTCCGCATCCTCAACTTCCTTATCCTTATCCTTATCCTTGTCCTTCTTGTCCTTGAACAGAGAGGTGATCCCAGCAAGAGAGTTCCGTCGTGTGAGCTTACCGATGGATCCAAGCTTTCGGATGACCATCGATGCAGAAGACATAGTGGAAGAAAGCGAGATATTGTCTGTCGAGCGATTCAAGCGCGAGTTGAACAACGACCGCGACTTCTTCTTCTGAACTGTCGCCGTAGACTCGTCATCGTCAGCGAGGGCAGGATGTGAGCTTGCGCCGGTACTCGTCGTTGGGACGTGCCGTGCGATTGACTTTCCCTTCACCGGAGTGTCCTCTTCAGGCTCTTCCTGTAACGCTGCACCAGCGTTGAGCGATAATGCCCGACGCAGACGACCTTTCAATCCACCGCTACGAACGCCAGGCGCAGGCTCAAGCATCGCTGTGAGATCACTATCATCGCGGGACATGCGCTTCTCTGCCGCAGTGAAGGTATCCTGCGATAAGGGAGACGGCTTCCGAAGATTAACGGGCGGGTGAGAGGAAGTCGTCGTCGTCGTCGGGGCCGTTGCTGATGAACCTGATGATGATCGAGGAGCCGTAGAGGACGAGGTATTGGAAGATGATGAGTTCGTGCGAGTATGCGGCCTCTGTGGAGGAATACTCGGAGTCGAAGAAGCTGTGGAGTTTCCACTTCCTATCCTGCCATGTCCATTGGTCGCGACGGCCTTGCCATGAGAATGACTTGATGGGCTGCCCGCGCCGCTGCCGCCGCCTGCTGATGAGCCTTGATTACTGTTAGTACGTGGACGGGTACCATTAGAGACAGCAGAGTTGGAATTGACAGATGTCGATGAACCGGAGGCATCTGCTCGGACATACGGAGGCTGTATGGAAGCTGGTGTAAATTGTTGCATGCCTGGACGCCAGTCAGCGGGAGGCTGCTGAGTATCCTGGTTATGAGAACCCTGACGGTTTGGGCGACGATACGGATGAAAGCCCCCATATTGGGATTGTTGTTGGTCACCTTGTCCAGCAGGGTAGCCGTTGGGAAGCTGGGACGGATGTGGGGGAGGCGTACCACTAGGAAAGAGATTGTAGTTCGCCATCTGACCTGGCGGAAAATAATCGCCACCTGCACTTGCGCTACCGGCACGATTGCGCTGACCCGACATGGGTGAAGGAACGTGGGACAATTGATGAGCCTGGTGAGCGTTGAACATCATCTGCTGATAAGCCCACTGGGCAAACTGAGCGTTGGCTGGGTCGTAATAAGGAGACTGTAGCTGGCCGGGGGGAGAGTGGGGACTCCCGTGTATACCATAAGGCTGCGGGTTTTGGTAGAAAGCAGGATAGAACTGCTGCTGTTGAGCAGGAGTCCAGCCAGCTTGTTGTTGCTGAACAGGATAAGGATACGGTTGTTGCGGAGGTAACGGTGAAGTGGAAGCTGAATGGTCGTTGGCAGGCGAAGAACGTTGACGAGGAATGGAAGAGTTGGATGAATTGGGGGAAGGCGCGTCCATGGTGTGATCTCTAGGTGGGTGCCAGTCCTGAGGAGCGAGAACGGCCATGGACTGGAATAAGGTGAAGAGAGAATAGATTAGGCTGATTGCCACGCAATGGTGTAGACGAAGATTGCCGTCGTGGAAGTCGTGGTGACTGTTGAAGCGAGAAGGACAGAGAAGATGTAAAGGTCAGATACGAAACCAAGCAGGAAAGCTGTAAGACACGCACGGGAAGAAAGAGAATCTGGAGAAAGAAAGGAGGGAAACAGGAAGAAGATAGAGCGAGGATGTCGTTGACGAGTGCGAGTCTGCCGTTGCCAACGATGAGCAGACACCGACAACAGCACCACCGACCAAGTTCCAATCCTCGCCCTTCCTTTCGATCTCCGCTCCCAGGCACCTGCCGTACTTCCGTCTCCGCCCAGATATCTTTCCTCTTTAGGCAATTTGTGGCTGTCTCTCTCGTCAGAGCTTGCGCACGAATGACCTCGTTGCTCTCGAACGCTCTCTGCTGCGTCTTTTTTTTTTTTGCATGGCCTCTGCATGTTCCTCCTGTCCCGGCGAGTCATCCACGAATCCGTCGCCCGTTCCCGGGTAGACCGCACCAGTGTTCCAGCTCATTCCAGGCGTCTTTTCTCTCGGCCATTTAATTTCCCGACTGCATCGTTCTGGCAGCTGCACTGCGCTCATCAGCAACGAATCGTAATAATCATCGTATCAGCTCTTGCGCGACACTAGGCTCTTTGCAGCAGTCTACTCTGGGAAGTTGTGCTATTCAAAGCACAATGATTGCTGCGATCGTGGCACTTCTTGATGCCTCCCTCCCTGTGACTTATCCAATGTCCTTTCTGTCGGCCAATTCGATCATCGTACCTCTGCCTCGGGGCTGCTGACAGATGTTCTCTTCTTGGCCAGTTTCGAATAGTTTATTATCCATATTCCACCCCAAAACTGCCTCGCCGACTGCACGTTGGCTGTCGCCATGGGACTTCAGAACAAGACGAGCTTCCCAAACCAGCCCGCAGCCCGGAAGTTGTGGTTGCAGATCTCAGATCGGCGACCTTCCCACAGTTATTTCATCTCAGATCACTCGATCGACCAATCCTCAGCGCTCTCTTGCTTCCGTTCCAGGATGTGACAATGTCGTCCAAATCTTGGCAGCAGCTTTGTGCAGACCGCAAGAAGAAACAGGTCGACTCTATTCCAAAGGAATGGATTATTACAGTGTCAACTGATCTAAAGCAGAGCGTTATTGACGTTCCAGCGCAATGCGGTTTACTTTCACCGCTCGAAATCGAGATAACGGAGACTGTGGACCTTGATATCCTCTTGGACAAGCTCAGCACAGGCATATGGACATCAGCGCAAGTTACGACCGCGTTTTATAAACGCGCCATCATCGCACAGCAACTCGTACGTAGATGGCTCCCGCGTGGAGGTTAGAAACTGACAGACGTTGACATTGATCGGTGTCTTCCTGTTCACTGCCTAGACGAATTGTCTCACAGAGATCTTCATCGAGCGTGCTCTGGCCAGGGCTCACGAACTCGATGATTACTTCCAGAAGAATGGCAAACCCATAGGTCCACTTCATGGACTACCTATATCGCTCAAGGATCAATTCTGTATCAAAGGTCTCGAAACGATCATGGGTTCGTTCGAACGATCACCTATACCCGCTTTTCATAACATTCCCCACAGGCTATGCTTCTTGGATTGGTCCAGTCTCCGAAAAAAGTTGCGTCTTGGTCGAGATTCTTTATGACCTCGGTGCGGTGCCCTTTGTACGCACCAATGTGCCACAAACGCTTATCGTAAGTCTTCCCTCAAGCATCCTTCATCACTAACTCGCCATCGCTCTTCCCTACAGTGGGGTGAGACCTATAATCATGTATTTGGCCGAACGACCAATCCGTACAACCGTTACATGACCCCCGGCGGTTCTTCCGGCGGCGAAGGTGCATTGTTAGCACTCAAAGGCAGTCCTCTCGGCGTTGGTACAGACATTGGAGGGTAAGCAATGCCCGTCTCCAGCCTAACCTAACCTTCTTTCAAAAACCTGCCTATCCCAAAATTAAACAACGACGACGCATTACACATTGTCACTCATAAGTATGACATTAACATATTGATCCCCACTATTTCACTTCGAAACAGGTCCGTCCGGATTCCAGGCGCAATGTGCGGCCTATACACCCTACGCCCATCGTACGAGCGTCTTCCGTACGCCAACGCCCGAAACGCACAAGAAGGTCAAGAATCCATATCTTCCACACTCGGTCCGATGGCCAATTCCCTTTCGGCGGTTAAGCGATTCACGAAATCGATCATTGATGCGAAGCCATGGAAGAAGGATCCTCTTGTTGTGAGGAAGGAATGGAGCTCCAGAGAGTACGCGCTTGAGGAACATGGGAATGGAGTAGGCATGTGTTTTGCGGTGTTGTGGGATAATGGGGTTGTGAAACCTCATCCGCCGGTGAGAAGGGCTTTGGAGATCGTGAAGCAGTCTTTGGAGGATGCCGGACATAAGGGTATGGATGCACACACTCGTATTTTTGTTTTTGGTGCCTGATGACTTCATGTTTAGTGATCGATTGGGAACCACATAGACATCTTGAAATCTACAAGAACACGGTTTGTCTCTTCATTGTTTAGCTGACGGAAGACGTTCTAATACTAATGCTATTACTTTATCAGGAGAGTATCTTCGCAGCCGACGCAGGACAAGATTATCGCGTCGAATGTGCCAAGTCTGGAGAACCGCTCATCCAGACCATGAGTCCCGACAAGGATGCTCATCCATACAATTTGTTCGAAAGTTACGCCAAGACCATCATTGGGAAGCCTGAACTTCTCAGTGCATATGATGTATGTAACATTTCCTTCCTGACGCGCTCACCTAATATATGGTTCTGTATCAGTTGTGGCAGCTTCACAAAGAGAAACGCGTTCTCCGGAAGAGTCACTTAGACCATTGGGAGGCTACAGTCGCTCGAACTGGGACAGGTCGACCTGTGGATGCTATCATCGCACCTGTAGCACCCTACACCGCGGTTCCGCACGGTTGTAACTCGTCAGTACCTCAGATTCTCTCTAATATATTGCTTGTGTTCGCTTACGCAGTTTGGTCATAACGTCATAGGGACGCGTTCTATACAACGTTATACAATACCCTCGATTATGCTTGCGCAGGTTTCCCAGTCACATTTGCAGATAAAGATCTGGATAAGGTCCAACCGCCGCATGAGTTCAGGAACCACGAAGACGAAGCGGTTTACAAATTATGTTCGTATCCGTTGTTTGCTATTTCCATTGTGTTGCGTCGTGTCTATAAGTCTATCACTTCCTTGTTCTCGTTCTCACGATTTGCTTTCAGATGACCCTGAACTGTTCCATGGGTTGCCGGTGGGTTTGCAACTGGTAGGGCGAACTCAAGAAGAGGAGGCTGTCATCGCGATGACGGAAATTGTGGATCGGGTGCTGGGGGCTCGTAAGTAAGTTAGATGCTTGGAGCACCAAACGGATCTAGATAGGAGGATATCAAGCAACGACACAGTGTACAATACAAATACATACATGGCAAATACCAGGAACAAGTGTGAACTCAAGGAAGACGATTATACTGTATATGAAAAAGAGGGGTGAACGCACACGATAAGACGTGATGATGAGAGAAACCCAAGGAAAAGCATAATGGAACCATCCTACGTAACCACAATCTACAGCTCCTGCCGCCGTTACAACCGCCTCGAGATGTAATCCACAATATCGGCCTTCTTCCACCGTTTCTCACTTACGCGCAAGATCTCGGGGAACCATTCCCTAACACCCTCTTCGTCATTCAACACCATAAACGCCAATGCCTTCCCGCTCATCCACGCATGTACCATCCCCTCACCCGTATACCCCGCTGAAATCCATTCCCCGGGAGGCGATGTCAGAAGTGGGCCTCCACTAATAGTCTCTCCCACTTCCTTGGGAGGTACACGAGGTGTACAACTCTGAGACGGCTCAGAACGTCCTGAGAGTTTCGTAGGCACCCGCCCGACCCATGGCAAACCATCTGCGGAGATCCCCAAAATCCCACTCCATGAAGCTTTCGTTCTCCCTGATCCCCATTTCACTCCACCTTTCTTATCGTCCTCCGTTTCTTCGGGGTCTTTCTCCCTACCCCAGTTCTCGGCACCGAAGTAAAAAGGTAAGGCACCGGCGAGGTGACTTGCGACTGGCCAATTATACTGGCTGTCGTCTACGGTACCTATATCTGCAAATGCGGCATCCATGGCGCTTGCCCAACCCCCGCCAAACATGAGTTCGTTTTCGCCTGAAGGTAGTTGGGTGAGGTAGTCGTAGCCTAGGGTACCGCTGTAGAAGACGTAAGAACGTTCGCCTGTAAGGGTGGATTTGGTGTTGAGTGTCGTGCCGGGACGTTGGGCGGACATTGTCCCTCGTGCGGGGATGATCTTCTCTCGGAGGGGTGAGAGGAGATGGGATACCCACCCGTTTGTTGCGTGAATGACATGGTATGTGGTGATGGTGCCTTTCGGTGTGTGGACGGTGTAGAAAGGACAAGTTGAAGTTGGCGATTCGATTTCCGTACATGGGTTATGAGTCGAGATGAAAAAGCTAGAATGATCGATTGTGTGTCAGTAGTGGCTTGCCGAGAAGACATGTAACAACTCACTTGTGCGGATTGCGATCGAGGAGTCTAGACAGCAGGGATGTGACGAAGCGATATGGGTGTATAGCACCTCCATCGCCGTGTATACAACCTACGACTTCTGAGGACAAACCAAACTTCTATAAGTGAGAGGTCAAAAGTGCCATTCATACTAGATGTGCCAAGCAAAAGCATACAGAAGAAGCGTCGACACCTTCGTCTACCTGGAAGGAAGCTGCCTCAATGGGCATATCTGCCTGCCAAGCGGCGAGTTCCTCTTTGGCTTTGTCAAATGTCTTTGCAGTTGTATGGACATCGAAGTTCTCAGTCCGGCGCACTTGCGAGAGTTCGAAGATATCTTCCGCCTTAGCTATCGACATAAGTTCTCGGAAATGAGCCAGTCGGAAGTGGATCATCTTCTTTGCTATTTCTTCGCCATGTTGCTCCTTCAGCTCGGAATAATCGTGGTAGAGTGGTGGGTTGATGTGTCCCCCATTCCTACAGAGACGATGATCAATTGAGTCATGTCGGAAGTGTGATGTACTTGCATACCTCGCAGTAGCCCCGGAACAAATGTCCCTTGCTTCGAGCATCACGATTCGTAGTGAAGTTTCTTGCTCAAATACATTGTACGCAAATGAGGCTCCAGTTATGCCAGAACCAATAATGACTATATCTGCATGCTGTGGAACTGTTTTCCCTTCTGCAGATATGTTAGACTTTGGAATTGTCCAGAACGGCTGAGTTGGGTTTGGTATTGGAATCCCTGGGGACTCCTTAAGACGCCTTGATAGCACGTCCAGAGCTTTATTCAGATGGTATATAGCACCTATGAGTAATTTCGCTCTGGAGATTAATGAGCCCATGGTGAGTTTTGAAAGCGCATGAACGATAAGGTGGACATCCTGAGAATAGTGCGTGAATTAATAGAATACTCAGCCAGACAAGGTATCTTTCTGCGGTGCGCATTGCGGCCGCACTGTAGTCAGGTCGGCGCGATCACTTCGGCAAAACACGATCACATGCATCTCACGTGGCACTATTATCGAAACGCGCCTCAAAACAAGCGCTAACTAGACTTCAACTTGGATTGACACCGCAGCCATCTTTGTAGCATCGATCCCTAGCATAATTGGACTAGATATTTTTTTCTGCCGACATGGGGCAGTACTGGATATTGTAAGTGTTGTATGGCTACTGACTGAATAATGGATGATAGACCTACTCACTTCCAACATGAATAATTAGGCGAAATCTTGACAATGGCAGTAACCTGGGTGGCGGAAAATTAGGCGAATGTCTCATTGACGGTTCATTCAATGATTCCATCCCGCCATTGGCTATTCCTACTGGTTTTAAACCCCCTAAGGATCTTCCATCCCTCTTCAATCAGACTGATCATTTCAGCTGGGAAAAGAGTACGAAAGCACCACCGTGAGGAGCTCCCCAGATCTCAAACGACGTTGTGATCTTTTTTTCGCTGACTGTGCAAATCAGTAAATGTTTACCTCCACAAAAAGAGAAGCTGGGACATCTACAAGTCTTTCCGGACGAGATTATCTCTCACATCTTTAAGTCCATTGAGACGAAAGAAGATATCGCCAGATTCAGCCTTACCAATATCTATCTCTTCTATATTGGCTACGAAGTCCTGCAGCAACGTTACATGGCGGAGAAGCCATCTTGGGTAGGCGATCGTCTCATGTGTGTGGGCGATTACGCTCGGATAGAAGACCTACCTACTGGCGTTTTTACACAAGAAGAGGTGGACAACATGAAGCAATACCAAGACAATTTGGCAGATTCTTCCTCGTCCATAGGTTCTTTGGACGATTATCTCCGAGAAATTCATCCAAATCATCGACGCGTCGAACTTGGACTTGATTACGACGCAAGGGAACGTCTAATGACAGAAATTTTCGAGGACGAGCGTGTCTCCTGGGAGTATAGGTCGCGAATCCACAGTGCGCTCTTCGAACTAGGCAGTCCCAGGCTTCTGTATAAGAGTGAACATCCTTGGGTCCTCTGCAATCTGTCCAAGTTCCAGTATGTCCGATTCGATGCCGTGAGGGAGTTGCACGGAGCTAAACCCAAGCCAGCGGAAGGCCCGTTTCAGTTCGACCGTGCTTGCTTCTCGGTTGGGACGCTGTTGGTATCCAGGATCTGTTGGTCATGGGATAGTAGCACCTCCCTTTGTTACAAAGGTCCTATCCATCATGGTGTGTGGGCAGGAGACAGGTTCGAGGTCACCACGACGGACCGTATGCGGCCTACAGAGGGAGGTAAAGAGTGGGACGACGTCACTGATGAAGTCCTTAACGAGGCGATTGAGATCTGGAAAGCGGATTTTGGAAAGAATTGGGTAGAGTATTTATGAATTCCATGAAGTATGTCCACCGTAGAGAAGTTGTCAGGCTATCACCATACAAATGTCATCCGAGCCTATTGTTCTGTGATCTTCGAGCCTTATGGCAACATTCGATATGCATAAATGTTTAAAAACTTTGACTCTGCCCCCTACATCTTAGTAGCATCACTTTGATCTTCGAACAGGCACAATGGGCTAATCATTTGTACTGTATCTTTGAAACCCCACCCGTGCTCCTCTCGACTTACTACAACCTACTTTGTTCAAGTTGAGAGCAATATTCACAGAACAGGATGTACCGGCGACATCAGGAGAATGGGCGGAGCTATCCTGGATGCAGGGAAATGACCTGGAAGGCTCCTGGAATGGTGTCATCCAGCACTTGGCGAAACCAACTGGCTACGTGACGCATCCAAGCCTCTGGATATATTGACCATTAGGAATCTGATGTTAGTCTTGAAGTGACGCACACCAAGGATCAGTACTATCAGTCGCGAATCCTCCGCAACCCTTTAAGAACGAATGCATCTAATTGGACGCTGTGGACGAGTTGCGCAAACACGCAGAGGGTGGTCCGCTATCCCACAATAACGATAGCGTTTCGATTGCCGCCTTCTTGACATGCAAGATTTCTTTGGTCCTCCGATTCTCCAGATCTCTTCTCTGCCACATCCATTTTCATACGAGGGGTGGTTGAGTTGGCAATCGTTTCGAGATCATGACTCTGAAACGCATACATAGCACCTACAAAGAAAGGACATGAATGGAAGGATGTCACTGATGATGCCATGTTGAATGAGGGTATCAAGGCTACATTCAGCGATGACTGGCAGGACAGGCTACTCCAATAACATGTCAATTTTTTTCCGTTTCTTGACTGTTGTCTGGAGATGATATATATAATCAGGGCTTTTATTGATTGTCAACCGTTGGATGAACATAGCATAAAACTAATGTACAAGCCTCGCAAGGAAATCACAGCTTTTCTCTCCAATTCTTCCCATACTCCGCTTTCCATATCTCAATTCCCTCATTGAGGACTTCATCTGTAACATCCCTCCACTGGCCACTTCGCGCGGTCTGCATGCGGTCTGTTGTCGTAATCTCAAACCTGTCACCAGCCCAGACGCCACTATGAATATTTCCTTTGTAGGCAAGGGATGCTGTAGAATCGGTGGACCAGCATATCCTAGAAACTAGTAACATCCCGATGGAGAACCCACGGCCGAAGCTACAGCGGCCAGGTTGGAAAGGGCCTTTATCCGGATCAAGCTCGCGACCTTGTAACCTCGTTATGGCATCCAGACGGATGAATTGAAGTTTGGAAAGATTGCATAAAAGCCAGGGATAGTCGCTTGCGTACGTTGGCTGTGGGCGACAAAGATATGAAAGAGCAGTACGAGCTAACTTGAGCTCTTTTTGGTACTCTGAACCTGTTTGTGCACCACAGAAGGTCATGGAGAGATGATCATAGGCATCGGAGCTGATCCCAGGGCGCATTCATGTAGTCATAGGCCGTTTAGGCCGACTGAGAAGACTGTCTTGAAGGGTGAAGACTTTCTCGACTTCGGGTTCCACGTTTCGCGGCGGCGGTCTTTCATTTCGTCGAGTTCCTCTGAGGTGAATACTCCAGGAGGGAGGTCATTGAATTCGGCGTGATATCCAATACATATAAGACGACATCCAGCCCACGATGCTATGTCCGTCATGTAACGACGCTGTAAAACCTCGTAGCCAGTGTTGTATACATATCGACTTATGAGGCTCAGGCTTGCGACGTCTTCCTGTTTGTGAATGTGATCGAATATGCAAAGAAGCATCTGGAAACAGTTCCAATCGGCCGAGAGTACTCCTCTGAGGAGGTGGATCCGACTTTCTTTCGCTATCAAGAGAAAAATAAGACCCGTGCGAATAGGTCAAGGATTGAAAAACTACACATACCATTCTTTGTCTGATTCGAAGTCGGCCGTAGTGTCCTGTTCCCTTTTGGAAAGAATATCGGGGACAAATTTGATTCCGGTTGAGTGGGCGAGCATTCCAATGAGATTGTCCCACAAGCCATTCAGCATGCGTCGACCCAGTGAGGAGATGTTTTCTGTCTCATTCATGTCAAGATTCACCCTACAGCAAGATAAGCCACATCGAGCGTGTCAGTCCGGGGTGCGTACAAAACGATGAGGGAACGAGCATACAGCATCCAGGACTGTTTCATCTCAGGTATCAGTCAGTCAAAGTCAACAGAGCGTAAGAGGTAACCGGTATTGAGGAAGAGCCTACGACGTAAGACGCGTTATTGTGGTTTGTTTGTATTTCATTCTGCTTAGCCGATGATCAACGCTCTTGGTGAATAATCAAAGTTTTGCAGACAAGGGATACAGAAGCAGTGAGAACGTCAATAACTGCGAACCTAAAGGACCTCACTAGATGGCGGCGGATGATAACCAGTGGAGTAACGTATCGAGGGAGAATCCCCCACATTGAGAGAAATAGGCTGAAGGTGCCGGCCAAGAGCGGGATTTTGATTCTTTACTGAGGATGTTTCGGTCTCCAGTCTATGCTGGATCAGTACGGGACACTGGCTTGTCACATAATGACGGTCGATGTGACTGGTCTATCTGCAGCACCTGTGTAGAAACGTCTGAAGGCCCAGATGACATTTCTTATACAACACAGTCTAGTTACAAGTTGCCAGTTCAAGAAGCGCAAGTTGACACCGCTCATTCGTTCGAAGTCCAGCAAAGGAAGGAGAAGACATCAGGTTCGCCGTCGTCAACTAGAAAGTAGCCATGCGAGAAAATAGTCAGAGTGTATCGTGCGAAACAGTAGTGATCTCCTTCTGGAAACGAGCGACATAGTTGCGAAGTTCTTCCGGAGGGAGGGTCGAATGGTCTAGAGCTTGGGTGAGTTGTGTTTTGAGCTAGAGAGATCCGTGAGGGGAAAACATCAGTCTCTAGGCGTTCTAGTGAAACTGAACAGAGCAGAAAGTCACCCGTAGGAGTGCCTTCCTTCGAATAGCGACTTTTGTTGTTCTGCTCTCTTCATGTTGTCTTGCTTCCAACTCGGACAGTTTATCGGCGACCCGTCTACTCTCTACTAGCGCATCTTGTGGTAGATCCGCTAGCCGGGCAAGGTCCAAGCCTGTGATCATAACGGAAAGGCTCTTCAGTCAGTTCATACAACTGAAAGAAATGAGAGAGCAACCGTAGTCTTCCATATCCTCTGGCGCACCATCGACGATCCTGAAGAGTCCCTGTGTTAGGAAAAGTATTTGGGTTTGCCTGTCAACTCACTTGTTTTGGAATGTCATGCCGAAGTTGGCAGCAGACCTCCGGGATTTCTGAACAAAATCAGTTCGATCAGCTCCACAGTTCTTGACATGGCCTACCTGGACAGAAAGATGCAAAATACATCGCAATTCCATGATTACATCAACCGAGGACATGTACATAACAAACTCACTTTACGACGGATGGCTGACGGGACAACGTGGTTGAAAGTTCGCCGAAATGCCTGCAAGGTAGCCATAAGCACTGAGAAGATTAAGTGATTGTTTTGATTACGTGGCGAAGAATACGTAGGCCTGAATGCTTCATCAGACCATGCTTGAATAAATGAAGACAATCATACCTTTGTTCTTATGAGTCTTTCCGCGATGGCGTGAGATATACCGACACCCTCCGTAGGAGAAGTACCATGACCAAGTTCAACGATTAAAATCAAGGAATCCGATGTAGCGATTCCTGTCCGTTGATGAGTTCGTGGCGAATGCTAACGAGGAGAATACATACCGAGAATCATAGCAGACGATGCCATCTCGCTTGCGAATGTGCTTAGACTCTTTTTCATGTCGTCGTCGTTAGACAGACGTGTGAGAAGTGCGCCATGAATCCTGCGAACGCGTGTCAGTAGTCAAGACACCGTATCCATCTAGTCTTACCGAAAGCTCCCATATTCCGCTGATACGAAGCACCCACTCATCGCCATAACCGTAAGCAAACCAATTTGTCGCAGGTACGTGCTCTTGCCTAACTAACAATCGATTCACCAGTGGCTGGAAAAGGACAACAAACAAACCTGACATGCTGATGATGCCTGTGAGTAACAGGAGCGATGGTATCATCAATGTATTCTTACTTTGGACCTTGAACGATCTGAAAAGATGATGAATCACAGCAGTAGACATCATTCGGGACAGTCATCCCGGCGGTCTGAACACCTTCCAGCACAGGGTGTCTCCCACCCCTTATTACAAGCGTTCCTGTGAATTCCGGGCGCACTATGCACAATCGTGAGCAGCACTCTCGGCCAAGGAAAAATACATGACAGCCTACTATAATTGCGGACTAGCGTCGACATTAGCAATGTATCATTAGAGTGAGACCAGCGTACTCACTAATGGAGGTATGAGCGAAAGACCACAGCATGTCCAGGAGAGCAACGGCTTCGGACGCCTTGTACAATGCACCTATGTTAGCCACGACGAATTGAATGAGATCGTTGATGACTCTATTGCAAGGTAGTGAGTAAAGCAAAGGCCCACGGTGGAAAAATGCGTATGCGAACTTTGCACTCAGAACAAGAGTTTCGTCTTGTGCATCCTTCATACGTGCATTACGTTTTTGCTACATTGTGTGCGGGACTTAGCCTCGGTGGCAAAATGTACAAGGCGATATAGAACCGACTTACCAAATCTAGGCTAGAAAACGTGTACTTTCTCTTCTTATCGACGACATTGATGAAACCCCGAGGAAGTTCATTTCCTTCAAGCTCAAACTTCAACTGGAAGATAAATCCAGTGTCTTGGTGAACAAGAGTAAGGAGTTCATGCTTCTTGCTTAACTCCGAATTGAGGTTGAAAATGTCCGAGAAATTCACCTTGTAAGTTTCTCTTGCTACATCCAGTAAACGGTTGCAGTTCGCCTAACATACAAGATATCAGTATGTCTAAAGACAATATCAACAGGTTGATACCTCCACAGCATAGACACGTGAGTTAACAGCCCTCAGACCTCCCTAAAGAGAGCTTGAGACACGCCGGAGAGAGAACTTGTTCGAGAGAGGCGCGCCTTGACAGGTGTCACGTCGTCGTTCAGGTGCTTTTCGATCTCCTACTCAATCTCTTCAAGGCGACTATCCGATATCATCTTTACATTTCATGAGAAAGGTCAGACTCGACAAGTAATCTCGCCACTCACATCCTTGACAATTTGCAGGAGTTGCAAACGACTGCCTTCTAAAGCATTTGCCACTAGTGGAAGGTTCTTCACGATGCTACGCAACCTGAGCATGAGCGTAACGCGTGCCGATGCAACCTTCGCGGAAGCAAAGTCATAATTTTCTGCGACTGTGAACTATTGTGAAGTCAGCGGAGAAAAGGAATCCCAAGTGAGTATATGCGCATACAGTTGCGATGATTTTGTCAAAATCCATCTTGATCAAGGTTTTCAGAGCGTCTTTGATTTCGATGAACCGGTCTTCACTCCGGGCAGGTTCTGGCAGTGATGTTCACAATTCGGGTCTGCGTTGACTAGCGGTGAAAACACACCTACAACGTCAAGGCGAGCATCAATGGCATTCTGGGCTAGAAATTCATCATTAAAATGTATATATATGCATGTTTCGATCGAAGGGCTTACATGTGATGGGTGCTAGCAAGTTCACGCGAAGCAAACGCGCTGCCATCGCAGTATATGTGTGGTTGAGAACCCTGTGACAGAAGAAGATGATAAAACACAGCGAATCATAGGAATAAGATGCGACAGACCCGAATAACGAATGCGAAGACTTCTTGCTTGCCATGCTACCGACAAGCTTCAAGTTTCTTGCTGTCTCAGGATCGATCATCATTGTTCCGTCAACTTGAACATAACGAATACGAAGAGATGAAGGAGAAAATCGAGTATTCAACTTATACTCTGCATGTTTGAAGAGTGCGCTTGCCGCAGAGAGTGCATAATACCTACAAAGGGCGACCTGCTGAGATGAAAACAGCATATATATGATAGCATATATTCACTTATTCGCGGAGGCTATCAGAGTAGCTGCACGCTCGTCATCCTCAATGCACAGTTGGTTCACAAATTCAAGCCCTTGAAAAGTTCGATATCAGAGGCGTGGCGGAATTCGACTTGGTTGCCTACCTGCTGTCTCATTCCAATATTTGCGCATCACTGGCTCGACGGAAACAGACTCGAATTCCTCAAGTATGCATTGTACAAGCAGAGAGGTTGTCGCAGGCTTCTTCCCCCCAGAAGCTAGAGAATCATTGGCAATGGAGAGGAAAGTGTCTGGAACAAGAATAAGAGAGGGCATATGCAAGTGCAATTGATGAAGGGTCTTGACGTATGTTGGGCAGTCGGCCAGCTATCCCGGAGCGTGTCCATTAAGATAACAATGCAACTAAAGAGCGAGAACCTTTCACACCTGAATGAGGTTAACTTTACCGGTATCTCTGTCAAGAGCCGCCATCCCGACGTCCCTACCTAAGCTTCTTCCCTCTAAGACGGCCACAATATAACTTGTTTCGTGTCTAGATGAAACAGCTGTCTGAGGGCGCGCAGTAGCGGGTCTGGATTGTGCTGTGTATGGTCGGTTGGTAGAATGCCCTGTCCAGGGTCTGCTAGAACCACTGGTCAAAGGACGACTCATTGTGGCTGGACGTGATGAAGTCACGGAACTGTCAAACTCTGCAAGACCGGTGTAAGTATTGCTCGAAATTAGACAACGACGGTGATTGCTTGAAGGCTGGAAGCAAGTGCTATTCCGAATGCTCAGCATCTTCACGATTCCTAGGAATGTCACGTGTATTTCACGTGTCTGGCGCGTCCTGGCGCGTCTCGTTTGGTCAAAGCGCCGGTGACATTGTTTCCTAAAGACACGCCACTCAGCATGAATGAACGTTGATGGTCGAGTTACATTTATGGAAAATTAGAAGTTTCGAGGACGCATAACCTTCAAAACTATAGGCAAGTCGCAAATTTTAGGAAGACATTTCTGACTGCTGGCCTCACACCCACTAACTTAGCGAATTAAGTCAACGTGCACTCTCCAATTACTAGTCGCGACCTCAATTGCGGTTGTGCGCGCAATAACCATTGCGAATATTGTATAGTCACTGTTTGACCCATCTCTACCTTGATGTGCGTATATAATCTTCGTTTCTGCACTTACTGGATTGCTCACATCGCCATCATGGACATTCCAGCGGAACCGCTTGCGAAAAGCAACCCAGTCTCCGAAGGCAAGGGTCCCGTAGAGCCTTCAGACTTCTCGCCTTCTTCTCGACCCTGTACGCCACCCGCGCAGATCGGTCTGAACTCATTCAGTGCACTCGCCCACGGAGATCAGGCTCGGGCGGCATCTCTAGCCAAAATACAGAGTACGCCTGTCGGAGTCGGGACCGCCGCTTGGGTAGAAACGCCCCACACAAGAGCTCAAGTCAAGACACCGCTACGCAAGGACATGGATAGTGCAAGACTCGTAGACTTGGATACTTGGGCAGAAGCCGTCTTTGGCTATCCTGTTGAGACCATCCAGGCATGGACAGATGTCATGATCGAGAAGAAGATCGCTCTCGACAATGTTGTTTCGAACGCTGTCACCAGGTTCATGAATGCCGGAGAATTTGGCAAGCATGAGGACGAGCTCTATGCACCATTCTGCGAAATGGCTAATAGGGTTCTACAAAAGGCTCACGAAATCATACCCGACCTTCCAGCGTATCCTGTTCCCGACCTACGCTTTTGTCGAAATGCGCCTGTATACATAGGTGCTTGTAGCCAAGGCGATGCTTCACGCTCGCCGGACATCGTTCTCGTTTCAGAGGCTACTCTGCGCGATCTCAAGAGCAGGAAGAAGTACACGAAGACGAAGGGGCAGAAGTATCCTACCACTGGGATTGACTGGTGTGATCTGTTTAGCATCTGGGAGATGAAGTCCTTCAACGCTTGGAATTTGAAGGATTACATGGCGCGGCTCCGGCTTGACTGGGACACGAAGCTTACGAGAAGGAGATCTGAGGCACATGCCTCCACATCGGGCGACTTATACAGAGGTCCCGTAAGTTCCGTTTATCACCTTTTCACATTGTCAACATACCGTCCTCCGTCATTTATCACTATGATAGGATCCGGCTCAGATGTACAGAGTCGTTGGGCCTCTATCTGAGCCAGGCCCAGAAGACAACCCTCTGAAACGTGACTATCCGGACTTCAATAGTGCAGATAATACTCGTCCGCCTAAACGACTGAGGATGCTGCCTCCCGAATCCGTACCGCTCGTTCTCGAGACCGAGGGCGAGTTTCTTGCATCCAAGAAACTTCCCGTTCCGGAAGCGTATGAAGACCAGATGGCTACCTATGCTCTGGAGATGCTATCTTCTACTCGCGGCACCCGTCTGCACTTCTTTCAGTGTCTGGTGATGGGTGATATCGTCGAATTCTGGTACTCCGATGCTTCTGGCATCGTGCGTTCTCACCAGATATCTTGGATTCGAGAGTTTGAGAAGTTCGCTGCACTCCTCGTCGCCATGGCTTGTTGCAACCACTCGCATTTCGGCATGATAATTCCCAACTTGTCCCCTCCCGCTGAAGGTTCCAACCCATCTCTCCCGGCGGCGTCCCTCACTGGATACTCGACCACAATGAAAGATCCGACGCTAGGCATTGGTGTCAAGGTAACGCTCGGATGTGAAATCTTCACGCAGTATAGTCTGATTGGGCGCAAAACCTGCGTATACGACGTCACGACCGAGCCACCTATCAGTGACGAGCCTCTGGTTATCAAGATGTCACTTCAATCTGTCTGTCGGACACCGGAACAAGATCTGCTAGCTCTCGCCGAAGGCTTTTCAGTATCGGAACATCTCCCCAAGGTCTATCTGTGGACTGACAGGGCAACGGAATGGCGATTGTCGGACGGTGTTCGAGGGAGGATGTTCAAGAGGAACGATGAGGACAAGGAATATGAGGAACGGTGTCAACGATTCATCATTTTCAAGAAGTACAAGCAACTCGAGACGGTGCTTTCTCCGCAGAATATGGACCACGTCTTCAACCAACTACTGGACTGTAAGCCCTCAACCACTGTATTCATGTGTCGCCGCTGGCTCTGATGACTGTTTGTCAGGTCTTCACGACTTACACCGTCAGTTACACATGCTCCATCGGGACGTGAGCTTGAGCAATCTCATGTATGAGATGCGTGAAGGTCTAGTCTGGCTCATTTTGAATGACTTTGATCTTGCGGTCGTGATCAAGAAGGATGGGCCACCTAGAGGCTCGACTGGGCGTCACCGGACTGGCACGCTTCCATTCATGGCTGTCGATCTTATAGAGGATCCCAATATGCCACATTACCTTCGGCATGATTTGGAGAGCGTGTTTTTCGTTGCGCTTTGGTGTACTATAAAACCACTGACTGGCGCAAAGTCCAAAGCGAAACACCCAAAGAGTCTATCGACCTGGGAACAAGATGGACTCGACGTTATACGAAAGACCAAGCGAGATTTCTACTCCAGCAAAAATAGCTTCACAAGCTTCATCACTAAGGAAGCCTCCATTGTTCCAACATTCTCTCGGTACCAGAAATGGCTTCTTGAATTTTGGAAGGTGCTCTTTCAGGGCTATCAAGCTAAGGCTGCCTATCAGAGTGCGCTCGACGAAACTAACATGGACCTCAAGGATGGTGTAATTACAAAGGAGGAAGCTGAGGAGGTGAAGTTTGACATGGAGACCTTTGACGACACGATCACGTACTTCAGGGTCAAAGCTGCTTTGCGAGGATGTAAGAAACGGTTAATGGATGGCATTCCACATTTTTTATCCTAGCATGGACAGGCTCAGTGGCGACAGTGCGTGTATTCACTTTAGATCGATGGACCCCCTTCATGTTTTTATGAAACTATTTATTTGCACAATTACCCCTCCATATATTATGACCATGTGTATCGTCACTGCATGATGCACTCCAGAGGGAATGGAGAAAGGCATCGCAAACTTTCTGGACTTGCTTCGATGGGTAAGTGTCACCATTCAGCTCAAAATGCGTTCATTCCGCAGTTAAGTCTTATGTACAACGATACTGAAAATAGTCCGTTCCACCTTATAGCATATTCCTCCACAAAGAACCGTACAGAGATTCCCATAATTTAACAGTGTCGTTGATAGCATCATTAGTGACATCGACCCAGTCACTTTCTTCCTTTGCGGGTCTCAGGCGATTTAGAGTTGTGATCTCGAAACAATCGCCAGCCCAACTACCCCTGTAGTATTCATTGCAGCAACCCTCGATTCCTTTACCGCCGTTAGAAATCCAGCATATCCGGGGCAACAGGACGGCGATGGTTGAGAAAACGCTGCACGTTTGAGCTAATGGGTTCCTTTCGTCGCAGTCGTAGAAATTGTCCACGGCGTCCATGCGGATGTATTCGTTCTTTGAGAGATTACAGAGAACCCATGGTTGGTCAGTAGTATATGTCAAAGTATCATCGGAGAAACGGAGCTCCTCGAAATGACGATATAGTCTCTCTAGGTATTCGCTACTGACATTGGATTCGCTTGGAGAAAGCAGTTCATGGAAGAATTCCTTTGGGATGAATGGTTTGGAAGGTACTAGTGTCTGTCGGTTTGTCGTGAAATAGCGATATGGATCCATCCCCACTTCGTCGTTCACATCCATGTCGTGATGTCGCTGAATATTGTCGATCTCGTCTAGAGTGAATACTTCAGGAGGAAGGTCGTCGAAGTTGGTGTATCCTCCGAGACAAATGAGACGACAGCCTGCCCATGACGACAGACAGTCCACGTAACGTCGATGTATCACATCATATGCGATATCGTAGAGATAACGACTGCCAAGCCCGAACCGAATGATGTCTTCGAGTGCGTCAATATTGTTAAAGATGATACAGAGGATTTCATCTGGGAATTCCTCAAGTCGGCCTAACGTGTTCCTGAAAGGAAGAGGATCAGAACTGAGAGAGGCCGATATAAGCGATCAGATACACAGCACATTCACGTTTCGAGACAAACGTACTTCAATTTCTTCTTCTTTCTTCTGTCGTACGAGAGCTGGTGAGATTCCGTCATCAGGTTCAGAGGCCTTATTTTGTACCCTGTAGGTTTCACCAAGTATGAAATAGCACTACTAAAGGAGTCATCTGCAGCGTTCTCGCGGAATTTGCCCCCAATGCCGGCGTGTTCTCTTTGATCAATATTTAGCCTAAGACAGTGTGTCAGTATGAGTAGATAGAAACTATCGGTAGGATATGGCGTACAGTTGAAAGCTCATAGCAACTTCGAAATCGCGACCAGGTCGTGAAGGTACGCGGTATAAGTATATAATTGGAGCGTAAGGGAGCAAAAACTTATTTATACCACAAGATGATCCGCCACGAGGTTTCCTTTAGTCCATGTCGAATGAGCCACACTCGACTATTTTGGTCACATACACTGATGGTATGCAGAATGGAATCAATGGCCTGCAAGGCGACAAGAACGTGTTCAAGACGCGACCACGTGAGATATCCAGGCGCTTCAAACTTAATTCGACTTTGAATTCTACGTTCAATCCTTGAAAAGTTCCAACCGGCAGGACTGTGCAACATGTAAGACAGGTAGACACTACAGTTCAGGCCGAGCTATAGTTCTGACCAACAGGGGCATCTGGTTTCCATTCTCGGGCTCACTGATAACCACTGGCCGCAATACGATGCCTCTCTTCTTGACTATTTCTTCTGGACGTACCGCGAGCCCGAACTCAAATGAACGTACGAGTGTGAAAATTATTGCTTTCATCCTGTATTAGATGACACTTCAGAGTCGCTCAGATACGTGCTTGGAGTCACTTACTCAACGACAGAAAAACGATAGCCGATGCATGCGCGAGGTCCTGCGACGAAAGTCAGGAGATGACTGAAGACTCCTGGTACCTCCGTTACCGCTTCTGGTAGGTTCTCCCAACGTTCGGGTCTAGAAAGATGAATTAATGAATTGCTCTAGACTTATTTTAAGATAAATGAATCACCCACCGGAACTCATGCGCATCTTCACCCCACAGATGTTTGGAACGATTCACGGCGATGATAGGTACGACCACGACATCACCCTTGGCAACTCTGTCCAAACTCACTCAACCTCGCCGCACTGGATCCCTCATGTAGAAGTACTCACCGGACGTCAGTTCTGACGTTTCCGAACTTGTCCCTGTAAGGTTCATTAACTGGAATCACATCATCTTGCGCAGCTGACTTCATATTGCTTGAAATCGGCGCATGCAACCTCAAGGTTTCTTTTACCACCATATCCAGATAAGGTAGAGCCATGAGGTCATCCATGGAAGGCGTATCGCTTTCAACGGTAAGGAGTTCTTCCCGCAACTTCTTCTGAACATACGGCGCTTGGGTCAATGCGTACAAACACCACGTAACGGACGCGCTAGTAGTTTCATGTCCAGCGATCAAAAACCTGCAGGTTGATTAGAAGGGGTTTCAACTTCAGTGCAAGACTGAGCAGAGCCTCACGTGGGTACCTCTGTGAAACAAGGTTGATAAGATGATCGCTTGTTGAAAAGGTATAATACATACGAGCCAAAACGTCCTCATCGCTCAATCTCTGATTATCAGGTACGTCGGTAGCCATGTTGGCCTTGATGAGCAGGGACAATAAATCACGACCTTGCAAATCATCTCGTTTGACACCTCGCTTTTCTGCTGTCGCTTGCGCCTGCAGTGCTTTCTTCTTTTCTTGAAGAAGCTGTTGACCGATCCGACGAGCCACCTTCTGAGAATGAGCAATTCGTCTACTCTGTGCTGTAGGCTTGATAACGGCGCACATAGTCAGTAACCTGACAGCAAAGACACTGCATCAGATGGACTCACGACCTTTGCGAGGATGGGAATCATGATCTGCAACCGAGAAAACATGTTCGGATGAACATCTGCACTGAAAATCTCCTTGTATGCATCGTTGAGCTCGTTAGGCTTTCCATCTTCTCGTAACGCATCAAACCTGTAATTGAACCCTAACAATGACAAACCCCTCAAAATCAGAGGGCAGTTTGGACTCGGCATAATCCAACATGTCCCTACCAGCAAGGCCGATGATATCCAACGTCATACGGCTCATCCAGTTCAAGACATCTATTCTAGTAGATCCAGAGTTTTTTGAAACCTGCGAGTTCCATATGTTGCGAAGCTTGGAGAGAATAGCGTGAGTGATACAATGCAACTAGGGAAACACATTTACACTGACCTGAAGTGCCTTATCGAAGAAGATGTCTGTGAACTCCCGAAGCTGGGCGGGGCCAAATGCGGGATTCTACATAACCATCAGTGTGGCGATGAAGACAAACAAGAGATCAAATGAACCATGATTTTTCTCTATATGACAAAAGAAGTGAATGTCAAAATTGAATTCGCATGTACAACGTGTCCATTCACCTGCTGTCTGTGTTGTTCGCCTGGAGAAAACCGGTAAACGGTCTGCGCTTAAAAATCATATAATGTGTGCTGACCTTCTGTTATGAGTAGACCTGTTACATGTTATGATTCGATCAATACGTACCAAGAGTCCAACACAAACTATACCCTACTCACCAGGACCAAGCAGTCTAATGACATTTTTCCTTGACGTCTCTGACCGCTGATATATAGTAGTTGAGTTCATCAGGAGGTGATTGATTGCCCTGATATCTACTGTATATAGACGATTGGACTGTTTTGTATATAGCAAAGACCGTCAGCCCGGAAGTAACAAGCGATGCCAGGAATGTCATACGTTGAAAAGGCCTGTAAACGTGATGTTATTGCCGTAACGCTCGATCCATCGCTCTATGAGAGCGTCATCATCTAGTTCCAGCATATACTTGACTTGTCCCCAAAACCAACTTGGACTAGGAGGTCCTGGTAATGAACGAAGCGGGGATACGTAGGGCCGAACAAAGAATACGACAGCCTTCCACAATGCCACAAGTGAAAAGACAGCAATAATCAACTGTATGATTGGAGTCATGCTGAATTGGATGTGAAGAGGCGTACGGGTTTAGAATATCCAAAACTGCAGAATGTTCGGGTTGGCTCAGTCTTTTTATACCGTGGAGATCCTGAAGTAAAAATAGGACATGACACATCACCACGGAAACGGCCCTTTCACATAAACTAGTATGACTGCTCGGCCCAGTCAACCTGCTGGTAAAGCGGCGAACCCTACAACATCATCTTCTGTGTAGAGACGCTGTTGCGGAGGACGACAGGCGGAGCATGCAGCCCTGAAAATATCTAGTCAACAATCTGTCAATTGAATCGAGCACCTACGTACACACCCCGGCATCGTTGCCATCCACTATCACCTTCCCATCTTAAGCAATGGTGTACCCGCTTGATGACCAGAGAGAAGGGTCTAGATAACATAAGGGCATAACGGAACATGATGAAATTTCGGTTAGAGAATGTTGCCTACGAATGACTGGAACAACGGAAGCCACCAAAGTTCCAAACTGTACATGGAGATCGAGACCCTACAATGCCACTTTCAGGCCACTGAGAAGGTGTCCAAACACAAGTTTTGAACGTTTGAACCCTGACGCCGCCTGACACCACGCTGGTGTCTGGTTCATGGACGAGTCGTGATTGGTTTGGTTCGTAAGATGTAGCCGCCTATAAAAAAAAGATCTTCGAATTCCAATTAACAGAGCCAAAGAGTGAGCTAAACATACTGGTCAGCATGGCATTGTCCCGTGACAGGATTCATGACTGACCTAGTCTTTGGAATCAGTACGTTGTATGAGTATTGTAAACAGTTTATCGGTGACTTGGGCTTTGGCAATCTGATCATATTGACTTTGTGAAGAGTTCTGATTCGGTGCCAGTTCGAAGCAAACGTGAGACGTGATAACATGATTGGACATGCGGTCCGGATGTCTGCTATCTCTGAAGCTGCAAGTAGCTCTCCGAATCACTTCCATATTAACGTTGAGCTCGTCTCAAACTATCTGAAAGTACCGTGCTCTGAGAAGAGCGTAGGGGTGGTTGGTGATTCAATCAACCCAAGGTGAGTCGCGTTAAGTATTGGCAACTGTGAAGCAGTCAAGCGCTCGTCCATTGATCTTGACTTTACACCATCACGCGTGCTCCGAGCCTAGCACTATTGTCAGCATGGGCCAACCAGTGCTCACATGCACGACAAGCGTCCAGTATGAATGGCGGCTTGATATTTATGTGGACGGCTTGGACAAGAATTGGGGCTTGTCACGCCAATAGGGATCGTTCATCGCGAAATAACAGGTCGATGTTGTACATGATCTAGTCGTGCAGCCTGGGAGATGATTATATCAACTGCACACGTTTCTTCTATAGTTAACGAAGCTCGGAGCCTTGCGAATACGCTAGTTTTATGAAAGACTAACGTAATTGCAAGGCCACAATCTCGTATAGTATACATCAGTACTTAAACTATTGCCTTACCTTCGCAGATAACCAAAGTCTTCTAGGTTCCTGCTCTTCCGATGATGATCATAGCTCGTGTATTTCCTGTGTCCCTCGCAAGACATCCTTCAAAGCAAGTTTTTAGAGGGTTTCTCTCTTTACGTCCCACCCCCAAGCGGAGCACCCTATTTTCTCCTTCCCGCGGACGACGATGGGGTCTAGTACTGGGAACCGTTCTAACGACCTCTGCAATAGCCTTACAAACTGCTGTTTATGCTGATTCGGTCGATAACGAGGAGGGGCCAGTCGAGAGGAAGCCTACGCCGCTTTCGAGTCTTGTGCGATCATACGTCGTGTATACCGCATGTTCTATACCAGGAATGGTCGACTGGTCGCCTACGATTCTATCTACTCTCATGTCCGTTCCTGTGGTCAAACGAATCACGGAGGCAGTTGTACGAATAACGTTCTTTGATCAGGTGAGCAGCCTGCATACTGACGTATTGCATCATGCGTGCTCATAGAGCTATTAGTTTGTAGGCGGTGAATCCGCAGAGGGTACTCTTCCTGTTCTCGAGGACCTTCGCAAGGAAAACAAAGGATGTATTCTCGCCTACAGCGTCGAAGTGGATGAGTCTGAAGCTGCGGGAGCCGCGAAGAAGCAGGAGGTTCCGGCGTACAAGCGGATTGTTCAGGAAATGATTCATAGTATTGACGTGGCAGCTGATTTTGAGGAGAAACATGCCAGTGCTAGCGGCGTACGAGGCACTTGGATTGCTGTGAAACTGGTGAGTGGGTTTCGCGTTTTAAGAGTGCTGCATCACACTCATGTTTCCGCAGACGGCTATGCTTCCCAATGCTCAGTCCTTAATCAACCTCTCGAAACACCTCGTCGATACCCGGCCGACTGTTCCATCAGTGGTTCCTTTTCCTGGCGCACCCCATCTGACAGATCTCGACGTCCTTGAGAGTCCAACTATACAGGGTACATTACTGACTGAACGAGATATAATCGACTTGAGAAACCTCTACGCGGATTTGATCAAGGTTTGCACTCGAGCGCAAGAGAGGGGGATTCGGCTTCTAATTGATGCAGAATACAGGTGTGTATTCTAGCCCCTTCCGCCCGAGGGCTCTTGTCTTGGCTGACAGTAGTTCTTGTTTTCGTTCAGTTGGTACCAGGTACGCATCTATTGCTCGCTCTTTTGCTGCGATAGTGCTAAGCTCGATCGGTTGATTATTTCACCTAGCCAGCTATTGATGCATTCACATTGGCTTTAATGCGTCAATTCAACAAACTCCCTAATGATGATACTAGCCCTTCTTCTAACTTTCAGCCTCTCATCTATGCGACGTTCCAGGCGTATTTGCGCAGGTCAGCTAATCTTCAGCTCAATATAAATACCATACTTGAATTGTTATCTTCATACAGAACGCCGGCGTACGTTGCGCAGAGTCTTGCAGACGCGAGAGCCGGAGGCTACGCCCTTGGAATCAAATTGGTCAGAGGTGCTTATTACCCTCACGAAACACAAGCCCACGCCTCTCATACCTCAGAAGACGCTGCCAAGAAGCACAGTTCCTTGTCAATATGTCCGGATTTAGATCCACCTGTCTGGGCTACTAAGTCAGAGACCGACCATTCATACAATAGTTCCGTGAAGGTGATTCTTGACGCAGTTGTCAAGGATATGGAGCAGAACAGGCCGAGCACCCGAAAGGTTTCTTGGTTATCATTTCTCAAGAAAGAACAACGGGTTGGCCCTGGTTCTGCACCACTAACTATTGGAGTTTTGTTCGGTTCACATAACTGGGAGAGTCAGAAGCTGATCTTGGAGGAACTTGTAAACCGAGGGCTAGCGACAGTTGAAGGCCCTACCGAGAATGGTGAAACCATTGTCCGCGTAGGTGACGAAGTGGCCCCTAGAGTCACTGTTGCCCAACTATATGGTACGTAGTCTGCCTCCTCGGATGAAGAATGGTGTTGATCGATTGAGGTTTGATAGGTATGAAGGACGCGTTGACAAACTACATCGTTGATCGAACAAGGTCTTCATCACCTTTTGTTGTTAAATACATTCCATACGGCACATTGGTCGAGGTATGCTTCCTTCCGATAGAGTTATAGACGTCTAGATTATGACTGCTTTCCCAGGTTATGCCTTATCTTAGTCGACGGGCGATCGAGAATAAGTCCGTGCTTGGCAACGGCACTGCTGAAGAAGAGAGAAGACGGGCTTTAGAGGAGATGAAGAAACGTCTACTGGGATAGATTTGATGGATTCTCGTCTGATTATTTACTCCGTGTGTTTTCACCATGGCCTATGTAGCATCTCACTTCTGCCCTATGCAACTGACCTAGACAACTGAGTACTTATAGCACATCCGTACCTTCAGACCTTATCACGTTTGATGAGAAAAGGAAACAAAGTGGAAATAAGGAGACAGTTATGATAAGCCTCGGACGAGAAAGCCGAAGGGTAGAATGAAGTGGATCCGAATTTGGTAGTCACACATCCCAAAATGGGAAGCAATTGCACATTTAAGGCTCGAAGGACTTGTATTGTGTAATATTCACCGAGACTAACTTGTACCCCGATTACATACAACAAGCCATGCTCCGAACTTGCATAAAATCGCTGTTCGAATGTCTTACCTTCACGAGGTTGACGAGGATCGTACTCATGCGATAACGCTTTTTCCTCACTATGATTTCCTAGACGCCGTGATTGTTGAGGAATGATAGCTGAGTCTGTCGTGGCTCCAATCAACGCACGATATTTGGGGCAGTGAAGCCTGGCATGCAGTGAACGTACCGTATATCGGATATGTTCCTCTATCTCCTTCTTCCATCTGGATCTCGGAATCTTGAACTCGCGTTGGGTTCTGAAGCCGAACATAAATGCAAGGTCCGGGCAAAGTCTAGGAACGCCTGACTCATTTTCATTATCGTTCAGCCGGCAAGCTTCGGTATTTATACTCGTCTTGGCACTTTCTCTTAGAAACCCTTTCTGGTTCTCCTTTGTGCAGGAAGATGGTCACCCATCTTCTTCGTGGATCCCTCCTCAGACAGGCCTCAAGTCTTTCGTCCCGTCACTTTTCTGTACATTCTACGTTCAAACGGAGCGCCTGGAGAAACACTTCTAAGGGGTTTCGATGGAGTCTAGCATCTGGCGCCGTTCTCGCAACTTCTGCTGTTTTCTTGCAGTCCGCCATTCATGCAGATGCACTTGACCCCCCCAAAAATGACGATCATAAGAAGCCTACGCCTTTGTCAAGCTTAATACGATCGTATATCGTATACACTGCCTGTTGTATTCCTGGATTGGTCGACTGGTCACCTGCAATCCTGTCTACTCTTATGTCGGTTCCTCTGCTGAAACAAATTACCGAGGCTATAGTACGGGTAACATTCTTCAATCAGGTGAGTAATGCCCTATCAGATAAAATTCATGAACTGATTCTCCTTCTAGTTCGTCGGCGGCGACACTGCTCATGGAACTGTTCCGGTTCTCGAGAGTTTGCAGGAACAGAATAAGGGTTCGATCCTGGTCTACAGTGTGGAAGTGGATGAGACGGAGGCTGCGGGTGGCGCGAAGAAGAATGAAGTGCCAGCCCATAAGCTGATTGTTGACGAAATGATTCAGAGCATCAACGTCGCGGCTGATTTTGAGGAGCAGCATCCCAGTTCCAGTGGTGTACGGAGTACATGGGTTGCGGTGAAACTTGTACGCGTGTTCTATAAGACAACCCTAGACAAGGTTTGACAGTTCCTTACAGACGGCTCTGCTTCCTAATGCTCAATCTTTGATCAACTTTTCCAAACATCTGGTCAACACTCGTCCACGATCTTCGCCTCCGGTTCTTTTCCCCGGTGCTCCTCATCCCACAGATCTTGATGCTCTCACCTTGCGGAGCGCTCAGGGAACTTCACTCACGGAACAGGACATCATCGATTTAAAGGACCTCCACGCGGATCTCGTCAGAATATGTACGCGAGCTCAGGAACGGGGGATTCGACTGCTTATCGATGCAGAACACAGGTCTGTAACCTCGCAATCTTAGGCTTGGTGAGTATCCGGGATATAGGCTTACATGGGTTGTTGTCTGCATCCGGTTATAGTTGGTACCAAGTAAGTATCATTCACCTGTTCGCTCAAGACTACAATCCAAAATCTTACTGGCACAATTCTCTGACTTAGCCCGCCATCGATTCGTTCACCCTGGCCCTGATGCGGCAATTCAACAAGGTTCCCGACGGCCACTCCGAATCCTGCAGCAAATTCCAACCTTTGATTTACACAACGATCCAGGCATACCTTCGCAGGTTAGTTAAGGTTCTCATCTCTCCCACTCCTGCCTGACATTATGTTCATATGCAGAACACCGGCTTATGTTGCTCAAAGTCTTGCCGACGCGGAGGCTGGAGGTTACGCTCTCGGAATCAAACTTGTCAGGGGCGCGTACCATCCGTATGAAACCACAGCGCACTTTGCTCGTACCTCCGGAGACGAGGACTTGAAGCACAACTCCTTGTCAATCTCTCCCGATCCTGAACCGCCTGTCTGGGCAACGAAACCTGATTCGGATGCAGCATTCAATAATTCGGTGAAAGTTATTCTGGAAGCTGTCGCTCAGGATATCGAAGGCAACAAGTCATCTTCTAGAAGAGGTTCTTTGTCCTCGTTGCTCAAGAAGGATGCGGATTCTGCCCCTGCTCCCCCCACTATTGGTGTCATTTTTGGGTCACATAACTGGGACAGTCAGAAGTTGGTCTTGAAAGAACTTATCAAGCTCGGACTGGCAAATGTTGAAGGGACTACCGAGAATGGTGAACCTATCATTCGGATAGGTGATGAAGTAATTCGCCGAGTCTCCGTTGCTCAGCTATACGGTGCGTGTTTTCAGTTTGTCAACTATCTAAAGCCGTGTGTTCATTGTCTGGGAATACGCAGGCATGACCGATGCGCTCACGAACTACATCGTTGATCGAACTAGTTCCTCGTCACCGTTTGTTCTTAAGTATGTTCCGTATGGCGCTTTGGCTGAAGTACGTCTTTCCACTCAATGCCGGCTAGACGTCGTTCTGATTGTGCTTTCTCTTAGGTTATGCCGTATCTCAGTCGACGTGCAATCGAGAACAAATCAGTTCTCGGTACTGGAGCAGCCACGGAAGAGAGGAAGCGCGCAGCTGCAGAGATCAAGAAGCGAATCTTTGGATAAGGAATGTTGTGTATACTTAGCCCCTCCTTGGTATAATATTCAGTGATCAACACAGTATACTCATAGATTCTCCTTATGGATACGTATCTTGTAACTTATCTAGACCGTAGTACTGCCTTGACTAGACTTTTGTTGCATTTATGATATTTGCCTAGTCTTGACCTCGGGAACCCATTCTCTCCTCCAGTTCCCGCCTCGACCTCATGAACGAGCGCTTAATGGTACTTATGATCGAATAACGCGTGCCCAAGGACGCGTGCCACTTATTGCTCCTCTACTTCTTTCCATCACTCACTTTCGAGTGAAGATATCTATCCAACATGACGAAGGCATATGTTATGAATGGGTTGATTGAGAAGGTTAGAGTTACTGTATGATATGCATTTTCTCCCTTATTGACGTCTGCTGTAGATGCAGTCGGGAGACCAAGACTTCCGGTATGTTGACGCGAAGCGAGACTTAGATGTAAACTGATCATTCTTGGTAATAGGTATATGGGTCTCAATGATCTCCTTGTTGAGATCAAGCAAGATCCGAATAGTTTCTTGGGCGAGGAAGCCGTCGAGAACAAGGTGCTGCGTCAGGTTCTGCAGCTCGTCGAAGACAAGATCTCAGAGGTCAAGAACCAGGCTGTCAAATGGTATGGCATAACTTTTGTATCGATATATGCTATGTCGCTGACTCAGGAGATAGTCTTGGACAACTCATCAAGATCATCCGAGAGCCTCAGATGGTGTTCGTTGTCGATAAACTGATCGAGTTCTCAGCAGGGAAGGACGAGGAACTCCGAGATATCGCTGGATTGGGTATGCAGACATGCAATAAAATCGCATAGGTTTTCTTTTGACCTTTCGCTTAGCATTGAAGACAATCACCTCCGAATTGCCAGTGGAAGGCAAGATGGCAGCGAAAGCTTGTGAGAAGTTGACACCAAAGCTCCTTTTGCAGCTCACAAATGTAAGTAGTATTGAGGACTTGTTCCGCGCTAAGGTTTACACGCTTGCAGCCTGAAATAGCTCCAGAGACCCTCTTGGAAACACTATCGATCCTGTCAATCTTGATCATCCGATTCCCAACTTACCTCTCTGACCCATCTCTCGAACCTACACCTCTTTCTGTCCTCATTCCACTTCTGAATCACCCTCGTGCAGCTGTACGAAAACGGGCAATCACGACTCTTGCGCAATTTCTTCCATTGACTCAACCACAGTCAGCTTCGCAACTTGTACAGACTGTCGTCCTCCCTGCTTTTGCGTCTGGCACGAACGCGGATCGGCAACGCACAATTGTTCAACTTGTGGCTGCTGTCGCTCGCCATTCCCCTCATCATGTTGCTCCATTCATGAAGGATATTGTTAATGGCATTATAAAAGCTGTCTCCAAAGATGACGAAGAGTTGAGAGAAAGCTCACTTCAGGTTTGGCGGTCACTCACCGTTCCTTCTCCAAACTAGACTAATAAATACCCTCAGGCCCTTGAGGCCCTGGTGCTCAGATGCCCTGCTGAAATCGCTAGTTTTTTGCCGATTATCATCAACATTGGTAAGGAGTACATCAAATATGACCCTGTAAGGAACACCTCTTCTGTATGGATATCTATGGCTGAGGTCAATCTATAGAATTATGCCGGTGATGCCAGCGATGAAGATGAAGAGATGGCGGACGGGGAAGACGAGGACGATGAAGAGTTAGATGAGTGCGCAACATCGGTCTCTCGTGTGAAGTATTCAAACATACTAACACTCTGTTTCACAGGTATTCTGATGACGAAGATACATCATACAAAATTCGTCGTTCCGCCACCAAGCTTCTAGCTGCGGTCATTGCCACCCGTCCCGAACTTCTCGTGACGCTCTACAAGGAAATATCTCCTGCTCTCATTTCACGCTTTGGAGATCGCGAAGTGACCGTTCGAGTTGAGATCTGGGCAACCTACGGTCTTTTGCTCAGTCAGACCGCTCTTTACGGAGGTTCCCTGCAGACTAAGGATGCTGAATATATTGTCGGCGGTAAACGCAAACGTGACGAGGGCATGGAAGTTGAAGAGACCCCTTACACTCTGCTTCGAGATCAAGTCCCATCTTTCGCTAAAGCTCTTTTGGCCCAATTAAAATCGCCAAAGACACCTCCTGCGACGTTACAGGCTGGGTTTACTCTGTTACATCAGCTTCTAACAGTCCTCCCTGGAAGTTTGTCCGCTCAGGCACCATTGGTTCTCTCGAACACCAGAGCCGTACTTTCGCAATCCTCCACATCCTCGACTTCTGCGCTTCAAGTTACCTGCCTGTCCTTCCTTGCCCTTTTCTTCTCCACGCATTCTCCGCCAACTTTCAACGGATCATTAGAGTCTATTCTACCAGTCCTCCTTCGATCGGTCGGCGAGAAGCACCCTCGGCTTGCTTCAGAGTCTTTCCGCGTGTTTTCTTCCCTCCTCAATGCGTTAAAACCTTTGAAGAATGGCGACTGGGTTGAGCGCATCTATAATGAAGCAGTTCGACGACTCAGCGACCATGAGACAGATGCTGAAGTGAGAGAACGCGCGGAAGAAGTTATCGGCGATTTGTGGATTTCTGCTATTGATGTGGTTAAGACCAAGAACAGAAAAGAGTGGGAGGCGATGTGCAGGACGAGCGGACGAACTGAAGGTGCTGTCAAGGTCATTACTCGTGTTGCCAGGGAGGCTGAGATCGGCGACGATTGGGTCAATGGCTGCGTTGAATGGGTTTTGACTCTACTAAGGCGAAGCGGGAGATCAGGCAAGAGTGACATTTTCAGTTGCTTGGATGCTTTGTTGAGAAGGTAGTGTCTCTATCCACCCTGTGATTTGTATTGTGCTTACCGCGACGACTGATAGATATCGCTCGTTGCCTGCCGATCTCCCGGCTACTCTGATACCCCAACTGAAACCGTTTATCTCCACGAGCGATATCTCTCTGCTTGCTCAGGCTCTCAGTATCATCGCTTTACTGCTCGAACTTTCGCCTGTTGTTACCTTCCCCGAAGTTGAACGCGAAGTTCTCCAAGACATCTATGCTATTGCCCATTCTCCTCTCGTGTCTGGAGTACCTTTCGACTCTGTCCTTGCTTTCTTTGCTGCCTTAGTCGAGGCCGATATGCAAATTGCTACTCATATTGTGCCCAATTTGGTCATCTCAATTGAGAGGGATGTCAAAAACCCAGTATCCCAAGCCAATGTGGCGAAATGTGTTGGCCAGGTTGTGAAGAGTCAACATACCATTGCCGCCGGTACTATTGCTGAATTCTCCAAACATCTCAGAGTTAGTGTTCTATTCCTACTTGTAATGACTATACCCTAACGTCGTATTGATCAGCCCACCTCCAAAGCCAGGCCTTCTCAGATCGTTCTCAGTCTACTTGTCATGGGCGAGATTGGTCGCTTCATGTGAGTTACAGTAATAGTTTACAAGAATCGTAACTGAATAAACCGCCATTAAAAGTGATATGTGGGCTCAGCAGGACATTTTCAATCAGGCAATTACACACTTCGCTTCCGAACAGGAAGAAGTCCGTACGGCAGCGGCTTTTGCTGCTGGTGAGTCTACTCGATATGACACGTTGTTTCGTCTACTTACACACTGTGTCCTAGGGAATATGGCTGTTGGAAACTTGCAGCATTTCCTGCCTGTCATCGTCAAGATGGTGGAGACTGATTCTCAAAGGCGTCTTCTCTCGTTGCATGCACTGAAAGAGGTAATGACTTGCATGTTTTTGCATGACTTATGTCGCTGATTCCTGCTAGGTTGTCACACATTGTTCTCATGGTCAACTCGAGATTGTCGCAGATACTCTTTGGGTACCTCTCTTCCAGAACTCCGAGAACTCTGAAGAAACCACGAGAAATGTCGCCGCGGCTTGTCTCGGCAAGCTTACGACAACCCATCCCTCACGGTATCTCCCACAATTACACGTACGTGATTTTTTCGTCTGATTATAGTATGTCAAACTCACTTCTTTGTCTGAAGGATCGCATCCGTGACCCAAACCCTGCTGCCAGGGCTACTGTACTTGCTGCCATTCGATATACTTTTGCAGAGACCTCTCAGACTTTCAACGAACTTCTCAGTCCTCTTCTGATGGATTTCCTATCGCTCATTTCAGATCCGGACCTCGTAAGAAAGCTGTTCACTGCTGTACTTGCATTTGTATTGACTTCATTTCTTGTAGACTGTCCGACGTCTTGCATTATCTGCATTGAACTCAGCCGCTCGCGCGAAGCCGTACCTTATTGCTCCCCATCTCTCGACAATTCTACCCAGCCTATACAAGGAAACACTTCTCAACCCTAACCTGATTCGCACGGTACAGATGGGACCATGGACGCACAAGGTTGATGATGGTCTCGAGGCACGAAAGACGGCGTACGAGACGCTTTACACTTTGGTAAGTCGTCAGTGTCAATTTGGCGCCATAGCATTCCTAATCACGTACCTGCCATAGCTCGATACTTGTTTATCCCGACTTGACCTCCATGAGTTCCTGTCCAAGGTACTCACTGGGCTTGCGGACGACTCTGACGAAGTTAAGGTCATCTCGCACATGATGTTGTTCCGCCTATCCCAAGTTGCACCAACCGCCGTTTCTCAACGACTTGATGAGATCACGCCTCTCCTCGAACGGAGCATGAAGGGCGCTACTGTGACGAAGGATACGGTCAAGCAAGACGTTGAACGAGCAGCTGAACTTCAGAGAAGCACACTCCGAGCGGTTGTAGCGCTTAGTAAGATCGTGCCTCCAGGAACCTCTCCTAAATTCGAAGTATTTGTGGAGACAACAAGAAGGCATCCTGATTTTGGAAAAGATTTTGAAGAACTTCTCGGAGCGTAAATCCCTGTAAACACTGAACTGTACATAGTTGTCAAGTATAGTGTAGCTGATCCCCTACTGTAGCTGTAGTGATATTGATGTCCGTCATTGTGACTTACGATCACTAGATGTTTCTCATCGATCTCCAACTACATACAACGTTGAAGGACGTTGACGTTTAACTAGTGGTTCTGCTCAGGTCAGGTTGCCTAAGAAACATCACGTTCAGACGACCGGTGAATGGAGATGATACAATTACAAGCGACACATCGAGGATCGTATTTCACACAAGAAAGCACACATCCAAAACCTCATACCTCAAGTGGTGTCCTCGAGTACGAGCTCACCGCTGATTGTAGAGTACAGCAAATATGTCGTATTCTATCAACACAGTGTCAGTCACTTTACAACGAGAGTACAAGATGGATATAACTCACGTCGGATAATTTCGTCAGGTCGATCGGGCTGGGCTTTGGTGTGGCATCCGAGGTGCGGAAGATAAACTTCTGCTGATCGGCATCCTTCAATAAAAGATCCTTTCCGGTGACTGTAGGAATTCGTCACTCATGGATAAGGTACGGAGAAGAAAGTTGACTGACAGTCATAGCTCTTGGGGGGTACACCATATGCTTGAAGCAGGGTAGCTGGTCGTCCATGGCTTGTGCCATTGGGCCTGAGAAAGAAAAGTTTCGGCGTGAAAACTTTACGACATATCATTTGAGTAACATACGCCACCACGGGGAGTCGAAGGAGTGAGGTGAAAACGTCAGTATCGCTCATAGTGCCTGATGTGAGTACTCAGTGAGAAACTAAACTGATCGATGCTGAATGACACGAGAAAAGATTCTATGAGCTCACCAACGTTGAATGTTTGTGGAGTTGTGCTTGCATTCTTAACCGATACGTTGTCAGCTACTCCACTGACCTTAGGAGTCAACGTGTTCCCGGGAACAAAACCATGGGACGTGTCATAAACGACGGCGTCGCCAACCTACCAGAGTATAAAGATTGGCTGAGTGATTGCACCACGAAAGTTGAAACATAGAGTAGCTTACGTTGCAGGCGATGCTTGCTTGAACCTCATCAGATCCGACGACGCCGAAGCCAGGCCTGAGGAGAGTAAATAAAGTCAAATTCTGGCTTTCGGGGTCAGGGAGAAAGTGACGCACTGAGAGACCCATGTTGCGGTCTGAGTAGTATCGCCTGTTTGGGGACATTCAGGTGGGGGGGGGGGGGGGGGGGGGGGGGCGAATGACCGAATGGATGTCAACTCACTGCGAGGGAGGAAGTCGTACATCTACAGCGATGTCAGCAAAGATATATCACGTAGCTGCAACGAATGGTGCCTACCTTCCAAACAATGGCTTTCGCAGCTTGCACTGGAGGTGTCACGGTCAACACAACCTGTTTGCCGTCAACGTGCAGTCTATAGACTCATTGGAAAATGTTACCACATACTTGAACACCGTTCCTCAGGACCTTGGTCGGGTCGGCTGTGGAAGTGTATATTACAAAGGTTTTGTTGGTCATGTCAAAGGTAGGATGGGTATTGGTGCGGGTGGTCTTGAGTCAGATTATTGCTACTACGGATCGCCTTATAATGGCTACAGGATACAGACGCCAATGATATAGAGAACCTGTGCGGTCGTATTTGCACCCTGTCTGCTTTGAGGTGTATGGAAGCGTGACCATCTAATTCGTTCAAAAACGTAAAGTAAGTCCAGTAAACAAAAACACAAGGGAATGTCTACAGCCTTCCCCGGTATGGTACGGACCTGGGTCACCTAGCATGAGCTGTATGGGTTCACATGCCCTGGCCGAGCTCTCCAACCCTGAACCTTGAGTTGGAGAGAATTACCCACGTGCATGTCATCTTGAAGAGTCCATGTTCATTCGACAGAAGGCATGGAAAGTGCTAAGTGGAACATGGGCAGGCAAACGCCATACGTGTTGGGCCAGATAGGAACTATATCACGTCTTCGGGTCCTTCTCAAGGAACTTCACTAATCTGTTCCAAACAAGGAAGCCGGAGCTTATGCCCTGATGGATCATTATTAAGAGCTGTTCCTAGCATTAAATTAACTATCGCATTGGGTAGGGATATATACGTACTTACAATGGACTCAGGAATTTACGTACTACAGTAGTCTTCAAGACCCTATGCTGCAACGTCCCCGAATTGAGATGCCCCGGGAGACTTCGATCCATGAGTTCTGCATCAGCTCTTACATTTTGTGGTATTGCTGGTCTGTGTTTCCCTTGAAATTGACTCCAAAGATTTGGAACTCGAGAATCAGACCCACGGGTTCCTCGGTGTTCCTCGGTGCACCTTCCGAGTCAGCGCTTTTTCGGTGCTGCCCGTTTTAGTAAGGGTGTTACACTGTTAGCAAGTACCATGCATCATGTCGCATCCAACATCTGGAAGCCGTCACACGGGGGGTCCTCATAGCTACTTTGGTGCCTCCGGTGCAGTCTCGCAGTTAGGGTGGTTCCCACACGTCTAATGCCACCGGTTGCAGCTAGCACTCCTCCAAACTTGACGTTGAGGACCTAAGAATAAGTACCTACCTATCTTCTCTTCACGGCGATTTGGAAGCACCGAACTCTGCGGAGATTCAGAAGCACCGGATCTAGAAAGACATTCGCAAATATGGTGTTCAGCTACAAGACTTCCCCATGCGAACCGTCGTGTCATGACGTGAATCGTTTGTGCATTTCCGCATGATCAATCGATCATGGTTCAACGTCTGGCGATATCAGAATCTTGAAGTCATGCGGCTTGCTGTAATGTCGACTTTGGTGTCGCCTTTCCATCCAGCTTCGTCCAGTTGTCCTTTTGCGAAAGCAGGAATACAACACGCCTTCGCGACCTATGGCTCAAAAATCGTTTTCTATAGTCACTCCATCGATTGTCCCCTTCCTTCAGAACGTGCAAGTATGTAATTCTCTCATCTTGATCTCAAGATTTTGTTCAGAAAATGTTCTTCCTTAGCTCCTGTTCACCGTGACTGCAAATGGGGACCAAACAGACTTAATTGAGGCTAATACTGTATTCGCTTGGGAGGTAACAACGTGTTCAGGCTGCGTAAAAGCAGCATTTGTGTGCTCATGCTGCCCGCTTTTAGCTTATTTCGTTGTCGGCTGAATGTGAACGCACATGTTTCGAATGTGACCTTTTGCTCATCGTGCTCTTCAGCGAGTCAAGAGATATGTCTTACATGGAGTCCAGGGTGAATATCATCAGTACATGACATACGTCATCTCCTCAATGAGCTCGCGACGATGCAGCTGTAATTTCAGTTTGCGACGGAAGAACACCTTCGACAGCATGTCTATCAGTCGCCGCGTCGAGGTATGCATACAAAGCTTATATTTTTGGTATTTTCCTATTTCCATCCACCCCACTAGCCTGGAACTTATATCGACTTCGACGGCCACCGACAATGGGATATCAACACTTTCTACTGCGGTAATGAAAATCAGATCATAGCCTTCAATAGGTCCAATGGTGCAGAAGAATTCGTCTTGGGTCGGTTAAAGTTCCTACGAGTTTGCCATGCTTTGGCCATTATTGACCGTATGTTCACATCTCAATAGGTGCGATTGTCAAGACAGGCATTGTCAAAAAGGAGTTCCAGCCATATGTTCTTCTCAAAGAACTGCAGTATGTTATGACGTTACGCAGCGAACATATTAACTGAAGGCCGTACAGGACCAAAGAGGGGTTGGCTACAGATATTCCTTGCTTCCTACAGGCATATATAGTCAACGGATGTATCAGTGAGTCAATGACAATTCAAGTATGACTCTTTATGTTCATCACATGGGTATACTTGCAGGGCATCACTTAGTTACTGAGCCGTTGAGGAATGGACTCTTCCGACAAGGTGATAAACCGGTTCCACTACGGCTCGACCAGTTACCGGAGGTCCGTTTTTCAAGCGCGCAATCTGTGACAAGTTACTTAATGTGAATACAGAAGTCTCGTTATTACCTATATTTCAGTGATGATGGACGCATTGAACTCTCCAGCAATAACGGACTTATAGTGTGTTTTCTCATATGGCGTTATCCACATGCTCATTCTGACTCGCTGCCATGACGCTTGATCAGATCTCCTCCCAACCATTGGACAGCTCAACGAATTTTTCTAGCTCCTCCGTTGAGATGAAAGTATCAATGAGGTCCCTGGAGAACACAGAGTTTCATCAGCGAACGTCTGAGGGAGCACCACCACATACGAAACCCAAAATTCCAGTTTCTCCTACCATCTCGAAATCGCTTCCTTCGTTTGAATCGAAGGTCACTGCTTCGCCGGCTGAACCACATACTACCGATATTAGAGATGAATCGTGCGAGTCTTCAAGGCCGCTGTCAACCTCGCAATCCGCTACCTCTCGAAGCCAGTCGCCGAAGGCCTCTTCTCCGTCTAGGTGCCAACCACAGCGAGTCGAGGAGCTCGCTCCTACAAGACCTCGTTCTTCGCCTCTTGATGGGTGTGGCAATGCCTCGAGGGGATTGAAACTTGACATGGATTGCAATACTGAAAGCTTTACTTCTTCATCCCCCCAGCTCGCTTTCGCTGAGCTGTCCCATGTCAGACCTTCACCTTCGGAAATTGGTCGTAACTGGTCTTTGACCTCATCACAACAAACCCTACCTCGGGATGCTTCACTTCTGTTCAGATCCAGTCAGGATCCCTCTTCGTACTTGCCCCCATTGGATTTGACATCAGCCGTACCATTCAAGCCTTCTTCAGACCTTGTTGTAGAGAATGACGAATATATGGTACGTTATAGACCTCCGTGTGTGTGCAGACGAAACCCCGTACTGAGACGCAACTCTTTACAGAAGGCTCAGGACTCTTACCCTGCAGAGTCTGGAGATATGGAAACAAGCAAATGCTCGGCTAGTGAGGCGAAATGGAAATCGAGCCTGCAGTCGGCCGCACAATGCCTCAGCAATGAGGTTCGTATTCTAGGTACTGAAAGATCTGGCGGGACCTTGGATGTAGAGGTAAGCTTGATGCAAGTATTACATTATGCCACAATCTCACTGTCATAACTAAGATCGTTGACCTTATCCCTCTGCGGAATGCGCTGCGACAAGCAGCTCAGCTCATAGACGGACAAGTGCCTCATAGAGATGACGTTTGGGGTCGTGCTACGCTTGCTCAATTCGGGTCCCAAGTGATGCCGTTACTGACCACGTTCCTAGCAGAATCTCCTGCGTGGAATGGGTTCAAGAACCCAGCTTTGTCTTAATGAATTGTTTTCCATATGTGGTGCATGACTTGCTTCACATAAGGCTGTAGTGAATGTTTCTTAATCGGCAACCTCAGTTTCCACTTGGATATGGACGGCAGATCGCGTCGTATTTGACAGAAAGACACACAATTGTCAAAGACAGCCACATTTAGAAAAGACTATATGATATGTACATAAAGGTAGGATGCGCGGATAGCTCTATGTGTTTGGTTGAGTCGACGTCAGGTAACATGCCACTTGGGCAGGATCCAGATGGCTGGATGCACATGCAGACCCCCGTCACTCCTGCGTCGCCTCAATACCGGTGCTTCCAGATCTCCGGAAGAATTACTTTTGTTGTTCACTGGCATTACGACCTCAATGTCGAGGCTTCAACTTTGTGATTAGCCTGAGAGCGACGGCGAGTCATCACTGACAGCAGACCCACTAAGTAGCTGCCAACTTTTGGTGAATTAAAATCTCCGCCGATCTGCCAGTGAGAGGAACAATAATTCATCTGGAGGTGGAGGCTTTAGTACCGATGCATGGAAAATGTCGCATCATGGTACGTAGGACAATGGATTAATCAATAATGAAGCTTAAGCTAGGAAGTTGCATTACTCAACGTTCGTATGCATCTGGCGCTTATTACCAAGATAGGTAGGTTGATCTTCGTCAACCGGCGTGAAGGACCGTTGAACGTTGAACAGTGAACGTTGAATCTCACAGAGGTGTGAGTCTATTGAATGAACAATAGTCGATGAAACTCAAGTTTCATGTTGACCATCTGCCTTAAGGCAAGAGCAAAATCCAATATCTTGTATTCGGGTTTTCACGGTTGAATATCCTCTGGCCGAGATACAGTATTTGATGTGAATAGGACCCTTCACGCAGCTTTCAGAAGTAAGGTTGTATTATTACGTTCTCGGCTGTTATCAAACTCAATCGTGGCAACCAGGGTCGTGCTGCTCACCCAACACATTGTCTAGCCCAGCTATACTTGGGTATCCCATGGAAGGCACCCCCATTCCTTCTGTAGAACCTCGACACCAAAGATATACGGAGGTTTTACACTGCCGGCATGTATTCCTTGTACTTTTGGAATGCCGCGAGGCACGCTGTGTTTGCCACCATTATTATCATGCGAAGCATGTTGCAAACGAAGTACCATTCCCTCAGGTTGACAGGCTGACACCGTGGGTCATCTAGATTGTTGTACAATTACCTTGCATGCGTTACTCTATGATAGGGAAGGTCTGCGGTAAGGCTGACCGTTCTATTATGACGCTCGTATCGTCCGGGAAATCTGATCGCATTCCATGCTTGCTGGCAAATGAAAGGAGAACATGTGAGCGGACTCATTCAGGCCCCCATTCATCCCTACGTATTCAGAGACAGGATTCAGATGACCTATGTTATACTTCCCCCTAATAAAAAATATGCAAAGGAGGCTCGGCGTCAGCAGTCTTGCAGCCGATATATAAGAACCAAGACACTGACCACTTGACTCAAGCCCCCACCTACCAGTATAATTCTGACAACTCTCAATCTTCAGCATGTCCAAAACTTTCACGATCTACACTTCCTCAGCCGACTCCAGTAAGGTCCTGAAGAAGAATGTCCAGGTACGTGAAGCAGGTCTTGCTTTTCGACTAGGCTCACCATAAAATAGATTGCTCTGACGGTGACTCCTGCTGATCAAAGCAAGCTGTTCACTGGTGATCAAAGTCCTGTCGTGTGGAAGGTGATGCGATCCGATATAATCATTTCGATGCCCCGTCACTCATATCTCCATAGGCTTGGGATTTTATTGCTCGCAGTGAGTTGTCAGAGTTTATCTGCCACATATCTCCCCCTGAATCTTTCGGAATCAGGTGATACCACCCAGAGTGCCACTTGGGTCTCTCAGTGTGTCGATTAACTTTTGAATGTGTACAACATTCTAATATCTCCCGTTCTATTCAGGCCTGCCTTCGCTGTTGCTGGGAATACCTCTGAGGCCATTGCTTGTAACGTTAGTGACGTCCGCTTGAAGTCTGCGCGATATGATAATCTGTTCCTTTAGGTCGGTAACGCGGTGGTCTTGACCACCAATGGACTTGTTCAAGGAAGCACCCTCAATCCCGCCGTCCAAGGACAGCAGGACAACGTAATGGCTCGCAACCGCGTCAACATTAAGCAAACGTTCCTGCTCGGCAAGTTCCAAGGCTACACTTGGCTCAATATCGTTGTTTCTAACCTCTAGGATGACCGTAGGGTCCATCGATGGCTCCGGCACATACAATCCTTTCCTGCGACTTGCTGCTACTAAGTATGTCCTGTAACCGACCCATCGTTCAATAATTGACGTCTATCTCATAGTCCCAATGACGGTGCCGTCACCCTTGGCCCCGGTGTCAAGCTCCAAGCTTATGGGGTTCAATCCGGAACCTACGCTCGTAAGAAAAATTTTGCAACTACCCTCACTCCAAGCTGAATAAGACCTTCAGAACCCTCTGGTGATGGCCAGCTACTGGAGAGCACGGACAAGGGCAACTACATCTTCCGCACGTACGATGGAACTGCGTCGCCCATCGACCTGCCCGGTCTTACCAATGTGGGCATTGTCTCTCCTTTGTCTGGTATCATTTCTCATATGCTATCTAGAACACGACTTACCTGCTCTACTCTAACACGAGTGGACAGCTCGTCCTCGAGGCCCAGTGAACGTTCGGTTGAGTGTGAAGCGCTGCATCCATCATGATGTTCACGTTTCCTCTTACCTCGTTGGACGGTCTGTGAAGTACTTCGTCGAAACCCATATCACGTTAGCTTCTGCTTTCTCGCCACCTTTTGTACAATAGCCTGTGAAGATGTATCTCGTGCAACTGGAATTTGAATGTATATACAAGTTATGTTCCCCAAGAGTGACACTTTCGGGCCTGCTATACATCATCCGACATATTGGCAACCTCCTACCAATATTGAAAAGAGCAAGTCTGGCAATGGTATGTATGGACTTGGCTCCGGCGAGTTGATGTACACCAATTCAAGTATGCGAGATTTCTCCGAGGTCACAAACTGTCTCGTCTTTCAATGGCCACCCTCTGCATGCATCTCGATGGCCGCTCGCGATAGTCCTCTGACTTGAACACTTGCGGCAAGAAAGGCCTGATGACTTACACATACAGGGTATGCGCGTTCAGCCATCGCTGTCCGGTTGATTGATGAGTCGAAAGTCCTTTCCTTTAGCTTTCATCAGTAAAGTAGCGATACATTGACGAAATCGTAACAGTCTGCATACAGATTCTAGACAATTGATTAGATCAGTAGATCCTTTTCATTCATAGAACCTGATCATTTCATGAGTTGGCGACGGAAGTGGCTCTAGAAACGTGGTAGGTGCTGTGATCGTGGGCTGCAACGATGGGGATAACTGAGTCTGGGGCGTTCGCGGAGGTGTGTGTAGTGGATCAAGGAAGCGCGTGGCTCGACCAAATATCCCGTTGGACGGAGATGGCAATCTCGATGGCGGAGGTGTTCGAGGAGGAGTGACAAGTTCTTCCAAAAACTTAGGGGACATCGCTATCGTGTCCATATTGGGGAGTGTACTTTGGGGCAAACGCTAACGGGAAGTTTAAAGACTGCATATTTGACGTCATTCATGAAAGAACGTACGATGGGATGAGAATGAATGGTCTGAAGACCAAGACTCCCGTCGGCTCTATTGTACAATCGGTAGCTGACGTCCTTGTGAGACACAATCATAGGTTTAATCCTAAACTGAATATAAATGTGAAAAACCTACAGTTTTGAGGTTTTGAGTGTCAAGAGGTGCAGGAGATCCGTCTCGAGTAAACAGGCCAGGGCCGAGATTGGTAAGAATCTGACCGACTATACATACGCCGGTGAATGTGGGATTCTAGTGATGATTGCGAATCTAGCGTACCGACGCAAGTGGAATCAACTTTATAGGCTTGGATGCTACTGGGGAACTGGAAGATCACGCCTTGCTTGTATCTAGACCAACTGAATTGAGATAACACGTGAAGTAAGATTAAACTCACTTCAAGCTTGGAAGAAGCATCATGGGTTCGAACTGGGTCTTCGTGGAGCTCGAGCCTGCGAAGTTGGCTAGTCAGGCCAAGAAAGTCACTTGAAAAGTAGACGAATCGTACCGACGCTGAAGATGTGTTCATCTTGATCGCGATTGATAGCGAACGATGTATTCGGTGCCAGATTGAAAATCGAATCTGAGCTCCATTGTCCTGCTCCCATATACGAAGCGTAGTGGTTTGGCTGTGACCGACGTGAATCAAAACCATCGAAACAAAAGACACGCGTACAGACCCCAAGTCCGGCACCTTTATCTGAATATGTCACAAACCGCTGGGCTGGGTGACGACCAGCGTGAGTAGTCACAACTGTGATTCTACGACTAGAAAGACAATGGCGAAACCGTTAGCAATTTGCGTTGGCGGTTGTTATGATCAGACTTACATCGGATTGAGTTCAACCTGAACTTCTGATCCCTCTAGCAAGTAACATTGTGCATCAAGAAAACGTACTTGAGGGCTCCTGTGATCACTAACCATCGGCATGGAACGTCAGTACCTGCTAAGTAGCATATGAGTTCAAAGTGGGCAACCCGGTTGCAAGTGCAATTCTGACTTTCCAAGCAATCGGGACCGTAGAATTGGCGAAAGGCTCAGAAGTGTGCGGGCTGACGGTAAAGGCGATCTACAACGTCTTAGTGAGATGATGAATCGTTGATAGCTCTTCAGGAGCGGAGGATTGCTATACCGTAGCATCATCTTCAAGACCACTGTCTGTGGTCGTGACGAGGGTGATGATCATGGTAAACCTGTTTGGACGCTGAACCAAACAAAATTGATCTGAGTATACTTGCAGTTGTCTGATTCAGGAACAATGTGGAGTTCTGTTCGAAGCAGATCAGCAGATCTGGTCCGACTTGAGTGCATCTTCATTTCCGAAACATGATGCCCTTCCAACGCTGTTCATACTTGATGAAAATCAGCTAATATGAAAGTTGCCCACGTTATCTAAATTTCTGCCAGTGATTCATCCTAGGTTTGCACCTCCACGTCCAGCACTGTGCAGAACCAGCTCCGGGAAGAGTTGCAGTCCTTAATGTTCGGCAACATTTTTCACCTGTAGGAGGGCAAAAGTAGTCACAATTGGAAGGAAGGGAAGCTGCTGTCAGTTCATGACAAGACGACTGGAAGGTACTGATGTGACGATGGCACTTAGTAAAGTCAGGTTAAAGCGCCCAGTTCCCGACTGGAGTCAGCTCCTCCACTAGTATAGGGTCGAAGTTACTTCCTGGCACTGGCTGGCAGCATACTCGGCCACTCTCTAAGGTCTATAAGTTCACCCAGGTCGAAATATTCCACTGTGCAGAATGCTAACATTTGAAGGGGCGAAGGCTTTGGAAGATGTGACATCATCGCTGTCCGGAGAATTTGCATCTCCGAGCTGCTATTACGAGAACGCTATAAGTTGACATGGGATCTTCAGCGCGACAGCGAGTCTCTGCGCACCAAGGACATTGCAATGGAACGTCGTCGTTTCACATTCTCATTCGCGAGCGAGAGTGTGAAAGACGTCCCTCCGCCACAGGTGATTTCCTCTTCTCCACCTATCCCAGAACACTACTCTAAGGCCGTAAAGATTATATTTACGCTTACACCAGTCGATCTCTCGGACAGCTTGTTTCATACCGTTCATCCCATTGCATGGAATGTGAGTTGCCTGTGGTTATGCTCAGAGATATCGATTCAACCGTACCATGTAGGTATTTGATTGTAGATATGGTGAGCTCCTCATCGAACCGGTGCTGTGGTTAGAGAGGGAACGACTCCATGGATCCTGCAGATACCGTCCAAATGTATCAATGTCAACTAGGGTAAGTGGGCTCTTTTAGGGTGGGATGTTGCAGCACAACATAGCTTTTCGCAGACTCGCCGTATGTACCGTGACGAAGAATAGCGATTCATGCATCCAGCCTTTAGACAGCAGACTCATCGAGGTAATTTCTCCGCCGATATATCGTTATCATCATTCATGTTGGTTATGCCTCAGCGTGGATATTTCACCTCTTTGAAAACTACAGGCTCTCAGCCCTTCTGGTGCGGTATTACCAGATGGAATGGAGACGAACCGAACAATATCATAGCATCCAACGAGTCGAAAACACCCCAGGCGTTTTCGATCTGTACGTGTGGGAAAAAGTGTTCCTGTTCATTTGGTTCTGATGAGATGAGTAGGTGTGACGCTGCTGAAACAAGGGTCATATCAACCAAAATTATACCCTGTCGTGATATTCAACAAGATACCGTAGGTAGAACATTGTCTTTTGCAACATCAAGGTTGACTCGGTCTTTCTCAGCGATGGAGAGATCCTTCGAGTTAATGCATCACTTCGACTTCAAGCCTATTACGGTAACGACTTCAGATGTGAGCCCACGTTATGTATGCCCATCTTTTGTCGAATGATCTCTGACAACATTCAGGTACGCAGCAACTTCATAAATCAGATGACCTGAAGCTAGTTCTCAACGAGAACGGAAGTGCATGGGAGGTCCTACTGGATGACGCCGATGTGGTAGGCTTGCCAAAAGTTTTCTGGACCCTGTGCTCATCGAGTACACTAGGCGACATCATGGAATATTCGTAGAAGTTCAAAGGGTATCACAATCGAGGAGGCGAAAGTGGAAAACGAGAACATTCTCGAAATTCGCAATGAGTGGGACGAACTCAAAGCACAGATTGTGGCATTTCAGCAGGATATGGAAATTTTCCTCAAATCGAATTTCACAGACCTCCAAACTCGAGTTGACACAATTGAGAAGTTGGCCAAAACGATCGAAGGAGAATCAAGAAGTATCGAGCAACGATTAGGCAAGAACGATCAAGAGCTGAATGTCGTACAATCGTTAATAACTGAATTACGAGCGACCGTGACGGAAATCATGAGGAGGCTGAATTCTCCAGGCTCGTTGTTGCCAGATCGGGATAATGGAGGCGAGCTCGACTATCTGCGCAGGAACCTTGGACGCATCGAAGACATGCTGCAGAACGCACAGGCGATTCCAGAGCTACAACATTCAGTAACGATGCTGCGATACAGCATTACGCGTGCATTCAAGGATATCGAATTCATGAATGGTACTGTCACGACAGTCGAGGGTGATATGCAGCAAGCAGTCTCAGCTGCAGACCAAAGGGTTACGTGGATGAGACACCGTGTTGATAGCATCAATCGCGAGATGCAGGAACAGGAAAGGAAGATATGGGACTTGGAGAAGGGATCAGAAAGAACGAATAGGCGACTGCAGCATGTGGACCAGCGTGTGGGGGACTTCATGGCGGCCAAGGGTGACGAAGAGTAAACCTAACCTGCCTTGACTTCTGTCACTCGCAAACTTTGAGTCACGGAACTGCAGGGTGCGACTCCGCATCGTCGCAATGCTTAAGGGTTTGGATACGGAAGGGGGGAGGGTAGACTCAAGTGCGGTTTTTCGGCGTCGCCGAATGTGGTAGATTGAATTTTGGATATTGCGCAACGAAGTCAAGAAAGGCGAGGGCATGTGCCAAGATGTGAAACCGGTGACCTAATCGTATGTGGGATGGCCGGATCAGTTGGACAGGCCATACTTACTGTAGACAGGGAGAAACACCGTAATGAACGGTTCATACTAGTGGCCCCTCGCATAGACTGAGCTTAAAGATGTTCAAGACGAGTCATGCATAGTTCAGGTATTAGTAGCGCAAGATGCTAGTTGATCATGACAGAATAACGAGATCACAAGAACGGACCGAAAGCAGACACTCATTAATATCCTTCTTCCCGGGCGGCCAATGCTGAATGGACCAATGCCACTTGTTCGTCGTTTTCAGGTGTACAAGGTTTTACCTCTCCTTTTCCACCATCGAACCAAACCTTGGCGCCACCGTAATAGACCTGGTAGCATTTTGGGGGCATCTGTTCTTTCTTTATGAGTTACAATCAATCGCAGTAGATGAGCAGCTTACCAGGCCGCCGTATGGCGTATTCGATGTCCTGAAGTTTAGGACTTTCGCTCGGGCCCATGTACGCGTCTTCCTGGGTTTCACCCACACCATACTTCCAGGCTAACACAAAATAGTATGATGAGAACGATGAGCATGCATGAAGGCTGACTGGCTACATACGGTGATGCACACAGAACTGGGCTTTTCTAAGTTAGTGATTGCTCGGTCGACCTCATACTCTAATTCTGGGTCATTCAGCAGATCGTCGATGTTTCTAGAGGCAGGCCTAGTCGACATTGTGAACAGTGGGCAGTTGTATGAGAGGAAGGTTAGTAGTGGCAGCTAGAAGACAGGATCCTATATACCCCGGAGCCACAGCCAAAGGGATTTCACAAACCTTTGACATGAGGAAGGCCTTGGGTCAAAGCTTCAGTGGTTACCGATTCTGACTGTGGAAATTGCACAATAGACTTCCTGTCACCTCGCCACTGACGGTTTGTTCACTGCACAAACGTCGACGGTACCACATTCATCGTATTTGAATGTGGACCTTCTGTCATAACAATAGGTTAGCCGATGTGTTCGGAGACATTTGAGCTACGTACCACACAGTTGGCCACAAGCTGCTTTGGCCTACTTTTGTAACACGCCGAGCCACTTAACCTGAGTGTGAGAAGATAATGCATGAAAGCTCGAAGCCGGAAGAATATACACGATTTAAAAGAAAACTGTCAAATCACTCAAGAACACGATAGTACGTGAGAGGGCTTCAAGACTTCACGATGGCGCAGCAACGACGAATCCCTTCCACTTGGGGGAATCCTCCATAAACTGAACCAGCAAAGGCCTAACCTGTGTTCCAAACTGAGCAAGGACCGCACGTCCCCAAGACAGATCCTCATAGGGGATTTGCCCCGAAATGAGGTCAGCCACTTCTCTCAATGTGTCACGAAGAGGAACGAGATCGACCATCTGGGGTGTAAGTGTCAGACGCCGGTAATGTGAGGCATTTATAGCTGGATCCTACCTCCAGAGTGGATGACCCATGGATCCCTGTTATGTTCTTCTCCGGAGTCTCGTCTATTGAGACTCTTGCATGCTTGTCGTCAGGACTGGTATTGACTGCTAGTCGCCGTTCTTGATGACGTGTCGTATCCATTGGCTTCGAAAGATTTGAGTCCTAATCCCAATGCAGACAGTTAGTTCATAACTTGAAGCGCGTAGCACAGGCTTACATTGCTCATCAAAGGGCTCTCAGCAGCTAGCAAGTTGCCTTGTGACTGCAACACTTGCCGGCCACCCTCCAATGATCTGGCGTTGGGCTGACTCACTGGGTCTCGAGTTTCTGCCATAGATTTCCCATCTAACTTCCCGAGAGCTTCATTCTTGAGTGGCGAATCCGTCATAGATGGTTTCGACTGCGGATCTTTCCCTGTCGGCAATGTCTGATCGTTTGCATTGCGATTCTGCATTGTAGGTATTGAGGTCAGCGGTTCAACCTGCTTCGGTGTTGAAGAGGGGTCTGAAGGTGGCGGTTTGGGAACCAGGCTTGTACGCGAAAATTGCTTTTCATGATGTGCGCCGGACCGATCGATGTTGCCCTGCTCACCGTTGAACGTGTGCCCCCTGATTGTCGTGACCATGCGCTCTTCAGAATCGCGTTCGACCTCGACGTCTCGCTTTCGGGCAGTTGCGCTCAACGTCAAAGTCCCACTGGGATCTCCTTCTATCCTAAGTCCTTCCTTGTCATCGCTGATGTTCTCGCCTAATTCGTCCCGCGACTCATCTGCGTCACCGTATGTATCGCTCTGGCTGCTATGTTCGCCATCACTGCTCAAATTGTGGGGATCGGGATCAGCGAGCGCCTTTCCGGATGACATTGACGAGCCATTGGAGATATCAGGTGTGTTAACTTTTGCTGGTCCTGAGAGTGACACTGCAGCCGCCGGAGAACGTAGAGATCCAGGGCGATCTCCAACTACTGAACTGGCGTTGAGACGTTTCCCATGTCGGCCCGCCTCCGACTTGGTGTTGAGGATACTGGTCTGCGACACCTCGGTAGCCTCGTTCAGCGGGCTAGCACCGGTGAACGCCTTGCTCAGGGTCCCGAATTCGGCGTGGAGTGCATTATCAGGAGGCGTGTGTTGGCGAGTGGGGGGCTCGTTATTCCCTTGCAATGCAATCTTTTGATTATCTGGAAAGAGAGCGGGCGACATCTGTGCAACGTCGTTCGGCTTGTCAGTGATGAGTCCAGGCGACTGGTGATCAACTGGTGCGGCCTCCACTCGTTTGGCGATTGTAGGTGTCTCATGCGAATCGAGAGTTGGGGGCTTGACTGCCAAGCCAGCACCGGATTCTGGTGTCTTAGCAGCGATCGAACCTTGCTCTTTTAAAGGCATCACAGGGTCTGAGATATATAGATCAGCACTTCCGGTGTGTGCAGAAGGTTGGGATGCAAATTTAGACTGCTTCGAAATATCAGCTTGAGAGTCGGCCTCACTGTGTTCCGTCATGAGCAAAGATTGCGTCTGCGTGAGCGGAGCTCCCCTAGAATCAGCCGTTGATGTAGAGGGGATTCCAATGGGCTCAGACACCACGAAGGGCCGAGATAGCGTCTTTACGTCCCCAAACGATGATATGCCAATGCTAGACTTCGCAGCAGTCTCAACCTTTGCAATGGTAGGCTCTCTGAGGCTACTAGTATTGTCTGCAGAAGTCTCGACGTGAGGCTTGCTGGAAGGTGGAAAGGACGTAGAAACAAGAGACTCGAACAACTCTTCAGTGCTGTCGGGGATAGTCATAGGGCTATCAAATGGATCTTCAGAAGATGCGAAGGGACTGAGTATGGCAAGTCGAGTGTCTGGGGTGTCCTCGGTGGGGGGTCTGCTCATAGGATCTAAAGTAGGAGATATTCTCTTGGGTGGGGGGTAACCCAGTGTAATGCTAGGTGTTGCACCCTGATTCCCAGCATCTCTGCCTTGTGGTGCAGGCGGAGTGTAGGAAAGCGGAGGAAAGTCGGGGACTCTCGCTCCAGGCGAGACATTCTGAGTACGTACGCTCTCAAGGGGTGACGCCGATCTGAATCTTTGACCTCACCCACATGGGTAGGTAGGGTCCCCACTCTTCTTGATGGCTTGATGGATATTTTTTGACAAGCACCAGAGACTCCTGAATGTTTCCCTCCCGTCTACTGTACATTATTTCTGAGTCCATAATTGAACTCAGAGACCTCAAAAATGTCAGAGTAGACACCAATTTTGTGTGCAGGTATTGAGGAATGAAGCAATTGCGACAGAGTCAAGAAGCCAAACTGAGCATATTATGTAATATGATAAGTCATTGATTTTTCTCAATCGGTCGCGCTCTACAAGAGGCTTCAATACAATAGATTCCTGGTTGGTGGTTAGGTTCTCTGTACTCAGTGAGGTGCATTTACTTAAACCTGTCTGACAGCTATTAATGTATTGACTATCTTATAAGCTTTGGTACAGCCAAGCAAATTTACAGTATATGGATTCTAGTATTAAGATCTGCAGCGATTCAAGGGCTTTCGCTCAACTCTCGCACCTGAGAGTCAAATCGATGCTCTACCAATGCAGTTTGTATGCTTCATTTTCTAGCATCTTGATTTCAGTGTCGTCCATTTGATATTCATACTAGCTAGTGACAGGCTCATTGTTATCATCCGAATATATATTCCTGAAGTCGCTCCCTCTGAGTCCATATCATTCTCAAAGTACTTCAACCACTATGCACCCACGCGTCCTCATTACTCCTGCACTTCTGGCACGCATATATGCTTAGCTTGTCGTATGTGCATGGATGCATGCTTCTATTGCCTTTGAACTTCTCGCGATCAGATTTGCACTAAAATGTGCAGTAGTCATCTTCAAGCTCAGAGCCTTTCCTCTGAAATGTCTCAGCCCAGAATTTGTCATGAGCAACTCCGACGGAAACCTTCTGCTTACTGCAACATCTATAGCAAGTGGATTCTTCTGCTGCCTGCACCTGCTTATATAGGAGGGTGTAAAAGAATACATCGCATGTTCTGACCCGCCTGAGCTCCTACCCAATGTCAATGGAGCCAGTCAACTTCCTCAGTTGCAACCTCCAAATTGCTCTATTGGAATCCACTTGATCTTGACGGTATTTGCTCTGACATCTTGTAGTACATCATTGCATCTAGGCTCTATTCACAGTATTCAGTGGCCCATATGCATTTTCTATGCTCCGTGCAAAAGCGCTTCACCTTTCTGCCACTACTTCATGTCTTCATTCAACCAGGGCCTCATCAAATGAAGACTAAGTGGGCAATAGCTGTTAGCCATGCCGACCACATCTGAAGTTCTGATGAGATTTCCCACTTGTAGTAGAGCAGGTAGCAGACAGCAGGCATTATCGCAGTAGTATGACCTAACATTCATTGTCTATACTAGTACTCTTTACCTGACTGTGCTTAAGACATTTCTTGCATATAAGTATATTCATGTAAATAAGAATTCTCCGAGGAGGCGGTGACAGATATTGATTCCAATTTCAGCTTTGGCACGGCTGAGGCTCTCGCGTGGCCTCTCCATGGTCAAAGATTCAGATCGGCATCACCTCTTGTATGCTCTTGGTGTCTTTTGGCAGCATCTCGATCATAATCTTGGCATCTGATGGCACTGTAGAAGCAGGCGCAGCTTGGGTGATATGGCGTGGAGGGCTGCCCGGCACATTCACATTCTGCACAATGGCAGGTGAGTTGGAAAGCTGAATAGCAGTCTGATTCTCGTGTGAGGTCTTCTGAGTAGATAATGAACCTGTCAATGGCCTAGAAGGAGAGGGCGGGGACCGACCACAAGATGGCAAGCAATTTGCAGATGAAGTTGAATGCGGGGACCCCATTCGAGATGAGGCAGGACTGCCGGGAGGAGCAAGCACCTTGTCCTGTGTCTCCTTCGGCTTCTTGGTCTCATTCGCCTTAACTGCTATTGCATAATTGAGGGGTGAAGGTTTGGCAGGAGCTGGTGATACTGGTGTTCTTCGCTTCTGCCACTGGGGAGGAGGTGATGGTTTCCTCAGTGTGGCTGCATTGTCTTGCATCTTACTCCCAAATTTGGATATTTTCTCTCTCAAACTCGCAGAACTTGTACAGTGAAGGTAAGAAGGTCTCTGACCCTGATCAGATGATGGAGAGTGATCATCAATGCCTTTCTCAAGGGTGACATTAGAGAGTCTCTTCGGTTGTTCTGCAGGGTCTGGTGATTTAGGCTGCTGGAAAAATGATCAGACATGAGCAGTCACATTCAAATAAACAGAGCACAATAGATTTACTGCAACATCGTCATATTTATCCAACATTATTATCTTCTTGCCCTCAGAATACAAATGCCATCAAGTTCTCTATGCTGTCAATGAGACCAGCGTACAGAACCTTGCGTAAAATGACAAACCTCTGCCAACTGATCCAGTTAGAGAGGGACTTCCTGGCCACCTTGGTGCAGTAGGCCTTCTGACAACTTCTCCGTGATGAGATGGTACCCTATGATCATGATATGAATGAATTGTAATTGGGGGTAATGAGAACATGGACATACTGGTACACTTGGTGATGACATACACCTGCAGGCAGTAAGGTATAGCTGTTGCTAAACCCTCCTTCTTCCTATTTCATGTGATAATCAGAGTCAACAGAATACCACGATGCAAAAGCTGCATCCACTTCAGCTGCCTGAGAAGAATATATGGTTGGAATGGTTCAGAGTTGCTGCTTGCCTCAGAAATGGCACCTATTATAGGAGTGTAAATTAAGTAGATAGGGTGAAGTTATTTTTTCTATAAATTAATAGACAGACTAACCTAGCATGAACTCCTCAGTAGCATTGGAGCAATTTATGGCTACAATTTAGTTGGCATTACCATTGTAGAGAGTGTTGATATCCCATATTCGGTCACCGTCAAGCTCGACATAGTTCCCCGGCTGTTCATGAGAAAATGTGAGAATGCAATGAAGATAGATGGTGTGAAATGAACTTGGACATGGTCACTGACTCGTGCCTTGTTGAATGTGTCTTTGGAGTGGAGACTCATATTACAACTGTGTGCAATCATATCAGTTGATGGTAACAAATTGAAGAAGCAAAGCTTACTCAGGATGCCAAGTAAAGGTTTTCTCATCGTTAGCTAAGGCAGTCAGCAATCCGAAGTCAGAATTCAAGGGCACATGCTCACAATTGGCAGAGAATGAAACAATCTGAGTAAGATATAGATTTAGCCACAATGGAGATATAGAGCTAAGCCTGCCTTACCTCCCAAGTGAACGTCGTGTTCGCCTTAGCAGACTGGGCAAGGCCATCAAGAGTTATGGTGAACAGAAGCTAATAGATAACCATCAGATAAAGTTGGATCATAATCTGAAGAGCTCGTACTTTCACATCCCGTTGAAGAGGCTTGTCTGTTGACGTCACTATTGAGAATGATCTCAAAGTTATGAGCAGCTGGAGCGAAACCATAGGCATGAAGATAAATCAGAGATGAGTTATGGAGAGGCAGTATGCAAACTGTAAGGATTTGACACTCCTTATAAAGTCTCAGATGCTCATGTCGGAACAGCCTGGCACTAACCAACGGAGCAAAAAAAAACAAAAAAAGGTAATGCCTATGTTTAGAACTCCGAGCAGAGCAAGAATGCCACAAAGTTAATGCTAATTCATGGGATGACGTGCCTTAGAATGGGATAGTTCAAGGGGTGATGCCGATCTGAATCTTTGACCATGGAGAGGCCACGCGAGAGCCTCAGCCGTGCCAAAGCTGAAATTGGAATCAATATCTGTCACCGCCTCCTCGGAGAATTCTTATTTACATGAATATACTTATATGCAAGAAATGTCTTAAGCACAGTCAGGTAAAGAGTACTAGTATAGACAATGAATGTTAGGTCATACTACTGCGATAATGCCTGCTGTCTGCTACCTGCTCTACTACAAGTGGGAAATCTCATCAGAACTTCAGATGTGGTCGGCATGGCTAACAGCTATTGCCCACTTAGTCTTCATTTGATGAGGCCCTGGTTGAATGAAGACATGAAGTAGTGGCAGAAAGGTGAAGCGCTTTTGCACGGAGCATAGAAAATGCATATGGGCCACTGAATACTGTGAATAGAGCCTAGATGCAATGATGTACTACAAGATGTCAGAGCAAATACCGTCAAGATCAAGTGGATTCCAATAGAGCAATTTGGAGGTTGCAACTGAGGAAGTTGACTGGCTCCATTGACATTGGGTAGGAGCTCAGGCGGGTCAGAACATGCGATGTATTCTTTTACACCCTCCTATATAAGCAGGTGCAGGCAGCAGAAGAATCCACTTGCTATAGATGTTGCAGTAAGCAGAAGGTTTCCGTCGGAGTTGCTCATGACAAATTCTGGGCTGAGACATTTCAGAGGAAAGGCTCTGAGCTTGAAGATGACTACTGCACATTTTAGTGCAAATCTGATCGCGAGAAGTTCAAAGGCAATAGAAGCATGCATCCATGCACATACGACAAGCTAAGCATATATGCGTGCCAGAAGTGCAGGAGTAATGAGGACGCGTGGGTGCATAGTGGTTGAAGTACTTTGAGAATGATATGGACTCAGAGGGAGCGACTTCAGGAATATATATTCGGATGATAACAATGAGCCTGTCACTAGCTAGTATGAATATCAAATGGACGACACTGAAATCAAGATGCTAGAAAATGAAGCATACAAACTGCATTGGTAGAGCATCGATTTGACTCTCAGGTGCGAGAGTTGAGCGAAAGCCCTTGAATCGCTGCAGATCTTAATACTAGAATCCATATACTGTAAATTTGCTTGGCTGTACCAAAGCTTATAAGATAGTCAATACATTAATAGCTGTCAGACAGGTTTAAGTAAATGCACCTCACTGAGTACAGAGAACCTAACCACCAACCAGGAATCTATTGTATTGAAGCCTCTTGTAGAGCGCGACCGATTGAGAAAAATCAATGACTTATCATATTACATAATATGCTCAGTTTGGCTTCTTGACTCTGTCGCAATTGCTTCATTCCTCAATACCTGCACACAAAATTGGTGTCTACTCTGACATTTTTGAGGTCTCTGAGTTCAATTATGGACTCAGAAATAATGTACAGTAGATGGGAGGGAAACATTCAGGAGTCTCTGGTGCTTGTCAAAAAATATCCATCAAGCCATCAAGAAGAGTGGGGACCCTACCTACCCATGTGGGTGAGGTCAAAGATTCAGATCGGCGTCACCCCTTGGGACAGTTCACACTTGCGTGACGTGCGTCAGCAAGAAAGCGCCTATTTCAAAGGCTCGGTGGCTTCACGGGAGAGAATCAACTTCTTCGAAGACAACTAAAGATTGAGGAATACAAAAAAAAGTAAGTACCTGTGTGGCTTAAAAATGGACCCAGATGTCTGATCAGTATATGAAACGTGCCAGCTGTTACCGTTCACTTGTACACAGTAGCAGGTGCTAAGGTGAAAAGATGACCAGTGAATAAGATTCAGAGATGCCATAAACATTGACTCGTGGAATCATATTAATGCATCGAAGGTTGTGCGACTCTACGAGTGTATGGGCCCAAGCGGTACACCTGAGGTAGACTGTTCAGATATTCGGAAATGACTACAGAGCGCTTGATGTAGACGCACAACTGATCTCGATGAACGTTCCCCGCCAAGCTGCGGATGCGGATACCCTCACTGTCCCTCAGTGTTCATGAATGTTCAAACGTTCAGCCCTCATTCGAGAATAGATGAATATGAATATGAATACATGTCAGAGATATACTCACAATTTTCTAACATATAGGTTGGCCGATGCTCCTTAAAATGGCTGTTGACCAGCGTTTAGCGACACAGATTCGTTCGACGATATTTACTCGATGATACTACTCAAATGTAAGACGACAAGCGCTGCCGTATACCTTTGACCTGAATGATGAAAGGGCTGCTGGTAGCCCTCTCAAGGCGTGGGTTTGCTCGCAGACAATGCAAGTATACCGGCGTGCAGTTCCAAACGTCATCTCTGGCGTCAGCGTCCTGCCACATAATGTTGGCATCCTGGTACAAACTAAGTATCCCTGATCAACGGTCTACCCATTCTGGTTCTCACCTTTTTAACTTATCAGAATGTGTATCTGATAGCGTGTTGCCTCTGCGACGTTGATTACTGCATTCATTACTTGCTTTTCAATAGATTGGAACCGCAGCTGGCACTTCTTCCCCATTCAAGGTCAGAGCGCTCCTGTTCGATGAAAAACATGCCCTCAACACGTTTCGAAACTCGCTAGCTTCTCGTCCACGTAGGTTAACCCAGGTAGGTTCTCCTAGGCGATCCACTACGATAGGATATCAAGCATTGCACCCGCGAGGCACACACCTATACATTTCCTCGCAGAACTTCTGAAGGTTTAATACAACTTTTCAAACTAAAAAATTGTCATCGATGGTGAATCGCCCTCCGACGAAGCTCCGGTTTACCTTCCGGTCATCTCATCGTCATGTTTTGATAACCAGGCAGAATAGCACGGTATAAAGCTTCATTCCGAACTTTCTACTAACCATACGCCCCAGATACCACCATGAGCCTGACGGACAAGACCTTTACCATCTACACATCCACATCTCAGCCTCGCAAGGTCCTGAGGAACCCAACTCAGGCATGTCATATTCGTATCTTCATTGATTCCATTCCGCTGATAGCAGTGCAGATTGTTCTGACGGTGACACCTCGCAGTCAAAAGGACTTATTCGTGTCTCAAACCCCCGTTGCGTGGAAAGTAAGCTTGAGAGCTCATTCTGAACGATCATTGCGTTGACCCTTCTTAGGTACTCGAGTTCTCTCCACGTAGTCAGTTCATCTTTCGTATCGTTGAGTTCTGCCTTTTAACCCGGATGCCCAAGGCGATACCCCTCGTACTATAACTTGGAATGCCGAGTATGCACAGCACCTGAGTACTTAATTGAAGTGCTCTCACATATTATCGTTGATAGCCCCGCTTTTTCGGTCATTGGAGGTGGTGGACAGAGCATCGCCGTCCCCGCAAGTAGACTGATAAATTTAATGTGAATCTATCTTCTGATCTCCAGTTCCAGGTGGGTAACTCCAGTGTTCTGAGATCTCAAGGAGGTGGTGTGTGGTGGGATTCAACTCAGGGCCGGCGGGGTCAAATCATGGCTCGCAATGAGACCCCCATTCCTCAATCATTCTCTCTGGGTGAGAATTACTGTCGTATATAGCAATCAAACTCATTAACTCAACCTATCACTTCAGGATCTGTTGATGAGGATGATGAGTTCAGCGCCTTCGTCCGATTTCCACCTACTCCGTGAGTCCTACCTTGTGGTCCACGATTTGGCTTCTATACCTCTAGATACGGTGATACAGACCTGGTGGCGCCATCTCTATTGACCCAGCTATCATGCTCCAGGCTTACACTGTCACAGGCTATAAAGGCATGCACCTTCTGTTTTTTCTTCCTACGCCGGCGCTGATCAAACATGTAAATCAGAGGGTCAATCCTTGTCCCAGGTCGACAGCAATTCTTTCATCTTCCGCAAATACGATGGCAGCCCGCTCCCTGTTGATTTGAGCACGCTCCAAAATGCGAGTATTCTATTCCTCTCCGTACCTCTCCATTCTCTAAAGTCCTCTTGCGCAGGGGACATCTTTCTTGCTCAGCTCTGAGCCCTCTGGTCGACTTGTACTCGAGTGAATCGTTCTGATGTCATACTTCTGGAATTTACACTGACCGTACATTGTACAATATTTCTGGTGACTCACATATATATCTGAAGACTTGATTGATACTTCAGAGTGAAACTACTGACTAGAATGGGGTTTGTTTTGACACTTCTGTAGCATATGATCATGCCAGCTTTATGCTGAATGCAATGGGTGATCCGTGGACAATACATAATAAACATCACTGAACCATGACAGAACGTTTGTTAACAGTGTCCTTTATCACTTCCGAAAAAGTCCATACGGAAGAGCCCATGAAACTCAGGCGTATATAAAGATAGAATCCTCGGCAGGTGTCAAAAGTGGGGATAAAAATACGGGAGATCTAATTGTAGGTTGCAGCGAGGGAGAGAGCTGGACCTGGGGCGTCCCAGGCGGTGTATACAATGGTTGGAAGAAGATGGGAGAACGAATATTTGTTGTTGAGCGAGGGAGGCGAGGCGAAGGCGTCTGGGGAGGAGTTGCAAGTGCGTCTGAGAAGACTGCTGCCTCGGAATCATGAGTGGAAGTGGCGCTGGATGTAAGATCAGCTGATAAAACAAGGCTATGAGTAAAGGAAAGCCTTGAGATTTTGGGAGGTAGAACCTTACAATCTGACGTGGCTGGATGGTTTCGAGTGCCAACCTGCCATCAGAGTCGGTGTACAGTTTAAAACCAACATCCTATCAAATAACATCGGTTACTAGAGAGACAGTTTGTACGACCATGGAGGCACACCCCTGCAAGCATTCCAGCATCAATCGGGCTAGGGTCTCCTTCGACCGTGAAGAGACCTGGACCACGGTCAGTTAGAAGCTGGCCAACTATAGCGCGGCAAATCAGACCTATGTGAAGTCTAAGTAGTGGCTTCAACTTACCCACACAACGTGATTCGACTTCCCAGGCTTGCAGTTGGCAGGGATATCGAAACAGGGCACCCTGTTTGTGCCTACCACGACACATATGACAATGGACCCAAAGAAACGTTATATGTAAGGGTAGAACTCACTTCAACGCTGGCAGAAGTATCATGGGTTCAAAAGGAATGCCCGGAGAGCTTGAGCCTGCAAGATATTTCAGTCCAATATCAAGTGGTAGCCGCTCAAAGTCCCCACCGATGCTTAACAAATGATCCTCAATGTCACGATTGATAGCAAACGATGTATCTGGAGGGATGTCAAACAAAGGATCCGACGTCCATCGTCCTGACTCCAAAGCAAGGTGCTGGTTTGGCTACCGAAGTGTCACTAAGCGCACAATCTCAGACCAGGCTGAGGCGATCCACAAACCCCTAGTCCGGCACCGTTATCAGAATAAGTGACAAACTGCTGGTCTGTTTGGTCACCAGAATGAACGAAGACTTCCGTTATTCGGCGACTGAAAACAAACGTAGGATTGATTCCGAAGCAACAAAAGCAAAGTACTTACGCCGGGTACAACCGAAATTGGCGCTGCTCGCTCACTGTGAAGATCTCTCAGCAGCATGCAGAACATTACAGGGATGATAAGAGTACCGTGAGCATGAAAGGTTAGTACCTATGAAGAGAACATGTCATCAGCGGATGCAGTCCAGAACTGTTTGATTGCTCACTTTCCAAGCAAATGGAACAAGCGCGCTAGCAGTATGTCCCTGTATCGGTGGAACGACAGTGAGGGCAATCTGGAAGATGAGCGTCAGAATGTTAAGGTCCCGGAGGAGTGGTACACATACTGTTGCATCCGCTCTCAGAGGAGTGTCCGCAGCAGTGAAGATAGTAACGTTCGTGCAAGCCATGGTGAGACTTTCACAGAACTGCCCTGCGATGTTCCTCTCGTCATCCCTTATAGAAAATTTGGGCACCCCATATTCCAGGGTTGTTGGACAGTAGGATGGTCCAGGCTCAGAGTGCTGGACGACGATTAGGCAGGATAGTCGAGATCGTCCATACTATTACTATTATGGTGATACAGCCATAAACACCGTTTTCAATACATCTCCCAGGTTGAATCCCCGTTTCGTTTCTCCGTGTGCCTGAGGCTTGACGACCTGTTCAAGATGCCGTCAGCACAGGCCTGAACATGAAGCAACGTGCAAAGAGACAGAAATACATCTTGCTCCTTCCATTCAGCCCCCGCCAATCGAACCCTATCACTTGCAAGTTTTTCATGAGCATATCAGCACGGATCGTATGATATTTCTCGATGGAGAAGATAAAGGACATCGATGCAATCGAATTCTTCGCTATTGGGTTCCGAAACCTCGTCACAATTCATGTTTCCAAGCTCCGCATCCAAGTAAGCTGGCGGCTGATGAAGATCAAGGAGCTGGAAATTAATGACTTTTGTAACGCTTCTCAGAATGACAGCCTGCTGTGATGTCGCTGTTCAAGCTTTCAAGTTTCTGGCGCTGGCATGTTCCAAACTGAACTAACTGCGCCCACATAAGTCGTAAGGCTCGTCACGAGATGACCATGAGGAGGAGGGCCGTTTCCCTCCAGGTAGTGGCATGCCGGGGAAGGTGATGGTGAAAGTCACATTGCAAAGCGCGCAAGGAATGGCGCTGGATTGTGTACATGGCGCTGTTGCGCTATGATCGGGGGAATAAGGTGTACATGTTGCGTAGGGCAGAAGGGCATGCTTCCCTGGACGAGCTGTGCGATTGGGGTGGCTAAAAGAGCATAGGAAAAGCGAAGGGAATCAGACTTTTATCCCAACTTAGCATTATGGATCGTCGACGTTTTGCCTTTTCGCTAGCTGACGATAGCTACACCGAAAATCTGAAAAGCTCTATGTCACAGGTCCGTTTAGCCCGCCTTCACTGCAATCCGGCGTGATTACAATAAACCTTCAGATCATATTCACACTCACACCTGTTGGGCTCGCGGAGCAGTTATTCAATACCGCCCACCCCATAGCATGGCATGTGAGTAGTCGTAAACCCAAGTCGAAAATATTCTTGACATTCCTGATGATCACAGGTGTTCGACTTTCGCTCCGGTAGGTGTTAATCAGAGAGTCGACTGCATAACATTGACAAAATCATAGAGTACGTGGAACTAGAATGCCACCTGGAGTGAGTTCAAAACATAAGCATTTGATATGCGGGTGATTAACATGCCTGATAGTCTTGCAGTGTGCACTGTTCAGAAGAGAAGCGATTCGTGCATCGAGCCCATCATTAGTCGCATCGTTCCGGTGAGGAGAGGTCAAATTCACACTTCACTAAGTGCCAGTCTGAAAGCACTAAAAGCGTGGACATTACACTGCCTTGATAACTCAAGGCAGTATGTCCCTCTGGCAGGGGACTTGCAGATGGCATGAAGATGAGCCGACAAGTATCCTAATCCATAACGACTCCAAGGCGCCACAGGCGTTCTCGATCTGTATGGCTCTGTCAAGTACAGTCACAGAATGCTGACGTTGAGGATAACAACCTTACAGGTGCGACGATGGTGAAGCAGGAAACATGGGCACCAGTACTATTCCCAATCATCTTGTTCAATAAATTGGAGTGAGTGAGGGCAAGATACACGGTTAATTAGGTGCTTACCTCGCAACAAGACATGACAGTATGCTTCGAATCAAGTCCTCGCTCTGCCTCCAAGCATACTACGGCAGCAACTTCAGGAGTGAGTCCACAAGCTCCAGAACGTTCACAAGGATTGATCTAATATGGATAAAATATAGGTAGGAAGCAAATCCACGTGAAGGACGGACTGCAACCCGTGCTCGATGAGAGCGGAAAAGTGTGGAGTGTTGTCCTGGATGACCAGCCGATGGTAAGTGTTCAGAGGTACAATGGAGTTTCGCTCACTAAAGGTGAACCAGACATCGTCATGGCAAATTCGCCAAATGCCCTCTGGCCGTATTCAAATCGAAAGATCAGAAGACGAAGAAGCAGACAGAGCGGGAAGACAAGTTCGCAAGGAGCTGAAGCAACTGAGAGCACAGCTAGAAGAGATACAAAAGCAGGCAAAGCAGGATGTGAACGCTAATTCTCCGGGACTGAGGAAGCTGAAGACACGGATCGCGGAAATCGAGGAGCAAATGGATGCTATTCAAAGCTCCCTCAGCGGAACAGGAGTAAAATTGAAGCTGACGGATGATACGTTGGAGACCTGGGAGGAGGACATGATCGCTATCAAAGCAAAAGTGCGACAATGTCTGGCTGATTTAGAAGGATTAAAATCGTCCAGGCTTCCTGGGAGGTCGTCAACCTCTAGAGGCGAAGATGTCTCCAGTGACCAACTAAACCAACTACGCAAGAACTTGGAGCGCATTGAAGACACCCTCAAGAGCGTCGGTGATTCCGTGCAGACGATCCCCGGCATGCAGACCTCAATAGCTCACCTGGGGGAGAATAGCAACCAAGCGTTTGAAGGCCTCGAAACTCTGAATCGCGTGGTCACTGTCGTGGCGGCTAACACGCAGGAGACCATCGCAGCTGCGGACCAGCGCATTGTTCGTATGGGAGCACGCTTGAAGGGCGTTGAGGAGGACTCTCGGACGCATCATGGGAAGTTGCAGAAGTTGGAGATGGAAAGCGCGAGAATGGGCGAAAGGATCGCCGATGCGAATCAACGTCTAGAGACGAAGGCTGCCAAGGCCAACGTGAATGCCCTCGAGGCAGACTTCGGATCATTCACCCAGAAGCTGACAGAAGTCGACAGCGCCTCCGTCGGGCTCCAGGATACCACAAAGGACCTTTCCATAAGAATCGATGGCGTTGATAGAACGGTTGGAGGGATAGAGGGCAAAGTGAAGGCCTACGTCGCTTCACTGAAGCTTGGTCAGGAAATCGAAAACGTTTCAAAGCGTGTTCAAGACATAGACAGAAGCGTCTTGAAGCTGGAAGCCGATGGGCCCGTGCTGGAGAACAAAATGAACGCCATCTCTACTCAGACCGAGCGAGACATCGAGAACTTACGGGAGGAACTGGGGAAAGTCGACGCCTTAGCCCGAGGCGCAGACCAGCGGAGTAATGATCTTACGGGCGATACGAATAAGGTGCGAACACTGGCCGCTGCCATAGATGGCAGGGTGGAATCACTACACGACGAAGTGGAAAGATTGGATCGTAAGGTGGGCACGGCTGATAATGGACTGAGGGAGTTGAAAAGAGAAGTCAAGGAGATTGGCAGTACGAAGGTATGGCATCGAGGTTACTGGGGCGCAAAATAAGACAATCGTATATTTCTTTCATTCAGAACGTTAGGATATAGCAGTCTGGTACTGCATGTGAGTCCGTGTCCGTGTTCAGAAAGAACAAGTCCGGCGCACCTTTGTCTCAACGGTTGCCTTGATAAAGTTGAATGAGATATATAATGAGAGACATAAATCGGGGAGCCGTTGAGGTATATTTGGGGTCAGTGTATCGTGCAGGAGTACCAATATCGAACGAGATCAGGAAGCGACGAATAATCCAATGCCATATGTACGAATATCCATTGCATACCCCAAAATAATATTACATCATACAGATGCGCATCGCAGCACTATGCACCCTCATTACCTTCATAGCTATGAGTACGAGCTACGACACAAACAGGTAGTTTTTACAACGTACCCGATTCTAACGTCCACTGGTCATGCTTCCTAATATCTTCCGCAGTCACCGTCGGTCGTGTAGTCTCCAACGATTTCAAGAAATCCGTAACTCGCAATGGGGGCTCCATAAGTTCGTCGCCTTCAATGTCTGACCATGACTTCTCCTGAGCGTCTGGATCACCCGGAGAACATGGTGTCCATTTCATCTTGTCGGGATTGTCTTGTGTTGGACACGGTACGCGTTTGAAGTGAGTGGCTGATAGGACTTTGCGGACTGGTTGCATGAGGGCGTCTCGCACAACGATGGAGATATCCGACCCTGAGTAGCTGGAAAGGATGAAACGAGATGATGTCAGTTTGTTCCGAGTGACTTTGGAGATATAGGATACGCACCCGTCGGTCTTCTCTGCTAGTAGACGGTAATCGTGTGGTGTAAGCTCGCATGGAGTGTCACCGACGTGCAATTTGAACATCTGGCGTCGAGCTTCGGGACCAGGCAGAGGTATATATATTCTCTTCTCGAATCTAGATCACTGTCAGAATACATCCACGGTGGCCGTTGAAAGTGCAACGCAACGCACCTTCGTTTGATAGCATTATCAAGTTGCCAGGGTATATTCGTCGCACCAAGGACCAAAACTCCGGTATCATCATGTCCAACACCATTCATCTGCACCAAGAACTCCGTCTTGATCCGTCGCGAACCTTCAGACTCGGATTCGTTACGAGTACCAGCGAGGGAATCGACTTCGTCAATGAAGATGATCGAAGGTTTGTTCTCTCTCGCCATCTCAAACAGCTGCCTCACTAATCTAAACAACGACGCATTCTGATATCAGTCAAACAAAGACCACCAGAGACACACAACTGACAGACACCGTTTACCTTTCGGAATCACCCTGCCACTTGCTGACAAGATCACTAGAGCTGACACTGAAGAACGTGCCCTTCGCCTCAGTCGCAACAGCTTTCGCAAGATAGGACTTTCCAGTTCCCGGAGGCCCATATAGCAAGATCCCTCGCCATGGTGTTCGCTTGCCAGTGAACAGATGAGGAAACTTGATCGGAAGGATGACGGCTTCCTTGAGAGATTCTTTGGCAGCTTCGAGACCAGCGACATCATCCCACTTGACATTCGGCTTATCCGAGATGATAGCACTCGTAAGTCCTGCTCGGAGTTTCCTCACCTCGGGATCTTGTTCTTCATCGTCGCTGCCCTTCCTGAAACGTCGCGCCAAACCAAAGTGACAAAGTGAGTGGTATAATTGAGAAGTTGACAGGGCAAATACGCACTTCTTTCCTGCACCACCTGTCCCACCGTTAGGAGTCCCATTCACACCGACTGCTCTCTTCGCCTTCTTATCATCACCCTGTTGTATATGTTCCTTCAACGTCTCGGCGCGTCCCAAGTATTCAGTGATCTTTGCTCGAATCAGCTGTTTCGACTTCACGTTTGACTCGTCTGTAGCCAGGCATTAAGAGGAGAGGACTATGATAACATTGTGGGGTATGGACGTACACTTGAGAGCGAGCATAAAGTAATCGAGAGCATTCTGGTATTGTTTGTAAGCCTCCGGATAATTTCCCTTGGTATCCTCTTCTATTGCCCGTTGTACGATCTCTATTGCTCGCTATAGAGTGTCAGGACAGGTTGATATGAAAAATATGTGAGACATACATCCAAATTCGCGGACGACATATGTGATGTGGTTTATCGTGGTTGGAATAGCCGCAGGTTGCAATGCTCAGTTACCTACCTTGTTTGGCTTTGTTAGGCTGCACCCTCTAACGGAAATTAAACGAACCGTTTACCGCATTGACTAATCACGTCATTTGAAAAAGTGTACGTATGTCCTCACAACGTGTATCCTCCTAACGTCACGCAGAATATTGAGTGGTTGATCGCATGGCATTCCAGAACATAAGAGCAAAACCACCATCCGCTCCTCCAAGAAGTAAGGAACAAACAGCATATCAACTAAGGTCAAGTATTACATCTACATCAGAGGATGGTAGTAGGCGAAGATGGAGTAAGGAAAACAGCGACAATAATAAGAAGAGCAACGCAGAGAAAGAACACACACAGCAACACGAAGCTAAAACACGTCAACGATCATGGTGGCACAGACAGAGAGAGCTAATATAAAGTACGGCCCCTCAGCCGCCACCCCCAAAAATGGTGGTAATGGGTATGGACGACGACGGGGGGTGAGACATCAATCGTAGAGACAGAAGAGGATTACATGGATGAGAACCAACCAATCATACGAAGAGAAATGGAAAATCCGGGCCCTCCAAACTCTCCTATCGGCCACGAAACCGCTATGCCAGAATCTGCACTTGCGCCGTTGCCATGGCCTGTGCGTACACATGCACATGTGTCGCTTTCGGCATGAGATGGCACACCTCGATTGTCTCGATCCAAGGATGCGACATGACGTCCTCGATGGGTAAACGCAATTTCGGATTCGGTTCCAGCATCTTCCGTATAAGTGGTCGGCATGCTCGGGGGGAGAGGTTGTTGATGGTAGGTGGACATTGCGCCTGTGCGGGTGAAGGAGAGGAGCATGCTGCGACGTAAGCGGCGAAGAGCTGGTCTGATGGTTGAGCGACTGTCCATGGTAGCTCCTGGAAGTGCAGGCAATAGTAGACAATACCGCATGCCCAGATGTCGACAAGGCGTGCATCGTAGGCTATTGCCAGCGGAAAGGAATTAGGGGATAATGAATTTGGATTACTCATTTGCTTACGTTTGCCAAGGAACTGTTCTGGTGCGATATAGGGCTCACTACCACATAGACCTGTGGACATGTGTATTGTCTGCTCCCATGGAAGCCGGTAGACTGTCGATGCGCCGTAGTCACCGATCTACTCGCGATTAGCCACAGGATATATCGAACAAAGTCTAAGATGACTAACCTTCAAATGGCCCTTCGTGTCGAAAAAGAGGTTTTCCGGCTTGATGTCTCTGTGGGCGACACCTTGACTATGAAGGTAGGACACGCCGGTTAGGATCTGCTTGAAGCAGCATTCCACTTCGGCGGGCGACATGCCTCCACGCTTGATGGCGGCGTAAAGATCTCCACCAGGGCAAAACTCCATGACTTCGCACCAATGGAGGTTTTCATCTTGTACTAGATCTACTGTCTCGACAATGTTGATATGATGCAATGTGGACGATATGCAAAACTCTGCTGTGAGCTTCTTGACGTATTCTTTCTCTGTTTCATTCTTTCGGCGTTTCCGGAACTCCTATAATCACATTGAGAAATCAGAATGTAAGACGGATGATAGAAAGCGATGTAACACACCTTCACAGCATACAGCTTCTCCTCTGAGCGATCCCACTTGTGCGCGAGTCGAACAACAGAAGTCGCACCCTTGCCAATGGCCACTTTCTCACACACGCCGTATTTCTTCAACAGGCTCGCTGTGCTCTCGCCGTTGCTTGAGCGACCGCCACGCTCTGAATCCGACTTCTTGCTGCTGCCAGTGGAGCGAGCAGAAGACCGTCGGACCAACTTTGGCCCCGCACCCAAAAGGTCCTTCAACGTAAATTTCTGACCTGCGTCCGAATGTACAGAGGGAGGCCTTTTGGCGGCCGTTGTTTCGTTTGTAGACGTTGGCGATATTCGATGGGTACTCGAAGCGCGACTTGCGGTCTTGCCGCTGTCTTTCTGGCTAGGGGGTCGGGAAGGGGTGCTAGGAGCTTCGACTTTCCCACCAGACTTGCCAGCAGAAAAGCTCGACGGTCTGCTCGGTGGTCTGCTTGGTGCTCTACTAGGTGGTTGCGTGGATGGAACACTTGAGCTCTCGTACTCGGAGGGTGACCGAGAGCTGCTGGTAGAAGGTGAGACGGAGCCCGTTGTGGACGGAGCAGTGTGTTTGATGTGTGGCGAGCCGCCAAAAGCCATCTGGGTGGACTGAGAGAGCTGCTCGAGATCCCGCCTAGTAGTCCCAGGCGCTTTGGGAAAAGCATGCGACTCGGCAGGAGGTAAGGGGACCTTGCCACCGGCGGAGCCGTTTGGGGCAGAGGGAGACGCGGGAGGAGCGGCCTTAGACGAAAGCTGTCTATGTACGGCTCCGTTTGGCCTGATCTTGTCAGAAGCGGGTAGGACTTGCTTGAGAGGTGATGGATGCTCTATATGATTACCATGCGGCGGTTTATCTGAACCCTCGGGACTTTCGCCCTCTGTTTGGGCTGTTTCCGACGCGGTAGAATCTGCCATGATCATAGGTAGGATGGAAAAGGTCGTAATGCTCTGAGGGTAATTTGGAATGCGATTGAAGGGTTGTAGAGAGGTAGCAAAAATGCTTGGTAATGAGTCGGTCAGGGATGGTTGAGCAGAGACGTGTTTATTGGGATATCATGACGGCCAACACGTTTCGAGGGTGCAGTTGGTCGCAAAGAGGAATAAAGGCGAGCGAGAGGGAGCGAGTGGGTAAAAACCCCTCTCGCCTATGCCTCTGGAAGTCTGAGGCTGAAGAAAAGTAGAACGACTGCTGCTGAGCGAGAGAGGAATGCGTTCGACAAAAGAGTTTCGCTCCGAGCCATTGCGCGCGGGCTTATATATGCTTATGTAAGCTCCCTCCAGGGCCTTCCGCTGCTCGGCGGGTCACTGCTTTGCCCCTCAGAACATGGCGGCTCTGTGGCTGCTTACCCCTCCGACCGCCACCACACCACGACCACTGTCTTCTTATCGCTCTACCCTGCTCAGAGAAGGCCTTCCTTTGGCCGACTTCACTGCAGTATCGCGTGCACGAGGCTGATCCGGCAATAAGAAACAGACCTGGTGACGACCTGTAGGGCTCTCTCGAATCTGATAGAAGCGATTCATATCCTGAGCACATCGAGATGTATATTGTATGATCTACAACGCACTACCGTAGCACGCCATACAACCTTCATCTCCAGAATAATACGGCAATTCCATGGCACAACCACTGTATGAACCCTGCGAATGCATTTTTTACGTTGGCCCGCAACGTCACGACGACCGAGACACGTTCTTTGACCAGACGCGCAGGATGGCATCATAGACTTCTCGTGTGGAAATGGCACGAGTACGCTGCAGCATCCTATTCGTCCCCACAGCCGATATCAGCTACTAAGACAGCTCCCAACAGCAAAAAAAGAGAGTTCTATTGACCGCGTTGTGAGAAATCAGCCAGCGCATCAAGTTTTGGATGGATCCAGGAATAGGGAGCCTTACAGAGCAGTCGGATAGAGTCGGAGCAGCCACGTTTCAATGGGAATGAAGCATTTCAAAGAATGAATGACATTTAGCTTTGAAAGGTACTGTTTCAGCACAAAGTACCGCCTCGAGAGAGCAGGCAAGTCCCAGCAGCGTCATAGAGGCTCGCACGAGTGAAAGAATTGAACAAGCCAAGGGAACCTTTGTCAGAAACTGAATTTGCAGCCAATACCTGAGGAGTACCGTATGACCAGCAGGCCAACCTCGAGCGAGTCAAGACCAAGAAACACAGTACCACAGACCAGTTTTGGAACAGCTCCACAGAGACTCAGCGGGCAGCGCAGGGCCGGTCATTCCGACACTCAGTCATCCGGCGCTTCACGACACTATGCAGCAGGACTGACAAGGTTTCGGCGATGGGCGGGTGGCTTGGCTCATGTAAGCGCCCCTCACACGAGCCCGCCTAGTCGCACACCGCCCTGCCATCGACCATCCGCAAGACTTCAAGGTAAATTGCTGCCCGAATTCTGCTCTTTCGTCGCTGTCCAGGCAGGGGCTGACTTTGCCCGCAGACGACAATGGTCAACCTTCGCTCTCAAAAGCGGCTCGCCGCATCCGTCGCCGGCGTCGGTAAACGCAAAATCTGGCTTGACCCCAACGACCAGTCTGAGATCGGCAATGCCAACTCCCGCACCCACGTCAAGAAGCTCATCAAGGATGGCTCCATTATCATAAAGCCCACCACCGTCCACTCTCGTGCACGCACCCGCGATTTGCTTGCTGCTAAGCGCAAGGGTCGTCACACCGGTCCCGGTAAGAGGAAGGGTACCGCTGAGGCGAGGATGCCAACAAAGGTGGTCTGGATGAGGAGACAGCGAGTCTTGCGTCGTTTGCTCAGGAAATACCGGGAGGCGGGCAAGATTGACAAGCACCTGTGAGTTTACCCCTCTTTTGGAATGCCGTATTTGGAACGCTCAATGATCGGTTGGCGGGACGTGAAGTTACCACTTGCTCTACCAGAAGTCGAAGGGTAACGTCTTCAAGAACAAGCGTGTGCTCATGGAGTACATTCACAAGGCCAAGGCCGAGAAGACCCGTACCAAGGTCCTCTCCGACCAGATGGAGGCCCGTCGTGTCAAGAACAAGGTCAGTCCGTTCTATTGTTCCAATGCACCTCACACGTTTAACACATTAACTTTGAATCCCAGGCTGCTCGCGAGCGTCGGGCAGCGCGTGTTTTGGAGAAGAGACAGGCGATCATTGCTGTGGAGCACGAAGCAGCCCTCGAATAAATATATTGCTCATTCCTTCCGCTTTAGTTTTGCCTTGTCGTCTTGCTCATCCATCCTCCGCCTACTACCATTACGTCTGTATGTTATGCCATGCCCATCAATCATACGCCAGACCCCATGCTCGCATGTTTCTCAGTATTTCTCGTCTCGTCGATTTCTTTAAACTGTAATTCAGTGTGCTTTACGGATTTGGCATAGGTTGACTTGTAACAGATCTCATCTCTGACGCCGACATGATACATGTAGGGGATTGCCTTGGAAAGCAGCTCCCAACTTGAAGAGAAAGCGACATTGAATATCAGGATAGTCTATTTCTGTACAACTATAACAATACATGGGCAAGGTCCATACACATCTTCTTGATGTTCCTCTCTTTCGCAACCAGCTCCACCATCTCTCTCGAAATAACAATAGTCTCCTCCATCTCCTCGCCCTCAGCCTTCTGTCGCCTTACCAATAAGCCGCATTCATTCATAGCAAAGGCTACGTCTTCTACTCGAAGACCAGTTGCTCTGGCGATGTCTGCCAAGGTACACCTGACAACGACGTGTGAGGTTGAGCTTCCATCTGGGTTTGGTGTCGTCTCGATCGTTCGCATTGAGGTGAATATCGGATCTATTAACAACCAGAAAAAAATCAATATCATCAGTTAATTAGGTGAAGGGACCGAAATGGTGAGATGGTGAAATGGAAACTAACCAGAGTCGTCGTTCATTTGAGCCACACGAAGTGCGAGATCTGCTTTCATCACTTCGCCGTCCCACCCCTTTACGCTCTTCCTCCTCTTCATCTTCGGTGGGGCTGCGTTGTCTTCGGGGTCTCGGGAGGGAGAGGATGAAAGGAAGACGTCTTCTGTTCCGTTACCAGCTGTTATAACCTTGGGCATGTTCGGTGGAAGCACCGAGAGTAATCGTCTATCCAACAAACAAAAACAATATCCATATGAAAAAGAAACTTTGAGTTGGTGATGACTTACCGGAGGAACCGTACGATAGTGGAAATCCAGTATGTCAGGTAACTCCTTAGGCCGAGATCGGATAATGGTCGTTCGGGAGTCCCGACTTTGCCGGCGCGGCGGGAGAGTTCGTAGCTGAACTCGATCATGAGCATGCCGTAGCCTTTCCTTTGGTAGGGTGGGAGGACGACGATGCATGCGAGGTTGTAATCGTCGTAGGAAACTTTTTCCTGTGAAGGAAGGGAATGAGAGGGTGTGACTTGGAGGAGAGGGAAATGGGGTACCTTGGAAAAGAAGCCGAGGACGTGGTCTCGTTGTGAGTCGGCGTCGGTGAGGATGTAAAAGAGGACTATAGTACGATCAGGTTGCGAGCCCTGTGACGGAAAATACGCGACATACAATTGTCGCAATCAAAGAAAAGAGTCTTGATGTCAATAAATAGCTTGCCGAAAAGCGACAAGTTCTGACAATACAACTAAAGCTGTCATTAGATAAATGGACGTGAACAAAGCTCAGCTAAGGGAACAGACCTTCTCTTTCGCGCCATCAACTTCCCAGATTGTATGCGCACCCCGTTGATAGACTTTACGACCTGGCGGGTGTCTTCGACTACACTTTTTCTAAGATGTCTGGCAAGTATCAGCAATTGCTTCTCATCTCAGAAAATTGCCACCCTCGAACGCACAACATGTAACTCCCAGGAAACTCCTTCTGCCATATACTTGAAACACTTGTCGCATACCCACAGCATGGATTTCTCTCCTGCTCCGTGGCTTCGACCTAACCCGCCTGCAAGTATGTCGGAGGTTCGGCCATGCGAGCGCAGACTTGAGCGGGCTACTCCTGGAATACGAGGTGTTGAAGGACCACCGTGTGAGCCGGGAGTAGAGACCTGTTCCTCGATCTCTGTCTCCGTCAGAGGGTACGGCGAAAAGTACCTAAAGAAAGAATTTCAATCAATGGACGGCATGCAAAGGGGGTACGCTGTGCTTCACGTACCAAGTCTTGATTTGCCACCGTCCAAAATTCACCTTGTCGAAATTCCTCCTTGCGGTGATCTGCTTGTGATGTTCGATGTCGTACTCTTCTTCCGTTATAGTTATACCCGCTGCGTCCACTGCGACACCTTCTCCATCCTGGCGTACCTCCGAGCTGGCCCTCGACTCAACAAGGACATCTCTGTCCACTGAGCCTCTCTTTCTCTTTCGACTACTAGGTCCAGCAGACGAATTAGACATGTCGATATCAGAGTCTCCTGAAGGTTTCAGGGAAGTTTCGAGGATCCATTCGTCTAGCCGTTTGTCTGTGTCGGCGTAATGGACGTAGACTTCTTGGGGACGACGTTCTAGAATGAATGCTTGGCCTGTATATGGAAGGGAAATTCCATTGAATTCCGATGAGTCGTGTGTGAGAAGGAATGGGGCATCGGGGGAATGGCGACTTACGGTCTACTCCGTCTTTTGAGATGATGCAGGGCTCGCCTGCTTGGTGTTGTGCATCTACATAGAATGTTTGTGGCATGACACGCGACGGCTGGCCTCCTGAAGTGAGGGGTCACCCTCCGTATGATAGGAGATTCTGGGCAGGTGGAGGCAGGTTTCGACTCGCGACGAGAGCACGCGGTTGTGAACTTGTGAAACTTGAAAGTACAATTGATCGAGTTGACGGACGCGAACAAGCGCGACCTTGACTTGACCTTGACTTGACCTCATCCGTACCGACGCTGAAGCTGGTGCATGTTCATGCATACATCAACCCAGCTATCTAGCTTTCATTCACCTAAGCACTAAATGTCGGGCTCAAGACGTGCCAGCACCCTGTCGTGGTATTCTCAACTTCCGGGCGACTCACAGAATAATCATCGTAATGCCCTCGGCGAAGTATGTCACATTTTGAATTATCCAACTGAACCACCGTCTTTTCATGAACACTCTATACAGGTATTCTACCAGCACTTAAACACGTCGAACGCGTCGCAGTCAATGCCACGCTTGAGTCCCCGCCTTCCTGAAGCAGAGGATTCGCATCCATTCGCTGCCTCCACGCCGACCGCGCATTCACCTCAGTCTTCGTCTCGCCCAGCTTTACGCAAGGAGAAGAGCTTCGAGATACAGGTGTGCAGGACGGTCGGGTAGTGTACCCTTGTTAATTTCTTGCAGCATGTTACGAATATCCGAGAAATCGACCCAAGTTGGGAGGACGATGATGTCGATGTGGGTATCATCCTACTCATTTGCTATATTTCACGAAACCAATGGAATGTAGGAGATAATGGTCATCTCGCCTAGAAAGTCGAGGATGAAGACTCTTAGCATTATTCCGGAAGACCCTGAAGCGTCCAGAAGGCACGAGGTTGGTTAATGCAACTTATTTTGTTGTGACAGTCGTTGACTTCACTCGTATACATAGCCTGTGGACGTATCATCATTCCAAATCTTACAACTCCTAACCTCAAATGGAGTGTCCAGAATCTTCGCATGCAAAAGACCGGAGAATTCGCTTGTGTATGCAATGAAGGTCATCGCCAAAGACCATCTTCGTCCTTCGCGTGACATATTGCAGCTAGTCACTAACGAACAAGCTGTATTGAAATATATTGCACAGTTGAGTGTGCCCTTTGCTGAGAAGCTATATTTCAGCTTCCAGAACCCAACGTTTATTTACACTGTGACGGTATGCCATTTCTCTTCGTTGATAGCACACTCATACGCACCAAAGTTCTTCTTAGGACATATATGCTAGCACGTTGTCTTCATTCTGCCCTCTTACACCAGAAGCTGCGCATTTCTACGCAGCAGAACTCGTACGTCGGCCATGACCTCGTTTCATCGTCGTTGCTACTCTAACCGTTGCTACATGACAGGTGGAAGCAGTCTCCAGTTTACATGCAGTAGGCGTCGTTCATCGAAACATCCAACCGACCACCGTCCTTTTGCGTCCCAACGGCCATTTACTACTCGGCGGATTTGGGCATGCTATCGGTCAAACTAACCATGTCGATACGGTTTCTACCAATGTCAGTGACGACTCAGACCAGTTGCAGTATCAAGCACCTGAAATGGTTCTTGGATGGCGACATGATCGAGCCGTGGATATATGGGCTGTGGCCTTGATGTTATATGCAATGTTGACAGGAAAGGTAGGTTATATCAAATCTTCCCTTAGTGACGACTGACAATTTTTGGACGTATGCTTCTAGCACCCATTCTTGGATGACGAAGAGAGCCATGGGTCTCTCATCAAAAGTAAGATTTTGCATGCGCAATTTAACTCGGAGGCATTGCAGTCTTTCGATTCGGGTAATGAGGTGCTGGATATGATTCGACAGGTGGATCGTGTTCTTGTTTGACCTAGGGTTCGAACTGATACCACATTTGGTCAGTGTTTGGAGCGAAATCCAGCTATGCGACCCAGCATAGAAGACCTGAAGATGCATTCATCCTTTTCCGGCGTGTAAGGTTTTTCGTAACTTTCTAACGCTTAAGTTATAACCATTTATGTAGCGATTGGGCGAGTATCCAAGATTGCGCTTCGCCGGGTAAGATTGCGCTCGTGAATAACTGTGTTGTTGTATTCATCTTCGTATAGGACCCATCATTCCTCAAGTACAATTCAACGTGGACGGTAAATATTTGCACTTGGGACTTCAAAATCTCTATGACTAATGGCTTCTCCAGAACCGAATAAGCAATGCCTCCTCACTTCTCCTGAAGATGCGCCTATCTCGCACATTGATGGATTCTCTTTCACACTTGAAACACCTGAGCTACAACCTGCTTTTGACCAGCCTCCGATTCCTCAACGATCAGCTCAAGAAGATACATCGCAAGACTTCTCTGTTACTTCTCTTCCCTCTTCCTTTTCGTGTACCTCTTTGGGCGAAATCAAGGAACCTCGGACCTACCTAAATTTTGACGACTCTCTAGACAAATCGACTCTGACTGCTGAAGACTTAAGCAGACGTAATACGGTTGGCTACTTACCTCAGTCTCTGGCATCGATGTCGACTCCGGAACGAACACCTACGCGAGGATTGCGGAAATATGCTAGTCTGAACTTTGAACTTGATACCATTGTTTCTCTTTCGCATGAAGACTCCGACTCCGATAGCACCTCCGTCCACAATGATCGACCTGCACATGGCTCAAGGTCCACTCCGTTGGCTTATCTCCCTCGCTGGTCCCCTCTCAAAAATTTCAGGTTCATACGGCCTCAGGCTTCTTCTTCACCTGCGACCCACACTTCCCCTTACCAAAACTTAACACCGGAATTCACTGCTCTCGCTGACGTAAATGGACAACCTGGCAACAAGCTTCGGAGAACACTTCGTACTCCACGGTCGAATAGCACGCCGTTGTTACTCCCGTCCTTCGCACAACCTCTTCCGGACTTGCCTTCTCATGTCGAGCAAATTGGAAGTGGGATCGGATATACTCATACGAGAAGTCCAAGAACGTTGAAGACCAACTCGACTTCAGGAGGTGAAAGTGGAAACTTGGAGACGACGCCTCGACGTAGCTCGTCACTTCTGCCTGCGGCTTCGCGATACCAATCCTTGCTCTCGGATGGTTTCACCGCTCTTCCTCGTCGCTTACTCCGAGCGAAGAAGCGCTCCCAAAATCTAGATTCTCAGACGCTCGCTGGCGAAGGACCAGGGAAAGAAGAAGACGAAGATGAGATGGACGCAGTGATGAAAGAGATGTATGGAAGTACGTGGGACTTGAATCTTGGTGGACACGCTGCTACTACAATTCCACGCGCTCCTACAACTGTTGGTCCTGGCACTGGCTTAAGGGCTGCTGGTCTCGGATTTGGCTTCAAGTCCTCAAGCACACCGCCTCCACGGTTGGCGGAAAGGTTGTCTTCGTTAATTCCTGGAACGAATCGCCTAAAAGTTCCGTTGGATAGCTCAGTGGATGGCACTTTGGCTGTGGGGTCAACACTGAGGTTGGTTTCGCCTAGAGTAGACGATGGATTTTGAATTCTTGGCTGAATTTTATTATTTCGTGACGTCTACTGTACTCTCTCCTTAATTTCGTGATATTCTATTGGTGCACTGCATGCGCTGACGTTCGCACCTAGTCTGTCATACACTCGTCAAGGCTGCTCACTAAAAGGCCCCGTCCAATTCGCGGGCGGTCTCGGTTCATACTGACACTACCAAAAGCGGGCTCGCACTCGGAGCTCGACGGCGGCTGACGTCATGCGTGATAGGGATCTTTGGGTCAGGGTGACAAGCGCGGAAGGATATAACCCGTAAATGCTGCTCACTATCCTCAACTCTACACTCACCGTTCTTATACTCCCACCACCATGAGTCTCTTACAGGACGTGCTGCGCACGCAAACCCTAGACTCCTTAGACAAGAAGCTTGGTTCTGCAGGCGTAAACGAACACCGAAATGCCAGTGGGCATAATGAAGACGACGACGACGAACTCATAAACGTTGTTTCCGTGCCAGGGACACCGAATGCTGGATCCCGTCCATCCTCGAGGCCTTCTTCAAGGCCTTCTTCGAGACCGAATTCCCCTTCGAGAGCTTCTGCTCGCCAAATGAAGTCGCATCTCTCTTCGCATTCGGGCCGCATATCGTCGGATCCCCTGAAAGCGTTTCCGACTGATGTCTCTCAGAGAATCTTTGCATACTTGGGTATCAAGAACCTTGCAAGTTGTTCGCAAGTCTCACAGAAGTGGAACAAGAGTCAAACATTGAATTATAGTAAGTCGCGACCTTTATTCATTCATAATGTGGATTACTCATCATGCTTCCCTTTATAACCAGTTTGGTTCCGTCGTTATCGTAAAGAGTACTTTCACGACTCTAGTCTTCCCCCTGGAAAGTGGACCAAACGCGAGTCTAAACAGAACTGGCGTACCACTTACCTTCATGATCTCTCCAAACGTGAATCTGCCTCTCTCGGGCCTATCTACGCATCTCCCCTTGCACGTTCAGGAGAGCAAACTCCTAAAGAGATGCGAGAGGAGCAATGGCGGGCTGAATCGGAGGGTGTCATCAAGCCGTCGAAAGTGGAGATGCGAGAGATGTATAAGGAGTTAGGAGGTAGAAAGGCGAAGACCAAGCAGAAGGTTGGCACTGTTGGTGGTGGAGGCGCTGTTAGGGACCGGGGTGGATGGAGCGAGGTAACGCAGGAGGGAGAGAACTGGTAGATGAAAGGCCAGGTAAACTGGCGAGGAGTCAGGATGGCTTAGATTCACGCTCACTTCACAAGTTCACTCTACACGGTTTCCAACTCACAACTTTCCACTTCAGTCTCTATGTACTATTTCATGTATCTTAGATCTCACCGATCTTTCTGTATTACTATTGATGTCACTGTATCCTTACTTACATTCAATTCTACGGCATCGCTATACTCTATGCTGTTTGATTCTTCTCTCGGGAACAAACCTTGAATATTGAGTTGTGAACCATGAGCATGATTTCGTCCTGGACGGATGCTTGGCGCGATCGACAATTGACTGGCGCCGAACTCATGACGATCGCGTCCGGCGCTTGTGCATTCGTCTGTTGACCTCCATGGCCCTTCACAAGGGTCGACAAAAAGAACATCCCTCTGGCTGGACAGTTCTTGGTGAGAGCTACTCATCCGCCTATAATTACGTGTGACTTATATCTCTGCTTTATTTGTGAATTTACACGACAGAACCAACACCATCTGATCCCGCGGCCTCGCCTACTAGTGCATCGTCTGAAGACATGCGTGACGAGATTATGGATCCGGGCAAACAGACTCGTATCGAGGATTATATACCCTCACTTTCTGTGTCTCCTGATAAGAAGAAGAAACGGAAAGCTTTGACTTCGCCCTCGACGAGTCCACTTGTAGAATCCCACAAACGTAACAGGGTTGAATACGCGAAGGGACGAGGTAATGACCTTGGCAATGAAGGTATCTAGCTGTATATTCCGAACTGGTACATTCATGCTAATCATGATTGAATGCCTTAGCATTGTCACTACCATCACAATCGCAATCCAACAGCTCAGCTAAACCCCCTACTTCTGCCTCAATTAACTCATCTGCTGTTAAATCCGCTGGCGTCCCCCGACCAACAGGCTCTGCCAAACACCCATACGCCAACCCTAGCCTTTCCAAGACCACTAACACCGGTACCACCTCCCCTTCTGTCACATTTCAATCCACCTCTCATGCGACGCATACACCCAACTCATCAACATCTACGCACCCACCAGACCAACCCCGCCCACCCATGGCACGCAAAAGTACAGGAGGTCGGCGTGCTGCTTTGGCGTTACGTGCAGCCGCAGGAGTTGATGTAACCCGTGCGAGGCCAGCATCGATGGGTGGCAGGGAACGAATAGGGAAGGAGAAGCCATACGCTGAGGTTTCTAAAAGTGATGGTGGGGAGGGCAGCGGGAGTGTCAAACCTCACATAGGCTTGAAGGAGGCTACACGAGTCGTCAAGCGTGGCGCGGGGGCAGGTTCGCGTTCTAGGGTTTCTCTATTTATGTCGTGTGTTCTAACCACGTTTATCTTACATAGCAACATCCTCAGCTGCTTCGAAATCTATCACAAAAGAAGGTGGGAAGCGTCCCCTCCCACCTGAGGCGAATTTGGACTCCGATTTACCACCGAAGCCTAAATCTCAGAGCTTCACCGCTGCCCTAATGGCACTGGGTTCGTATATTTTTCGGATTTCAGGCTTGTTTCCACCCACATATTTGATGTCTCCTTACTTTCTCTTCTTGTAGTTGATTCGAAGTCACCTATCGGGAAAGAGATCATCGTCATTTCGTCCGATTCAGAGTCTGAAGCTGAAGCTGCTTCTGAGCTTTACAAGCAACACCCCACGCGTCGTTCACGTTCCGAATCGGGCTCTCCTCATACTTCTACTTCGCGTGCGAGACGTTCCGCTTCCAGTTCGACTTCCCGTACAAGGTCTCGTGCTCGGTCCATCAGTCATACCCGCAAACAGAGCGGGAATATAGACGAGCCAATCGTTATAAGCGATAGCGAAGATGGTAAGTTACTCTGTCTAGATTTTCTATGGATTGTATTGAATACTTTCAAGACGTGGAGGATTCCGAGCGCGTGCAACGGCCCATATCACCGACTCCAGAATTTGAGTTCTCTGGAGACATTCCATCGCCTGTCTCTTCTTGTGATTCGAATAACGTTCAAGACATGAACGTGGGTGACGCAGAGGCGTTCATGCGAAATCTTAGTGATGATTCGCTGCTACTCGCTTCTCCTGATTCTGAACGAGCAACGACACCCAGGATCAGGGTATCGCCCACGAATATCACAAACCCCTCCACGGTTTGGTCATCGTCATCTATGTCAAGTAAGTTTTTTCTTCTCCCTGGTTACCAATGTGACCTAACTGAATATGCAGTAGGGAACAGGAGTCCATCTAGCCTGAAGCGCAAAGTCACAATGGTCGGAACCCTCTTTGGTGGTCAGGACGGCTTCTTCCGGAACGTGCATACAAAGTCACAACCTACACGGTCATCGAAGGATGTCTCGCGTTCATCTACTCTAAGTAGTAGCCGCAGGACGACTCGTCCTCCCAGTGGAGACGCGTCAAGGCATTCGCCCGAAATCATACTTACAGGTTCTGCAGACGAGACAGACCCGGCTGAGTCTGAACGTCACCACCTGGAGATACCAAAAGTCGTAGTCGCGGAACTTCATGCAGAAGTGTCGCACATGAGCTCGCAGCTCAAAACCAAGGCTATTCGAGACCTCCTAACCCCAATCCGAGAGAAATCAATGTCTGCTTCTTCGGGGACTCAGTCATTGAGCGATATCATTAATAGCGCGGCTTTGAGCAACGCTCGGCCTAGCGTGAGTGTTGGAAGCAAGAAACCTTCGCCCAGTTGGACTGACAGCCTATCTCATTCTCCGGCGCTTGACGAGGAGGAGATGGAAGTGCTTTCTATGATCGAAGGCACCGATGAGGAAGAAGAGGTTAGTGTTGTCATGTTTTGCTCATGTTTCTTGGTTCTCCGGCTCACGTTCTTCGGGCTAGCCTCCCTTTATGCCATCTACGATGATTGAGAGGGCTCGGAAGTTTCGACGTAGCCTCTCCCTGTCAAGTACAAGTCGGTCAAGTCAGCAATCTTCACGGTCCAATAGTGTCTCTAAGGCGGCTTCTCCGCCGCCTACTCGACCACCCAGGCCACGGAGAAACACGTCTCAAAAAATGACCAAGCAGTTCGCCATCTCAAGGCTGGGTCTTCAGATCAAGGGTAGCGAGGTGGAAATATTATTATATGGAGGGCGGCATCCTGCAAAGGAGTTTGCTTCTCTTCAGGTCGCTGCTCATAAGCTTCCGCACACCGTCGCCAACTATATCAAGGAGCTCTCTCTCACTCGAAGGGTTACACCGAGAAACCGGCAGGACATCTTTGCAGATGTCATTCAGGCCAATACCAGGGATGATGAACCTGATGCTCCTAGGATCTCTATCATCAATACCATTGACCCTGAAGTGGAGCCAATTCCTGCCTTTCAGTACCACTATAGTAATCTGATGGTACATCATGAGCATATTCCTCAGCCAAGATGTCAACCAGATATGCTACAGCATTGTAACTGTGCAGGTGCTTGCAAGCCTAGGTCATGTCCTTGTGCTGCGTGGCAGATGAAATGGTTGCCAAAGCAGGCAAAGTCTGGATTCATCTATGATTCTGATAGGAGACTTCATCCTGGCATGTATGCATATCCTATCTTTGAGTGCAACATGTATTGTGGATGCAATGATGAATGTCAGAATAGGGTATGTTTATTTCATTCAATTCATGTGCTGGAGGAATTTTTAACTTACTGTTCATAGGTAGTACAGCTTGGAAGGTCTGTGGGTGTCAAGGTTAATATACAGAAAACTGCTAAGAAAGGCTGGGGTATGAATGCTGAAAATTCAATCTTGAGTCTACTCAACACTGACTATGTCATTTTCAATAGGTATCTTTGCTGCTTGTGGTGATGAATACATTCCTGCCAACACTTTCATTGGTGTCTATGCAGGTGAATATATCACTGTGCATGAAGCTGAGAAGAGAGAGAGGTATTTGACTTCTGCCAATTCACCCACATGATTCTCAATAAATTACTAGCATTTATAACAAGAGTGGGAGAACATATCTCTTTGATGTGGACTTTGACTTTGATGAGGGTCCTGATGAGGTATGATATAAGCTTTTGGTATTGATGAAATATAACTCACCCAGATTTACAGATAGAGAAGGCGGCATCCTATTGCATTGATGCATTTTACACTGGTAATGTATGCATTGTACATTCACTGGCAGTACATGCACATTGTTCTAACACCTTTCACTAGTTTACAAGATACCTGGCAAGTATCAGACTAATATCTGCAGAAATGTTTTGACTGCTAACCAGCAATAACAGAATCACAGTTGTGACCCAAACTGTGTTATCACTGCCTGTTTTATCAATGAGTCAAACCTGGACAAACCTTTGCTTACTATTTTCAGCATTCAAGATATACTGGATGGTGAAGAACTCTGTCTTTCATACTTTGGAAGTCATGCTGCCCTTGGTGCTAATGATACTCCTCCAGTATGTGATCAATTAGTTTGTTCATATGTTACATATCAGACTCACTATTCTTACCAGCATGGCTCAATTCATGTCTCTTGTGAATGTGGATCTGCTAGGTGTATTGGAAGAATTTGGAAATAGGAAAGCTATTGTTGGCCAGATCATCTAATTTTATTGATATTTGTTGTACTTCTATGGAACATTTATTGTATACCAGCATTACAAGATATAGCTATGCTTTCTATATATTCATGGACCATTAAAGCTCTCTTCAGCTCTTGTATGATCTGAGAACATCCAGAAAACTGTGAGTTCAAGAGTTCTAGGAATGTTATCAGTTCATTGTAGAGTATAGTTGCTGGCTCTATCTGTGATTTGTAAAGATCTTGGGCGAGTTGTGAAGATACTCTCATATGGTTCCAATGCATGAACCAAATAGGAATATTTGATGTTCAATTGAGCCACAACCGTGACCATGAGAACACTAATTCTGGCAACCGGATATAGTTTGAGAATTCCTCATTTACTATTATGATACATAGCGAAATTTCTGAGGCCTCTTTGGCCTTTGTGCCAGTGGGATGGGGCTCTCGAAGTAGCGTGAGTGTTTGGCCCAACTTGAAGCTCAAAGGACGGCGGCAGAGATCGTTATACAATAATTTAAATGCTATCCTACATGCTACCCTTTTCTATTGGCGGTTCATTTGATCCTTTCCTCTGCGTCTGGCCAAACCTAGTTTACAATAGACACGCAATGAATCAATGTTGGGGACTAGAGTCACCAATGCGACGTGAACAAGGAACACACACTCTAAGGCCCTTGCAGCGGTAACCACTGTGAATGCTCTTGCGTGGCCCTCAGTATCTCGAAGGCGGATCTGTGCCCAATAGGCTGTATTCATTGTTCCATTGTTCTTGTGCCACGAGACCGCAGGAAACCACCGCCTTGGCCAGTGGCACAAACCGCCTATAAATTGGACGGCAAATCACCTCGTGCCCTTTCATCCCTCTTCTTTCTGTACTCGCACCTCTCTCAGTATACTTCATATACAGCACATCTACGTTCTCTACAATGGGTCAAGGCTGGCTCGTGTGTGTGATTTGATGCTACTGCTGTACGGTCATCTGATACTAACAGATATTGCACAGTGTCAATCTGGATAAACACGAAGTGCTCTCCGAATACGCTGCAAAGTTAGGTGAAGATCTGCCGACGGGAGCATACAGCAAACTCGCAAATCTCCTTGCCCGTCCGGTTGGCGGGCGCACGATGGATAGAAAAGATCTGGATGAGAAGGTTGAGGAGATGAAGGATCGCGGGTCAAGGTATGCCGCGGCAGTTTCTTCCTCGCTGCATATCGTTTATGTGATGTCATACCAGAAGCCCACCACGCAGCAAACGCAACAATTCCAGTCCTCACAATAGACTTACCGACAAGACTGGATCTAGGCTCGTGTCTCATGGTGCAATGCAAAAGTTACCGAAAGAGGTGCTCGGTATGATCTTCGCGGGATTTGATGAGTACGAAGACATCATGCGACTAAGTCTTACGAACACCACGCTTTTCCTCATCGGTTATAAGTGCATTCAGAAGAGGTATATGCACGAGATACCCTCATGGGCGGGAGACCGTTTGATATGTCTTGGGGAATACACTGATGCTGAAGACCTTCCGGAGGGCGTCTTCAATGAAGAAGAGACGACAGGGATCAAACAACTCTTCGTGGAGCCCGATGACGAGGACGAGGAAGAACCCACCTGCGTATGGGATTACTTCCGACAGAATGGCGGCGAGTTCAAGAAAGCCAAGCAGTTTACGGGTGCAGGCAAAGATTCTTTCAAGTTCTTAAGACGTGACTTGAAGCTGAAGGACCACGGGATGCTCGAATACCAACTATTCTACTACCTGAATAAACCCCGACCAGATTACAGTGAAAACGGCACCTGGGTCCTTTGCAACCTCTCGAAGCGCGAATACGTAGACACAGGCGCCATATCCACATTGACTGACAAGAACCCGCGTGGTCCATTCTTTGAGGGCAGGATGACCCTCGGAGAAGTTCTCGTTTCACGAATCTGCTGGTCCACCGATGCCTCAACTTCGCTGGTGTACGAAGGCGACATCCACCGCGGCGCATGGGCGGGTGACAGATTCGAAATCACCACAGTGGAAAAGCTAAAACCTAACCAGGCCGGATCTCAATGGAAAAATGTCAGCGATGAAATAGTGAAGGAGATGGAAGCCATTTGGCAGGGTGAATATGGGGATGATTGGAGGAAACGTGCTTGAATTTTGATCCTGACATCGCGTCCTAATGTTATGATAAACAGCCAGTGATATAATATAGTTATAGTCAAGACCACTTTGGTCCATACGATAACTGGTACTAAGCAAGTTCATTCCGCCTCACGTACTACCTGGGAATGGATCCGGAACAGAGAATAAATGCTACACTTAGGATTACATGTCGGGTTGGGCATACATGAATTGATCATAAGTCATCCCAGAGACCTGCCCCTTGCCGTCTTCATCAAGCATCTGAAAGCGCTCAGTATGCTCCTTGATCTGAGCACAGATGCGCATGAAACGAGAGAAGGATAATCCATTCTGAAGACCTTTAGAAACCTTTCAAGTCAGTCGCGATTTAAGAGTACCCATGACTATTTTTTTTCCCAATATTGATGGAACGTACCATGTCGAGCGCTCAAACGAGCAAGGAGCTGCGGCGACAGATGATAGCCGAAAGTATCTAACGCAGCCTGTAGCTCTGTTCTGTCTATCTTTCCATTATGATCACGATCAAACCGCTGAAATTCATCCTGCCAAGTCTACGAAAAATATCAGATGAAGTGAACAGTTCAGAGTGACCTGTACTTACCTTGATGTAATCCCAGAGAGCGATAGCCTGTGGATGCCGGTGTTCAACTTGTGAATGGAGCTCCATGATGGAACACTCTCACCTCGCCGAAACTAAGTGTCCCGTTCGTGTCCTTGTCCTTCAAGCGCGTCAATGAGTGGATAGAGGAAACAGGCGAAATGCAGAGAAACCTTACAAACAAAGTCATCAACATCCGCACTGTGTCTATCTCAAAGGCTGATACGTATTATCAGAGGAGGAACATGAGTGATACCGGAAAGACGTACTGCTATCGTCCTTCAGAAATGCTCTATCTTTCTCCAAATATGTTAGCGACGTGAGTATACACTGTCTGACCATGCACTCACACAACTCGTGTATGGTGATCTCGCCCGAGTGATCCACATCCGTAGCTTCAAACCATTGCACTAACCTAAGTCCAAATGTGAACAAATACCAACACAATGTTACAAAACACAGCTATCTTACTGTGTATCCCCATGTGTCATCGCGGTGGCGTGTGCATGGTTAACCCCAGACTTGATAGAGTGACCAGCCGGTTCTGATGATCCGAAAAATGAGATACCGGTCAGATCCTTCATGAATCTGTTCAAATCCTTCAAACGATCTCCCGCGGCATTCTTGAAACCGCGTATAAGAGAACTACCGAAACTCCTGGATTGCTTTTGTGGCAATGAACGAGATGCATTCACCTTGTCGGTAGACAACTGTTGTTGGTAGGTTGGCGGAACCGCACGTGGTGCTGGGCCTGGATACAAGGTCGCTTCTTCCGACCATAATGTAGGGTGGATTGCGGAGTTTCTGCGGTTGTTCTGATTCGCGAGGAGTGATTGAGAATAAAAGTTAGCTTCGGAGCCTGCCGGGCAGAGATATCGATGGCCAGCCTTGTCTTTTCTGAATGCATATATGCCGTGCTGTACACGAGAACGTCAGATCATTGAGTCCTTTAGGCACGAGATCATCGAAGCCAACCTGGGTTGTCCTATCAATGGATATCTCCCATGGTTTACCCTGCTCGTCTAGGATTTGAACAATTTTGTTCCTCTTCGTCATCGTATCAAGCTGCTTTCCTTCTGTACGTCGTGTAAAGACAGTAGAAAATCGATCACCAATAATACACTCACGAAGGACACCAGAACCAAAAAATGCTTGAAGGCGAAGCTTGCCTTTCATTGACAAATGACCATTCGGCCTATATTCACGAAATTCAACTCCAGGCCGCACCCTTCCGCGAGAGACGCACGAGATGGTGGTAAACACAACAAATGGCAAAATCAGACTATCTTCGTCGGCACTTTGCACTTCATCTGTTACGGTGCCTTATAGTTTTCTCAGCAGAGGAAGTAGCATGTAGGGGGAAAGAGATTACACGAACATACTGCAATATCTTGTGGAATTTCCGAGGCATTCCAGGCGGCAATTGAAAAAGGCGAGTCCTTAAGTAGTCTTTCGCTGTTGCTCCATGCAAAACCACCAGCGGAACGCAGAAGTTTGGTGCTATATCCAAGCTGCATGTCATCGTAGGTCTCATCAACGTTCAATGTAGTGATCACAAGAATATCGTACCGGGACTACACGCTGCTCTTTGGCTTGGAGGCACTCGGATTGAGACGTTACAGTACAGACGGCCAAACTAGATAAGATCAATTTCAACATTATGGGTCGTACCAATGACATAGAACCTACTCTTCGCTGCATTCAAATGAACAAACTGGATCTGGACAAGGAGTGAGCGTTCAACAATCGTGATAATCTCACACACGAGACTAATACCATTTTGGATATCAAAGACCTGCGATCTCGCTGGACAAGATGTTCGATCCCATCAAATGAAAATGGCGACTTACCCGCCATGCGAGAAGAGTGGAAGGATGTCTAGGTTGGGAGATGGGACTCAGAGCAAAAATTATCTGGTATTAATGAGAGTATAATCAATATTAGCTCCATCAACACGCCCTATACCTCTATTCATCCCACCTGACTATGTGTGCCTCGCAGATGGTCGTCATCGAGAAAATATACCTTGATCATTTTTGGTAGTACCTAAACCAAGGTCGTCTTCGTCTGAAGAGGGATTCCAGGGAAGGGAGGACGGGGAGAAAAGGATAAGCCTCGAGCGTTCGATGAACATGGGTCGCATGTTTGTCGCATTGAATGGAAGTACCACGTCTCCAGTTGGCATAACCTTGAGTTCGTCCAATAAGATTGCCCCGATAATAAGATCTGATAGTAGGCATCAGTTACTTTCTAAGCACTCTAATACAGACCTACTCCCAGCAGGCAACTTAATAGGAAGAAGATGCGATGCCCAAGAAGACACAGATTCCGCGAGTCGAGACTCTTCGTACAAGGCGCAAGACGCAGGAAACAAACCAGGATGTCATATTCATTTCTCGAGTATACGAGGCAAAGTGGACCACATTTGAACATCATGTGTAGAGCCTACTCACCTTGCGACCTTTCTCATTGATATCAAAATATGGGATGGTCAAATACATATCAGAGGCGTGGTAAAGAGTAACGATGGGCTCGCATTGTGGCCGTCGCTGCAGTTAGCGTTGTTTGGCATACACGGCGGACCCTAGGTTGAACAATGAACGAAGACTATTCAATCATTTCAGAGAAAGGAAGCAAGAAAACAAACAATATCCCGTTCGACGGCACCTCTTGAGTCTCAGGCATTACTCCTAAAAATGCAGAAGTCATAAATCAGGCGAAGAATTAGTAGATGAAGAAGGAAGGGGTGAAATGAAATACATGAGAAGATAAATTGGGCTGAGAACGAAGCGAATCGTGAGAGCTTACAATATACCTTCGTAGTTCTAGCAGTACACACGAATTGGGGGCGTTGGAGAGGATGCGAGGGTGCCTTCGACGTGTCTATGACACGATTCAAAAGGAAAAGAATCAAGAAGACTTCGAGTCAATCTGACGGAACACATACAACACCAGGTCCCTTGCAAGGAGGCCGTGTGAATGTCGTCCTCATAGTAAACCTATTAAGTTTCATTAAACATAGAACTTACGTCCAAATCTACGGCATGTCAGGGAGGTGCTTGTCCGATTTGAATAAACCCCGAGGTGGCCTGCTTTAGGCACTTGAGGAGAGTACGTCAAGATTGGACTTGCGTGGGTTGGACGGGTACATGTGATCAGCTATGTGTGCAATACCCTTGATGTCCTGACGAAGCGAGTAGGTCTCGAGGTGTGAGCGAGAAGCTTCTTGTCCGTGTCGGGGCTATTAGCGCTAACGTGTCGGGAACGTATTCAGGACATGGAAGGGTCTCAGAACCTGAGCACATGTCTCTCAGATTGGAAGATACCTGCGGTAGTAACTTATGAGTCAATTTGCGGAGGGGTCACTGGTGAGCAAGATCGACACTCACGGTCCCAGCTGCACTCACGCCTACGCTAGAGCGACGTCTTGAAAGAGGCAGTCCATTGGGAAGGATTGGCGGTGCCAAGGTGTCCCGCCAGATGATGGACGTTCGTGTCAGATCTCCGGCTTTCAGTCTTCTTGCCGTAAGCAGCGAATCCGATGACGATGGAGACACATCTTTCTAAAGATCGTCGAGCTGACCATCACCGCCCACATCTTCACGTGAGACGCGTCTAACGCGTCTCGACCAATTATACCGACCGCACGCGCGACGCGTACCTGCGCCAATAAAAGCACTTCCATCAACGTTGCACGTTGCACGTTTCATCTCCAGTCCTCTCTGATGGCCAAGACTTATCAGGGGACAACTCACCGTTTCCGTGTTAAGACATTCGTCCGAGTCGGCGAAGGGGCATCGGGCAGTCATACATAGGAACCATGGCAGTCACAGACCGCCAGCAGCGCGGGAATTTCTGAGAAATTTGGAGAGAATACGAGCGAGTCATGCACGTTTTACGTTGTTCAGGCACATTGTTTCCCGACGTTCTTCGGAGACGTTGAGAAAGGCTATTTTGTAATGCGGGGAGAGATTCTAATGAAATTCAGAATATTCTGACCATCAGACTCAGAGCTGATGTTGAGTCAAACTGCCATCGAAGGAACCCTGAAAGCGCTTTGAACGGCGGAGAATCGATGCCACCCTGGGAGGGATAGATGGTGAGCGTAATGAGTGTGTTGAACAGACGGGTATAAAGAGGCGGGGAAGTTGCACATTCATCTACACCCCACTCACTTCCCAGTCCAACCAACATTCGGAACGATGTTCGCTGCTTTCAAACTCGTTGCTGTCGCCGCCGCTATGTCCACTGGTTTGTGTTCTTAGTTGCTTGTGAGGGCGAACTGAACTCATCGCATCGCTACAGCATACGCACAGATACTCCCTCCGGATTGCTCACGCACGTACACCGTTCAGTCCGGTGACTTCTGCGACAAAATTTCTGCGGAACAGAGTGTCTCCACGTTAGTTCACCACTCAAGTATCCTTGCTCTTATGACTCACCAAATGCATACCTCTCCAGCTTCCAACTCGCTGATGTCAACAAAGGCATCATCGACGCAGCCTGCGACAACCTCTTCCCCGGCGAAGTTCTTTGCCTTGGCATAACTGGACAGGACTGCACGACCGTACACGTCATCGCTGAGGGTGACTTCTGCGCTTCCATTGCGGGTAATGCTGGGATCCCCATTAGCACCCTGTTGGCCAACAACCCTAACGTCAATGCGGACTGCAGCAACCTTGGCATCGGGGAGGTAGGCTCGTATACCTAGATAGTCCTGGACGACTGACGCGATCCACCATTTCAACAGGTACTCTGCACGGCTTCTGAAATATTTGTCGGAGGAGGATCCGGCACTACCACCATAGAACCACCAAGTCCTGGCACCACCACCATAGACCCACCAACTGAGCTCTCAACCTTGCCCACGCCCACGACGGTCGAGAGCATCACGGCTCCTACGGGAGCTAGCGAGGGAGTGACTAGTGTGATTGAAACTTTGCCTACGGAACCGTCGACAGTTTCTATCACCGGTTCGTCGCTCCTTATCATCATGACTCTACCGTATGTCCTGACGATTACAACAGCGACAGTCACAGCCTCTAGCACGACAGTTTGAGCGCAGCGTCTTTCCCATTTAACTAACTGGTGGCATGCTTACGGACTGGTATATACCTTGATATTGTTATAGGTGTCGGTGCGGATGAGAAATAGGGCATACTTTCCTGTTCGTGCGTAATGAAAATAAAGATATATATTACACGTATGAATACAGCACCTGAATGTCCCAGAGGAATAGAGCTACAACGAATGAGAAAACGGTAATCCCATTAAGCGTACTAGAAAGGAAACACAATGTTAGTATAATCACGTAACGAACATTGAATGTTAATTACTCACCCTAGTGAAGGTACCCATAGTCATGAATGTCTCCTTTCTCTGAAGGCCACCCTTCGGGGTATATAAACTCTTGACAGCCTCACTCATGTTGGCCCTCCTCTTCGCCTCCTCCCCTACAAGGGTATTCGCAACAGCCCGACTTGTTGCAGCGATATTAGGGTTGAGACTCGGAGCGGGTGACGCAGAAGAATGTTTCTTCTTCGTCGGTGGCTCAGTTTCAGATACAGTTGGGGCATGTTTCCTCTTCTTTCCTTTTGTCTTTGGCTCTGATGCCCGCCTTCGCTCCATCGCCAGTCGCATCCTCTCCTCTTCCTCGAGCGGAGGGTTCAGGAGGATGATGTCTCCCGTTTTGTCGTATTTTGTACCACACTGAGGGCAAAGATCCAACTGTTTCTCTGCTTCGGCTTCGCCCTCGTGCTCTTTCTGCTTCCCCTTTACGTCTTCGTTGAGGATTCCCAGGTGTTCTCGTGACGGCGGTGTTCGAGAAACGGCCTTGAGACCGGCCTGAGAGAAAACACATCCACATGTCCAAAGATAGACGAACGGCTGTGAACCATTCATCTCCTTGAAGTTGAGTGGACAAACGAAGGGTGCGACTTCGGCATTAGAATCAGAGGATGGAGGTGTCTTTATCGAGTTGGGCGTGAGTTTTAGGGTCTTTACATCCTGCAAAAGAGCTCAGTAAGTAAAACGAACAATATGTCGTGAAAGGAGGGTTGAACGTACCTTTAAAGACCGGATATGCCCACATATTGCCTCACCATCACCAAAGGACGATTTGTCTAACAAGAACTCTATCAAAGCAACCTTGTTGTATAACCGGCCTAATGCACAAGAGACAACGGGATCCTGTAGCTTGTTCTTGGACAATGCGCAGAAGAGCCAGCGTGCGCGAGTTTGGTTAGCTTTATCAGCCTGCTCAGCCTGGAAATAGAGTCAGTGCCTGGATGAACGCGTTGTATTTCTAAACGTACCTTTGGTTTGTTCCTGACCAAATCTCTTCGGTCTGGAATACTTCCTCCATCATTACCCATGGTGTAGGTGTGTAATTAGCGAAGAATAACGAAGAGTTAGTATGAAAGTGAGGACGGAGGTGAGGGGAAGAGGTAAGACGCTGAGCGCCCATAGAGGACAGAAGTAAGCTTAATAAGCGCCATTCGATCGAACCATTAACGCCCGAGCGTGAAATGCCGAAAGGGTGTTGTCTCTGACGTCCATGGCGAGGGAGAGAGACTGTCGCGTTGCAAGTGCGGCCACTTGCAGCATTCCGTAATCCAAATCCGAATCACGGAACGTCCGGGAAGCTATCTATCCGAGCAGAGATATCCTCCTCTCTTGCTAGGCAGCGACATGCTGCAAGAACTATCACATATGGACCGCATCACCCAACTCCAGGATGAAATCCAGCAGGCATGTTGATGGTGTTGTCTATTCGCGTGGAATATTCAACCTGACATAGGCTGCTGTGTAGCTCCTTACTATCATGGCAAACAGCGTGGCGTATCTGACTGCCAAGGCAAACTTCACGCAAGTCAGTCCAGATGTCCCCATCACGAAACATAGGAATCCGGAGAAGGTTGATGCGCCAGAGGTCTTCGAAGGTCTGTCTGCAACTATGAGTACTTCCCCTCCGTCTGACCATCCTTTCAGCGAATAAGAAGGAGATGGTAAATGACCTCATGGTCAAGGCAAAACAGATTGAATATTTGATCAACTCTTTGCCCGAGCCAGAGCCAGAGGAAATTCAAGTAAGTTGATGTCGACGCCCATCACGTCTTTTATGGTCTGACAATGATCAGGCGCATAGGCTCCAGGAACTTGAGCAAGAAATGAGCCAGGCAAATGAGGAATATATCCGAGCTGTTAATCGGGCCAGTGCGTTTTGTCCTTCGCAGGGTCTCGCCTTGGAATTGACGCAGATCACTTAGAGAACCTATATAAGAAGGTCTCGGACGCTCTCCGTAACATGCTTGATATGCATGACATGATTAACGAGCCTGCAGGCTAAGATTGAACTCGCTATTCAGCCTGCTTAGAGGGACAACTTCCGAACTACGGTCTCGCCTCTGGAGTGTAGCGCGAACGAAGAAGCGCGTTCAGTGCGCGCAGTGACCTTCGGTGCATGGTTCAACGACGGCGCCGAATTATCCATTCAAGACGGGTGACCGCTCATTGCCAGGAAGAGCGCCATCGGCCGTGAAACAAAGAGGTCTTGTACGCGATGCTGTTTGGTAGCGCTCCGTCCTTACCCGAGACATGTTGAATGAGGGTCAGAGGTTGGATGGCTGGTCAGATGTGAAGGAATATTGTCCCTATGTGCCTTTCCACTTTTAGCATCGTTCGATTGCGAATCATTTCGTCTGAACGACGACTTTTCGCGTTGACTCCTTCGGCGCTTATTCAGCATTTTTAGTTGGACCCATATTCGTACACCTATAATCGATTTTTGAGTTTCATTACCATGCCACCATCAGGGTTTGCCGCCTTACTTGACCAAAACATCCATGTCGTCCCTTCATTTACACTAGAATGCGGTAGAGTCCTACGGGAAGTCCCCGTGGCATACAAAACTTGGGGCAAGCTGAACGAATCTAGAGATAATGTCATGATCATTTGTCATGCGTTTACTGGCAGTGCAGACGTAGAGGATTGGTCTGTTTCTCTTTGAATAAGTTGTGTTTGAAGTATACTGACAATGACACGCATAGGTGGGGCCCGTTGATGGGTCGTGGAAAGGCTTTCGATTCCAACCGCTTCTTCATCTTCTGTGCGAACGTTATGGGTTCGCCTTATGGCTCAGCGTCACCTGCGACAATAAATCCTGACACAGGGAAGCCGTATGGACCAGAATTTCCTACGACGACGATTAGAGACGACGTTCGGTATGTCAATACTTTACTTTGCAACCCAACTTTGACTCATTACCTTGATGAAAGTCTCCACAAACTCGTGCTAGACCACTTAGGCGTAAGCTCAGTTGCTGTCGTCATTGGAGGCTCCATGGGCGGTATGGCAGTCCTCGAATGGCCACTATGCACTCCAAAAGGTTACGTTCGACACATCATTCCTATTGCAACTTCAGGGAGGCACTCGGCCTGGTGTATAAGCTGGGGCGAAGCCCAACGGCAGAGCATCTACAGTGACCCAGTATACGAAGACGGATATTACACCTCCCAGCCTGCTTCAGGACTCGCAGCAGCCCGTATGGCAGCCCTCTTGACGTATCGCTGTCGAGACTCGTTTGAGAGTCGCTTTGGAAGGAAAGCGCAACGGTCTCTAACGGCTGGAACTCTTACTCCACCATTGTCACCAGCATTGTCTCACTGTGAAGACCCATTGTCTGATCATAACGATGGACATCGAAACGCAAAACATCGTTCATCCGCTTGCCCTTCCCCTACGCACACACCACACACCTCTCGACCGTTGTCACCCCAACCTCGAAAACCCATTTTCTCTGCTCAATCATACCTACGTTATCAGGGAGAAAAGTTCACGTCACGATTCGATGCCAATTGCTACATTCACATCACCCGGAAAATGGATACTCACGACGTCGCTCGTGACCGTCTTCTATACCCAGATGAAGATGAGAATGCCGCGTTTGCCCGGGTCCTCTCAGCAGAACCTCCACGCGCGCTCGTCATTGGAATTCAAACGGATGGCCTGTTCACACCCTCTGAACAACGGGAAATTGCGGAACATATCCCTGACGCGGAACTCGTCATAATCCCTTCCCCTGAGGGTCACGATGGATTCCTGCTGGAATTCGAGATCATCAATAGCTATATCCTCAGGTTTTTGAGGAGAGAATTCTCGCAGTATTACCAGGGAAGAGAGGAACACCCGACGGAAGGTTTCGACGTCAAGAAAACGAGTTTATTCGGGGAGGCTGAAGCTGACCTTACGAGATGGTAGAGAATAGACGGAGTCATGGAAATATATCATAGGTGAGCTGCTCAACCTACCGTAGATCTCGTGCATGTTTCATGACCGCCCTTTTTTTAGATGCAATGTAACCGTAATGTCATGCATACGTCAGCTGGGACATTGGGAATAACCCATTCAACTGGATGTTTATGTTAGTTGTTTAAAAGTAGCTCGAAAAACTTTTCATTCTTCATTACAAGATATGTATACCCTACAGGCTCACGCCCATCTTCTATTCGAATTCCTGGCTTGGGGCGCTCCATATGACAGTACCCACAGATGCCTATTCTTCCTCGAGTGCAAGTCCTTGAAGCTCTCGTTCTAAATTGGAAGCTTCGTCAGCTTCATTTAGGCCATCCTCTTTGGTTTCTGTCTCCTATAGTGCACTTTGCAGTGAGTTAGGTTCATCTGTCTCGTCAACGGGGCTCACCTTCACAATCTACTGCCACGGATCTGTATGTCTTGGGGGTCCTCTGCTCATCTTCGTCTTCGGGATCGCTCTCAAACGGGATAAGCTCTCCATCTTTGGAGTTGTACAACCCCCCGCAATATCTGTACCATTTCGGCTCATCCACTGCCCGCAACAATTGCTGCAATAGCATCATATCCTCATCGCGAGGCAGTTGGCTGTGCTTGAAACAAGCGGTGTTTGCACCGCTAGCCCTTCTGTCGAAGTATAACCTGAAAACTTTCGTTGGTTCCCCGTTGACCTAACAATTCAGACGGATGAGGTTGATTTTTTATATGGCCGTTGATGAACGTTCACACCGCCTTTGAATAACAGTCGAGGATGGTGAGTAGGTCTTCTTTGTCCCTCCGACATAGGGTCCATGTTGGCTTTCCGCGAGAATTTACCTGTGCATGGATCAAGGTCAAGGCTCGATTTTGGGCAGGGTCACATCAAGGTTCTTCTGGAATCACTCTCACATCCTCGCTTAGACTTTGTATAGGGATACGAGGTACATTCTCGCTCAGGTACTCCTGCCTGTTTGTCCGAGGAATGGCGGCCGTAGAGGGCGACACCGGACTCAACCACGAGAACACTGCAACCCCGTTCTTCTGATATGTGTATTGAATCTGCGCAATGCGTGGCGCCATCATTGGCAGTTCGGCTCCATTGTGCGAAGTTGACCCCTTGGTCCACCAATTCGGCCATTTGAGGGAATATGTATGGAATTACTACCTACCATCCCAGTATTGTAACGGCTACTGCATGCACTCCTCCTCCTTCATGCCGTTAGCATTTCCCCTCGTCTGATGTTCATTTATAGTCCCCGTGGCACTCTGGAAGTCTATTGTTCAAGCGCCACGTATGAGTCCCTAGAGTTGCTGTTGACACGATCACCTGTGCTCATGCACTTGTGCATAGCATGTGACAATTTCGGACCTGGGAACAACCGTGCCTATGCGCCAGTGGTACTTATGTTTTGTGACAAAGAGCAAGCGGTTTGTAAGTGTCATGTTGACGTCTGTTCTTCATTCTTTCTCTACTCATATCCCCGTTTGGAGGAACGTCCGATGTCAGCTGAGCTGAAGCGTTTTGATTCGCATCTGTCAAAGAGGTCGGCGAAGAATTGGCTTGGCTTGGCTGCACCTACGAATAAGGAAGCGATATTCCAGGAATGGCAATTACTTTGAATGCTAACAAGGGCAAATAGAGGAGTGTGGCGGCAGCGCATAGCAAACACTGCAGTACTTCCATGCACTGTGTGAACTATGTTCATAGCAAAAATATGGCCTCCAGAACTCTTACCTGCTAATGAGCCACCCCATAGTTGAGTCTCGAATCAGTGTTGGCGTCTTTATAGGCATACCATTGATACTCCCTCACCTCCACCCCGTCACGCACCCCAGAGACGCAGGGGCAAACCTTTTTAATATTGTCTCAATGCACATTTGAGTTACACCCCGTACTATTGTGGTCCGGCGGATCGGTCTGAGGAAGGCGTTGACGGAGCTTTCTCGAACCCGTGCCCTCTCACGACTTGCTTGATCCGTCACGCCTGACATCGGCTGCCCTTACAAGTCCTCTATGGACCTCCTACTTACCTCCGTGGTCGTCTATCCGGACGATGTGCCTTGTCATCCTGGGCTCAATATGCACCGAGCAGCTTGGCAGACGACCTAGGCGCATCTTTGTGCGCTCTACAGGTCATATAATAGTTGATTGTTCCCCCAAACTTTTGGCCGCTACCCATACAGAGTAGCTAGACCGCATTGCCATGTTTCCATCTTTGAGATCTAGCTTCGCTCTCCTCGCAGTTCTCCTCGCCGCAACTTCGCTCAGCTCCGCGCAATGCACTAGCACACAGCCGGTACACCTATGCTGCAGAGGAGTCGCACCTTGGTCGACTAATTCGGCTGTATGGGGCGGCATATGTGGAGTATTTCCCGAAGACCCGGAAACCATCATGGGTGGAGGTTGCATACAAACTTTTCCATGGTACGTCACCCACTTACGGTTCCCATTGTCGATGCTAACAAATCATCTTAGCCCTGTCCCTGGCACTACCGAAGTGTGCTGCTCAAGCGTCTCCCGTTTGTATTCACTTTCACTTTCTGTCTATTGTTTATTGATTTATGACTTCGCAGCCTGCGGAAGCGGTGGTTTGGGGAATAACTGCTTCATTGTTTGAACAAGCGTCATTGGAGGTGAGCTGTGCGAAGAGTTGATAGCGCGGAGTACGAAACATTGATGTGGGTCATAGACGCTTTCCAGAGCAGAACGGAAGTATCAACACAATTATGGCCTTCAGTCAAGCAGTATCTGTATTGTTGGGTTATATAAGCTCGAGTATTAAACAAGGTCGTCGGCTACGAGTATTCTTTTCATTGCAATGGGACAAGGTGACAAGGGTAGTACAATATACAGGTATTTCGGCCAAGAGACATTGTCTGACAATTTATTATCTACACACCTTCGGCGATCAACCGTTGTGGATGTTCAACCCATGATCTCCAAGACTCAATGAACGCAACCAACTCTGCGCCTTCGACCACCCTATGATCTGCACTCCAGCTCACGTTCACCTTCAATCTCCTTTCGCCACTGCCATCGCCACGGTCAACGTCCCAAATCCACTTCGCTCGTCCGATGGCAACTATGGCGATACCTGTCCCCGGAACAAGAACCGGAGAAGCGCCTTCACCGGCACCAATCCCACCGACATTTGACACTGTAACTGTACCGCCACGTTTGGGCATCTCGGCTGGTGTAAGTCCGGATGGTATCTGACGACCCAAATGAGATATGTGCTTGAGTTGAGAAGCGACGGAGTACACAGAGTGTGTATTCACGCGTTGGAGCGTAGGGGTGTACAATCCTGTCGGGGTCGACAAAGCGATACTAATATCGGCATTCGGTCGAACTGTCAGAGTCGGCTTGTCCGAGGTGGAGGTCGAGGGTGTGATGGAAGACCGGAAGAGTGGCCATTCGAGCATGGCTTTTGACAATGTCTTCAGAAGGATCGGAAGGTATGTCAGTTTGGTGTAATGTCCTGACGAGGGAACGTCTGGGGATGCAGGTTGAGGGTAAATGGCAGATGGGGAGAATGCAGGTGTGTGAGGGGGATGTAGCGACGTTGGGAGATAATGTCTTGGGATATGCGAGTTAATAATTGGGAGGATCTCGTGCAGTACGGTGAGATCGAGGCTAGTAGAATATCTGTGAAGCAAAAGAATATTCAGCAAATGGAGATCCAGAAGAGACAAAAGGATCTGTACCCAAAGTGCGGGATCTCTAGACTCTACACAAAAACCGTTAGCGCGAACAGACAGTAAGACATTGGGTGACGAACCTTCGTCATCGCTCTGTACATGTTCCATCTCGTCCGGCCAAACTCCACTATAGCGTCCTCTGCAGGATCATCTTTTGAAGTAGTGGACGTGGCGGAATTCGTGTTTGTCGCCGAAATTCCTATCTGCAGATACGCCTCAATATCGCGCTTTTCGATCCTGCCAGCCTTTCCGCTTCCGGGAACAAGCAGTGAAAGTTCAACATCTTTCTGCTTGGCGAAGTGACGGACAGATGGAGTAGCCAATACGTTCGCATGGTTTCTACCAAGTAATAAGAGCTGCTGTTCAGGTGATATATTCGGATCCAGTGGGTGTGGTCTGCGTTTCGTTGGGAAAGGTGTCTGTTCCTTCGGTTTGGCTTCCGAAGGCTGTAAACCGGAAGACGCGTTATTTTGCTGTGAAGCAGAGGGTGCGTCCTCCTCCAAAGATACTGCAACCTCTTCGTCCACTTCGATAATGCAAAGACCTGATCCGACCCTTGCAACCTCGCCCTCCTTGACCAGCAGCTCTTTCACGGTACCATCGAAGGGACTAGTGATTTCCACGCTCGCCTTGTCGCTCTGAACCTCACAGAGCGCGTCGAATGCTGCTATCGAGTCTGGAGGGTTGACACTCCTGCATCAGGAGTTAGCTGAAGCTCGAGAGATGCAGCATTTTGGGTGCTCACAGACCATCTAATAACCTCGCATTCCGTGATACCTTCACCAATATCCGCTAATTTGAAGGTTTTGTGGACCTTCGCCCACGATGGATATGACGTATGGAAGTGTGAGACAAAGGATAATCGCCCTGGTAGGCGACGGAAGCGCACTCGCGACAACATCCTGACTTGTGCTAGGCAACAAAGATGAAGAAGTGGTAAAGTAAGGGCGGCAGTCTGCTTCCATTCACATAGAATTTTGGGCAAAAGACAAGATCCGCCCGCCGAACAACGGGACAAACATCGGGAGGGTACTCTCTGCTTGAGGCTTGGCCGTCCGACACGACGGCAAGCTTGTGCACAATATTCAAAGCTGCAACCAAGGTCGTAGGTGGAAGTTGAATGAAAGGGAAGATTGGTTTGCTCAAGCCTCAGATCAGTAGATTATGTTCCATCTAGCTTATCATAGATAACGACACTGGGGGACAGGTCGCATAATGATACCAGTCTCATAATATATGATGCATTCTTCTTACTTATACGCAGTGACACGTAGAATGGGTTGTGTCTTGAAAGTATTCAATCTAATTAAGCATCCTGGTCGCTAGGTATCTGCGGACAAGGTAGACAGGCATCAATAGCACAGCAGTCATGAGCGCCGCTTAATCGCTAACGGTTTCGAAGCATGTAGAACCAGAAGTAATATGCACATGCAACATAATGAAGAGCATGAAGAGACAATAGTATTTGGAATGACAGAAAGATGCAGTAGCTATTGAATCTCCGCTGCCCGATTTGGTATGTTGACGGATGCGACTCGAGTCGACTTTGCTTGCCTGCCGCCATCCTCAAGCCCTTACGACCGTCCCGAGCTCCTCTACTTCCCTTAATCCTCGTTGTCGACGCGTGGACTTTGATAGTCGGTCTCGGTATGTTACATTTGAACAAGTTATTCGAGGAGAGTCTCATCCCGTCCACAATGTTAACGTCACAGTCCTACTTTACTACCTACCGGAAACCGCTTCCGCGAGTATTCTCCTGGGCATTTCGTAACCCTTCAAAGACTAGGCTAGGTTCTGCTCCGAGGAATAGACTACTGGACGTTACCTCAAGTAATTCTTCGTCGGATACCATGGCCTCGGTTGATACCCCGCACACAAATGGCACAACAAACGGCGTGCATGATGGTCCTGCTGAACCGGCAATCACGACAGCGTCCACATTCGACCCCGAGATATTTCGATCATATCTTCTGGCTTTACTCCCACCTCTCCTAGGTGCCGCACCGACTGATTTGGAGTATGTTTTTGATGACGAGTTTAATGAACGCGTCCAACGGTTCGCGAGCGAGGGTGGCGGAGCAATATATGTAGTAAAGAAGAAAGAGGAATCCGAAGGTGAGTTTCTATGTGTTTAGAATAGTGTACTTGACAGTATTGACGCGTCATAGACGAGTCGAATCCTACCTATACTTATTCTCTCACCCAACATCTAAGCTATCACCCGACTCATGTAACAACCCTCGCTATTCTAAAGCGAGCAGCAACACTGGATCCTACTGCACCACTTGCTAGTCAACTGCATATACTCAACTTGTTTGGTGGCGACGAAACCCCGTATGAGAGTTTGCATGCAGTTGTCAGTGGTGCAGTGAAACCCTGGTTCGAAGCATTTGTTGGTTCGCGGGGACAAGGAAAGGAAGGCGATGCAAAAATGGGTACGCGGACCTACTTTTTATGCCAATTCATCCCTAATGTCAATTGTAGGTATTCCAATGACCAAGAAGAAATTTGCCGAACTGGAGTTGTCTCTTCTTCATTTGCAACAAAACGTAGAAATACCCGAAACGCACCTCATCATTCACCCTGTCATCCAACGTGCAGTAGAGGAAGCTCACGCTCAAGGCAAACGACCAAGCATATCTGACATTCCCCCAAAGCTACTCAACGATAGTTCCTTCCTCAATACGCTACACAGCCATGTGAATCAATGGATCAAGTCCATTCAAACGGTCACCAAACTAGGCCGAGAGGTTTCCTCCGGCACTGCTTCTCAAGAGATAAACTTTTGGCTGAGTTGGGAGAAGGCATTGGAAGCTATCGAGGCGCAGTTGAGGAGCGAAGAAGTCAATATGGTGATGGATTGCTTGAGGAACGCTAAACGGTTCCACGCGACAGTCAGTTTCATTGCTGACACTGGTCTCAAGGACGCAACAGACAAAGGTGATCATATTGTCCCGCTATAATTAATAATTTTACTAAGGCATATCTACAGCACACAAGTACAACCAGCTCATGAAGGACTTCCCATTGAACGAGTTGCTCTCTGCCACAGATCTCGACAAGATCCAAGAGGCTCTTATCCTCATTTTCGGTCATATTAACCGTAAATTGAAGCTTTCACCTTATCCCATCCGCCGAGCCCTCCCTCTCGTTGAAGCGATTTCCCGAGACCTTAATGACCAACTAATCCGTGTACTCACAACCCACCGGCTGCTTTACACACCGTATGAGACATTCGAACGTCTTATGGGCCAAACGATGGGTATTTTCCGGACGTGGGACGAGCACATCAAGGAGTTCACCAATGTTGCTCGTGAAGTTACCAGAAAGCGTCAGGAGAGGTTCATTCCGATCAAGATCGTGCCCGCGCATGCCAAGTTGCAGGATAGGTGCAGATATCTCAGAGATTGGCGGAAACAACATGAGCAGTTGGCTGTTATGACGGGCCCGACGAAGGGCTTGAGTGCCGCCGGGATGGAAGTTGGCGGCATGGACATGGAGGAAGAGGTTAAGGAGGCGTACGAAGTCATGAAGCGCGTTGACGTTCTTGATGTCTCAACCGGTGAGTCTGATGCTCCCTCGAAGACATAGAATAATGATGACTGATTGCTGGATTTCAGATGGAAGCGAGATCTGGGTCGCTGCTGAGAACGCTTACAATGAACGTGTTGCGAGGGTTGAAAACCAGATCATTGCTCGGTTGCGAGATAGACTCGGGACTGCGCGAAATGCGAATGAGATGTTCCGTGTTTTCTCGAAGTTCAACGCGCTCTTCGTTCGCCCGAAGGTAAAATACTTATACGTTCAAAGGATGGCGTGTTGGTTCTGATAACATCGTCAGATTCGAGGAGCCATTCAGGAATATCAGACGCAACTCATCGACTCCGTCAAGGAGGATATCAAACGTTTGCACGACAAAGTTTGTGTATCTCATCTTAATAATATGAGAAGTATTCAGTTCTGACTATTGATGCACTATAGTTCAAGACGCAATACCGCTACTCAGAAGCGTACCACATGTCCCAGATGAGAGATTTGCCACCAATATCAGGCGCAATTATCTGGGCTCGGCAGATTGACCGGCAGCTCCAGACATACATGAAGCGCGTCGAAGACGTTCTCGGAAAGGGATGGGAGCTCTACGCCGAAGGTCAGAAACTCCAATCCGAGAGTGCAGCCTTCCGAAAGAAACTCGACACGCGACCTGTATACGAGGCCTGGCTTCACGACATTAACCGACGCGACATGGGCGTTGGCGGACGACTGTTTGAAATCGTGCGATTGCGTGGAGGAGGATTCCAGCTGGCTGTGAACTTCGACCCGCAGATCATCACTCTCTTTAAGGAAGTTAGGAATCTTCTGTGGCAGAATTTCCAGGTGCCACATGCCATAACGAACATGGCGAAAGATGCGAAGAGGGTATACCCACACGCTGTTTCATTGATGGAGACCGTCAGGACATATGGTCAGACACTGGACCTCGTTGAGAATAACAAAGGTATCGAATGGCTTGTTGCGGAATACCGGAATGAAGCACAGCGCATGGTCGGAAAAGGTACTTTTCATGGGCGTTTTCTGATGAACCACCCTCTCTGAATGTTCCACCTCCAGGCATGAACATTCGCTGGGACCAATTTGTCAATCAGTTTGATGCCTCTCGATATGCGTCTGGAGCGGATGCTCGTGATCACCGACACATTCAGTTCGTCCGTGAATTTGCCAGTGTTGTCTCAATACTGCAGGTAAGCCCATCTTTAGACCTACGTTCATAATACAACCTCACTCTTTCTACAGGACAAGACCAACAACGTCATTGACCTGTTCAAGGATATCATGAGAGCCGTAGAAGACCTAGCAACCTGCTCTTACACTACGGAGGCCTTCACGGAGTTGCTGGGCAAGATTCAGGCAGCTGTAAGTAACAGCCTCTTGATGGACTGCGTTCAGGGCTGATATCCCTTTTCCAGATCGATCGTCTGAATTTGGAAGGTTATGCTAATCTTGAACACTGGGTTGCGGAACTCGACAAGCGGATAGAAGGTATCCTGCTTCAGCGTCTCACACATATCATTCAAGTATGGTGCTCAGAATTTGACCGGACTGACGATGGTGATCGACGCGAGCCGCCTCCGCTCCGTGATTTGACGCATAAACGACGAGGGGGAAAGCTGGTCAAAGAAGAGAAGGTAAGCTGAGTATGTGTTCTTCGCTGCGAGCTTAAATCTCAACCTTGATGTAGCACTTGGAGGGACAAATGACTCTCAAGCCCATTGTACACGAAATTCGGATACAGAATCAGGTCATCTTTTTGGATCCACCAATAGAATATGCTCGCCAGACTTGGATTACCCAGCTTCACGAATGGCTCGGTGAGTATTCTTCGTGTTGCCGCTGAGGATATTCTAACAACGTTTTTCAGGTATCGTGTGCCGACTGAGACGAATTCAGAGTTCGCGATATGAGATCGGGTTACAGATGCAGGCCAGAGCATCAGAAACAACGTATACTTCCTTGGTAAGTTGTCTTGAAATGAGTCCGACTACGCAGACTCACGACTACCCTTGCAGCTAACACAGTTCCCTGATGCTACGTTGGAACGACCATTCGCACTCATTGAGGGCAAAGTGCAACAGCTAAAGGAGTATGTTGCCAAGTGGCTACAATTCCAGTCACTTTGGGATCTCGAGGCCGAATACGTCTTCAACCGACTCGGTGACAACCTTGCTAATTGGCAACAGCTTCTCACCGAGATCAAGAAGGCTCGCTCGACTTTTGACACCTCGGAGACGCAGAAGTCTTTCGGCGTTTGCGTCATCGACTATGAGCAAGTGCAGGCCCGTGTGAATGCCAAGTACGACTCATGGCAGAAGGACATTCTGAGTCGCTTTGGTGTAAAGTTGGGTAATGCAATGAAGGATATGCACGCCGCCATCCTCAAAGCTCGGCATGACCTCGAGCATCAGTCAATAGAGGGACTAGTGGGTGGTTCACGGCGGTTCTAGTACTTGATATATCCTTTCGTTTGTTACATTGGTTTCCTTTGCTACGTTGCAACTGCACACTCAACACTCATTACACGTTTTAACGATCTTTTCTCTTTGGCATTATTCCATACCTCTGCAATCTCATATGTATCCTGGATCATTTTCGTTCAGCGTTGTGTTTACATTGCATTTGTACTCTTGTAATCGTCTGTTTGGTATACCCTATGCTCGCATAGACTAGTCCCATATAACATCTACATTCTATGTTTTCGTCTTATCTCAGAGATTACTGATGACTCTGTGCCCAGTACAGTTTAAGCCAGTTGTACCATCAGGGCTTGCGGGGCAAGCTTCGTGTCAAGATAGTTAACATCTCTGTCCAATGTTATCCAGACGATAATGAGCCAATCGACACTCACGCAAAAAGTCCCAGCAACAGACATCGTACAGACCATCGAAGACGCTGCAAATAATAAGAGTGAAGCTGCTGAAGAGATCAGGCTAACAGTAAGTTCTCTTACCATGGAATATCGCTACATGCACCACCGACGAGAACACTGGTGTTGTCTATTCCAGGGAAGCCGCAAACGCCCTCCCACACGATCTGATTATCTCTGTATGGACTCAAAGAGCGGCAGCAAAGGTGATGGGGGCGAGGGTCGACGCATTGGCTGACCGCTAGGGTTACTGCAGAAAGGAGGAACGCAGTCACGAAGACGAACATCTCGATGAAAACGAGTTCGCAAGCGGGCGAGATGATGCATCCTTGATGAAGGTGCAGCCAGCTGTTATACTTGCTTAAGCTTGAGTGCCGTGAGCCGTGATATCTCCACGCTGGGGATTACGAAGGCGAACTAGCCTAGGTCATCTCTGGATCAATCAGTCATCCGGAGAAATGATGAACTCAACATAAACAGAAGAAACATACGCTCAAACGCTGACCACCTCCTTATGGCTCAACATCTTACAGGAACATACAGATGTCATGTATGTCAGACACTTCCCGGCCTGATGTCTCCCATGGACTCCCGGAGTTACGTAGGGATTTGCAAGAGATGAAGTCGCTCCGCCGGTGGGCGTAGTACCTGTAGCGTCTGGGCTCGTCTCATGATCAAACATGCAAACGCAGGTATAACTACCTGACAGCGCTGACGGATACCGCATCATGATATACTATCATGCTTCAACCACGTGAATTGACTTTTGGACTCTGTCGATGCCAATAGTTAGTAGATGCTCAACGCGTTCGGACTTCGGTGCACAATGAAAACATGGGGAACAGTACGATCCAACTATAGAATTTTCTGATCCAGACGGTGAGAACTTTGGCCTCCGCACTGAGCGGGAAATTTACCTTAGAACTTGCATTTTCCAAGCCATCGGATACTTCAGTAAATTGACAGGACGAATAAGAACAATTGTTCTGGCATCTTCGCGGAGGATAGGACCTTCTTAGTTGATCGAAAACCTTACGGCGTTCGTCCATAGGAATTGTCGGACCTCTGGAACAACGTGCGGACAGACTACGATAAGCTTGAAAGTTCCCGTAGCTTGTTTGGACTTCATTGACTGAGGGAAAGATGCACAAGTTAGGTTCGCCTAAAATTCATGCAGACTGAAGGCTGGCCTAGTATTCAGATTAACATTAGTCTCCGTTGCTGCCTATATTAGGGATCGGATGACAGTCGATCCAAATCTAATATATATTGTGAACTGGACCGTTGGAGATAGACACTGAGGTTCCACCGTTTGAAGTGTCCCGAAGAGTGGCATGAGCCCGGCGGCCCGCCGTGAGCCGGAGATACTCTGGCCCTCTCCTCGCAATGATCTAGCCTGAGACTTCAACTCTCTCTTGAGGAGATACCAATTCATTTGTATCCCTTCTACGGTAATGTTATACTTAGAGCATCAAGCCAAACTCTGAGCGAAGGACTGCCGCAGGCGGCGCTTTCGGGTTAGGTGTTATTTGTTAATAACCTTCAGTCTGGCGTTGTTTTGCGGGGGCTTCGTTGATCTTGCCTTTTTTGCAAGTTCATTCGAGTCCTGAACCTCAGGAAGATTCGGAGAAATCAAAGTAAGTGTTACACTGCTGATCGGGGATTAACACTAAAACTCAGTTGAGCGTTCAAGATAGAACTGAAGTGCATTGAAGGTACAGTGCCATCCGATGTGGCTCAGAGCGGCCTCAGCGCATGATCATTCTGCCGTTCGCCTCTGGTAGAAACCAGTTTCTGGGTCCTATGGAAACATTTAAATCACGATTTATGTTGGTATACTTAGTGTCTCATCCTCAGTACCCACGTTCGGATCATCTACGACACTAATTCTGGATTGGCGCAAGCGATTCTTTGTATTGATGCTTCAAGTTGGTTCTTTTTACATTTCAGCACTGGCAGAACAGATTGTCGCCAAAGCGTTCAATATGATGAGATTTTACACCGGAGAGGACACTACGGCAAATTTATAACCTCTTTACCTCTGCTCGCATGGCTCAGATGCTCCTCTGTTACAGTGATTACAGATCGGAAGCCGAGTTAAAGGAAGAACCATTTATCAAAAGGGGGCCGCTAGATTATGTCCTACACTGACATGGAATACCCTGTTCCTTACTAGTGTTGCAGCTGAAGCCAAAACAATATGGCCCATACCAATCTTGTTCGTTTCTTTGGAATGTCACGCGAACCGTTCCTGGCAACGCGCACTATTTTTGTCCCCGTCACTCGACTGGCAGCCATACCCGATTTCGCTAAGCCACACCGATATTGAACGAGGTATCTCTCATTGTGCTGTCACGCCTCACGCTTGGTCACGTACTATTCACAATAGTGTGTTCTAGCGCACTTTCCAACAAATTCGACTACCCATTCAAACGAGCCACCGTAGTTTTTCAAGTATCTAATAGTATGTGCACAGAGAATAAAGTTAACGTACTGACCTAGTGACTGATTCCCTAACAGGTCCTTCTGCTAAGCACATTGTTAGCCGAGTGTCTTTGTCCCGGTGTCTCCACATTCAAATTCAACTTCCGCTCTTTGGCCACGGCCACAGGCAATAGCACAATATATAAGTACGCTACCATATACACGCCTTTGTGTGTTATCTTCCTCTTAAACTCTTGACCATCATGGCTGACAGCCAACGTTCAGTATCTTCACCAATAAAGGCTAACGCTCAAAGTATTCAACACTTTCATCACAAGAAGACACCCTTCCTGGATCTTCGACATCAACACGCTGCGGACATGAAGGGATTGAATCTTGGCCATTATCCTATCCGGCACTTTATGTCTGACTTCTTGCCATGGAACGGTCCTGCTCCGCCTTCGATACCCTACATCGATTATTCTACAGTGCCTTCAGATACTACACGTGAATCAAATATGTACAAGCCACTGGTACGACTCTTTGTATATTGTCATGACCAGCACTCATTCTTCTATGCAGCTAGATGCCATCAATACTGTATTAACTTCGTCTGCATTTAGCATGCAGGACGAGTCCGCCCATTCGAAGGATGAAAGTAAATTGCGGCCCGACCTAGTCCTACACAAAGTTGAACTACTCAGTCGACTCACTCTGCGAACTCAGGAAGTGCCGTTCGAAATCAAAACTAAGACTGGCGAAATATGCAATCCCCCCGGCTACGGCGCCATTGAGAAGGAAGATGGAAACGCTTCCTTGATCCGGGGCCAACTTGCGTCCTATGTTGCCATCCAGATGTCTTCTCAACACCGCGTCTTCATGTTCTCCGTTCTCATTTACGGCAGCTTTGCTCGCATTCTTCGTTGGGATCGCTCAGGTTGTATCATATCCGAAGCCTTCAACTACAAGACGACCCAACTTCTCTCAGAATTCATCGTTCGCTATTCCCAGCTCACCGATGCACAACGTGGTATCGACAATAGCACAGTCCCCGCGTCATCCGAAGAGTCTCAGCAATTGACAGACGCTTTGAAGGCATACAAGATACGAGTGGCCCCTCGTAACGTCGACTATCTTAATCCTACTTTCGACCCTCGGTATCCAACATACAAAGTTACTGTCCATGATTCCAAAGGAAACATCGAACTCATCGTTCGAAGACCGTTTTCAGATGCGAAATCCACCTGCGGCCGTGCTACTAGAGGTTATGTCGCGTACCATGTTAAAGAACAGCGACTAGTCTTCATGAAAGACTACTGGCGCACCGACGATTCCTTGACTCTCTCAGAAGCGGAGATTTACGAACGTTTATACAAGGCAGATGTCCCTCATTTGCCGGAGAACTTGGCTGCCGGAGATGTCCTCCTTCCCAACGGCCATCCTCAAGAAACATTGACTCAGCTGTACACTAGCCCTAACAAGCCTCCTTATGTCACGTTAATGCAGTCCTATCGGCTACGGAAACTGGTGCACCACAGGGTCGCACAACAACTGGCATTTCCTCTCTCAGCTTCACTCCATTCGAAGGAAGCGGTAGAGGCTATACATGATGCCGTGGAGTGTGAGTACTTTTTGGCAACGTCATTTCCTTGCCCTGAATGTTTGCGTAGGTATTGACGTGGCGTATCGTTGTGGCAAGACTCTTCATGGGGACATCAGTGCTCGGAACATCATGATCAGAGATCTTTCTCTTCCAGCCCGTCCTGGAAGGCCTGTCATCAGCTCCGTTGGAATCTTGAACGACTGGGACCATGGTATTCCCACTGATTCCCGTCCGGGACCTCATGAGCATAGAACTGTACGTCCTCAATTGTAGATGTTGTGGTCGGGAATTCATTTTAACTGCATCATATTATTATTCAGGGTACCTGGCAGTTTATGTCTATCAAACTCCTCCGTTGTCCTGGGGTGGCTCACGAGGTACATGACGACCTGGAGTCCTGCTTCTGGGTGCTCGTCTACATTGCATTGCATCATTTCAAACATGATGCTCCCGATAGGTTCGACCTTAGTTTTTTTAGTGAGCACAAATGTGCCGAAATAAAGGCCGGACAGCCGAGGTATTCACTTGGGGGAGACGGGAAAGCTGGGGTACTCAGCACCGCTCGGCTAAATAATATCACTTTCAAGTCCAAAGCTGTTGTTCAACTTGTCCAGAACCTTGCACGCGTCTTTCGACGCTACACCTCCGCATACCTCGTGCCATCCATGATTTTCGACGAGAGAGACAAACAGGCATTCGACGCGGAGCATGAATTCGTCGGGAACCCTGTCAACGTCTTAAACGTTTTCAAGACTGTTCTGGCAATAGATGATTGGCTGCCGAGAGACTGGGTGGACGATAGATACCCTCCTCTTTCAGACACTGAATTACGCCAGGAGGAGGCAGCAGTTGATACAAAATGGATAGCTGCTGATTCGAAACAGGGAGCGACTGCTAGCATTCACAAACGAACTTACATAGACCCAACGTCCCACCGGCCGTCAAATGCGCTCTCCTCAAACCTCTCCCTTTACTACCAGCCTCATGCACAGCATGCGTCTTACTCGAGTAGAGTACCTAGTTCTGGATCATTCTCTGCTGTCGGCCACCCACATATGTATCCAAGGTTTCCTCCATCTAGCCTATCAGGCTACACGCCTTCACCCTCCGGATCCCCAAAGCGCAGCAGAGAAGATGCTGGCTTTGAACACCACCGAGGCCCGAACCGTAAAAGGACGAGGACCAACAAGGAAATCTTGACCAACCCGCGAGATCATACTGGCCCATCTCTTCCATCTCGTACGGTTAGGCTGAGGAACATGAAACCACGACGCCAGCCACCTTCCAGAATTGACCGCTTGCCGGCGAGGTCTCCGCAATCTGTGTATGCTGCAGATCTGTCATCCATAGGGTCACCGTCTGCCCCTTGCGAAGTTGGTAATACGGACAACAGAGAACAACTATCAAGTTCATCTATTCCATCTCCGCTAGACGTTTTCGGCTCTCCACCCACCGCTTCAACGGGACAATCTCATAGAACATCCCAAGATCCTCAACGTGAAAGATCGCCGAAAACATGGCGGTCAAGCTGGGGTTCTCTTGGATCGTTCACAAAGTCTTCAAAGAGTCCGAAGACCCCGAAGAGCCAAAAGAGTCCCAAGAACGGACAGCAACAACGTCCCACTGGTCAATGTTCTCCAAGATCACCCAGTAGGCTCGCCGAAACATCATCGTCTGGCCTTTTTGGTATCTTCGGAAATTCTTCAAGATCGTCTGTGCAGAGCGGCGATTCCACCAGCGACAGAGAGCTGAAAGACAGTAGGACTATGTTCAATGTTCTGAAGACTTATGGAAGGAAGGGAAAGGCCCGCCAGAAGCAGGCTTGAACAGCGAGGTTCAGACTAGTTAGCCGACTGTGTGGTCTGATAATTCTTCTGGAATGTGGCTATTCACAAGATGCGTCTAGTATGTGGTTGATAACAAGCTTTTTATAATTCGCTTCTACCCGTGGTTCGAAATGTTTGTAGATAGGAACTACATAATAATATTCTCGTTCTACTGCAGTAGCCTGAAACCTGGATCAGAAAAGGCTATTTCTATCATAGAGGGTCCAACCCCGGAAGATGGAAAATAGCTAATCTCCCGCAGGCAGACTTTGGTGGAGGTCTATTGAGGGGAGGGAAGAAGACCTGTACCATTGGCAAGATGTTTGGACATTAGAGAAGTGATGACGCAGGCCTCTGAAGTCATCTGACGATGTCGTTTGAATCTTCCACAAGTCGGGTCCTAGAATAGGTTTATCGTCCCCGAGGCTTACGACGAGGTACAGCATTGTCCTTTGTCTTCTCTTCCATCGGCTTTCGTCTTTTAACCATCGTCGGTGATCCAAGTTCGCCTTCCGAAGCCTCCTGGTCCTCGTCCATTCTCTTTCGTTTTGCACGTGTTTGATCTTCAGCGACAGTACGAGCGACTTTCCTCACTCGCGCAGATCTTCTCGGTATCATAGGTTCTTTGTCATCAGAAGGATACACCATAACCAAAGGGTATTTCGTGACAATCGGCGCTTCAGGGTTTTCTTCGACGGCGGGTTCGATATACGGGATTCCTTCCCTATCCGCCTTCTCCCTTGCGGCCTTTACTTCCAACTCTTTGCGTACTTTGTCACATTGCAGCCGATATAATCGGTGCTCGTGTTTCATCCTGTATGTACGCCATTCGTCTTCTGTCTTGTAGGGGAACATGTTTGGGACTGCGTCATTCTCGATCCATCCATTTTTGGCCAGGGCATCGTCAAAGAGTTTAACGATGTTTTCGGGATCTGAGAGCAACGCGTAGCGCTCTTTGGATTTTTGCCACATTTGAGGGAAATCTTCCCACCCGTTATGGAAGTCGGCGAATATCTGTCTGAGATCGTCCATAAGGGTGCTGAACGGTTCGCATCGCCAGTCCAAACCGCCCATGTTTTCATAAGTGATGAACTCTTGCTTGTAGATTCCACCGGCTTCGTACTGGTGCTCATTATCGTCTCCATCCCTATCAAAATACTTCATTGTGTACTGACTGAAGACCCGCCAGCCATCCTCGTACCATAGATTGATGGACTTGATGTATCGAGCTGCTATCCAGATTAAGGTCCAGAGACACGACTCGAGGTCATCGTGGATCTCATGCTCCTTGAACGGGTTCATGCAGAGAAAGATCGACATAAACCACCACGTGCCCTGGAATGCATTAGAATCAGAGTGAGTGGAGTTGATATCTTGCCTAAACTCTGGTACTCACCGCACGATTCTCGTTCTTTGGATTCTCAGGTGTTTTCATCCAGCTGCAGTCCCAGTCATTCAGAATCCCACGCCCTTCTGGTGTTATCATTATGTTCCCATCGCTGAGGTCCTGGTGCAATACTTGTGCCGACTTCCACGCCTTGCTCATACCTGTTCCACCATCAGTTGATATAGGCCTCCAAATCGTAGCTCTTGAACTCACATGCAATGGCATCCCTCACCGCCTGTGTCAGCTCCCGAGACGATTGGGCAGTCTCCAGTGGAAACGCAATCTCTTGTACAATCCGTTGATGAGTGAATGCCCATAGCCTCCCATATTCGTGGTTCAAAGTGGTTTGAGGTTCATTGTCCTCGAAAACATCCCCGGCTGCTAGATTCGTTGGAAGGTGGGGGACATCGTGGTTCGCCAGGTGTTGATACATTTCAGCCTCCGAAAGGAGCTGGTGAGTACGCCAGAAGTCTTTCAAGCACACAAGACGTTTCTCAGATGTCAAGTATGCAGCGTACACTCGCGTTGACCGACCGCCACATGTAGGACGCTTGTAGCCGTGGAACGGTTTCGCAATGATCAGGTGCATCTTCTTGCCGTTCAGGCTGTCCACTTGCACCTTATAGACGGGGTAGTCGTCATCGAGTGTAGGTCGGAGGAATTCAACGTTCCTCGGTGTATTCTTGATAAAGTTGCGTGCGGTAGTCTTGAAAGCCCGAATTTCCGAGGGAGTGGCGTCAGTGGTTGTCGGATCGAATCCTCGTCCGGCGCGACTGAGAAAGGTGAATCTCCATAAGAAGTCAGCCAACAGCCTAGGATTCTTATGGAAGTCGAAGCTGTCGGATACCACGCAACCAGCATGGTCCCAGCGCAGAAATCGAGCGAATCGGCCGGTGATGTTTAAGGAGAAGACATGGGTGCGATGTTGAAAACTGAATTGCTCAGCAATTTGCGGGATCAAATTGTCGCAAGCCTCGGAGGATTTGTCTCCATCGTGGAAAGGATCGTCGGCGGAGGAATTCCAGACGTTGACGTGCATCTCCAGGGATCGCCAGGCGTCAGAGGGACTCTGCCAGAAGTCAGAGCCTATGGGATAGAGTAACAATTGAGGGTGGTTTCCATCGCGGGCATTCCCCATTGGGGACGTCTTTGAAGCGTCGACAAGCTGGTATCCAGGACATATGCGTGACTCCCTGATGCACTGAATCTGTGGCACCGGCCGTCGAGATTACATTCTACGTGAGTGGCGTTACCAGTGCGACATGTGAAAGAGAACTTACCAATGTGGCAGATATATCACTAGCATCGGTTGCGTCGCGCAGGACTGCAGAGAATCTGACTCTGGGTGCTTCTATTCCCCGTCCAGAAGGCATGAAGTCGTTCAAGAATTGCCTGGCTTTCAAGACGCTGCGGAGGAGACATTTCTCCATTGGATCATAGCCCTTGGCCATTGTTGCAGTCGAAGTAAATGAAGATGTGAGTGTAGCAGAGGGTAAAAACTGAAGATGAAGATGAAAGGAGAAAAAGCTTGAACGCTGTTTTGAAGCCCTATCAGTGGCCCATGCGGACGCGACGTGTCAGAACGCGATCGACTGTGATCGATCGGCGCTAACACAATACACACGCAAGTCGTTGACATTTGAACCAATAATCACTGTTGTTGTCTCCAGTCAGATGAACAGCCTTGTATCCCCAGCATATTCCACTACCCTTCTCATGTACTCAGCCCCAACATGCCTCTCGGGTTCATTTGGTTACTACAGAGGAGTTGGATGCACCATTCGTAGACTTGAATTACTTAGCGCGTGAGAGTGGGAGCGTGGCCGAAGACAACAACTTGCATGAAGGGACTGACCCGGAAGATGGATCATCTTTATCATTGAAAGGTCGCTCCAAGGCAGTCTATCGTGGTCCTTTGTCCATGGATGTAGTATGCAAAATAGTTCGCAGCGAGTCCAGTAAGAACGCACTCACAAATGAGGGCCAAATAGAGTACCGCTATCCTTCAGTTTTATGGCTTAGTACCTTGTTGACTCGGAAACCGTCACTTGCGTCCTCTTGAATTACGGCGGCAAACACATGAACGATGATTTTATCGCAAAGAGATCTACTCTTCCAAGCAGGGAGCTCGCGTAGTGATAAGCTGCAATTTTCTGATCACCAAGAAAGATCGAGTTTTGGATAGTCAGTGTATACAGCAATAATACATACATTTGCTTCGTTCTACATCTTTCTTCCTTCCATCGCACTCACGCCAAACCAAGATCCTGAAAGCAAATCAATCAGCAAACCATCACTCACCGACTCACAAGCGACCCAAACACAACTCACTTTCTCAATCATCCTCTGAGCAATCGGATGGAAACTCTCTTTCGCACTCTTATACGTACTCACAGCCAACACTTTATCCACTCTATTCACCGCCCTGAAGATCGGCCTGCAGAACTTCATCCTACCCTTCAAAATACCAGTTCCATCGTCTCCGACAACCCATTTCGCCGCAACTGGGGCGAATCGCTTGGCGGCGTCGGATGGAGAGTCCTTGAGTGCAAGTTCGTAGAAGCGGAGACGGATCTCGGCGTTGGGAGTGTTGGAGACGTGGTAGAGCTCCCCGAGGTGGTCGATGTGCGAGGATGGGAGGGCATCGTAGTTGCCTTCAAGGCGTTCTAGGAAAACGACTGAGAGGGAAAAAAAAAAAGGTTAGCGTGAAGCTTAAATCTGAATGAGTAGGCGGGGGATCTTACTCTGTTGGTTCGAGTTGAAGGACTCGACGTCACTCTCCTTGAATTCTGACAAGTCGGAAGTAGAACGAGCGGCATCCCATCGTTCAGCAAGAGCATAGGCCTGTTTAGCCAATGTAGTGTCATATTCAATCTTGACCGGCAGTTCCAATCCTTCGCCAAAGAACCATGCCTGTATTTAAACCATCCCAATAAACATTCTGGGCGGAAAATAACGCGCGTGGAGAAATCACTTACATTCCAATCAACACTATCTAGAAGTTTGATCTTGGTGTCGCCGCCGTTCTTCTTAAAGTATCCGTAAAGATGATCTTTCCACTGCCAAGTGGTGATGCTCTTGCCCATAAATGTGTTTACGTAGTCGGTAATGTAAGGCAAGAAGATATCCAAACCACCAAGAAGTCGTTCTTAGCCAAGAGAAATCAATCAGCATACGTTGTGAGCGCAAGTCACGGACTGACGTACCCAGGTACAACAAGAAATTCGCTCCCTTATCATACGGCACCCGACTATACGCATCATCCGGATCTTCGCCCTTCTCGAACTCAATGACCAACCGTTGGTACTTTGGTTGATTTTGGTGCAACTTCAGGTCATCTTGTAATCCTTTGTAGCCGATTAGGAAAGAGAACCCGCGTTCGGCCTCGGAATGAAGGACCTTTTGGAGTACGCGTTCCATGTAGGTTGTGAAGCCTTCGTTGAGCCAGAAATGGCCGCTGTGGGCTTGGCTGTGATATGATGTGCGGCGCATGTGAGTGCATGTTTCATGGTCGGGAATGGGTTGACTTACGTTACGCCATTTCCGAACCATGAGTGGGTGAGTTCGTGGACGACTACGTCGACCAGTGTGCGGTCTCCGGCGAGAAGTGCTAAGAAAGGGTGTATCAGAAGATGTTGGCGTAATCGTTGGTTATGCGATCGTACTAGGGGTTAAGAACGAGATACATGCATTCTCCTGCATGTCACGGAATCGGCTATATGTCAAGATGACTGAATGGACAACGTACCATGCCACCATAAGGGAACGAGGGAGGCAACACCAACAAGTCATACACGCCAAATCTATAGGGAGGTACGATCGTCTCTTCCGTAGCCAGGAACCTATCCAAAGCTAGTTATCGACTACCACACAACAAAATGGCGACATGAACGGACGAACCTAGTCGTATCAGCCTCAAACTCCCAATAAGCCGCATCGATCAACTCAGGTTCGGCCCAAATCCCGCTCGTCCAGTCCTTGCCTTCAACCTTAGGGAATGCTTTATAACGGAGGTTGCCTGCCGCGATAGCGATGAGGTATGATGGAATAGGGATCGGCTATCGCAGACACATTAATTAGTGTCGGGATATTGGAAGAGGGAAGACGGTTATACTGACTTGCTTATATGTATAAGTTACGACATCCTTTCCAATGACCTTTCCATCATGAGCGGGTCCAGTCGATGGTGGCGAGACTCGGATGGCTGAAAGCAAGGCGGGCAGAATGGATGCCACTTTCGCGGTGTACGTCTGTAGCAGGAAGGGATTTGTCGATATTCAGAGAACTTGTTGTTACCTGTGTGATTGCACTTACAGTCTTCACTGAAGGTGAGTCCTGCAAAGGTGCCAAGCTCCGTGCATATATGGGTTGACATTGACTGAATAGGAATGGGAACGTCTTCCCTTGAGTCTGCCTAACTCGCGTCAGCTCGCCTCGATCATGAATCGAACACAGCCGTGAATGAGAGGATAAGACTATATGCGTACTCCTTAGCCAGGAATTGTAGAGCCGTGCAGTCCTTGGTGGTCTTGTAATGAATTGTCGCAGTCACTTTCGATCCGGACTTGAGACCTGCAGGGAGAGGGATATGGAGAGCAGATCCCATGACTGGATGTTTCGGATCGACGGTATACTAGCGAATCACATCAGCGTTCTAAGTGCACCTCGTAATCTATCGAAGGATCGTAACGTACGTCCACATCCTGTCCCTCGACTTCGATCTTCCCAAGGTCAAGAGCCTGAGTATCAACACTAGACATGTTTCAGCCATTACATCCATTACGTATATCACACAAGATGGAACAACTCACATAACTTCCTTCACGTCATCTTCCTTCACTACAAACGTATGCGTCGCAGAGCCAGAAATGAGTTTCGCATTGAAATCGATTGTCCAGTCGAAGTCAATGTGCTCAGAAGCGATTTGGAGGAAGTTGGCTTGAGACGTTGGGTCTCCTTCTTCTTCCTCCGGCTTCTTCAAATATGCAGACATATTTGTACGAGTGTTGAGACAATGTCTCTAGGATAGAGAGACCTGGATAAAGCTTCGGGTCACGTATACCGAGTGCGGGCGCTCCCTCGAGGAAGCGAAACGATCGCGATCGAAAACAGGCGACATGAGAAAACTGTAAATGTAATTCTCCAACCTTGGACGCGACGGTTTGTTAGAAATCATGTCGAAACATGCCCACAAAATTGGTGTGTCATTAATTTCTGTTCTGAAGACAGTATAGTTTACAAGAATTTTGAAATGTAGGTGCTTTGCTGTTCTGCCCAGATTGTGGGACTCTTCTTAACCTTCCTGCGGACAATGAGACAGAGGTGAAGTGTGAGCAGTGTGGGCGTAAAGAGCCAGCTAGCTGTGAGTATGTTTCTTTGCTATCTTGAACCTCTGTTCTAATCTAAAGGTTTGTTCAAGCGTACGAGGATATCGAAATCATCACTCGTTCCCATCCCGATGCCTTCCCTTCTGCTTTAGCTCAGAAGAGGAAGACTCAAACAAAGGTTCATGAAGGCGAGGACCTGAATTTACTGAAGGTTACAGAGAAATGTCCTAGCTGTGGGCATATGGAGGCTTATTCGAAGGAGCTGCAGGTGCGTATTGGTTGAAGTATGCGAATGGACGAGCACTCATGTACGTACACGCTGCTATAGTTGAGGAGTGCCGATGAAGGTTCAACTATTCTGTACACTGTATGTGTTCACTATGTCCTCTTTGGGTCATTATTTATACCCTCCGTTTCTGCAGTGTGTCAAATGCAGATTCGGTTGGCGTATCAACAACTAAACATAAACATCCACACTTGGGGTCTCGACTGTCCAAGTCTCGGACTCTCGCATCAGGTCCTCTGAAGAAGGGTATATTCCAAGTCAAGTGCTGACAACTACACGTACACGCCTACAGAGCAGAAGAGCGCCACGACCCCGAACCCGCCGAGGAGACTGGCTGTAGAAGCGACTGCGACCTCTCGAATAGGGATGGTGTCTTTTGGTAGCCTGCAGAGACGTGTCAAGTTAGTAGGAGATAATGATGTACATCAGCGTGGGGGTGATTTGGGTGAAATGCTGAAGCTGATACTGACGTGGAGAAATAGAACGCAAGCCCGAAGGTTGACACGAGGAGAAAGAAAGCGATGTAAGGCAATAGCCCAACCGCAATGTAGGGCGAGAAGGGTGGGACTGCTTTATGCAGAGCCTAAGTACGAAGTCAACACTGTCAACTATAAGAAAGCTTAGAGAATGAGACATACTTGTATTGACTGGTAGTCTGCCATGATTGTCTGGAATGAGACTGGTGAGGGCGGGCTGATGGTAGGGCCGGGAGAGGCCGGATTGACGTAAGCCGTCGCTGGTACCACTAGCCTCCAAACACGCGTCATCAAATCCCATCCGCCCATATCAACCACGCAACAGCGTCTCCTCGCAGCACCACTTGTCTCTTTCTCCCTCTTACGACTATCTATAAATCCACAAGGACTTATTCTATTCCAAGGTTTGTCCTTTCTCTACAGAAATAGCAACTATTGTAGCGTTTCAAACGTTCCTGCGCCTCCCGATTGGTGACTCCAATATCCAACGCTGACGCACTCTCCTGTTGCTTAGATGTCCGCTACGCAAAAAGTTCAGCAGCATCCTGCTTTCCAGCAGGCTCAGGACAAAGCAAACTACTATGTTAGTCAACTTGACAAGGAGGTACGTGTACAAATTCTGTCCTGCTGGCAACGGCGTGTATACGTCATGACGCTCACACGACACCTCATCTCGTAGCTCTCCAAGTATCCTCTTCTGACGACTTTCGAACAACGCACGCAAGTGCCCAAGACTTACGCCTTCATCGGCGGTGTCGTCCTGTTGATTATCCTCCATGGCTTCAATGCGTTCGCCTCCCCTGTTTCTAATCTCCTTGGATGGGGCCTTCCCGCTTTCCTCTCGGTCAAGGCAATTGAAAGTCCTGGTCACAATGATGACATCCAGTGGTTGACATACTGGGTCGTCTTTGGGTTCTTCAACTTTTTGGAGAGTTTCGCACTGAGACTTGTGCTGTACTACTTCCCCTGGTATTTTGCGTTCAAGACCACCTTCATCCTCTGGCTCCAGCTTCCAGCTTTCCGCGTAAGTTTATGTTTTAACCACCTCATGCTTCGGAAGTGATACTCACGATATTTTGAATTGCGCCATCAGGGTGCTGAAACACTCTACGGAACAGTCGTACGACCTGTTTTTGTTAACGTCCATCATGCGCCAAACTCTGTCCAACCTCAAACCAGCGCTTCTGCCGATCAACTCCGTGACCGTGTCGCTGCTGCTTCATCCGAGTAAATAAGCTTAGGTGGGTTTAGTGGTTGGTGAGGGTGCCAAGGTGTTGTTACGTCTTGTGGTCTTCTTCAATAGAGTATGATTCTTTCCTCTCCTCTCTGATCGGGCTTTATCGATTGTTCGTGTAGGAGTTTTGATGATCCCTTTCCTCCTCTTTGCTCCTTGTATCTTTTTCCCTCTTACTCTTTTCATTCATCGTGAACGCTTCGCAGACTCTACCTCTATTCTACTGAATGCATGTATATCGCGCTGCTACTTGACGAATTTCCTGATGTCCCGTGCCACCAACGAAAGTCCCGGAGAAGCTGAGCTAATTCAAGTTTGCTCCTGGTGACGATCTATCGCTGTTGTATGCACCACCAATGATGTTTTCTCAACATGAATACCGACTCCACGTGAACGTGCTTGAAAAAAGCACTAGATTTGCCTCTGTAAGAGGGAGCGCTTGGCGGGTGGTAAAACAAAATAAGCAGCGGATCTGAGAAACACATAACGTTCAACAACTGCCTGATCTGGGTTAGTCCTTGCGCTTTGATTGCGGCGGCATGAACAGCGCATTTGTGGGATTTGGCTGTCACTGTCTCGGACAACGACGCCCAAATGCTGGCCCCGACGAAAAATGCTGGGCGAGCTCGATGGAGGAAACAACTTTTCTATCGATGCCGACGACTTGCCCAGTGGCGGCGCCGCCTTTTCCCCAAAACACCGCTCACCGTTCCTGCCTACCGAGGCCCGTGACCCCCGCGCCAGGCTATGTGACTTGAATGCATTGCATATCATTATAGCTATCTCCTTCCTGCATATATCTATACTCTTTCCTTTTCTCCTCCTCCTTCCCTTTCCTCCCTCCACCTCTGTCGGTTTTCGCTCTCCCTACCGGGCCTTACACGTCTTCCCCTCCCGCTCCCTGCTGAGCCAAGCAGCCCATCATGATGTCTGACGCTATCGAGAAGCGTTATGCTACCTCAAACACTGACGTCGGCACAAGCAACAGCGAGTTGGGCTCATCTGCCACAGAGCAGCCGTTGATTCCGCGACGAGGGATCAAAGGTGTTTACTACAACCCCGTCGTGCAAGTTTGGCTCCTCGGTTTTGTGTGCTTCATGTGCCCTGGTCTCTTTAATGCCTTAAATGGATTGGGAGGCGGAGGTCAGGTCGATCCCACGACGGGTGCGAATGCAAACTCGGCGTTGTACTCCACTTTTGCGTTCTTTGCGTTCTTTGCTGGGTGCGTTCGATCGCGCGTGTTTCTTCTCATCATCAATGAGCTAATTATGCCTCTTAAAGTTCGATCAATAATGTCCTTGGTTCACGACTCACCTTGCTGCTGGGTAGCACTGGCTACGCTCTTTATATCGGTTCTTATCTGTACGTCTCCTTATACCCTCTCTTACCCTTACCACTTACACTTTTTCTTCTTCTATGCAGCGCTGTCAATATTCACCCCAATGCTGGAGGGTTTGTCGTTGCTGCCGGTGCCATTCTCGGTATATGCGCTGGAATGCTCTGGACTGCCCAGGGCTCGCTGATGTTGGCATATCCCACGGAGAGTGAGAAGGGAAAGTTCATTGGCATATTTTGGTCCGTTTTCAACTTGGGCAGTGTCGTCGGCGCGTCTGTCTCTTTGGGCCAGAACTATCATAATACGGCATGTGTCGCCCTACTTTGCGCGCAGTGGTTAGAGTTTCATGCTGATTTGACCCTTTGGAATGATCTAGGCGAATTCAGGTGAGAATCCTTCGTTCAGACAGTTTGCCGCCATCTAGTCATCTAACAAAACTCATTTCCTCTGATAGTCGGAAATGGCACCTATGTAAGTCTTCTCACAGCCTTCTCCCGCTTTCGCTGTTTGTCTATGTCTCTTAATCTCCCGTCCCTATCCCCTTCCATTCCATTTTACTGATAGAGTTCTCATTTTTCCCACCCCATAGATTGGTTTCCTCATTCTGACGCTCATCGGTGTTGTGATTCCCCTATTCATGGCAGATCCCAACAAGATGGTTCGTTCCGATGGTTCCAAAGTCGCTTCCCCTCGACACCCTTCTTGGACGAGTGAGTTTTGGGATCTATGGGTCGCTCTTCGAACAGACCCATATATCATACTCTTGTTCCCGATGTTCTTCGCCAGTAATTGGTTTTACACCTGGCGTGAGTACCTCTTCGGTTTCTTCTGGTGTCAGGTCTGACGTTTTATTAACAGAATTTAACGATTTCAATCTCGCATTGTTCAATATTCGAACTCGGTCGTTGAACAACCTGGTCTATTGGTTGGCTCAGATCATTGGGTCCGTTAGTATCGGATTCTTGCTCGACCAGAGAGGTCTGAGCAGACGCGTTCGTGCCTTCTCCGGCTGGTGTATCCTGCTGTTCATGGTTCTCGTCGTACATATTTGGGCATTTTTCTATCAAAAGTCCGTTTCCTGTCTTCGTGTTATGCTTGGCTGGTCCACTGAACGTTTTGTGTAGGCATTATACTCGGGAGACCGTCGAAGCCCGGATAGACATATTCGATCACGCGTACCTCGGGAGAGTACTCTTCTACATCTGCTGCGGTTTGCTCGATTCCATGTGGCAGACATGCGCTTATTGGTTAATGGGTGCCATGTCGAACGACCCTGCAAAGCTTGCCCATTTTACTGGCTTCTGTACGTCCCGCTTTTTTTCATTTCATCCGCTTCTTCATCTCGTAATTCTTCTATCTATTGTTTCCGTTTCCCATTTTCGTATTTTGGCTCTTGATCTTGTTGTGTTTTGGCTTCTCGTCCAAGCGCTAAAAACGTGAACTCTAACCTTAGCCCTTCGTTTTCTCCCTTTCTGATAGATAAATCGATCCAGTCAGCCGGTGCAGCAGGCGTATGGCGTGCAGATGCTATTGGTGTCCCGTGAGTCTCCAGTTCTTCTGTGATATCTGGTCCTTCGGGCACCTCGGTTGGCGGACTTGTGGATGTTGAGTCTTGTGCTCGTCACCCCCTTTCTTTCTTACTCATCTGCTCATTTGCTTATCCTGACGTACGTTGCATTAGGTATATGAACTTATTCATTTCAACGTGGGCACTCCTCTTAGCCGGCCTTGTTTTTGCTCTCCCCATGATCCATATGCGCGTTCAGGATTATACAGAGATGGATGAGATGCGGTAAGTTAGCTCGACATCTTCAGGAGTCCTTCATGCCCTTTGGTGATATCTCTTGATCTGGACTTCTGACTGGCACTGATTGTTAGTATGTTGCATAGGGATGAGATGAATGACCAAGCTCAGTATCTGCCAGATCCCGATCCGAGGTATCCCAAGGATTGAGTTCCTTATTACCTTTTTGCTCGTTCCGCCCCCGCCCGCCGGAAGTGAAGCCAGACTTCCCTTGCTTGACTGTCGACGTGACTCTAGGTAAACTCTGAGCAGGATACGACCCGGCGAAAGTTACTGATTTCCCTCGAGCTCCCCAACTTTCCCCGACAAGCTATTCATTCGCATGCTTCATATCGCATCCGCCACCTCTACCCTGCACATATCATCAACCCTTCCCTACGTTCTGTGGCGCTCTCCCCTACTTGGCATCCTCGGCCTCATACCTAGCGTCTCACATCTTGTATTATTGCTCGACCCCCAATACCAAACGTCCTGCTCTGCATTGCTCTACATTATACTCATACATGGCTTCTTTGTTACGCTTTATTATATATCATAGAGTCCTCCTTTCCAGTGGGTACACAAGAGAGAGAAAGATATTCTAGTTGTAGTTTGCTTTGTTTATGTGTCGATGTAGTCGTTGTTTTGCTGTTTGTCTATCTGTACAACAGTTTGATGGAATGGTCATGATTTTATCTTCTCGTATAGACGTCCGTAGTTGAAGCTATGCATCCTCCAACGTGTCATAGTGATGAGTTGCGGATCAACCACAAGTGAAATTGCTAAGTTTCTACTGACGATAACCTTTACGAAAGCGAACTACATACGAAAGCGAAGGGGTATCTTGGTATACGTGTACATGTATAATCCGCTCTAACCAAATACACTCCGAAACGTACCTCACGATCTTGAAATATTCTCCAAGCGACTCTCTCACCTCTAGAAGATAGTCGCCAACGCGCCATCTTCCGACCCACCACCCATCGCATTAATCGCTTTCACGTTCGGACCATTCTTTCCAAACGTGAACCCCACCCAAACACCTCTTGAGAAAGGTTCCTCCTTCTCCCTCACTGCCTCCACATTACGCTGCTTCTCCTTTACCTCGGCATACTTCTCCATATCTTCGGCTGAAGTGAAGTCATCGTAGTAACCCGTGTCGATCTCTGAGTCGAGGGCGGGAACGAAAGGCGCTCGGGTGGAACGCACGTTGTCCCATTTGACGTTCTTGAAGAAAGGATGGGACTTCAATTGATCGAGGGAGGAGTAACGGACAGATGCATGCGCGATCAACCTGTAGGGAGATCCTTAAGGCATCAGCGATACGGAGAAGAGAATAAGAAACGTACCTAGTGACCGCGTCCCAGGCAACATCAGACAAGTTGAAGATCATATCCTCTGGGTTATCGTAATGAGGCCTCCTCAACACCGTTGACCAATTCTTCAAATTTGCCCAAGTTTCCTCTGGGGTGCTACCGCTGAATGGTGGAAACCCGGCGAGGAACTCGAAGAAGATACACCCTAAGGACCAGTAGTCTACGGAATACGTGTATGGTTTCCCTCGGAGGACTTCCGGTGCCATGTAATCAGGGGAACCGACTATGGAGTCGGCGTATCGAGGGTCTTGGTTTCGGATTGAACGATAGATGGAACGACGTTCGATAGTGGAGCGGTGGACGAGAGGGACATCTTTCACCTTATCGAGCTAGTAAGAGGGGGGAAAGTGGTAAGTGGTAAGTTCATACAGGGAGAATAAGAAGGCAATGAAAGGCTAGATACCTTGACTTTGAGTGATTCGATACGTTGCGGGTTCAGTGCTCCGGTTGCCAGACCGAAGTCTGTCAACTTGACATGTCCTGTACCGTCGATAAGGAAATTCTACAGGACGATACTCAATACATATTCCCGACTACTTGGTAACTGCTCGTACCTCTGGCTTGAGATCTCGATGAATATAACCAAGTTTGTGAAGCTCATTCACTGCGGCGAACATCTCACTGATGTAGAATCTGGCATGCTCTTCCTTGAGGACACCCGAGTTATTCAGCAGAGTTCGGAAGTCGCCTCCAGGGACATACTCCATTGCCAAATAGACAAATTGGGGATCCTGGAAAGCGTAAAGAAGTCGGACAAGCCATGGGGTCTTCGTCGCAGTCAGAATATCTCGCTCCACAAGGACGTGCCTGATCTCATCCATCTTGAACAACGTCCGCTTGCGCATCTTCTTTAATGCGCAAATCTCTCCGGTCTCTTGCTTGCGCGCCAGGAAGACCTCGCCATATCCTCCTTGACCGATCTGAGCGATGATGTGAAATTGATCGACCTTGAGTTTGGTTCTTCGTTTACGTAGTACGACGCGTTCCCTGCCACGATAAGATTTATATTCTTTAGCGTATTCGGACGCTGTGAGGCCCCGAGCTGCAGTGTCGGCGTCGAACTTTGCTCGTCTGTCTTTTCGAGCTGCGAGGTATCCTAGTAATTGAAAGTAGTAATCGAGGAAATCTGCAGCGGTTGAATGAACTTGAATATCGCTTCATCGACAAGCCACTTACAAAGCTGTGCTACAGTGGATTTTCGTCTGACTTCAGGACTGTCCAGCAATTCCTGCTCCCAAGGCTGAAAGCGGCCTTGTTTAAGCGTGGTGTCTACTCTTGCGGTGTTCATCGTGATGTCGTTGCTGAGGGTCATGCCTTTCGCAGTCGCCATGCGGATATCGGGACTGCTTGCAGTATATCCTTTTGCGGTATTCATGTGGATATCGGGGTATGCACCGTACGGATTGTTCTTCGATGGCAATCCAGACATTATTTTCGTAACAAGTCGTAAATATGGGTGCCTTATACGGGTTCCAGGACCCTGGAGATGATGGGGATGAACGTTTGTTGCAAGTTGAACCTGAGTTGAACGTTGAACTTTGGGCGCGCCCTAATTTAGACGTACACGATCGACTCGCCACGTGCAATGATCGATATGGTTCGCGTCGCGTTAACCCTAACCTTCTCTCTCTCTCTAAACCTCTTGTTCCACCCCGGCTTCATTGATCTTTACGAACTTTACGAATAAAACGACCTTTTAGTTTCTTTCCCCATGGTACAAACACACGTAGGACGTGTGGTGAAGCTTGACCTGGCCTCTGTACTAGCCCAACCCAATCCTCATCTTGACCTCAGGCTTGAGGCCTACGAAACATCCACGCGTAATTTCCTGAAAGCGGTCTCTAACTACACTCAACGCGCCGTCACCGAAATTACACATAGGAAGAATAACTATGTAACTACCAAGTCCAAGGTTGCGGAGAAGTCAAAGCAACTGGAGCAAGAGACAAACCAATGCAAGGTGAAGGAATTAGAATTGATGAAAGGTATGTGAAATATAGTATATTGCATGCTTGACTGCACATATTCTTATGGTCACCAAGTTCTTGAGAAAGAGCAGGAGGAAAGGAAGGAAGCCGAGGTTTCTGTTGCGGCCTTCCGCCGACAACTTGCATCCATCAAGGAGAAGTGTGCCTCGCTCGACGCCGAAATTGAGCAGCATCGAGCAATAGTACAGAATCTCAGACGCGGTGAGTTCTCATAGGCCAATTTTACTCAATTTCACAGCTGACCGTGTCAAAGAACGGGAACGGGAACGCTCTTTGCTGCACAAATATGCCTCGCACGTGTCCCCCGAATTGGCAGAGATCGAACGAAGAACGCAATGCGTTATGGAAGGGATAGACAAAGACAAGATTCTTGTTCGCTTTACCCACGTCGACCCGTCAGACCTACATCGAGAGTTCAGTTTCGTTATAGACGTTTCCTCCAAAGTTTACAAAGGTTACGGGCTTTCTTCGCCCTGACTCGTTTGTTTGCTGAAAGTGTTACCATCACAGTGCCAACAACAAGCCCCTTCCTGCCAACGCTACCCATACTTCTGGATGAGTTGAACGAGTCAAGAGATATATACTCCTTCATCAAACAGGTTCGCCAAGCGTTCGAACATCTAGTCACTCAAGGACGATGACAGGCGCAGAGTGCGTTAGTCCAGCTGAGATTTCTGCCGAAGCTGACCTTGTCCATCTGACAGCTGCAGGGGCGTCGTAATTTATGCCGCGTTGACTTATTCCATATTGATCCCAAGTACTGTTTGACTCACATTGTATTGCACTTCTCCAGCACGAACGATCTTGATTGTAATTTACATCAGTCGAAGCGGTCGGAGTTGATGACTTCGACAGCTCGGATTCGATCTCAAGTTGGCTACAGAGCGTGCCTTCCAATCCGCAGAGTGACACTGATTTTTCGAGCAGGATCACTTGTAGACTGACGCGTAATTTGCTGATGATATTCCTAAGACATCGAATGAATCTACGCCCTCGAATCTCTCCATCGAATCTCACCATCATAGCTTCAAACGTGCCCTTGCTTCAAAATCTACGCTAAGCCAACAGGCACATGTACTAAATTCATATATATGCGTCCCCGAAGCCTGCGAATGCACGTAGGTAAGTCATCGAGATATTCTCTGATTATCTCTTCCCCCTCTTTGTTTGTGGTCGGTGTGCAATTCGTCAGGACTGCACAATAAGAGGACCACAAGTTTGCCCGCTAGTGTGGCAGAGAGAATTGAATGTAGGTCGCATTATATGCTTTACTGGGCTCATATTGTCTATGTCGCGTGTAAAACAATAACTAAAACTTCAGGATGCTAGCTTTGGACTTCCTATCATACCCTTATTATTTTCTGTCAAGGCGTCGAGGCACCATCGACGACACATAGGTCTACGGAAGGGTATGATATCTAGGGTCCTTATCGCGCTCGGAGCGAATGTCGGCCGCTCAGGAATTGCTATGTATAGTGTGGCACTTGATCGTAATGGGCCCCCAACAACCCAAAAGTTAAGCAGTAGCATGCAGCATGTCCGACACCGTTCAGAGGCATTTGAATGCCGACTATCTATTCTCGTCATTCTTCAATATCGAATCGACCTAGATATCCCGTAGCGCAACTCTCCTTTCCTAGACGCCTCATGGATACTCTATGACTTTGACAGACAAGGGGACACGTCTATTTGATATGAAAGCATGTCTGACATATCCTAGTGAGCACCAGAAATTCGTCTAAAAATTTTGAACGAACCTGCAGCGGCTGGCTCAATGGCCTTCGCCATACTATTGATCGTTAGGTATCAGGTTCGATGCCTTCAAGTTCTCAAAGCAAAGCTCGGACGACGTACGCCAAGTGCAGCTCGTGCTCCAGATACGCATTGAATGCATCCAAGTCCTCGAAATCTGCTATCATAGCTTCCAATCACCAATAAGAAGGCTAGTCTTCCGGTAAATGCGTCAACATACCGAAATCCCAGCCATGAGTGTGCGAAACAGCCGTTTCAATTGGAGGGCCCAGTGTGTAGCTTTTGACTAGAGAGATCGATTCAAGGAACCCTTTACTTGTCTCAAATGCATTCTGTCTTGCTTCCGCGTCGAGAGAAGGTTTGAACTTAGCCAAAACTGTACAAGCGGATGGGATCGCCTGACAACCTGGATTGGGAATAACGTCGTACCTATATGTTTGACTGTCATGGTGGGACTCGAGCTTGACGGAGTAGCAACGCTTGTGAAAAGATGTAGTTAAGTTTGAGAGAAAACGGCGAGCCTTCTCTTTGCGTTTACTGTATCACAAATTGATGACACACAAGGCAGCCTTTGGTGAGTCAGTCTGACTCAGAGGCAACTTCAGGTCTCAGATCTCAGATCTTACAACCTCATCGTTCAAACACTTGATTTGCTTTCTCAGCTGCATGGCGCCAAGCGGAACATATACAGCGACGGGACAATGTACTAACATGCTAAGGAACCAAGTTGTCATATTGTAATCCAGTCTGGTGTAAAGAACTATAACTCCTTAAAAATATCCCTTTCACGGCGACAGAGGGACATTCGCTTGATCACATACGTTTCTATAGACTGTCGAGCAAGTTGAGCTCAGCTGCTGCCAACACTAGCTGCGAGAAATGAGGGCAGTTGGAATATAGGTGTAGTGGCTGACCGGAAATTAATTAAATTAATTATTGCGCAGAGGAGAGAAATAGGGAAATCTGAGGCTGATTGACCTACCTCGGCTTCAACCAACCTTGAATTGTTCCGAGAGCATTGAGAACGGTGCCTCAATATGCATATAGATTTTGGAGCAGCGCTGCGCGCGCTGAAGTTGAACAGAAAATTAAACATTTGAGTTCCAGAAAGCATGCTCTTGAGTGACACTTGAGAGAATAACCAATCTACAAGACAGACTATGCATGATGCTTCTCATTGACAATTGCATTCAAGCAATGCATTTATGAAAGAATATGGGTGCTGAAACCCTGAGGGGCAGCGCTGCGCGCGCCAGATATTGGCTATGCATTGGCATGCTCAGATAGCCACTGTTTCATTTTGTCAGCCTCAAACCTAAGTTTTGGAGCTTTTCCCTTATCTCAATCAGTCTTCTGGACATTCACCAGAAGCACCTAGCATACAGAAGGCCCAAATCTCTGTGAATACATATCAACTCCCTGCCAAAAATGTGTTTTGGGCAAATTTTCATAAGAAAATGAGAAAATGACCTTTCTGTTTGCTATCCTAGACAGACCATAATCATTTGGTGTATCTAAGAGTATCAAACAGAAGTCACAGAGCAGGATATATGATAGAGGTCAATTTCTCTTGCTCGACAGCCATTTTTGACGCGGCATGTGACCGCCGAATTTAGTAGGTCACCTACCTAGAAAGGTTATGTCTGTTTGCACATGTTTATGTTTTTTTCAAACTCAGTTAGGTCCTAATTGCGCTACACCTATATTCCAACTGCCGTTGTCAGTGCTCATTTCTAGTACTAGCGCTGATCGATCACAGTCGATCGCGTTCTGCGCGACACGTCGCGACGGACGCGTCCGCCTCTCATCCTTATATTCAAGATACCTTTGTTCAGGCTCTTTTTGACTCGTATTCTACCTCTGCTAAACTTACATAGGTGGTAAATTCTAATGTCCAATGGAGAAATGTCTCCTCCGCAGCCCCTTGAAAGCCAAGAAATGCTTGAACGACTCCGATGCAATCGATGCTAGTGATACAGTATATCTGCCACGCTGATAAGTTGCTTTTCGCACCTCACACTGGGAACGCCACTCACGTAGGATGGTATCTCTACGGCCGATGCAGATTCAGTGTATCAGGGAGTCACGCATAAGTATGTCCTTCAATATAGGCAACGATACTTACATCATCAAGACACCGGTACCGACACAAGTTCGTGTCTTTGGAGCAGGATATTACAGTAGCCAAAGGGTATCGATACAATTGAAGAAACAGAGCAGAAGTGCTTGAGATAGAGCAGGAAAGATCATGAAAGGATATCGGGAAGTGGCGCCGGGTATTTGCTCTTCGCTACTGACCGTTGGTTCGTCGACCACGGCACCTCTCTCGATGGCCACCGTTCTTCCAATCACTATGAAGCAACGATAAAGATAAGCTTTAGAGGCATGCATCACAACTCAGACCTACCTCGTCTGGCACCGAGAGCTACAATAATACACTCGCATACACCCCATACATATCCTCAGGGGGTGTTTCGGAGTCTTCTCTGAACATAAACAGTCTTTCCAATGACAATGCTTCCCATTTTTTGGCAAGACCGGAGGCACAGCCATATGACGTTCATACAATCGATGTTCAATCGACTCTCTGAAGTTCAAGTGCTTGCCAAAGTCCATCCAATCTTGAACCCATCGGTACTGTGGGGATCGGGGTGGAATATTGAGATCACGGAGTTTCTGCAAGGTGGGGAGCCAGACGGTACGTGCAGCATTTACGACCTCTTTGGCAAGGGCTCGAGGTTCAGGAAGGGATGTACGGTGAGCGTGGCCCATCATCCCGTACGTTTTTAGGATTGGAATGACCATTTCTGCCGATAGAAGAGTAATTCATGAAGACGAGGTAAAAATGGATTTCTGTTGTATGCGGCTCACCTCGGAAACGGATGTCGTCTTTTGCTGCGGCAGGAGAGTAAACGAGAGCGGACAGCTTGAGGAGCTCGAGTTCATTGACCTTCGTGACAGCTACCTTCACATGGGGTAGAGAGAGATTTTGGAGCAGAACGCTGCGAGATAGGTTTATGTGAACAAGTCAACCGCGGGGGATGGAATATAGGGTATCTGTGAATCGTTCAGCGCGTACCTTACGGCTGCTAAAGCATATACCATGATATCAGAGTCGAGTCTTGCGCTCCCGCAGCATAGTTGACGTTGAAGTGAGAACGAAATCACTTCTAATAAACCAAGCTCATTCATCCCCTCCGGACGTTGCGATACGAGATCATCGCAGCCTTGAAATGCGGGATACATCAGATTCAGAAGCACCAACAACGACTCATTCACTACATCGGGCTTCATCAGGACTGTCTTGACCGTCGTAGAGAACGCAGTGAGACTTCCGGTGTTTACAACCACTTCTTTGAAAAGTTCAGAGGCGCCTTCAAATATGTCCACACGCGCGAAAAGCACCTGAATCATGTCGTCTTGCAACCTGCTATCGGCACCATGGGTCCAAGCGTACAAAGCGAGCCTAGCATCGTCCCCGTATTGAGGAACCGGTGTGTCGGGACTGAGTTCTCGTCAGACTATGATAAAGAGGAGAAAAGAAGTAGGGCGCACTCAGCAATTCTCGCTAGACGTGTATATTGTGTGAGCAAGAACATGATCATGTACGAGAGTTTGATGGATCTTCGTCGTCCTTCCTCACTGGCCAGGTTAAAATTTCGTTCAGGATCCCAGAAAAAATCTCGCTTTTTCCAGAGATATGACCAGAGACTGGGAATCAGAGGAAGTACACTGCGAGCACATTCCTTTCCGTATGCGGTTTTATACTGCTCAGTGTTGATAAGTCTAGCGGCCAGCCAGGTTGCGCAACACATTATAGCACCTATGTATTGCTGAGCAATGAAAGGCAAGGAGTTGCCTATTAAGAATATGATACAGGACTTTATGAGATTGACATACCTGCGGCGGAATGGGGTATTCGTACGTTGCGTATGAATGGTCATAAAGTAGCATTTGCAACAGTGTACTCAAGACTCCCGATTTAAAGAATTGCTCGTGGTGCCCGTCAGTCAGGGCATCATTTCTAAGAAGAACATGTAGATCATCGACGAGCATGTATTTGCCATGTATGTTGCCCTGCGCGTCTAGTCGTTGTAGAAGGGGTGCGGCAATCTCTGGTGAGTTGTATAAAGGCGTCAGCCACTCGTGATTGTGGCGATCCGCGTCGCAAGCCACACCGCATCTGAGAGGAGGCATTTGGAGGTCTCAGAGACAATTCAATCGCTACTGATGTCGTTCAATATCTCGAAGGAGGGGAAGGCGATCGTTGCTGGGAGAGAGGAAGTTGGGAGGACTGAAATTGATCAAGGTACGTTTCTATTTGTTACTCGTATACCTTGGTACACCTGAACGCGAAGCACGTGATGATTAAGTCAGCACAATGACAGTGTTGATCGATCACTTTCGATCGCGTTCTGTCGCGAGGTGCCTTCAGGCGTCCCATGCGACCTTTTGTTCTCTATAGGTGGCATTGTACTTATTCAATGCCCTCTACCTCCATTTCCCTCATCTCTTTCATCCCTGCGGATTACCCTAAACTGTCACCTTCAACCTGCTTCACAAAAAAAAAATGGCCGGCAGAGACCCTATAAAGAAACATATCATTCGCAATTCTGTGACGCCCAAAGAATTCTTGATTGAGTTCATGCGTTGTGGAAGGGAAACAGAAGTACCAAAAGTCAAATTCTCCGGCTTTCCATGCGATGCAAGTAAGGCTGCTGATATAGCCGACCCACTGGTACGTTACCTTCTCGAAACTCAAACGCCACTCATGGACAGGTTGAATCCGCTGCTACATAGTGTCAATGGATCAAAGACGCACGTATATGTCCTGGCTACCAACTCATCGATCCCTCAAAGTCCTTTTCATTTGCCAACAATGAGGACCACATGAAACATCTACTGCTCTTTCCAACGGGCCTGGACTTCTGGCAAAGCCCTGCAGACTCCTGGCGAGCCTTCGAGATGCACATTCACGTGTGGGGTCTCTCTACTAATGATCCGTTCAGTGATGAAGACGAAAGTTCTGAAGACCTGGAGAGGCTAATTGAACATGTGGCTACTCAATTCAATCGTCAACACCGCACCCACGCCTTCTCCTTGGTCATCTTTGGCCGTTATGCTCGATTTCTGCGATGGGACCGTGCGGCCTGCGTAGTATCAAACAGCTTCGACTACCACAACTCTCCCAAATGGCTGGTCCACTTCTTATGGAGGTTCTCGATTTTCAGTCGCGCGAAACGTGGATTCGACCCTACCGCCACTGACGCCACACCTTCCGAAGTTCGAGCGTTCAAGGCCGCCGTGCGCAAATTCATCAAAACTGCTCCTCGAAACGCAGATTTCCTCATGCCTTCGCTGGAAGATGACTATCCCGTTTATAAAGTTGAAGTCGAAAGTTCGAATGGCGAGAAGATGCACGTCGTCATTGGTAAACCATTCCATGGCTACAAACGTCCTACGTGTGGCGGTCGCGGAACACGGGCATATGCAGCCTACCTTCCATCCGAGAAACGCGTTGTCTGCTTGAAAGACTTCTGGCGTCCTGGTTGTCCCGATTATCCATCAGAGGCAGAGGTGTATCAACATTTGCAGGACCATGACGTCCCGAACCTTCCGACAGTCCTTGCTGCAGGGGATGTCTCCGTCGGTGATCGATGTCAGTTGACTCGAAATCAACGACATAGGGACATATGGGGTTTCATTCATCAACGTATCGTGCAACAGATTGCGTTTCCACTGCATACGGCCAAGTCTTCGAGAGAGCTCATCCAAGTATTCAGGGATGTCGTCGCATGTGGGTACAACACTTTGACTGTGGAGATGCAGATCATCTGATTGTTATTGCAGGTATGAGCAGAGCGTACAGTTCAGCACAAGTGCTGCACCAGGACATCAGTGAGGCCAATGTCATGATAACCGGAGAAGGGCGAGGAATCCTGAACGACTGGGACAGCAGCTGGAGGAAGACCGCAGAGAGCCCAGAAAGCAAAGGCCGTGTGGTGAGGGTTGTCTTTTACACAACGAATTAGCTCCACTCACCTTCCGTCCCCATCGCCGATTCAGGGGACCTGGAGATTCCTGTCCATTCACTTCTGCAAGAACCCGTTCAAAACTCACGAGATCCATGACGACCTCGAGTCATGTTTCTGGGTTCTCATCTGGATGGCTGTTCGCTATGTCAAATCAGTAAGACTCTGGAGATGTTTCAGCTGGGACCTCTTCGATAAGTCTGAAGTATATAGACTCCGTGAGGTCGACGGAAAACCCGTAGCGGACCTGAAAGACGGCCGCAAACACGAAGTTGGTGGACTACTCAAGGAATTTTTCATCGGTCATGAGGGTATGCACCAACTCGCATGGCGATGTCACCCATTCCACACGCTGCTCTACGACCTCAGGGATCTTTTTGGTTATTTATATGGTGTAATCAGAAAGAATGATGAACACAAACCAGATTACGTCCAGGAATCCAAAAGTCACCACGAGTTTTTTTCCAATCCCAAAAACCTCGTCGAAATATTCGACGATGCGTTATCCGAAGACGGATGGCTCGAGAATGACACAGTCCCGAATATGTTCCCATACAACACAACACAGGAGTGGGAGGACTATATGATGAGATGTCGATACCGAGCCATGGACAGACCGGCACGGGAGGGCTCCCAAGGTACTGAGATTATCACCGAGGATGAATCTGAGGCTCCGGCAACCGTCACGCAATACCCCATAACGTTCCCACCCGAGGCTGAGGAGGAGGAGGAAGTTGTGAAACTGGTGCGAAGGTCGACGCGAGTGAGGAAAGTGGTCAAGGACAGACTGAATTCTATCGAAACAGGGAAACCTGGCAAACGAAAAAGGATGAATAATGATCAGGATGGTTCGGAGCATGATATTGTGCGGCCTAAGACCAGGAGACGTAAGGGTGAGACTTAGAGATGTGAAAAAAAATGTCTCTTCCCTCCGGCTCAACGCTTGAGCATAGAGTAGAGTATATCATGGTTATTTGAGAACTGTACATTACCACTGCTTTAATCAACCTCCCCGTCGCCTCTAATTTCCTCTAATTCACAATTACTGCTGCTGCTTGAGCTTCTGCACTCCAAGTTTGGTGGCGACATCCCCCATAGCCTCACCAACTTTGACCTTCTGTCCCTCTCTGATAATGAACTGGAAGTCATGCGGCGCTTCGAAAACCAGGACAACAGTGCTACCAAGACAGAAGCCGCCCATCTCTTGACCTTTCGAAAGGGGCTGACCGTTGAGGATGGGTGAGGCGTGGTGGTACACTGCTTCCATGTAGGTTCCAAGAGGATGCTTCCGGTGTGAAGGATCATTTGTTCGAAGATCCTAGGGGTCGGTGTGTTAATCGAGGAGAAACATTGTGTTAGGTCGGTGCAGGATCTTTTTACTTGCCTGATCGAAATTGATTCGAATGCTACCCACGTTGGTGGCACCTACAGGAATCATACTGAAGAATCCATGTTGCCAACGTCCAAGTAGCGCCACACGTTCATTGAGAACAAAGAGATTCTCCAGACGTCTAGCCATCCAAGGAGATACAGAGAACAAGTCGCCTATGATATATTCAGTAAACCACACTCTTGACGCTTCACATATTAAGAACGCTAACCGATGAAGTGCCTCCGCCTCTCTACAACCCAAGCGGCGGCACTGTGGAAGCGATGGTAGTCCCCCGGAGCAAGATAGATCACGGCGAAAAACAGCGTGTTTCCTGGTCTGACATCCATTGCATTCGCGCTAGGTCTTCTCTCCAACGAGGGCCGAACACCCATCTCCGCCGCGACGGACGCATGTCTTGCAACGGTTTCCGGTTCATATGACGCTTCCTCCGGTATGGTCGCATCTATAGGTTCACCGAACTTCGTTGCCACTGTTTCTGTAGCTTTCAAATCGTCCTTAGACTTGAGGTCGTCTGAAGGCTGGGGTACATCCTTGGAAGAGCCGTCTGAAGGAGCGTTATCCACCGCAGAGTCTGCAGGTGTCGTAGGCGTACCAGAACCCAACAATTCGTTTAGGGTGTACTCAATTCCATTGATATCAGCGAAGTGCTTGTCCTCGACCTCGTCAAGGGTGCGTGTTGGGAAAACGACAGGCGTCCCGGGAGGTAAAGTAGGGGTTCCGATTCCTAAGAGTGCATCTAGGGAGTATGTACTTCCTTTCACTTGCTCAACGCGCCTGCCTACTACAGTGCCGAAGTGCAATATACGACCGTCTGCAGGACTAACCTGCAATGAATTGGTTATTGAGGGAGATACTTCGCAGAAGTGAATGGACGAACCAGAACCGTATCAGCAGTTGGTCTGGCTCCGTCCTTGAGTTTCCGGTAGAAGAAGTCGCCCAGGCTTTTATACGCTGTGAGGTCTAGCGGATCAATTTCATCTAAATTACATCCAAATATCCATGCATAGAAACGGAAGCCAAACGGGCGGAACCAAACGGGTAGTTCTAGCGAATTGAAGTATCCCCATAGACGTGACATGTTTCGGAGTGGAAGTGCTCCAATAACGTACACCTATAACCGAACATCAGACAGCGTTCGGGTAAAGAGAAGCTGGACACGCGACAGCTTTGGGAAGGACAGATGATAACACCACGGACTCACATGCCATGGGCCCTTCAACTTGATGACCTGATTACCATACTCATCGACGTGGACTTCGTGTCCTCCGTGTCTTTTGTGATATTGCATAATAAGAAGCAGCAGCGCTCCAGCAGCAAGAGGAAGAGGGTACCACTTGGTGGGTGTCTCCGTCCATGCTCTTGCTAGTCTTTCTGCAAATATTTCATGGGTCATACAACGTATGACCAATACGATGAGGACATACTATGTAATGGAGTGTCTTTCCCACCGAATGGACTAGGAGGTGGTTGAGGTCGACTTGAATATGGTCGATGGTTGGTCCATCGCAGAACATTTCTTCGCAGACTCAACCGCTCAAGCAACCGGTGCTCTGCTCCACCCAGAAGCGGGGGTAAGAATGTTTTACGTATGGCTTTTGTAGTTAGCATGTAGTCATCGAAGCAGACGACGGACAGATAACAAGGGTGTCGTCAAGGAATAGTGGCTTCAAAGCTACGCAAAAGCTACGGCAGGGCTGAGCTCATGCGCTGGGATCGCCCACGTGCCAACCGCGTCTCGATCAATTGATCTCTGTCGAGCCGCTGAGCAGCGTGTTGAACAACTGAAGTTTTTACCTGCTCTACGCCGTTCAATATTCGAGTCTTGTAGGCGTCGCCTTGACATTCCATACGAAGCTGGAATTGCCCTAATACCGCATACCCCAAACTAACATACAATCAAAGATATATGGCCACCGGAAACCCGAATTTCGCAGCACCTGAAGCCGAAGCGAGTCCATAACTACACCGTCTCTCTGTGAATGGGATTAGGTTAGCGGAGAAATGTCTGATGAAATTTTGGTGGAAGAAATGGCTGTGCCGACTAAGCTAGTCCTCGCGTTCGACCGCCTTCTGTTCCTCTTCAGAAAAACATACGTGGTCTTTGAATGCATGAGGTCCGCATACCTTATCTATGGGCCCTTATTGTTCACCCGGTCAGATAGGATGATTTTATGACTCTGAGGATATGCAAATGGAAGGTGTAGTTTCACCGTTTCTTTCATCCTACGGGCGCTGCTCATATTTGTGTCAAGATCCGTCGCGACTCTTGTCCATTCGGGATTGCTTATGCTTGGGTGGAACGACTTCTTTTTAACAGCTCCGTCAATCGTATTCAGATGGCATGCTGGCCTGGGGTCGGATCGCAATAGCCATTGCCATGGCCTCACAGTCTGGTAGGATCACTTCGGTTCCTCATCTGCTAAAACTACCGCTGCCCCACCTTTCCTAAGCCAATGCAGCACATCCATGCATGCGCAGCTTGGGGAGTTCTGCGCCTAGATATACGCCGTACAGCATGTCTCTAAGTCGGTCCGTAATTGTCATTCAAATGATCTCATGGATGGGACAGATAACGAGAATCAACGGCTGACCCACCTTGTGACAACCAGTCCCAGACCAAGTCATCTGTCTCGGGATCATGGAGGAATATTTCACAGGTGTGTGCGCTGCTCAAACAAGTGATTCAAGTTTCGCTGTTGTGGCGGCATGGAAGTCTTCCTAGTTTCGATGCAGCATGTGACAGTCTCTGCGTTTGTATCTGCCAACCCTCGTTTACTACGTTTGTGAAAGGCGGGCTAGGTTCTTTTCTCATCGCAGTGTGTAATCGTTACAGCATTTGCCATGCTTCGGTGAAAGTCTCAGTGGATTTTCCCCGCCCTGCTCAGTCCCCTACAAACACGATGACTGACGTTGTAGCTTGCCATATGACGACCGCTGTGACAACGCGGTCGCGGAACAGCCAACTGAACCATTCGGCTTTACATACGCACCGACTGCGAAAGCCTCCCTTCTAAATACGAGTCGCCACTCACCAGTACCATACTGTAAGCGATATATACTATTCATCATATATCATGCTCATTTATCGAGGTTCAGATCTTCTAGACTAGCTGAACACCAGGTTAAATAATATTAAAGACCTGCAAAGTTTAGTTTCGCTGCTTGAGGTATTTGATTTGTAGGTGCATCAATTCAGGCTACGTTACTCTGACGGTCACTCTGTTCGAATATTGCATTTTTGAGCAAACGGCGGAAAAAATTGTCCAGAATCATCGAGAAATTACAAAGCAATGTAGGTCTGACATGGAACGACGACGTATGACTTTGATGCAGGATAGACTTGGACCATGCCAGTGCCATGAAATAGCGAGTTCAACAGTCACAAGATGTTTCGGCATCGGAACTGTCGGTTCATATTTTTCATGCGATTACAGGGAAGACTCCGCAGAATTGTGCTTGAGATGATTTCGGAACCAGCAAACTGGCATGATTAGCGTGTCGGATTTACAGAGCGTTCCTTCTACATTCATAATCCTGTACGTTCAAGCCGCAAATCGCGTTGGACTCGCTCGTGTTACGTTGAGTAGCATGCCGGGTAATAGAACAGCGACATAGAGCTTCATGTTCAACCTTCATGTAGGTGTCATTTGAGGCGACAATTCAAAGGCCGGCTCGGACGAGCTCACTCTGAGCAAGATATGTACCACAGCACATACGTCTTCGCAGTAACTGCAAATGCAGTACTAGGAATACTAGGCTAGACACATTCGGGAGAGGAAATCATTCCGCCGCCCTTCAGACCGCTGCCAAAGCAGGTAGCCTTAATCAACGTGATCGAATTCGCTCGTCCTTATCATTCACATTCTTCGACGCTTTTCTCGTCACTTGTAGTTCGCGACTACGAGTTGAAGTACACTAATTAGACAGCGCCAAATTTCCATCACTAAAATAAAGACTCACGGCACATGTGGGACTCTCAGGAGCATTCCTAGTATCATTCTTTACTCGCATAACTATCATTGGCAGCGCAGATACAAGTCCAACAGCGAGGAGAACCCAAGTGGCAATAAAGATATTCATGTATCTTTGATATCCAACGTCAGATGAAGAAAGACGTAACCATGATGAACGCATACGGGAGTTCTATACCGTCAGCTCTCCATACGCCCGCCGCGCCAGCAGACTGGATTCCTTTGTCTGGTAACATGTCATGATGTTAGCTGCACTCACGTAATTAGACCTTTCTTAGACCCACAAAATCCGACAAAATGAGCGAGTGTTGCGGGATCTCTTGACATCACACCCATGAGCCAATAAACGTTCGTCTGCCACATTGCGTCCAGAAGTCCGCAGAAAATGTAAAGCCAAACATGACCAACATAGGGCTTGTCATGAATGTCAATCTTGACGGTGGTGGCTTTTACAGTTTCCCGAGTATATTGTCTAGAATTGCGTCAGCAAAAACCAAGATTGATGCAAAAGGGAACAATACTCACACCTGATAGAAATATGCCCATATGTGGACAACCAAGACCATGATCAAAAGTATGAGCCACCCCATGTAAGCTCGGAGTCTCCAGCTGAAGCACTTGAGGTCCAGCAAGAATGCTAAACCGACGGAACCAAGTATTTGTGCGATCCAATAGACTAAATTATTCAGCGATCGTGCACGGATATTGAAGAGCGCGCTATTATAGTCATTGAATTCTATACGATGCATTAGTAAATCTTTCAGATGAGACAATGCATTCCTTACGCCATGTATAGAACCAGTTGCTCGCAAAATATACGGGTCATTCTTCAAGGTTATCCATAGGCCCCACAATGCGGTTCGTAGTGATGGAAGTCGAGGGCATTCCACTTTGGTGCCATCGGTCCGTATTATTTTGTCTGGGTCAGCCATCAGGATAGGAATGAAGACCCCGATCAACGTGAGTATAAGGAATCCAATCTGTAAATAGGTTAAGTAAAGTACAACAGGGATCACTTCAAGAAGTTATACATATGTTCCGTTGCCTACAGAGTTTGTCTTTGATTTCATACTGATTTTAGTTTAAGTCGAGCTAGGGCAACACATCATCTGTACCTTTGAATTGAAGTTCTGTCCAAGTGACACAGAAGCGCCAACTACGCTCCCGAGGTTGAAAATGGACCAGAATATGCCAATGAAAAGTCCTTTCTGGCTCTCAGTTGAGTAAGCCAACATCAACGATCCCTGGGCGGTCCAGAGTAATCCTGCACAAACGCCCTGAATCGCTCCAGCGACGATGACGAATGGAGCGGCGGCTGGATGGTTGTTTACAGCACTGATGTCCTTAAGTTGAGGCCACATTATCTAGTGTCATGGAGACTTACAGGTATGAGGCTATTGTTAGGACATAGCCAGTACTTCCAAGTAGCAGCGTAAGCCGAGGCCCCAGCAGATTGTTAACCGGCCTGGACAAAACGATTCGGTCATGCTTCATATCATTAGATGACAAAGCTCCAGCCCACCCTGCAAAGAATGCAAAGAATGCAAAAGTAGCATAGTGTGTCGCGTTGGAGTTGGCATTAGTTGTCGTATCAACCCGGCCTCCACCGCCGAGACCGTTCAGCGCATTGAATAGTCCAGGACACATGAAGCGTACAAGGCCTAGCATAACCACCTGCGTCACAGGGTGATAGTACTGTACTGTTTCGCGCATTTGTTCACGGCCTGTGACCTGTGACGGTCCGGTTCCCAGTTCACAGTTCGGAGAGACCTGTGACATCATGTTCATGGCTATTGCCGATTCTGTCAACGCACTACCAATCCCTTTCCAAAGCTTGGGAGGCACATTGTAAGCTCTCAAATAATGTCAGCAACCTGAAAGAATAGCCAAAAGTAGCCAGAAAGCTGCACTTGTGCGGCCCTTCAAAGCACTGACCCTCGTTTAAGCGCCCGGTCATGCTTCCAAATGTCAGTTCACGATCCTCTGTGACCTGTGACGTGAACAAATGCGCGAAACACTACAGTATACGCTTTTGAGCCCCTGATACCGATTTAAAGAAGGTAAGCGAGAGCCATGGTCACTGGCCTCGTAAACTTTCTCAGCAGAGGATGAAGACATATTGTGTCTATGAAGAAATTCAATCAAGGGACAGGTAAACGGTGGTTGTTCTGTAAGAGCACTTCAGCCTTCATCATACATAGGATAGAAGCTATACTCACGAAGACTCAGGCAAAGGCTGCCTTCTCTGGTAACGTAGACATACGAAAGATAAGACAGTCGTCGTCCTCCTCACATACACATAAATGATAAGTAAGATAAATATAACCTTAAGGCCATTCTGTTCAGCTGATACTTCTCGAAGTCATTTAAATATCTTGGAAGTCGCTGATCTGACGGTCCGAGAAAGCATCGATAAGCTTGCGCGCGTTTCATATGGCGCTCGGAACCAGTATAATTAGAATAGAAAAGTACCATTCAGCGCGGCACATGCGGACCCTTAGATCTAGGAGAATTGGTACAGATGTCGATGTCTACGCAAAGGCAAACGAAAGGGTAGTTGCGGTTGCTCAACAACTTCGTCGCGATCGTCATTGATATGATCGCGTGCATTTCCGCAAATGGAGAGCGATCAATTGATTATGTTTAGTGGCTTTCGCTGACAGCCTGTTCTGTTCCCCTCTTTTCTCCTCGTGAATCTGACCCCATAGAGTAGATTCATACGGTCATTTTCTCGCCGATGAAATTTGGCCTCCAAGACGACAATGATACATGAATTCACTCAAGCCGACTGTGCACACGGATGTTGCTTCGCATCATCTAGCGTGTTATTCATTCCGCTGAGCCTCTACTCAGGCATTGTCCCTCCCAGGGACATAATATCTCTATGAATTATTGTCAAATAAATAGAGATGGACTATACTAAAGCGCCCTTGGGGCGTCGTCCGAATATACGGAGTATGTGACGCAATGAATCACTGCTGCTTCCTGAATCACTTTTCCCTTCTTCCTCAGGCTTGCGCTTCTTGATCATCTGTGGTCCTACTTCGCCATCCGAAGCATGCTTGTCTTCTTCCGCTCTTTTTCGTTTTGGAGAACGATCAACCTGACGATTAGGCGGTATGACTCGAGCGACTTTCTTTATACGTGCGGACCTGCGCACTGGTTTGGTAGGCTCCTCGTCGTCAGAATCGGGCGGGAAGACGTAAGGGTATTTCGTTACAGCTTGGGCTTCAGGATGAGCATCGATGGCGGGTTCGACGTATGGGAGCCCTTGCCCAGCTGCCCTCTCCTTCGCAGCTTGACGTTCCTGTGCTTTCTGGCGTTTTGAAATGAGGTTTCGTCGCCTGCATTTCAACGCATAGACTTCCCACTCTTCTTCTGTCTTGTAAGGGAACATGTTTGGGACCGTGTCGTTGTCGAGCCATCCCTCTTCGGCAAGCGCATCGTCGAAGAGTTTGACGACATTATCTGGATTAGCGAGGAATTCGCGGCGTTCTTCATAATCCTGACGTATTTCTCGCGTGTACCCACCTTCAACTCCGCGGTGGAATTGGCCAAATATGTGCTTGAATTCATCCATGAGCTTGTTAAATGGTTTGCATCGCCATTCCAGTTTCATCGATGACATGTAAGTCACAAACTGTTTCTTCTCCATCCCACCAACCGCGAATTGGACACCCATATCATTTTGTGGATAGTTGGGGTCTTGAAATGCTTCCAGCCCGCACTCGTCAAAGATATGCCAGCTGAAAGAGTCCCATAGCTTGACACACTTGACATAGCGGACTGCGATCCAGAGTAACACCCAGAAGCACGATTCGAGGTCGTCATGGATTTCATGCTCTTTGAAAGGATTCTTACATAGCAGGACGGACATAAATCTCCATGTGCCCTGAAACGTAGAACTGAGTGAAACCGATGTGTTGCTTGAATGCCATACTCACAACGCGATTCTCATTCTTCGGATCTTCGGCAGTTTTCTCCCAGCCACAGTCCCAGTCGTTCAGAATTCCTCGTCCTTCTTGTGTTATCATAATATTCCCGTCGCTGAGGTCCTGGTGCAACACATTTGCGGACTGCCACGCCTTACTCATGCCTGTTACACAGTCAGGTGTTGTACGCCCGGAACTGTAGGAGTCGTACTCACATGCAATGATGTCTCTGAATACCTGCGTCAGCTCCCTCGAAGATTTGGCAGTTTCCAGGGGAAACGCAATCTCTTGCACAATCCGTTGATGAGTTAAACCCCATAATCTTCCATGTTGCTGGTTGGAGGTTGATTGAAGCTGACTGTCTACGAGAACATCCCCTGCAGCTAAGTTTGTCGGAAGATGGGGGACATCGTGGTTCGCCAGGTGTTGATACATTTCAGCCTCCGAAACAAGCTGGTGAGAACGCCAGAAATCTTTCAAGCACACAAGACGTTTCTCAGATTTCAAGTACGCTGCGTACACTCGCGTTGCCCGACCACCACATGTAGGACGCTTGTAGCCGTGGAACGGTTTCCCAATGATCAGGTGCATCTTCTGGCCGTTTACGCTGTCCAACTGCATCTTGTAGACGGGGTAGTCATCATCGAGTGTGGGTCGGAGAAATTCGGCGTTCCGAGGTGCATTCTTGATGAAGTTGCGTACGGTAGCCTTGAAAGCACGAATCTCCGAGGGAGTGGCGTCAGTGGTTGTCGGATCGAATCCTCGTTCGGCACGACTGAGGAAGGTGAATCTCCAGAAGAAATCTGCCAAGAGCCTGGGATTCTTGTGATATTCAAAACCCTTGGATACCACGCAGCCAGCACGGTCCCAGCGCAGGAAACGAGCATAGCGACCAAAGATGATCAAGGAGAAGACATGGGTGCGGTGCTGATGAGCGAATTGCTCAGCAACTTGCTCAATTATGCTCTCAAGTACTTCAGAGCATTCGTCTCCATAGCCAAAGAGGTCGTCAGCAGAGGGGGCCAAGACATGGATGGGCATCTCCAGGGACCGCCAGGCGTCAGCAGAGTTTTGCCAGAAGTCAAGGCCGGTCGGATAGAGAAACAATCGGGAATAATCTTCGTCATCCGCATTCGATAGCAGACAAGCATCTGAGGCATCGATAATTTGGTATCCTGGGCATATGCGCGAGTCTTTGATGCATTGAACCTGCGTAGCAGCGGATTCGGATCGTTCGTGAATGTGGCAAACAAAGAAAAACATACCAGAGGTGTGCATATTTCACTAGCATTGCTTGCATCACACGGAACCGGAGAGAATCTGATTTTTGGTGCTTCGATTCCCCGCCCAGAAGGCATGAATTTGTTCAAGAACTGCCTGGCCTGCAAGGTCCTGTGAAGGAAACATTTCGCCATTGGGTCGTCGGCCATTTTTTGTGGATAGTGTCGAGAGAGTAGGTGCAGCAGAGGCAGGTGAGGAATCTGAGGTGAAGATATTGTGAAAGAGACAAAAGGTTCGATGAGGCCCATGGGCAGGAAACGCGTTGCCCCGTGACAGAACGCGATCGAGGATCGATCATGAAACCCCAAGGTCTAAGCGCTGAGCCTCACGTTCGCGGTACGTATTCCTTGTTACACTAAAGTAAAACTTGTCATCCTCGGATTTGAGATCATACGTATATTGAAAATCAGACTAGCATATTTAGTGGAGACCGTGTACTCGCCGAATCTTTAGTCGTCTTCACATAGCGCAAGTTGTTCCAAACGTGCCAGTGCCGTTCGGACCATATACACAGTGGCAACTTTCACGCAATAGTGGTAGATTCATTTGGAATTTAACGTCTGATATGCAGAGGAATTTCAAAGCGGGATGAAAGAGCTATGTTGTTCGGTTTCCCAGCGATTAGGTGAATGTTCTCGAGGCGTTTGAAGTTTAATGGCTGACGAGACGAATGGCCCGAATCTACAACTAGAGCGCTGCTGCCAGACCTTAATTCGCCACTCGCTGTGCCTACAGCCGTCGAATCGAAGGACCTGATATTGATTACAATGGTTGCTCGAGCATACCCATTTGCTGCGGCTAATGCTGATTTCGAAATGCAGCATATATGTAGTCACGTAACTTGCCCCTCGCGGCTGAGACTCTTCTCAGTTTTAATCGCGCGCATCTTGATATTCGTTAGTCAACTGGCTAGGCTCTGTCTGGCGAGTATGGCGATATGTGTCGAACAGCATCTTCTACGAGTATTTGACCCACACCATCTGTCGAGTATGGCTTCCCATGCTCAGAACATGGCGCGCATTGGACATCCACCTTGAATGCTCCTGAAGGGTACCTGCTATAAAATGGCTAGCATTGAGACCAAATTTTGGACTTACAGAATCAACGTATGAGCGTTTCATATCTTCCGGAAACACTGCAATTAGAAAGATTGTCTTTGTTATGAAAGACTCCCAAAGCATTCTTACGTGTATGCGGTGGATGTTGCCGCCACTTGCACTGTGTCTTGACAACCTGCGTGTTTTCCCGACAGATCTACGTGCCTAATCAGTTCGACAGCAACTGAAATGAAATGAACATGAAGAGACAGATAGGCTGTTATATGATTACGTGGAGCGACTTACTGGATTATAGCTTGGGCATACATATACCGTACAGGCTTTGGAGTGCTAGTCTCGACATGTTCAAGACTCAGGTAAATCACGTTCGAACTTCTTGTTGACCGTTCCGGACAGCGAGAACCATCACGGTTACAGCAGCGATAAGATTAGATTTTAGATAAGATTAGGCAGCAGAGACCGATTTACGGACATCGTGATCAAACCACGACTTCAGATTATTTTCTACTCACCTGAACTACTCACAGTCCTATCTTCATAACACCCTGTCATCTCCAGTATATTGACAGCATTATGCAGAAAGGATAAGGAGTTGTATGCATGAAAGTGGAGGCCATTTGCACTAATGTTCGTGGAGGATCGGCAGATCGTGATCGAGTGGCACTGTAGCAAGAAATTTTGCGGGAACGATATCCTCAGTCTTCCGGCATTCTGGCATCTGTATATAAGACCATGACTCCAAAGACGACCCCAGATCCAGACTGTTATCTTTCCTTCAAACATCCATTACCCCCTCCTCGTCCACCTTAATATTCCTCTCCCCAAGTCATGGCTGTGAACGGCTCTGCAAAGCAAGTCGAGCACCAAGTTTCAGATCTCGATGTGAGTTCTGTCGTCATTGTAGGATTGTGAACGAACATTGAATGGAATCATAGGCCTCGAAGCTTAAGGTCAACCTGAGCGAGACGTTGAAAGAGATTCCCCCTCCAGAGACTCTCACTTTCGGCCAAGTACGTCTTGTATATGGTCTCGCACGGTGGACAAGCTCTGAACTATTGAGCAGACCATGACAGACCATATGCTGATCTCAACATTCCACCCTTCGACTGGATGGTCAGACCCCGAGATCAAGTCATACGGTCCTCTGTCCCTCGACCCTGCCAGCTCCTGCTTCCAATACTCCACCAATGTCTTTGAGGGTATGAAGGTATGTTTCACAGTATGTCCTCTAAACGCATGTATTAACTTTGTATCTCAGGCATACATTGGGCCAGACGGCAAACCCAGGTTGTTCAGGCCGACGTTGAACATGGCTCGTATGACTCGTTCGGCCGGACGTGTTGCATTGCCTGTGAGCGCGTCCTACAATCTTTACATTTTCCAATGTGCTAATTCTACCATAGCCTTTCGACACCGACGAACTGCTCAAACTTATTAAGAAGTTGGTTCAACTCGAGTCTCGCTGGATCCCTAGGACGAAGGGATATAGTCTCTACGTCCGCCCCACCATAATCGGTTCTCGAGCCAGTAAGCCTTTTTTTTCTCGAGCTTATTCTCTTATTTACTCAACATCTACACTAGCCCTCAGCGTAGGACCCTCCGACCACGCCATCCTCTATGTTATCTGCAGTCCAACAGGACCCTATTTCCGCACTGGCCACAAACCCGTGAGCTTGCTCGCAGTAGACGAGCACGTCCGTTCATGGCCTGGAGGAACTGGTGGCTACAAGTTGGCATTGAATTACGCACCGACGTTGATGCCTCAACAGTTGGCCGCAAAGTTGGGTTATGACCAGTGCTTGTGGTTGTTGGGCGAGGATAAGAGGGTTACCGAGGTCGGGGCGATGAACTTTTTCGTTGTTGTCAAGCGGGACGATGGTGGTAGGTGTTTAATATCTGTGTTTGTGAATTTTTGATCTAAATGACGTTGCGTTGTGTAGACCTCGATGTTATCACCCCTCCTTTGGATGGAACCATCCTTCCTGGTGTCACACGAGATTCCACTCTCGCACTCGTCGCTGCCCACCCATCCCGAACCGTCCTGCCGAACCTGCCCGCATCCACTAAGCTGTACGCTCGTGAGCATCAACTGACCATGCATGAACTCGCAGAATTGGCACAACAAGATCGTTTGCTCGAAGCCTTCGGTGTCGGTACGGCCGCTGTTGTCGCTGGTGTCGGACGTATTGGATTCCAGGGCAAGGACATCAACTTGCCTCCTCATGAAAGCGGATTAGGCCCTATCGGACGTGCTCTCTATGACAGGATCGTAGACATTCAGGAAGGAAAATTCGAGTGGGAAGGATGGTCTGTTGTTTGCGACCTTGAGTAAAGGCTTGCTTTCGTATCATGTGAAATATGTGGAGATGATCTAAAAGGCTCATGAGAAACCGCTCAGACTGATCTAACAAGTAGAGTATATCTAACCCTTCTGTATATCCGGTCTTTACGGGCCCGCAGACTAATCGAGGATAGAAGAATAGAACCGAATGTACTATCGTTGTACACTATGACTGCGTCACATCTACAGGCCTAGGAGAATCGATTAATCTGAGTACAGCAACACTCTCAACGTGAGCGGTCTGAGGGAACAAATCAAACCCTCTAAGACTCTCCAGAACATATTCCTTCCCCTTTTCCTTCATCTTCTCCTGACTCTTTCTCAAGATCATACCCACATCTCTCGCTTGAGTGTGTACGTTACAACTCACATACACCACTACGGAACATCCAAAATCGATCATCTGGTCAACGAACTTCTCATCCGATCCCCTTCGTGGTGGGTCGATGATGAGGACCGTTTCGCTGCGAGGAAAAGATTGGACTGTGGTGAAGATATTGGAAGCATCGCCCTCAAGGAATGAACACTTTCCTGAAGGGAGGTTGTTCAACTCGGCATTGCGCTTAGCGGCTTTGATGGATTCGGTGGAGAGCTCGATACCGGCGATAGTTTGGAAGTATGGTGAGAGGGTGATGGCGAAGAGACCACTACCGCAGTATGCGTCTACAAGATGTGTTGGATTGAGATTGGAGGAAGCGGAGCCTGAAGGATCTGATGGGGTTGACGATGAGGGCGGGAAGATAGCATCTCGGACATAAGAGGTGAGGGGGACCAGAACAGAGTTGTTGTTCTGGAAAAACGAACTTGCACCGTATTCGAAGAGGAAGTCGCCGACACGTTCGCGGACTGTGCCTTTATGATTTGTTATGCAGACCTTCTTTTCCATGTCTTTAGATAGAGTGTCCATGGTAATGTCAGAATCGGCCTTTGGTAAGGTGTCCGTGGTAGTGGAAACCGACGTTGGTGAGAGCTCAAGAGATTCTCGAAGGAGAAGTGAGACGCCGCGCTTGTAAGTAAAGATATTCCTGGGTGATGTGGTTAGGCAAGGATGTGATGGAAGCCAGGTGACATTTACTCGACTATCTTCTCACGTAGAGGGCCATATGCTTCGTTAATGACTGGCGCCGCGATTGGGCATTCCTGAAATCGAATGAGTTTCCGTGAACTGCATCTGCAATCTTGACAACAATACCGAACATACCTCAATATCCATAACGAATTTGGTATTTACTTTGTTGAAGCCAATTCTCAGCCAGTCCGGTTTCGTTCCAGGCTCAATAGAATCCTTGGCTTTTATATCTTTTGGTCGCACTTCAAAATGAGGTGTGATCTTTGTACGGTAGCCATACTGAAGAGGAGAGCCTATCGTTGACTGGACTGTAGGAACAGAAGACCCTGGAAGACCAGAGAAATTCTTATAAGCTTTCACTACAACATTTTGTTTGAGATCTAGTTGAGTTTCGTATGAAAGCATCTAAACAAAATGTCAGAACACGTCCATGAATACGAGACAGATGACGTACCTGGTATTGGCATCCGCCACATTCACCGAAATACTTGCATTTAACTCGGTTCATATCTCGAAGCGTTGGATTGGGCTTAACGACCTCGAGCAAGTCTGCGCGTGAGTATAATCGCGAGTTGTAGTATATTCGGACTCTGATCTTTTCTCCGGGCAAAGCCAGAGGTGTGAGCACTATCCATGGTGGATGTGGTGCCGGTGCAATTGACAGCGAGTCACCTAAAAAGTTTGCCAATGGATATTTTAACATGTATATGGACTGACAATTAAAATGACATACCAGAAGAGCACATCTCTGAAACGACCAACTCGACCTCATCTTTCTGCTTGAAGGGTGAATTCCAATCTAGTCCCTCCTCTACAGCTTTCTGTACTGTTTCTTCGCCAAGCAATGCGAATACGTCCCGAGATATGACATCCTCCGGTGAACACAGGTCAGGAAGAGCGTGTTTGACTTTCTTCCTTTTCGAGTTCTTCTTCTGCTTCTGGCCTTGAGCTGGCTTTTTCTGGTCTGGATTCTGCTTGGGCGTTGAGCTTTCGCCTGCCTTCATAGGTTCGTCTGTGAGTGGAGCATTATGGCTAGCTTGCGACTGCGCATCGGTTTCCACATCAAGTCGGGGCTTTTTGTCAATGTGTGAAAGCTCCTGTGATGGTGAGCGTTGTCTTGTATTAGACTGGACCATCTTCGTTCTGGTTTTAGCTGCCAAGTAGCCTGGCGCTATATAGATAGTGCGCGAGAGTGATTTCTTGGATAATTGTCGAGGTAGACGAGAGAGTGAGACACGCAGCATTCACTGCCTGGCTATCGACACAATGAGCTAACCGTCTCTGGGTGCAACACCAGAGCAAAGCGTATTCCAGAGTCCAAACTCGCGCAGGAGGATTGGTGGGAGCGAATCGCAGAAAAATATCCATGTGGCAGAATCGATCGTGATCTTGGTGCGCTTACATAAACAGATCTCTGACGTTCAGAGATAACCAAGACCCAGATCAGCCGGTCAACGTTCAGTCTTCACCTCTTTGTTTCCGTCCTTCATCTACTATGTTCCTCCCTGTCCTTCTATCAGCAGTTCGGTTTTCTCAGTCATATCCTTGCTCAGATATCAATGCGGAAATACCTGGAAGAGAAGGAAAACCACCAGACTCATCCACTTTCTGGTACAAGATGTTTTTCAGTGTTGGATTAGTACTTGCTGGAGGAGTCTTTGCCGGGTCAGTCAATGTGAACGAGTACAACAAGTAGTATTCATTTTTAATGCGTTGTCAGATTGACCCTTGGACTTATGGGTCTGGATGAACTGCACCTTCGCGTGCTCGCTACGTCTTCTGATGACCCCACGGAACGCAAGAACGCGAGTAAAGGTACGCTAACGACATTCGATTGCAATTGACGCGTCTTATGAAATGACTTTAAGTTCTAAAGTTGTTGAATAGGGGTCGACACTGGGTTCTAGTGGTATGTTACCTATCAATGTGACCCCGTCTCATCGGCTTATCATTATCCAGGTGCTATTGTTAGGCAATGTGGTATGTCGGGAGGCATTCATAAGCGGCGGTGTTAGAACGGGACTAAATCAAATCATGGTGTGGCTTCGCAGATCGTAAACGAGAGTTTGCCAATCTTTTTGGACGATGCTGTACGCCAATTCATTCGCGTCATCTCCATGTATATATTGACCACCAAGCATGACATAGTTGGGTGGAGGGGTAGCAGCAATTGTAATATCAACTGCAATGATTGGTAGGCTTGATCTAGCTTCCCTTCCTTTGCAACGTATACTTATTCCCTCCGCGTTTAGTGATTTTCGGGTATGTCTGCGACAAAAAGCAGGTCTCTTCACATTGCTGAACGGAATGACTGATGGTTCATCTAGAGAGTAAGTGTAGCCCATGCTTCTTATACTTCTACTGATTTAACCCCTTCCCTCCGTTTTCAAAGAATCATTCCCCAAGCCGTTAGCGTTAGGTACGGTTTGTCCATAGGTGCAAAATGTGCCCCAATTGTGCAGGGTATGATGTATCTTTTCGGTAAGTGCTACTACGTTCCCCTCTACATGTGTGACATACGAATTATTGACGTCAACGATCAATACTTGAAGCGCCTATTGCGTATCCTATTGCAAAGCTTCTCGACTACGTTTTGGGTATAGATGAAGCTCACACTTACAAGAAGGCAGAACTCAAGTACGGTGTATATGATTATATTCATTTTCTCGTCGACCTTCATTGTGTACTTTCACAGGTCCTTCTTGCAGTTCCACCGTCAAGGTGAAGAGCCCCTTCGAGACGACGAAATCTGCATTCTCAACAGTGTTTTATCTCTAAACAACAAGAACATCGCGGAAATCATGACACCTATGAAGGTGAGTTTCTCTTCTCCATGGTGTTATAGAGATTTCATATATTAATTGTCATGCCGTGCGATGATTAGGATGTCGTAACCATCAGTACCGACCAAGTGTTGGACCACGATTCGCTAGACCGCATGTGAGTTACCGATGAGCACACGAGTTTATTTCATTCTAGCTAACATCTTGATAACGCACAGATTGAAGAGTGGCTACTCTCGGTTTCCGGTGCACGAGCCTGGTAGACCGATGGCCTTCGTTGGTCTTTTGCTCATTAAGAAGGCGAGTCGCCACGTCTACCTGGGTAATGAATATTCATGGTCTGATACTCTTGAATGATAGCTTTCGATATATGACCCTTCACTAAAATGGCCAGTATCCAAATTCCCGCTCTCTATTCTTCCCGAAGCTCGGCCTTCTCTCAACTGTTTCCAAGCTTTGGACTACTTGTAAGTTCTGCCCATATGGTCTCTTGCCACCACCGAAAGCTCACGCGCTTCAATCAGCCAAACTGGACGTGCCCATTTGCTATTGTTGAGTACTACCCCTGGTGTTGAGGGTGGTGCAATTGGCGTTGTCACGTTGGAAGGTCAGCTTAGCCCGAACCCCGTACGCTAACCCTTGTCTTCACCTTACATCTAACTTGCAGATATTATCGAGGAAATCATTTCAGAAGAGATCATCGACGAGACGGACCGGTACGAAGATAACCAAACTAAAAGGCGCGCTCGTCGTATAAAGAACCCCAGCGTTATGCAAGGGTAGGTTCATTCTTTTCCCTCCTTCCATTTTCCTCCTGAAACAAATTGACCGACACATCACCGCAGTATTGTCGAATACCCAGCCGGCCGAGTCAACTCCTCCCGTCAGAATAGTTTCAACGAACGCACCCAATTAATACCCCCCAGTCGTTCCCAAACAATGAGTCCTGTCGATCAGAATCAACTTCAGCCTCAGCCTCAGTATGGCTCGCTGTTGAGCTCAACGCCTGTTGAATATCACATTCCAGAGGAGAGAGAACGTGAGGAGGACGCTCAGCGAGATGAGCGGCAGCAACGACAATAGTACATGCGTGTCGCTTTTGGATGATCTGGATATCGGAATTGGAGTGGAGTGAACAGGAGGATGGATGTCATGCATCGGATTTCGGACTAGTCAACTAATTGTTTCGCTTTCGCATATTGGTCACCTCGCACGAATCAGTTTTCAATGTAAAATATGTTGCATACCCAGCAAGCTTCTTCGATCTCATATTGTACTCTAACGGATCCGTGAGGGTAACATAACCCATCAAGCTGCTGAGTGCACTCGCTGCAAGATATGCAAAGCCGCATATGGCTGGAGTTACCTCCGACGGGCTTTGACCCGAAAGAATTAAGGACGTTCACTCTGGCCCTGACTTTCCGACCTGCATCGTTACTCGAATCTCCACTCTCAGGTAAAGGTCATTTTGAGGAACGCTGCCAGAAGAGACCGAAAAGACAGGCGGCTTTGCTTTCCTAGAGCTTTTAGGAGACGGCCATAGTGAAATAGCAGTTGAATAGTCAAAAGCATCCGGTGTAGACATTGATGAAGACATGCACAGTAAATTGTTTTCTGTCGTCCACAATACTTACAGATTTTGGCAAAAGGAGCACTGGCACCTCTACAGCAATGCAACAGGAACCAAGAGTTGTCACGCGTCGCGATCTGTCACAAAGTCCGTGACCTGTCTAAATATAGCTTCTCGGTCTCTCATGTGCTTCAGCTTTCTTGACTGCGATAATATTGAATCCACACACACTCACAGACTTCACCTAATCATTTTCTGCCTAGCTCACTAGCAAGTTCTTCGCAGTCTGTATCCATTTTCTGAATTTGATCGAATTTCTTCTGCGCTCGAAGAATGACTTCGTTCGGAGCAAAATTAGCGTTATGCGTAACCCTTGGTGTTCCTCTCTACGCGCTCTTACGGCAGACGATTCGCCGCTCTCGACGGCTTAGAGTTTTACCTAGAGCTAAAGAGAGAGTCTTGGTATTAGGAGCATCGAGGTATAAATAGCTTTTTTTTTGTTTGCCAAAGCCATGCCATAACGTTTATATTCAATTGTAGTGGCATTGGCCGCTCCGTGGCAGAACAATATGCGGCCCAGGGTGCACGCGTCTGTGTTGTGGGGCGAAGAGAGAACGAGATTCAGGCCGTTGAAAATGCGTGTCTGGAACTGCGGACCAAGCACCATGCAGACAATTCAGCACGACCGGCTATAGGTCTCGTGGCAGACTTCTCAAACCCAGAAGATATGGTACGAGTACGCCAGGAATTGGAGAATGGTACGTAGGCCAGATGTTAGTCCACAATCTTGGGGCTTATCGGTGTTGGTAGCTTGGCAAGGTGTTGATACTGTCATCGTTTGTGCTGGCGCATCTGCACTTCGTCCTGTCATGGAGATCGCACGGGAGAAGTCTTCAGGAAAAGGCTATCCGGCGACGGACGACGTCCAGCGCACAGTTGACGTTGCGATTGCAGCCGAACGTGCCAACTACGTCGGGCCGCTTGTGTCTGCCGTCACCTTTGTTAGTACTAAAGTTCCTTACTGCTTAGTCTTTTCCCTCATTCACAACGTGGTATCAGATACCGCTTCTTCAGTCAACGTCGGTGTCACCTTCTATACTTCTGGTTTCGTCGCTCGGTGCGATAGTACCTGCACCTACGCGAGCTATCTACGGCTCGACCAAGTCAGCAGGGCTCTTGCTGTACCAAGCTCTCGCGATTGAAAACCCTACCATCAAATTCTCCTTCATGATTCCCGCTACTGTAGAGGGCAACTTCCGTGCCTCTGCAGTAGATGCAGGCACAGTGCGCGAAGCTGACCCAAACCAATTTGGCTTGAAACGTGAAGATGTCGCTCAAAGGTGTATTCAAGCAGTTGATTTCGAAGAGAAAGCCATCTTCATGCCAGGATGGGGGAAAATAACTCACTTGTTGTACTGGCTGTGGCCAAGCGCCATAGAGAGGATAGCAATGAGAAAATACAATTTTACGCATCAGTAGGATCGAGATGATGCCATAGATAGCAAGGAAGTTGTGCACATCATATATATTTTTCTGTGTACTGCTCTACAGTACTGTAAATGCCTAATCCGAAGGGAAGGCGTAAGGGTTTTCCAAAAATTGCTGGAGGCCGAAGCCAACAGACGTGTTCGGATGTGTAATTTGCAATCAGCAAAAGACTGTGCCTCGGTAAAGACCTCACTGGCGACAGTACGTGCCCGAGCACAAGAATGAAGACCAAAAATGATGAGTATCGACTTATATATGAACGTGCCTTGCGCACGGACCACCCTTGTGCTTGGCAGATTCTCGCTTCTATGTCGTCTCTCGTCTCGCAACATTTGTTATCTTCCTCTGTTTCGCAATAAATTCCATCTTCCAGTACATGTCGTGTTGAAGCATATGATGACGCTGCAGTTATCTACGTGCTATTTCGTGATTCTTTGACAGAGACGTTTTCCACGTGTTCCGTGGAAGTCTTGCTGAGCAACCCTGACGTAGTATGTATCTGCATCCTTCTCGAACGGCCATTAGAGTGTCACTATGAGTGCATCGGAGAGGCCATACATTGTATTTGGTTACGGCTCATTGATTTGGAAGGTACGAAAGTCGAGATCGGAAGTTAACAACGCTCACTCTTTAATTAGCCTCCCCCACAAGTCGTAGCTCGAAGTAAGTGCAATTCTTGGAACGGGGCGTTCGAATGAAAACATGGGTCACTTTAGCACCAGGTTATCTGAAAGGCTATGTGCGGCGCTTTGCACAGAAATCGCACGATCATCGCGGCACGCCTGAGGTGAGCCGTTACAGATTCCGAGGCTGAGAATACCAACTCATTTTTCTTAGAATCCCGGTCGAGTTGTGACACTGATACACAGCGAAGATTGGGACGCCTTCTCAGGATCTGTGAGTCGAATGTGATATTTAGTGACTGTTTGCTGTTTCTGATCCACCAAATGCAACAGGATCCATTCCCGCACGATGATGTTGTCTGGGGTATGGAACTATTCAATAGCAGTGGAACATTCAGGCTTACTAACCATCCGAAAGGCGTTGCATATACGATAAATCCTCTATACGAGTCGGAGGTTAGAGAGTACCTAGGTATGTACAATGTACATGAGGATCCTACTCTTCGTTCAGCTACTCAACCCAACAAAAAATAGATTATAGAGAGAAGGTGCCCTCTTCTGCTGCGGTAAGCTACGACTCTCTAACGTTTTATTCAGGATGGCTATACTCTAGAACAAGTTGATGTATTCGGTCTCGAAAATGGTATCGAAAAGATTTTAGTACACAAGGTAATATCTCATGCCCGGTGAATTCATGAGTACTAATGCATCACCTATCGTTAGGCATTTGTGAGTGTATCACTCTAAGTTCCACCTCCGCTGTTTCTTTGACAACACTGACGGGCTTCAAGTGCTATGTCGGTCGCAACGATAATCCATCCTTTCGTAAGTCAGTCTGCTGGGTTGTGCTTGTACGGACTGTCTGAACATTTGTCCACCTGATAGTCGGCTCAGAACCGACAGAAGCACTCGCTGAACGAATATGGCGATCTGTGGGACCTTCTGGACCCAATAAAGTCAGTGTGTTCTCTGGAGATGTCGTCTTTGTGGAATCTGACATCTTTCTCGTAGGATTACCTGTACCATCTTGCGGAAGCTGTGAGAGAGCTAGCACCCGAGTCTTACGACTCCCACTTGTTTGCTCTTGAGGTGAGTAGGGGTTTTATTCATCGGACTTCTTTGTACAGAACGCATCACAGGCAAGATGTAAAGAACTGGACCAGAAAACCGAAGGGAACAATTAACTGGATGCACTGCACTTATCTATTGATTACATTGTTGTGACAATACCGCACCCTCTGCTTCGGTACGATGAGGAATGTTGGCTGGGAAACCTCCAGGAAGAATGCGTAGGATGATGGGACACGCCTGAAATAAAACGCCACGATCAGCGTAAACGAAAGTGCATAAGCGTAGTATAGTTATTTAATACGGTTTGAATGTGGAAGTTACTGATGTCTAACATTCTAGTGAATACTTGACTGCATTCATAACGATACACGTCGCGAGTCTTCATAGTAGGTCATCGTTCAACGACCACGCATGCCAGACCCCTCTCCTGTGTTTAGGGTAAAATAGGCCCGCGAACGTCATCAAAGGTATTCATGTCGGAAGTCACGTTCGGACAGTGGGAAACAATGAGGAATACCTACTATGTGACAGTTACTGTACATTTGAGCATGATACCAACGGCATATTTCAGGCTGTTTCTGTTGTCAGAAAGTGGTTCAAACTTAACAGAAATGATGACAATGAGTCCTCTCCTAAGGACATGCTATATGATGCAATAAAGTGACAACAGTTTCGCAATGAAAGATCACAGTTGAATGCAAAGAATCCGGGAATCAAGGATTCCGGCTTGTACGAAGTCCGGTTTCGGGTCTCAGCATAGCCGGCTGCCCCGCACCTTGAAGAGCTGTGGGGTAGAAATATGGAGGCTTGACCGACATTCGTCAACCTCTTCAACCTCTTCAAGTCATCTCAGAGAGCTGCATAAGTTAACATGGCGAACCGTCTTTCCCAAGTTACTGGCCATCTCACAAATACGTATGGCCGCGGACTGCTAGCTGGTGAAGTAGCAATCATTACAGGTAAGTTCCAGCTTTAATCAAATGGCGCTCGACGCCAGATATTCTTCTCAAGAAAGATACAGAATGGTCAGGACTAACTAAGTGTATTCGATATAGGTGCTGCCCAGGTAATTCTATATCAAGTGGTTTTATTCGTGAACACATGTGTAATTTCCTTGTGCTAACAGGGAATTGGACGAAGCTGCGCTCTTCTATATGCCAAGGAGGGTGCAAAGGTCGTTGTGACGGAGTACGTATTTGCACAGTATGTTGCCTTTGATATGTTGACCTACCTGGGTGCAGTCTAGATGAAAAAAAGGCGCAGCTAGTTGTTGACGAAATCAAGGCGGGCGGAGGTGATGCTATTGCAGTAGGAGGAGACGTTGCCGCAGATGACTTCCCTCAGAAGGTTCTTGAAGCTACAATCAAGTGCGTGCTCACGCGAAAGGTTTTGCGCTGTTCTGACAGGTTATTGACAACAGAAAGTACGGAAAGCTTAACCATATCGTCAATAACGCCGGTTTCACGTTCGACCGGATGTTGCACACGACACCTGACGATGCCTGGGACATTATAATCAAGGTCCATGTCAGAGCACCTTTCAGGCTCATTCGGGCAGCAGCTCCCTATCTGCGACTTAAGGTAAGAAGTCGTTACATTTCGCACGGATTGACATGTACTCATCTGACACGACGTGTGTTAGGGAAGCACGGAGAACCGTTCCATCATCAATGTGTCCTCTACTTCCGGTTTGCATGGTAACGTGGGCCAGGCCAACTATGCAGCTGCGAAATCGGCTGTGATTGGTCTCACAAAGACTATTTGCAAGGAGTGGGGTCCATTTGGCGTGCGAGCAAATACGGTTGCATTTGGATTCGTCCAGACGAGGTAAGTCTTCGACTATACTGCACGCGCTTTAACAGCGATAACCCAAAATTATTTGCTTAGGTTGACTGCAGCGAAGGAAGAGGGTGCAACTATCGAAATTGAGGGCAAGAAAGTAGCACTAGGCATCCCAGGAGGCAAATCTGCAGCAACGGGAGGCGGAAAGCCGGGAGCTTCTGCGTATCCAGGCATTCCTCTTGGAAGAGGAGCCACTCCAGATGAGGCTGCTGCCGCTGTTCTCTTGTGCGTTCATCTTTTAATTACCGTTCCTTCTCTAACGTCATGAAAACTCATGCCACGATCGTGTTTTAGTTTGGCCTCGCCGCTCGCATCGTTCGTGTCCGGACATACACTCGAGGTCACCGGCGGCCAAGGCATATGATATCTGTTCCAACTGTAATTTAGCCTTCATTGCAAACAGACTACGCCACTAGTCTCGGAGTTGACTATGCAAATATTATCGATGTTCAAATTTTGAGGTACTAGGACGGCCTTATCCATCTTGGGCCTTAGTGTCTAGTCAAGAAGGTGGTGTATCGATAATCGTGGGCACTAGTTTACGCCATTTGGAGCCAATGTCCCTTCTCCCAACCCTTTGCGAGGACCCTATGTGGACTCCTCAATCCAAACCATGTACCTACGTGTACCTCACCAGTGTTGGGAGGAGCAACAGCAACCGGTCGACGTCATGACTTCCCAAGCTTAAGATAGCAACAGAGATCGCTGGAACTGTTCAGGCGCATCTGCGAAGCTGCTTCAAACGTCGTTCCAAGCAAGCTGCACTACCAGATACGATCGATCGGTCTGTCCTTCTCCCTTTTTTATCCCAATTATCAGTTTTATGTGCCCTATGGCTTGCTGTGCGTTGCGCCACTGATCAAGAAGTGCTGGGCAAACCTCTTCCGAGTCGGGCATTGACCAAGACACACACGATGACCATGTGCAACGGCGTAGTTGCAGGGAGTTTGGCAATATGCCTGCGCTTTCTGAACTGATACAATCACCCCAAGGGCCCCGGTGGCGGTGATACCTAGGATGTTACGTCCAGGACTACACGGAAATGATGAGAAGTCTTGTTGTCTTTCACCCAAACTCAAATCAGAAAAAGATGAGAAATGCCATGCTAACAACGCATCCATGTGCTACAGGACAACAGGCCAGACGTGGGTAGATTAACGAAGACAAGAAGGGTATGGTATTAGTGAACTACGAGGCAGCTTCCAGAGAGGACCTTTTGATGCGATGATAGCGGGACGGACAGTGTTGAACAAACAAACACAACGACTGCAATTAAGGCAAAGGGAAAGAGGAAGCGGATCGAAGAGAAAGCAAATGCAGATGCAAATAGAGAAACCAGAGACTGTGCTGCGGAAGGGCCAAAAAGAATGGATGAGAGTACCAAGATAAAGATGAAAATCCGACAAGCGTGACAACCAGGCTATGGTACAAAAATTGGGACAAGAGTGCCAATAATCGATGACGATAGTTGAGTCATTTCCTGGACCATAATAGTGGGTCAAAGAAGGGCATGACGAAGCATGGAGGCACCGGCCGGCAATGGTCGCCCGAGGAAGAGATGCACGGATGGATGTTCTGGCTCCCGATGCAGTGAAGTATGTACTATATGTGCAATGTGGAATCTGCATGCCGCCGGCGGAAGGTTGCCCACAGTTGCGATCGAAGGAGTGCTATAGCATAATTTGCCGGATCTAACGGGGGTGATAGGTGTGTTGTTAGCAATTTCAGGTAATCGGACCACGTTGGATCAAGATTGGCACCTACGTTTCTACTGATGATGGTACTATTTGGTCAAACGCAGGGGGGACAGCGTGAGAAGGAGTGTGATCGTGGATTTTGATTGAGCGAGATGATCATTAGAGAGGGAGTGTGGAACAAGCCGCATGAATTTCGTTGTGGGAAGGGAGCGAAGACCGAATGGGAGGTGCGAGTTGGGTGAAGGAAAAGCCAAAAAGAAAAGAAGATCATGAGTATTCGAGAACATGACATTAGGGACCGTTAAAGTCGATTATACAAGAAAAAAAGGAAAAGATGGGAAAAGATGGGAAAATACAGATGAACGTGGGGAAACGCCGGTATAATGAGGTATAAAAATAGTCGCTTCAAGTTGGGTGACAAGAGACGTCGATGAAATGCCTGCCGCAAAGGCTTTACAACAACGCGGCGCTCTCGAGGTCTTGTCGCAGAATGATGCTGAATGGCGAATATGAACCGATACAGTATGTTGAGCAATTGGTGGTCGTGACGGTTGAAGATTAAAAGGCGAACAGAAGTGGAGGGGTGGGGGGTATAAAGAAAATGAACACTCACTCTGGAAAAGAAATGGTTAGTTACAACAAACAAATCAGAACAAAATACTGCACGTACCTTCTACTGCTGCCATTACTACTCGTAACATCGCGGTATCTGTTGCGGTCGTCACACTTGACGCAAGAATGAAGCAGTCAGTACCCAGGAAATAGACAAACACCGGAGTCGAAATCGTGAATGGAAATCAACACGCACTGGATATAAATCTCTCGTTCCTTCTGGTTAGCTTTTTGCGCGAGTCGCGCAAAACGTTTCTTGAAATATTCCCGCCCTGCCCGAGCATCACCAGCCTCACCATCGTAATCCTGAAGGCCGACGTCAGCGGTGAAACAACGGTGGTTAACCGGTGACTTACAGGGAAGAAGGTTTTGATATCAGAGTGGTCAATTTTCTTCTCGAACAGGTCGTTCTTATTTAGGAATAAGATCTGTCCAAACGAATCGTTAGGTTTGTTAGCGGCACAAAGGTGGACGGGTGCCACTGACGATAGAGGTCTGTTTAAACCATTGCGAGTGACATATTGAATCCCAAATTGTCATCGCGTCTTGCATTTGGTTCTTGGACGAAAATCAGGACGCATACACAGAGACATATGGGAAACCAAACGTACTGCATCCTTGTCCTCAATCAGACATTGATCGTAACCGCTCAAACTGACCAGGAACAGTATGCTTGTTACGTCTTGGAAACAGTGAATCCATTTCCGTCGTTCGCTCTTCTGACCACCGACGTCGACCATCAGCATCTCGTGATCCCGCAGATGGAAAACGGTCTCCGTTATGCCTATTGTACGGGCACGAGTCTGGACGATGTCCTGCTCGTTAGGGACGAATGTAGGGTCAAACAGTCGATCAAGGTCCGAGAAGAAGTAGATGAGACTAAAGAATAATAGTCAGCCAATGGCAAACTGAGCGTCATCAAATGTCCACACTTGTCTGGGAGCGCAGCTTCGTTACCCCTCTCCCATGCCTTTTGCACGCTAGGGTCCTCCCAGAGCTTCTTTAGAGGCTCGTAGTACTCTGGCGGGAACGGTTGGCCATCTCTGAGATCGACCGCGTCTTCGATGAGCTGCACGTATGGCGCATTATCTTCCGACAACGTGATACCCATGTCATCCATAGAATCTAGAACATATTTCATTCCATGTGTGAGATTATTGAAGACCAGTTGGCGATAGTTCTCGATCTCCTGCGCGGAGAAGGGAACACGATGAATGAGTCGCATTTGCTTCAGGATAGTGGACTTTCCAGAGTCACCGGACCCTAGAAGTAGCACCTAAACATGCCTTGTCAAGTACGAGACACATACAAGTGCATACAGTTAGGCATACCTTGACCTGGTGAGCCATTTTGGCTTTGGCCTTGGATTACGTTTTAGCACTCGATCGTATCCCCGGTGCAAAGCGTACTCACCTCCTTCAGTTCCTTCTCAACATCACGATTCCTCCTCCTATCCTCCTCCGTGATCTCAATGCCTCCCGACGAGATACAGGCACCCATGGCTAAAGACTTAACTTGAGCCGATAGTAGAAGTGGTTAGATTTACAGCTGGCCGCCTAGGAGCAAAGCAAAGCCGTGGAACCGGGCGAAGGCCAGAGAAACAGGATGTAAAGCAAGGAAGATGGTACTGTGAGAGAGGACGGCGCTGTGGAACAGGTGATGGTCTGTTCTGAAGCGGAATCAATCCCACGCAATGAAGCTACCATACGAACGCAATTGCTGACCTTGGACCGGTGAGAGAGAAAGAAACGTGAGATAGAGAGGCGTGGAAGAGAAAGAAAAAGAGAGAAAGATGAAGGGAGCGGAGGAGGAGATGGCGGGGAGAGGACTGTACAGAGGGTGGTAAGACCCGGCACGACCTCCTCCAATACCACCGGCTCCCATCTCTGCCTCATTCCGGCGCTCCAGCCTGCCCTCGCTTAATTCAATTTCCTCCTTAATTTCGCTACATTTCAGAGTCTAAAAGCTACCCCTGCCCGCTCCTCGACAACATAACAAATCGTAACGTAACTACAGGTAACTACTAGTTCATCCTTTTCTTTCCGGGAATTCAGTTTTCTGCGCATAATAGCTTCACCATAATCGGATAATCGCAGTCCAAGTGGCTTGTGCTTTCTGCTCACCCACCTCTCCATCAACCCAACAGCCAAGGCCGTGTTGGCGTGTCCATCGTCGAGACGTCCATCGCAGGCATCATGATCTCCGAGTCACCTCATACCGCCTCGGGCTGCTACTTCATTTCGCGTCGTATTAGTGCAGGCGCCCCGTCGTTGTCAAGTGGATCGTCGCGTGTGTTGCCAAGCAGGACAGCGGCGACGAGCTAATTGACATCCAGCAATATACTTTATATCCCGTGATTTAAACTGAGACTTCAGTTACTAGCCTCTACTAGCCTGTCTCTAGCCTCTCTAGTCACTATCATCGAGGAACGCCTCCCTGTCCTCGAATGAAGTTTGCACGCTCACAATTGACTCTCGAATGCTCCCAGATCGGTGCTAATTGTTGCCAACGGACGCTCCTTCCCGATTGCGATACCAGTGTTTCTCGTTGACAGCTTTGGCGGTTGTAAATCACGTACAGGTTATCTGTGTCATATTTCGCTTACGGCCGTCTGCAACGATAGCCCGTCATTGCTCACAACGTGCTCTGTTGGCGTGGCGCACCGGAGTAGCCGTATTTGTGCTCATTCACATGGTGTCGAGGTTTTCCCTGACGATTAATTGTTATTATTGTACGGAATATTTTCAGGGTCGGCTATTCTCCTCTGGGCGACACTCAACGTTTTGAAGTTCGATAAGCTATCGTACCACGCCCAATTCGAAACATGTTCCAAAAGCATCAACTTGCGAATCACTCGGCTCCGCTGTAGAAGCTTCAAAGCACTGTAACATACTCTCAACTCCAGGCTTCGCGTTCAAATCGGAGGTTGAGAGTAAACATCATGACCGGTACGTTTCAAAGGTCCGAGTCTCCGAATGTTTAGCTAACGCGCAAAGTATATCATCACTCCAAAACCCACACAATTGGACAGGAACGCGCCCTGGCGCTTTGGGATATCGAACGTGGAGTGGACTCCGTCCTTGGAGAGAAATCGTGGAACGACTTTGCGCCTATACTGAAGGTTGTCTTAGTAGCTTGACTCTCGACTGCCTCTTCACTTGGTTCTGCATCACTTTGGGTTCAGAAGATATCCGCAAGCGTCTCTCCTAACGTTGATCCAACGGCGGAGAAAATCCAGCGGTCCACAGTCTGAGCCAACAACGCTCCAACACACGCTCGATGTCACCTAGTCTTCGAAAGCCATCGGACCCTTTTGACTCTAATGATATATTTCCGGCACATCATCCCGATTCACTTTGCTTCCTATTGTGTTGATAGTTCACCGATCCCAAGTTCTTGATTTCGGACCTAGCGTCTCTGCCAATGACATCTCACCACCGTCTATCATTGGCAATGAGTGTATTATGCATGCCGACACTGCCCAAGCTTCTACAATACAAAGTCCGAACGTCAACCAGGCCAACATCATACATTTTGTGCTTCTGTGCTGCGATGCGGAAGATGGGAGGAAAGATGGCAAATTTAGTCCTTGTGATACGAACTGTCAGTGTCAGATGATCCCTTTCTGGACTGTTTGATTCTCTTGGGAGGCTTCAGACAAGGTATCGTGATCAATGACTATTGACGGATGACATGGAAGACAGGGACGGAAGGTTGGTCATGCTGGACCGTATTGCAGATATAGAACTTCGAAAGCCATGCGTATTGAGGCAGACACGCAGTCGGGTGTCAGACACAGTGAATTGTATTTGTATTGTAACAGGCTCAGGCTTCTGGATATGTATTGCTTGAAATCACTTGTGAGCGTGCCGCTTTAAGCCCAGCCTCTTGAGCTCCGAGATTGGCATTCTTGCAAGAAATTCGGGCAGAAGACAAGGACCTCAAGATGAAATTGGAATTGCACATGTTCGAAGAGTACACTCGCAAGTGGCAGATCATCTGCACCAGCGCCCCATTGGAAGATTGGAACAACGCACATGTTAGCAAAACATAAGTGAGATACAAGAAAAGACCAAAAACAGTAAACACGTTGAACTCAAGAGTTCAAGTCTTTTGAAAAATTGGTAAAGCAGCATTGATATGAGGGTAGAACACGGAACGCCCTAGTAAAAGGCGAGGGCGTTGTCTGTTTGCACTACCCTCTGCCGCTATGTTTAGTTGGCGTGTTCCAGGCGCCACTGTAGGAGTCTTGCATTTCATTCAACTTGCGGGTGGGCGCTTGCCCACGGAAATGCCCTTTTTAGCAGAGGTTAAATGGAGTGCCCCAAATGACAGGATGGTCAACTGCTGGCTTGGTTGATGATTTTCATAATTTGCTTTGAAACCGCGCCGAAGATCCAAAAATATGAGCTTTGACAATTAGACTTTGCTGAATTTCAACTTGAACCAGCCCAGCTCCATTAAGTGCGCACTAGGTGCACCTCCTGAAGACGGACGAGTCATCACCATTAGTCCTTCACCAGAGTGTCTGAGGTTATGGCAAGGCCGGCAATGCTATTGTACATTTGTGGGCTTTTGCAATCTTACAAGAACTCTGCAAAGACAGAGCGCTGATAGAATGGAAAGGAAGGCGTGTGCAAGCAGTATTGGTACATTGAACATGTAATCGAAACGGGAGAATGGGTGAGAACGAGAATTAAAAGCACGTGTACACTGGCAGTGTTGTTATGTGGTACATGAACGAACTGATTGCGGCGAGGGCAATGTGAGCAAAAATGCTCAACTATATTCATACAACCAATGGCGAACCGGGCGTAAAGCTAACCCCTCGAAGTGCATCTGCACTCGCCCTGAATATGGAGCTAGCACCTGGAAGGTGGATAGTCGGTCGCCTCCAACTCTGATTAGGTGAACGTTCGGATGAGGTCACGCGATGGAGATCCGGTGTAGACGGTGGGGACGCTGATAATGGTATGTTCTCCTTGAATGATGAGGAAGTCAAGTTGTGGCTTGTGGATGGCGTATGCAAAGTCGTTTCGGGAAAATTTGAGAAGTATGATGAGGATGAGGACGAGGAAAGATCGAGGATCGGTGAAGAGTCCGAGGTTACATCTGTCTCATCGCGACCTCTCACGTCCAGTTTATCTAGAAGATTAGACATTTCGTTTGCATCTTGAATGAGATCTATCGTAGACGGGTTGGGTGAGGGAATAGGAGTGCGACGCGGACCGTTAGGTAACGGGAATAATTGGTCTTCGTCCTCTTCTTCAATAGGTGGGGAGCAAGCGACCGCCTTCGCAGGTGGCGTGATATCTGTAGCCCTAACGACAACGCGTCGCGTGAGCGATGGTAAGAGCGATCCATCGTCATCATGGGTGGGGCTCGTGCTTGGTTCCGCGGTGCGCGAAGCTTTGCTCTTGCGTAGTTTCTCCACTTCGTCTACTTGGAGTACGGAATCAAAACCGGGTGTATCATCCGAAACTTTACGGTGGGCGCGAACATGAGTATGATTGTAAGCGTCACCACTTGAGTTTCGTCGCCGACGCGCTCCGTGGGTGAATTTCTCCTGCCATTCTGACCCTTCCTTGAGGGACTCTTCGGTGATGGGATAACAGTCTTGGCAACATGCCCGTAATGGAATTGTTAACACGTCCGTGCGCGGGGGAAGAGATAATGACGGTCGTCTGCAACGACGGGGAGTTGGAGGATGGTCATGGTTGATTATGCACGGAACCAGAGGTTGGTGAGGATGTTCACCGCGTGTAGGTGACCGTGCTTTATTCAAGAAGCTGATTGGAAGACGAGAGCTGTTGAGGAAACTGACAGGAGGCATGTTCCTGAAAAAGCCCTCACCTTGGCACCGACACAGTGAAGTGGAGATGATTGTCCTCTGCACCGTCGGCTGGAGGTTTCTCAACGTCTACCTCTATCGGACCTTTGCTTGATGACCGTCTCTTCCAAAGTGGAAGTGAATATGATCTTTTGACCATGCGCGGCAGGCGCGACTGTGGAGGTGGATCTGGTATAAGAACACACTCATTATCGAAGCGTACGGCGAGGGGGAGGTCAGAGAAAGCAGAATCAGACATGGCAAGCGGCGACGAGGTCATATTGGCGAGGGCCAAGTTGGAGAGATGAAGAGAAAAGGGCAAGCTGGCCAGTTCTCGACCACGGGGCCATGGTCATAAGAAGTGTCGCTTGTGAATGTACAAAGCTCCGCCATCCTCCTTCCCAAAATGGTTTACTTCATCTGTTTTCGGTAGCTCCCGGCTCTTCCCGCAACCGCTCCCGCCGGCACATCAACTGAAACGCTCATCGGGTCCGCTCTCTCAAACGCTCTCAAGCTCTGTTCGGTGCCGCATTAGGAATCGCGCCGCGGGTAGAACACTGTAGAACACCACCAGAAACACATAAAATGGCCAGTGATATCACACTAGATACACGCAAAACTATCGTACAATTTCAGAAGTTGTAAAAATCGCAACATGCTGTTAGAGCCCGTCTAATCTGTAAGTGGTCGTTCTGGCTCGCCGAAGGTCTCCGGAACAGAATCGAAGCTAAATGAAAAGAGCCACCGACGCCCTCAGGGGGTCTGAAAGATTGACTGACGGGTATATCAGTGTTTCGGGATCGACGGCGTTTCGTCGTACGTACACATCTCAACGTGCTTCAGGCGAGGTAGATGAAGACATTGTTGTCATCATGACGACGCTTTATGTACTCTTCCTCGACCATCGCGTCAATACGCTCCTTGATAAGTTGCACGCTGGGCACAAAATGACTCTTCACTGCATCTATAATTCCTGTCTTGAGTTGTTCGTTGTGAAGCTCCTTTTTGGCCTTCATTACTCGTACGATGGCAGCATCCAAGACATGCTTGCGATCGGTTTCGATTAACGACTGCGTCTTTTTAGACTCTTCCGGCTACAACGGCAGGGAATATGAATGAGTAATGCGGCGCAGATTACACAGAGATACATACCGTTTCCTTGACTTGAATGGAATTGATATGAATACGATATGCAGGATCGGTGAAGTCGGCGTTGAAGATGAACGAGTCGTCATCTTTTACGTCTTTACCAGTGGGTTGCTTCTTTAATACCCGTTTCTTGCCTAAAGAGAGACTCTGCAGAGTCCTTCTCAGCTCTCCGTCCTCTGATACGTAAAGGATCAATAAATCTGGTTACGACCAAACAAGAATATAGTCATACCGATTCGAGTCCGCTCTTTGATATCCGCAAATGTCAGTTCCGTTTCCTCGTTGAAAAGGAGCAATACAAGTGCTTGATATAAACTGACTTGAAGCTCCTTCGCTTCGTTCTTGAATTGTCCTTTCAGAGTGGCCGTACCTAAAGAATGTTCCCAATCCAACTTATGACCTTGGTGTTTGCTCTTGTAAAATGCAGTAAATTTAGAGAGCTCGTTTTGCATCTAGAAAAATATTAACATGATAACGACAAATACGGGGAATGGACATACATCTGGTGGCAAGAAGGCCTCAGACTTCTTGGCTGAGAATGGCCAGAAACTACTTTGCAGGACCATGGCGTTGAGTTGTTGGTTGGTGGTCTTGCCGATATGTGCGAGGTACTCGCGCATGGTATCTCGGGATAGCGACAAGTCATTGAACATATGGTCGCCCATACTGAACTCCGGATCATACTCTGTGCAAATGTATCAGTCCAGTCCCCACGTGTTCATATGTACGAGACTACGTACGTTCTTTCAACTTCTTCAACATAGCCTTCTCGAAATCATCACTTGCACTCTTCTGCAACAGCAACCTCCTCGCAAGCTGTCGATGATAGAAGGTTCTAAATACATCCCTATCTTCCGTGAATCTTGAAAGCTCGAGCACAGCATCCAGCTCCTTCTCGAACACTGAGTCCGCTTTTCCCTTCTGCCCCTTACGCATCTCCTTGTCCAGATACTTGGCAATCATCTCAGCAGGTTTGTTTCTACGTGCTTTGAAGCTCGCGCTGAAGGCGTCCCGAATAGTGTCATTCCACTTTCGGTTGACTTTCTTGGGTGGTGGGAGGGCGTCGACGTCCATTGGTTCATTGGAGCTTCCGGCGCGGTTGACGGAGGTGTTGATAGAAGAGAGCGGTCCCATGAGCGGTATGGGTTCAGATTCGGCAAAGGTCTCAGTGAGCAATGTGTCTGTGAATGCTTTGAGTTTAAGAAACCTATCGACCATTTCCTCGTCACGCTCGACATCTGTCACGATTCTCTTCACGGTTTCCTTCAGGTGAAGAAGTTAAAGACAAGGAAGGACAGAGAATAAAATGCAAGAGACAAACCAGGACGTACGACCGGAACCCGGCGAGTACGACTTGCTGCCCATCGACATTCACGAACAGTTCGTACAGAGCTTGGAGACGTCCCACATCCATTGTCTTCATAAATTGCGGAAGCACTAGAAGAGAATCAGGTAAAGATTGACTGTACCGTTTGTACGACAGAACGCACCAGAATTGACTATCCATTCAAGCCGACCCATCAACAACGACCTCATCACCATGTCCTCTACCTTGTGCCAAATACTGTGTGGCAACACATCTTTAGACCTCTGTATCTCATCTTTGATACGCTGCAGCGTATAGTTGAGGAAGTCTATCGGTGCAAGTTCCTTTGCTTTCTCTTCTGACTCGGCCAGATAGAAGTTTTCGGTACATGTGAGGTACGTGTCCTCGAAGATGGTTTCGTATTTGCCATGGTGCGAGAGACGAGAAATGAGTTGTGGGATATGAGGTCGGAGAGGATGCTCGGAACTATCAAGCAAGTCAGTATATAAAATAACTAAAAGAAGCGAATAACAATATAAAGACAGATGGGATAATAGAAAACGTACTTGTTTTGGCGTTCCCAGGTAACCCATTCCTCAATGCTTTTACGCACCCAGCCCTGAATGGTGGCATCTTCAAGGACACGAAGAGAAAATTGTTCATAGCAGATTTGACTATCATGAAAATACTGTCAATGAACGAACTTGGATCGTTTGAGGGAATGACGTACCGGAGGCCAGAGCTGCTACTTCGATCTAGAAGATACTTCCGATCAAAATATGCGAGCAATGACTCCAACAATGTCTTGAGGCACGGTTGATTATCAGAGCTAAAGGATAGATTAAAAGGAAAGGGTGCTTACTACTTGTTTCTCGAACCACGCACAAACCTCAATAATCGGCAATATGTACTCCACTTCACTTTTCCCCTCAGAAACTAGCTCCTGAGCCAGTTCACCGATGCATCTCTCGAGCTCAAGCTTAAAACTTTGAGAAATACCATCGCCTTTCTTCGCGACGCATATGACCGCACGACAAGCATTGTAGATCTTATCGTAGGTCGCGGGAAGGGTGTCTTTGTTATTCCTGCTAAGAAGCACTCGAATACTTCGCTTGACGAGAGCGGAGTCTTGATCATAGTAATGTTCGTGATGCGGCTGGACTACAGAAGTGTCAACTCGGTATCAGACCCTACGCATTGCAATGATGATCACAAGGGTACTCACTCGGTGCACCGATAAGAGACAGACTAAGGGGTCCGGTGTTCTCTCTGTTCTCTGTTGAACCTGCACTAGGCTGCCTGGAGCGAGAGGCTGATGCAGAGTCGGAATCTGTATTTAGACGAGGGGTTTTACGAGGTGGAGAATCCGAGCGATCCTTCACCGCACCGCTGCCACGGTAGGTTGCGAATGCGTTCTTCGAGCTCACCGGTAAGGTGAGTAGTGTGAAGACGTCTGTCATGGTTGTGGAGTACTGTAAAGAAGTACTCAGCGATTGCCACTCGGAAACTGTTGAAAAGGGAGAACCTCAGTTGACGTTGCTCGCGATGCAAGCTGGCTGAGTTCTTGAGAATGAGATCAATGGACCCGGTCAACCCCAATTGCCGCTGATCGCCATTGCTTGATGATCGCCGGCCTACCCAATTCGGAGATTTGGACCGAGTAGCTCAGATGGGCCCGAAATTGTATCAATCAACTTCATGAAGAGGCTGGCTAGAAAACACATAGTACTACTATGCAACTATTAGTTCAAAGGAACCCGCCACTCCTACCCGTTCCAAATCTATCACCCAACCCTCTGGCTTCCTTGATAAACTTATCCCTAGTCTTATCATCCAAAAGCCTTCCACCAAGCGCCATATCACGGCTATGATCCCAAATCCCAGAAGGTTCCTCGTCATCCTTCTTTTCCTTAGCCACCTTCGAGGCATGCTGCTCGAGCAGAGCACCACCTCTCTTCTTTCGCTACAATGGACAAAGTCCGGTTAGACGGATAATAGTAATGATAGCTAGAGAGTGTGCTTACCGTGTACTCGTCGACACCCTGTCGTATCTCCTCATCCCGCTTCCTTTTCTTCCGGGCCTCAGCAGCAGCTTCTAAGTCTGCATCGGGATCCGCATTGGTGGCCCTCCGTCGCTTCCCTGCAACTTCATCTGCTAACCGTTGTTGGCGCTCTGCTGGGGTTTCAGTCCAGAGTGTATTGTCAACCTCGCGCGCAGGCGCTGCAGTGCGGGCGAATTGACGGCCCTTTGTTAGTTTTGTTGGGTCAATGGCTATAAAAATCCTTAGTCAGGAATATATGATATGGCGACACGGAGATAATTCCGACTTACAGCCTAGAAGGTCCGATGATGAGGGTGGTACGAGCATCCATTCTTCACGTTTTAGTGCTTTCGGTTTTGCAGCTTCCTGAATAAGTGAACTATGTTAGAAGACCGGTCTCAGCACATGAGGGTAGATATTGAGAGTATATTTCTCCGATGAGAACAATGATGTAAAGGGCGAAATGATGCATGGTAGCTATGCCATACTTGAAATTGAATAGAACCAGCATGGACATCAACACCCAGAAAGAACCAGATACACAGAAGGGACAAGCGACATACCTCTATCTGCTTTCGCCTTCTCTCTTCTTTCTCCAAGAACTCCTGCACACCATCTTTCTCTTCCAACACAACACCCTCCGGTAACGGCATAGGTCCAACATCTTCATCAGATTCTTCGTCCTCATGATATCTATCATATCTGTTCGCAAGAGAAGAGGGAAAGGTAGGTCCAACAACAGGTTTAGGTTTACTAGAAGACGCAGCTGGGGCCGCGTTTGACGGTCCCGAACGAGCAGCTAGAAGGTCTGGAGGCAGAGCAGGCGCATAATAGTCATCTTCCTCCTCTTCCTCTTCCTGCTGTTGATGCACAGAAGTAGGTGCCGATGACCTAGCAAGTATCTCTGGTGGGATTGCGGGGCCTATTGAATGCTCGGACGGGCCAGCCTCCTCCTCCGGGGTAGTCGAGCGGTTCTGGAGTAATTGTGTTGGAATGTCAGGTCCAATCATTGTTGGAAGATCAGAATATCAGATTCGACTAGGGTTATTGCTATATCACTGGCGGTGGAGTGACAGGCGTTCCGAAGGTGGTCAGTACCGTATGGTTGTACCGAGTGGTCGTATGTAAAGCGATCAAGTGAGGGTAAGCGCTCTACTATGCATTGAGCGCCTAACGTGGTAGAACTGACATCAGAGCCTGAAATCCGTTCATTGAACCTACAGTAGCCAGATGTGCATACCCTCGATATATACTTTCACCTGTCGCCTGATACCCGGTCAGCTCAAAACTTTAGAAGACAAAAAAAAACTTTATTTTACACAACTTTACACCAAAGGTTTCATTTCGATATTACGATCACGTCGATCCCGCTGAGCGCCGGAATAACTGAAATGACTCGCTTTCCCGCACTTGCAGTCGTGTGGGTATAAAGGCACTACTAGTTACTCATTTTCTGTTCTCTCTTACAATACCCAGCATATGCAAAATGAACTCTACCATCTCGCAGTGTATCGCTGGTTACGCAGCTGACGCTCTCAACAGTCTTTCTCCAGCCCAAATTGACTTCCTCCGCAAGTTACCCAAAGCCGAACTTCATGCACATTTGAATGGGTGTATCCCCATTCAAACCCTTCAGGCGCTAGCTCAGGAAAGACTTCTGAGCTCTTCTAGCTTACCTACCGAGGTGCAAGCGGGTATCGAACGTCTCCAGAACGGGATCGTCCTAAATGAGATTCATGAATTCTTCGGACTCTTCCCAGCCATCTACGCACTCACCTCTGCACCTGAGCCTCTTGCTGTTGCCGCTCGAGCGGTTCTCACCCAATTTCTGGAACCTTCGCTGGAGAATGGTGATTACCCCCAAGCGGCATACTTAGAGCTTCGTTCGACTCCAAGAGAGACTCCGGAGATGACCCGTCTAAAATACATTGAGACGGTCCTTGATGAAGTGGAGAAGTATCCTGCAGAGAAGGCTGCGCTGATTGTGAGCCTTGATAGGAGAATGTCTGATGATGTCGCAAAGGAGTGCGTTGAATGCGCCGTGACGCTCAAGAAAGCTGGGAGGAGGGTTGTTGGCATGGATTTGTGTGGTGATCCTTTAGTATGTCTGCTTCTACGCCTTATGCATAGGGGATGTGCAGATTGACAATGAATGCAGGCTGGCAACATGGAAGAGTTTGCTAAACATTACCGTACGGCCAAAAAGGCTGGTTTACGTGTAACAGTACATATCGCAGAGGTATGTACTACGCTGCGTGCTTCAAGGCTGTTTACCACACCCTACATCTTGTTGCCAGACCAAAGGAAGCCATGTCGCAGACACCCTACAGTTACTCGACTTCCAACCTGATCGTCTCGGCCACGCTACCTTCCTTGATGCGGCCCAAAAGGATTTCGTCTGCAATAGCAAAATCGGTGTCGAGATCTGCTTGTCGTCGAACCTATTGTGCAAGACGGTCCCCACGTTGGAAGACCATCATATTAGTCATTATTTAAAGCATAATCATCCTATCGCGATCTGCGTAAGTACCTTCTATTTGAGTTGAAGTGGAAGTGAAACTAAAGCTGAGGTTGTGCCGTGCAGACTGACGATACCCTGCCATTCCGGAACTCTCTCATCAGTGAGTACGCATTACTTCTGGCGGCACCACCAGTAGGTCTGGGTCTTCGAGAGGACGATGTTGAACGAATTGCTCGTATGGGTATGGAGTGCCGGTTCAAGTCCACATAAGTAGACCATGAGACTGTAGACCTAGACAAAAATGGACACAACGGAATGGACGAATCCCACCACTCATTCCTTGAGTCATCATTTCGTCAACCAGTGCATGACATCCACGGCGTTCATACATTTCTTCAAAAGATGCTATTAAACTATCAGAAGTTGTCCGAAGCAAAACAAATGGTCAACGAGAAATGCAGAAAAAAATGCAGGGGTCAGGGAGACATGAGATGGAAATGCAGATGTGATGAGGAGAATACGTCAAGCCCCCACCTCTCTTGGAATAATGTTTCAATATCCTGCCCCTGTAGGATACCCTCGACCTCCACCCTGATAGAGCTGCTGGCCACTAACACCGCCGACTAGACTTGCTGGTGGGCCTCCATGATAACTGCTGATGTTGTCCTCTTCTGGGTAGTCGAGACTGGGACCGCCTGCTAGGAGTGGGTCTTTGACTTCCCAGACGGTTGCCTTCGAACCGACGGAGAACTCGAGATCCTCGCGCTGAATGAAAAATGTGAGTCTATCGAGCGGAGCAAAAAAGGGGACAGACGTACCGTGATACTATCCCAGTACTTGTACACCATCATAACACTCAAAAGCATGCAAAGCGTGAAGAAGAACAATCCGTCGATGTAATGTTTGATCGCATCGCAGATCGTTACGCTGAACGCGAATAGGATAACTTGCGCAATTGTGAAGAAAGCAGTACCAAAAACAATGTCACCTATGGGCCATCGGTCCTCGAGCGTGCGGAATACGAGAATGAGCTGGGAAACGATGTAGATGACGGTGCAGATCAGTGGCCAGAGAATGTATATAATCCAGAGACCTATAGGCTTAGAGAAACTGAAGCCCGCGAAACCCTTGAATGTGGCGATGGCAACAAAGAATGAGACACCAAAGACTACGAAGCAGGCTATCCGGAGGAACTGAAGTGACATGAATTTAGGAGATGATCCAACACTGGCTGGAAAGTAACACTCACCCAAAGTGATAGAGGCGTTCCATCTTCGGCAAATTGGAAACCGACAAAACCATTGATCAAAAGACAGCAGTATGTTGCCGCTACCAGACCCGTATACACGGTTGCAAACCACTGTGGCGAGGTATGTAGCCATTCCTGGCTATGAAGTGAAGTATGGAACTCACCGGATAGCTGACATTCGCCGTTGGAATGATGCCGGAGTCAAGGAAGATAGCGAGAAGCTCGATTATAGCGTAAAGGTAGAAGAACATGATAATCTCCTTGCGTCCTGTCCCACACCGTTGTTAGGTTCCGAGACGTACAAGGATCGGGTTTGCACTCACCGACCGCCGTGTATTTACTACGAATATGGAAGATCATAATGGCAGTCATGATAATTGCAACGATGTGGACGAAACATGTTGCTTGAACAATAGGTTAGATTGCACACTCTAGCGTGACACTTCCACGGATTACACAACATACAAGGTTGAAATATCAGAGTCCCAGATATCTCTACATTGCGGCTGTAGCATGAGGGCTCAATTCCTTGGTCCGATCCAACAAGAGGACATATGACAAGGGCAGCGGTTTGGCAAATACTATCGAAAGAGCCGAACTGGACCCCCATGGTAAAGGATCAGGATTTGAAGACGATTAGGATGCAAAAGGAGAGACAGGCCGACAGATTGTATTCCGAGAGGCAAGAACTACTGAATGAAAGACAGATGATCGTGAAGGTGGGTATGTTAATGTCCAGAGGAAGGCCCACGGCCCAGCGTTGAGAGTGAAGAGCTCCTCGTCCTCGTTGACAACTGCATCTCTGCCCGGTCACACCATTGGTCACAGCGTCACGTCACATTTTCCGTTGTTGTTCGCTTGCGGCTCCGGGGGCTCGAGCAGCTTTGACTGACCACTCGTAACAACTCGCACTGGTTCTGCTGTCCAACCTCAGCTTTGCACGAGGTAGGTTCAACAATCCACGAGTTGCATTTCAGGCTATCTTTCTGGGTCCTTGAGGCATTCAATCAGCGGATTCCAGCTCTCGAGACCAGACCCCACTGCGACTAGCGTTTCGATCTTCTCGCGACTCATATTTGCTCATCGGATGCATAGCTTCGCGGCCTGAGATATCTTCTCTGTTTCCTAATCTTGTCTTTTAGCTTTTGAGAGCTGCGCCCTGACCAATGTTGTACTCAACAATGGCATGAATTAGGATGTCCAACGATCGAGTCAGGGCCCACATACTGTCCGTTGTCTGGCTTCCTGCTCTAGCCGAAAGCGTCCATGTTGTATGATCACCGAGGTACAGTAGAAGGAGCCGGTTAGTAGGTCTCCTATATCTTGACCCCTTAGATCGCTGAAGACTAAAGGGGCCCTTTAGTCGCCGCTGACGCAGGTACGAACGTATTGTCTTGTGTACCTCTCCATCTTGATAGCTTCGAGTTGTTCTACAATTGCTACTTTGGGACAGCGATATGCTCTCTTCTCTGACTCGGTGGTTTCATTCTCGCTTTGAGATTGTATGTCAGGGGAGTCTTATCTCCTCTCTCCATGTAGTCTGCGGCTCTCGCATGCCTATGTCAAATCCTAAATGCACAGGTTCTTACAGAGTTTGTCATTCAAGAGGGGAACTCTAAGTTAAGCTCACTTTCTAGGCTCTCCGCAGCTACCGTATCTCATCTGGTCCGTCCGAGTTACGCCCACTGCTGGTTCCGCCCATCGGACGGCGCATTTTGTTCTCGAGGGTTTCATTATGCGGGGTCAGACCATTCAGTCATACTTGCGCCCATGAGGGGCTTACTCCTTGCTCCGATGTCTGTGCTAGAGATAGCACTCCTGCGCCTCCTGTTACGCCCCTCAACCCTATCACTATTGTTCTCTCTGTAGGGATTATCCAAAGGCTATGGGTCACTGGCGGGATCCTGCGCATTCCCTCTTGTTAATTCTTGTCGCTCTCTGATGTTAAGCGGAGACTGGTTCCGTAATAACACCTGCCTAAAGGTTTCGCTTTTGCACGGCTCATGAATGACGAAAGTGTAAAGCATTCCACTATGTTCGATAGAGTTCTAAGGATCTCTGTCTTGATGGCGACGCTGATCGCCCAAGGAATTACTATTAGGTTCAAAGTATTCCGCACATATTTTCGCACCTATGTACACTTGTGCATAGCAACAAAGCGACACCGTTTCTGTGCGCGCAAGCAAGCTATCTGGTGGTGATTGGTCTTGTGCAATCCTCTTGTTTTGATTTGTGAGTCCGGCTTGTGTTGCCACCAGGGCCGATCAGCCGTTTGAATATAGTTTTGCTAATTTGGTGATTATAAAAAGATCACAGCGGAATGACGCAGCACACGGATACGTGTCGATCTTTTCTGGCCTTACAAAAGAGTGGAAAATTTCCTGGCCTTCGGAACGTCCTACTACCCGCTCTAAACGCATTGCGTCACGCGGTTAATGACGCGACGTAGTGTGTGTATCCCTCGGTCGCGCTCAGCCGTCTTGACATCTGGTCCGCGTTGCCGAGAAAACATGCACGAACAAAAGAAAAAGCAGGCCTGATTTTGTAATGGATCAGTCTAACCTTGTCCGAGGTGGTGGGTGAGTGCGCTACGCGGGAATCCTCGTGCTGGCAATGGGTGATTCGACAATGCAAGGAACTTCCAAGAATGTAAATCGTAAATGGTGATCACTGTACATCATCGGTTTTCAGTTGGCCCGCGGTCATCAAGTTTTTCATCTCGTGAAGTTTACGATGCGGATAGATATCGAATCAAAACCTTCGTGGTAGCCTCATGTCTTTCTGCCGCTTTTTCATAGAAACTTTCGGAAATCCTGGAAAGCCTCTTCTCGCCTGGCCTAGGATGTCAACGAGTTGGCGCTTTACAAGTTGCAAACGTCGGGCTCGGACAACGGAGTAAGAAATTTGTAACTCGATTGGTTGGTTTGTACGTGGTTGCAATGCACTTTAAGGGTTCATTTGCATTTTGCTGAGCCTGCATATCGTATGACTGGAGGGGAAAATGTAAAATTGACAGTTTCGGAAGGGTTTGACCGCACTCGCAGCAGGTCCACACCGATGGGCGTATGGGGTAATTGGGGAATATAGTGAGTGCTACTGAGCCTCTCCAAAAGTCCTCTCAGTACCTGATCATTGTTGAATCTTGTAGATCCCTTGTATGTAGATTGAATGGCATAGTCCAAGTCTGAAACCACTATACCAAGTAAAGGACTTGTACCTGTTCGCGTGGAGCTTTATTCCTTCGGTCTCGGAGTAAACTGTTTTTAGTATGCATGCAGAGGCATCCGGATCCGGGCACGGCTACAATTCACATGGCCACGTCCCGGTTCGGGAGGTTGCGACAGGCTCAGGCATGCAGGAAACGCTAAATGCCACGTTAATGGGATATTCAGGGCCTAGAATTGGATTGGCCGTGGCGGCGCATATACGTAAACTCATGGCCCAGTGGTTCAACGCCTAGTGACACTGGTGCGCTCGGTATAGCGATGGCGTACGGATCAACTGTAGAGTTCTTCTCAGATGCTACTACTGAAAGGGTTGGTTAGATTGGCTATATGAGACGGAATCAGGGTTGGTTATTAAACGCCACAGTGAAGTGGTGCGCCAGCCCTAGTAGGGGGCATGAGTAAGTTTCTGCCAAATGGTGAGATATGTGGATTGATATGATGGGGTTTCTGGTAAGGAGCTTATCCCGGCGGGCCTTTCTGTAAAGGTGATGCCGACTTGCGAAAACCGATTTGGCAGCCCTGCGCAGAAGCCAAGATGGGTGATAGTCGTAAGCGGATCTGGTGAGGTCGCTGTGGCTGAAGCCACTAATCATTTCGCAGGTCAAACAAAGTGTGTAGAAAAACTTACCATAAATGATCATTTAGCCATAGAAAAAGATTGAACTCGAACAAGCGAGGATCACTTGATCCTAGGACAATTCTGACATATACTCTCCAGATGGGCTAGTACATAGCTGTTTACAAGCTGAAAGCCCCCGATTGGCAAAAAAAAATCAATCAATTGGCCTCCGATCCATCGTTGTAACATATGGAGGCTCATGTTGGCCATCGAAAAGTTGTCCACCTTTGCGGAGAAACTGAAGAATGGATCTGAGACTGATCTCTGACGTGTAACGTATACAAAGCTTCTAAGCCCGGCGTTCAATATTATTGACTGGCTTATTCTGGAAGATCATGAATGATAGTATCACCTCCGATGCATGCATACCTTGTTAGAGGGATTACATTCCGATGCTTGTCAAGAAGGCAACTCGCTTGGCAGTGCAAGCCGGCATAGGCCTTATTGAAATCGGCATCATCCAGCATTGGTAACGTCGCCAAAGGATATCTGATAGAAAGCAAATATATGGTTAAGTTAACCAGGAGCTCCGGCCAATGAGGGATTGCGTTGACTTACTAGGCGATCCGAACGGGGAACGGCGAGTTTGCAGCACTTTCGCTGACGGCGTGTCCGGAGGGAATATGAAAGCCTGTCAATACGGAAACTAAGGATCCCTGGATTTGCTGAGTCATAGACGCGCGCAGCTAACTGAGAACATCCAGATGCGACGGCGGATTGAGCACTATATCAGAGTTGGTTTGATGAAAGCAAGCGGTCCTGGAAGATCCAGGGATTGCGGCATAGGTATAGGTTTGACTTTGCTTCAGGAAGTCGGAAAACTTTGGTGGCCAGAACTGCCTCCACAAGAGACACCCAATTACGGGTCTCGTGAGATCTTGATGTGGTCAATGAACGACATGTCGCGAGACACATTCGTGAGTTCACATCCGGTTCCATTACAAACGGAATCGCGAAGATCTGCTAATGAGTTACATCACTGAGGAGAAGCTCATACGGCTACCTCAGAACGCTGGAACGTACCGGAGAAGACAAGTGTGTTGCCAGAGAACGTGCGAGATCCGTTCATATTCTAAGGTGTCGTTTATCCTAGCCAGCGGACGGGCTAGGGCCATCCGTCACTCCACAATAGCGCTGTTGTGAAGCCCATGCTGGGTGCCAGACTGGCAGGGAAACGAGCCCGGGAGTTACCACTGAACATTGTTCTATGGAAGGATTCGCTGCTGCGATTTCGGATACAATACGGGCCTAACGCCACCCATATGCATAAAGTTTGGCATCACTGCTTATGGGAGGCAACCTGGCGGTCAATACCCACATATCAAAGCGAAGACCAAAAGAGGAGAAGTGGTTTCCATATCGAGCGCCAGGATGTTTGTTCGGAGCAGTCGGCCTGGCCGGGATTTCTCAGGGCCATTTGAACAACACGCTCTGAAACCGCATGCGGAGGGCAAGGAACGACTGATCGGGTTTGGTAAGTGCTGTAGTAAAACGGCAGAAGAGGCAAGTCAAAACGGAGGTGGCTAGTTTATTGTGCGATGGAAGAGCGAGGACATTAGAGTCGTGTCAAAGGAGGAAGCGGAGCTGAAGAGTAGCAATTCTGATGTGTTCGATGTGTGGCAGCCTGGACAACGAGCAGGAAGCGTAAGCAGCAGTGCGAGACAAGGACAAGGAGAACGCCACAGTGTGAGCACATGTCAGACCGTCAGTGCAAATCAGTCAAAGGGGCCGTGTAAAATCGAACTGAAGGGTTCTTGGGAGTGAAGTCAGCGTTGACGCGGACGGAAACGATGGATCATCGATCAATGTAAAAGCGGTAACGAGGTACCGGGAGGTAGCTCAAATGGGCAGCATCCAGGGGACAGGTGAATTTGTCGAGTGGACTGGCAATTATTTTTGGATGTATTTTTGCGGAAAATTGGTGGCGGGGTGCTGATGACAGGATCCGAGCGGGAGACTGGGCGGGAGGCTGATGTCCAAGTATGGTGCGTGGAAAGGGCGTACGTAAGGGCTTGTTGCCTATTGCAGGAGGGCAAAGGTGAGAGTTGAGGGGAATCCCTGGGGAATCCCCGTGGCCGAGGAGCCGTGAGATGGCGGAGCTTGGAAGAAAAGAGTGTTTATGATAGATTTTAGGGGAAAAAGAGAGGAACAAAAGAAAAGATGTTGATGGATTAGGCGAGTTCGGCGGCGGGGATCTGGGCGGGCGCAAGATCTTGGTGGATTGCCGTATGGGCGTCTGTAAAATACGGTGTTTCGACGACGTCCACCGAATCCGAGTGGATGTGTTCTCGTCGTCCGCAGGGCTCCCCTAAGCGGTCATTTTCGCCAATTTCCTCTTTTTGCCGCTACCAAGCCCGGACCCGTTTGCGATGATCTTCCAACTTCATAAAGTATCCTCCTTCTTCTCTCCATGTCTTTCCTTCTCCGGTCCTCAAAACCCTCTTGAAAACATACCATGGCCATCTGCACTCCCTCTCATACCCCTCCTTCTTATACAATGAACTCTACTCTAGCTCACCTCCCTATTGAACTCCTGTCTACATGGTCAGAGTGGCGGCCAAACAGATCAGAGCTCCCGCCCACACCTCCCCACTCGACTATGTCGCAGAAAATTCACCGTGTTCTTCCCTCAGGGCATTACTCTCAGACCACTCTGCCCTCTATTGTGCACTTTGATCGCCAGTTGCCGCGTCTGTCACCAAGTAAGTCGCGTTTCATTAGTGTATGTTTTCGCGTATTGACCCGTCATAGTCACACCCCCGCAGGTTGACGACTCCTCACAGTGGCACACGTATGGTCAAGCTGAACTTAAGCTGCCTCCTATACAGTCCACAGAGGTCTACTCACCGGCGTGCTCTATGGACTACAATGACGCGCCTCAAGTACAGTCGCCGCCCCCGCCACCACCAGCACTGGACTGGCTCGCTCCCTCTACACAGCGGTCCTTCAACTTCATTGCTGAAAAGGTCTGCGAGATGGTCTGCTACCTGTGGTTCTCTAGTCTTTCTCAGTCATCGTCACGGTCGCCGCAGGCGTCGAAACGTTGTCGTCAGTCTGAAGATTCTCCTACGTACTTCCCCAAGCCCAATGCCTCTACTGCCCATCTTCAGTTCGCTGTCTCTCCTGCCTTCGTCCGTTTCATGCAAAAACTTTTGGAAACGACCCAAGTCTCGCAATCTGTTATTGTACTTTCACTACGCTATATATACCGCTTGAAGGAGCGTAATCGTTTCACCCATGGACAGGGTGGTAGTGAATATCGAGTCGCTGTTGCCGCCCTCATGCTTGCAAACAAGTTCGTTGACGAGTGAGTGTCTTGTTGTTCTTTGCTATCTCTTCGTACTGACCTTACATGTATAGCAATACATACACGAATAAGACGTGGTCAGAGGTTTCCGGAATTGCGCTTGAGGAGTTGAACAAGATGGAACGCGAGTTCCTCATGGGCATCGATTTCTCCCTTTACGTGGATGAGGCTACATACGATTCGTGGCTGAATCTCTTGAAGGGTCTTGTTATGGCAAAGGAGAAAGATTCCAGACAGTGGCAGCGGTCTCGAACGAGAGGTCGCGTTGCACGGCCGCGCTTGACTTCCTCGTATCTCTCCAGTCGTGGTCGCTCGCACCAGCAAAGAGCGCGTTCAATTTCACCAAGTCGAACGAGCGCGTCGTACACCTATTCTGCTCCCCCTGCGCATGCGGTACCTGCTTCGCGTCACCAAACCGAATATCCTACTCCTCCGCGCTCGGGCTCGAAACGTACCGCAAGCGACGCGTTTTCACCAACTTCCGCTTCTTTCCCTCCAAATCCGCCACCGAGGCGATCTATGGGACTTTCTTTGCAGATTCCCGAGCTGACGCACACTGCGCCATCAACAGCGAGTTCAATATCTCCTTCAGAACCTCTCCAATCATTTTCCAAGCTTTCTTTGGGAACGTCCCCGATCGTCGTTCGTCCGACCGCGCAGCGTGATTACAGTCCGGCTCATGTGACCCATGCGGCGTATCCGTCTGTCGTGGGGCAAGATCAGGTTCCTCAGACACTTGTGACTGCATACCGAGCGGATGATCGTCATCCCTATGGGGCGCCTCAGGTCCGTAGTTTTTCTCTGGTCATCTATTGACAGAGGCTAATCAATCTTAATGTTATTGCAGCAACTTTACTTCTATTCCTTGGCCGGTTCCCCTATGGATGAGGAGGAGGACAGTAAGTTCCGTAAGGCGCGGCTGAGGTATCATCCCGCACCTACCCCTGCGACGTATATTCAATATGCCCCGCAACCGGCTATGCCTATGGTCGTACAATCCGCGACGGCCAGTCCTCATGATATGAATTCAAATCTCCCTCCCTCTCTACCTCATTTCTCTGAAGGGTTTTGGCATTGCACCCAACCCACTGCGCCACCACCACCTCCCTCCGCTCAGTCTCAAACCTATCGATACCCGACCCAACAGCCTCAGAGCCAAGGCTCTGTTCCTGCTGCGCCATTTGCCAACGCAGGACCGCCCGGCATTCAGTACTATGCTAATAACGTGCAACAGCACCTTACCCCCGAACAATATTGGCCTAGAGCCCGTCAATTATAATGCATATCTGCCGCTAGTCCTCTTACTTTATCACGTATATTCCTGCCTCACTCGCAACCTTTGTATCTTATCATTACGTGATTCCCTTGCATTTTTTGTTTTCAATGTTGCCTTTCTCCTGCAGAATGGACCTTAGTCATTCACGAGTCCCTACATTCGCATCATCATCATGTTTTTTTCGCATTTGCATTACAAGTCGTACAGTAGTTTCTTCGCAAGCATCCATCATCAACATCATTAGAACCGTTGTCACCTTTCATAGCTGTATTCATATGTCGTTAAAGTTCAACATGTTCGTCTTTCGGGTCTCATAAGATGGCGTTACTAACATTACAAAAAATTCTGCGTGACATCAGCGCATAAATTGAGAGGTGGCGTACGGTGGTTCCGGTCAACAGATGTATGGATTTGGCACACGCGCAAGTGCTCAGGCTGAGAACTTCGGAAGAGAATCATAGATGCATTGCATTGTTAGGTGAGGAATAGACACTCAAAAGAAGGGCTAAAGCCGGTCAGAAGGGACTGGAACTTTCTCAGAAGGATTGTCGCCCAATATACCGGCCAAGTCCAGCTGGTTCCTGTAAGTGGATTCTCGCATATGGCCCGGAATCGGTTGCTATCAGGGGGTGGATACCATCTCATACAAACGAACCCTTGGTTTTCATGGTATGGACCAGATGAGATCTCGAAGTCGCTGAAGGTTTTTGCACATGCTGGTTTTCGCCCCGTTGCTCGGCGACGTTCTCCACGCCCATCGGGATTCGGGCACTCTGGGACGACATCGGCTCGCTGAGGCTTTATGATGGATGATATGCATAACAAAGAATGTTAACTGTTAAACCGCTTCCTATCGAGAGGATGTCATGGACAATCCGGATCACCGACTTGTCACTATAGAGTGAGAGGGTATGAGGAAATAGAGTTCAAGATGCCTAAACCGGAGTATACATTCCGCCTTATTTATCTGAGGGATACCCACGACGTCGCTCTTCGATACGCCAGGAACAAATATAGGTAGGACCAGTGTAGACCAGTGTGGATAGTTTTACACCACGATCTTGTGCCACTTTGCAACTGTCAATCCGCGTGATGATGTTGGTAAATCCAGCTGAGATTGAGAGCTTTGGACTGGATGGTGAACAACGTAATCCTGGCTCCGTGAAAGTGTCAGGTAGACTCATCAAGCAACCCCGTTCAATCCTCGTATTTGAATTGTTATGAAATAAAGTGAGGTCCGCGCAGCCAGCGAATGAGAACAGCCACATTCGCCGGATTACCAACCGCCAAAAGTGGAAAGATGGAAGGACTATCGCTATGGTGGTTGACAATCAAGCGGAGAAGTCTTCGCAAAACTACAGTGCATTACATTGTTTCGGTAGTACCTCAGGGTTTCGCGTCGTCTTGTACCTGCTGTGCCGGAACATCATGCGTGGCCTTCACTTCCGCCTCCAAAACGGCCAGTTTGGAGGATAGGAAAGCACGGCTGAATTGATAGCCGGCGAGAACGCCTGTCACTGAAAGGGCAGGTCAGTTGCGGGACGATATGATGAAGCGCATGCAATACGTGTACGAATGGCACTCATGGTGAGAGAAGAGGGCGCACAAATAACTACTCACCAGCTCCACACACGATAGTGGTGTTCCTATTGAAACGGAAGAGTTTGGATCCCACGATAGCTGCCAGGTAACCGAATATGTCAGTTTGGTTTGTTTCGGAAAGTATGGAGACGGAATGAACTGTTAGAAGCATCAGAACATTTCCAATCGCACTTACCTCCTACTAGACCAGCGGATAAGCCAGCGAAGAGGCCGTCCTTCTGTGCCTCCTGTGAACGGACATTTCATAATTGCACGCACCAGAGGAAATTAATGAGGAACGTTACCCGTGTACATCGTGCCACAACATCAATTGGGAGTTTGGTGGTCGTCTTTTCAGCGTCGGATTGGGATGCCATTGTTCAACGGAGGCCGCATCGAAGTTGACAGGCCTGATTCTGCACAAATTCCGGCGGTGTCACATAGACGCGTACTGTCACAGACACGGGAACACATCTGTCACGGAGTTCACGGGCAATGTCACAGTTGGGATCAGCGTCGCAGGTTGGTTGTATGCACTCATGCTGATGCGAGATGTCAGCGCACAAGAGAAAGAACGGTTCCAGTGTTCAGTCTGTTTTCCATTCTATCCAGGGTCAGTAAGCTGGGAGCACAGGCTGGCGCGATGGGTTCCTGACTTTCTGTTTGCATCGCATTTAGATGCTCTCATTTCCATCAAACCCAAGTTAGCAGAGGATCCACTTTCGGCATTGACTTCCTTGGTCAACGAGCTTCGCAATATCGCCGCACTGGCCGAATCATTTGCTCTGTATCGATCCAGAGCGAATAAGGACTGGTACTCTCTTGCTGATGTTCTGGATCGCGAGGGTCTGTTATAGGCTCCGCAAGCCGGCGTATATGTGGCTGAATGATACTCAGGTGTCCATCTCTGGAATCTATCTGGTCAGCTTCGCCGTGAAGGCGATGACGAAGCCCTAACGATATTCGCAGCATGTATGTATTCCATTCCACTCGCTTCTCCACACGTTCCCGCTTAATCTTCTGGCGTATCGGCGGAAAGTGAGGCTTACAGGTTTCCGACTAATTGAGGCCGGCCTGGTGCCCAAGCCGCCCATCGAAAGTCAAGACGCCTGCTTTCCATATCGCAATGTCTTGCTGAACCTTGAAAATAGCTCTCATTCACGTGCTCCAATTGGCCAGCAAGGCCGCCGCAAGTCTCTCAGGTGAGGTGGCATATGCTTCAGTGACGAGATGTCACTCGCCTGAACCATGTAACAATCAGAGATCAGCTGGAATGATGAGGCCGCCAGCGTTCTAACGTGTGCAGCAAAGGTGCACTGCAGTTCCTTATGGCTTTTGTTTCTCATCAGGATATTGATGATCAGATACATAGTACGAGGAAGATCTGAAGATCACAGAGGATACGCAAGGATCCCATCAACAAGATAGGGCTTGTGCTGTAGTCTTGTACTATGCCAGCCGTATGGAGGCGGTGTGTACATGGCAATCGCCATCGTCAATGTAGTCCATCGAATGATCTTTTTGTGCAGGCTTCGTCCGAGGGTAATGATGGGGTCGCCGATTTCATGCTACAGAAGATCCTAGGTATGACAACTATACAGTATGTTTGTTTGCACACGTTTCATCGTCATTCCCCACCAGGGAACGAACAACAACTCTCAATTCTTCCGTCACAGGATGTGAGGATGCCGAAGATTTCATTGCATACCCGCCGCACTGACTTCGGAAATAGCGATTTCATCTGGCTAGCAGACTCCTCGAAATAGGAAAGTCCAGCCTGAGAGCTGCCCAAGATGACGTCTCTGCACTGGAACTAGGACGGTCATCCGAGTCGGTCAAATGGCTGCAAAGTGCCTTCAGTGTGATAGAACGTTCTGACGACCAGGAACTCGCCGGAACAGCAGACTTGAAGGTGGGCTTTACCATCAATGAATCGCTTTACTAACTGTGTGTAAAACGGCGTCTGACGAACCCTGACCGTTGCACGCCCTCAGCGTTCGATTCTTAGGAGTCTTGGTCAGGTCCACACCCCTCTGAACCCGCGATTGATCTTCTAACATACAGTCGCATTTAGCTCGAGCTTATTTCCTTGCCTCAGCTGACAACCCTGATAATCTGAACCGAGCTGAAGCATCTCTCAACGAATTGATAGTGTCCCTTGATACATCTTTTGACCGAGTATGTTCATGCTTCTCCGAAACCGACTGAGCATGACATTGACCTTGGTCTGGGCAATTCAAGTGGAGCCCTGAATATCAACAAGTCCGATGGATGCGAATTGCAATCCTCAAACGTCGTAAGGCTGCCGAGTCTCCGTTGTTGGAGGGTATGCCGCATGTCTCCATTTCGAGAACTCAGTACTTACACAATAATGTCTAGCTTTCAGATCCATCATCGACCACATGAGTTATTCATCCGAAGAGAATATCACCGAGTACGTATATGTTCATTCCGATGACATCGCAGACCATGACGATATTTTACCTAAATAAGCATTCTTCAAGAGCTTCGAACTTTGTCTCATTATCAGTGAGTTGGCTGACATTTGCACATATGCGTGAAAGTAGGTGGCTTAATAGCGTGTGCCTCCAGCGATCTGGTTACCGCAGTCCATCAACATGCTCTGCGGACAGGTTTGGATGTGGAGCGCAACTCGGCTCTTATTCACATCGATCGCATCCTTCTTTCGTTACTGTTCCATTGTTCTCGGGACCAGACTCATTTCAGAGCTATGCAAGATGTGGATGCCACCCTCACAAGTTCGTCCCCACGCCGTCTCTTCGTGTGATGTGACCATATAATCTCCGGTTAGTACTTAGCGATGCCGACTTCGTCCTTCCCAAAGTTCCGGTCATGGCGTGCTTGACGGTAAGTTCACCTCCTCACTTGACTGACGTACCACTGACCACCATGGATGCTTTATAGCTGTTGTGGCAATTTGGTGATCGTCAGTACAGCGCCAAACGCTGGCTGCAGGCCGCCGACTGGTTCCTTGTCGGAACTCATCGAGTGTTTAACAGCGTTCCGCATACCAGCAGAACTAAATGCGATCGTAAGGCGGCTTTATGTTACATCCAGCAGCAGGATTACGCAAAGGCTTCTGCTGTGTTGCAACGCTGTCTTCATGATGAAGCAGCCACGCACTATGTGATGCTTTTGACAGCGGTAAGGCAAGGTAACGCCCCCAAACAGTATCCAAATCAAGGAGACGTGTCGCTGATGATTTCATAGGACTGGAAGACGAAGGTCGGTTTCCATCGACGTTGAGCGTTTCCCCATTCAACTGTTTCCCGCAGCAATCAAAGCCGCACGCGGTATGGCTAAGTGCTCTGACTTTGACCGAAATATGCTCTTCTTGGCCACTCAATTAGCGCACGAGTCTGATATGAAGACGCTCCTCCTATCAATACTAGAAGAATTATTGCAGGTGGTGGACACGAGAACAGACCACTTTCAAGCGGAGGCTTTGACATTGATCCGGTGTATCATACGACTGATGATCAAACTAATTGGCGAACCTGGCGCGAACAGGTATTTTCTCTGTATTTTCATGCAGACCGTCTCATTTAGGACGTCCCTTCCCACCCAGAACTGCCCTCTTTCCAACCCTATTAAAGCACTTTCACGCAGGTAACTGATCTTCACACAGTTGCGTTCTCCAGCGTGTTATTACCGTGTCTAGCCGTTTCTTTGATTGACAACATGCGTGCCCAAGGGCGCGCAACCACCGTGGCTAAGGACATCTCATGGCTGTGGCGGACTGCCTATAATTGCGCTGTACAAGGCTGCTCGGTGTGGGAGAATGCTGAAAAAGAAGTTGCAGAGCTCTTCGATGTGGCCAGGATGGTCTGTTTATTCCCACTGACGTATTGTACTAATACCTACCTTATGGTCGGAAGCTTCTTCAAGAGTACTCCGATGCTTTGGTGACAGATGTAGAACCGGACACATTTGTTCACCTCATCAATGCCTTTTTCGCATCAGTTGCTGGAAGGTGTACGTTCAATCACACAAGCCTTCCAAGTCTTCAACACTGACCGCCAATAGTGTTCGCGATCCGTGGCCATCTTCATTCAGGAGCATCCGTCCCGGTTCGTCATTTCACCTTCCATCTCAGATTTGCGTGAGCTATACGTGAACACAGAACGATGAAGCCGAGTTGGTCGCCGAACGTATCAAGTCTTGCAAGATCTGCATCCAGCGGGTAATTGACAATGAGAAATTGACTAAATCTGAAGACATGCAGCGAGCTCATTCTTTCATACATATACTACGAGTGTTCGAAACAGAGGTCCTTTGCGCAAAAAAGGAATGGAAGGCTTTACTTCACACAATAGAAGTACGTCGCCCCTCTAAAGTTACATACAGAACTACACATTTTTACTTCATTTGACCAGGATGCCACCGAATCCGATGCGTCAGCTGTAAACACCTTCGAAGCAATTGCAGATTTAGTGGTCCGTTCTCACCTCTTTTTCACACCTTGCAAAGTGACGAAGGTTTGGACATGTTATACCCGCAGTGGAATGAGAAGGATTGTCCAGTGGAAGGTGACGTAATTCAATTATGTAGACATTGGATCTGGGGTCGCTGATATTCCTGTCTTAGTTCTCTTTGCGGCTCTAGAAGTTCTCTTACACCTGCAAATCAAATGGGAAGTGGCTTACCATTTTCGGATTCTTTGCAGGCCATCCTTCACGCAAGTCTCGATCGCATGTCATTTTCGGTTCAGAAGTTCTCAAGGTGGCTGCGTGCCATTTGCACCATCCTGTTATCGCGGAATGTACTTGCCGATCGGGCCAAAGCCCTCGGGTATGTCGAGCAAGCCGTGGCAGTTGTTGAAGAACACTCCACAGCCTCCGACGAGAATGATGTAGGATATCTTTATGCAGGCCGAGAAAATACTTTGACGCTTGCATCCAAGATATACCCCATAGACGAGAGGCATTGGCTCCTGGGAACCGCATACAATACGGGTATAGAATGCTTACAGTGTGTGCTTAGCTTTCTTATCGGCATATGATTCAAAAATTCTCTTTGTAGTGTTTCACAGGTTGACGAAGCTAAACGCTGGTTCGAATTATCTACGGTCGTATGTCGTTACGTGCCCAACGGGATGTCTCGGGCAGAAAAGGTTAGTGGATGCATTTTATTAGAATCAAACATAAGGATTCACGTGTTCCATGCATTCCATGCAGATATCAGACGCATATACCCAACTACTGGCTCGCTATACATCGAATGCATCTACTTCAAAGCAAGTCGTGCCTGTCACTCCATGATGGTTCCGCTCTGTCCTTGGCTTCTGTCTCTTGCTTGTTCGTCTCTCTTCTGGCTGGTCTCCGCTCTTCGTGCTTTGCCCCTGTATACATGCCGATATCCTACCGGTACCCAAGAATGATATCCCGCGCCGCTCAGGAAACTGCGTTGTCTCTCTTCTTGAAGCCTAGTATAGTCAATTCGTAGCCACCTATTCAAGTGTGGGAAATGATGAGAATGAGCCTTACGGCTGAGGAATACGACCCAAACGCTCCGCCTTGACTCTTATGAGAAATGGACACCTGACCATGATGGTCCAAACAGTATGCACCAAGTTGCCTGCTTGGGAGTCAAACGCTATTGTGCCTTTTGACCAGGTACTTCGATGTGTCTGGACGCAGATTAATGATACCGCGAGTTTGTTCGATTCCCTAATACCTTGTCGATATCTGCGAAATCACAACACCGCCTCCCGACAGACTGCAGTGGCTCGGTGGAACGTTTGCGGCGTGGTCCGTTTCTTAACAGGCGCAACAATGCATGGGCCCAAAGCTTCAATGCTGGAGCTTCCCTCCATCAACTTCCTTTTTTTGGCCTGACGTATACCAGAACTGTGGCACATATTGCACATACTTCGTTGTGATACTACACTAGCTCATCAGGGTTTCACTCAGTTCATTATATCCACCTCTATGCATATATTACTTTCTATTTGTACGTTCTGTTCCAGGTGCCTCTTGCTGCGGAATGTTCAATAATGGACTGCCTGTGACGTCGGGCTTCGGGTCTTAGTCCAGCTTAGCCGGGAGCCTTGTTATGTCTTCGTACCGGGAAAACCGTGCTCGGCGGTCCAATGCGCCGGTGGTATATCCTGACTGCTAATTAGCAAGCTGTACGAAACGAAGGGGGGTTCCAATCGCCACTCACGGTATCACTGAATAAGGCGAAAATAGTAGTCTTCGCTGCTGCCGGCACCCTTCCTTGCTTATATGAAAGCCCCAAATCATGGGATTTCGAATAGTACAGCTTCGTGGTGACTTCTCTCAAATATGTCACGTCCATACATATGCTCTTTTTCTTTTGGGATACCGCTAGAAACAGTGCCTGCCTTATGTTCTGCGTCAAGGAAGTTGGTAGATCCGAGGGTGATGGTATTGACATGCGGAGTGAAGAAAGTCGTTTACCCGTGAGCGTAGAAATTCAGACAATAAGTCTAATTTGCGACATGAGGCATCCCCGGTTTTTGGAGGAGACCTTGTAGGAGTGCATTTCTCCGATTGGCTACCGTCCAGCTTTCGCGCCCCGACTTGCGATTATTCGTACGAATCAGGGGCTGGAATGTACAGTCAATTCGACCTCCGGTAGCCGGAAAGTGCTGCGCAGATACGGTGTGTTAACTGGAGACATCTGATTATGTGATCTCGAATGTAAATGACTTTCCCTGAGTAAATAATGCTCGATCGATGTGAATAATAACATCGGACTCACTTACCCGGCAGACATATCTGCATTGGATGTATCGAGTCTTCCAATCACAGTGTCACCTATGGGGTGTGAATGAGGCTATCATCGAGCAGCTTTCATTGCCCATCATAATGCTATGTCCGTTCCCGCCAGGGTATGTGCGGCGAAGAAGTTTAAAGGACCTCACCTGTGTACTTCGGATCATCGTGAGATGTGTCAAGGTGGCAAAAGCAACAGGCGTTGACATTGGATAGAAATAATCACGAAGGGGCTACTACCTACCATACCATCGATAAGTATTCTGGTTCCTAGGCCTATATATAGCACGGAATAGCGGCGTCAGTTATCATTACATGGAGGTATTGGGATTCATATAAAGATCGAGTTTGAGCAACGCAGCGCCCATTTAATCTACCACTATAGATTAAATTTAGTTATAAGACTTTCAGTCCTGAATATTAAATGAGCGCGAAGACACTGGAAGCGAAGAATATTAGGTTTAAATGCTTGAAGGTTTGCCAGGGAACTATTTAACGTCATCTTCAACACACTCAATAACATGAGAGAGCCGGGGGAGCCAACCTCAATGTAGGGCAAGTGAGTGAACCTCAACAATGATAAGAACTCAGACAGATATGATGATTGGGTGCACAAGTCTAGCCCATGCCGTAGTTTACGGAGACTGCAGTGTATGATCGATCGAATAAGTAGACCACAACGTGTTCCCAACACGTTCTCCGACCGCCGTGCCGCCGTGGACGGCTCAAACGTACGCGTATACGTAGTCTCCGTTGCTGCCTACACTTATTAGGGATTGGATGACAGTCGATCCAAACCCTTAATACTCAATACTCAATGGTGGATCCGGTTTCCCTTTTCATTCATCACGTTGTCAGCCAACGTGTTGCTCGGCTACCGCTGCAGCCTGATTAGCTACAGTCTGGGCCTGAGACCTCTCTATTCTCTACCATCTCTTCGAGTTTCAACCCACATTATTTTATGGCAGATTTTATTCAAAAGATTGTCCGGCCTACCAAGCATGAACCCGAGTTCCATTTTCAGGATATTTCAGAGCCACGTCATGCATTCAACTCGGGACTAGGTCGTCTCAACATTGATAATAATGTAGAGCAAGAATCACAGCCTCAGGATGATTCTCAGACCACCGTTAATGTCATTTTTCTCTTCATTGATGCTTATAGGCCTAATGAGGCCCTCTAAGCAGAAACATCATCCATCCTCAGTCAATGACACTTCTCTTCAAGAACAGGGGCTGCCGGTTTTGACTTCCAGCCATCGAGTCAATTGGCCAGGAGGCAAGCCATTCAACCCTTTCGCACCCAAAGCCAAAGTTTATGTGTTGGTTAATTCGAAGAGGCTCGCTTACAAGGCGGTTTTAGCCAGAAAAGGCCTGCTGGCAGATGACGACCCGAAGACTAAGCCTGAGAGTAAGCTCTAATAACTAGCTATGATGATGAATAAAAAGCTGAAATTCTTGTCATGTACTAATTATAGAGAAGGCGAAAGGCACAGAATCCGAGCCTCCAAACATCGTCACACCAAGACTCGATGCCCAGTCGCAGGATGCTCGTGATATGCAAGAGTGTGCATCTCCTTTAGATACTTCTTTTCGTGTTAAGGATGAGCCAATCGAGGAGGGTATAGCGTCATTCCCTATCGACGTCGACGTTTGTCCTAATCTGGAGCTCACTGAAGAGGAATTCTTCGCTCGTTACCACAATGTCAGATTCCTTTATTTCAGTAAAGAGGACGCCTTAGCTTTGCTCATGCTATCGTTGTGCAGCCCCGAGCAAAGATCAAGAAAGACCTGCAGTGCGAATACACCACTGTCATCGAGCGTCTGAAGATCATTGGAACGGACGTATTTCCAGTCGATCTCGCGGAGGATGAGCAGCTCTTCTTATTCAAACGTGAACACCTTGCTAAGATGTACCAAGGGAACAAGCAAATGACGTTTCTCAGTCCCGCGGAGGAACATGTTAATTGCCATGGTATCGACAACATAGGTTTCGTAGGCCGTGACTACCATCCGCATGCGCCTGTCATTCCTGGCGCGCCCGGGGCTCTTCTTTCAATTCATCAGAGCTGTACAAGGGTGGCCGGGACACTCCGATACTATCAGGCTTTTTGTGGACTACAAGGGCCAACGTGAGTGGTGTTATATGGGAGATTATACCTTCACCGCTGCGCCGTCCTTGACAACCGTAGAGTACAATATGCAAAGTGATGGGGTATGGTTGAATTGATTTATCCTCCGTGCATCATTACTGATGCCTTTGAAAGTTCAAGAGAGCATGGGCGAAAGCCTTAAGATCCATGGAATGGGGCGCGCCTGTCTGTGCGGATATTTGTGCACGGGGACAATTAGCCGAAGGGGACGTGAAAGGTGTGGATGCCAAAACTGCACAAACACTGGTTTCCGATGAAGAAATTATTGATGCATATGCTAAAGGCGAAGAGGTGAGTGATATATTTTCTATTTGATGCTGTCTGCTTGTTGAGGAAGCGCTCGCAGGAATTTGGCATTTACTGTTTAAAATGTGTCGGTTACGATATCACATGGCAAAAGTACCTGCATAAAACATATCCTATACATCTCGCAATACAAGCGGCGAAGAAAACGAAGAAGGCTCCTGCAAAGAAGGCATCTGTAAGGAAGGCCGCGATGAATGCCCGTACAAAAGTTGAAGCCGAGACGGATAAGGCCAGTTTCTCGGCGTCTCAGATCGCACATCCGTCGGCGCAAAAGCGCAAATCGCAAAGTAGCTCCTCATCGACGAAGACGAACACACGTAAGAGAGCTAAGGCGCAAAAAGACGAACCTCCATACGAAGTATGGAGTGATGCTGAGAGTGACAAAGAAGTTCTCGAGCAACTTCTTGTGGACTCTTCAGATGAAACAGACTTCGGCGTTGGGAAGGAACTTCTGCAGTATCGACCTCGGGGCACGCGTAGCCGGCCAGGTCGTGTTTCGTCTCCTATACTTGTAGACTAAACGATGCCTTGTCAGTACTGTAACCTTCTGGTGTCCAAATGCAACAACGGAGATATGCCTGTCATGACACAAAAAAGCAAGACCTACTCTGTCGTCAGCTGTCGATATACAGGGCGCTAGCATCTAAGTCTACAGCCCGAACATCTGGTGGTCATTCTGATCGACTTAGGACTTGACTCACATTTCTCCTCCCTTTCGAAACTTGTGGTGCGAGGGTGTTGGCTTCTGTTATCGACAGAACGCATCATGCTATTGGAAAAGTAGACAAACATTGGCACAAACGCATTGAACTATATACTCATCTGTCTTGGTCGAGCATGTCAGAGTCAGATACGTTCCCAGAGTCAGGACCGCTACTCGAATTTTCTGACTTTGATTTCGAACTCTCTGGGGGAGACATATCAGATCACCAGTCTAGATAAAGGGCCAAAATATATTGCGGAATGAACATACCTCGAATCTGAGCTATTGCGCCCTTGTCCAGGTTATACCACGAACTAGTCTTTATACCCTCCTTAACATTCAAGACTAGCGATGCGCTCCCAAATACAAACTTGGACAGATGATGCATGATACTACTAGACGCGATCGCTTTGGAAATACCAATGTCCAATGATTCGAAGATGTGTGAGTTGCGGGTGATAGGTGTTAGCTTGCCTCTCGATGCTCGATCTATAGCTTCGAGGTACATCTCTCTATACCTCTCAAGGTCTGATGGAGAGTCAAATTCTGCGTTTTCTTCTTCTGATGCATCTGCCCGCCATCCGTAAAAGAGGGGATCCCAATCTACCGTTAACCACGAGGGATACGATGCAGCGCCGCCTTGGCGAGGGCCGACAAATACCCCATCCCAGTCTATCAGCGCCGTGATCGTTCCCTCGTGATCCACCATGACATTTTGGTATTCAAAATCGGGGTGAGAGAGAACAAATGGTGGGCCGTCTAGTGTGGGATCTGGAAGAGCGGAAAGGAAGAGTTGGAGCACGCCGAGCATCGGAGAGTCGGATTGTTGGCGTCTGTGCATCAATTTGCGAGAGAGATACGCATGCGTGGATGAAAAGGGCCCAGCACTAGGATTGACATCCGCGTGTGCTCTGATGGTACTGCTTTCGTCACTATCGGCAGGATCCTGCCCGGAAAGAAGTAATGCAGAAATGTCCGGGAAGGGTATGATACGGTGAGTATCAGTAATTGAGTCGAAATCTAGTCGACCTATCTGTTCGAACTCCAACAAAGAGAGTTCCGTCATCCAATTTGCGAGCTGTTGAAAGATGTGTATACGCTTCTCGTGGGTCATCCAGTCCTTGTTGTGCCATAATTTAGATAAATTAGTTCCGGGCATGAAATCTGTTATAACAAAAGGGCGGGAGAGTGGATTATCGAAATCAAGAGACCAACGATAGATTTTGGGAATCGGGAGGGATGTTTTCAATGACATGAATTCTTGAGTTATGATATCTAGCTGCATGGAGCGAGCGGCAGCAGAGGTCAAAACCTCACCGGGCACTCGAATTGCCCAGCGTATACCATCTGAAAATAATGTTTCATAGACGATGTTATACGATCCAATGCGGGGAGACAAGACAACGGTGCACGAAAGATCGGATGGGACGTCGAACTGCAGCCTACGTGTGGTGAGCGCGAGGTCCTCCAAATGAGCTGGGTTTAGAGAGGCTATGACATCGGAGAATTCATCGTCGGGCTCGGAAAGATCACCTCCTTCATAATTATCCATCGACAAGCCAACGTCTGGGATCAGTTCATCAGGACTCTCCCCCACCGGGTCTGCTGAAGTGCGCTTTGGCATCCTATTCTTGGATCCTGATGGATCCTGATGCTGGCACTATGTTCAACACGAAGAGTAGATGTAGGGCTATAAAGCAATGAACGAGACGTGAACGAGGGCTTGGGTAGACAAGTGACACAATGAAGAAATAGATTATAGCCTCACCGTCTCTGATCACGTTTCAACGCTCGGTGTTCGAGTACATATTGAGGCGCTCAGGCCCGGGATTGAAAATGATCGATCGTCGGCATTGCCTAGTATGGACATAACCTCGAAGGCTCCCGACGCGCCTTGCCTGTCCTGTTCCTCTGCTTCCTTCTCGTCCGTCGTTGTCTGCTGGCAAGAACGAATATGGTGGTCCTGTTACGATTCGCACCGTCGCCGACAGGTGCACTTCATCTCGGTGGCTTGCGTACGGCGCTCTATAACCACCTCTACGCACGGAGACTGGGCGGAAAGTGGATTCTCAGGATAGAAGACACCGATGCTGTCAGTTTCTCCATAGTACATACATGTATATGATCTTATTTATGCTTAGACCCGAGCTGTACCTGGCGCTGTCGATGGCATTCGTTCAGCTTTGGAGTGGGCTGGCCTGGAATATGACTATGGTATGTCTCATGTTTGTTTCACATGAAAGCGTATAGTGACAACCAGCATTTTAGGACCCGGTGTAGGCGGTCCTCACGCACCTTACTATCAAGTACTATCTTCTCTCTCGCAAAAAAACATGCACGCTAACTCAGCCAATATCAGTCGGAACGCCTTGATCTATATCACACATACGCTCACAAACTCCTGGATGTCCGTCCCTGCTGCCTTGTGTATATTTCATTCGACTGATCAGAATACGGCTCTCAGTCAGGACATGCGTATCGTTGTTTCTGTTCCGCTGACACACTCGCTGCTACTCGCGAACGTTTGGCTCGTACGGGCTCCAATGCGACCTATGACAAGGCTTGCCTCAACCTCACGGAGGAGGAGGTCATGCGAAGGGTACGGGCCGGGCATAAGCATGTCGTCCGTTTGAACGTATGTTTGATTATCGCATAAAGTCAAAAACTAAGACAAACGATCTTAACTACCACTACGGGCAGGATTCAAATCTCCCTAATCGCCCTGCGCAGGCGGATCTCATCTTCGGACATGTCAAGGATGCACATGCCTCCCTTCCGACTGATCCTGTTCTCCTTAAAAGTGATCTATTCCCGACTTATCACCTAGCGAGCGTAAGTGATGACCATGAGATGGGTATCACACATGTTCTACGGGGTGAGGTAAGTTTCATTTGTCTGTTTTACTACCATGCCAGCTGTTCTTAACACATGCACTCGACCTCCTTTTAACTGTAACTCTGGAAATTATTCTTATTAACCTCTGTCTCTTTTCGTCCATAGGAGTGGCTTCCCTCGCTACCCCTCCATCTCGATCTTTACGCAGCACTCAACCTTAAACCCCCTCACTTTGCCCATCTTCCCCTAATGCTGAACAGAGATGGAAGCAAAATGAGTAAACGTAAAGGCGATGTACAAGTGCTAGACTACCAAGTTCGTCTGAACCCATCCAATTTGATCGTTTAGCAGAACTAGACCAATCGTTTCTAGAGACGTGGTTGGGAGCCAATTGCAGTGCTAAACTGGCTCGCTTTGGCTGGTTGGGGGACGGCCGCATCCCCTTCACATACTGGTGCTGCAGAGTCGGATACGCCACCGCCAATTCCTGTGCCTTCGAAGAAGGCGAAGAAAGCTGCACCAGACAGTACGGCTGTTATGACGTTGAATGAACTCATTCATAACGTACGCACCTTCCACGTTTTACTACTGACACAGTCAGGACTTGCTCACGATTGTCGTACAGTTTGATTTGTCATCGCTGACCCACCGCCGGACAGTACTCGACCCGAATAAACTTGAGTACTTGAATAAACATCATCTTATGCGAATAGCAGAGACAGATGAGGGCCTTACTGCCTTGGCAGAAAAAGTGCACGACGTTGTCAAGGCTGCGTTCCCTACAAGGTGTGTATTCTCGTTTGGCTCTGCTTAGCACGCATATGTTGCTGAAGATCGAGGACTTTTCAGTCCATATACCAACGTAGCGTACATCAAGGACGTCATTTCTGCCCTTGAGGTATGTGCGAGTGTACGGGTTTGAAGTGTATGGCGACGTATTGAACAACATCATTGGAATGATTTTCTTAGGGTCGAATAGTAAACATTCGTGACTTACCCATATACGGAGCCTATTTCTTCCTCGAACCTTATTTCCAAGGCGACGAAGCGATAAAAATGAGGAAACGGTTGGACGACGTTGAATATCGTAAGTTTTTTCCACCCTCTGTGGCTTCTTATTATATGTTGGTTTGTTTTGTAGGTACGGTACTTGAAAGCCTCATCCAGCGTTTATCATTGGAAGACAGCACAAAATGGTCTGAGGATACTATCCGTCAGCTTCTTCAAGATGAGGAGTCGAAAGTGGGTTTGAAGCAAAAGACGTTCATGAGTGTTTTGAGGCATGCATTGACCGGTTCAAGCGTACGAGCTTCATGCTTCGCTTTCTTGTTCGAAATTAACCCACTGCTATTTGTCGATAGGCTGGACCGAGCGTCGCAACCATCATGAAAATCTTGGGTCAGGACAGGATCAAGGAAAGGCTGAAGACTGCTTTGGCACATTGAACAATAGAGCTCGGCATATCAGGGTCAATTCACACGTTGCATCACGCCGCATTCAGTACCATACTATCTTTGAATGCTCTCATTTCACGTTCTGGAACGTGAACAAATAAGACGTTGAAATGTAGGCTACACAACGGGTCGGTTGATGGAGTACTATACATTGTGATTGTGGTCGATGTGAAACAGTCCTTGTCGTTCTATCTATGATGAGGGTTGCCGTGAATCATCTACAAACCAAGGGTCCTAGAGAAAGCAGTGACGAGAGAGATTATCATTCAAGGAGCTCATAATCATAGAGTTTCCCATCCACCCTGGTCTACCGTTGACTCGAGCTTGCGAGCGATCGTGGTGGGTATTCCATGAGTGAGCCACAGTCTGCGAACCTCTTCCCACCGAGCATGGTGCAGATATTGTCTGCGGCCACGACTGCAAAAAAAGGGCAATGAGTAATCAATGAAGGCGGCTGGCGCACTAGTTATGTATACATACCGCATGTTGATATCGAGTTCGCCATGTACGTCGAGGTAGGGTGACTGCGCGAATGTGCCACTGTTCGCATACAGGAACAAGATGGAACAGCGCTTTGGCAGAAAATATATGCCAATGGGACCCGAACAGCTACACACACATGCCAGATGTCAGTTCATACTCAAACCTCAAAAGCTTAATTGGACTCACGTTCGTTCATGGAGGTTGCATTCACCCCGATGAGCAATTGGCGAAGCTTCCATGCAACAGTGCGACTGCAGACAACATGACGTTCCGCACATCAAACATATTGCCGCGTCCTGCGGGACGGTTTTGCAATTCGGGCATATCAGCAGCTTCTCTTGTTCCAGGAACAGATGATCAAAAACAACGGGAAGTCTTGCGAGACGGTAAATGGTGGGGTAATCCAGATAGATTCCGCTGTTGAGCTGAGCAGCTGCAGGGGAGTGACCGTAGTGCGAGCACCAGCCCGAAAGTGCATTTTGCAAGGTATCTTGGTTGGGAAGATCAGAGAGGGGTGGGATACCGAGCATCTTTAGGAGACGACGATACTCGCATAAATCATCAGTATCTTCAGGAGTTGAAAAGGCGTTCGGCATGATCGCCCTGCACAAGATGGCTGCTCGTCGAAGGAATGGAAGAGTGAAGACGTATAGCATTTTTGCGATCTTCGCGTCTCCAAAGGTTTGGAACGCTACTTCGGTAATATGCTCTAAAGAAGGCGCGGGACGGATGACAGACATGAAGAACATTCGAACATCGCCAAAGATGTCCTCGTACTGTTGAGTGCCTGGTGGCTGGGACTGAGGCCGTACCTTGGACATGCAGTAAATGAGCGCGATGACCGTGCGAGCGAGGCAGGCATAGTAAGTCAGGATGAGAACATGCCTGAGGATGTCAGGCGCTACAGCTGCGGTCTCGGCTAGGACAGTAAACGGGTCCCTGAGAAGAAGAGGATAGGCGAAGGAGGTGAAGGATGTACGACTCCACTCTGGCAGGAGACGTTTGATGATGGCTTGTCGCACTGCGAGACGTCCTTCATCTGGTCGACTCTTGAAGTTCAAAGAAGCTAGTTTGGTCAAGCAGGACACGATGCCTTGAATCATTTGAACTTGGGATTCTGTAAGACTGTCGGCGACTGTTGTTCCTGGATGTCCCTGCCCCCGTTGAGCCACTTCGAGACATGAGATCGTGTAAGCGACCAGATCCTCCGGAAGGTATAATCCAGCACCTCTTTCACCAGGATCAGGTTCTGGGCGCGTTGTCCTGAGATGTCGAGTTTGTGTAGAAATGGTCTTCGCGATGACCATAACAGTGTCAACCATTTTATGTACTTCCAAAGGGTCTGAACGATCGCCACCTCGCATGTAAGACTGATATCCCGGGTCTTGAGCTGACCAGAACACAAACTCGCCTGTCCCATTTCTGAACTGAAGGGATTCAAGGACCGGATCCGACTTTGACTTCAGAATACTAATCCCTTGGGCACGAATCCAATCGGCGAACGGAACGGGGTTAAGAATCAGGCTTTGGGGTTGCGTGACAGGTAGAATGACGTTTCCCAAACTTTTGCACAAAGGACAGATGTACTCCTTTCTCGGGATACTCTCCGGATGATTCCTCGTAGCCTGCATTCGATGTCGTTGGCGTATTGAGGCGCTGTATACGGTGAAGCATTCCAGATGCATCATATGACTGCATATTGATGCATGAAGACCGAACCGACCATGGAGTGAGGTGTCGAATGCGTCAAACTTCGGGGGACCGTCCCACTTCACCTGAGCAGCCTCCAATGGTGGGAACGTTGCAATAGCTGATGGAGGTCCGGCGCGATCTAATGTCTCGGGCACTGTGAAGACGTCGTTCATTTGCGCTATAGGGGGTTCGGGGTAGCGGCGCAATACGCGACTAGGTTGGAGGAAGCCAAGGGAGCCGAACGCCTTGTTATTGTTCAGCTCCTCCTGGCAGACGATACAAGTGCCATATGAAACTGGCGTTTCCGGTGTATCACCCATGTCTTCCTCGTCATCGTCACCAAAGTCATCGAATGTATCAGCAAAGCTAGCTTGCTGAGCCTTCATCTGCCTCATAATCGCCTCTTGTCTCGCTTTTGCGGCACGTTTCTTCGCTTCATTTGGATCGTCAGCCATCGACGACTCAGGGATAAATCGCTGTATTTGGACAGCATTTGGTTCGTGCTGGGCGATTCGAGTAAGAATCCATCCAATGCGTCCCTTGTACGCCTTGCCGAATGTAGTGTGGTGTTCCAATGCGCAGAGCATAGAAAGTAAATTCCGATCCTCTTCAAAGGACTTGTACACGGCAAGGCTACTAAAGAAATCAAGTCGCTCAATAAGGGCAGACATGATCAAGTAGATGGCTTGGTCAAGGATGGCTTCCGCAGCTGGAGGTGCATTGCCGGTGTTATCAGTCACACTTAGCACATTGTAAAGAGAGTAGAAAAGAATCTGCAGAAGGACTTCGGATTCAAAGACAGACGGCAGGACCGTGAAGGGACCGAATGTGATGTTGAGCGGCTTGGGGATGATTATTGGGTCTTCAATACCACGCTTTTGGAACCGTGTGCGAAGGACTACCTCGACTTCTTCACGCTTATTGCGCGCGTAGTGATAGAAGAAGGGATTGATCTCGTCATACGCCTCATCCTTCAACTCGTACATGCCAAGGTCAGATGTGGTATCGGGTGCTTTGAAGTTCGTGACTTCGCGTAATACGCGCTCGAAGTTGATGTCATCCGGCAACCGTTCAGCGACACGCTTGGTGAGGTCTGTGAAGGTGGCAGGACCAACAGCAAGGGCATGCACAATTTCTCTTCGAATGAGCACGGAGATGGGCATCTTTGAGGCGCATGCAGTCTCCGTCAAGATAGCGGTGAGTACGTATAGCAATTCTTCAACCATCCCGCCTAGTTGGGTATCTTCATACACTTCGTGCAAGGCCGCGCCAGAAAAGTATGAAGTCAATTGGAAGCGGTCAAGCATGCTGATGAACACTGAGTCCGGGTTTAGAATGACCAAAGCGTTCTGTAGAATGAACAGGTCTTGGTCATAGCACAGTTCTCGCAACATGTAATCACGATAATGAATGAGTTGGCCGCGGATGGCGAATCCGTTTCGTACCCACAATCCGGTTCGGATCTGAGCAACCATGGCAAGAACTGATAATATACGTTAAGGATGCACGTGTAGAAAAAGTAGTGAACTGTGACAAACCTCGCAGAGGATAGTCAACAATGGTTTGCACCGCCTGCTCGCTCGCCTTCCGAAGGCAAACGTCCCGAAGAGACTGCAGGCCGACCTGCTGCAGATTCTCTTCGGTCAAAATGTCCACATGTTTGAGTAACTCGGACAGCAGCCATTGCAATGAATGGTGGAAGCTGACTGGTCCATCTAACACATTGAAGTCAACTACATTGTATGTTGAATTACCGAACTCAACGTCGTGGAAGACAATGGGAGGAAACCTAGTCGGATCTCTCTCGTCGTCCCGAGCCACGGATGCGATGAGAATATGGTGCATCACGGTGTTGACGGCTGCCACAAGTTCAGCAACCGAGGCCTTGGCGAACGCTTGACCGTAGGTCTTGATGACGCGAGACAATGAAAGCGTAACGTTGAATACACTTATCCAAGCATCTGTCTCGTATTCGACGTGGTCGGAAGCGAGACGTTTGTTGGGGTTAACGCACATGAATAGCTGGCATGTCTTCGCGAATTGAGAGATGAATTCATTGTTCTGGACGATGAGTTTCTGCACAGGCTCGCTGCTGCAGAGGTACCGCAGATCGCTGAAGACGGGCATGAACCGTTTGGACTTGAATGGGAATGTCTCGACATCAATCTGTATGTTGAGGTCTGGTGGCATGATGATGCGCCTGCCTTCAATTTGATTCGTGAAAAAAGCTGTCACAACAGCTAAGAGCCGGGAAATCATGTTGTGTTGTCGAGCTACATAGAGAGCTACAGAGGGAATGGTGAACAGCTGCAGCGTGAAGTATTTGACGGATGTTTCGGCCTCGCGGTCGACAAGTAGGTAGAGGTCAATGACACGATTGTAGATATTCGCGAAGTGTGATGCTATTCCAAAGTCAGCCTCTATCGATGTTTCGATATCTAACTCAGAGTCACCCACCGACGGCAAGCTTATGTTCGTGACTTAAGAATAGAAGGGATGCGTATACCTCCTTGAGATTGAGCCTTGGTTTCTTCCACAATTTGGTGTGATAGACGAACATCCAGTCGATCCTTGCAGGATCTTGGAGTTCGCTCATATCCGCACGAGCTTGCGGGGTGCTATGCTTTCTGGAAGAGAGCAGCTCGGCCGCAACAATCTCTCGCATTGTCACAGTATCCGACCCGATGCGACTGCGAGTAAGGTCCAATAACCACTCTATAATCACCGCACTAACTTGCTCTCGAAATGTATCGTATGCTCGACGAATGGTTACCCCAAGGTCAACTTGGGATATTGAGTGGCCTATTTCGAGCAGTCGTGGAACGTTAGCGTTCATATCCACCACGTCACGACCATTCTCGTCAATTCTGGCTACAACCTCCGACGCTTCATCCTTTGTCCGACCCGTTGTGTCGACCAATAACTGAGAAACCTCATCGTAAGAATGCTTGTCATCATTCCAGATGACTATGCAATATTGTTCCTTCATCATCATAGGATCGCCGGAGGGTTGATTACGAAGGACGATCTCATCCCTCGGGCAGATGGTCTCGTCCGGCGAATAGTCAAGTGTGTCGAGGATATAATCTATTGCATAGCCAACTGTTCGACTCATAGATTCATGCAAATCAGGAGGAATGGAAGCTCTCTTTGAATAATTCTTCACTGGAGGGACTTCTTGGCCAGCGATAGTCTTAGGAGTGGTTCGAGGAGGTGATGAAAGGGTCCCTGCAATGAATTGCTGCACAGAATCCGACGTCTCTGGTGAGATGGTGTGAGATGGGCATTGAGGATCTGTTGTCCAGGCCTCCGCGTCTCCGCAATCGCAGGTACCTCCCGACTGCTGGGCAATGAAGCAGATGACATTATGTGTCACATGATTCGTTGCACCGAAGCATCGTGAGCACATCACGCAGCTGTCGTCCACTGCGCAATCCCTGAAGGCAAGCATTAGATAGGCCATGTTAATGAATGATATTAAGAAAGGGAAAGAAACGCACTTGCAACGAAAACAAGCCTCTCCTTTTTTGAATATACGCCCACACGGCCTATCTGAGGGTGCATTCGAATCCGTGTGCATACCCGCACGAAATTGCACTTCGCTCAGAGTGGCATGCATCGGAAGACTAGAGTTCGAGTTTGGTAGGAACATATGCGAATAAGAGCCCCAGAAGGAATCATATAGTTCCGATAATATCTCGGCTCGCGTAGCAGGTGTGAAGACATATTTCCTGGACCCCGGCATGGTGTCCAATTGGAAACGAAGACGAGAGAGCGGTGAATCCGCTCGATCGCGCGGATGGCCTAGAAACTTGGAAGGAAAGAACGACGAAAGGGCAGACATTTTGTTGAGGCTTAGTCAACCTCTTGCTTTGTCTACGAGTCGTGAGGTCGTAACAGGTTTAATCACGATGCAGGATGTCTTTAAATGAGCGTGATCGTGGCCAACGAATGGTCGTGTGTAAGCAGCCACCCAGTGAGGGAAGGTAAGTACGGTGGTTGAATGAACTTCACCAAGTTCTAGGTTTGATCTAACTCCTGCCTCACCAAGAATGCCTAGAGATCCAATCCTAAACGTTCAGAGTAGAACTAAAGCACAGGTAGAGAAATCAATGTTGGGATGTAGCCGTGGGGGAGAACGAGTGGGTTCCGTCCAAGTTCGGAAGCGCCCGAACCTTTCTTCTGAACCAGCCTATAGCAGGCTCAGACAAATTCAGGATTCCCTACTGAGTGACCTGTTTTCTATATACCGAGATGAATCCCTCTACGTCTATGGCTACGCTTTCCGCCAGTATATCTGCTCTAGCGGATCCACCACCGAAACTAATGGACGGACCAGCAATGGACTACTTCGTCATTGAAATGGTCAATACCCTACGTGAATCTTCATCCGTCGCCATTTCTAGAACCAAGAAGATAGAGCAAGAGATGGTTGAAGCAGGCCTTCTTCCGCCCCCTGGTTCTGCGACAGCTACTGCAACGACGAAACGCGAGTCTGCACGAGATTCAATGTCTAGCACACCGAGATTGGATGGCGGTAAAGGCGAACTAAGTGAGGAGGACGAAGCTCTTAGACAGAGGTTAGAGTCAATTGGGATGCATGTCGGTGCAAACGTCGCCGAACGGTGAGTATTATGGTCCGTCGGTTCATACTTAGTTTAACATTGTGACTGGGTTCAGACTATGCCATGATCGCGCTTTGTTCTCAGACACTCTGGATGCTATCAAATTCATCTGCAAGGATTTGTGGGTAGCATGTTGGGATAAGCAGGTTGACAATTTGCGTACGAATCATCGAGTACGTGTATCGCACGTCTTACCAGACATTATAATCATGACGTCTGCTCTAGGGTGTATATGTACTGCAAGACAATACATTCAAACCAATATCTCGTCTATCTAGCTGGGAAGGTCGAGCTGATGCACTAAGACGAGCAAAGCTGGTGGGAGCCCTGCTAATTCACATTGCAGCTCAGATCTGACTGATATCTGTCATTAGTATGTCGCTATGCCAGGTGGTATCATTCGGGGCGCACTAGCCAGACTAGGTTTCCAAGCAGCCGTAGTGCCAGAGCTTTCGTCTTTACCCCAATGTATGTCTCGCATCAAAGATTTTGATAAGACTAAGTTGACGAGTTCATCACGCAGGTACATTCCAAGTGAAGTTACCCAAGGGCTCATAGACTGTGACCTCTTTGCGGTTAACTTCGGAGAAGAATTCCCTGCAGGTGCTCCTATGATTGTACAAAGTCCCGAAGTTGATACAGCAAGACACGACCGCGAGTATTCCCAATCGCAACATACTCGCTTCCTGTCGAGAAGTCGATGCTAGTAACGTGACCTAGCGGTGTACCGGACGTTGGCCAATTCGAGAACGCCGTGAGGGATGGTAGATGGACCTAATGCAAAATAGTTCGTCTAGTTGTGAAGGAGACAGACGATTAGAAGGAAGACCTACCATACGCATCTGGTCCTTTTTGGCATTGCTCGCCATCGCAAGCAGTTGCGAGTCATGGTTGAAGCGGAGGGATGTGATAGACGTTGTGAGGTTCTCAAGAGTCTTCAGTGGCTTTGGTCGGTCTGACCCGCCTGAAGAACTTATGTCTGAACCGTACACGTTCACTAGACCATGTCGAGAACTAAAGTGTAGAGTTAGTTAACAAAAACATATCAATGCATGAAAGGGAGAGGCGTACCCAATACCAAGATATCGTCCTGACTGATCCCCCGCTATAATATTACTTCCATACCCACCTTCATCCTTCCATCTTTTTACACAACGCCGCTCGCCGACATCCCACACGTAAACCTCTGCATCCTCGCCCAGACTCATCAACTCACTCTTCCCATTACGTCCGTTTGTCCACCAAATACTTTTCACCGTGGAGTTCATCTTCACGCTGCCAACGACTTGACCAGCACCTGACTTCCAGTCGACTAGATGGACGTAGCCGCGCCTACCAGCCACAGCGAGAACGTCGCCTGAAGGATCGAAAGCGCAAGTTTCCATGCTTCCTTCATTGAGATTTGGGCCGTTAAATGTAGTACCCCAGAGGCCTCGTGGAGAACGTTGTGCGGAGCCAGATTGGAGATCGTAAGTGTAGTAGAAGGGACGTTGGCCAGTGAGGAGAACGCTGGAACCAGATGGATGGAATATGGCAGACGCTATAGGAAGATCGGGAATATGTACAGTTTGGAGGTGTGGATTTGTATGCCCATCGATCTGATAATGTCCATTAGTCCCAAGACTTGTTCGAGAGAAATAAGTTTGACTTACATTGAATAGCTTCAACCGTCGATCTTCACCCGCAGTGAGCATTACCGATAGTCGAGGTGAAGGGTGAAATTGAACGGATTTTATCGCTCCTTCTGAGCGAGTAGAAATATTCGCATCTCGTAAACGTTCGATTGAGAGTGTACCCTTCGGAAGAGCCTTTGCTTTTGGCCGTCCTAAAATTCCACCCGTTGATGTCAAAAGCGCGTTGAAATCCTCCTCCTCACTTTCATCCGTCACAGACGAGACAGAAGGTCGACGTCGTTTCGATTTTGTGGGGTGTAGCTGCTTCCGCGCGTTGGCAGCCCAGTCCGGTGTCGGGTTGATCTTCTCGAATTGTCTTCGCAAACGGCGTTCATAGTCACGACCACCGACTACATCGTCAGACGGTGCGTCTCGCAGTTTACGAAGCCGCCTATTTTCTGTAAGGGACACCTGGACTATGCTGTCGTCTTTATCTACCCAAGCGGGTGCTTTTCGCGCTTTTGAAGGAGGAAATGTGGAAGTGGAAGCGATGTTTTCTGGCGTTTCCATTTCTTCGTCAGAGTCAGGATGCTTTGGCCCACGGTCGCTGGTATCGGAGTGTTCATCCTCATCCTCTGAACTTGGCAAAGCATCACCAGCTGGAAGACCCTCAAAGTCAATATCCAATTCAGGTCTATCCTGAGCTGCACTCGGATCGACATCGTCGACGAAGAATAACTAGAATACGAGCAAGTGTCTAGCATAAGGCATCGTTTAAATGGTTGCAACGATAGTGACTTACATCTGAATCCATTAATGCTTGTAGCTCATTGCCCCCTGCAAGATCGTTATGTTCGTCATCCTCGTTATCCGAAAGCAAAAGTACGTGTTCATCCTTCTTCCGACCAGGAACGTACGGTACACCAAAAAGGGCACTCTCCAGTCTCCTCTCTTCGTCGTCTTTAGCAGAGTCGTCCAGAAGCGCGGCTTTGGAACCTAAAGGTTGCAATGTGTCCGCTGCATTTTCGGTCTTCTGTCGCTTTTGGCTACGTTTCTTTCCCATGTTTCCGAAATAGAATCCCGCCTTAGTATCACAGACGTAGATTATGAAGAAAAGAAGAACCTCAAGCAAGAGCAAGGAACGACAGTAACGGTGAGCAAGAGTGAAATGAACCCAGTGAACGTTTACAGAAACGGAAAACCAAAAATCATAGGGCGCCGGTCCGGACCTGCCGCGTAGATGATCTCGAGGCAGATAGCGTGACAACCATTTTGCTCTCTACATTCATCATGTATTCCAGCATGACTTTACATGAAGACGGCTGCTCTTCATCGTCACTGGCACCGCTTGTTTCTTGAATAGTGCTTGTGAACCGCGTCACGGTCGGATATGCGAACATTATCACGGCAATGACTCGCTTTCAAGATGATAGTTCCACCCATTAGGTTCCCAGAAATAATGCCACCACTCACCTCCATGTTAGTCTTGCTATGCATGAGATGTTCCACGCTTCTCTCCAGCACGGCCCGCCTACTTACTGCAGGATGCTCCCGAGTTCCACATGGCCAGTGTACATGAAGGCGAACTCTTCCTGCCGGTCGCGCTGGTCTCGTGGATCGAATATGCATTCATTTATTATTCCGAGGAATTTGCTCTATTCCTGCACGCTGAGCTTCTTCCACCCTTAAATACACAGGAGGATATGGCTCGTACTCTAGACCTTTCGTAATGAAGATTTTCTGTCTCTTGCTTGGATTGTTCGTCTCATTCGCGTTTGCTCTCACATACCATGGCTCGGACCTGTCATCTCTTGCCATTGTGGAAAAGAATGGCGTATCCTTCAGCGACAACGGAAATAAGGCACCTTTTGAAACTATTCTACGCAACCATGGAAGCAACGCTGCACGAATTAGGATCTGGACAGCTGGAGACTATAGCCTGGATTATGGTCTTGCCCTCGCCAAGCGGGTCAAGGCTGCTGGCATGACGCTGGTAGTTGACCTTCACTTTAGTGATACATGTATGATGAGTCCATTCGTTCTACCTCTCTTTACTGATTCAGTGGGATGTTTGGCGTTAGGGGCGGATCCTGGCAAGCAAGGAATTCCTTCGAGCTGGCCAAAAGATCTCAATGGTCTCAATACCCAAATCTATACGTCCGTAATGTCCATTTAATATGACGACTGGTACATAACATTCAGTCTACAGGTATACTCAGAGTCTGGTCAAGTCATTCGCGTCCCAGGGCACCCCAATCGACATTTTGCAGGTGGGTTGTATCCGATAAGTTCACCTGCTAATTTGTTGATGACTCGGACGTGACAGGTTGGAAATGAGATCAACAATGGCCTCCTCTGGCCTGTTGGTCAGATCTCCGTGAACGGTATCAATCCTGTCTCTCAGCTTCTCCATTCAGCCATCAATGGAACCAAGTCATCGGGTTCGCCCAAGATCCTTATTCATCTTGCCAACGGTTGGGACTGGACCGACCTCAATTGGTGGTTCTCTAACGTCTTCATCCAAGGCGCACTCTCCACATCCGATGTGGATATCATCGGTGTCTCTTTCTACCCGTTCTATGACTCTGGTGCTACGCTGAGTGCGCTCAAGTCATCCCTAACCAATCTCGCCAACAAACTTGGAAAACCAATTGTGGTGGCTGAGACGGACTGGCCAGTGTCCTGTCCTGGAGTGAAATTGACAGAGCCAAGCATTTCTATTTCTGCTGCGGGGCAGGAAACTTGGATTACCGATATCAGGAATATTCTTGCTGGATTGCCGAACGGCCTTGGTCAGGGTATTTGTGAGTTGGATTCGGCTGTTAAATGAAATGCACTCTCACATTCCCATGCAGTCTACTGGGAGCCCGGTTGGGTGGGAAGCGCTAATCTTGGGTCAGGATGCAGCGTACGTGAAAGTCTCGCTCTCAGCCAAATCTATACTGACGATATTCTCTTTAGGATAACCTGGTGGTAGACTCGAAGGGTAATACGAGAACGTCCATAAATATTTTCAACGACATGTAGTCCAAACGTGTACAAAACCAACATCAGCAAGATAGTTGGGAAATATCTATGGTATTCGAGTCTATCCATTGTCTAGCACAGTCCATCACAGTCCATCCCTTTCGAAATAGGTGGCTTGTTCAATCATCGCGCTGAAACTAAAATGTCTTCATTAAAGAAAACCTCAGGGGATTGAAATCGGGTTGTAAAGGATGGGCACAGAAGTTACGCCAATCTCCTCAATGACATGCCCCTGTTCATGTGGTAAGCCGACATCCATATCAATACTTTATTTTTACTCACAGGGCAACTCAGGAAAATGTCGGATACGGCGATGAATAGCTCTGAGTTGTCAATGGCACTGCCCGTCAACTCTGTCAGATCCGGGACGGTGAGAGTCTCTGGTGGCGGAATGCCTTGCGGGGGTATAGCTATGATTTGCAGAAGGTGAGTGAGAACCTTCTGACATGAAAAGAGTAACGCTTGCTAGGGAAATTGACGACGGTGAAAGTGCCAAATTCGTGCAACGCATCTTGCAGGGTACCGTCGGCGTCGGTGACGTTATCGAACGTTGGCGCATAAGGCACGATTGACACCTTGAACTCAGTGTAGGCCTGTTCACACCAGTTTCGCGTCTGGTATGCGAATGGGATCTCTGCTCCTGAGGCGATGACAAGCCCTGAGGTAGGTGCAAGAATTGTGCCTACGAAGGGGCTGGGGATTGGTGTGACTGCTGATGATGCGAGCAGAGGAAGGATGATACTAGTAGCGGCGAAGATGGAGTGCATCGTAGTGAACATTGTGAGTGTTGTGTGGTGCCTGTACTGCCTTACTTTCTCAATGTCGAAGGCCCGAGTCTCGTCTCTTATACGAGGTATCTTTGTTAAGCTTCCATTCCAAGCCCGTTTCAACTTTTCGAGTGCTTTGGGAATGCTGGCCTGGCTCAGCTCAGGGCCAACTGATGCCTTTCTTGCCTATCTGTCGATCGCATGGCACGACAGGGGAACAACAAGTCCATTGGAACTGGGAGCGCAATGGGTGGGTCGAGATGTGAGGAACCATTTGGTAAGCCGGTCTTTCCGATTATAAACTCCCATTCTACATGCCAAAGTCTAGCAAGTTGAAACGTCTATTTATCACGTCCAGACGTGCTCGGAAGCGACGGCACAACATGGCGAAATCCGTGAACGTGATTCGCGGATGTTGTGTCACTGGTTACAATCCAGTTGGTCGCTTAACAAGTGCTGTCATTGCCGTGCAACTCTCAGACTCCCAACCTCCGATGGGCCATTTCGATCACGGACGAGAAGGAATTGTCTCCGAAGCAGCGCGAACAACCGGTGCGGTTTTCTCCCCTTTACAATCGTCAGGCACCGAAGCTAAACGTAAGCATATAGTCAATGATAGCTCTATTCAACGGTCAGACATGGCCTGTTACGCGCCCACTCATGTATTTCGATGGTCTTTCTCGAAGGTGGCGGACGTCAGGATGAAGTCCTGGAATCAGTTCGGACTCACTGGAGGCGACCAAAATATGTTCCACTCAATATCCTCAGCGTCCTTCTGACCTGACTCATCTGACATATTCGCACGTTAGACCACGCATGCACGGTGGTAAGAATATTGGCCACGGCCTGGCTAACGTTGACGTCGGTATGTCGTTTCGTTCCTGGCTCGATCTTGCTCCTGCTGCAAAGCCATCTTCACACATGCTTGACGTGGCACCCTACTTATCTCGTCGAGTATCGGAGCTATCAACAATATCGATGCGTAAGGCGAAATTTGTAAGTCTTCCTGTGCGTTGATGTTTGAAAACCCCATGTTGTCGTCTGTTGTTCTAGTAGGTGCGCTCCTGTGCGTTGTCGAGAGGCATTCGTTGCGTTGGCCCCCTATTTTGGCCACTGAAAGCCAGACGTTCCTATGGATTGACTTCCTTCTTCCTGAATGGGCCCTTCGAGCCTCCCGTGCATTGTCCATGAGAACTTCTAGTACTGGGCTTTCCGCGTAGGTCGCTGAAACCATTGTAACTTGTGGTGTGTTCTACCGAATTAGATCGGCCTTTCACGCACTGGACACGGCTGGAAGCATAATCTCGCGGGTTTCTAATACCGCATCGTTGTACGGCTATTGGCCTTAACGCAATTGCGATCCACAGAGCATGCTTCAATGTGACACTACATGTCATTTCCCAGTGAGGTTTAACGGGAATCTAATCGTCGGCTCAATAACGGACCAAAGCCTGTATCGCCCCTACATCTATAAGCCTCCGTTTGACATTGGAGGTTGCCAGGTTCGGCTCAGGCATGAAGTTGTTCAAGCCGATTGTCATCACCGTCTTATTCATCCTCGCGGAGGATGGCATTCTGCCTCGCGCCAACTCTGAGTCATCGGCGGCGGACAGATCGCCTCTCCTGCCAGTGGCAACGCCGCAGTTGTAGGACAATCTATCCCCTTCCAGTCTTTCGAGAACGGGGACGGGTCCTCTTACAGCCTAATCACTGTGTACTTTCTTGCTGACCCGCCAGGCGCGGGCGACATGTCCTCTTCTGGGACGTTCACCAACTTCTTACACTCTTTTGGTCACTATACAATCTTTAACCCCAGTGAGTCCGGCGACTTGTCAAGCATGGTCGAATTGTTCAAATGTCTCTCATCAGGCGTACCTCTTCTGCCCGGATTTCCACCTCCGCCCTCGACGCCTACTATTCCGGTCCTCGGTCCATCTGTGAGCGATGGCGAGCTGCATTTCTCAGTCATTGAGAACCCTCTAGACTCTTCGTGCACGATGAGCTCTAAGTATGTCAATAGGTGTGTAGTCATACTCATGTTCATCTCTTTGCCTGATAGTCATATAGAATATAGCTTGTCGTTCACACCTGCAGAATATACAGTACCGGTCAGTAGTATTCTGGATCCGGGGCAACGTTGCGTCAACACGAAATTGTAGCGCCGGTTCTGACAGTGAGAACTTCCTGTACTCGGCTCCGTGATCGCAATGAAGACAAAGTTCATAACTCAATCAAAAAAAGGGTCGAAAGGGTGAAGATACTCCGTTACCGCTTACGCTGACTCGGACATTGGAAACTGTGTGGTGTGTTCTATTGAATTGAACAGGACTTCACGCATCTGATATCACTAGAATCGTCATCCTGCGGGCTTCTTGCATCGCATCGTTGTGTATGGCTGTCATGCTTTAGCGCGATTTCGGCTCTTGTCCAGGGCGTACCTCCCCAGTACACGTCGATTTGATGGAATGCGTGTCATTTCAGCGTTCCTTCGGCGTTATTGAACTGAATGTCGATGTCATAGCGGACCAAAACCTGGACTGGTCTTGCACCTCCTGCATATTTAAGTCGTACCTTGCAGTGAATGTTCTCTCATTCTCCGTCCAGGTTCTCATTATGTTGTTCATGTCGATTGCTGTCACTTCCTTGCTAGCTATCCTCGGCCAGGGTTCCATTTTACCTCGCGGTCGAGTATTCGGCGGTGGTACGATTGTCTCTCCCACCAGTGGCAGCGATGCAGTTGCAGGGCAGTCTATCCCTTTTCAATATTTGGATGAGAACGGGGCGGACGCCTGTTGGTCCGGTTACACCACAATCACCGTGTATTTGCTTGCTGAACCTCCCAGCGCGGACGACGTGTCGTCTTCTGGGACGTTCACAAACTTTTTGTATTCCTTCGGCAACTACACAATCCCCAACTTCGGTGGGTTCTAGGAATTGTTCCACATGGTCGGATAACATAGCTAAAATGATTCTGATCAGGATTACCTCCTCTTCCCGACTTTCCGCCTCCACCTTCGACGCTTACCGTTCCAGACCTAGGCCCATCTGTGAGCGACGGCGAGCTGTATTTCTCAGTCATTGAGCATCTCTCTGAATGCCCGGTGAGTTATGAACATGCCGTGGGTGTGCAGTCACGCTCATGCCCATGCATTCATGTCTCTTAGCCCGAAGGCCATACAGAAATCGGCTTGTCATTCACACCTGTAGAATACAGTGCCAGCTCGTAGTTTTCCGGAGACAAGATGGTTTGCTTTGTTACAACAATAATGAGGTTCAAATGCCGCGCTTTTGCTTCATGCCTGTACTACAACATAGAGCCGCTGAGACGTGATAGTATCAATTCTGCCGGTATCTACCTACTACAAACGTCTTGCATTCCGAGCACAGGTGCTATGGATCACGAGGATCTTTCAGGCACTATGAAAAGTCGGAGTACCGCATTACAGCGACTCTTTTTCGTTGGACTCGAATGTAAGTCCAAGCGAGCCGTTATGCGACGAACGTACAAGGAATTATGTGATGAGGAAATGAATTCGAGAGTCTTATATTTCTGTATTGTGATCTAAGAGGAACATACAAAATAACATCCCGCATCTACAGCTGCTATCCTGCTAACTGACTGGATTCCAGCATCGCCAGTACGCCATTCTCTAAGCCATCTCTCCACGAACTCCCTAGCCCACTTTTCCCGGCATCGACATCACTCGAAAGTACCTTCCTCTGTATAATCAAACTTGGGACCACAGAGTAGCTCTTGATCCTTTCACTAAGTATTAGCCAGGAGAGAGCTTGATCCAAGGCACGCGAGTACGCAAACGGAGGATATGTGAGGTATTGTAGAATCTTGCGAGCTCCAGATGGACTCAATGCGTATGCGTGGGTGCATTTCGGCGAGTACGAAGGGTGGACGGTGTTCTTAACCTCTAGTAGAAACGGATGAGAGTCATTGACGCGGAGATCTGTTGTAGGCAGGATCTCGGGCTTGAGAGGTACGCCAGGGAAATGCGATTCATTTGACCAGCAATGCCCTATATGTTATTAATAGCTGACCAGCAAGGATAGCTATAAAGAAAAGGTAATGAACCTAGAAACAGAATGTCCCAGTCCTGGGGAAGAGAGTTCCAGATCCCGACAAGTCGTTTCTTGATGTCCAGTTCCATGTCCACGTCGTCTTCCAGTATGAGGGTAACGTTAGAGCAAGCGGAGTCGCTGGTTGCAAGAAAAGGGACTTCGCTTGCTATACGATGGATGACTTGGAGGTGAGAATACCAGCATGCTACTTTCGCTGCTGTCAACAGCATCTGTTTGGGCAGGTCTGGTGAATAAGGTATTCCGAAAATCGAATTATTTGTAGCGCAAGTTATTGGTATTGTATCAGGGTCAAAGCTACCTTGGGAAGCCGGATAATGACCCGGCGAGAGCGAGGAAGTAGCTGGAGCTACCGGCGGATCACTATTGGATGAAGCGGTCATCGAGATCGCGCTGACCTCTTCATAGACCTTGGGGGAGGAGAGTTGGTCGACGTCGAGTTCCTGTCGATATGTTATCGATCCATTGTATGTTGCAAGTGAATGGCTGAAATTGGATGGCCACGCAAATTGCAGTGTGTCATTATATCGACTAGACAACTCTGTTTGACTTCGTCTAAAAGACACTAAGTTGCTTATAATCGTCCCAATAATTGTGTCATCCGATGGTATTGCATCCACGTAGGTCCACCGAAGTGATAGCGCAGAGCGAAGCTTCTCCATGCTTTCTCGCCGATCTTCCCTCGTCGGCAACGATACCACGTACGTTGTCCAAGCAAGCTTTAGATCAGAATCATGGCACACGCGAAGCGACGAGCCCTGAAGTTCACCCGAATCACCAAAGATAGCTCCAAAAGGTAGTTTCTTGACTGATGTGAGCCCGAGATTGCCAAAGTCGTGCACGATTTCCGTAGAAGAGAAACCAAAGATCAGAGCTGCGAAGCCGAAGAATACCCAAGCGACAAGGAGAAGTGATAACGCGATAGTGAGTGATATATGGCGGCGTGTTAAGAGCGTTATCATCTCAAAAAGACTCTACCAAAGCAAAAGACTGAAGCAAACATGAGGGTAATGTATGCGACTCAGCTGGGCTGCAAGTCGCGTCTCATCGAAACGCGTACACATGCACAAACAAGCTCTACTTCCTAGCAGTGGACAACTCGAGTCCTTAGAAACAACCATCTTTATCTGGCTTCTAACTACCATGAAGGTCGTAGTAAAAAACTGGCATGCGATTGCTCAATGGAAGTGGGATACGGGTAATAACGACGCCGATGAAGGTGATGTCGAAGGAGATGTTTGTGGTATTTGTCGGGTACCCTACGAGGGATGCTGTCCGACATGCAAGATGCCTGGCGATGACTGCCCATTGAGTACGTACCATGATGTCTATTAAAGATGTGTTCACCCTAAATTTGTCATAGTCTGGGGAGAGTGCAGTCATGTCTTTCACATGCACTGCCTTCTGAAATGGATAGGGACTGCAGCGTCGAAGCAGCAGTGTCCTATGGACCGAAGACCGTGGGGTATACACTCTTTCTTTGTTATATAAAAATCATGGGTGTTGAACTTCTGTTGCAGTGACGGCCGAGAGGAAAGTCGATCCTTCATGACCGCATGACCTCATTTGCCTCGTATACCCTCTATCTGTATTATTATCGCCGTAACACTGGATCCTCAACACTTTGTATCAACCTAGTCGGTTTCAACATGTTCTCTTTGATGAATCTCCCGTCTATGGTGATGAAGATGTTAGATACACAAGTTGACATAGTAACGACTAATAGCAACTTACTCGGTGCGTCATTCTCTCGTGCCCTCCACTCCGCCTCAGCAAGATCCTTTGCAACCCCGCTTTTCACATGTCGAAGAACCAGCCTCTTCTCTGCTTCATCCTCCCCAATATCTATCCACCAGCGTTCGTCAAGCATCTCTGCTGCTTCCATCCAAGGGGGTATACCGAGGAATGTGTATAGGCCTTCGATAACGACGAGTTTGTGATGTGGGCGTATGATGACGGCACGAGGCATAGGATCCTTCAATTCATGCGAAAACGAAGGTGCGTACACAACGTCTTCTCCATCGCTGGTCGTGGATGATGGTACTTTTCGAAGCTGCCGCACAAAGTCGACGTATGATTGTCCGTCAAATGTCCAGTGAGCCCCACGGCGGTCATGAGCCAACTTGGCGTCTGGGAAGGCATCGAGTTGTGCTCGAGTCAAGTGCCAGCCATCCAAGCCAACGAGTATGGCAATATCTGGTTCACGCCGTATCTCTGACGCACTCTTATATTTTTCTTTCCAAACTTGGTTCACCCTCTCAGTTAATAGTTGGGCAAGTGTTGATTTGCCTGATGCAGGTACTCCAGAGATGCCCACTAACAAACGTTGATTGTTTTGTGTTCTGAGCACAGTGAGCAGAGTCGCGAGAAATTAGATCGATCGGTGAGTACACTTGTTTTGGATCAGTATGTACGCACTCTGCGAGGCGGACAACGAGGAACTGGGCCAGTTCGGACACGATCTGCTCCATTTGGACAAGTACTTGTAGCGTATCGAGAGAGGTCCAGAAGTGAAGTACTTCGGGAACGAGCTGAAACTTGCTGAAGAATGCCAAGGTAGGCGGGCCGGCTTGCCGACGGCTCAACAGCATTGACAATGGCTGCGCTTCCTCAGACACTCTTCCACGACAATCATATCCAACTCACATCTCTTCACGATCTGCACTTACTCTGGGACATTTAATATTGTTTTATTCTCATTCCTCAAAGTCTCCTTACTTACTTCGCTCCTTTCTATGGCCGCTGTACCACATGGCAAGATCCTCAAACGAGCTGATCCATCTACAATCCAAGACAAATTCCTAGTGGGCTACCAAGGCTGGTTCACCTGCGCAGGGGATGGCAAGCCCATTGGTCCAGGTCACCACGGCTGGCTGCACTGGTTTACCTACCCGATCCCTGATGGTGGACGACCGAACACCGATCTGTGGCCCGACACTTCTGAGTATTCACCGTCAGAGTTATATCCTGCTCCTGGGTTGAAGTATGCTTCTGGAGACCAGGCATTCTTGTTCTCTTCGAGACATCGGAAGACAGTGAACAGACATTTCCATTGGATGGCTTTGCATGGTGTGGATGGAGCGTTCCTCCAGAGATTCGTCGGACAATGTGACATAGAGAATGGGAATCAAGGTATTAGGGATCTGAGAGACGAAGTTGGAGATCGGGTTCGGGAGGCCGCTGAGCAGGAAGGAAGAGTTTTTGCCATAATGTGCGTTTCAAACTCCTGGTATAGTGGATCCATGATTGCAACTCATTTTCTTCTTCAGGTACGATGTAGCTGGCGTTGACCCAAATCGAGTTGCAGATATCATCCAGCAGGACTGGCTTCATCTCATACACGAGAAAGGTATTCTCGACAGTCCGAACTATCTCCGAGAGAAGGGCAAAGCAGTCGTGACCATATGGGGTTTCGGCTTCGCCGACACGCACCATGATCCAGCCTCAGTTCGCGCAGTCACGTCCTTCATTCGGGATAATACTCCAGGAGGCGCATATATTATGGCTGGCACGCCGGCACATTGGCGTTCTTCATACCACGATGCAGATCCGAATCCGGAGTTCGTGAAAGTCTGGTTGGAAGAGTTCGATGCGATTTCGCCTTGGACTGTGGGTAGGTATACCACATTGGAGGATGTGGATAGTTTCGCGGAGAATAATATCAAGGGTGATGTGGAACTCATTCGGAAGAGGAATGAAGATTTTGAGAACGGAATGGGAGGAAAGCGAAAGGTTGATTATATTCCGGTCATCCTCCCTGGTGGTTCTGTAAGTCTGGACATAACTGTGTTCAAAGGAATAGTCCCTCTGATATTTTCTTCTGCCCTAGGGCTTCAATCTGTCTGAAGGCAACTGGTCTTGGAACGGAATTCCTCGAAGAGGCGGCAATTTCCTATGGCGACAACTGTTTAACGTTCGTCGGCAGAATGTCCGCACTATTTATGGTGCTATGTGGGATGAGTAAGTCTTTGGTTTCTCTTGACTTTGACAAGTTGAATTCATGACTGTTCAGGTACGACGAAGGTACGGCATTCATGCCTGTTGTATCAAAGAAGCGAGAGCTACCTGTACACGAGAAATATAATTTCATGGCATTAGATGAAGATGGTTTTGACTTGCCCCCAGATTGGTGAGCATTCATTCAGCGTCGAAGAGTTAATGGATATGATTGAACTCAAACTTATGGATAGGTATATGCGAATCTGTGGTTTTGCCGTCGAAAGTCTTCATGGAGAACGCCTCATCCACGAAACTTTCCCATCGAAAGAGCTGCAGGATTACTGGTCATCCAGACCAAAATATGAAGACAAAACAGATGAGCCAGGTTGCTCAAGTGGATCGGGAAGTAATAAGGAGAAGGGCGAGTCTTGGGAAGAGTGGGAAAAGATTGAAAAGCTGAAAGAAGTCTCGGATGAACCCCCTCCTCCACCGTATACACTCGAAGCTGATGAGACTAGAGCACCAACACCAGGACCTTCCACTCGACCTACCACTGGTCCCGCTGATCCTACTGCGGATGCACCTCCCGTCACTGCTCCAAGACCACCATTGGCACCTACGGATACAAGACCGACCTTGCCACCTTCTACTTCGAAACCCACACTGCCAGTATCCTCGAAGCCAAGTTCTCAGTATTCTTATGCAGCGCCGCCTCCAATTGTAGTGAGTTCGAGACCGACACATCCACCATCACATCCTTCTTCAGCACATAGTCAACACGGTTTCGACCACTCAGTCTCAGTCCTGACAGACGGCTTCGGTAGACAATCTCTCACTTCCTCACCTTCGCCCAGGCTAGAGCCACCTCCACTTCACCCTGCTCACCCAGAAGCAAAGAAAAGACCGATCTCGCCTCAACCCAATTCATACATGGGACCACCCGAACCTCATTCCCCATCTTTTCCAAGCTCATCATATCAAGCTCCTCAGGCACCGTTCGACGCAGGTCCTACTTCGTTCCCCATACCGGGCGGATTCGCGTCCCAGTATAATGGGCAAAGTACCGGTTCAGGTTCAGGTTCCGGTTCATGGTCCCAACCCAGTTGGCCGCCGGCAGAATGGGGTGTTTCGTCGCACTCTCATCCTCAGTCTCAATCTCCCTCCCCGCCTCTACATAGTAGACCGTCTTTCTCAGGACAACATACATCTGACTCTCAGAGCAATGCTGGATACAGACCTGGATACGTCCCAGCATACCAATCACCAGGTCCTGCACCTGCACCGCCGTTATCTTCTTACCCATCACACATGTCATCCTTCTCTAGTCCATATGGTGGCCCAGTTCATACGCCGTCGCCGCCTATACCCTCTTCAAGCCCGTATGGTCATGGAGCAGAGGGTGCAGGAGGGTTCCAGTTCCCTCAAGGTCCTGCTCAGCACGCGTCGTATGGGGGTCCTCAACCGAATGTGCCTTATGCACCCTATGGACCGAATGCGCCCCCTCCGTCTGGGTACCCCGGTAGTGGAAGTTCGCCCTATCCGCCGTATGGATCGGGGCCTCCGCCTCCTGGACCGGGGCCATATGGTGAGTATTCTTCATATTATTGATTTTTTTTTCTTTCTTTTCCCCTTTCTTGCCAATCGGACTATTTGTTTGTTCCATCGTCCTTGCTTCCCTATCACCCATGTCCACCAGTTGCAATACTTCTGAGTTTTTTTTTGACCTCGAACTATCTATTTTATCATTTATATATTCCGACATGATTCGTAGATGTTGTATCATCACTTGTATCTGGCTGTGAATCTAATAAATATCTTTTCCCCGCCAGGCTCGCCTGCGTACCCTGGTTCGAGTCCATACCCTAACGGTCCTCCTCCACCCAGACCGCCTCAGGCTCATCAAAGTGGTTATCCTAGCAAACCGCAAGGGTCGAACTATCTGAATTCGGCATTGAACGCTATTGGGAGTGCGACGGGACAGAGTGGGAAGCTGCAATCGTTGGCACAATGTAAGTTCTTGTTATCGGTGAAGGACAATTAGGTGAATGCTGACTCGGTTTCTGTTCAGCCGGAGGCAAAGTTTGGGACAAGCTTAGAAAATAAATCAAGTCAACGCGTGGTGTTATACATTGCACGACGGTGGTATCTATCAATTCTATTAGTACGAGTATCATTATTACCGAGCGTATTTTATAGAGCAGCGTTATAGCCTTACAAGAGCACCAAGGAACGTTCATGGTATCTACACCAACTACAACCGTAAACAACTAGTACAACTCCCATTGAACCAAAAGAGAGAGAAACCTGAAGCAAATGGAAAGGTATACCGCGCCGTATATAGGGTATGGGAGATTGGGGTATAGGGTATTAACTGACCACTAACCACTGGATATATCTATCGTACATCCGAAGCTGATCAAGGTATGATCATGAACAACATGAGAACCGAGCTCGGGCAGACATTGAACTTAACAACTGGAAAAGAAGATTCAGCAAGGAAAATCTATATCAAGAACAATCTTAATATCAGCGAGCTTCGGATATTATCAGGAGAACTTGACACTTGCATGGAACAGACATCTAGGCCTCAAGCTTCAACTTTGGCCCAGAAATCCTTTCACACACGGGGCCCCTTCAATTGAAGGAAAAACCTCCTCACGCGCAGGTGCAAGTCAGAAGACCAACAGCGTTCCACCCATCTTCATAGTCTCATCCTTCATCAACCCAGGACCCGGTAACTTCCCTGTCCATCCAACAGGATGATATGGCCTACTCGCCGCACTATCATCGAAAGAATCACGTTCTTCCCATACATGAGTCTTTGGATCGTGATAGGGTTGGACGGGAGGAAGGGGCTTTGGAGTGGATTTGTCTACACGTGTTAGGTCGAAGAGTTTGAGACTATCAGGGATCCAGCGGAAGGGCGAAGGAGCGCGTCGGGCGCGTTTACGTGGTCGATGAGTGGTAGCGTCATGATGGGTCTGAGCAGATGTGGATGGAAGAGTGAAAGAGGCAGATGGGACGGCAGTTGAAGCTGCTGTGGATTGACCTTGAATTTGAGGCGGAGAGGACGTTTCGGGTGAAGAAGGACCCGTGATGAACTCAAGAGGCCGTTTCTGTCGTCGTGAATGTAGGGGTACGGATGCAGATCCATGTCCATATGCAGAACCGGAGACGAGGCCTAAGGAAGGTACATTCACGTTACTACCAGAACGAGAGGGTATAGAAGGGCGTTTCTTCCCAACACGTTTCGAAGAAGATGCGTCGATAGGAAGGGGCCCTGAGATAGAGAAAGCGGGAGTATTGGCAGCTTCTGCAGCAGGATCATGAGGTAACGCCGTTTCAGCCGAAGTCCTAGTTCGAGTCCTTGGTGTGATCGATGACGAAGGAGGGACGAGAGTGGTACTGGGCGGAATGATAGTATCGTCTACTGAATCTTCTGCAGGTGGACTATTTGGGGAGACGGAAGAACGTGAACGGCGTTGTCCGCAGCGTTTGGTGTGACGGTTGAGGTTGGAAGCTACGCTGAACCTACGTTGGCATAAAGGGCATTGATAGGCTATATACGTTTTGGTTCAACTTTTCATTATAAAGAAAACACGACAGGCGGGGATTGTGAGACAAACCTTTCTCTCCTGTGTGTACGAGCATGTGCTAAAAACCAGAAAAGCTGAATGAGCGGGAAGAATTAAAAAAACTCGTGCTGGACACACGAACCTTGCGGAGTGTGCATGGTCTATTCACATGAAAAAAAAATGTGAACATCCTATTCTCCACTCGAACAAATTGCCCTACCTATCGAAACTCTTGTGGCACATCCAACACGCGTGCTTCTTGCCATCCTTTCCGCTTGCATTATCAACAGTACCAGACGAGAGGGAAATAATCCCAGCATAGATGTCAGGAAGCGTATCCTGACCGCCTTGTTCACCGGCATGAACAGACTCGGGCTCAACTACAGGCTCTGGCAAGACAGTCTCATGTACTCGAGTGGAAGTCGGCACAGCCTGGTGGTTTGAAGATGAAGGAAGGATAGCCATATTACCGGTATTAGAAATTTGAGGCGGAACTTGATATGACGTGGAGGACGAGGAGGCAGCCCGAACCTGAGGGTGCTCAGATGTAGTCAAAGGTACCTGCAAGCTCGACCATTCCGCGCTTTTATCTCCAAGCGAAGACGACCCCATCCGAGAAGTATTCGTTCCCAATGTCAGCTGCGCATCAAATTGAGGAGCCTCAAGCGCACTGTAACCGAACACGGGTTGTTGTGTCCAATTCTGGTGTGCTGTCGAGGGAAACGAATAGCCTGAATAGTTAGAGGGTGTATGTACACTTGGGGAAGAGTCTGTCGATGAGAGGCTAGTGGCGTTGAGCTCTGGAAAAGAGTTGGAAGTTGTTCTTGGGAGAACTGGCAGGGTCAGGGTCTGCTGACCAGAGCGATTGTAGTGAAGGTAGGGATCATATGTTGTACCGGACGATCCTAACGAGAAGTTGGTTGTTAATGGTGAATACGCTTGGGCCGCTCCACGACCGGTACTAGTGCTAGGACGACCTGCGCGATGGAATGCATGGTGCGAAGATGGTCCTGAAACATGGGCGTACGGGTGGGGAGTCATCGCAAGCGAGAAGTTGTACGTGTGTTCGTGCGGGAGGCCGATCTCCTGCGCTGTTTATATGTATCGTCGGTGAGTATCAATTTTTCGGTGAGAGGAACGAGGTACCGGACCACGTTCCTAAGATAGTGATCCTGAAGATGCGTGGCGCCTGGGCAAGGTGTATGTATGCTCAGACTCCGAACCCTGTACGACTGAATATTCGCGGGAAGAAGTCTGTACAGTTGCATTGGTATCAGTCAAAAACGAAAGGAATATGAGTGATGACTGACCGGTGACTAGCGTTGCGGCCCAGTACTAGAGCGACGATATAGTACTCGACGCTGTCACTCATATGCATCTATCATCTACGGTCTATTGTGCAGATGACGTGCTCCCTCCAGTGGGCGTCAGCGAACTTCTTAAATTCGCATGGGCACGTTGCTTTCTAGTTTTGTCAAAGAAGATGACAGAGGCGTCGACAAAAAGAGATTCAGATAGCTGTTAATAACTTTGTGGATCTGATCTGCGAAGACTTCAGCCTGCTGGTGCGTGTTCTGGTCCTGTCAAGTCCTAATATAGCCAAAAACACCCACCAGCGTTCATCACCTCTTCCTTCGTCTCGCCTCGTGTACACTCTTGACATCCTGCCGGCGGTCCTACCTGTCCTATCACGGTATACCTGCTGAACGCTGGACGGCGTTTCAGCGTTTACGGTCGGATGTAAGATGCATAACGTGCTGCACCCATCTGGGTTCCTTCGGCTATGTAGCTTCTACTGTTCCGATCTAAAGTAGCTTCCCTGGGGCCTGAAATGATATTAGGACGGAAAGTGACTCCCTGCGACTGGTCTCAGGCTATGCAGGCCAATTGCCTGGAAGTAGCTCCGAGGGGAGACTAACCAATAATAGCGATAAGTTCTGCTGTCCAAGGGTCAGCGTCATGCATACCTTGATTGGGAAGGTGTAACGTTTGGGGCCCCGGTCGGTTGTTCATGAATATTGAACTTTGTTGTACTTGTACTGGCGACGATCCGCCAGCTGGTTTACGCGTGTCTCGGATGGCGTGCTCGATGCTGCGGGTTATTGTTCATCGACATGTCTTCGTACGTCTTCGTACGTCCGCATGGGCATTTAAGTTGGGGATTTCACTTACGATGAAGCCTGAGAGAAGGCTTGCGGGAGAGTCATGGGTGGGATGCCTGAGCCCTAAGAGTTTAAGCCTCGCCCAATCTGAGCTTGCAAGTACCGCTAGTGAGTACTACGAGTCGCTAAGCGTATCTCCGCACTCGTATCTCAGGAATTACAGCGTAAGCGTAAGTGTGTTCGTACGTTGTCCGTGCCTCGATACAAGCCTGTACGACTTCGGTTGGCTTCGACTCTAAACGTTAAACGGCGAGGGCTCGGCAACTGGTCTTGAATATGCTCTGCTGTGCGATGAGCCCCGTGAATCTCGCATTAAGATTACGTACCCTAGACAGGGCGAGATCGAGCGGCGTTAGCACGAATATCTCAGGCATGTGGGCTCCTGCTTGACGACCAAATGGTGGATGACGACAATGCTCTCAATGTTCAAGTCACCTAATAGCGCAAAATGATGCAGAAAGGTGGAACATGAATTGAGGAATTCAAAACCCGTATGGCAGAAATGTGATGGAGAAGTACAGAAGAGTGCGTGAGACCGCATGTATAATTTGTTCGTCGGAGATGTATAGAGCCATGAATCAGTCAAATAGTGAATGAGAACTGAGAAAGACAAACAGTGGTGAAAATTGAATTCTCAGGCTGTCAGAGTAGAGCGTCCCGAGAGTAGTACTTTGCGTTAACCCGCGGCGGCGGGCGACTGCGCTAAGACCAAGGGCACGATCGATCAGTATTTGTGGGTGTTTGAAACTAAGGCTGTTGCCAAACAAGTGCAAATGTCTTTCAAGCTTTGTTAGTAGGGACTCGGAGTGGCATCAATAGGAGACCTGCAAAACTTCTGCTTTTATATTCGCAGAAATATGGGACTGCCCTCTGCGCAAAGATCTGATATCGAGGCCATCCTTTCGCTCTTATTCAACACAACAAACCAGCGTAAGCGCCGTCTAGCGGATGTATTTCTTGAATTGGTGGACAAGGAGGAATATCCAGAGTATTACCAGGTAAGCTGCTTCTCTGTCATGCGCTATCTCTAATATAACATGTTAATGAAACGCCAAGCGGCTTCTCTAGGTCATCCCCGAGCCGCGATGTCTGAACAGCGTCAAGAGGAATCTCGGGCAGGACACGTACAATGATGCTCTCGACGTGTATAATGACCTCAACCTGGTGTTTTTGAATGCCATGTATTACAATGAGGAGGGCAGCATGATTAACAGGGACGCAAAGACGTTGAAGGTGTGTGCAAGCATTCGAAAACATCAAAGAAAGAAGCTGATAGATTGGAGCAGGGGCTGTTGGACAGAGAGTGGAGGCAGCGTCCGAGATTACCCACGCCCCGATCGTCGCCCCCGCCTTCCTCAGCCCAGAAGACCCACAACGTAGCAACTCCCTCGCAACCACTCCCACCTATTTCTCCCTCCACCCCTCTCCTGCCCCTCAGTTCCCCCGCTGATCGAGCAGAGGACGTCGAGATGGAGGTCGACATCGGAGGCACGCCTGAGCCAGAGTCGATCCCTGTTGAGACCGTCAGAGATGCTGAGAGCGACGACATTGTGAGCCAGTTGGAAAAGAGCCTGCCCAGGTGGGAGGGCTTTGGCGATGTCGGATGGGCAGATCATCTTACCACGGTCTGTTTTACTCCAACTATCAACTTGTATCGTTCTGACTTGTCTCTTTCAGGAGACTCAAGTGCATATAGTCAAGGCTATCGTCGAATACCGCGATGCCAGGTATGTCCTTACCAACGTTCAACGCAGCGAGTGTCTCATTTATTCTTAGCGGCGTGCGCCTTGCAGCTTCTCTGGAAGCCCTCCCTGAGGAGACCAACAAGCCAGAGATCCCGTTTACCGTGAGTAGCCTTCCCCGCCATTCCCATTTCTCCTCCTAATATGCCGTTTTTTTTCTTTTTTTTTTTGGAATCCGTGTTTTTTATCTACTAATATGCCGTTGTTTCAGAAACCTCTCTCATTATCTCTCATCGATGTTCGTACCATGTCTTACCTTCATACTGCAAAACTTTTACGAGTGAAATATAGAACAAAGCGCGTAATGGCGAATATACGTCACAAACCTTTGACAGGGAAATGTCAGAACTCTTTCTCAAGGGCCGTCGGTCATACGAACCATGTTCAGAACCGTACGGACACGTCCTCACTCTCCAGGTATCCTCATTCCCTTCCCTTCCCTTCCCTCACAAATACACTAACCCATCTATCTAGCGCTTCTACCAATCCCTCTCCTCTGGTACACCCTCAAACCCACCACCTCCACTAGGTCCACCCTACGCCCCTTCCCTCACACACTTTTCCGCCCTCCCCGCCGGCCCTGGTCGCGTTAAACCGCTCAACTCACCCGAAGCAGAGGGCGTTGCAGGGGTGACGATGTTCCGGATTTCCAACAAGGATAGACGGTTTGTGGATGAGGTTAACTATAAAGGGTGGTCGATTAGACTAGCCGAGTGGCTGCATTTGATGAACCCGGATGATGCGAGAAGGCCAGTTATTGGGCAGGTGTTCAAGTGTTGGGTTTCAGAGGAGCCGTGAGTCTTATCTTTAGTCTTTTTAGGAATTAATTGACTGATCGTGGTGCGTGCCATAGTGCAAAGAAGGGTCAGTTTGGGATTACAGTGTGTTGGTACTACAGGCCGGAACAAGTAAGTCACTCTGCGGTGTATTGGTAACTGTGAATGCTGACTAGTTCATAGACCTTCCATCCTGAGGACAGACAATTTTGGGAGAACGAAATCTTCAAAACAGGTTCGTTCACAACTTATATCCATTTCGCGCTCACTCACGCGTCTCATCTTCCATTCAGGCCACTTTGTCGATCACCCCCTCCCAGACATCATCGAAAAGATCGCTTGCCAATTCACTGCACGCCATATCCGAGGGCGACCCCGTCCCCCATTCTGGTATCCATACTGGCCTTTATACGTTTGCGACTCCCGCTACAACGATCGCGAACGTCTCTTTGTCAAAATCAAGAACTGGAATTCATGTGTTCCCGAGGAAGTCCGCAAAAGCGAAGAGTTCATGCCAATCTATCCATTCGAGCGGATCGTCTTCCCAAGAAGGTTCCCCAGTCCATTCGTTGGTGTTGGTCCTGGAAAGGAGGCATTGTTAAACGAGTTGAGGGAGGGTAAGATCCCAGGAGGTATCATCGCTGGGAGTGTAGTTGAGAAGGGCGAAGGGGAGAGAGTGGAGGGAGGTGGAACGGGTCGGAAGAGGCCCAAGAGGCATGCCGGTACTCCCAGCGCTATCCCTCAAACTGTCATCTCTACATCTAGTAGGCATACAGACGCGACCGATAGGTTTGGACCCAGTAAAGGGTTATACGTCGGTCAACCTTCTCAAACCGCCCAATTGACCTTGACACCCGCCACAACGCAACAAACGACTTCACAGAGCGCCTATCAATATACAACTCAAATGCAAACTGCCACTGTGAGTACGGGATATGGGACGCCACCGCAGCATATGATGCAGCAGAGGGTTCAGGATAGGTCGTTGATGACGGGAGCGGGGTTGGTGGGGAGTAACGTGGTTACTGAGAAGTTACCTCCAGAGACGAGTGAGTCCTTCATTTTGAATTGACTCCTTCAATCACGTTGAAAAAGGTCGGCAATTCATAACTGATTTTATTTTTTTTGAATCTGTTTATAGCGAGACACTTTGATCGAGATCCACAGACGAACGAAGTCCTCTGGTTCGCAGCACCTCCCATTGATATCGCTCTTCCTCCCGTTCCCAAGTACAGCCTTGCTTACTTGCATCACCTTGCTCGAAAACGAAAGCGCGAGGCGGCTGGTATGGAACAGAATGGTGAGGAAGAGCATGTAGAGGATAGGACGGTAGGGAAGTCTATTGTGGAGACTCAGACGGAGAGATTGGGAAAGGTGTTGTCAGAGATGGGGATGCCGGAGGTGGAATCTCAATCGTGATACGAGGGATGACCATGGCGTTGCTCTCTTTATTAGCCTTCATCTTCAGTTCCTTGACTTTCAGCAATATTCCAGCAAGCTCTGCTGAGACTTCATTGCATTGCTGACTTCAGTGGAAGGGGAAAGTCAATAGAAAAACCTATCATATCATAACAAGCCGTATAAATGACTAGGATAAGATAATAGTACAGATACTGTGCATATGGTGATACAATTGCCTTTAAGTGGTTCAGGAATGTGCTAGTGTAGATCTACAGATATAGTCCGAAGAGCAGGAGGGGTGGAGGAAAGCAAAAAAGCGAGAGAAGCAAGAGAAAGCAACGAGTCGTTAGTAAGTGAGTAAAGAGGATATGCTACCATTCTGATGGCCTATGCACAAGGGGGAAAAAGGCAAGCGTTAACCTCGGAAATCAAGGGGGTGTGAACGGAGACGTACCCGAATACTGAGCCAGGGTCGACTTTCTTTAATGGTGTCGAGGCGTAGTCTGCAGTACGCTGCCAAACGGTGTTCCCCCACCAGCTTTGTATCGAGTTTCGTCCGATATTGCCGTTTTGAGGGAACTGTAGACTGTGTACAAATGTCTTAGTGCTGCAATTCTTCGTTACAGAGGGTGCATAGAGGCCATGGACGTACCAGAAGAAAACAAGTATTGTGCCAATAGCTGTTCCTGCATCTAACGCCGCTGACAAAACGTCTACGATATGTAACAGTAATGGTCAGTTCGAAAGGTACAGCATAGAAGTGAAGAAAGAGAGATGTACAGTTGTACTTAGACCACCAGCCGAAATGTCGTCTGCGAACGACGTATTGGAAGATGAACCCGACGATCGTCCAAGGTACGTAGTTGACAGCCGTTGCTGGTGGTATCCACGCTGTGCCATTCAACATGACAGGGATACTGCAGAAACGTGTGTGAGTATATCACATTTCTCAACGAGGCGCCCTTTAGAAAGTGAACCACGTACTTGACATATCGGAACCAGCCTCCAGGATATCGCCTATTGATATACCAAGGTACGATCGGAGCCACCGCGCCCACCAGGAACGCATAAAGCAAAGGGTTATACACCTGTCCTGCACTGAATTGTAACCTGGGTCCTACGACTCCCCATACGACAGAAGCGGTGTAAAACACTTCGGTGTTGGGGCATGTGAAGTGGGAGGATTGGTTGGGGATACACATGTCAGGGACGTGTGTGAAAAGCCAGGATTGAACGCCGAGTTGGACCGTGCCTGCGATGGAGGTTGCTATTACTTGGGACCAAAAGAGAGTTCGTGGACTACAAGGAGAGAACAATAAGATAAATGGCGAAGCGGAGAAACGGCGAACACGTACGGAATCTTCATGTAGTGGCCTAGTTTGAAATCAGATGTGTACATGAGGGCTTGAGCCATGGTCTATAGAATAATTATCAGTCAGAGGCCAATTCACTTCCAAGGGGGATAAGACCGAACGTACCACATATCCCCAAGTCTTGAACAACATCATCGCCAACGGCCTCCCAGGTAGCAAATACCCAATGATCAGCTCCGTAATCACATTCAGCCCAATTTGCTGGTTCGTGATGGCTTGGATGATCCCAATCGGGATTATATAAAAGAAACTAATCAACAATGCGAGACAGAACGCCCATATGGGCATCTCAGTCTCGTTCAGCTCGATTGTGACCACTCCAAACGCGAACATCGACATGAATATACACATGTACCACCATTCCGGAACTTGCGGGTACCGTGCCATGAGTCGGGCATGAATGTCGGGTTGTTCACCGAGTGAACGACGGGCTTGGATGTAGATCTGTTTGCGGTAGTAGAGAAAGACGTGTACGATCGTTGCCGTTATACTCGCAAAACTCAACCCGTACGAGACCGCGAATGTCGTACTCAGGAATAACGGGCTGTAAGCTTTATACTTGTCCATGTCGAATTTGAAATCTGAGGTGAGGATACGCATGACGTCGTAGTGGGCTCCGGTGTTATCGAAGGCTTCGCGGGACATGAGGGGGATGTATTGAGAGTACCAGACATTGGTGTAGTGGAGGGCAGGTGTGAGGATCCAAAAGAAGAGGACGAAACCGATGGCAACGTTCCCTTCGGCCCACCAAGGTGTTGCGAGTGGGGATCCGATGTAGGCAATTTGTGTCCAGTCGAAGGTGATGAGGGACATGCCGAGACCAGATTGGTAGCCGAAAAGTTGGTTGACGATGACTGTTCGAATGGTCATTAGTTCTCATTGGGAGAGTGAGAAAAGACGGGGACATACTGTCGTGTGGTTTAATCCAGCAAACCCAGGTGAACACAGAAAGCGCCGTGAATAGGTATCCTGGAAGGAAGTCTGAGTGCACATAAATTGAGCGGCAGAGCACAATATGGTACAAAAACATGTAGACATACACCACAGTGTTGCACCTGCGAAAGCATAAAAGAAGAACCTCTCTCGACTCATTCCACCATGACTCCCAATACCGGCATACACTTGGGAATGTAGTGTGTTGAAGAGTGCACAGTAAACGAGGTTCTGAGGCCAAACTGCCAGATTCTCAACGTTAGCACATGCAGGCTGATGGACGTTAAGAGGACAGCCATACTCATGGACGGCGGCGAGACAAGGAACCGCTTTGCGATACCACCAATCGAGAAACCTATCAGTTGCGTAGACATGACGACCATGAACTGGAAACCAAAGTTGTACACGGTGTTATAATGTATTCGTTGGACGGCTACGATGTCGGTCTTCCAATGAGGTCAGGTTGTCTGCAAGCAATATGAAAGTAAAGCAACGCACCGCATAAGCAGACTCTGCACCGACGCCAGCCATTATTGTGACCACTACATGCTCTTTGATGGTAAAGGGTCCTGGATTTAGTGGTAGCCCGAAAATCTTGATGCGGGGACATATTCGAGCCATCAGTCGGCCCACAGGGAAAGATAATAGTTGAGCAACAAGCTATAAGCATTATTAGTGTGGTATGATAGACGGCATAGGAAGCACTACTGACCGCGCCCACGGTAATATTTGGATATCTAAAGAAAAAGAACTGATTTACGCCGGGTATAATCATGGCCCAGATAATGCCAAGTATCCAGGCTCGTAGTGTTCCTGCAGGCATGTCGGGGTCATCTGTATTTGCGACGGCGGAACGGACTTCAGGGTATGGAGATTCATCTTCTGTTCTCCGAAATGGGACGTTGAGTGATTGTGGGAGGGAAAGCAAAAAGGAAACATACCGAGGACTTCAGCCTCAAGGTCGTAGTTTGGGTCATCATAATCAAAGTAATCATCTTGTATGACGTCCTAGAAGACAAAGAAACGCGTGGGTTACGATCGGCTGGGTCAGAGCACATGGACGTACAAGTAGTTCTGGGGTATAGTTAATGTAGGTGTCGGGATGAGGGGGAGGGGGAGACCTACGACCTGAGCTGCTACTCTCTGCAGGATCCCACTTCTCACTCTCGATAAGCTCCGCAAGACCAATCTCGAGGCCTTTCTCGAGGCCAGAGTGTGGCATGGAGAGATGTCGGAACGGCGCAAGACTCTCAGCGAGAAGCGTGGGTGGGAGAGGAGAGGATAAGGATCGTATGGTGCTTGGGCTAAGAGATGGACGGGGGGAGAGGGCTTTGAGAGAGTGCCCTGCGATGGCCAACCGGGAGCATAGGAAAGTTGGGATAAAGTGGGAAACTGTTGAGCTGATGCAAAGCTGATGCAAAGCTGATGGTGCCTGTAGCGATACGCCCATCCTACAGCCACCATCCACTTTCCCTCTCCGACTTCTCCCCGTCTTCTCTCTTTTATCTTAACCTCTCTCGATCATGTTGCACTATTCTAAACTGCTCTTCAAGCTACGACTGCCGTCCTCTGTTTACGCTTTGTCTACACCCAGTCTATAACCCATCTTTAATCAATGTAGCGCCAAGTCGGTTTGGATCGGCATCCTCAAGCTACGTTCGTCCGATATTCTTTTTCTTTCTTCCTTGGTATTCAGAATTTCTAGAGATCTATCACGTAGATCCTATCTCGTTCCTGGTTCTACAGGACAGTGTCCAATCAAGCTCACACGTGAATTAAGTCGCAGGCCGTTCGAGGGCTTTCCCTCCTGGGACTTGTTCTCACCACGTACTTTAACCTCTTGTGCTCCTGCTTTCATAGCAAGCTTTCTTTCTCGCAGGTACTATAAAGTTACACACATCGGTAGCGGCACCCAGACCGCCCACATCAAACCCTTGGTTTTCCCCGGTCCGTCTTGTATCGAAAGACGCAGCAGTTTCGCCCAGTCCCTGAAAGGCTAGCATGTCTGTCTGTGTCTCTATCAAGATAGTGTTAATCGTTCTGCACTTCGCATCTTTTAGCGGTGCTTTTCCCGCCCTGCTGTCATTTGTCTAGGTTCTCATCGACTTTAGTCCTATGCAATCCTCCGACTTTTCTGCCCGTATCGAGATATACATAGTCTTGTCTCACTTGGATCTCAGGGCCGAAATCTTGACACCGCTAGCGCTTTCTTTTTCCTTCCCGTTGTTAGTCTCTAAAGACGTGCTCTGGGATACATGGATTTGAACTCATGGGCTGCGTCCTTGTAGAGCCTCGTGACTGGATCTATAATCTCTCTTCTCACACCTTAGCCTGTTTGTTGGTGACCCACCGCCCTAGCCGTTGATGAAATGTCGTATGCGCTGTCATTCCTGTGCACGTTGCATACACCTGTCAATAAATACTGAGTTAGGTGTTATCTGTCCAGCGCGAGACCATCCTATTCTTGAGCTGCTTTCGTCAAAGCGTGTCAGATATTCTTCTTCTTATGACTCTCGTCATCTTAAATCGCTCGATCAGCAGGAAGAGTCTCCCATCTCTTCCACCAGAGATTTGGGAGAATGTGTTATACAGCTTGGACGAGAGCTATAGCACGTCTGAGCTTGAAGACGAGGGTTTCTGGAAAAGAGCTGTATGTCATTTCGCTCTAAGTGGGATGATGGCTAATGAGGATGCATATCACCTTGCTAGTACAAGACGCTTGCTGCATGTTCCCGCACATGTCGCTTCTGGCACATTGTCGCGCAACGAAGTCTCTACAGGCACATCCGATTGTTCTACTCCTCTACCTGGTTCAACATCAAGGTTCTTACTCACTCACTCTGGCTGTTCCGAAAAAATGTGTCTTTCATCCGCAGCCTATTTATACGATTTCCGGTCTTTGACAAGTCAACATATGCCACTGGGTGGTCTATACCCCTCTTTCCCAATATTCTGCCCAATGTCACCCTCTTAAAATTGCAACACATGGACATGGCAAAAGTGCATTCAGATTTCCTCAGAACATTGGCATGTCTTCCATCGCTGCGGCATCTGGTGCTTGAAGGGTCAACAATCAAAATTCGGGTTTTGCAACGGATCATCTTTTCTCTCAAGGACTTGCAACATCTGGATCTTATCAACATGGAGTTTCTTTGGACTGAGGCCCAATTCCTGTCCACAGAATGTTCCATACATAGATGTTCTTTGCAAACTATTGGCTTGTATGCCGAGTGGCACGGGGCACAGGCTGCCAGCTGTACGGGGATCCTACAGTGGTTGGCTTGCAATCCTGGGATTTCTCAGACAGTTAGAGTGCTGGACATCCATATCTTCCAGACCACAGATGAGACCATCCTAGCACTTGATAAAGTCTTGATGGTCTGTGGCCTTTCATTGGAATACTGCAGGCTAGCTATTTCTTGGACCACAAAATGCAGTAAGTCTCAGATATGATTCTCCACCATTGTTAGAATGTCTTTGTGATTTTGTGTTCATTGTAGGCATTGACTTTCAGCATAATCCAAATCTGAAGGACCTAGCCCTCAAATATATAGGTCCAACTGACCTATCAGCTGCTGATGAGATTCAGACAAACATATCATCATGGGTGCTTCCACTGGTGTCCTCAATACACTCTTCCAATGTTGCAATTCACATTGAAAGATTTGTAGATATAGTAGAATGCTGTGGGGCACTAGAGGCTAGTCTTAACATGACGGGTGTATCAAAACTAAGGCAGGTCAGAGTTCTATTAGAGGAGCGAGGAGGAAAAAATCTAGTGAGATGGATAGGTTTATTTCCTGTGTTGGTTGAGCAGAAGAGATTGTTTTTATGTCAGGAATTTAGAGAGTCCTGGAAGAGTTTGTTTATGGCAGACAGATAGTTCACTATTGATAGTCATAGGTACATGCTTGATATTTCAATTACAACCACAAACTCTTCTGAAAGCTCAGAGCCTCAAAAGATATGAATGAAGTGAAGCAAAAAACAAATTAGTTGAGTAAAAGTAAGCTACAAAATCAAGCAAAATCCTAAAGAGCATTATATTACAGATGAGCACCTCCAGGTATCCACCTCTAAACCAACCCCACAATAACAGTAGCCCTCAAACTAACCTCCTTCCCCATTGCACTCACACCTGGTTTTATCATACCATCTCCCATCACCTCCAAAAATTCCTCTGTCCTCAATGAACTACTCTTCCACCCCCAACTCTGACTCACACTAAACTCATCCGGCGCACTCGTAAACCGTGTCAAACTCCCTCCCGTCGCACTCGCACAACTAATGGCAAAGTACGCACCGACCTTGGGGCGAGGGTCCCGATAGGGTTGAAGGGGGATTATGGGTTGAGCGGTCGCAGGGACTGTGTTAGGTTTGGAAGGTTGGCTGCCATGGAGGGAGGATGAGGAGTAGGATGACGGGAGGGAAGAAGGTCGACCATTTGGGGTTGTTGAAGATGAGGTGGAGGATGAGGTTGCATGCGGAGTGGAGCTGCGGGAGGGCGTCGTGGTTTGGTTTTGCGAAGACATGTCTTGCATTGAGCGCATGTTGGAAAGCCGGTTGAGTGGGAATGTTAGTGGTGCAGAAGAAGGGGGTATAGGGTCCACACTCGATTGTCTATGTAGGTAGACGCCCAGCTGGACTGTCTTCTTGCGGACGACTTGAACATAGACGTTCCATAGACTTCCAGCATACCAAACCGTATGTGAATGTAATCGGCTCTTCTCCTTTAGCGAATCAACGTCCCAGAACTCTACGCCAAAGCGGAGGGGTGGGTAAGGTGACCAACGTATTTTGCCTTGAGAGTCGTGTCGTGCGCAATCTGATGCAGAATACGCTTGCTGTTCGAGGCCGAACCAGTTACTTTGAGAGTTACGTTGATTAACTGTTCTGGAACCACTCCCATTCAACGGTCTTGATCCTGACGAATCAAATAATTGATCCATAGAGGCTCCTTCAAGTCCTGTACTATCGCCTATACGGGTTGAAGAGTCCCCGGGGACCGGATGATATCGTTTCTCTTCGTTTGTCAAAAGATGTGACGGGGAGGTCATGAGGTCAAGGGTGCGAACGGCTATTTCTAGCTCCTTACCACGCTGCTTTGTGGGTGAGGTAGGAGATGATCCAGGTCGGCTGGTTATATGATGCTGAAGTAAGGAAAATTCCCAATGCGCGGATTGAAGGACCTGGAGTGGGACGTATGGTTGGCCAGTGACCGGAGAGATGTCTTGTGCGATGCTCATGAGCTGCTCAAGAATCTGGAAAAACAAAACGTTAGGATGAGCCATACCACCTAAACGAAACTAAAGATCATTACCATTGTGGAGTAGTATATTCCTCGTTCGAATAGAGCCTCCCACTGAGCTTCCTCTGCCGGCTCGATCCCTTCCCTTCGACGCATGTCGACGATAGTTCGACAAAGATCATATCTCTCCTTCTCGCCAGTCACGAATAGAGCATCGGATGACAACACCCGTCTAACCCAATCCGCAGTGAGACCTCCACGTCTCCATATACTAGGTACGCTGACACCACCATCCAACGACAGTAACATTTTACTCGGATGAGCAAATTCAGCGTCTGTTGCAGTTCCAGAGGGTATAGTCGCAGCACGTTTCCGAGTTGTAGAGCTGGAAAATAACTGAGTAGCGGGGTATATATCCGGGGTGGTATCATTAGTGCGTGAGTCCTCCTGATCCTCATATCGACATATATCTGCAGCCCAGCGTGTAAGCCAACACATGGCTGCTTCTCCAACTTTGTCAGACAGGCCGCCGTAGTGGAACTCTCGGGATGGGGTATTGGAACCAGAGGTATCGCCTGAAGAGCTAGAATGGGATCGCTCCATGAAGGAGGTCGCGTCTGGAGAGCCGCAGTGTTTTGTTGTCTCGTCCAGGTGCATTTCGTCAAGCTTCTCCGCTATTTGTTCATCCTTATCGGGTGTTAGAACATAGCCTTCCACTATACCCTCCCCCTCTTCCTCGATCAACTCCGCCACACTCTCCAGCCCGACAGCAGCTACAGGATCCTCATAGTCTACCTCCGGATCAGGTTCCCCTATTCCATGTCCAAGAGCGAAGTTCAGATAACGCATGACGGTTCGTGGACCGACGGTACTCAATATGGACGTAAGTGCTTGCGAAGCGACTCGCGGTATTGACAAAAAGGCGGATGTCGCAAGTAGAGAGAGGAGGAACCGCGGTGACGCTGGATGATAGTCCGGCGGGCATGCATATTGGAGGTTCGGTGCGTCGAGGTCGGAAGAATTGTAAAAGGGCGGAGAAGGCGTAAGTGGGTGAGTTGGTGTTGGGATTAGGGATGGTGGAATGTAGAGTTGTGGACCGCCGCCATATAACCGAGCTATACATATTCTGTAGAGATGGTGTCAGAACACCAGTGATCGGCAGTCGACATAACGAGACTTACTCGAATGCTATGAACGTGATGCATCAATCAGTCAACGGTGGCATTAGAGACAGGATGATCTACATTGGACGTACTTGCGCGTGTGATGTTAGGATCGTCGAAAACGATGTCAATCCATTCCGTTCGATCAGTTTTCCGAAAGCTTCGCGATTTGGACTCGACAAACCCGGAGGTGAACAGGGACTTGAAGAATTCCTGTTTATGCAAGGTGTATCAGCATCGTCCGACATTACTTCAACGCAAACAAATGAACTGTAAAGGCGTGATCGGATCGTGTGCTCTAAATACCAAAACGCCTGACCCCTACGTCAAGATAAAGCGAAAAATAGAACACACCGCTTGAATCAGTATCACCCGATGAAGCTTGTATATCGCGCTCCAGCTTCCTCGTACTCTGAGTGTAACATCTGAAGTCTGCTGAGCGAGAAAAGAGGCATAGAGATGGCGCTGGAGGTCGAACGAGAGGGTAGAGGGAGCAGAGCTCATGTTGGCGGAAGAGTGAACGCAGCCATCTGCGCTCAATTTAGTAAAGCCCTTTCTAAATGAGGCTATGAGGAACGTGGTCTTGGCGGGGCGGGGCCAGGAGCGAGGCAGTGGTGAAATATTCTGCAGCTCGTCATGCGGGGAAGTGAACCGAAAAGTGGGGTTGACTGAGCGGAAGTAAGTATTTGTGATCGATAGTTATGAAAGTAGTATCCAGGTCTCGGGATGCAACGGTCAGCGTGCTATATCCAATTCCACTCTATTTCTCATGAATTTGTAGGACAACGCCGATAGTCTCTGAGAACCTAAACAAGCCACCTCTGTTATAGCATGTGCAGGGCAAAAGAACACGATATGGTCAAAATCTGCATCAGTTCATCACTGAACGTCTATACGCATGCAACTTTCCTTAGCGGCTGTTCCATCAGTTACTACCAACCGTATCCCCCAAGAAACTGAATGAGAGTGAAATGATAAAGTATAGGGGTCTATTCTGTAGTAACTTGCCCTGACGATTGTTTCTCCCTCGCCAATCTACCCTTTCCTCTCTCCGACTCAATCTTCGCCCACAGCTTCTCTGCTTCATCAAACAACTCCGTCGATTCGTCATAAGTCTGTGCGAAACGATCGAGCTCTCTCAAAAAGCTCGCCGGAGAGGATTTCAAGACCTGACGGATGCCAGCGAAGAACGCATCCATGACGGAGAGGTTGTGCATGACCAGAAGTGTGTGAGAAGACATCTCGTGAGTGTGTAAGAGATGGTGCAGGTATGAACGGGTGTATGGACGTTGCGGGACTTCTGTTTCTAGGTATCGAGCGTCGGCAGAACTGTGTGTGAGGTATATGGATAGTGATGATGGTGAACATGCGCCGCAAGGGCATACATGGGAATCTTCCGTTTGAGTCTCCGGGGAAGTACCGTTGAGGAATGAGCTCGCTAATCTTGTATGTTGATGAGCATATTTTTCTGAGAAGAGATTATGTCCGAGATCCCATTTCCCGTTACTTCGTAACTGCGGGCAAGGGCAGTGCTCATCATTCCAGATGGGCATGTCATCTGGAATGGCGGGGAACCGGAAGTCCAATGCAATGCCTATATTTGCTGCACGTTGAGCCCAATGCGAGTCAAAGAGGTCAACGCCGACATCTTGGACAAAACGAAGAATCTCATGTGGGGAGGTCGTTGAGTATGCTATTCGAACTTTGTTCTGCGGGAGGGGAGCTAATGATGCTCGTGCGAGTTCAGCAAACATGTCGGTCTCGATGGCTTGTTTTGGTTCAGTCATGGACTTGGTGTCGAGAGAGAGACGGAGAGGAAGAAAGTCGAAAATGTATCCAGAGACACCTTCGTCCAATGTGTGTATTGGCTGTACCTGTTCTTGCTCTCTCCCATGAAGAGTCTCAATCAGACCCTGCGAGAAGAGGGTTCGAGCACGAGCATCAGTTCCACCAACCAGGTTCACAAGCACGTTCAGATGATGTGGTTTTGCTTCCTCTTCTTCCCCAGTCAGAGAGGCTGCAACAGGTCGCAGAAAATCTGCAAGCCACCCGGTCGACCTCTCGATACCCTTCGTGGTGCGTTTCTGCGAGTGAAGCTGATTTGTATACGGTACATCGCTCAATGCGACGACAAGATCCGGTTTGCACGCTATAGCATAATTTCGCCAGTCAGCTGGAGTAACCTGTTGATTCACGAGGAAAAGAGATATATTCATGATTATTATCGTATCAAAAGGTAATATACATGGCAGAGGTGCTACTGGCCTTGCGTACACCTCTAATGCAATTCGCTGAGACATAGAGTTTATTGTTGGCGGGCATCTCTCGTCCATCGAAAGGATCTCGGAGAGAAAGCGAAAGGATATGTTGCCATGTTGGGAACCCGAGAAAGGCGTGTAAAGGTTTCAACCCTGGTTGAAGAGTCGGTACGGGAGGCGTTCTCTCCAAGCTATACAAAACGAAAATCAACATATCAGCTACAAGATATATGGAACATTTAGAGAACCGGCTTTTCACCTACAATGACTCAAACGGAATGTTTGTCAAACGAATGGCGTTTGTCATTTTAACATGATCGCGGGATAGATGAGGCACAACGCCCCGAGAACTAGCGGTTATGAATCCTGGCGTTTGAATTTCTGGAGTCGAGGTTCCATCGAGGCGTTGAAGCGAAAGAGTCCCGAGACGGGGAGCGAATTGGGCGAAGTCATTTTGGAGGGTGAATGCGAGTGTACAAGCAGACATGTTGATACCTGCGTGTAAAACGTCTTCTTCCCAAAGTTTCTTGGATTCTATGTATATAGCTAGGATCCGCAACAGAAAAGTAAAACGAGATGAATGCAAGGAGGAAAGATCGACAGAGATCGACTTGTGAGAGACGCCGGCCACTTGTATGCCTTCGTAGTAAGTAGAGACTTCGACTCGCTACTCACTTTGACGATCATCCAGGCTGTACTCATCTCTCCCTCATAGTTCTGGTAGACCGTACTGCCATAATACGCCTCGACTTTAACACTTGACCAAAGGATACGGATGCCCATGCAATAGGTGGCAGTAGTCTTCAAGATGTCGCAGCCGGTAACCACCTCTGATCAGACTACTGCTGAATGCATGATACCTGTAAAGCGATATCTCTCTACTGTGCGCAAGATGATTGTACTGACGTACGGTTCTCATCATCTAGCGTCGAATCCGTCATATAACATCCGTCCAAATCCGCAACCTCACTCCCTTCCCAGTTCGCGACACTATCGCTTCCGCACTTGCCCAGCCTTCAGAACAACCTCAGTTCAGCTCACATGGACGACTCTCTGATGACCTAGATGTGACAGTTGGTCGGAAACGTGGCCGACGAATATCCTCTACCTCTACCTCCTCTCTACGTAATGCTAATTCGGACAATGAAGGAACACCGAGTGAACCAAGGCGGAGACTTGGGTCTATTGGCGGGAAGGCCGTGTCTCCGAGAGCACAATCTTATATCTCCACGTCTGTATCAATTACAGCCACTAGTTCTGGAAGGAGGAAGAGTGTGTCTATTGCACCGCCTGTCACCCGACCTCCTCTTCGCCAGCGAACATCATCAAGCGCGTCCACCATTGCTGGCCCATCTCAGCCTTACTCAGATACCTCTGAGCCTGTCGCTCCTATCATCCTTCCAAGTCTCCTACGGGATGCTTCTCAACGCGGTCTCGAAGACGTCTTGAAGTCACGATTGGTTGAGACTTATATTACCGTCACTATTCCTCGTTCACAACCTTCGGACCTTTCAGATGCGAGTCCGTCGTCAGGCTCTGCCACTTCTTCACGGGCAAGGACTGCCAATGGTCTTTCAAAAGGACACACACAGACGGCTTCCATGTCGTCCCCAAGGACGCGCTCCGCCACAATCGCTCATGTCAAATCGACCGTGCACTCCAAGTCGATGTCAGTTTCGGCAGTACCACCTGGATCAGACGCGAGACGACTGTCTACTTCTCGGATGCAGGAGTTGCATCCCTCAGTTTCGAAACGGACGATAACTTATTCCGACACTTGCGGTCCTGACTATTGTTCCCCTATCCACAGACCTTCCACGAATCCGTCATTTAGCATTGATGTACGGAATGAGTTGGCTAGTTCTGATGCCGACCTCAGTGGTGGAAGATTACGAGTGGAAGTGTGGGGTAAACTCCCTAAAGCATATCAGGGTGCAGGGAGGAATAACGGCAAGGGAAAGGCTGTTGACTACCCTGATGGAGAATATGTTAAGGAGTGGAAAGTTTTAGACTCTTGGGCATTCGACCTGGATGAACTGACCCCGTTGCCTATGGACGTGAGTTTCCCTGTTACATCTAACTTGCTGGGACTCTGACGTCACGTTATCGTTCTAGTATACATCACATACAAGTCACCTCCCTGCGAATACCCTACTTATGACACTATCACCTCCGGATAGAACGTTCTACCTGCCCCGTTCTCGCCTTTCACGAACTCCTTCTCCTTCTATTGGATACACTTCGGACCCGGAGGTCGACATACGGAAGGTCAAAGACAATGTAGATGATTCTCCTGTTGGCCTTGGTATCACTTTTCCTAATGAACACCGTGAGGATGAGACGGACGACACGTTGCCCTCACCAAATGGGTGGTCGACTACTAGGAAGGCTCGGCGGAGAACAGCGGGATGGCAAGACCTACTGAAGTGAGCTCTCACGTCTGCGTGATTCTATCTAATTTCCTTTTGGAAATGCTGAATCTGAATCGGATATCTGTTACAGGCTAGTCACTGTTCAGAGTGCAATTCAGGATACGAAGGCGTCACTGGAGGCCGTTGTGTGTGAAATTGACCAACTCGTAACACATGATGCCGTCGGAATTCTCGTGAGTGTCTCTTTTCATGTCTTTTGGTTTTGCATCATTCCGTCCTCCACACATCCCGAATTTTCTATCCTATGATCTATTTTTTGTCTTACCTGTATACGGTCCCAAGCTTACTGACTGAAAGACTCGCGAAGTATCTCAACGTCGGACCTATGTAAGAGAGCTCGAGTCCGAGAAAGCTTCTGTTCAGGACGAGTCTCAGAATCGTGAGTACCATCTGTCATCTTTCGTTATCCCGACTTTGTGTTTGCCGCTACGGATACCTTTCTGACATCTGATGTCGGCGGAATTTGTTACAGTGAGAAACAAAATTGACCTCAGACGAGAAGAGCTACGAATACGAAGGCAGACACTTCTGGAAGCCCATGCTGCCCTCGCCGAGGCTGTGGACGAGGAACAGGATAGGGAGTCGGAGATATTCGAAGAGAGGTCAGTGCCTGCTTGTGATTTCGATTGTAGTACTGACATCATCAATGCCAGAGCACAACTTTCTTCCCTGCGCTCCGAGTTACCGCCCCATCGCAGTTCCTTGATTTCCACCTTGTCCTTCATATACCCCATTGAACTCATCTCGCCTCCCGATCTGCTCTTCGCGATCCTAGATACCCCCCTCCCAATCCCAATCGCGCCCACCGACCCAGCGCCACCGTTATCTCTGCCTAATCATAAGGATATAACCGAGGATGTCATTGCTACGGCTTTAGGTTATGCGGCACAGGCCCTGCAATTGTTGGCGGCGTATATGAATGTAGGGTTGACATATCCCGTTACTTGTATTGGAAGTAGGAGTTTGATTCGGGATGGGATTTCGGCCATGGTTGGTCCTCGAATGTAAGTGAACAAATTGATTGGGTTTTGAGCAGTCGATTACTTTTCTATAGGTTCCCCCTCTTCTCGAAGGGCGTTGACACATATCGGTTTGAGTATGGTGTATTCTTGCTGAACAAAGACATCGAACTGGTAAGCCATTGTCGTATCTGAAGGTTCAAGGTTATTCATCGCTGATTGTTGCAGCTGATGGCGGCAAGAGACCTTCGAGCTCTTGACATGCGGCACACCTTGCCTAACCTCAAGAACCTTTTGTTGACAATGAGCGATGGTGTTCCTCCTCTCAGGCGGTACGAACCTCATCTGTTTGTGCTTCGCATGATCTGAGTCTCGGGATTTGCAGCACACCTCTGGTAACGACCGACACTGAAAGCATTCTCCGATCACCTACGCTAACCGCCACCTCACTCTCATCGGCCCCGACGATTGTGGAGACATCGCCGACGCCACCTACAGATCAGTCTCAGAATGACACGGTGGTAACTCCGAAGATGACCTCAGAAACTTGTACACCAACTACGTCCGCTCCAAGCACTTTGTCGCGGAAATCCCGAACGTTCCTCGATCTCGCCCCACTGGCTGGTCTGCTAAGAGGTCGACATCCATCGAGCTCAAGAACTCCGTCATCAAGCGAGCAAGCGCAATCATCGGGCAATGACACTGACATTGATGCGGGCTCCAGTCAAATGCCGGATAGTCAAAACTCTAATGGTACGATCATCACAAGAACGCAAGACGATGAGGATGATCGAAGGACCATTCGCGGAGGCGGTGTTGAAGCGAATGCTAACACGATGGAGGGCAAAGAAATTGAATCCACTTCGAATCACTCAAATGGTTCCGCCACCTCTGCCTTGGCGAACGCAGCTGCGGAGAAGGTTGCTTCAGAACAAGTGCAGCCTGTCTTATCACAGTCGAGTGTCGGCTAATCCCTCGTCCGAATATTAGTCGAAGACCACGAGCGGTTGGTTGTGTCGGTTTGGCCGCCCTCACGATTACACAGTGGTACCTTCGTAGACAATACATACATCCGCCAAGTTCCAAGGAGTCCCAAACACTTTGCTCAGTGTTGTGGGTCGGAATATACTTCCGCAAAGGTACCGAAAAGATATACCCTGCGTCGATATGACGACGAATAGTGTTCGATGCGTTTCACGTCTGGAGAAGGGGGAACAGAAGGTTCGATGGAAAAACGGTGACCGCCAAAATGTAGGCCGAGAAGCGATTACATATGTTCGATTTTGTCGGTTCGTGTGAGGGACAGCAGATCCTTGCGAAGCCGAGCCTGTCGTTCATGATGAGAAGCCTGCGCGGATGCCGCCGACGTCTTTATGCGCACGAAGTTGAGAAAATTGCTCGGCTGGTTTCGCGGGTCCAGATTGCGTAGACCTCGTTCAGGGCATAAAGCAAGTTCTGAAGATGGTTTGGCTTATGCCGGCAATAATATGCCAACACAATCCGAGCGCAGAGGCCGCCGTAACCTTCTGATAAGCATTGGGGTAGAAGCGAACTTTTAGGTTTTTTTTTAATTTTAAACCTGCTGTCCAAGCTAGAAATGTGTGCAATAGCACTGCTCGCCAACTGTGACGAGAAGGATGAGCACTTATGAGCCTGGAAACTCGCAACAAAGCGGCAGCGGTCCGATCCAGAAGCGGGTGATGCCGAGCGAACTTTGTGACGTGACAAGGTAGAGTGTGACATTCTCCGGGGAAATGGTTTATTTTAGGTCCGAGGCGGGGTGAGAATACCATATGCGGAGATACTGACCCCAGAACAGGCGTGGAGGGCCGGAAACTAGCCCGATTGGGGGTGAATTGATATATGCGAGGCCGTCGGGAGTTCAAAAAGACGGTAAGCGACCGATACTTTTAGAGTTGAGCGAGGGCTGAGAGGTTGCTGCCCGTGTCCTGTACTACACCTAATACCTCCTCAACCCTCAACTCAGTATCAGTCTTGCTTTCGTCAGAATAATCGAGCAGCAGGTAACTCTCGCCGTTCTATGCACCCTGCTCACTCTTTGACTCGTCTTCAAAGCCCTTCTCGCCGCAGTGTATCACCATCAGTCCTTTTTAGACGGGCTTAAAACAGTGGCAGGTTCGTACCACACCATGCATGTCATTTCAGCTCGAGTACTCATACTATTCCCTACTTCACTTCCTCGTACTCATCTAGGATTACCCTTGTGCTATTTAGCTTACGCGTTCTCTTACTCTAACCGCTCTTGCTCAATCTGTTCTTTCGGTCGTTTTCATTTGGCACAAAAGTATTCACTTTCTATCGTCATTCTCTATGAGTTCACCTACTACTCCTGCCAATGGCCACTCCTCTGACGATGACAGAAAGCAGGGTCCCCCTGCTTTTCTTGACCTCGCGGATTCGGCAAGTCCGCTTGCTTGATGACTATGCCATCCATGCTCATACATCATTGATTCTAGGCGGCAAGATATGGCACTAATGCGAACGACATTTCTATCGTAAGTGTCATCTCCGTCTTTTCCACACACTTCTAAACCGTTTTTCGTCACAGCGTACCCTCAAGCGTATGGAACATGAGCGTCAGCGCGTCCTCCAGCGCAAGATGTTTGAGGACCAGATGCGGGCCTTAGAGCAACAACAGGCGAAGGAGTTGCTCACCATTCCTTTGGAGAACCAGCATCTCGCCGTCTCTGCTCCGACCACTCCTCCACGCATCAATGCTATCTTGCATAATGGAGAACACTCCCCTGGTCTAGGCTCCGGCCTTTCTCAGTCCTCAGTAGATGCAGAGATACTTTCGAGGGCGGTTGGGTCCGTTTCGGATAAACGCAAGTCTGTTACTTATGCACCCTCGGTGAATAACTCTCCGGAGAATGGTTCCTCCAACGGTCTTACAAGCTTCGCTCGTCCTGGAGGTGCCAAGAGCATGCCTGCTAGTAGGCGTACTTCAGCTAGCGAGCACGACGAAGACCTCGCCGGTCATCTTGAAGGATTGTCTCTCGCCGGCCAACGGGTCCCCACACCTTCGGGAAACGTTCCACAACAAATTCTGATTTCTGCCAACGGCCGATACTTAGGAGATGGCATTATGTACGGGAACCAGCTCAACGCTGGTATGATGTTGGATCAACAGTTGGATCAGGAGATGCATAGTAAGCTTCCAATCTTTTTTTTGTTTGTTTTTTTGGATTCATACTAATTCGTCAAGCAGATGCTATGCGTAACCTCCCAACATCTGATGAAGACAAGTTTATGCACGGTTACCCTCGCAAGGTGCATTTGATTGCTAAACGCTGACAAATCACAATGACTGATCTTGATGCATTGCAGTTGTCTACTTCATCGGCAGCATTGGACCTCGCTCCGCTGTCCCAGACGCCTTCTCGCTCTTCGCTCGTTGGAAGGACAGTTGACAACCGTGAAAAGACCTCTGAGTGGCCTCAGTTCACGGGCAACCGACGACCCGACGGTCGTAATGAACGCCGCAACGTTACCAACCCGACGCTTGGGGTCTCGGCGTTGAATGAGCTGTCTCCTAAAGGTTCGGGCACCGCTTCTGGTACAGCGACGCCACACATCCAGCATATGCCTCAGGGTATGATGCAAGGACTTTCTTCTCGCAGAGGCTCTCCGTTGGGAATGACCGAGGATATCATTACAACAGCCCGGTCTGTGCCAGCCACCCCTTTACCTGGCGGACCTGGGTCCACCCCTCTACTTAAAGCCCCGACGACGCCTCAGTCTGCAGAGGCTCAGAATCTTCAGGCTCTGCTCAACGCTCAGTCTGGCAGGAACCTCAACGAGAGCCCCGTGAGTGAGCTCCGTCCCTCTTTGACTCGTATGCCCTCCGCGCAATTTGATGCGGGTACCTTGGCATTCAACGCAAGCGTTGATGAGGCTGCTCAGGTACGCCACTGGACCGATATGGCAATAGCATTGACTCAACCTTTGATCTTAGTACGGCGTCGACGCTACTTTCGACGTAAACAACGCTATCGACAATGCTCGTTACGGCAGTTACGCGTACGACAACGCTCGTGCGCCGAGTTCAGCAGGTGCTGGTTCTACTGCCTTGTATCACCACAATGGGACAAGATACGGACTTGGTATGAACGGACGACCCGGTGGCGCTGACGGCAAGATGAACGGACTTCATGGGCCAAAGCACAAGCGAGGTGACATTGACAGGGAGTGTAAGTGTTCAGGCAGCGCTCCGATATTCGGGTGAACTTATTTTGACCATCGCAGTCAACCGATTTGCCGGCATGCGGCTCGAAGACCTCGTTGGCGAGATTCCAGCTCTTTGTAAGGATCAGCATGGTTGCCGTTACCTTCAGAAGAAATTGGAGGAGGGCGTTCCAGAGCATCGTGATATGATCTTCCGTGAGACATTCAGTCATTTCGCGGAGTTGATGACAGGTACATTCATTTCTTTCGTTCTCATTGGTTCATGCTTATACTACCTTCACAGATCCTTTCGGCAACTATCTCTGCCAAAAACTATTGGAATACTCTACCGATGACCAGCGGAACGTCATTTGCGAGTCGGTAGCACAGGACTTGGTCAACATCTCATTGAACATGCACGGAACCCGTGCGGTTCAGAAGATGATTGACTTCCTGTCGACGCGCAGACAGGCAAGTACAATCCTAATTGGATTTCTCTTATATCACTTACGGGAGGGCGATGGCAGGCTGACCCCAAATACAACGTCCAGATCCATTCCATTATTGTTGCTCTGAGCCTTTCTGTCGTCGTGTTGATCAAAGACTTGAACGGCAACCACGTTATTCAGAAATGCTTGAACAAACTTGCGCCCGAAGACAATCAGGTACGGGATTTGCGTCTTCTTCTATTGCGTCTAATCATAATACGCTCGATAGTTCATCTACAATGCTGTCGCTGCGAACTGTGTCGAAGTGGCTACTCACCGTCACGGTTGCTGCGTCCTCCAACGATGCATTGACCATGCTTCGGACAACCAACGCATCCAACTCGTCAACGAAATAACTTACAACGCCTTAACTCTCGTGCAGGACCCATATGGCAACTACGTAAGCAATCCGGAAAGCACTCCAAAATTGTCATTAACCCCTCTCATCTTAGGTTGTGCAATATATCCTTGATTTGAACGATAATCGCTTCAGCGATGCTGTCATTCGTCAGTTCACTGGCAACGTTTGTGCCCTGTCTGTCCAGAAGTTTAGTTCGAACGTCATTGAGAAGGTGAGATAGTCTGACATTCAATTGATATTTTTAACCTTACTCTTGATTATTCTATAGTGCGTCCGAGTGGCCGAGCACAACACGAGGAAGATGCTGATCGGCGAGCTTCTGAACCGAACACGTCTCGAGAAGTTGCTCCGTGACTCCTATGGTAACTATTGCGTGCAGGTATGTGATGTTCTTAGCGTGTTGCGGGTGACGCTCTAACGGCTGTTTTAGACGGCCTTGGATTATGCCGAGCCTGCTCAACGTGCATTACTGGTGGAGGGCATACGGCCAGTACTTCCCCTAATCCGCAACACACCCTATGGCAAGCGTATTCAGAACAAGTTGCAGCGTGAACAGGTTGATGGTTATGGTGGAGGATATAACGGCGGGATGCGCAGCCAGGGGATAAACCCTCAGATCGCCCACCAGCCCTTGCACCACGCTAACCACCTAGAGCCCTACGGTGTCCAGAATGGTCTTTATCCCCAGCAGAACGGTTCCAACCTCCATGCCCAGGGTGGACACATACATGCGCTCCAAGGACATTCCATCGACAGCTACGTGTTGCAAAATCATCACAATCACAGTCCCGGAATGACCCCTCCACATTCGCACTCTACTGGTTTCTCTGGCGTGCCTACCTATGCCAACCAACACGCTACCTTCCCTATCTCTGGTACCAACGGTTCATTGAATGACCATTACCAACAGCCCGCCTTTGGATACAGTATGTGAGGTCAGGTTTCCGTCGCATTCGCTGTCATTTCGTGGACATTTGTGCTTCGTCGAGGTTTGCTCTCCCGTCAAATTATATCTATACGCTTATAGACTGTTTGTTGGACAACCGACAAGCAACACCTATGGCTTATGTTCTCTCTTGTTCAAGCTAACTTTTTTGGTACTACCCCTCGGGCTTCGGGCGCTCGAAGATATCCTCTCCGTAATCCGCAATTGTATTCCACCCACATCTGCAATTCTCATCGCACCCTCGCTTTCTCTGGCATCTTTATTTCTTCTTTGTACAGCGTACTCTTTCACTTGTACAGCGTACCATTCAACACACATCATTAAACCTGTTTAGTTTGTTTCTATAGTATACATATCATCACCGCGCTATTGTCAATGTGTAGTTGTCCTGCAATCCATGGCTTCCGGTATTGGTCTTGTTGTTCATTTGTCGCCGTGCGTGGACGCAAGCCCGTGATCGAGGTCTAACGTCGGCCATCACGGCTGTTCTTATTGCCTCTGTAGTGGTTGACAAGAGGCAGTCGCCCTTCTGCAACGTGCACAGACTCCAAGGTTATATATGGCCTCCAATCAACTACTTGAAGCTATGTCCCATCGACGTTTTACACCGCTTGAGTACTTAGTCTTTGCTGGCCTACATCCTGCCTCCAACGTTCAGGCATGACAGCCTCGCTACAGGACGTCGTGGCATGGCTAAAACGCGAACTCAACTTCTTTCGTGTGCACCTTTTGTTCTTCTTGATTGTGCCATTGATATCTGCTGTCATCTTCTGGGCGGCCAATGGCAGATTCCACATTCGTGAGTTATCATAGCAGGAATGTGGACTTGACGTCGTTTAGTTGACACTTTGTGTTACTTCAGCTTTCATAGATGCCTTATTTCTGTGCTATTCAGCCCTTACTGTCACTGGTCTGTCCACCATCAACTTGAGCACATGTACTGCGTTTCAGCAGGCTATTCTCTTTTTTCTCATGTGCATCGGGAATGTGGTGAGCATCAGGGTGGAGCGTTGTATGGAGTTGCCATGTTGAGGCTTTATGAACATAGACCATAGTCGCATGGGTCATGGTCCTCATCCGGAAGCGTTACTTCAGACAGCATTTGCAAGATCGTCACGATAAGGAACGATTCCGAACTAGAGTCACCAAAAAGCTATTACGTTTTGCCCATTTCAATGGTTCACAGGGTCCCCAGATTCTTGTGAACGGGAATGATACGCAAGACCCAACGTCACCTGGAGCAATTCGCATAAATCCTGCTGATGGCATTGGTGCCGCGCTTGTGGCTGGAGGAGGCACTGAGATTGGCTTAGGGCTTGCTCTGGCGAAGATTCCCTCCCCTATCGACACCAGTGGACATCTTTCTCCGATGCGAAACTCACAGCAAAGTGACCGAGCCAACTTGGCCAACGGTAGATCGATTCTTTCGGATGATGAGGTTCAGTCCCCAACTTCACTAAGAGAGTCCATGGAAATTCCTGAAGCAGGAATTGTTGCCAATGCGCATTCATTCACATCTTCCCCTCGCTCAGCGGCAATGCCATTACAATACCCAATATCACCTACGTCGCACTCTGTCAGGTTTGTTGCGCTCCCACAATTGAGGCAGAGGCCAGGTAAGTATCTTTCAGGGTTTGGCAATATCCTACTCAACAACAACATCAGGTGTCCCTACGCCACGGCGACAGCGGACAATGATTATGCCTCCGACGAAATCAGATACACTGGATGCGAACGAACTCGGTATGCGAGGCAAAGATCAAGGTCTCGGCGGCTTTCCTGGACCCATCCAGGTGTCCGCGAAACTTGCCCACCGGTTCTGCCCCGAGCTCTATGCAAGACTTGAGAAGCTCTTGCGCAGCGATGGTGATAAAGGCATGAAGTGGCTGCAGAAGGAATTCGAGAATCTCATTGTTGGCCGAAATTCCAACTTCAACACGGATGAACTCGATGATGAGGATCTTGAGAAGCTCGGTGGTTTAGAGTACGTACTTCATCTAGGTTATTGGTCACCAGGGGGATCTGAATGAGTGTTGCAGGTACAGAGCCCTGCGTTTGCTGAGCTATTTGGTTTTCTTCGTAAGTTATGCCAGCATCCACTCCACGACGACATAGTTATCCATATTATCCTAGTACTTCGTCGGGACACAGCTCATTGCCTTCACTCTCATCGCGCCCTGGTTGGCTACCACTCACCAATACGACGATATATTCGACGCTCAACCCCGTCTCGTGAATAAACCATGGTATGATACTCACCAATAATGGGGTTTCATTTATGTATCTATGAAACTGACCTATGGCTCAGGTTTGTCGCCTTGTGGGTACACTGGCTGCTCCATGTATCCATCCCGTCTTACTTTGCGACTAGTCAGGTGGTCGGGGCTTACACAGGTGGCGGCATGAGTTTGGTTGACTCGTGAGTTTATAGTATGCTTTGCAGAGCAAGACTTGCATCTGACTGTTCTCAAGTGGAATGGTTCCATTTCAACAAGCGTACCTCATGCTCTGTGCGTGAATTGAATTCCACCGTACATGCAGCCAAAGCCCTGATGTGCGCGGCTGATGTTGACAGTTTCCATGATATTCGCAATTCTGGCTGGAAATCATGGACTGGTATGTTCATTGTTGTGACTCATTTGTGAATAATCTACTTCTTATCGCATGCGATGTAGCCGATATTGTGAGTGTCCCAACGTTTGCTGATGTGAACTCGTCATTTGCTTATAACCTCTTGCAGCCTTCGTCTATCTATGTGAGTTGTCAGCATCCGAAGATCGGCCTCAGTCTGATATTTTCTCAGCTGGATCCTGACGAAGTTTGTACAAGACGGCTCAACTGCAGATCAAACGTTGCATTTCCTTCTGGATCATCCTCGACGGTACGGATTATGGTCATCAATGATGATGACAGGATTCATCAGGAACACAGATGCTTCCTCTATCTATTCCCTTCACATGTTACTTGGTTCCTTACTGCGACTCTCGTCTTCTTCACGTGTGTCTTACCAAGCCTTGTCCAACTTATGACCTCGCTGACCCTTATTTAGAGCTATTGAATGGGCGTCCTTCATCGTCTTGGACATCGGACTAGCTGTGACACAATCGTTACCTGTCGGAGCTCGGGTTGTCGCTGGCCTATTCCAGTCTTTCGCTGTGAGAGCGTCTGGATTTGCTATCGTTTCGTTGTCATCTTTAGCACCATCTTTCCAGTAAGTTCCTCGTGTTCTGGAAAGTTTCCTGTACTCATCTCAGTTAGATTCCTGTGTATCATCATGATGTACATCGCTGTATATCCGGTGCGTCATGAGACATATTTATTCCGTGAGATTCACTGAGCTTAGTCGCAGGTGGCCCTGAGTATCCGCTCAACAAACGTATACGAGGAGCAAAGTCTAGGCGTGTTTGAGCTTCCACCAGAGGATGAAGACGAGGAGCCGGAGCTTGGAGAAGGACAAGGATCTCGGCGAGAACGTATTGGCAAGTACTTCGGTTGGCATCTCCGAAGACAAGTAGCCTATGACATCTGGTGGCTTGTGTGCGGTATCTTCCTCATTTGCGTGATTGAGCGAACCAAGATTATGGATGATAACAATGCTCCATGGTTTAACCTGTTCCGCATAGGTAAAATATTACACTTTCTCATCCTCTTAGATGCTAATCACAAGGATCACAGTGTTCGAGCTGGTCTCGGCGTTCGGAGGCATTGGGCTGACGCTAGGGATACCTACTGAGAACTTCGCGTTTTCGGGAGCCTTCGGCCCTCTGTCGAAACTTGTTGTTATTGTTATCATGGTACGAGGGAGGCACCGTGGACTTCCCGTTGCTATTGATAGAGCTAGTAAGTTTTGGATCATTCATGCGGTTCAAGTGACCTAATATCATTATGAATTATATAGTCCTCCTTCCATCAGATCTTGTACCTGCTAAGCAAGAAGGCGACACTTCCAATGCCAATGCTGAAAGTGGAGGGGTAGACAAGGCTGCTGACAGTGCAGAGAAGGGGCAGGCTCAATTGCAGGATAATGACCTGTCCGCGGGAACGACTCTAGAGAATGCTTGAATGGAGACAGGAATTTTGGAAATCTGGAGATTAGATATTTAACTCATACCCGTTGTAATAGCTATACCGTCCACTCTCTTTAGTCGTATATAACCAAGGATATTGTCTTGTTCATCACGACCCTATTACACTGGTGGTGCGGGCGTCTACAGATCCATGAGGCGGATGATCGAAGAGTGCTCTGTCCCATTACTTACTCTCATCTGGTCGTCTTGCATCTAGGCAGAACACTCTTATTCATCATCTAGTACCTATTTCTTCACTCAGTAACCTCTACAATGGAGCTAGGATCGAGTTCTGTCGGAAAACTGGAGCCATTTCTCCTGATGTCGAAATCGGCGAAGGGTGCTGCTGCCGCTAAACTGGTTCAAGATGCCACTTCTGCACCAGGCGTATTTGTATTCTCTGAGTTGCTTGAGCTTCCCAACATACAAGAGGTGTGCTCAGGACGATGATCATTAGATGTTAGGTGTTAATCTCATGCATGGAACTGCATAGCTAGCAACCAATGAACAACTTGCTAAGTTCTACACTCTCCTGGAGCTCTTTGCTTACCGAACATATACGGATTACCTTCGTTGAGTATATTACTGCTTTGAGAAACCGGACAGCCTGTTAATTCATCATTCGTTCCACCGTGAATTACAGAGCACAAGGACTCTCTTCCACCGCTGAATCAAGCACAAATTACGAAGCTGAAACATCTCACACTCATTTCTCTTGCTATGGATCGCCGAGTATGTCGCATTCCATCACATTAGATTTTGTACTAATCTCGCCACAGGTCCTTCCCTATGCCCAACTTTTACAGACCCTCCAGATGCCTACGATACGTGACTTAGAGGACCTTATCATCGACGCCATCTATCAGGACGTCATCCGCGGCAAGCTTGACCAGAAGGGGCAACAGTTCGATGTGGAGTACACTATGGGTAGGGATGTAGAACCAGGAAAGATCGAGAGCTTGCTCGTCGCGTTGCAGGACTGGTGAGTATTCCTTCAGGTTTTAGCGATATCTTTATCTTACTTTATTACCAGGGCATCTACTACTGCAGCAGTTCTTTCGACATTAGATGACAGATTATCCACGCTCACTAGACAAGCTGCGGCGGAGAAAAAGGCCAAGAGTGAATATGAAACCGTCTACCACAAGAATCTCAAGGAGATGGCGGACAAACAGAGAGAGGCCAAATTTAATGCCTCACGGGTGGGTGTCAAGCCCACCTTGCCTTCAGGACCCAGTGCGGCAGGATTGGCATTTGCAGAGAGGGAGAAGGAGCGAGAACGACTAGAACGAGAGCGGGAGCGGGAGAATGGCATGGACGTTGATGATCCCACCGATCCCAAGGGAAAGAACAAGAAGTGAGTTGTTGTTTGTCCCAGTTTTTTTGCGCAGGTGAATTGATGTCGCCCTTCAGAACGCCTGCCCCGGATCCATCGAAGAACAGGAAGAGGAACCGCTTCTAAATGTCTTCCCCGGTTGTTTGCCCCTAGCGCTATTTTGTCGAATTGTATCATTGTACTATTGTGCATTTGTTTCTTGTCATTGTATCACAATACAACTTGCATCTGGTTATCGAGTAGAGTTCCTCAGAGTTGTGCAGGCAGGCAATGTATGGTGGCCCCACGTGCAGCAACGACGCGTCGTATCGCGAATGAGCACGATTGTGGACGTGTGTCACCGATCGCGTTCGATCGCCACCATCACCTCCTGAACTACACATTAGAACACCGCGAAATGCTAAGTGCCCCTAGCCACAAAGTTGGTATCAATGGTATGTACAGTTTTTATTTTTCTCTCAGCTCAAAAGAAGAGTCATGACGCTGACCTATTGTAGACCAGAGGTATCGAAATATCCAGGCTTTGGAGCTTGATGGCGCAGCAGAGGAATACCTTTCCGCTCTGACTTCTATCGCGGACGTTCTCGGCCTTGAGGAACTTTCTTATGCAAGGCGAGTAAGGGTAGCGACCTTTTGTTTAAGAACTTTGAATCTTAGGTTTATAGTTGTTACGCTGCTGTGTCACGGCTGTCCCAAGAGGAGCTCTCCCTGAGACGGTCCATTCTTCGTCTAGAGGGTGCAGAAGAAGAACTGAACGATCACCTTGCACACACGAAATATGAGGAGGCTTTGATTCGCAAGTACTCCTCGGAATATTTCCTCTTTGCCGTCCAAAGCCGACATTGAGCATCTTGACTTCAGATGGAAGGACGAGCTCAACGATGCCGATTCAAGTCAGTCCACTGCTGCTTTGGAGAGGAAGAAAGCAACTTTGGCCGCGAAAGCAAGGGAGTATCAGAAGACTCTAGAGACAGTCACGGTTTGTTTCCTGGGACTGTTAGTGGTTCGCGTCGTTATCCATTGATGCGCCCAAACGTAGACGGAACTTCCGGAGACATCGATATCTCTTAGTGAACTATCAGAGATGAGGGAAGGTATAAAGAAGAAAGAACAAATACTCAAAGAGAAACGTGCCAAAGTTCAAGCATACCAAGGATTACCACCAGTGCGTCCCTCTTCAAGAATATACTCATATAATCTATATTGACATTACCCCTCAGAACCTAGACTTGGCCCGTCTTGAGCTCCAGAAAGCACGGCAAGAGCGAATGCAGCTCACGCAGCTTCGAGAACGGTTGCTCAGTTCAATGGCAAGCAGTGTTGCCTAGCTCAGACTACGTCAAGTGTTGTTGACACGACAGTCGCCTTGGCAAAGGGGTATGCAAGTCGAGTTTTTCATTATAGTACAGAGGGGGGAGATACTAATAGTACATGTACATGCGACGAAAGGCGGCATTTAGTTTTACTTCAAACACACAAGAAAACAGAACCAATGTGGAGGGATGGATAGATAGATGAATGGATGGACAGTCCAAACTGTGAGATATTCCAGGTCGATGTCCTTCACAAGCCCTGAAGCGAGTAACGTAAGGACAAACGGAACGCTTAGAGATAAGTGACGGATGAAAGAGCAAGCAGAAATAGAATAAATGATGTCGTTCGTTATACAGTGGTATGGCTCGTGGACGTGAGAGCATAGAGCACAGAGACACAGAACAGAGCATAGTAAGTAGCAGAGTGGAGAAGAGATATGAACACAGGAACAGGGTCCGCAAAACTTTTGGGTTGAGTGTTGAGAAGAAATCCGACCTATTGTACATTGTAGGGAATCAAACCAGACCACAGGATCAAGCAAGCTTGAATAGAGCCTTGGAAGACGACGGATATCTACTATGGCTGGATTAGACGTAGTGGCGATTGAGCAAAATGGAGCGACGTACGATGCTCTACTGATCGAAATGAGATGCGCCGCCCAGGGACGCCATCCAGATTCGCGTCTTGTACAACCTAGGCATATATCGTCAGACCTTAGAACTCACTGTCAAATCGAATCGCAGTAAACGCACCTAAATAATTCTCGAACAAGCTCTCGGAAATCGATCCGCTTTTCAGCGACGAAATAGAAAGTTAACTTCCGTCGATCCCTGTATTTACGAAACCGTAAGACACGATGGTCCTGACGTTCAAATATACAAGGAAACATACCATTGATACTCAGCATCAATGACTTCCATAGGTAACTTCCTTTGTCGCACTTTAGAACGACACAGCTCAAGTGCCTTTGCCTCGTCTTGCAACTTCGTGGTGAATCCCCTGCACAACAACCATGAGCTTTTAACCCCATAACACCAAAATCACTGAGACTTACTGAATATCTTGAGGCGAAGCTTTTCCGTATATCATCTTTGGATTAATATCTTTCACGCCTCCAGGACCCGCACTAGTCGGGCTCGACGGTCCAACCCCTCCATCCGCGACATTCATCAGCTTCTGCTGTTTCTGGAACGCTTCTACCTCGGCCAACGTTATGGTATCATTCACCACCTTGCCCAAATCCTTGCCTCGGTCGGCTTCTACGATCACCAAATCCCCGACGCGAATGTCTTGTGCAAGGTCGGTACAATAGAACAAGTCAGTACGACCCGCTTTGAACTCTACGATGAAGAGAGGCCAGGAAGTAGGAACTGCATGGAGAGGAACGCCTTTCCCGAGCTCGTTGATTGTTTTGGCAGCATCTGAAGGGCGACGTTGCAGTTGTGGCGAGTGACCTTGCGTATAGTGTGGACGCATACCCACAGCGGACATGGGCGAAGTGAGGACGCTTGCCTCTGGGATATGTTGAATGCCATGTCCTGGCACAAATCGAGCAGTAAGTCGAGAAACAGTTGCTTCTCGTTTGAGGTACTCGGATTCGAAACGGGAAGGACTTCCAGCGGAAAGTCCACTGTCACTAGGTGATCCGATGGCTTGACGAGAGGCGTACGAACTTCCACCTGGGATGTTCAAGTGAAGAGCCTGGTAGGGCGAAACTCGGTCTTGTGAAGGCGGGCTACGGGATAGGGGTGCATAGATGGGGAGAGAGGACGGTTGACTAGGTGGTTGACCCAGAGACGTCCGCTGGTGATCGTCGAGGTTGAGATTAAGTAACCCGAGGTCGCTTGCGAGGTCGTCATCGGTAAGCAACAAACCTCCAGCGTTGAATGAAGATTGGTGATACATTCGAGGGTGTGAAGAGTCTTCGTGAACGTCGGATTCAGGTGCGTTGAAGCCTACGACGGTCGGCCTACGTGGTTGTACGATGCTTACGCTATGTCGCCTACTTGTAGTCCCACTTCCTCCACCATGCTCCTCTCGTAACTGGTTGGTACCGGTCCATAGCTCTTTGAAAGCCGATTGGTCATCTAGAAGGATCTGGCCCACGTCTCGTACGAAGGGACTCATGTTAGAGTGGTCTGTAAAGGAGCTGGGATAACCATTCGACGGAGATCGGCCAAGCGTACCCAGCGAGCCATACCGGCTGGAGCCAGGAGGCTTGAGTTCACCATAACGGCCGGGAATGTTATGACCATTGGAAGTCAGTGCAGGTTCATTCCAAAGCCCTCCCGGGGCTCCCGGCATGCCAGGTCTTGTCGTTGCGATGGACTGAGACCTGCTGCGGGTGAGATCTGCAGCATAAGTGCGGCCTCGGAACATGGCATTGGATGGGCTACCATATCGATCATCGTAAGGATCCTGAATATCGGAATGCGCTTCTGATTCGTCATCTTCGAAGGTGGATGGAAAGGTGCGTTCGCGCATGGCAGAGGAAAAGAGGACCTGGGCGTTGGACGAGGTGGTGGAGAAGGAGGCGCTGCGCGTGGGTACAGACTGAGGAAGGGACCCCTGTATAGTGTTCGGATTAAGAGTAGAAGGGGGGAACCTTGGCCACGCGCCAGGGCCTCCTGACGCGTTTGTTCTGAGAGAAGATTGATGGGATGGAGAGGATGCGAGAAAGGCTGGGTTTGAGGAATGAGGGGGTTGGCTGGCAGCTCTGTCGCGGAGAGAACGAGAGGTTGGCGTCTCTGAGCCGTGCGAGGACAAGAAGCGGTTGGTGCGATCGGAATCATCGGACTGCTGCTGAGTGTGGGGTGAATGCATGATGCCAGAAGAGGGCACACGCAGGATGTAGTTGTGAACGTCGGCCAGGGTTGTTGTGGTAGAGCGAGATGAGCTCTACAGTCAGCGAATGCGCAGGCAGGGAATAGCAATGGGCGCCAAGACCTCTAGGTCGTAATTGTCTGTGGGTGAAGATGAGCAAGGGTGGAAACGAGAAGCACTGGGGTACGTACAAGACGTTTCTGAGCGTGAATAGTCGTTGTCGAATAGATCTAACCAGTATACAGTCTAGGGGTCGGACGCAATACAAGAAGGATCTATGTTGAGAGCACGGTCGTGAAGAGTGTCTAGGTGGTATGAAGACAAGAAGAGCTATCAATTACACTCTGAGGATATGTTCGAGAGAGAGAGCATGATGGAGAGGGCAGCTGACAAGCTTTGAGCAGCCATGGCTCGGGACTATCCCCTGTGTGCTTCCAAGGTCACAAGGATCGGCTAGCACCGCCTGCCCAGCACACGACCTGCTCCCGCTCTCACCCATTCACTTTCCTCCGTCTCTGCTGCTCTCGGTCCTGCCTCGCCTTTCATTTTTCACTCATGCGAATCAGACCTGAGAAACCATCATCCGAGCTAAAAGTCAATTCTATCTGTGCCTTTCCTCCTAATACCGCCGTGAACTGAAATGAAAGAAGAGAATCCATCCATAGCAGTCCATCTCATACATCAAACACTACCTCTGTCGCCTTGAACGCCGTGTTCCCTGGCCACACCTTGATCGGCACCTCGCACTCGACCATTTCCACCTTCAGCTCCCTCCATTCTTCCTCACTTCCAATCTCATCTGCGTCCTTTTCTCCATCCTCTGTCGCACCTTCATCGTCAATGTCCTCGTCCCCGTCATGATACCCAATCTCAGACACTCCCAACAAACTAGTCGTAAAGAAGGACATCCATGATTTCGCTGTGCTTGGCGACGTCGGCAGCAGCTCTTCGTTTCCATTAGCGTGTACCCGGGTGTCTGGTCGTTCCATCGGCGCAATACTATCTGAGGCCTTCCATGACGAGCCCCATTCACCTCTCGGTCCGTCCCGAACCAGATTCTTCAGCCGAACACCGTTTGCATCCGTACGTGACGTTGGAGAACCCACTGATACTAATAGACACAGCCTGACCTTCCATTCAAGCCCGCCTGGAGATGTTCTTGAAGCGGGAAAGTTGCTTGAACCTTGGACGTCTACTTGGAAAGCGGGACTTCCGTCCGGAGGTATGTCAAGGGAAAACGTTGTTCGTAGCATAGAAGCCATAAAGGACGAATGTTGTTCTGCATGTACTCTTCGAAGATGTCGTGAGTTGTTGGAAGGCGAGATGCATCCTGGTAATGACTCGTGTGCCTCAAGCAACGCTGACAACTTTGGATATCAAATTATGTCAATTTCACAGTTATCAGTCAGGATGATGTTGAACATACCTTGAGTACTCTAGCACGGCTCGTCCTCTCGTTGAGCTCAACAACACCGAACACCGGCTCTCCAAGCCTATACGCGCTCTTCGTAAAAGTCAACACAGCAACCTTCACACCATCTTTGTTGACGTCATACGACACTAGAAAGAGAGTACAAAAACCCAGTATGTCAGTAATCGGAACCAGAAGCAGTAAAGTCAAATGGACAGCTAGCGTCGATCGAATCATACTAAGCAGGGAAACGACTCGATCGTGTTCACCGTTTAGGGGCTCAAATCCCCAGTTTAAACTTAAACACGCACGTTTCTTGGGATTCCTCGTCAAGATCTCCACAGCCTCTCGACATCCAGACACGCTCTCCTCATCTCTCGTCTCACCCTCGCCTAGCCTCACAATACCTGCTGCACTCAACACATCGAGATCCGAGTCTCGGGTCCGAGCTTCTTTCGTGGCTGATAATGACACAGGGGCTATCGAGTATCGCGTACTGGAACTCGACGGTCCTATGTTTTGGTCCACCGGTCCCATTGTGTCGGATGCGGCGATAGGCGGACTGGAGGGAGTTGCGGATGCCAAGAGGGTACGTGCGTAGGCTTGGAGGTCTTGGTATGACGTTCCCGTAGTATTCGATTCTGCATTGCAATTCAGTGAGTATCAAGTTAAGGCATTCATTCGATGCATGTACAGAGCAAGTGAAACGAAGCGACTAGATACTGACCTGGAGGTTTACCATTTGGAGATGACATCGTTGGTGGCCGTTGTGAGTTCGCAGGATTGTGTTCAATCACTTTAGCCAAAGGCTGTAAATGTCTCTGTTTGCGAGACTCGACTGGCCATAACATATCATATGGTGATGGCGGTCTCCCAACTGAACACACAGATAAAACATGCGATCAGTATTCTGAAACTCTGATACAGGCAAAGCTTACCCATGACGTGGTTATACACGCGTATAGGTACTTTCATCACCCGACTTCTGCTATTCCCACTCGCGGAGGAAGGAGTAGAAGAAGAAGGAGACGAAGCTGCTCGACAGATCCCGAGGATGAATTGGTACGAGAACTTCAGTGCCCGTCCGCGGAAAGTTGGCGGGAGATTCTCAGGCAGGTTGATCGTATATTCATCTGAAAAATCAGGAAAATTTTAGTTGTGAGGACGGGTAAGAGGACAGTTCGAAAATAAGTAAGAAAGTACGCGTCGAGAAAACTTACTCACAGCTACGTGACTCCCCAGGCCCCAAACTCAAATCCACAGCTAACATTGAAGGTTGGACTTCAAACGTCGGAAGTGGGACGTCAGGATCGATTAACTCCTCATCAACCGACAAACCCAATCCAAGTCCCGTCCCTCCATCTCCAATGATATCAACAGAACTGGACGAGGAGGAAGAGAAAAACCCTGCAAACATGCTCGGTGTCCGGGCCCGATGTCCAGGTGTCCATCCTTGTGAGCTCGAGCTGACAGCAGGTGCTGAACTTGAAGGAGACAGTAAGGACAATATCCCCGTGGAAAGGGAAGCTGAACGTCCATGTGAGACTCTCCGTACAGCAGAAGGTCGAGTTGTACCGGGAGGTGAAAGGCCGCCTGCACTAGTCAAATCCATACTTCCACCACCAATGGCTTGTTTCTTGAGCAAGTTCGTACGAACTGCATGTAAAGTTCTTGTTTGCTCGGGTGTCGGAGATGAGCCGGGAAGTGGGGTTATACTCAACGTACCAACCAGTTGGGCGTAAGAGTACAAGATGAGCTCTGTGTTTGCCGGGCGGAAGGTTGAGGAGAAGGACGTTTTGGGGCCGTTCTGAGCTGAAGCGTTGGGTGGGGGACCGTGCCCTAACCCGAGGTGTGCAGGTCTACGTGGGGGACCATGATGGTTTGGAGGCCGTGGAGGATATGAATGTCCAGCTTCCCCTTTCTTAGGTGTCGCACCCGTGATCGTGACACTAGGAACTTGTGGTATTTTAGGGAGTTGTGTCCTAAAGTCTGCTGCTGAAGTCTCAGGTATTGGACTCGGGAAAGAGGGCGTTTTGGGTGGGAAAAGGCTTCCATTGCTTTCTGCTATTGGATCAAGAGACAGTGAAAAAGTGGAAGTGGATGCACTGGGTGTAGGTGCTGGGTTGAAGGGAGAGAGAGTAGGTGGCGGACGAAGGTCTTGTAATTGTAGTTGACCGTCCAGGAGGGATTGCTTTCGGGCATGGGGATGGTTTAGAGGCACAGAGGCGGAACGTGCAAGAGGGGAAGATATCCGTGGAGAAGTTGGTGCTATTTCATATTTCAGCATATCGATACAGTAGCACTGTGACGTAAATACTCACTACTGTACGATCCGTCTTGAGCACGCAAAGGTCGAAGAGGGGACTTGCCTTTCACGTCTTCCTGTACTTGTAGTTGACTAGATAACTCATCTGGAGTTATTGACACCGACAAGGATTTGGTGATTGGAGGCCTTCTAGGACCCTGAGATGTCGATCCTTCTATTCGGACATCATCCAAACTCTTGGACGCCTTGGTCCTCGCATCCCCATTCCCAGCACTCCCAATACCAATCAAGCCCCTTCTAACATTCCCACTCCCATTCTTCTCCTGCTTCCCAGAAAACACAGCAGTATAGGGTAATGCCGTCCGAATACCAGGTGAAGTAGGTGGTCTCGCCAGCGGGACACTACTGATACTATGTGCGCCGCGTTTATGTTGGCCTTGGACGTGGAAGGAGGTACTTGTGTGAGATGCGGAGCGAGGAGGAAGAGATTCGGGTGTGCGTGTGTTGGTGATTGTGATATGTACACTGAAAGGTTCACCGGCAAAGTAAGACGGCTGAGAGGGTTGAACGTGCACTCGGATAGGTTCGTCTATGAATGTTTCGGAAGTCGACGCAGGCATACTGTATTTGTAAGTTAAGGGTAGAGATCCCAGATAGCGAGCTGGAGATGGATGAGCTTCTAGTTTGGTACGTGGATTCGTGAGCTTGGAGTGCAGGACCAGAGGATGGGTAACTGCCAAGGAGCATTCGGGATTCGTATAAGCCTGAAGTCAAGTGGCGTCGTTAGGAGACTAAAAGACGTATATAGGTCATGGGATGGGAGCTGAGAGAAGTTAGTGAGATGGGAGAGACATACACGTATGGTGAGAAGGAGGAATGTCGGGATCCGGTAAATGAGATCGCTTGGGTTCGTGTGTTCACAGGATAAAGTCCAATGCTCCTCTAGACAAGACGAGAGGCAGTAAAGTAACGTACAGACTGTATTCGTACACGGATTGAAAGTCAAGAATGTGGAGAGAGACGTGCCAGCAGATGAAAGCAGAATACACGGTTCAAACCAAATGACAAGGTTTGACCCAACTGCATGATATCACACGCATCTCGATCACGCCTTCTCGCTTTGAGCAGCTTTCTTGTGAACTACATCTTGCTAGATACTCGTTTTCTGTTCTATCGCGTTGGCTCTATCACATAGCCTTGCAAAAATCGTTAGGAATGTACTACTGTACTGATCTACTTCACTTAGAATGGCTCTCCGTTCTCGCGCGTTCACTGGCATATGCATTTCATCATAGCGGTGACTGAAACAGGACCTCGACCGTGGCAGACAAATGGCATATGCCAGCGGTGGCTATTGGTCCTGTGTCACGTTGACGCAGGTCAGCTTGCATAAAGTGTCAAATGAAGTTCTATGTCGTGGGTGCGTTCTATGCTGAGTCGTCAATGCAAATCTCTAGGCTGACGTATGTATGCTGGTCCATTCGTTCGACACGTTCGGTTTGTTGTTTTTCGGATAGTAACAATGAACGCGCTTACCGTTGAAGAAGTTGGTCCCTTCGCCGTACAGTGCACTTGTCAAGCAAGTAGACAGCAGCCGTCGCAAACACTCCAGATTCTAGACTTTGAGGCGTACAGTGGCTTGATTGTTGGCCCTAGCTCTCGTGCGCACGACCCGATGTCAGTACGGACGATGCCAATGAGCTTGCAATGATAAGTCTTAGTAGGTTCTGATGATCGATCAGGCTTTCGATGAAGGAGGTATACTTATTGATTAACAGCTTCAGTATCGAAGACTCCAGGTGTTGTATACATGCGAACGCTTGAATTCAGAAGTGTACTATCAAGTATCTTTGAGCCACTTCAGAGTCATGCATTAAAATCTACCTCTTTGCGCAATATGATTGGCGTCATTATGATGGCTCTCGATATATCGAGAAGAACGGAAGGCACGATTGTTTTGAACGTTTCCGCGGACTTGAGGCAAGCCACTGTCTGTACCGAGGGTCGCTCCGAGAACTTTCCGCAGATATCGGCCCTGCACTTGTTGTGCATCGGCCACATTCGATACGATTATCAATCCGATTTGCAAGGTGGCGCGCCCCGATTCTGTCCTCCCTAACATATACGGTTCGCCACACAATGGAAGGTATATTGCCGTCAAGGATGAAGCAATCCATCCGCATATTCACATGTTCTAGCCAAAGCAGATTGGTGGGCAACATCTTGCGCACAAAACGGGCCTTCCACGATACTTCAAGTACGTTCTAATCAAGTTGTTGATGAAGGACTAACAGGATTAGTCTCACGAAGTTGACGGTATTTTCCGGTCGGGTGTTACTGATATGTGAAGCCGTGACCGGGCAATGTACAATGGCTCGTAATAAGGATATTACTCGGATGGGTGGGGTCCGCGGGTTCGAACAAGAGCGAGAACTAGAGGCGTGCAAACGTATTGACTCTAAACGCTAAGCATCGCGCCGGTGTATTTTTGTGTATGTTTGATATTGAAGACGGATTGGGCAAGCTGATGGCTATTACAGATATGAAGGATACACGGGCTGCCAAAGGACAATATTGAGATCATGACGAGAGCACGGGGAAGCTGATGGTTCTCGTATTTCTTCGGGAGAGCTTTATGGTGTTGGTAGAAGAGAAGCACTTGCCGGGGAGGTCAATAGCAGGCAGGCGTTGGTGGCAACGTGAATCGAACCACGATACATGCCAGAAACGGGTATGTGAATGGCCCAAAAAGGAAGGTGAGAAGCGTTGTGGCACTTTGATCAGGACAAGTGCACGTCGCTGGCTGCCATTTTTGTGATTTATGCGTGCAGGATCGGTCAGAAGCATCCCCTTCCTGGTCTGCTTTATAGTCTTGGGTGTCGCTCACCGTCTGGGTTGTCTCCCGACCACCACCATCTCCCGTCTTGTTGTCTAGCATGTCTTTCTCCTCAGACATCTCCCGCTCTCCGCCCTTTTCCCTTTCCGATTTTCAGCATCTCGTCTCTACCGCTTTCGACCTGCCTCCCAACGACGTGACTTCACGCGATCACCACACTCCTTCTCTCAATCCCTCTTTCGCTGAACCTTCTTTTACACAGAGCGTAGACTCTCATGGGCCTATCAGTCCCAGTCCGCGTCCTGCATCTTCTTTCTCTCACCTTCGTTCGTCTTCCAGGACTGATCGTCCTCGCACTCCTTTTGGTATCTTCAAATCTATTCGCACTCGCGCGTCTGCTCTCCTTCGTCCCACCGCTCCTTTACCTTCTCTTCCGCCTGCTATTACTCTCACCCCTTCTTCGCGTCCCTCCACAGCTCGAACTGCCCGTCCCTCGGTCTCTTCCCAGCGCACTGCCATTCTGCCTCTCACTCAGGTTGATTCCAATTTTTCTCGTCCACGAACACACTCGCTTCCAAAGTCCTTTCTCAGGCTGCCAAAGCGTGACATCCCTCCACCCCTGCCGTTAAAGCCAGAAAATTATGCGTCATTCTTTGACGATTCTGACTACAACGGGACCGCAGTCTACCCTCGTTCGCACTCTTCAATGTCGCGCGATCGTCTCCACATCCACACCCGTCTCCCTCCTTTGCGAAAAGCGAGGCCTCAAGTACCTTCTTTCTTTAGCAAGCACTCCTCCAAGTCCAACGCAGACGACGCAGACTGTGCACCACGCTCATCTTACATATTTGGCCAGTCGCTCAACGATCTCGACTACAACTTTGAGGATCCTCGTTGTCCTTCTCCCTTCACCTCGCCTAGGGATGCTCCTCAACCCCCTCCAATGCTCGAGGACGAGTTGCAGGTACCAGCTTATGTGTTCGATCGTCGCGGCAGTGATACGTCCACAACCACCACTGTAAGTAAAACTTCATATATGCCCCATCTTTCCAATGTCCTAACCCTCGTGTATTAGTCAAGTGTCAGAACGACCTCGACTTTGGCAGAGAGGTTTTCGAACGCATTCCCAGTTTCTTTTTCTCTTCCATTCGCCTCCAAGTCTCGTTCTAAACTCCATCTCTCTATCGCATCTTCGTCACCATCCACTGCGTCAAGTCACTCGACATCATACGGAACCCCCATCACACCGCTTTCGCCTAGCTTCCAAAGCACGTATACTTTTCCTATGGCGGCCGAGATAGGTCAAGTTGGAGCCAGCTATGGCATCATCATTGAGAACAACACTAGTCGGGCCAGTTTCGCGGAGACCCAACAAGAGGCCCTTGCAATCGGACGCGTCCTCACACCAGAGCAAGATCCATTCGCAAAACCTGACATTGATGTTGAGGATACGACGCTCAAGCCTCTCCTGTCGCTTGATGACATGGGACGGAAGCGTTATAGCGGCAGGAGCTCAAGGAGAGGGTCTGCACAGAGTGAATTCGTTCCCCGACGGCACTCGAAGATGGACCGTCCCTATTACACTCCTCCTCACAGCCGAAGTTTGGGTCCGTGCAACTTCCCATATGCCACTATCTCACCAACATATACCTTCCCTTCGTCTTGCGATGTATACCCCGCTGACATTTCTGATGCGTCTTTTGCTGTTCCGCCTTCGCCTTCCAGGAGCGTAAGGAGCACATTGAGCCAGGCGGATCGTAATCACCCTCCCTCCGCATGGTCAACTTATTCGTCCCCCATCATGGGTTGTGATGCTTCTTTGGCGTCACAGGAGGATGGCAGTGAGCAGGACATCCAGATGGCCGATTTCCCCTTGCCACCTGCCAGTATCTGCGGTTTACCGCTGGGTACGAATGCAGGTCCAGCTCCGAGGCGACCTCTGCCTCACCCCCCTATCACATCTTTCTCTGCGTCCTTGCCTCCATCACCTATAACCTCACTCAACGGTTTGGGATTGGAGTCATTTGACGGGAGCTCGAGTGCTTTGGCTCATCGCATGCATGGTCCTCATTTACCTTTGAGGATCGGACGCAGGGACCGCGGTTCCTTGAAATCTCTACCACCTGTCCCTAACGTATACGAGGTTGAGGAATGTGATCTTTCATCCGGCGAATTCTTGTTGAGATCCTCGTCTGGCAACAGGCCAGCTTCACCTTTTACGTCGAACAGACAGTCCAGTGATGGGAGTTCCAAGACGTGCATATTGCAGTCTAATGAGTCTCGGAATTTGACGTCAGGGCGAGACAGGGATGGGGAATACGAAGCGACCTTGGATGATTCGTGTGTCTTGGGGAAGGACTTCCTTGTTGGGCTCAGGTTGCGAGGTGTTGAGCAGCCTGAGGCATCGTTCGCCGTAGTTGAAGAGGAACAACGGTCTTTTTTCTCGGGCTCTAGCGAGGAAAGCGTGATATGCACGAGTGAAGAGGAGGACATTGACCGTAGCATTCAGGTAAGCTCTTTCTTACAACAATCCAGGCATTTAGGACGCTGATTCGTTCACCAGGATCTTCTCGATGATATGGTGACAGACAATACTGTTACACCCGTCAACTTGCGATCTCCCAGCGACCCTGTTAAAGATAGCACTGTCCTACCCGACCACCAGGAGGACGATGCGCTCGACACATCCAGCTTGCTTTCCGCGTTGCCCATCAACGACGATGATGAGGATACCGTCCTGTTCCCCCGTATGCGTTCTGACTCTTTCGACGGCATTGACACGGAGACGGAGAACTGGGATCGCAACACGTCGCGATCCACGGCATTCTTCAGTGCTCGATCCAGCTTGTTCTCATTCACCTCGACGAGACGCGGGTCTCCTGATTCTTGGGGAACTGCGAGGGTGTCGATGGATGCGGAATAGCGATGTTGTCAGTGGTTTCTCGCCCTCCTTGAATCGCTCTAGTTCTTCTACTATCACTTTCTTTTAAGGACTTTAACTGCATACCATTCTATTCTTTCACGTTGGATACTAGGGCACGCTAGCTCAAGGTTTTCGCTTTCGCGTTTGTTTTTCATCGCTTTCTTGGAGGCATTACAAGTCTACGATGTATAATCTGTGTAATTTCTTTGTACTGTGGGTACTCTACTCTGTCTTTACATAGTCGCATTTACCTTTGGTCTCATTTGATGAACATTTGATACCCTTTACCATTTGTGTGCGCTATGACGCTTTGCTATTTGTCGTGGTCCTCTCGTTTCGTATGCTCGAGCTCTTTGAGTCTCGGTTCAGATACCCAATGTGCAATAGTGAAGAAAAGCATGTAGACAGATCCTTGTCATTCCTGACCCGCAGAAATAATATCATTCATACAAGTCGAAAGATCGAGTCACAAGAAAGCTGATCAGATTAGCGAGGAAGCGTTCGAGCGACTTCATCATACATGTCTGGATACAAACGATCCTCATCATGACTTTCTCCCGAATCTGAGCTAGCGTTCCACCGAACATGTGTGCGACCGGGTGGAGTTGGTGTCGAGAACGACAGGAGAGGGAGTGGTGACGGCCGGGGGTAGCCAGATAAGACCTCGTCCTCCGAGGCTTCGTCATACTTCTCATTAAGTGACCCGGGCTGCGGAATAGTCTGCTCATTATCACGAGCGTGAGTGAATCTACTGTATATCGGTGTCACCGCTGGTCTGGAGGCACGAGCTGGGGTGAACGGTTCGCGGGTTTGTTGGCGAGGTTGGCGCTGAGGTTGCTGGTAGTGGAGGCGGGGAACATAGACTGTGTAGTGATCATTGTCATCCCGGTTCATGGACGACATACGAGTTGGTGTCGGAGTCTCCCGCCTCTCTCGTTCATCGACATCTCGTCGCCTACCACCATCATCACCTCTACGTCTACTTCTAGCTTTGTGATTGCCGAAAGCAGCTTTCCAAATCATCGTCGGACACCGCGTGATACCCGACGCTCTTGATAAGGAACTTGTCGCTTTCTCGCTCTCGGCGGATCGTTCGGTACGGAGTCGACGGCGGTGGTAGATGAGGAGGACGATGGCGCAGAGGGTTATGGCTCCGACTAGTGAGAGTGGGACTATGTAGGCGGCGGTTGGTATGGAGATGTGAGTCTGCATTAGGTTGGGAAGGGGTTGGGTATTGGCATTGAGATTCGGAGAGATCTGAGGTGGTTGAGCTACGCCATGGGGGTCTGGGGAGCTTTGAGATTGAGGATCAAAGGGAAGCGAGGGAGTAGGGTCTCTGAGTGGTGGGGCTAAGGAATCGGAGTCGCTTGTTGCTGCTGAAAGGACATATTGGGATTGTATGGAATTGTTAATATGGAAAGACCTACGACTTAGGGAGAACAGGGGAGACGGGACTATGTTCCCTTCCTCGTCTTGCATTTCTAGGTAGAAGTCGGATAGCGCGGTAACGCTCGGTGCAGCGCTACATAATAGCATGCAAATGATGGTCAGTAGGACTCTCGAGCACCAAGGGTATAGAAAAGAATTTACAGGGTAACTTCATATGAGCCGTTCGATTGCTGCACCGCCGGCCAAACGGCGGTCCCACAATTATCATCTTCACTACCAGTGTTCTCGCCAGAATCGGGGTCGGGTGTTTCTTGAGTTGACGGAGAGCATAGTCGGAAAACAGGTGAAAGGATAGCTTCGGTCACAGACCATTGGCCAATTATAGACTGGCCCGACTCATAGACGTCTCCTTCGACGGGGCTTGACCACGTCACGTTAGCTACAGCCAGTGTATTTTGAATCAACAGGAAAGCTGGGAGCAGCGTTGGGAGTGAATATTTCGCTGCTAGCATAGCAGGGTGAGAGTGTGGGGCAAGAGGCTGTCATAGCAGGATGGGTCTGCAAATGTGGAAAACCCTTTAGTGGCGAGGCTGACAATGTACGCAGTACGGAAACGGAGGATAGAGCGTTGTAGCATGGCTAGTCCGGATTGAAATCGTGCAGGGACAGGAATCAACAGTGGACCAACTTGGAAGTGCTCAGCTCCCAAAGGGTGTTGAAGCCGTGGAATCCACTTGCATGTCTCCAGGCCCAGTAGAGGGAGAAGAAGTGATATCCTGCAATGAGGCTTGAAGAAGGGCACTGTGACAGATAACTTTGAGATCACTTAGACAGGGACTGAGGACCTGATGAATCTTACTGCTGAGTATTCTTCATGGTCTCTAACATCTCAATGATACCGTCCTGCTCCTCGATAGTTAGCTGACCTCCTGCAAGGTTCGTCGCAGCATTCTTTGCCTGTGCAATGCCATCTTTGAACTCGCTAATCTACAAAGAACCATGTCAGAATGAGCTACTACGCCTGATCCACTTTCTACTGACCACTTTTATAAGTGCCTGTCTGTTCTGAGGCGAACTGGAGATATCTGATTCACACAAGAGCGCGATGATAGCCGTAAGCTTGGGTAGCAATCCTTCGTAAAGTGCGGTTGACATGGTGGTAGTGGAATAGCGCCTATTTTGCGCCTATTGAAGTCGGACTCTGTCCTAAGTATTATTTGTGTGCTGACTTTGACAGTAGCCGATCGCAGTGAATATATATAATACATATACATTCCGATATCCACACCATTGTCATGTATAATGTACAATTCCCTATAGATATAAGCTAATATAAAGGTAGCGCAGGACCAGCCAAGAGCAACCAAAGTCCACAGTGATAAGCCCTATAAGTGTAACTTCTTCAGAAGATGCGAAGCATGAGCGGACCAGCTTTCGTGATGATGACCACCACCGCCACTATCACCTTCATCTGCGGCCGATGGCTTATTAGATGTGCCTCGAGTACTGAAGGATCCTGGGATCGCTAGACTTCCATCGGAGTCGTACGCTTCTTCGTCTGCCAGACTGCTATCTTTGGCGGGTTCTAACTGTTCCTCGTTTGTTGGGCCTTGTTCGCTTGCAACGTAAGTGTGGTGGTCTTCATTATGATCATCACCGGAAGGTTTAGAGTTGGGAGAAACAGTGGAAGACCGCGCTGAAGGTGGACCTGAGTCCTCTTCTGGAGCGGTGATTTGGACGTGTTCGTTATGACCTGGAGACACCGGCTTTGATAGCGAGGGGCGGAGTCCGCCCTCATCAGACTCGTCATCGTCATCATCATCGCTATCTTCACCCGTAGAGGTCTTCCAGCCACCGCTACTCTTGGTGGCATTGCTACTGAATGACTTCGACGAACCAAACCGATGAAGTGCACGGGCACCTGCAATAGCGGCACGCCATCGGGCCCGTGGATTGAAATTGTCTCGGAGTCCAGTCAAGTCGTATTCGTGTGACGCATCGGATGTTGTCAACCACTGAGAAGGACATCATGTCATTATCAAGCAATGATATGAAACTGACTTTACACGTACTGTATGATTCAATGCCTCTTCTGCCGATGGTCGTTCAGCAGGGTTTGAACTGAGCAGATATTTGATGAAGGACTTCGCTACACCGCTATGTTAGCAATGAGCTTCAGGCAGAAGACCGAGTCGTGCGAACCCTCGGAAGAAATGTTCTTCCAATACCGCTCATGAAACTCGATATTGGCGTCTGTGGTCTCCCGAATGAGTTCTTTCATATCCTCCGATCGAAACGGGGAGTAGCCACAGAGGAGAACGTAAGTTATGATACTGTGAATCAATGAGTGAACAGTAATCAAAGCGGATAATATGGAAACACACACCCCGTTGACCAGACGTCGACGGCCTTTCCGTGCCCTTTTTTGTTCAACACTTCAGGCGCAACGTAGCCAAAACTTCCGGCAAGCGAATGTAGTTGCTCATCGGGGGAATGCAAATGCTTTGCGCTGGACAGGACAGGACCATTGGCCTGAGTTAATCAACAATCTTTCTCTTCATGGAGAGAAACGGCTAACATGCCAAAGTCCGCAATGACGATGTCAGAGTCGGCATCCTTAGTCCGGTAGAGGATGTTTTCTGGTCTAACATATGATGAATACCGTTAGTTACAATAATGTAGACTGAATGAAACTGGACGTACTTGAGATCACGATGTACGATGTCGTGGTCATGTAAGTACTTCACACCAGAGAGAATAGACCTGTATCCAACAGAAAGCGCAAATACAACGTGCTCGGTTATCAACTCAAGGAATCATACATGTCAACTAAGCTCACCTCACGACGACTACTGCGTCAGACTCAGTAAATTTCCCTCTTTGTGTTATACGTTCAAACAGCTCGCCACCAATGGCAAGTTCGAAAGCAAGGTAATATTTAGATCGAGATTCAAACCATTCATAAAATTTGACCTGCGAAGTCATTGAACCCTCCAAAAATATGATAGAAGATCGTTCTACGCACAATATTAGGATGATCGAGACCCTTCAGAACTTCCATCTCTCCCCAAACGCTACTCTCGTTTCCCTTCACCTTCTTCTTTGGAATAACCTTCAAGGCCACCTCAACTGTTATTTCGTCATCTGTACGAGTCTTCTTTGAGTTATTTGCTTGACTGGACGTCGACTGGCTGGACGCTGCAGATGTACTGGAGAAAGTACTTGTACGCGAAGGTGGTTTGTGTACGTCGGGGGATAAGGCAACCGCTGCACCTCGGCGGGCTATTGGTATCTGTCCTGGAGGTACGTGCCATGTTGCATGCTATAGGCCAGTTCTGAGTGACAAGGAGAATATGACGTGCGACCCAACTTACCATCACCTGTCCAAAAGACCCCTTGCCGAGAACTTGGTGTATCTCATAGAACTTTTTCTTTGAGAAAGAAGGAGGTTGCGGAAGCAGCGAGTCTTTAAGGCTTTGCATCGCACGCCCCGTCGCACGAAGAGCTGGTATTATTACTTAAAAGTCGACTGTAGGTTCAGGGCAAGGGTACGGTCCAAATGAACGGAGCATTACCACTTACAAACAGAATGTTAAATATTTATACATAAATAATCATTGCCGCTGCCCGGCACCACTCGTAACTTGTACCCCCGCATGTCCCACCTGGACCTCACTACTTATCCGGCTAAATAGGCTGGCAGATAGACATTGTTAGGCAGTCTAATTAGCCTTCACTGCTTGATATCCCCCTTGCATGAATATCACCCCGCTGATCTCTATATTTCCCTTTAGAGAAAACAAGTTCTGGGGGAGGTTTTCAGGGGCACTAAGAGATCTCTGCAGAAATAAAACATATGAGATAACAGACCAGAGTCCAGACCCCAGCAGATTCTGGCAAGGCACCATGCATGGTCAGTGGTGCTTAGGCTCTCAATGTGTGCCTAGTCATGCTTAAGCTCTCAATGCGCCTTCCCCTTGGCGCTTGACTCCCCGCTGCCTGCCCCTCCAGCGCTTGATCCTGCCCTCATTGGGAATGGCACCCCCATTCATCTTGCCAACAACACCGTCATCTATACTGCTGGGATGGGTTCTGTGCACTTCGTGCCACATTCTGGGGGTCAGAGGTTGCGTACTGTGGAGTTTAGTCGAGTCCTGCATATCCCTGCGCTAAAGAGCAATCTCTTATCTGTCCTATACCTCATACAAATTCATCATTTTCATGTGCACATTCATGGTCGACATATGGACTTCAAATACAAGGGTGAACTCACTTTCTATGCCCCTATAGATGAGTCTAACACTGCCTACATCACTGGAGAGGTCCTGCCTATCACTCTCTATGCCAACACTACCTCTTTGTCCACCCTTCCTCTCACACTCGATCTCTGGCATCGCCATCTTGCTCACCATGGTCTAGACAGTGTCAAGATGCTGATTTTGCATCAGATGGCCACTGGTATCAAGCTTGAGTTGTCAGCAATGCCCGATTCCATCTGTGAACCATGTCTATCTGGAAAGATGCATGCCAATCTCTTCCCATCTTCAACCTCGTCTGTCTCCACTACCTGCGGTATCATCTACTCGGACGTCCATGGCCCTGTCGATGTTCAGACCTTTGGTGGCTTCTGCTACTGGGTCACATACATTGACAGCAAGTACAAGTACCGGGTGGTTGTGCTGATGAAAACCAAGTCTCAGCAGTTTGACGCCTTCAAGCTCTACCATGCTTATGTGCGCAACAAGGGCTTCAGGATTGAGATCCTGCAGGATGACAAGGGAGGCAAGTACATGTCCAAGGAGATGGATGCTTACTGTGTAGAGCATGGCATTGTGCGCCGCCATATGGTGCACAATAGGCCTCAGCAGAATGGCACTGCTGAGTGCTTCAATCACCTGCTCCAGGAGCGCATCACTTGCATGCTTACCGAGGCTAACCTACCATGCCAGTTCTGGGGAGAGGCTCTCAATGCCTTTGTCTATGTCATCAATCGCTGTCCGACTTCCTCTCTCTCTGGGATCACCTCATACGAAGGCTGGACTGGACAGAAACCTGACCTCTCTCATCTCCGTGTTTTTGGCTGCACCACTTATGTCCATATCCAAAAGAACAAGTGCTCCCACCTCAGACCCCACATAGAGAAGTGTGTCTTCATTGGATATTCAGAGGGTTACAAGGGTTGGAAGTTCTACAACCCGGTCACCAAGAAGGTAGTCATCTCTGAACATGCTGACTTTGATGAACGGTTCTACTCTGGACTCAAGAAGCAACCTTCTTTGCCCCACCCTCCTCTTCCATCAACTTCACCTTTGGCTCCCTCTTCTGCTAGCATAGTGTCCTAGTTTGACTCTGCAGATGAGGATGATATGCCAGCACCTCATCCTGGAGGGGAGGTTGTGGTGCCTCTTCCCCCTGCAGTGGTCCCGGTACCTGCTCAGGATGAGCCTGCTGACTATCTGTTAAAACCAGGAAATAGATTAACCTGATAGCTGACAGAAGTTCTGTACTTTGATGTAAGCAGCAAATATTGATATAGGAACTTAGTACTAACCTGTACTTTGATGTAAGCAGCAAAGAGATGCTGGAAAGTGAAGTACAGGGAAAAGCAGAGCTGTGAAAACACAGCTCCTTATTAGAAAACAGGCAAAGCATCCAAAGCGAAGCAGAAACTACAAAGTAGAAGTGGCATTGGGTGAAAGAATAAATAGGAAGAGTTAGAGGATGCGGATGGTATGTATGGATAGCTTAGGTGAAGGGGATATCAGAAATATATAAAAGAAGATAAGTAAGAAGGTGGAACATCACAGAAGTTGAATATCTCTAACACTATCCTCTAGCACCTGCACCTCCAGCACCTGCTGCACCTCCTCCAGACAATCGACCTCTTGCCCAGAGACATCTTCACTTGCCTTCACTCTGATCTCTCTGTCTATATCTATGCTCGAGACAATGTGCACATCATCATCCCCATTTTTATTGACAACATCACCATTGCTGCCAACTTCAAGTCCGCCATCCATTCCACTATCCAGGATCTTCAGAAGCACTTCAAACTTCGAGATCTTGGGCCCACCAGCTATCTCCTTGGCATTCAGATCACCAGGGACCGCACCACCTGCTCCATCTCACTCTCCCAGTGCCAGTACATTATCAATACCCTGGATCACTTTGGTTTCAGTGAGTGCAATCCAGTGTCTACGCCTATGGAACCTGGACTTAACCTCTCACCTGAACAAGGTGCTCAAACACCTGATGAGTGAGCGGAGATATCCAGTGTGCCCTATATCAATGCTGTGGGTGCTCTGATGTATCTGGCAACTTGTACTCATCCAGACATCGCATACATAGTGTCCCAGTTAGCTCGCTTCAATGCCAGCCCTGGGTTGGCACACTGGAAGGCAGTGAAACACCTCTTCCACTATCTCAAGGGCACCTTGGACTTACGCCTTGCCTACAGGCCAGATCCCAAGGTGAATGAGCTCTTCCAGACCTTCACTGATGCCGATCATGCTGGTGAGCTCCCCAAGATGCGTTCCACTGATGGCTACTTGGTTAAGGTGGGCTCTGGAGCAGTGGACTGGTCATCCAAGCTCCAGCCTATCATTGCTCTCTCCACCACTGAGGCAGAGTACATAGCTGCCTGTGAGGCCGGGAAGAAAATCCTCTGGATGTGCAACCTTCTCTCTGAACTTGGCTACACTCTCCTATCCTCTTCCTCCCTCTTCATCGACAATCTCTCTGCTGTCAGCATTGCCAAGAACCCAGAACACTATGGTCGAATGAAACACCTGGATCTGCGCTACCACTGGCTCAAGGATGTCATTGAGGCTGGTGTCATTGCCCCCACACACCTTGCTGGTGTTGATATGCCTGCTGACATGCTCACCAAGTCACTGGCCTGACTCAAGGTTGAGGAGTTTAGATGGATGATGGGTTTGAAGTAGGATTTGAATTAGGGGAGAGTTGCAGAGATGCAACATCAGGGGGGAGTGTTAGAGATATTTAACTTCTGTGACATTTTATCTTCTTACTTCTCTTCTTTTATATATTTCTGATATTTTCTTTATCTAAGCTATCCATACATACCATCCCCATCCTCTAACTCTTCCTATTCATCCTTCCACTCAATGCCACTTCTACTTTGTAGTTTGTGCTTCGCTTTGGGTGCTTTGCCTATTTTCTTATAAGGAGCTGTATTCCCACAGCTCTGCTTTTCCCTGTACTTCACTTTCCAGCATCTCTTTGCTGCTTACATTGAAGTACAGAACTTCTGTCAGCTACCAGGTTGATCTATTTTCTGGTTTTAACAGGTTATAAGCCCTGGCTTCTAATCTCTACCTAGATTTGTCTACATCTATATTATAACCAGGGAATAGATCAACCTGGTAGCTAACAGAAGTTCTGTACTTTGATGTAAGCAGCAAATATTGATATAGGAACTTAGTACTAACCTGTACTTTGATGTAAGCAGCAAAGAGATGCTGGAAGGTGAAGTACAGGGAAAAGCGGACCTGTGGAAATACAGCTCCTTATCAGAAAACAGGCAAAGTGCCCAAAGTGAAGCAAAAACTACAAAGTAGAAGTGGCATTGGGTGGAAGGATGAATAGGAAGAGTTAGAGGATGGAGATAGTATGTATGGATAGCTTAGGTAAAGAAAATATCAGAAATGTATAAAAGAAGAGAAGTAAGAAGATAAAATGTCACAGAAGTTGAATATCTCTAATATGATACTTATTTACTACAGTAGTATTACTTACTGAAAATATGATCAGTGAAATATAAATATTTAAAATCAGCATCTTTATATAGCATTGAAACATCTGTATTATAAAAATATACTGCTAATATTGCTTTATTTAAATTATATATAGTGAATATTGAGCTGTCAGCTTCTATTGTATTATCTCCTAGTTTTGAAATATATCTAGTATTATATCTTGAAATGCCCACTATGATACTATAAATAAAGTGATAACTATACAATTTGCTAATAAATAGTATAAAGAGCTGAGCACATTTTATTCTTATAAGAGGCTTATAAAAATATATATATTAGATTCTTATTATAATCAATAGAAATAAGATACATGTATATATGCTTTCACTAAAACAGAAACTTTGTATCTTCTTATATACAATATTTACTATGAAAAATCCCTTCATACTTGACTGAAAGATATATCACAGAAAAACTCAGTATTTATAAAGATATATCCATTATATTAAAAAATTAATAAAGCATTGCTATAAATGGAGCTAAAGATATAGTTATTAGTTAGAATGAGATTACTACTTCTTTAGATAAAAAATTATTGCAGACTCTATTTGTAAAATTAATATCACTCTCAAGAGATATTTATATAAATAAACTACCCTGCAATATTATTCCAGTTATAACTCATATTAAATAGGTTATATATACTATGTTAGATAATTCTAAATTAAAATTATTTAGAGAATAGATCTTGATATTGTCAAATTTTGCTATAACACATTTTACAGTCTAAAATTATATTTGTATATATAATATTATTGCTCTATAAAAATATAAGAGTTATCACTTTTCTTGTTTAATCTGCTAATGTCAATAGTCTTGTTATTCTATATTCTTTGAATTTATCTAAAATTACTGGAGGACTATATGATAATTTTAGCTATCTAAGCTTAGTATTTTTAATCATATATTATA